CTTGAGATTTTGAAGTGATTTGTTAAGATTTTTAATTGAAATCTAAAGAAAGAGAATTTTTAAATTTCTTCTTATCTCTTTATAATAATAAAATTGTTTAAATTTTGAGAAATTCTTTCATACATTTAAACAGTTCATAAGTATCAAGTTAGCTTTTATTAAAAAAACTTTATGAATGAAAATTTTACATGTTTCTAGAATGATAAAAAGCTAAGAAATTGTAAAGGCACTTCAAGATTTAATTAGCTTGTCTCTTATACATAATATCTACTTGAAACTATGTCGAAAAATCCACGCCTGTCAACGCCTTAATCATACACAAAGAACTTAATCCGGATACCTTAATTTCACCCACGCGTTGACGTAAAAATTTTACGAGTATTTTATGATTGATGTCATTCTAATTGCAATTAATTTCAAGTTAACATAATTTGTTCGAATATTAAAAATTCATTACCTCAATGTCTGGGTTGATAGACGTAGGAAAAAAAAGAAATACGTTTCATACAATAATCCACATGGTGAATGCTGGAAGGAATAATGAATCATGAAAGTAACTAACGTCATTGCCAATAAAAATCTTAATGTTGGTGAGTTCAAGAAAAAGAAGGAAAATTACATTTAAGGGAGATAAGAAAATGTTAAGATTACAAAAAATTTCTTATTTTATTCAATACTTTAAAAGAACATTGGATGTGACGTAAAGCTCTTAAAAGATAGTAATAAGCGCAAAGACGCCATAAAATAAAGCAACTGGATATGCTACAAGGATTTGCTGATGGTCCATTGAAAGTGCTGTTACGAAAAGCTTTGACGCAGATATAGCACACCATAATATTGAAAATCCTGTCAGAATCATTCCTATCAATCCCCTTTAAATATAACAGATTGAAAATAAATGACACAAAAAAAATTCTCTCTTTACTTACTGAATTGTGATTAGAACATTTATGCCTGACAACACAACCATTGGTAAAAGACAGTAACCAAGAACCGAAATGACAGCAGCCAATGTCACATTGGTGGTTGCCATTAATGAAAGTAAGCAGTAGAATGCCAAGCAGCCCAACACTCCAATTCCATAAATGTAAGAGAATGTCACTTTTCCTGACTGCGAATGAGAAGAAAATAAAAGAAAATGTGGAAGTTGCAACTCAAAATGGAGATAATGTTCGTAAAAGATTCAACATTAATCATCGGTGAGCCACAAATGAGACTTGAGATCTTCCGCTATGGAAGAAACTTACCAGAAGAAGGAAACTGCCAAATGCCATGCAGAAAACAAGTGGACCAGCCAGGTCGGTGTCCTCAAAAATACTCTTCTCAGTTGTTCGGAAGGGGTTTAGAACTGAAAGTGTCTGAGCGAAAAAAAACTATCATAAAATTATCGTTCGTTTTCTTTTAACGATACTAACAAAAGAAACTTTCTTATTTCTTTTGTTCGTTGAGACAACATTATACATGATTTTGACATACACTCGACAAATGAGAGAATGATATAAATGTCGCTGATATGATATAAACTTCAGCAGTTTCATGTGTAAGATTATTAGCGACTACGTGATTTGGTTTCGATATCAAATTAAATCTTATTGAAGACGAACGAAAACTGAAAAGAAAAATCTTAGAGAAATTCTCTGATAATGCTGTAACAATTCGAAAGCAAAACAAACATCTAAAAAAATAATATCAAATGAATAGCTTCAAGCGAGTAATAACAGTTTTCAAAAAAGAACTTTTATCAAATCCGTTTACCAACTGAATATTAAAAACTTTTGCTGTTGTGATAACGCTTTCGTTCTTTTCTCTTTCTCCTCCCCCATTACATTGGTTGCTTTTATATGACGTCAAGTGCCACACATGGAATAAATTTATTTTGACGAGGGAAGATAGCAGCGGGGTGGTTTGGGATAAAAAAAAAGATATCGAAGAATAATCTTAACCCTTTTTCCCATTTCATGTGCTTATACAACTGAAGCAAAATAAGATAGCATTTATATTTGGGAACGATTGAACTTTACGTAACATAACCTTCATTGCTTATTGAATCATGTTTTATACGAAAATTAAAACAATCGATCGTATAATTCTAAATTTTCTTTTTGAATAAAGGAAATCATTTCAACTATCACTGAGAGAAGTTAATTTAATAGCAAAACTATAAAATGAGTTCTTCAATTTGAAGTTTTTGATAAGTTCCTGTTCACAAAATTTAATTTAGAAAACTAAAACTAGCTTTTTATTTCTTCTTCTGGTTTAATATGCATATGGAATGGGGTTGATTCAAAAGTTATGAAGATAAACAACACAATTTTCTCATCCAATCTTTTAAAAAGTTTTCGAAATAAGTTGAAAATTTATGAAAAGTTTTAACCTTTAAAACTGTTATAATTTATAACAACGTGACGTTAGCCACGAATTTCTTTTTCATATGTGAAAATACGTGCAAACGAAACGAAATCTCAGATTTCTGAATAAATATTAATGAAAAGCTTGCATTAAGATAAACAATATTTGTCAACTTTTATGTTGTAGCTTTAGGCAATTCGTTATCAATGTTACTGAAATTTCGATGCTGCAAAACAATTTTATTGTTATTTTTATTTGAATTCTTCAACGCTTAAAAATTGAAGCAATTTCATATTCGCTATTGAAATTGAAACTTTTTTCATACATAAAGTATTAAAATTCATTGGTTAAATTTTCTTTCTCTGTTTTCTTTCTTTCTCATTTTAAAACCATTATAAGAAACACGGTGCTCTAAGCTTTTTATTTTAGCAGGATTTACTTCAAAAAAAATCTACCTCGATGAGACAACCTAGATAAGTTTTAATTAAAAATTTAATGAACTCGTGAGGCGGAGAGGAAGCAAAGATTGCCAAATTAAAAAAAAAGCATTCAATTTGAAGACATGAATGAAGCCTTTTAGAAGCTTATTTTTCGTTTAAATTATTAAGATCTTTATCACTGATATAATGAGACTTCGGGTAAACAGAGATTATGAAAAAAAGATGCATGCACATTTCATGAATAAGTATGTTTAATGTTCATAATGAGCTTCTTTCAAAAAAGTTTCAGAGGATATGAAGCTGTACAGCGAACGATGACTAGTGACAAAGAATGACAAGCTTTTTAAGACAAGCTTCTCAAAGTTAAGATATTTAGACATCAAAAAGAAAAAAAGTCAATTTAATGAATGCATAAGTACCGTGTTTTCCGTGTTCAAGAAATTGCCGTCTTTTAGTAAAAGATATCGAGAAAATTCTCAAATGACAAGTTCAGTAAAAGACGGCGGCGTTACTGTTAATATTTTCACATCGAAACATATGTTTATACATAAGAGTGGCTTAAAAAGCATTAAATAATTTTAATAATTAAAATAGTTGTCATTATGCGAAATATCACCATGCTCATGCATTTATAATCATTTAATATTATGACATTTATATGTTGCTAATAAATATTCATAAACACGATGCTTAATGGATATTTTGAAAAGGATTATAACAGACTGACAATGTGTGGACTTTTATTTTCTATTTCCTAGATTCTGTCATCCGGATGTGAGGGTTGGGAAATGACAGAGTAGCTGAGCACATTAATCCATTCAGGAAATGTAATTTCAAGCACTAGATCAGTGCTGACATCCTTTAAATTAAATTTGTCAGATATATCTCAGCATTATTGATATTTTATTAAGCACATTTTCTGCTTGCATGGCATGAAATTTTTTTATCTTTCTCTCTAAAGCATAGCTAGCTGTATTATGTATCCACTTTTTCTGTTCTTTTGCCTTCATTTCCAGCCACATTATGTGGAATGTGCTTTCTCTCTGCCATTCCGCCTACGTATTTTCCGTAGAAAAGCTCTTGAATTTCATCAACAGAAGCATGAGTAAAGATGAATTGGCGACGAAGAGAAAAAAAACCAAAAGACGAAAACAAAATGATTGATAGTACATGAAACTGTAGCATTAAAGTTATGACTCATTTATCAAACTTAACGCACATTAAAATTAATTTTCTTTCCTCTCTCTCTCATTTTTTTCTGACTCGTTACACGCTCGAAAAGGGAAAAAAATATCTTAAACAATTTTGTAAATTTATCTAGAAATGTTTACTTGCATAGACTAGCTAGTAATTTTGCTTTTTAATTTGAAAAATGGCAATTAGTCAATTGCTAGATTCACAATTGGTTTTTCTCTACATAATGATATACGAGTTTCAGTAAAAGTGCTCTTATGTTTACAAACATGATTATTACTTTTGTGAATGTTACCAGAAAAGAGAGATCTTTGATAGATTAATGGAAAAAGTCTAAAATGAAAAATCGTCGAAGCAGATCGAAGTCCCTAATCCTACAAAAGCGTATGCTTCTCTATAATAGGATCTAACATTTTTCATCTTTATGTTTGTCGAACGTATATTTGAGCTCATTTTTCACGACGACATGCGTACTTAAAGCCTTAAGCTCGTACGCTTTTTGATTGATACAACGACTTTAATTATCATAAATACCCAAGCTTTACTCCAGGAAAAGAAGAAGGAAAAGAAAAACGTTTGTATTTATTTTGAGCAGGCAAAGTGAAAGAGAGAGAAATGGTTATCTTAGATTTTATTTTTCCGAGCATCTTTCGGTAACCAAATGCTTAACGAGAAGCACTTCAACCAAAGTTATCTGATATTATTCTTTCTTTTTATATCTCTCTCTCACTTTTCTGTGTTCGTGTTATTTCTAAAGATAGTATTAATTTTTCTTTATGCTTCAGCCGTTAGCATAAATATAATCTGAGCCATGGTTGAATTCTGGAATAGTAAATGGAGTGGTTGTGTGAGCTTTTTATTCTTTTCTTTTCTCTTTTACTTAAAATACTCTTCAGTATTATTAGCAATAAAAAGTTACGTCATGAAAAATAAAATGATATATAAAACATGTACAGAACATTTTTTCGCACAATGTTTACCTGTCTTCAAGATTGAAATTTTGTTCACAAGTGAATGGGAGAGAGAGAGAGAGGGGAAAAAATAAAGCGAAGCGAATGGATATGAATGGAAAAAGAAAGAAAAAAGAAAAAAAAAATAAAAATATAAGAAGGAAAAGATATTTGTTTAGGATAATGAAACAAAAGAGATGGGTACACATTTATGTTTTTTATGTTAACACACATAGAGGTCGGTTTGGGATTCCTTGTGGATGATTCAAATCATGGCGTGAGAATTTTTTATATTTCATTTCTCTTGTGCGCTGTCGAGAGTGGAGAAGTGAGATCGAGTGAGTATCTAAGCGTGAGTCCAAATGTACGGTACACGTTTTCAGGCGGTATTATTTGATATTATTACTAGACATTCATAATAATGTTTGCTTTGCATGTGGAGCGTTAGATCGCTTCGTTAGGAGGCAGAAAATGTCTATGCCTGTAGCTTTTAACACAATGTTTGAATAGGAGTATTTTCTTATGATATTACCGAACCCATAGTTGTAAATGGTATTTTAAAGAGGCCAATTTGGGGCTTTAACATAAATTGAAAATGATTATGGCGATGGAAATGTTCTTCAAATTGATTAATAGGCTTATCAAAAGCTCTGACATTGATTTCATCACCTGCTCAATATTAAAATGGAAACGACGAGAATGACATGTGATGGTATTTTGCGTGGGAGGAGAAATGTTTCGATGTATATATATATTTGTTTTTTTGTGAAACTGAAATTTGTAGAAATCAAAATGTTTTATCTCTCCTTTTAGGAAGGAAAATCTTTTTCTTCTTATTCAATATTTGAAAGTTATCACCCCGTAAATGACGAAATGAAATAAAATTTAATTAATTTATATTTAATTGTAACCAAAAGATAAACACGAAAGAAAAACTTTTTCCTTTTGCCTCTCTACTTCGTATGTATTTAAAAAGAAAGGAAAGAAAAAAGTTTTAAGCCTCGTTTCACAGCTTTCGGCTCGTTTTATTGTGTTATATAATTATTCTTTAACTTTTCAAGCAAGGGTAAAATTTTTCCTAAATACACATCAACAAATGTGGAAAAATTAATTAATTAATAGTCACGAGAACGTTTTTTCTTTCATTTAACTCAGATTAACTCAACGTGTTTTGCTGCTGATCTGACAGATTTTTGTAACAAATGAACCTAACAACAGAAAGTTATTTAAATCTCGTCTCGCCCTCGCACTTTCAACCTAAGCAATTAGAGACGACGTGAGGAGTATTCTTTGTGTTGTGAAATTATTTTATGCAGAAAGTATTAACTCATACAACAAAGTATTTTAAGACATCTTCCCGGGAACATAACAGTGACTTAGATATTTTAATTCCTGTTTCCGTGCACATAAATTAATAATTCTTGTAAGCAGTTTCCATCAGGATGTTCATGAACATGATTTAGTTATTAACCATAAATATTCAACCTTGCTTACTTATCTTCATTTCTCTTGTTGTGCACATCAACATCATCATCGTCATCATCAACATCATCATATTGTTCTAGCGGTGAAATTATTCATCACCAAAAGGGAAAAAAATATGATCTTGACGGGAAAAGAAAAACCGACGAGTGAGGGAGGGAAAGAGAAGGAGATAGATTGAAAAGATAAATGTAATTTAATATGTACCCCTGGTGGAAAAGCTATTTCGCGCATGAGAAGATATCAAGGCGAATAAATTCAAATTTTTTTCCTTCTCTTTTTCTTTTTGAAATAAAAATTATTTAAAATGCTTGAAGAACTTGAAATAAGAAGAAAATATTTTAAAATGATTCTTTAATGGTTTCAATTAAAAAGAAAATTAGAGAATCGAAGATTAGGAAAAGCTGAACAACGATGTAAATAAGTATGAGGTTTTAAATTTATTAACATGTTGTTTCATTTATATTAAATGATGTTTGAATCAAGCACTTGAAAATGTAAATTTTCTTTATCAAAGTTAAGGTAATAAGAAAAAATGTTTAAATCATCTATTACAATCAGAATTCTCTGTTAATAAAAATTGCTTTCGAGCATAACGAAGTTTGAAATGCTCTTCATCCAAAAACAACAAGCATAAGTGAATCGTTGATATCTCAAGTTTCTTTCTGAAGCATTTCCGAATTCTAATTTTATAACTTCTTGTTATCAATGCCAATGTTTTTTTTTTCTTGTTGATATCTGCGTAAGCACAGTCAATTTTATTTTTTCCTTTTTTTAAATCCCCATTAGACAAAATACCTTTCATCTTTCGGAAATCTGCATATTTCCGCTTTGAAATTAAATTCTCATGAAACATGAAAATCAATCATGCATATTTAAGAAGTTCAAGATATCGATCAGGGAACGGTTATGTCTTTCAGAAATTGAATTTATGTTATTTTGTATTCAGCTTCAGTAAAGTGTTATGCTTCTCGAACATTTTCCGATCGTTTTTCTCCTCCCTCTATCGCGGAACATTGCTTCGAGAAAGCGCAAAGCTAGTTCAATATTATTTTGTGTTTCGCTTACAAAGTGCAATAAAATAAATCTCCACTTTTAAATTCAATCAAAGTTTCTTTTTTCTTGTGCTTGCTCTTCGCTCGTTTGACTCCGTTTCTCTCGTTTGCTTTTATATTTAAGAAGATTTCGAAGAATTGCCCCGGATTTCAAGCATGGAAATTTGGTTTTTTATTATCTTTTTAAACCGATTTAGTGTATTCGACTTTGAAAAGCTCTAAGTTATGAGGGTAATCTTTGCCACAACGAATGTCGTATCAAATAATGAATTACGAATTTAGTAAGTAAACTACTTGAAATTCCATTTTGAAGTTGAAATGAGTTAAGAGAAATTTAATTAGATGTTTTGACATTCAATTATTTTACTAAATTGAAGAATTAAAAATTAATTTATTCATCTGAACGATAGCTTAGTTTTGCCATGCGACAAATTGTTATTATTTTTATTTCTCTATGATCAACTCAATAATTTTGTTTCATCAGCGCTTAAATTATTTTGGATCACTCATTTAAATAATCAACTGACTATAAAGTCTCGTCGATAACTGACAGTTGATAGGATTTTAATTTTCAATTAATTTTAATTGCTTGATATCAAGTTGAAAATGTCGTATTAAATCACTAGACATGGAGATCTATTTATTTAACTAACCAATTCATCACTCACCTTTTGAATTATGTGCTGGGGATTTATTCCAAGTTCTATGATGATAAAATAAAACATTGTCAGTTTTAATCTTTTCGGCTTTTAACTTTTTTTTTTCATTTTGAAAACATACCTTCAAGCAATGGCGGTTCATCATCAAACTCATTCCCTGTGTAGGTTTTTTGTTCACCAAATTCAGTGTTGCCGTACAAATTGCCTGTTGCTGCTTGTGATCCATCTAAAAACGACCCCGCATATTGACCTGGTGGAACATTTGTGTATGTAATTTGAGTGCCAGAAGGTTGTTGGGTGTTTTCAAAGGTTTGAAAATGCCTACAAAATATTTCAGTTCATAAGTATTCAATTAAAAGAAATAAAAATCATGCTTACAATTCTTGATCCGGTATTTCAAAGTTGAAATCTTGACTTTGATTTTGACCTGTACCGTCCCAAAAATTTTGATTGTTTCCGTAATTTGCCATATCTAAATTATCTTTTCCCCTCAATAGATATCTGCAACATTAAACGAAGATATTTTCAAAAATTGATTTTGTAGTGTGACACAAAAGCTCATGCAACATTGTACACGTACAAAATATTCACTGCTTAATAAAAAATTCAGTTTAACTTCGTGACGATGTGAAATTATAACTGCACTTGATGTTATCCGCCGTTCCAAGGGCGTGGAATAGATTATGATCAATAAATTATACTTATTTTCTGTGTTATTCACTAGAAAATTTAAAATCAATAAAACTTCCGTAAAGGTTGATGTTTTGTTTCGCAAACGTATTAAGGTTAAAATGAATGCGACATGAAACATGTCGCTTCAATGTTGCATGTTGCTTTCAACATTAATTCTTCTTGCTTTGAGTTTCCACATCATCTTCTTTGTTGTAAACGTTGTTTCTAAGTCGCAATCATTCCTTTTAATTAAAGCGTTCATGGTTCTATCACAAAAGAAAATTTATTTTCTAAAATATTCAATACTTTTAAAATACCAGAATGAAAGCAAAGAAATGTTTTCAAACATTGTATACAAAAAAACATCTCTCTCTTGAAATTTAAAACTTCACTTTAAAATAACAATTTTATTCGTTTCTGGTTTTTCATTTGAAATATATACTTGTGCTTAAATCCAAAACTGAGCATGCAAAACATTTTTCCCTTGCCAATTGTTGTACATCATCGGATCTTCTTGTTTCTTTTTTCATTTGCGTGCGGTTTCATTGGGTCTTTCCAGCAATTCGTATCATGATTGAAGACCCAAAGGAGAAATGTTGGTTGGTTGTCTTTTTTATTCTCCTACAACTTACATACTTTTCTGGCTGTGTGTTTTATCCTGTCGATTTCTAGTTCAATTCGTTGTAATGTCTTCGGATTTGTATATTCTAATGAATCAATTTCCATATTCAATTTGCATTGTCAATTTTTATTGTTCTTTTCAATTTTATTGCTTTTTGATAAGGAATTGAAAATGATATCAAGGACGAAGAAAATTTAGTTGGATTTTTATTTTTATTGTTATTCGAATAATAGAAGAAGAACATTTCCTTTTGCCATTCCTTTCTCACTCCATTTTTGAAAGAAGAAATCTATTTTCCTTATTCCCCAAGTACTAAGATACGGGGAGGCTGAAACAAGGCTGAAAGAAAAAGAAAAAATAACGAAATAGGTAGATAAGTAAGAAATTTTATTCAACACAAGAATTTTTGAGCCTCAAAAACTTGAGAGATTTGGGACATAAAATATTATGCCATGAATGAAATGAAAAATGGTTTCTTTCGAATTCCTTTCATTTGATAGAATTTATAAGCATGGAAAAAAACAAATAGTCTCAGTCTGTAAAGCCAATTTCACAAGGTAAATTAGTGAGATTTATAGAGAAGATGAATGAAAATATAAGAAAGAAAAAAGGAAGCTAAGAAAACTCTTAAACCAATTACAATTGAGACTCAACCATTTCCCTTAATGGATTTTTCTCTCTCAGGTTTTTTTTCTCTACTTTCTTTATCACCTCCACCCACTCATTTAGACAAGGAAATTCAAGAAATCATCTAAAGAAGCAATGAAGTAAGAAAGTCAAATGAGAGTAACTGATATTAATTTTATATTCTCGTGAATATTGAATTTTCATCTCACTTTAAATTCCACCCTTTCTTTCTCAATCTACTTCTTCTCCATCTTCACCCATTAATGAATTTACCTTCTGCTGGAATGACTTTCTTAATGTTCCTTTTAAAGATTATTTGATCAAAGATAATGTGTTGATGATTTCGCGCTTCTGAAAAGTGAACAAGAGAAGCTATGGAGATAAGTAAGTATAATGACTTTCGCTCTTCAGTTTTGTATCATAGCTACGACGGAAAATATTACGAAAATCATATTTCATTTAAATCTCGTCGCATTTTATGTAAGGTGGTGAACGAAGACACTCAGAAAAAAAAGACAAATTCGATAAAAAAAGTTCCCGCGTATTCTTATTCTGCCTCTGCGTGTGAAAAAAAAGCAATGGGGAGGTGAAATTGATTTAAAAGGTTTACTTTTTTTGCACGAGAAGCGAAATAAGTCTGCCGCTTGAAGATGTTTTAAGCGCTCTACTTGATGATATTTACAAAATTTATATTTTTGTAATTTAATATTTAAGGTTATTACACTTACATGTACACAACGCCTTGAAATAGCGAGAGAATGAAGCAAGAGAATGTAAGTGTAAGGACTTATAGAGATAATAACGATGAAATTATTTTCTGATGTTCTTTTCCAATCAAGTTTTATGATGCGAAAGATTGTTTAAGCTCAACTCTAGTCATATTTTAAATACTTTTCACTTTATCTTGAACACAAAGTTTTGCAGTTGACAGGGAAACGATGGAGAGAATAACAAGAAGAATAAGCTGAAACATAATATTTGCTATCAGAGAAAGTTCGAGTCGACTGTTAGCACAATCATTTATCGTCTACGATTGAATATTGATTGTTGGTGAGATCAAGGCGGCACAATCAATTATTGAAAAAGAAAAGGTTTCTTCTCTGTTGGAGAAATTTTGTCTTCCGATAACGTCGACAACAAAAAAACATTAGAACTCCTTTCTCCAAGCTATCATTGCTTCTTCACCAGCTTCAGCCTCAACAAATTGCCATCTGAAGACTTTAAAATTGCTTTGATTATCTTTAAAGCTATTTACTATCGCCTTGTTATCATGTTCTTTTCTTTCATCATTTGAATCTTTCTTTTCTTGTTGTTGAAACATTGATAATGTCACATTTTCGATATTATACTCCAACTCATTTTGGTGTATCATATTACCAGAGATTCAATTCATAACATTGTCACGTATGAAACTGTTTTGTTTCCATCCGCATATAGGAAAGGAGAAACCAGAATACATCCCTATAAAGACCGAAACGCTACGTCGAATACCAAATATCTATTTAATACATTATTTATATATATGTATATATATAATATACGTTTTCTGGGGAGAGAAATACTTTCGAGTATCGGATAATCGATAATCAATATAGAATAAAAATTCAACATACCAAAAGATTTAGATTTTCAGAACCGATACATATTTATAACGATAGTAAAAAGCAAGTGGATGGGATGAGAACAACAGAAGCGAGTGGGTGATTAAGTGAGTGAAATGAAAAAGTGAGAGAGATACAGAAGGAAAAATATTTTTAATGGGGCCATTTTCAATCATGGCTGAATCACTTCACATTGCTTAACATTTTTTCGAAGCACAACAGGCGAAAGAAGAAGATAAGTTAATAAAATGCCTTTGAAGCGAAAGTAATCCTCGTAATTGTATTGATTTCTAGAGGAAGATGATAAAAGAGAAGAAAGAACAAATAATGAACTCTCGGGGATGATTCGTTCAGCAGATTAAATTTAATTACGAGAATGTTTATTTGTCGTCAACAAAATATGGTTTTCTACTTGGTTGAACAATAAATTACGTCGATGATCGTAAAAGAAAAAGGATAAAACAAGAAAACTCTTTTTCTATCTTTTTTTATGTCAAAAACATATCTGAATATTGATGGAAATGATGTAACTTTTGATATAAAAATAGTTTTACGATTTTATCAATGCAATCGAAATTTGATTGTTGTTTTTTTTTATTTATTTTATGATTGTTGATATTGAAATCGAGAACTTTTTCTGAAAGGAGCTTATGTGACATAAGTAAATATTGAGGGTTTGTTTGAAAAGTAAAATCAGTTTCATGATAACATTTCTTGTTGACCACAAACTTATGAATCATGAAAGAAAAGTATGAAAATATGTTTACGAAAGATAACAGAGCTCAATGTAATTGATCAAAACTTTGATCAACATAATCTTAAGTGATATGAAATTAAGGAAAATGAAAGCTTCTTTATCATTTACCTAGTTGCAGTTTGAATGTACAAATAGAGTGAAAATATTCCTCGATAAATCATTCCGATGTTGCTAGAGCACATAATGGATTTTTTTCTACACAAGCAGTCAACTGTTGACAAAACTACAACTATACAAAGTGAATGAGTGCATGAATGTGCTTGCTATTATTTTTTTTATGTGAACAATTCATACACTGATTCTTTTTGTTTTAATTAAGCTGGCGAACGAGAACAAAAGCAGAAATAAAAACGCTTTTATCAATTCATGTTTTGATATTTTGTGATTTATTCAACTGAAAATATTTTGTCTGGAAGGGGTGAGAGAGGAAAAAGCTTTTGGTTGTGTTCGAGTTGAGTGATATTAGAACGAGTTTATGCTTTACGTCCTTTTGATTTATGAAAGCGAACATAAAATTGCAAACACATTGAGACAGACAATCGACATCGTTGATACAATGAGAAATTGGCTTGTTATTTTAGCAAATAAATAGTTATGTGGGAATAAATATATTTTCAATACAGTGAATAACCCTCAAGGGAGCAGATCATAAAATGGATGAGGTGAACGAGTCTTGTAGGAATTTTTTATTCTTCCTAAGAGAGAAAGGAGGAAAAAAATTGGGGAAAGTTAATAAATAAATTCTTTGTTTGCTCTGCCTTGGTATTCAGTGAAAAACAGTTATTGCGAATGTATTTACTGAACAAAAGCACACAAACAATGAAAGAAAAATTTCGCTACTGAAGAGTTTCGACGTGATCTTCCCACCTTTACGAATAAATCAAATTGTATCAATATTCAGCAATCGTTTCATCGTATGAAACGTAGATATAAAAGGAGCTTAAAAAGAATTTCTGAGGGAAAGCGATTGATGTGATAAGAAAATTGAATCATCATGCGATAACGATTGTTGAGGTGCGGTGAAATATTCGATGAATTTAATTAGACACCTACAGAATCGAATCTCATCTAATTAGCTATTAAAATCTTCAATCATGAGAGTTTATGCCACATTTATGCTTTCCATGCTTTACCAACTGTACAGGTGAACTTTTGCAAGAGAGAAAATATTAAGAAAATAATTTGGCACTTTCTGTTATCAAACCATTAATATTTAAGTAGCGCAGGAATTCAAATCGTGACTCGAATAAAGTTCACGAACAAACAAAAATGTTGAATAGACGAAGAAGAGAGTAAAAAAATATATATTCAAAGAGCTTTTCTTCATTCATTCGTTGGTTGGAAAAGAAATCTTAAATCGTTCGCCTTACTTACTCGTTGAGCATAAGGAAAATTATCAGGAATTTTTTCACCTTTTACATTCTGCCTTGCTTTGCGCATTTTTGGTTTTTTCGGTTCAACGAAGGGTAATTACTGGCAATATATCACGACACTCACGTACTATAATATTTCATAAACATAGAACATGATCAGCCCACGTTGGCTGAATAGCATAAATCAAATTATAATATTTTTCGCATAAAATGTTTTCGTCTCCAAGCACTGTTGAATTCTATTAAGATCCTAATAACATCATATCCAAGTCGAATTTCAATGGCATTACATAAATTAAATTGTTGCAAAATTAATAATGAAATGAATTAAAATCTGTAGTAAAGTTTTTAATGGAATGTCATGAAATTTCTATCGTGGGAGTTGTTAAAATGTAGATAATTAAAAACTAACAATCTCTAAAATATTCAATAAATTTTGTGGTTTTTTAATTGACCACAAAGAAAGAACCATGAAGTGTTTATGGGAGATTCCTTGCTTTATTTGTAAAACATTAAAACTTTATACTTTGAGTGAAGCTTTAGTATGATTTAGGGGTTTTATATCAGTCATTAAATGAAACTTCTTTTCTAAATATTCTTGTTGTTTAATAAACATTTTTTCTATACATTCATAGAACTAAAGCTCAACATTTTTATATCCCAAAAATAAATATGTTTACAACTATATAATTCAGTTTCTTTTCGTATCTCCTTGTCAACATATCTTTTCTCATTTTGTCTCAATTCCCTTTCTTCCTTTAATCCTGTAAATGTCAGATTTAGTCGTTAACATTTTCTCACAAGAATAAAAGCTCATAAAAAAAGGCAATGAGACAAAAGACAATGTCCGTTTGAATCTTTTCACATCTGGATCGAGAGGGGCAATGGAAAAGAAGAGAAATTAATTACGTGCTAATAAAGAGATTTAGAATTTAATCCACTTGTATGAAAACTCAAATCCTCATTCGTTATTAACTGCATTTGGTGAACCACATTTCTATTGCTTATCCACACACATCGTAGGAGAAAGCTTTTTGTTTCTTTGAAAAGTAAAGTGAGCGAACGTAAAACGTACGAGTGTCCATTTCAAATGAAAGACTTTTATTTCCAATGTACTTCAATGAAGCTTACTTTGGAGAAAAAGAATTTTTTCATTCGTCTTTTTCAATTATCTGATTACAACAAGTTGGTCATTGCTATGAATGAGATTGCCATAATTGAATTTGAATCATCTTGAGCATTTAGAAGATGCCATACTGAAATTCTTTACCCGCATCGTAAGCAGGTTGGTTCGTGGCTTACAAAGCAAAAGAATCGTTTGCTGTGCTTCTAAATTGAAAACAAAGAAGAAAAGAAAGGAGAGAGAAGAAAAAGGGAAAATTAGAAGAAGAAAACTTTCATTGTTGAAGCACGAAAAAGCGAGCTGCTTATCTCGAATCGTAATGAAGAAAACCACATTATTTTAAGGACACCGAAATTGAATTTGTAAACGTGTGTGGCGGTTTTTGATAATATCAAAGAAACTTTCAACCTGTGGCTTTGTTTAGAACTCTGAAAATCTTCACCGAGAAAAAGTTTTCAAACACGGTTTCAAGCTTTTCGCTTTCATGATGTGAGTTATTTTGAAATGAACCTTTTTACCTTCTTCATCCATCCACGCTCGTGCGCCTTTCTCCATCTCATGACAACAATCATTATGTTCAAATTGATCGCTCTTTTGCTCACTCAACTTTTCATTCTCAACCCATTCGGTCAGCTATGAAATTAATTATTTCAAGCGAATAATTGCAGATGGATTAATCTCCGTATATTCATCAGCTGATGTTTTACTACATTCATTCGATTACTTACGTTCAATTGATCGCTTATGCTTCATGAGTAATGAAATGAAATTAAATATTTTCTCTCGGCTTTCCAATTAGGAATGATTTGTAAAATAAAAATAAATAATCTTCTTTTCTTCTCTATTTACATTGATGTGGATCGAAAGGAGGAGGAAAAAACCAATGGTTAGAGGTATTTACTGGAAAGTGATGAGATAAATCAATGAATTCAAGTGAGTAAGAGTGATTCAAAATCATTCAAATGAAAATACAGACTTAAACTTGTGGATATTTTCTTTTCTTAGAATTGATAAACGATTAATGGATGAACTGCCATTTGCTACAATAATATGTTTACGAAAGGTTCGATAAATATAATTCTTGACAACCAAAATACGCTTCAGTTGATAAAAAAATGATATTCAAATCCGAATAAAATAAGAGAAGAGATTTAGAGATATAAGTATCATAATAAAGTGTGTGGGCATCTTAAAAATAACAAGATCACCCACCCGAGAGACATTTCATCGGCAATTATTTTTATCGATGTTCATGTGATTGAGATAAACATGTTTATGTAGCATCATTCATTCTACTTCTTTCTGTTATCATTATCATTCTTCTAGTACGTACACATTATCGTTATTCATATCGTGTTTAGTATAAATTATTCACTCACACCCGCGGTCAAATTTAGTAGCAAGTGAGCATCCGACTTGAGTGCTTGGGATAAACTAAACACGGGAATTATATTTATAGTCGTTTGGTTGTATTTAATACACGACAAGTAAAATTGACCTTTAAAGGTTGTCCATAAGCCATGAAGTTGTTGATTACGTTATTAATCGTTGCTTTGTCTTCAATTGAGTGTTTATCAGGTAGAACTAATTTAATTGCTATAGAAAATCGTTTAATTTGCTCCCTATGTTGTGTGGGAGGAAACTGAAAAGTCATGGAATTGGAAAAGGATCTGATTGAAAAGGGATCTTTCTACGTATATGAGTATAAGTCCCATACACATATATTTCAGCTTCACTTACAAGAAAGGTCCTTGATAACGATCTTTGAGTGAAAGAAGTGAAAATTAAACTTCTTTAGATTTCACCGAATCAAAGAACAAAATACAAAAATAAAATTCCCATGTCAGATAATTGACTTAGATTGGATGAGATTAAAGATTTCCAAATTTATTTTTTCATATAAATAGCATGAAAGCGAACCGAAGCTGGGTTTGCATTGGCCAAGAGACAGTCGCGCGTTGATTTAATAAAAAAATCATTTAATTTATCAACACAATGTGGCAGCTGATAAAGTAAAAAGCAAACAATTGTGCCCTGTGAATTGACATTGAATTTGTTGTTTTTTTTTATGAATTTATGCTTTGATGAATGGATGAAAGTGTTATAATCTGATTTGAGATGAAAAGACAACCGGAAACTTTTATTTATCATCTTTTGATACTTTTTCTGTCATCTTCAAAAGTTTCTTATGTCACGTTTTATAATTAAAGCTCTTTGGAATGACACTGATGTCGACAGACTTAGACACGAATTGTTAAAGGATTATGATATCAATGCTAGACCGGAAAACAATGGAGACGTAACTAATTGTACAGTAGAGTTGTCTCTTATGTGAGTTTGAATCTTAAAGATTAAGATAACTAATTAAGCATCAAATTACAACTTTTGTTATGATCAAAAAACTTTTCTTAATTATTTATTGTATAACAAGCTTGAGCACAGAAAATATCTTTTCAAAGATATCTAATTTCAATTTCCTTCCTAAACCTTCATGAAAAGAAATCTGGAAATGGATGAAGAAAGAGGTGTGATGTTGTCTCATATTTGGATTCATTTGAATTGGACCGACAACAAACTCAAATGGGACAATGACAAATATCCTGGCATAAAATCTGTCCATGTTGCAGCTGATGAGGTGAAATCTGAATCCTTTCAAATGAAAACATTGAATTATTTAATGACTTTAATTAATCTAAGGTCTGGCAACCAGATTTAATGGTTTACAATAGTGCAGAGGTGCGTTTAGTGGAACATTTCGCAAAAACAAATAAAATTGTTTATTCACATGGCTCAGTTTTATGGGTGAGTTGGATCCCTCAAGAATATAAAACATTTCACGATAAATAATTCTCAATTAAATTATTTAAACGATTTATTTTTGGATTACATGTAAATAACTGAACAATGACTCGTCCTCAGGTGCCACCAGGTAAGTTCGAAACATATTGCAATCTGAATTTGAAATTTTGGCCATTTGATGTTCAAAAATGTGACATAAAGGTGAGTTAAGTTACTTTAAAGTTTATTAAAAAAAAAACTTTTCTGATGTTTTCGTTAATTTAGATTGGATCATGGACGTATAATGGATATCAATTGGACCTGAAATTACTGAAAGACCATGTCAATGTAAATAAATATTTTAATGGAGTTTATGGTTCTTTAAAAAAAATTTTTCCTAATTATTAGACAGCTCATTATACTACAAATCAAGAGTGGGAAGTTTTAGACTCGACAGCTGTTAGAAACTCTAAAATTTATCCCTGCTGCGCTGAACCTTATATCGATACTAGTAATGGAAGCTTTATTTGTATTTTAATTTAATTGTTAATAATTTAATATCTTTATGAAGCTTTCACGCTCGTTTTGAAACGTAAATCGCCGATGTTTAAATCTCTTGTGATTATTCCGGCACTGGCAGTGGCTTGTATGATGCTAGTTACCTTCTGGTTACCACCACAATCTACAGAAAAGTTGTTATTAAATGGAATTGCAGCTGTTTTGACATGCATGATGCTTTTGTACTTCTCAAAGTTGTTTACCGTTCTGTCATCATCTCCACCGTTGATAGGTAAAAGTTCAGTACTTTGAGCAGGATAATTGCAATAATTTGTGTCTTTTAAACCCATTACAGTTATGTTCTACTTCCACTCGCTGCTCATGTTATGCATTTCTCTAATAATTTCCGTTATTGTCGTCAACATGTCCCGAAATCCAAAGAATTATGCAGTTCCACTTTCCTTAAGAAAAAATATTTCTGATGGAATCCTTGGCAAGATATTTGGACCAAAGAAAGCATTGGCGGAAGAATCAGAGACTCAAATTTCAGAATTGAAAGAAACACCATTTGAAGAACAACGCAACTCTAGCGACCACAAAGTTATCGATTTACCACCCAACCCAGAGCAAAAAGACACGCAAAATGATTGGACTCGGGTTGCAATTATAATTGATCGTACAGCATTCTCAGCTTATGTCATAATTTATGTTGCTATCGCTTTCATTCATTTGATTTAAAGCTGATTTATATTCCGAACTCTTCATGTTCATTAAACTCAAAACTATTCGAAATTATCTAAAAAATGTTAAATAAAATTTCTTTCTTGAATTTGCTGTGACAAGCATCATCAACTGTAACTTTGAGTGAATCTCTCAGAAAATAAATAAAAAATGATAATATGAAACCATAAATTAAGAGAAACAATTTTTTTTATCAGCACATGAACTTTGAAGTAGAATAAGCTTAATTGATATCAGCGACTTTCTTAAACAAAAAGACTTTGCTTCCTACTAGTTTTTTCAGTTTCATCTGAATAATTTTCGTATCATCCTTCGTCTGAGTCAGTTATCAATTTTCAGAATTTAAAGCCTTCATTCATTTAATATTCGTATAAATAAGCATCTCAGATGAGCATCAAAATTTAGTAACAATTGAACATCAGACTCGAGCGTTGGTGAGTTGTATTTGATTTTGAAGTGAAGTCTTTAAAAGTGAAATTGACCTTCAGGGGATATTTAGAAGCCATGAAATCTTTGATTCCGCTATTAATCGTGCTTTCATGTTCTCTGGAATGCTTGTCAGGTAGAACTAATTAATTGCTATAGAAAATTCTTTCCATATCCATGGAATGAGAATCACTGAAAAAATCATGAACAATGAGAAAGGATTTTCAATGCACGTAGATCGATAAACAATTCTAAAAGTTTTCGAAAAATAAACTTGAAATTTGCAACAAAAAGTCAAATAAAACGAAGCTCAGAAAATCAGAAAATGCTAAAGAAATGAAACCCAACGACACATAAATAATTGCCATTTATTGAATTAAATTGAAGATTTCCCAGAACTGACTTTTATGACATTAAATAGCTGAAAAGATGTTTGTGCTGCTCAAAAGACGTTTGCGCGTGAATATAATAAATAAAGCTTTCAATCTGGCTACATATTCTGACATCCGACAGTTGATGTAAATAAATAAACAAAAAATCCATACAATAAATCAAATACTGATTCAACTGTCACTTGATAATGTTATTTATTAATAAACACATCAAAATGTTGTATAAAAATCATTAAATTTTAATAACAACTAGAAAAAATTCGATTGAACTTTATTTTTACACCTCAACAGCTACTGATGTTGATAAGTTGAAACATGATCTACTCAAAAATTATGATCCTACTGTAAGACCTGAAAACTTTAAAGACACAACTCTTGTAACTGTTGGTCTGACGCTGCAGTAAGTTTAATAAATAGAAAATGTCTTCATGGTTATGAATCTTCTTCAAACTTTTAGAGATGTGGAAATTGACGAATCAAGAGGTGCGATGATTTCTCATGTTTGGGGAAATTTTGACTGGAATGACAGCAAACTTATATGGGACAAGGAATTATACAATAATGTGACAAGTTTGATTGTACCAATCGAACAGGTTTGTATTAATTAATATCCAAAAATTAATTACATTTACATATTTTGCCTCTTTAGATATGGCATCCAGATATTTATGTTTACAACAGCATGAATTCAGATTTAAGGAACCAATTTTATCAGACGCATAAAGTTGTTACAAATGGATCTGTGTTGTGGGTAAATTTTCAAGGTTACATAAACTGATTGAAGTTTAATTAATTTGTGTTATATTTTTGATAGGTGCCACCAGCTAAACTTGAAAGTTACTGTAACCTAAATCTTAAATTTTGGCCATTTGACACTCATACCTGCAAGATTAAAGTAAGCAAATTTAATGAAGTTATCAATAGTTTTGAACGCAAATTCTCCTTTCAGATGGGTTCATGGACTTCCAGTGGATACCATATTGATCTAAAAGCAAAGGATTCTACAGTCGATGTAAGAAATATTCAATTAAATTATCATTTCATTTAATTAAACTTTATTTCAATTATTCAAAGACAAGTGATTTCAATGGAGTATTCGGATGGGATGTTCTAAAAACAAAAGTGACAAGAAATGAAATTTTTTATTCGTGTTGTCCAGAACCTTACGTCGATATTAGTATGATTGTTGAGTTTTATAAAGTGAAAAATATTAACAAAAGTTACTTTGCAGCATTCACAATCACTTTGCAGCGTAGATCGCCGATATTCAAATCTGTTGTGATTATTCCGGCACTGGCAGTCATTTGCATGATGATGGTTAGCTTCTGGTTACCACCACAATCCACAGAAAAATTGTTATTAAATGGAATTGCAGCTGTTTTGACATGTATCATGCTTTTGTACTTCTCAAAGTTGTTTAACGCTCTGTCATCATCTCCACCAATCATCGGTAAGTGAAAACATGTTGATTTGCAGAGCTTGGGATTATAATCTTGATTTAAACATATTCAAAAATTCCCTAAAAATTCTTGAAAAATTCATTTCAATTAAGATTAAAAACAATTCCAAGCACTTGTCCACTTTTACGAAACAAAAAGTAATAAATTTTAATACTTTTTGTCATTTATAGTCATGTTCTACAGTTGTACACTTCTCATGCTGTGTTTTTCGTTAATAATCTCCGTTATTGTTGTCAACATTTCTCGTAATCCAAAGCGTAGTGCAGTTCCGTATACAGTGAAGTCAATTTTACTTGATGGATTTATTGCCAAGGCATTTGGTGTCTTCGACTCCAATCAAATGAAGACAGAGAACAATTTGGGTGAAATTAAACAGAACTCGTTAGATAAAATTCAAGAAGATCATAAAGTAATGGAACTGGTAACAGAAACGAAAAATGATGACATTCAAAACGATTGGATTCGTTTAGCAATTGTTGTTGATCGAGCAGTTTTTCTCGCTTATGTTTTAATATTCATCGGTGTCATATTTTTACATTTCATTTAGAATGAATATCCACATACGTGACAGTTATGAATGAAGTTTTATTGAATATCCATTCATGTATATCAATTAATCAAACGATAATGTAAACATTTAAAAGAGAGGATGAAGTGATATTGATTGCAGATTATTTGTTTCATCCACGAGTGAATGACAAGCTTTCCATTAAATAAAAATATCGATTGAAAACGGCGCGATGCCAATTAAAAATAGCAGAAAATTAAAATATTTTACACTTCAATCCTTCAATGAAGATTTTTGTAAAGTTTTATATTTTTAAAGCTTTAAAATATATTTCGAAATAAAATTTATAAAAAAATTTCAAACCGAAATGTAATTTCACTTGTTATGTCCATCAAGGTTCCAGACAAAGCCACAGCAGTTGAAACTTAAAAGTAGTAACATGGTGTGCGGGCTATGTTAGAAATAATGTGGCATAAAAACTAATTTGTTTCACTTGTCAATGTCAATTACCTTTTGGTTCACTTCTTTTGAAAGCTTTTTTACCAAAAACATTTTGGAAAATTAATGTTTAATTTATTTATTTCTTTCTTTTATGAATGAGATATAAAATCTGAGAATTCAAGTTCAATTTTAATAGAAATTTAGGTAAAATCAATTCCTTTTTCGTTGACATATTCAGAAATATTTTAAGATTTTAGTAAAACTTAAATTATATCATAAATAAGCTGATTAAGAAAGTTTTAATCATCATCCTTCAGTGAAGGATTCAAAATTAAATAAATTCAACATCAATAATGCCACGACGTGTAATGTTAATTAACATTCTCTGAATTTCGCATTTACCATCTCTAATATGTTATGTTATTGTTGCATTAAAATTTAATTATTTATGCAAACTCAAACTCTTGCTCTGCTGTTTCTGATAGTTGAAAAATTAATTTTATATAATTAAAATTTCAATTTTAAATGAAACTTCACAAATAAAAACCATACAAATCATTATCCTTAAAAAAAGCTCTTCAAGCACATTGTTGTTTTCCTAAGCGCATGCTTTCAACTTTTCTTTTTTCTTCAATTATTTTGTCGTCGTCCTCGGTTTCTGACATAAATCTGTTTTTAATAATTACGTAATACGATTAGAAAATAATTAAAGTCTCTTGCTCCGTAAACTTTTTCTCATCGTTCTCGCTGTTGCTGCCGCCCTCAACTCAAGTAATTAAATTTTCCGATGAATTTTTTTTTCGTATAATTTGTTGAGTGCGACGTTTAACAAAAGGGAATACTTTTGAGAGTTTAGAGTGTACAAATAAGATTTTCAGTCTCTAACTTAATAAATAAAATGTCGATGACACCGCTAGAGAAATAATGTTGAAATATAGTTCCATCGTTGGGATAATCTTCCCCACAAAGTCAACAAGGCTATCAATCTCGCAATCTGATTTTCTTCCCGAGAACTTCCCCTTCGAACTCTTCCGAGGAAGTCTAAGAAGCAAAATAGATAGTTTTATATCCCAAAATAGAAAAGTTGAAAATTTAATTTAATGGTTGAGTGTGCAAGCGAAAAAAATGTATTTATCTCAACTAAACGACAGCAAGGTAGGGACAGTGGATTGGATACAACAAAAAAAATATAGAACGAATTAAATACTCCAATGAACATGACAATTACAGATAACTTCTTACAGACAAATAAAAAACTATTTCGAAACTCTCGATTACTTTTTTTTTCTTACTTCTTTTTCTTTCAATGTCTGGTACAAATTTGTGTAAGTTTGACCAGATATCTTACCATTTTCGACTTTTTAAAAAGGCGTCAAGCACAAGTGGTGGATTTTGTTTCAGATAACCGAGCCAGAACCGAGACCAAAGTTTCTATTACTGATGTTGAAGTTTCAACTCTTATATTGTTAAAATAACTTTTAATGTGCAACAATAGTGTTTTTCTTTTTCTTTTTTTAAACTTTTTTTTCTTTCCCTCCCTCTCTCTCTCACATTTTCGTTGTCGTCGATGATGTAAAGATACGTGCCGGTCTAACAAAAATATTTTCGATTGATATAAATAGTTGGTGAAGTTGTAAGATATTGTCAGTAGATACAAGAAATTCAATCAAGAAAGAAGTTTCAATCAAACGAACTTCAATAATAGAATTTATCTTAAATCTTTTTTTATTTCTTCTGTATTTAGTTTGTGTGCTTGTTTCTTGAAGCACAGATATCGTTTTCTTAAGTCTTAACGACATAAAACAGACAAAGACAGAAACTGTAAAACATGCTGTCGAGAAAAGTGCTCTTATTTGGCTTCTTGTGCTGTGCAATCATTGCAATCAATGCTCGTTATGTGAGTGATGATATGGAGTATGCTGCATCAGGAAAAGATGAGAAATGGGAAAAAGGAGGTGGAGGTGATCATCACGAAAGCGAACATTCGTCACATGGCGACAAAGGTGAGAAACATTTCTTCTTAAACAACGTGACAGCATCTTCTATAACACTTCAAATGGACTCAAGAACATAATTGATTTTCTTTCTCTCTCTTAATATTTTTCTTCTTCTTCTTTTCCTCCTTGTCTTTTTTTTCTTTTCTATTTTCGGGGGAAAAAACATATACTAAAACAATACCTCAGGAGAGAAAGGCTACAAGGAAGGCCATGAGCATGATGAAGGCAAAAAAGGTCATCACGATAAGGAAGATCATAAAAAGTCGTATCACGAAGAAGATGGGCACAAGAAAAAGCACCACGATGAAGGTATTTTTGTTGATATGCAACTTTATATTTCACTGAGTTGAGAATCTCGAATCTTCGTTGTTACTATTAGGTGGCTATCATAGCGAAAAGAAGAAGGGAGAAAAGGGTGAGAAAGGAAGCAAATGGGAGGAACATGGATCTTTCAAGAAAGGTCATTCTACAAAGGGAAAACACGAAATTCATAAATTAGATGAATTTAAGAAGGAGAAGAAATTCTTCGATGAGGACGGTGATGAAGGGTAAAAATTGATTTTTTTAATGACTTATTTGAAAGAGAAACTCAAGCTTTACACTCCAATAGATTTGATGAGGGCGAGGGCTATTTCCATGAAGAGTCTGGACATAAGAAGGGTGGAAAGAAGAAGGAAGGTCACCACAAATCGGGCAAGCATAGCGACCACTTCAGCAAGAAAGGAAGCCATAAAAAGGGAAGCCACCACCATGACGACCATGGCCATAAGAAAGAAGATGGGCATGAGGAACATTATGGACATAAGGAAGAACATGGTAAAAAGGGCGGCTCAGACCATCATAAGAAATGGGGACACAAAAAAGGAAAAGGCCATTAAGTCAATGAAATTAAATCTTCTAATGTGATGTGCTAGCTTTTACACTGCAATAATAAAACATGACAGCTTTTAACTAAAACTCTTAAACAAAGTGATTTCTAATCAAAGCATTGAAGTGAATGGGAAAAATTAAAGCGTTAAGACAACTTTTAGTTACACTTGCGATTAGATAACAAGACTGAGTTAAATATCTTTTCAAAATTGGTTGTATTTCTATAACAATGGGGTAATGAAGCGTGAAGTGATTATGATTGTTCTGCATTATTGCACCCTCAATTATCAACTCTCTTGGAACCTTTTATTACATCAATCAACTTGTCACAACATAAGTTTTCACAATCAGTGGGAAGTTTCATGATTTTTCAATTTTTTCTCATCTCCGAAAGTGAATAAGGGAATGTTGAAACATAAGTGAGCTTCTACTTATTGTAAAGCTTGACAAGTTGTTCATCAAGTTATGGAAATCAGTTTTTTATACCTAATTCTTCTTTGTGTAATGAAACATATTTTTCAAAACGACTTGCATAATTCAAACATTAATATCCTGAAGCAGCTTGTTAATCAGATGCTAACATATTTTTGATTTTTGAGCAGGGTGGGTTGGTCGGAGGCGATGAAGAAACAGAACCCATGTTAATGAAAGTTCAGTGTATACCTTGAAACTTCTTTAGCATCATTATCAACGTTTTACTGTTTTCAACAACATTTCGAAAAAGAGAATTCATGTGTGTAAGTTATCTTAAATATGTTTCATCATGCACATGTTACTGGTAAAAATCTAACTCCGGGGTAGTTCAAAGATGTGCAAATTCTAACCATTTAAAGTTTCAGAGAAATTCGAGAAGCAAATAAGAAAAAGTTCATTTTTTGGTGAAACTTCATCTACATTCTATCATCTTCAAGGCAAAAGTCGAAATCTTTAGGGAGCAATTCTCATATTCCTCAGCTTTTAATTAGACGCTTCATCTAACGGAGTGATTTTAATATGCCCTGAGGGTAATTTTAATTATTTTAGTTAAATATGGAGAAAATCTTTAGTGTGAATAATAGTTGAAGTCACAACTAAGTTTTCTTTAAAGATTATTTGTCACGTGTATTGAAAGTTGAGCAACGTGAATTTTCCAACTGGAAGATATTTGAACAACTTTTTTCTGTATCTTGTTCCATTTAACAAACTTTGTTGTTTTATATCATCATAACAAACATCTTTGGATATTAAATGTGTTGAAAAATCCAAGGAAAGCATGGAAAAATCCATAATTTGCTTAAATGCTTATGTAAAAACATTTAACTTGAACGAATTTTCGTAAAAGTAATATCAGATTATTTTCAAAGAAAACTCTTATTCATGCTTAATGGTACTCGTACTACAAACAAGAAGATTCGTAAATATGTCGATTAAGACGATTTTAATCTCAACAATAAATACTTTTAAAGTTTAACAAGAGTTTTAGGATTGTTGCGCAACATTTTCGCTGATTAAAATAATGTAAAGATTTATATTTGTTGTAGGAAGCGCAAAAGGTTTATTCATAAATTCAAATTAATGAAAAGCTCGCTCATATACAGCAATGGAACTTACTCTTTTTATATTTTATTTTTTGGTTATTCTGATGCTATTGAAGATTTTTGGTAGAGTGTAGTCAGCAGGAGAAACATGGAAATTCAACCAAAAAGTTTCTCTCTTTATTTTTATTTAATGTGTATGTTGGGATAGGAAAATGCGCTAACATAAATATCCAAGTTTTGTTACTTTACAGTCGCTTATTTATGGGAGTTTTGTTTCCTTCTTCCTTTTCTATTTTCAAAACCAAGTCGGTTGGAAGAAACCTGTAAAGTTCATTACGAGTATTAATAACACCAAATGCCATTATCTTTTAATTTCTTGTGTCTCATTAAATCGTTGAAAGTATTTTTTCGTGCCTCTGACTATTTAATAACTGTTCACGAATGCTAGGTCGTGTGCGAAATGAAATGGAAAAGAAGAATAATCAGAAATTTTTTTTCCCACAAAGCAGATTTTTTTTGTGTATAATTTACCACGCTATGCTAGCCCAAAGCGTTAAAACAGCCTGAAAACTCTCGACCTGAGAGAACCGAGAAAATCAATATTAGTTCAGTTTAGGTTTTCTTCTCGCAAAATTATTTTAGCTATATGAATAATTGCTCTTTGAGAGTAAAAACCGTACGAAACCGGCTGCAAAGTATGATTCATGTTCATGACTGTTTGGGCACACAAAAAAAAATGAAACGAGGTTGGAAAACTTTTCATAAAGTTTCTTATTTTCAAATGCATGTTTGATGGCAGAAAACACCCGAGAAAAGTTTCTCGCTTTCTCGCTACTTCACCATTCCTCCCAAAAAAAAATCATGTAAAATGTAATCTTGATAATAGCTCTCCGAGTACATTTCAAAATAAAGCTTTCCTGTATGAAATGAAAGAATTGAGATTGAAGTTGAACGTGGAAAACTTTCTTTTTTCTTCTTTTTTTCGGCAATCAAAGAGCCCTTAGCTGCCTGCTAACTCTATTATTTTGTTCATTTTATTTAAGCTCCGTTGGTGAAGTTTCTGTACCACTGTCGTTGCTTTTTTAATGGGTCAGTTAAGTTTTACAATTGCTAGCAGTTTATTTTTCCCAAACCGAAACAGCACCATACTCAAGCGACAAAATCGATTGTGTGATAGTTGTTTAAAAGCCCTATTAATTATAGTCGTGAAACATGCCTTTGAATCTATTATTTATTCATTTGTGAGCATTGGAACACGACCGGCAAGGAGATTGATTTATTTTGTGCGTGGTGACTTTGACTTTTTTTCTTTCTTTTTTCTCTTCTCTTATTTACTTTTACCACCGCTGGTAAGGTGGAAATGTCAAAACGATTTACCACATCTGTAAGTTCTTTTGGTATGACTCGCGAAAGCTATCAAATACATTTAAACCTAATCCATGTTCTGAGAAGAAAAACAAATGTGAAGTTTCATTTAAAAAGATCGATAAGTCTTAAAGTTTTTTTTCCTTCTTTCGTATTTTTTCGACTCACTCATGAATGAGTGAACGCTCATGCTCAGATTGACCGATTTGAATAAAATAAATCAGGCTTTCCTTCTTTAAAAATTATGTCAAAAATAGATGCTGTCGATTCATCCACCTCCCTTCACTCACACTAGAGCTCATAAAAATCTTGTCAAGTTCGAGAAAAGCTTTTTTAATGCTATTTGATGAATTGAGTACGAGAAAAAAAAGCAATCTGTTCGCCAAGAGGAAAGTATCATGGAGAGAAGAACGAACTTTATTGAAAGGATTTGCCTTCGATGAAAAATCATAATTTTCTAACAATGTGATATTAATGAAAAGAAAATTCCAATATGACATCATTTGATTGATGATTTGTATGATTTATTCAGGGTTATTGGGGCGGTCGTGTGGATGTAGGAAAAAAATATTGATAAGGAAAACAATTTTCCGAGAAAAGAATGAAAGAGAAAAAAGGAAAAAGAAGTTCAGTATGCTTTTCTTTCATAAATTTTTTATTCATTTTTATTTTAGACTTTGATAATTCCCGACATTTATAAATATATCCATTTGTTGAAGATAAGAAAAACAGTAAATTAAGAGTTCTTGTTGCTTCAAACTTGTATCTTTTTTTAGCTGCTATGCAGAGATTGATATGATTTTTAGTTGAGTCTCAATTTCATTAAATATATTTATGCTTTCAAGACATTGCCACTACGATTGCCGATTGGTTGAATAAATATATTAAACAAACATTTAATTTCTTTTGAGTTACATAACACAATAAAATAAGAACGGATTTTTTTTCAGTTTTAGAATTTAACAATCGACATCTGAGTTTCATACAAATAGATTAATGAATTTCTTCCAACTATAACAGAATGAAAGACTCACAATGAAATACATATTATGATTTTTATTTAAGATTTTAATAACATGACATTTGTTTTTATCTTAACTTTATTCATTTTTCTGACATTCGTTGAATGCACATGGCATAAACAAGATAAATCTTTTCCTGAACATGATGTGGAAAGATTTAATTCGTTTTCCTTTTTTTTTTTACTATATTTACCCACCGAGATGAAGCTTAACAAACGTACATTTATCATTAACTTAATGATAATGTTGGATGTGAGCTGATAAAAACTGCATAGATCTCATTAGTCTTCGAAGCGTAACTGTAAGATGATAAGAATGTTTTCGCAACGAAATGAATTATTTAGCAGTGAAAATAAATTTTCATTTCATTCTACGCGAGAGCTCAAAAGAAGACAGAGGGAGAGAGGAATAAAAAATGAAATGAAAAAAGGCAAGGAAACTCTATGGAAAAGGGAAAAAAGTTTCCTTTTTGTGTTGTTAGGGAGAAGTGGAAAAAAAATTGAATGATTGATGTACCAACAATGATTTCACACAATCTCTTTCGTTATACACAATGTTTATTCGCTTCTCTCCCCAAGAAGTTTATTTTTACTATGAATCTATCAATTCCACTTTAGTCCTTTTTCATGTCCCCTTCTCCTTTAAACCCGCCAACGCAATCTCAAATATGTCTCAATAGAATGATAAATTCAAACACGTTTTCGATTTCACCATTTTCGATGGGAGGCGAAAAGAGCGCAATGAAATAGTTGAATGAATTGTTATTAGCGACAGTTTTATTTTCATCGCGATGATTTATTCGACGATCTAGAGTAAAGCTTGATAAGATTAATATCGTTTTTTCTTTCTTTATTTGTTCACGATGCTGGCAGTGGCTCTGCTTAAGGGTATTGCCACCAGTGAGAAATTCAAATAAAAATAACGAAACAAAATTCTTGCCTGCTGAATGAAACTTAATGGAAGCGGAAAGTAATCTAAAGAATTATTTCCGTGCATTTAGAGATAAATTATTTCCACTGCACGTGCTCCAAATGAATAAAGTACGATATATTAAATCGCATGATATCTTGAAAAGCATGAAATGTGAATGGATTTTCTTTGTTGCTAATCAATACAATGAATATTTTTCCATTACCAAAGTGTTTGGTTTGGTGGTGAGTTTTATTCGTGATATAACGAATAACAAAAATAAAGGAGCTTGATGATAGAAAATTATGAAGACATTTCAAGTCTTGAGTCAAAACCTAAACACGAACCTAAATAACAAATGAAAATAATATCGTACAATGGATAAACATTCCTTCATGCGATTTGAGAAGAAGGAAAATAACTTCAACTTCTCTCTAATTACTTTTCAATGGCTTGCGGGTTTTGTGGAGGGATAAATAAATAAACTGAAAACAATCACGCAAGAATAAAGTGCAGTCTCAGTGACTCGCAAGTTGCGAGCTTTCTCTTGTTCTATTTCGAACTGTTGAAGTCATTAATGTTATATTATCTTTCAGTGAACGTTTACTATTTAGAAACTACACTGTAATCTTCTAATTTCCCTTTTTACTTTCTTGAATAAGTAAATATATATGTAAGGTAGAAAATACTTAATTCATGGTAAAAATCGATAAGAAACAAAGTTGAATGTTTTCATCAAAAATATTTTACGCTTTGTTCGTATTTTTTTCTTTCTTTTTCCTGGAAATGAGTTTGAGTAACATAAATAAATACTTTTTTTTCACTATCAGTTCAGGAAAACGTGTGAAAATCAATGTGAAATAATATTTCACTTCCATGAATTGGAGATTTGTCAATTCAAGTAAGTTATGCATTACAGATTGTAACTTAATCATTCGAATAAAGTTAAAATTGGACAAGAATTCATTGAACGGCTGTTGGTATTTAAAATAAAAAACGAGAAGAATTTCTTTCCCTTCCATTTTCTTTCTTCGATTTTATTTTAATTTTTCAAGCCCTTTTGCAAATTATTTCGCCTTAATTAAATCATTGAACTTAGAAACAATTAAGACTGAGATCTGTAATTTAAAAAAAATGTTGTAAATATTTATGAGACGGCCTTTTTTTCTCTCACTCTTCTTACATCTTTTGAAAGATTCCACTGAAAAGTCGACCCTTGCAATGTAAATTAAAATCACGGTTAGCGTTGTTTCGCTCCCTTCTTACATATAATCGCAATCCTTTAATATAACCCTGGGCGAATGTTCAATCTATCGAAAAATTAAAGTCAGAAAATTTGTACATTTTCCAAGAATTTTCATATTTTTTTCGCATATTTTTGCGTTACTTCAACTAAGGTCTCCGTCTGCCATTCATTTCCATTACTTTTCTCCATCAACGTAGTAATTTTTATTCCGTTTCTCTCTCCTTGATTACCATGTCTGCCATGGATTAAAGCACAACGCACAAGCGAAAAATGTCAAACATCTGTGTATCTAACACGAAACTTTTGCCTTTGAATTTTGTTTACAAAATAAGAAAAAGAAGGAGTATGAAAAAATATTTGAATTTCAAACCAAATCATCAAATTGTTGTAACAAGATCATATCCATCCCTCCAGGTGTTATTTTATTGATGAAAAGTGGAAAAGTGTTGCTTAATTCCTCCCTCATATAGATATTTTTTTATATTTTATATATCATATCTCATATGAAACACATTAAAGCGTAAATATTATCATTAGCGTGTTTTATAATAATAAAAGAAGGAGAAGAGTGAGGGAAGAAAGAATAAAATGAATGAACCCGAAGGTTCCACAAACAACAACAAACATCCCTTCAACACTCTGATTTCCCTTTCTGCAAATCAGCGAAGTAATCTCAACGAGGGGTGCTAGCTGTTACTTCTGTTTACCCAAATACATTATATTCACTGTCACATCTTGTTTTTAAGTGAATGATGAATTATTAAATGGAAAGTACGTTGAAGGATAAATACGATGTTCGCAGGAAAAGCAAGCGCACTTTACAAGTGTTGAGAGGGGATTTTCTAAAAGAATATGCTTTTAGTGAACGAATAACAGAAACTTCTATTCTGTAATTCTGACACTCATCTCTGTCTTTGCAAACCTTCTCATTCGTAGTCAATGCTTGATGATGATGGAATAGAAAGCAGAATAAGCTTTTCTAATATTGATAGCCATTCACGATGGTTTAGAATAAAACATGACGCGATGTTTGTAAATATTATTCACCCTTAACATATTTTCTAACTACATTACATCTGGTTGCTAGGTGTAGGGAGAAAACTCTTTTCAATCTTCTTTAAATGCTATTTATTTCGAAAAGTAATGAGCTAATGTAGCTTTGATTTATTTGCAATTCAATTTTATTTTTCTTGACACATGTTTCAATAGATAAATAACAAAAAATAAAATCGATAACGCTTTAATTTAATGATTCGTTTAGCATAAGCCGATGTTTGACATTCAAAAAATTCAACAACTGGTGTTGATAAAAGGGAGGAAAAGTTAAATTAAGAGCATGTAAATTATCAAATGAATAAACTGGAATAAAATTTAAGCTTCTTAATTTTGTAAGCTTTTCGAAATCATTAACTTCAGATGAATACATTAAAGTTTTAAATTCTTTTAAATCTTAAACTATCAATTAGATATTTATTTAAGTTGATTGATTTTCTTCTACAGTTCGAATAAGCTCCTTAGAAATAAATTGAGAAGAAAATCATGCACATAGAGTTTAATTTAAAGACGAAATTAATTTCATCATTATGGATGTTCAATTTGATAACACACTTCGAAAAGGATTAGATAACTTTGTTTCTTATTGACATTTGAATTATGTCTGAAAATATTTTTGCATTTTAATTGAGTATGAAAAGCATTCCATAACTATTGATAGTCACCAAGAATTAATTAGGTACATGGTTAGTCAGCTGAAATTTGTAAAGTTAGTTCTAATGCTTTTTTAGGTTCGAGAAATATATAAATTATTTGGAAAATGTTCAGAGTCAGAAATAATTGTAATGAATTTTCCAACAAATATCTGAAAAATTTTCGAAAGAAAAATTTTCTTTTCAATCTCGAAATCATATCTATCAAAATATCTACGAGCTCATTCTAATTATGAATAGTTTTGACCTTGTTCTTTTCAACATGTTAACAATATTTTCATAATGAAGGAAATCAACAATTATCTTTGGATACAATTAAGTGATTTGCTTCGCTATGAATTTTTTATATCATCGAGGAGAAAGAAAAGTCCATTCACAAACAAGTAGAATGGAAAAAAAGTAGAAAGATATTCAAAGTTCCTGTCATGCAAGAATTTTCAGCAAACATTTATCGAGGAAAAGGTGGAGGAGAAAGAAAATATAAGAAATATTTACATAACTATAAAAAAAAATATTTTCTCTCATTTCTTCTTTCTTTTCATTAAATACATTAAATATTAGAAGTTTTTCTCGCACGAATCACAAAAGGGAAATCACCACACACATCATACGTTGCCGTTACGAATATTGGATTCATGTTTATTTTATTTATTAGTATTTCATTTGTTATGTTTACTGCTTTCTTCTTTCTCTCGCCGGCTATTCATTCTTTTTTCTTCATATGTGTTCAATTTCAGCATTTGTGAAATAAAGGGGAGAGAGAAATATGATTTCTACATGCAATCAATTTTCCGAAATATGTATTGGTTTTGAATTCAATAAATATATTAATTTTGCTTCTATCGTAAGGTTTAGTAAGGCGCCCTCCCACATGTTAGTTCGGTAGATGAATAGCCTCAGGTTTCAATTAAACTTTATTTGGTTTGGTGCTTTCTAACATGCTTTTTTTCTCTCGTCGTATTCGATGATTTTGTTTTCCAGCTGGGACCTTTACTCAATTTGTCTTCTTGTTTATGATTCAGCTTTCTTATTTCAGCAGTCTCATGGCACTTTTCACAATAATTTGTTGATATTTAGCTTCGAATAGTTTTTAACGATATTGCTGTTGACTCGTACATATAAACGCTACTAACAACACTCAAAACTTGTCCTACTTAACCATCGTGTTGATGTTCATCGTGAAATATTTAATAAAGAGAAGTAAAACATAATAAAAGCAAATTCAACAAGAAAGCGTTCGTTTTATGACAGTGAATCACATCAGATATGATTTAAATATTGATTTTTTTGCTTTAAATCGCTTTGAGTTGCAAAAAATTTATTCTACTCAATAATATTAAAGGGAAAGAAGAAAAAGGAAGCAAAAATACCATAAGAGCTGACGAAAAACGCCTCGAACTCGTGTGTGGAAGCATGCAAACTTGAAATTACTAATACATGGTTGCAAAAATTTTAGCATGGCTTTTATGATAAGGAAATATTGATTTTACAGCACCAAGTCTAAAGAACGAACGTAAACTCACACGATCAAGGAATGAAAAAGCATGAAAGAAAGTTCTTTGTTGGCTTCGCTGATGGAATCAAGTAAAATTAACCAACTTTATTCAAAACTTACTTTTTTTGCTTTTAAGTGATTCGTTTAAAAGTCTGATTTAAACATTTTCACATAAATTTTCCACTTCAACATTTTTCTCCGAAAACATTTCCATAAAAGCTAACAATCGTTGGTTGAATTTGACTTACTTGCTCACATGAATACGTAGTGAACGATAAAATCATCAAAAAACTTTTCAAACAAGCTAGAAAATCTGAAAATTTAAAGTTTATAGAATGAAAAATGCAACTCAGAAAATATTTTTTGTCATCAAATTTTTCGTTAAATGTTTATTTCATACAAACATGTAAGATTTTCTTGTTTTTATCATTTTCATAAACTCGACTCTTACTTAACAAACATAAGGAATTTATATATATTTTCCAAGATTTTTCTTTTTCTTTTTTTTCTTTCTTCATCAACAATTTTCATCTTAGGTTTTGAATTTGATTATTTTACAAAAAAAAATTGTTTTAGGCTACGTTTTCTTAAACTAGGAAAAGGGTTTTAAGATATGGTTTTCTTTGATTCAAAACATTCACAGTAAACTTCTTCATTTAATTTTTTCCTTTTCTTTTAATTTTACAAGAGATTGATAATGACTTTTGGTATAATTCTTCTTTAAATTTTCATTGGACTATTCTATTGGTAGAAAACAGACATGCAATTAGTCTAGTTAAGGTAAGATTATCCTTTTCTCTTTTTTTATTCTTTTTCAAATATTTTTCAATTTGAAATCATTAAGTAATTTGTCTGTTTGTCTGATATTTTCACGGCTTCAATTTGCTTTCGAATTATTTTGTGAAGTCGTCAAAAAGAATTCATTCACTTAAACTTAAATCCCGAGCTAGTAATTCCTTTTTAAATAATCTGTTGAACATGAATTAGACTATGAAAACCTTTGATTTTATTTCTTAACTACAGTTTAGCATGTGATCTTTCTTTCTTTATGAATAGCGATATGTATCGCATACCTTTTCGATTATGTTCTATGTTACAGGGAAGTCTTCATTTTTTTCTTATTTTACATTCTACAAGTTTCCAATCCTTTTCAACGAAGAAAAATACCTCGTGTCGTATCGTCTAGACTTTAATTATAGTAATCAAAAGAAAACGCTGATAAGTTTCTTTTTCTTTTTTTATGCAATGTTAAGTTTTTCAGTCTCTTATTTCATTTTACTTTTTTTACCATTGAATGAAATTAACATGTCACAACAGGACTTTCTTTAGTTTACTTTTACCATATCATTTTAATATCATTTTGCCACGAAATCTGAATTAAAATAAGTACTTTAGTATTAGAAGGATATTCAACATAATATTAAAAGATTTTTATTTGTGAAACATTTCCAACTAGATATTTAGGTATTCATGAAATTTCATATATAATCTCTTCCGATTTAAGTGCATAATCGAAAGTAAATCAAATATTGCTGTATGGATGTATGAATAAATATAACAAATAAATTTCCTGTTCACTTTATGTATATAATTTATTAAGCAGTACTTTGATAGTCACGTTTATCCAACCATGAGAAGTGTTGCGATTTTTTTTCGGCTTCTTCCATATTCCACGTAAATATTCAATGAAAAAAGTTTGAATAAATAATTGAAATGTAAGCTTTAACTAAAGTGATTAATAATGTCATTGAAATTTCCATCTTTGAGCAATTTACTTTTTGAGAGTTTGTATCACTCGGAGCGATGCTGTTTGTATTAAAAAAAAAAGTTTTCCTACTAAAAATGCGTACGTCATGTTCTTCTTAGATACTTTCTAAATAACAAACTTCAAGTTCTCAAAAATCGTTTAACATATCTGACCCAAAAAAAACTTTTGAAGGATGGGCAACATGAAGCTAAAGAAAACTTCAATATAAAAGGAAGAATTCGAATTTTTATTGATCTCAACACACACTGTACGTTCCCCTTTAATACTACAAGATGAAAATTCTTTTTTGCAGCTGATGTTTATTCATTTCTAAAAAATGTTTTCTTTCAATGAAACATCCAAATGAAGTAAAGAGAAAAGAAGGAAGACAGTTACGCCAATAGATACTAAAAAATGCTTCATTTCATTCCTTGAACATATTTTATTCTTGAAAAAAAAATCGATAAGTTTTCTTCTAACCTGAATTCTAAATGAAATGTCAACCTTATCGATTATTTACGATAACAATAATATTTCATTTCACGGGAGCATAAACTGAACAGAGAATCCTCTTTCTTCCTTCGCTTTTATTCCACTAAATTCATAAATCTTTGTGATGACTTGAAAAAAAACGTAAAAAGGTCCTAGTGTAGCATCAAATCGTTGATGGTTCATGGTGAGAATGTCTAACAACGACAACAGAATGCGCAGTTTTTCCTTTTTCCTTCTTTTTATTTCTATATGTTATTTAACCTCGAAAGGAATTTTACTTCGCCGAAATCGATCGGAAAACGATTTGAAATTTTATTTGTTTCCTCTTCTATATTGATGAATGAGTAAATACATAAAGTTGTCGGTTGATAAATTTTTCATGTCACTTTGTTTTCGAATTTCAAATGAAAGTAAGTCTTTCTTTAAGTCTCAAAGGACTACAAGCTATAATCTTACGGAGAAAGTATCGAAAATATTCAGAGATGTTAAATTAAATTGACAATTTTCTGTCATAAAAGAGACAATGAAAATTTTTCTTCTGAGTTTTTGAAAGAAAATGTCTTTTAAGAACGATGACGATGCCACTCAAACTTGTCATATGACATTTTTCTTAATTTAACATCTCTGGAGATTCAAGGAAGGAAAAGTATAAAAAAGAGAAGCTTTTTACACAATCAGAAAATACCTTCCCCAAGAAAGTTTTTCCACCCAACAAACATAATGACAGAGAATACGAATCAGCGGATAGAATCTTGGATTAAATATTTAAAAGTTCCGCTTTCTTCGTTGTCTTTCGTTCGACGGCTTTCTAGGAAATGTTTCGTCTGAAAAGCTTCGAGTTTTATAATGATAATGTCATTCACTGTTTTCTTCGTCTCACCACCTTCCTTGATTATAAATTCATTTGTTAGCTCAAAAAATTAATGTCAGCCATCATCCTACATAAAGTTTCAACGATGTCTCTTTTTTGTTTATCGATTGCTTTTAAATGAGTCACGCAATCAACTTTTACAGAAGAAGATTTTTCTTTATAACAACTGCATTAAAACTTCTAAGATGTTTCAAGATTTCCAATGTATAGAAGAGTATTTTAAAGAGGCCTTCAAATAAAGTTTATTTCATTATTTAGGGGAGAAAAACTTCATCGAAAGTTATTGCGTGAAAATTACCGACATTCCAATTCATTTAATTAACCGAATAAAAGATCAGAGTGAATACTGTTGCTGAACGATGGAGAAGAAGATGCGAATGGAATTTCTTTTCCTCTTATCTTTTTCACATTAAGAAGGATTATGTACCGAGAAAATTACAGATGAAATTAATGAATTTTTTTTGTATGCCCAACACCATCAACAGTTCAAAAATAAAATAAAAATAAAATGGAAAGAAGAAAAAACATTTTCACAAAACGAGATTATTTAAAGTCTGTGAGAATTTTTTTTCTTTTCCCTACTTTCTTCTTTTTAACGCATTAAAGGAAGGAAGGAAAGGAATATTTTGAGATGAAAGAATGGTAACATCCACCCCCACTAAACAGCTTCAGCATTTCATCTTGAATACAACTAATAAAGATTTACTTAACTTTTCCTTTGAAATTTTCGTTTTCCTATCTCCTAGCTTTCTTAGGGGTTTTGCTTTGCTGACTTCTGCTATATTGACGGTAAAAAAAGAACCAAAAGATTCTTACACACAATAGCAAATCTTTCATGTATAAAAACGAAGACTCCCCTCTCATGTCTAACCTGACAATGAGATGGATTTATTTCGCTGTAAGCTGGTGCATTTTACTTTAAAGGAAAATAAAAGCACTTAAGAACATATCAATTTTTCCTTCTTTTGCTATCTTTTAAAGCTTTCATGTTATTAAAAAGTGATTACGAGGAAAAGGAGAACATACCTACATTAAATTTAATGAGAACAGTCAATTTCCTATTAAATATTATTCATTATCATAACAATATAACGTATAAGATAAATGTTGCGTATGTTAGAAACACTTTTATGTACCTTCGTCACATTCTTCAGTATGAATTTCATGAAAATTTAAATCGGATATGAAGGAAAAATAAAATGAAATTGGATAAGACTTCCTAAAAATTCTTTCTGAAAAGAGTTCTGAAGTACTTTTTCGAATGGTTTTCATATATTATTTTGTAAATTCCTCATGATTGAGTCGTGTCAACAGCGAGTGTTGTTCAGTTCAGCAAACAAAATAATGAAACACGACAACATTGGTTTAAATTTTCTCTTCCTCTGTAAATAAAACAGCTTTACTCCAGGTAAATGACTTCGTTTCCAAGACTTCCACAACCTTTTTCAGCTTGTCATTAAAAACTCCCACGAACACCTTAACCAAGAACTTCATTTTCCGCACGAAAATGGTTTTTGTATTCAAAATTATATATAAAGCAAACGAAAAAAGAAAATTATATCTTATAAATATTATTATCTCATTTTCTCAGATTTAAACGTTGCTAGATTACTAGAAAAGGGTTTAGCTGAGGGGTTGTGTGGCGTGGAAACAGTCTTCAATGGTTTGAGATGAAATTTTAAATAGCCAAACTTTACGGCTTTCAAATACGAGTATCTAATAGAAATGTACATTTCGTGTTTCGCAATCTGACAAAGATTTTTCTTCAAAAAAGAAAAAAAACGAAAAAAACCAACGAAAGAGAAAAAGAAAATTCTTTCCCTCATTTCAGTAATTTCTTTTTCCTTTCTTCTCTTTTTCTCTACTTTTAATTTTCTCTTCTTCGCCTATTATTCGAAATATCTCGCAATTAGAAGCAGAAAAGCGCTTTACTTTAGTTCGCCATTGGAAAAATTTTCGCTACGATTCGCCTCATTAATTTGATTTAAAGAAATTTTCTTGGAGAAGAAAACAATTAATTGATAATGACTGACACAATTACAAGCTTTCTCTTTTTTTTCTTCGCTTGCTATGAAAATAACAGAGGGCGAGATTTGGTTTGTTTGAAATGAAGAAAGAAAAGTGGAGAATGATTCTTCTTAAAGTTTATTTCCACTTGAAGTCATCGAGTACTCGACAATTCAACATGCTCGTGCCACTTATTTAAAGCAATACAGGGGAATGAGGTGTGGGTGGAGTTGTTTTAGGGTGGTCTTTGAATTCAGTTACTTAAAGCCATGTCGTGTACGAGATGAAATGTAAATATTGCTCACTGGTAATTATCCAAAGTAGCAAGGCAAACATACTTTCATTTCTTTTCGTCTTTGAAAGTTTTGCTTCCTTCGACTCTCACTCGTACGGTTTATGTTCCAAAGTGTGCACACTCTTCGGTACACAAAAGACATCTAACGTCAAACTGTTTTCTTATTGTCTTTTTTATTCATGAAATTGAAATATACGAGGGGTTTTCAGACAAAAATTTTTTCATTCTTCTTCTGCTCGTTTTACTTTTTTTGCTTTTGAATGTACGAGAAGCGAAACGAGGAAAAGCAAATTGTTGAAAACATAAAATTTTTCTTCTCTCTGACTTCAACATATTTGCATAAGAAATGATAAGAAGTAAAGATTTTGAAAAGCTGTGTCATTGTAAGCGAGGTTCTGCCGACAGAAAATATTTATCGCAGAAGGTGGAAAAGGAGACAGAAAAGCGTATGAATCAGTACAATTAAAGTCGGAGAAAAAGAGTTCGTCGACTTGAGTAAATTTTAAGCAAACAGAAGAAAATAAGAAATTTGAATTTTTCTTACAATCTCATAGCAAATTTCACTCGACATTAGGTTGTCGAGAAGACTCGGAATGTTGTCGGTTTTTGGATAGAAAATCCCTTAGATTACCCACTTTGATTTACGGTTTGTCGTGTTAGGCAGTCGACCTTTCGAATGCAAATAATAATTTTCCTTTCCTCGCTAAGAAAATCTCTCGAGCGAACTTCCACTTCTTTCGCCTTTTTTTCGTTTTGTTTCTGAATGAAAGCATTTCTCACTGAATTATGAGCCTTTGGCAGTCGTCGCAACAAAAGGCTTTTCGTTTTCCTTCCTTCTCATTTCAAATTGCGTTATTTCTCCAATTTTAATTTCAACTCTCAAGAAGGAAAACATCGCTTTTAATAATAATCTTCTTTTTGATTCTTGTTTCGTTTTCGAATAAGCTTTTTCAAAGATTGCAAATGTATTCTTTTTTTTGCCGTTTCTTAAAGAAGACTTACGAGATGAAGTTTTTTTTTCATTTCAGAAAATTTAATAAATTTAAGACGTGTTTAAAGAAAGTCAAGATTTTTTATAAGCAAATATTTGCTGGAATATTTACTTCATTATCTATAATTCTTTGTTTATTAATTCACAACTGTCTTTTATGCTCGTTTTATTCATTTACCTTCATTCGCTATAATCGTTCAATTTACCAACAACTCCCCTTTTAAATAAACAACAAGACATTCTCCTCTATAGCGGAAAAGCAACAAGAAAGACGTCATACCAGCTATCATAAACAAAGTAGGGACGAAAGGTAAAGTTCTTTGAAAAATTACGACGATTACTCAAAGCAAACAATTTGCGTGCAAACAATGCAGTTCTGTTGTTCTTTCTTCAGTTGAATTTATTATCATTTACATTCTGTCACATTGTTTATGGTGTGTTTGATTTAAATTTATTCAAACACAAATAGGAAAAATTTAGATGATGCTTACTTAACTTTTTAGAGAACTTTTTTGTTATTGACCTTTCAATCCTATTTCGTTTCATCACGTGCTTTTAGGAATGAACGGAATTGAAGTTGCTATCCAGCTACGCTCATTCACATTCCTCTCTTTTATTTGTGGCTTCGTTCAACCATTGGATCATAGTGCTTGTTGTTTCATAAAGAGGTCACATTACGTTGACCATTGTTGAAATGAAATGAATGGGAGGAAAACAATGTTTTAATTTAATTCTTCTCGGATGGCATTTCGCATTCCATGGCAAAATAATTCCGTCAATTTTTTTTATTCCACCAAAAACGTGCTGAAAACAATATTTCAATGTTGACGCTGAAAAAAGAGCTTCAGTGATGAAAATTGAAGTTGAAGCTTTTTTTATGTAGATACATTCGCCTTCGTTTGTCAACATGAAGCGTTAATTTATATTTTAATTCCCAAAAGGAAATCAACAATAGAGAAGTGTGAAATTAAATTTGATCATTGGACCTTGCATTTTATTCGAAATTAATTAATGTTGACATGGAAAAGCCTTTTCAAAATAATTTTTCATGATTGACATGAAATGTATGCTTCTCGTAATTTGAAATTCAATTATAAATTGAAACCAAAACTAAATTTTCTCTTAGATTTTTCATTCATTTTTCTTTATCATTTAATTGTTATGCGTTTGTGATGTTACGTTGATTGATTATTAAAGTTCTAGATACGACACGACATTTCTCGTCACATATGTAAATATGATATTTGAACAGTTGATTTAATTATCGGAATGTCAGAGATATTCATCGGGATTCGGAATTGATCAATTTATTTATTTTTTTAAGTAGATGAAGTCTGTGTGTTTACATTTGACATGAATGGTGCTGTTGATGATATCTAAAAATCTGATAGTGGATCTTGACATCAAATTGAAACATTCTTAAGTCAACAATGTGACTTTGATATGTTTTCGCAATTATATAAACAAGTCAAGTTGATGACTGTCAAGTTAAAAAAAGTGTCGAAATTCCTTCGAAAGTCTTTAAAGAAAATATTTTATTTTCTCTTCAAAACTTCCGACACTTGATATCACCACTTGTATTCATCATCATGTTTAGAAACGCCCCTTCATATCAAAGCAACTCACTTTCTTATCTCGGAAAAATTTACTTAATTATGTACATTTATCTTTCTTACTGGCTAACTATTCAGAATTAATAGTAAGTTTTCGTGTAGAAAATGTAACTTAAAAGATTGAAATGAAGGGAAGAGAACATTGTCATTCACTGCCTTAATTATACATGTTTACCTGTACAAACTAATTATCGTGTTATGGGGAAGGGGGAGGTGGTAGACCGATAGCTCAATGGACACTGTCAGTGAAATGTGACAAATTAAGATTTCCCTCGACGATGTACATACAAAAATAGATTTTTTTTTCATTTACTTTATAAACTCAAAGCAGCGCGATTATTTTTTATACTACACATCAGTCCCGCATCCTTCTTGATAACCCTCGTCAGGTGAGTTTCTACTGTTGGTTAATGCACGTTTTAAGGCTGTCACTGGGGGTAGAACCGGTACACCGCCCTTTTGCCAAACTCTCAATGTTTTCGCATTCATTGGAATTCCACCATTAGCAATCGTTGATGGATTATTCGACGACCCAATTGCATTGAATTTACTATAATGATGTTGCTGCTGTTCTGCACCGGGAACAATTGGCAATCCATAGTCCGATGGATAGCCTGAAGCCATCGAATTATTCAGGTCGTTTTCAATATTTTGAACATTGTTGTTGATGTTATGTTGAGCGTTGATTGTGGCTCTTGAAAATGTTCGATTCATAAAGTCAGACGATGACGTTTCATCATCCAAATTTATTTTCGTATTCGATGGTTTGCCACTTTCAATAATTGGCATTTTATCGGAATAATTATTGAAATTGTTGACCGTCGATCCCGTAGAGCTTGTCGATCTATTCATATACAATTCATTTGCTTGTTCGAGTAAAAGATTTGTATTTAAATTTGTTGTCTCCCACAACCCCGATGGATATAATGAATCGCAACCGGCTCGACTATATTCACCGCTTCCAGGACGATCAATACCATCAACCCCGCTAAGTGACGCAAGTAAATTATTAGTTGCACAGCTTAAATTGCCTGACGTTGCTAATGGCAATACCGCACTACCGTCAATACCAATTGTCGACATATCGGGACCGCTCTCTTGTCGTTTCGTATCGTTAATCAAATCGGGATTATTGCCAGCGGTCGGTGAACCAAAGCCTTGAGCAACATTTACAACGCTTCCATTACCATCATAGTGACTCGTTGAATATGTGATGTCAGTTAAACGTGGTGGTTTTTGCACCGGATTGGTTTGCTTCATATCACCGGTGTCTTTTCGATCTACAGAATTAACAGCATTAGTTGGTGATGAACATACCTTTCCATTGTGGTTATTTGATGGACTTACAGATGTTATCACTTCTACTTGATTTGGTGTTTTCGTTTCAACCTGCGGCAATCTTCGTAACCGAACAAGCAGGAAGAATATGATGAGAAGAATAAAAACGATGAGGATGATAAGGGCGGCACTAAGTCCAGCAATTTGTCCATTGCCAAAAGCAATTGCAACAGATCTCATTGAAACATGTAAAGTGAAATTTGCTTCAGCATTTCCAGCCTTATTTTCGGCAACACAATAAAACTCACTTGAGTCTGTCTCTTGAGCATTTGTTAGCACCAAACGACTACGCTTTTCAAAGCTACCATCTTCATAGATGTGAACTTTCTGATAAGAACTAAACGCAGTGTTGTTGATAAGCAGTCTTCCATTCCAATACCATGTTATTGTCGCTGATGGAATTGCCCCGGTTCGACAAATAATCGTCGCATTATCGCCGCTAACAGCTTCAACATGCCGACGTGCTGGCAACATTTCTGGCTTGCATGCAAAATCATCGACATGAAGCTCAGAAAATGCTTTGTCGATGACACGCTCGGGCCCACCTGAACATATCGGAGCAACCGGGTAAGGAATATTATTTTCAGTCAGCCAAAGCTTTGTCGCTCTCATACGACAGTCACATAACCAGGGATTATCGTGAAGTTCAACCCAATGAAGTTTACTTAACGTTTCCACTGTTCGTCCTCGCAACTCCGACAATTTATTTCCATTGAGCTTAAGCGAGTGAAGCGAATCAAGATTTTCGAATGCCGATGCTGAAATGCTTTGCAAATCACAATGCGACACATCCAATTTCGTCAGACTTAATATGTTGCTAAACGCATGACTTTCAATTTTCTGTATCGGATTACTAGCTAGCGTGAGATCGCGAAGCGATGTAATGTATTGGAATGTTGCCGCCGGCACTGACGTCAATAAATTGTGCGATAAATCCAATTCGATTAGCCCTCAAAAGCTTTGTCATCGATTTGACCAAGTCGGCAGTTTCTTAAATAAAGTTTTTGTAGATTCAACAGTTCGGCACGTCGGAATGTCTCTCCGGGTAAGATCTGCAAGTTAGATCCCGACATATCAAGTACTTGTGTCGATGAATCTATGCCTTTAGGAATATTGATGAGTTGACGATCTAAACATTCGACAGTTTGTTTGCCGCCCTTCCATTTACATGTACAAACTTGAGGACATGAACCTTCGACGCTGTGGCACTCCACACCGTTGCGCTTCGTAAAAACATTGAACAATGAAATTATCGTCAAATACACAACAACATAATAACTTAGGGAATAATGATGCAGTCGAATTCGTCGTTTAAACTTGTTTGATGGTAAATCTATTATAGTTGGAATGGCTGCATTTGAAGTATGTTTAAATGATTGTAATGATGATAATAGGTTTGATGTTATCGTTGCCATCATTTCTTTTTTTACTTTTATTATGTTTTGATTCTGTCACACTATTTTCACCTGTAATTTATTTATGATACTCTCTATTTCTTTTTATTACGTAATTTAAGATTATTATATCTATTCAACTTCTATAACGATAAAATTAATCGAAGCTTTCATTATTTGTTTGTGTGCTTTCTTTTTTCTTTATTTTTGGGTTTCTTTTTTCTTCTTTTTCTCACAACAACAACTTTAATTCAGAACATTGATTGTGTAATCCTTTTTCACAAAAGTTTCCGGAACGAATCTTGAAATCTCTGCTATTTCAACAACACACATTGTCTTTCTTTTTTTTTGTTACAGTTCGTGCAATAATCCACGTACGCACGTAGGTAATAAATTAATTACGAAATCTAATTTCAACAAAGAAGTTCCATTAATTTTCCACATTTATGGGTTCTTTAATCCTTTTTCCGTTTTCGGCACATTTCTTCATTGTTTTTTCTTTTTATTTGACTTCGCTTTCTTTTCTTTTCGTTTCTTCTAACAATGTTTTTATCACATTCTCATTTATTTATTCATTGATTTTAATTAAATATTTATTAAGTGGATTTCAAAACTAAACGAACCGAAAGAGGACAAAATATAAATGAGAAATAATAATAAAGTAATTATGTTCACTTGATCGCTCTTCGGTGTCTACACATTCTTGTGATAATTTTTTATTTGTGATTGTGTTTTTCTGATGTTAAGGTAGACATTTTCTGCACGATTTTCTCTATTTATAATTCTTATTATTATTATTTTTTTTTGGGGAACTATTTGTAAGCTTTTGATGGTTAAACTGCGGAATGATTAATTGCGTCGATAGCACTTTTTCCCATGCAATTATAATTCATTATTTTCTTTCTTTTTGCCTTTTCTTTCACATCGATATACTTTTTTTAATGCTCCTCAAACGAGGTAGTATAATAATAATAAATCACTATATGTTTTTATTTATTAGATCCAATATAGCAGCATGTATATAATTATATCTCTTTTTTCTCTCTTTTTCTTTTCGTTGCTATTGCCCTACGAACAACCTTTCACATAAAAAAAAGCGTGTATTCACGGTATGTAATGTAGGCTTCACTCTTTGTATTTCGTTTTGCTTTTTATCCGATTTTTTCGTTCTTTTCCATTGAGTTGTTTTTTCTCAGTTACTTTCATACATGAACTTCGAATGAACGAAACAAAAAAAATATCTTTTCACGTGAATTTCGTTAATTTTCTATAGCATATATAATCGGGGCATGTATACATAAACCGCACAATATTTTTATTTAGGTATTTTACTTCTTTCATGCACACAGTTTCCTTACACGATTTCGTTTAGTTGTAGGTTTCCTTCAATCGAAAATTGCTGAAGCACTCTTTGGTACGCATATATACAAGTGAATTGATGCTTGGATTAAATGCTTGATTTTCTGATTTCCTTTGCTTTTCATTCTTCTTCGACGTCGTTCATCGAACTGATATATTTATTTTCTTTTTTGTTGTTAGAGGATAAGGTAAGAGAAGAACTTTTTTTGACGTTTTTTTTCCCTTTTTTCTGCCTTCTTTCCTTTCCTGCCTTCGTTATCCTTAGAAAATTGAAGCAAATTCACTGAACGATAAATATTACTTTAATCCTTTCATGTATCCTTTTCTTCTCTAACTTGTAGGTGTACATGCAATGAAGTAGTTTATTATATAATAAATTCGGTATTTAGTTTTTGGTTATCCATGAAATTTTAATGCTAGTTATGTTTCTTCATATGTCGAAAACTTTTTTTTGTTCCACCTTGCTTCTGACTTTCCTGCTTCTAATTCTTGTTTGGATATTACAATTTGAACTTTTATGCGGTACAATAAGAGTTGGAGAAAAGTTATATCGCCTCAAAGCACATTCAATCAATGCTTGAGTACAAGAGAAGTTGGTGAGGGTTTGTTTGCAAATACCAACTTTTTCGATTGCTTCACCGATTTAAATACACACAATTTGTGAATTGATTTTCCCGTCAAACATTTATGAGCAGTCGTTTTTGTTTGCCATGATTTGAGGGAATATAATGAAATGAATATCGTCTTGTTTTTTATTTTCTTTTTTTTTCGCACGGCACGAGAACTCAAAACACGATTCAGAACAAAAAGTCCTTTTCAATTATTTACGACAGTATTCATTATTAAATATTTAATGTTGTCGTTCTTTAGATTGCGTTCTTGATGTATTCAAATAATTCTCATGCACAGTTATTAAGTTTTAAAGTCTATTTTGTCTTACACACAGGAAGTTAACCGTTTCTTATTATTTTTTTTCTTTCTTTTGACGAGACGTTACTTTTAGCACATCTACTTTACGCGATCTTCTGAAATTGACTGAAAACCGAAAATCTCTTCTTACCATCGTGTGTACAATAATATAACAGAAAATGAGGCTTGCGTGAAGCGTAGCAACGAGAAGAAGAAAAAACTAAGGTAAGAATCGGCGTCTTTATGCTCATCCGCTGTGTCGGAAGAGAGAGTTGTGCAAACGAAACTATACGAAGAGTCGAACAACATTAAAAGTATCACCAACACAAGGAATCAGAGCATGGATTCGAGAATCTCTTTGGTATAAAAAATTGAGAAGCATAAAGACATTATAGAATGAAATTGAGGGTGAAAAATATGAGACAGAGAGAGAGAGAGAGAAGAACGAAGGGGAAATTAATGCCCAAAAATACGAAATATTTATGCACACAACGTGACGTTCATGCGCATTGCAATGAGTCTCCGTTTCTGCATACATTTTCGTTTATGAACTTTAAGTTTCTTTAGTCACATTAAGGTTATATAATTTAATGTTCTTTACACGCTCTCAACAAACATCGACAGCTCTTGATTTTCAGCGCGCTTTATATATTTTATTAAAAAATATCTTTCCATTGAGAAAATTTCACAAAGTGATGTTATGTTCATTCTCATTAATGTTATAACAGCCAAACAAGCACTTCCGATCTAGCTAGAAGTCATAACACAATTGAATTAATACATGATTTCTCTTACATTTATCTTTATGAATAAAAATTTCTTAACGTGGTGGTTTCATTTCATTTTCCATCATCAACAATACAATAATTTTTTGTTGTACTATTTTCTAGTTGAGAAGTGTACATGTACATGTTTTATGCTTCGTAGACCATCACCTTCGTTATTATGCTCTGTTTACCACACGACGAAAAGAAAGAAAGAAAGAAGAATTTGTCATTAAGAAATTTATTATTCTCTTCCATTCATGAAAGCGAGTAGAAAAGAAGAATAAAAAAAAGATGAAAACTTGTTTTCTTCACATGAAGACATACGACGGCAAATAAAATTGTAATGTATGGTTAAGAAGAGGCACGATGAAAAGAACAGTGGAACTAAGCCATACCACTGTGCCTGTGAGCGTGAGCATGCATGAGAAAGAAATTTGATTTATTCATACACATTCTCCGGCTTCTTCAATAAATAGTTCTTTCGCAATAATATCTTTGCCATCTTATCCACTTTCTCTTCCCTTAACAACAACAGAACGAATCGCTATCGAAAATTCTATTTTCGTTGCTATTGAAAATCATCTCACATTTTTAGGATTGCTAGGATTTATCCTTCTTCATTTCATTGTTGAAACTTTATTTTTCTGATTTTTTTTCCTGCTCCTCTCCCTTCTTATCGTTTTTACTTCTTCGTCTTTCCCCATTATTGCTATTGTTTCAAAGAATAAAAGAAAAAAGAAAATCTCATACGTTATAGAGAAAAAAAAATATAATGCGATAACAAACACAATAGAAACTTTCAGCAATTGATATGTATGAGGAATATTAATTAACACTTTAAAAAGAAATAATGTCTTGTTACTGTTTGCCTTTCTTCTTATCGCACACACAATTTCTGCAATCGAGGAAGGAAAGAGTTTATTGATAAGTAGTAAGTGTGGGTGTGTTTATTTGCTAAGATTTTCCTATGCTCGAGCATATCTATTTATATACATATATGTACATACTATGTTTGTACTAAACTTTCTAAATAGTTTTGAGGAAAAGCTTTATTGTATGTTTTTTACTGATAAAATTTCAGGACGCAAATAAAATTAACGTCATTTTGTTGTCGAGTTTATTAATAATTTTATTATACAAAAAAACAAGTTAAATTAAATTAATTTTCCTAATTACTTGTGTGTTTTGCATTTTGTTGTAAATTTAAGCTATCAGAACTTTAACGTCAGGAATTGTTCTCCATTTTTAATTAAAATGTTGAAGTTTATAATGTGAATAACGTAGTAAAAGTTATCCAACTTAAATTTATGAAAGTTCTTAGGGTGATTCTTGTTAAAGTGTTAACTGATGGCGCCTTAAGTTACATTACTGCAGTCATCTTCATGTCACAACTTACAATCATCCACAACCATCTCAAGAAAAACAGCTTCATCAACGAATTCTTCATTTCTTCTATTCCAGCTTGAAGGGTTTTTATTCTTAGATATTCCAGACTGTGACAATGCGAGAAGAAAAACGAGAGAAATCAATGGGAAAAGCATAGAAAAAATAAAAAGAAAAATTTATATTTGTGCAACGACATTCTCTCTCGAAGCGCATTCATTTAAAGTATAATTAAATCTTTCTTGTGGAGAAACCATAAAGCGAGGAGTGAGAGAAGAAAATTAAATTTAATTTCATAGAATATAGCAAAATTTCCAGAAACTTTTTCTCAACTGCTTGCTTGTATCTTCCCTCGATCTGTGTCTTTCCGCAAAAATCTGAATTTGGAAAAACTTTACGATCTAAATTTTCAATATGTTCCAAAATAATATAAAAAAATAAAATGGAACCTGAAATGCTTCACCACAAAAGCATAAATAGTAAAGTTCTCAGTGCATTAAGGTCTGAGATTCTCATACTGACAACAATTTTCGTTACTTTATTCATGTTGGCAAAACTTTATCCTCCCGCTTCGTGTTTATGAAAATGAACAAAATTAAAATTAAGAAACTTCTGTAAGGTTTGTAATGGCATCAACAGCACATAAAGAAAGTGCACGTATTATGCAAAATCTTGTGAATATGTTTTCCCTTTTTCCCCATGTTGCGATGAAGTAAGAAGGCCAATGAGCGAATCATAGATGGGGTTGATACGATCTTTGTCAAAGAATATGCTACAATGCATTCGTTTCTTGAGTGCAAAACACCCCCAGAGAGTTTTCATTAAAATAATTTGTAGTAGTTTTACGGTAAAAGTTGAAGTTGAGAAGCGAGGGCACTAAAAATCTTGAAAGCAGGATATGGATGTGGTTAAAAATCAGAGAATGGTAGGAAGCTTTACAAGCAGAGAGCAAAGAGTTACGCTAATGCATTCACATTTGAGTTTTTTCTTCTTTACAGAACTTATGTTCTTTTATATGCTATGTGGGTGGTATCATGGGCTCTTACTTTGTGCTATATTTGTGGGTGATAAAAAAATCTCACAGCGCCATAAAAATGAAGCTTTCCGACTTGTTTTCCCTTACGTTCAACAACGTTCAACCAACGTGCAGTTGATGATGTGCACGTTAATATCTCAAATCTGCAGCATATTATTGATCTTTCAAAGCCACTATAAATTTTTGAGTCGTATTTCAAGGCATGTTTACAAATGATATCTTTGAAAAATAAAATGGAAAAAAACTCATGAAATGATATTCTTTTAAGAAATGTTACGGTTGTCTGCCTTCAACCCACGAATATTCCCTTGTGAATGAAGCAAAAGCTGTAGAAATATAAGCTAACATGTGTTGATTTGTATGAGCACGTAAGGTCGACTTGGGTAGATTGTATTTCATTTTTTGTTCGTCGACTGATTTTCGTATGTGACTGTTGTAGTTAAAAAAATTTATTCTACTTCCTCTTTCTTCTCCTTTGTGGTTTGCAAAATTCATTTACTCACCACTGCTTGCATTTTGGTGAGATATTTTTTTAAAATGTTAACAGGAAGAAAGTTCGCATCAATGGCTTCTGGCTTCTCAGTGGATGTGCTGTTGACAACTGTTGTGGAACGAATTGAAAAATTATTTTTTCTTATCATTTATAAAGCGCACTTGTATCAAGTTGTAGATGTTGTTGATTGAAAGAACAATTTTCTTTTGTAAACTAAATATTGAATGTTTACTTTCGACCTTATATGATGGATATTTGAATGGAAATACATTTATTTATGTACTTTTACCTTTTCTGAGAGCTTTTTCGCAAATTATTTTTCCTTGTAAAATAAATTACTTGTTTGAAATGGAAGATTGAAGACCGATCGAATGCTTCGTTGTTGTCAATTTAATTCTATAGACTCTTGATTGCGGATGGGACGGAAATAACAAAATGTAAAAATGCTTTTGTTGATTTAAAGTGATGTATGTTTAAGTTCTTATTTACATATTAGAACTTTGAAATATCCTGAATTAAACAAGGATTTGAATATTTAATGTTACTATTTAAGCAAAGAATTTCATTTTTCATTTCAAACAGTAATTTCCTTTTCACTAATTCTACATTTTCAACTTGAAAAAGCACATACTTGTTAAAAAAAATAATAAACCAATCATTCTTAATATACTAATTGGAAAATTTCGGTCACCCACTGCTGCCATTCACAGCCTCTAATTATTCAAAAGCATAGTTTAGACTAAACATAATCATATCATGACAAGTTGAATGAAGTATTAGCATAAAGAAAGTGTAAAGCATCGTCATTCGAAAGTTACGGTGAACCTTCAATCATTTACTTATTTCTAGATAATCATTTTTCTTGTGATGAAACTATTGATTACGGCCCTTTCCGAGTGTCGAGCCATTACCATCTTTATGCTAATTAGAGAACGCTGGAATTATGCTTAAGCCTAGGTAAGGAAGATTTAAAAGCTCTCATAAAATATATTTAAGGATCTCGGTACTTTGAATTTAAAGTGCACATCAAGACTGAATAGATATGATATTTGGAATAAATTAGAGACGCTTTTGTGCTGTAATGGAGAGGTTTAGGTTGAGAATGGTAAGAGACAAGACAACAGAATATACGAAAGTTATGCTTTAGACACTTCTATTAAAGTCTGAGGTAAGATAAGCAGTGATTACATTCATGTTAGGGGAAACGAAACGAACGTCCATGATATAAATTTTCTATGCTAATTATAATGAATAAAAAAGAATAAAAAGAAGTTCCACCCCCACATGAATCTGTAAGCGTTTATCATTTTCTATTCATCTTGTTTGTTCTTTAATTAAAATTTGACTTGAAGAAAATGTCGATTGAATTTTAATAAGAAACAAATTAATTTAAGTGTGCTTCTCACTTTGATATCAATTATTAATCTCAGATTACTTATGTTGCTTATAGAACCTTTTGAAGCTTCTGAAAGACTCAGAAATTAATCTCAATTTCATTTCTCGCACGATGAAACTTCGATGTTTACTTTTAGTTTTATATTCTTTAAGAACAATAAAGTGTCGAAAATTGAAAACTTTTTTTCTCATTTCCGTGAAGAAAAATAAATTAAAAAAATTCACTTCGACATGACACAATGAAACTTCAGCTCAACATTGAATTAATTTATATTTTTTCTCTCTCACTAAGTGAGAATGTTTATAAAAAAAGTTTTTTAAATGTAGCGAAGGTTGTCGTACGTGATTTTGTTTTAATTTCTTGGACTAAAATGTTCATTCTCCCCCCTGAAGGGAACGTAGGTCAGAGTGTGAAATAAAAGGATGATTTCGGTGAGAAGGAATCTAGAACCCCGCTCACATTTTTTTATTTAACTAAACGAAACTTTTTTCTCCTTAAGTTGTCGTTCAAACTAATTTGATATTTTTTGTGGTTGCGTTTAAGAAAAATTCCTTCCAGTTCGCTATCGTGACAGGAGAACAAAAGAGCGGAAACTGTCAGGTATGAAATTATTTGTTCTTGTTCTCGCACGGCGTTGCTCCATCTCAACGAGAGGACAAAAAAAAAGTGAAAAGTGTCAAACTGATTGCCCGATTTTCACAATCAAAAAAACTATTTTATGAATCACGTTCGTGAAATAATTTTCCTTCAACTTCATCCTTTTTTCCCTTCTTTCATTCGTTGAGAATCCTTTTTTCAACCCAGAAAATCTCTTATCTGGAAATTCCACAATTGGCATTTAATTCCATTTCACCTACACGAAGATGGAATAAATTAAATTTTAACTCGTTTACTTGAATCGAATTAAAAGCATCTTTTGGGCAAATCTAAATAGATCCTCGACACCTTAAGGTGCATGGTGCTACGATGGAAATGAAGCAGAAGCAGAAACGAATGCTAACTCGAAGTATGTGAGGAAAATCAGAAATTGAATTTGAAAATTTGCTTTAAAATTTATTTATTTTTCTTTTCCCGTGAGTGGGTGTGGTAAATGATTTATAAAAAAAACAAGAAAGGAAAGTTTATCGTGTTCATATTTTTGCTTCAAAATTGTGGTGGGTGAAGGAAAATTGCTACACGGTGTAATGTCTGGAAAAGAGTGGTCAATGAAACTTTATAAGTTCAATTAACTTAATTAAATTAATGAAACTGAAACCAGATTGTTTCTTAAAATAAAAAACCATTTCTTTTTATTGCGAAATAACTGAACGGTTTCAAATAATTTTCTGATGTTTTATGAATTATTAAAATGAGACTAAATCTATCATAAATTTTCTAATCTAACAACATTAATAAAATATCATCACCATAAACATAAATTTTAAATCTTTCGCTTTAGAAAGATGACACTGTACGATGAAAGCTTCAGTTTGTACATAGAAGGTATGAGATGAGATCACAATGTATGTATGACAATATATGACATGTCAAAAGTGACTTAAAATGGTGAATTAAAACACGAATAAAACAAGATTAAAGTTATGTTTATGGTCGTATATTTTCTACTAGAAAATGAAATTTACAAGACAACATTCATGCACCTTGTCTCCATGTAGCCCGCAAAGATCACTGAAAATCTTATAACCGAGTAATGTCGACCGAGCAGCAATAAACTGAAAAGTGTATTTTCCGGTTTGGTAAATATGAAGTCTCAGTTTTCTGCCTTAGAGGAACCTGGATGCTTACTTGAGAGAATGAGAATGAAGGGGATAAAAAAGAAGAAAAAACATTTCTTTGCTTCACTTTTTACGACTTGAAGGTGTACATTGAGTATTGAGCAATATACATGTCATAAAATGTTTTACGATGGCAATATTACTTGCACCAAGGCAGTTTCTTACTCCTTGTTGCCTTGTTGTTTCTCTAGCGTGTATTTATAGCTTTAAAGCAGTATATTTGATAATAATATTTCTGTTGAAATGACTTCGGTTGCGGTGGCATTAAGACTGTTATTGACTGCTCCACTGACTCCTATCAAGCAATGAAATAGAAGCCAAAGAATTTCGCTTTCATCTTTATTATTTCATATTAATAATACTCAAAAGAAAATTAATTTTTATTATGCATTTGGATTAAAATTTATTACCTGAAGGCTTTTTCATTCATTCATGATGATGTGTGCAATAATCATGATTGCAATTGTAGCAATAGCAAGTAAAATCTCACACATCGTTATTTTAATATTAACTGGAAATCCCCCAAAAAACTCATAAAAGAGTTTATGAATAGCATTTTCAGGTCGGTTAGGTTCTTTAGGGTAGGCAATATCAATTTGTTCATAATTATTATAATGATGCCTTGGACATCTCCCCAAGTGTTGGTTACTTGCTGGCTTGCCATTCTCTTGTTTAGATATCGAGAATAACAAGAAGATAAAGAGAAAGCGTGTAAATCACAAAAGAAACAACTTTATTTAATATTCTGTTAAAGCGCTCTCATGCTATAAACAGCAAATTTAAGGTGATTATCAAGGTAGGACAAAAAAAAAAGTCATCGTATCACGACGAGACGAGTGCAAAAATACTTACAATGAAGAAGAAGGAAGATTTCTCTCAGCGAAAAAGATTCGGTGGATGAGCTGCGAGTAATTTTGATACCGGCGATACGCCTCGGGAAGCAGAAATTTTCAAAGTCTCTCTTTTGTGTTCAGTTCTGCGTTTGATGATTCAGAATCACAAAATTGAAATAAAAAATCCATTTAAAGTTAATTAGATTCTGAGATCTTTCCGTTGCTTCAAGATATTGAAAACGAAGACGTTGTTGAACAGCGGCAGAAGTTTTTTCTTCGTGTTTTTTTTTTGGTAGAATTCGGGATGAGAGTTGGAGAAGAACAGCATAGAAAGAATCATGTTAAGTTAACGTGAACCGTGAATTGGTTCATGCAAGATGAAATTAATTTTTTAAGAGTTTCAAAAATCATTAAGAAGACGAACAAAGCCGTACGAGATTATATTGAATGACTTTTATTGTTGAAGATGGAGAAATCATTTTTAGAACGGAAATTTCTTTGCCAAACTATGTTGATATGAATATAAATTTTTTTTATTCATCTTCATCAGCATAAATTCAACTATTTTATAGTTCAATGATTTCTATTTTTATGCATTTATTTGGAGCTTAGAAATAAATATGAATGTAAGTTTTATTTGATATCAAATTGACTTTAGATTTGATTTTCATATCATAATATTTTGATATGAGTTCACTCAATCGAATAAAAATATTTTTTATTTTATTTAAATGCATTTTCGAATATTTTTTGAAGAGAAATTTTATTAATGCAGTGATTGTTGATCTTTAGTGTTAGTCAAATATGCATTTATTTCAGGGCTTAGAATTGTTACTTACGTAAAATTTTGATTCTAAAAATTATTTTTAAATGAATTCATTCATTTTGAATTTCAATTTTAAATATGGATCAAGGGATAATTTCAGAAACATTTCATAACTATTTATGTCTGTTGTTGAACCTAAATAAATTATCCGATAAGCTGTACAAACAACCAAGATAATGTTTCTTTACCATCATTCTGAAGAAATCTGATTACAGTTGTGGGTGGATATTTACAAGTGAAGAATCATAAGAATTGCATCTTTATCTCTCTCATCGTTTCATTGTTTATTCAGAAATGCCAAAGAGTATCTTTATCTTGTTAAATAGATTTTGAATTGCAAAATACCTTCACTGATTGATCTGTTTGTGTTATGCAAATCAAATATTGGGAGTTTAGTAATGGTGTGTACACAAACAACAAATACAAGATCGATTTCAATATATACAAAAGATTATTGGTGCATCAGAACTTGCTTCGTTTCATATCTTTTTCTTTCATTTCCATTTTCTATTTTCCATTTTCCATTTTCCTCTCCCCTTACATTTAACATTGTTGTTCGATTTGATTAAACGGAAATAAATGTTGCTTAGTGTATTGAAAATAGAATAAGTAAAGTTTCTGAATGACTGTTGTTGCTTGTCGTAACTTCTATTTAACTGTGATGTGAAAACTTCAATTTCTTTAGCAGCATAATAAAAATAGAAGCATTATAAAGCTTTTCGTTCAACTTTGATCGAATATAAAAAGCTTAAATTATATGCTCAACAAGCAATTGCATCAAAGCCGATTCAGTCTATACGTTTTCTCACCGCAAATATTTCTTTTCACCCTTACATTGCCCCGAATTTTCGAAATACCGTTTTTAGAATGATCGTCACGTAAAATTCATTGAGTCGAAATGAGTGAACAAAAGCTTGAATATTTTCAAGTGTCGTCGGGGGTAAAGCAGAGACGAAAAAAATTTAAAAAAAACTTTCTCACCATTAAAACAAATGGTTACTGAATAAACAAAATTTTCGAAGACAATGTTTATCAACAGCAACAAAAGGGCGAAAGAGGAAATGCAAAAAGTTTCCAAACTGTCCCTTTTTTGTGGTTTTGGCTTGTTATTGTAAAAGCCTTGGCCCTCCCTAACACATAATGAGAAATTTTCTTTTTCTTTCTTTTGTCTTTGATTTTGTGAAGACGCGACGAGACGAAAATGTAATTCAAATGACGAGAGAAGAAAGCAATAATACTTCAATAGAAGTAAACGAAGTAAAATGCAAACAAGCGAAACGAGAAAGAGAATCAATAAAAATTCAGTCTGTAAAATTCCCTTTTTTTTAATTTCCGTTCAATAATTGGTTTTACTGATTTCAATTTAAAATTTAAAAGCTTTTGCCTTCAGTTGCATTTTTAGCATGACTTATATTTGTGTATGATTTAAATACACAACAAAGAAGCATCAAAACAAGATTGTCGCTTATTTCTAACGATGTTTTGCAATCTTAGTTCAACGAACTTTTTTGATGAGTTTTTCTCAATTTCTTTTCTTCGGAGAAAAAGTTTCATGATTACGATAATTTTCTTTTGTCTTTTAAATTACTTCATGCGAAACAAGCAAAAATAAAAAGCTGTTATTTAGTTGACGAATTGAGATTTACGAGACATTGTGTCACGATGTTTCGCTCTGGCAATTTGCACCACTTAAGAGATTCTACGTCAGCTAATTTTCCCGTTGCATTTAAAAGACTTTAGAATTTATTCCCATAGTTAAGTTAACGAGTGCTGCTGTATTTAACATGTCTTCCAAATGCTTAGAGCAGAAAATATCCCGCCTGGATATGTCTTGCAACTGACAAGCTTTGGCATTTGTTCAAAAAAAAAAAAGTAAAAAATAAGAAGAAAAATGTTATGAAAGAAAATTTCTCTCGTTTTGCATAAAGATTTCTAGTTAAATGTGATCGCTTGTTTGCCATTCGAATATATTGTTTTCTTATAATCGTCAGCTCTCTCGGATGTTTTCATGGCTCGACAATTTCTTGCTTAAGCTACAATGTGCAGAATTAAAATTAATGTACATCACAAGCAGGTTTTTGACTTCAAGAGATGGCAGAAAATTTATTGAAAGTGTTGAAAGGAAACGACAAACGCTGCATTCAACTTCTATGCTTTTTTTTGTTGCACATTAGTACTTTATAATGGTTAAGTGCTCTAGCAGTAGACAACCTAACATCAAATTTATGCTATTCTCGAAGAAAAATATGGAATTCAATTAAGTTTAATTCCATTCTGCAGAAGGAAGAAAAAAAGTGCAAAACATTTCATAGGAGATATAATTTTTTGCGGAAGTTGTAACAATCTAAATTGGTTTTTTGAGGATTTATTCAGTGCTTTAGAGAATTCTAAAGTCACCTCTTAAAGGCCATATTTAGACAAAAGCAAATTACAACTTGCTTCAATGGTTGAGAATAATGAAACCATTCGGACTTGTGTGAATAATGATCGTCTTTATTAGATTTCAGTGTCATGTAGTTTTTATGGGTGAGGTGATATGTTATAAAATCTTTCTGCATAATTTAGCAGAACTTTCTTATTTAACTTTTTTTTAAATCATTTTTAAATCATCAAAAACTTCTCTCGCTTGTTTCAATTGTTAATGAAAAGGCCATTCAAGCGAAACCTGTTGTCCATGTGTAAAGATAGTCATAATTTGTCTCACCCATTTTATTCCCATTTATTAGCATCAGAGTTATAGCTGCAGGATAAAGGGAATGAGAGCTATAGATATTTTATTCGATGATGTTGATTAGATATGTTTTAAGACATTTTATTTTGTTTTCTGTTCTAATTATGCACGTTCTTCGTCGCTCGACGGTCGCATTGGTGTAATAGGAATAAATTGTTATACTCAACAAAAATGATCTTGTGAGCCACGTCTATGATAGTTTAAAGAATATAAAATAAAAACACGGCAAACAAATTTTCTCAAAGATTTCATGAATTTGTTTCCCTTGAAATTAGGCAATTCAATGTACAAATTTTGTAACGTCGGTTAAAAATTCAAAATCAATTTCACATATTAGAGGGATTTCAATTAACATTCATAAAAATGTAACTTCATTATAAGCTACATTTCTTTTGATTATGAAAATTTTCCGTAGCTTACATATGAAAAAGATTTTAATCTTTCACTTCAAAAGAATGCATTAAAAATATCTAAGAAATCATCAAAACTTAAGATTAGAAAAAAAAATAGCAGCTCATTCAAAAAGAATAAAACAAGTTTTTGCAACATCATGGAAACAATATTCGTCTAATGATTTGACAGCTAACATGAAAATCGTTGCATTTTGAAAACCAATTGAGATGTAAATATATCTTTTCAACTACAGCACGAGAGCTTTTCCGGAAATTTCTTTTTCATTTATTCTTATCAATGAATTAATGATAGATATAAATATGAATTTCGAATAAACTTCCGCTAGGGAAAACTTGAAGATGAAAGTCATACACATGTCATGTTGGTTGTCATTCAGCATATCATTCAATTTCTTTAAAAATATTTATAAATTAAGATAATAAAATCTCTACAATTATCTTATACGAAAATCTCTACAATTATCTTGAGAATTTGAATTTGAGGCAGTTTAATGAAGATGGCAGCACTTATCATAATGTTCTTGAAACATTTGTAAGGTTTTTATGCTTACCAGAAAGCCAGCTTTTTGAATTCAAGTCGGAGAAAATAATTTCTTATTTCTGTTTGAGACTAAAATTCAAACACTCTTACCTATTTCAACTGAAAACGATTGTTGGAGTTGTGAAATAATTTGATGAAATGTGGTTGATGTTGAAATAAATTACAAACTCATCAATTTGTGGACAGTGAAATTTATTGAAAACTAACAAATTAAAATGCTTCTAGGTATTTATGCTTCAGATATTCTAAACCTCATTTACGATAAATTCATAATAATGCTCATCTGTTACTGAAATTTCATTAAGAACTGTACTTTACTTAATGGATGAAAATCAATCGGCATGATTTTATCCTGAAAATGAATCCTACTTCTACAGAAATCCTAACATTTCCATTCACCCTCAAGCATGTAAACTCAAATCGAGGAAAAGAAAGCAACAAGATATATAACTCTGTTATTTTGAAACATATTTTTTAATTAATTGAAAGTCTCAATGGAATGGAAAAATCATAAACTGTGTGGAATGAAGTGAAATGGAAGAAGTGAAATATAAAAGAATAAAGAAAATGAAAAATGTGTTAATAAGTTCACCATAAAATGTCGCAAATTTATTTTCCAATCGTTTCAATATCGATTGGCACACGGCTGTTGAGGGAGTGATGCGAGAATGAGGAGGAAAGAAGGAAAAATCGAAAATAAATTATAGGTCTGAATGGATGATGTATTTCTAGGTGTAACATTGCGTGTTAAAAAAGAAGAAAAAAAAGAAGAAAAAACCAATTTATAACAATTTCAAAGGCATAAGAAAGGAAAAAACAGAAAAAAGAAAATATTGAATGATAAAAGCAAACGCAGAAGACTGTAAAATTAAAGTAATTATTGTGGAAAATTGTGCCTCGTTTCATCGGAGAGGGATTCATCAAATAAGAAGTGAAAATTGATGATGGGAATGATTTTAATTGAATATGGTATCACCACAACTTCCAGGCTGATAATGTTTATCTCCTTAGACATCTCATTCTTTCCAAGGCTTTCTTTACCCCAAAAACTTTATCTCATTCACGCTATACTTGAAAATCGTCAAGTAATGATTGATGCTTTTGCTGATGGTAATGTTTTAACAGGGAGAATAAAATATAAAAAAAGAAGAAGAAAGAAAACATCATCGTCTTGGGAATGAACATCGTGCTTTTCCGAATTAATATTTAATTTATTATTCATAGCTCAAAAGAAATAATAAGCCCTTGATTAGTGATGACATTTATTAATTCAGTATCATTTTCTTAATAAAACTCTCACTAATTATGGCTTTGTCGTTTGTCCTTAACGATAAAATTTCTTCACTTTGACTTGTTTTGACTGTTGACTTCACCAAACAATTTCTTGAAACAAGAAGATTTTAAAACTCATTAGACGATTACATTGTTGTTCTCATTAACATTCATTTGTATTTTTTTTTTTTATTTCTGTCAGTGCCTTCGCATTTAAATAGAAACTAAAAGGCGAGCGAAAATATTTCAACGCGAAATGGAAATTCTTTTAAGAGTTTCTGGCACTTCATTATCTCATTAATACTTTGCAATAATTAATACACATCAGAGTAATTTTTATATTAATTAATGGATAATACTGATAAATGAGAAAATAAATTTTACTCGTCAGGATATGAAAATGATTGAATAACGTTTGTCGAATTTAGATTAAATATTTCATAAATTTATTACATATATATGTAGATGTATATACACCTTAAAGGATTTATTATCTCATTTGAAATATTTTAAACATGTTCATAAATAACATCGAGAAATTTCGTTACCGGGAAATGTTTTCTCTCATTTTACATATAAATTCTCACAAAAATGCCTTCAAGCTTTGAGGAAAACTTCAAATATTTAGCATGAAAGGGTAAATTTTCTTCAATAATTAAAAGCTTCATTTTATCAAACTGCTCAAAGGCTATGCATTACTAAAAAGTTTAATACAAGAAAATAGGGAAACGTCATGAATTTTTGATGGCGTTTTGAAGTTTTCTTGTTACTTATGACACTGTAGGAAATTTTCTTTCCAGCTTCCTTGAGTATGAATAACAATAACAATGAATTAAGCTTCATAAGCTTTAAAGAGTTTTTCAATAATTTACAAAACCAAATGTCAATAACAAAGCTTCTTTCAACAGTTCAGTCAATAAAATTTTCATTGTGGATTGTAAAGAAAAACAAAAAGCTTTCGTTTCTTTTTATATGAAAATCTGCCTATAAAAGATAAGAATCAACATGAAGAGAAGCTAATGAAGCAGAACATGTATAGCAATTTTAATTTTATTACATTACAAGTCATCGTCGTTATAATCTGATGTAATCCACTTAGAGAAGCTCTTGTTAGGAAGAGAAGGCATTGAATAAGTAAAAGCCAAGTAATCCTTTATTCTGATACAAAACCACTAACAAAAAGCTTTGATGTTGTAATTCAATGTTATTTAAAACTTTAAAACTGCCGAAACAAAAATAAATAGAGTATAAAGGATTTAAATTGATTGTAAGGTTGATTAAACATGAAACGTTGTTCTCAGCGATTGTACGAAGCTCATTACATGATTAAATCGTCTTTTCATTCGCTTTTGTTAACGTCACAAATAATTTTTCCAACTTTTATTCGGTTGGAAAATTAAAGTTGACTTAAAATGTCACAATATCCAAGCGAAGATTGTTTGCTGTTGCCGGTTCAAATGTTTCGTGATTCTTATTCTTCACAGCTCACGTAGTTAATACTTTGATAAAAAGCATGAATCATAATTTACCCGGAATAGAGATTTTCTTTCTTCTTTTCCTCCTGCTCTACTTTATTAAAGCATATTTAGGATGTGTAAAAAGGAAGACTGTGTGAACGAGAAACATAGATGATCACATGAGTGGAAAGAAGAAAAAAGGGAAGTTGTACAATAAAAATCAAATTAAAAATGAAAAATGATGCGTCAAGCGTCGCTTTCGTACATAAAGGCAATTTTATGATGTGCATGGCGGCATAAACATGATTTGTAAGAGAATATATAGCAAAGAAGACAAACTTCATATAACTTGATGTGTCACACTTGATAACTTTAGGAGTTTTTCACTCTTGCTTTGATGACAGCAAGCCTTACAAGCGGACAGTTGTACAAAACCTTTTTACACAAAATATAACAAATATCACGTCAGATATGTTTATGATAAATTTAAATATCTAAAAGCTTTGTGAAAGGCTGGTGCTTATTATAAGCCAGAATTCTCTAACTTTAAAAAAAATTGTGAAAAAAATAAAAAAAGGATTTTATTATTATTAAGTAAGAAAATCGGATCTTATGTTGCTTCGATGCTTTTCAAGATTCCTTGATTCAATAAATTCCTCTTAAAATATCGCTAATGTTCCCCCTTTTTCCTCTTTTTTTCTGCCGACATGGAATTACAAGCATTTTTTTAAAGGATTATGTCGCCTGAGACGTAAAAGCAGCAGGAAGCCTAAGAGACTTGTATACAGTTGATGTTCTAATTGAGATGACAAGAATCCTTTTTTCTTACGGATAAACTTTGATAACATTAAATGAGAGTTGAAAGGTTCTCTTGTACCTACATATTAACGCATATACGACTATCAACTGTACTTGTTATGAAAAATATTCCGTTTGAGTGCGGATAAAGTTGAAGAGACGAAAGAGGATTTGCATATTTTAATTAACCAAATTTTTCAAATTATTTTAGTGCTTTAGATTTTTTTATATTTTCCTTTCGAGACAAAGTGAAGACGAGGAGTCTTGAAGAATCCAAAAAGGGTTCTCTCAGAAAACGCCAGAACATGCTAAGCAGAACAACATTCCAGTCTCCAAATCCCCTTCGCTTTCACTCAGAAGCCGCTGACTCAAGTCGAGTTATATTTTATTTTAATTTTCTTCCTCGAACTTACATCTGTGTTTTCTTTTGGATCTTGACGACCGAGAAAGGATTTACATTCCAATTCAAATCTTGCTAAAAGAAGACTCGAAGGAAGATGAAATAAAAGTGACGTGAATATAATTTTAAGACTTTTATTTATTCGAATTTCCCTGGAATTCACCTGTGAGATAATTTTCCTTTCAGAAAAAATCCTCGTGTTGTTTTTCTTCCCAGAATCTTGTCTTCTCTGTCAGCCATGTCTAAAGTACTTCTCATTCGTCTTTTTCATTGAAGACACTGCGTCAAAATTAATAAAAAATGAACTGATTTGCATGTGAAACTATGCCTGAAGGGAACGACATTGTTTGAAAGAATCATTCAACATCAACAAAAAGACAAGTGGCAAAAGAACTTCAGTGTGAATTTGTGACACATCAGAAAGCAGCGTATAAAAGGAGGAAGAAAGTATGAAATTGATGTTACATCATTCTTCATTGCTTGCGTTCACCATCGTTCACATACACGCATCGAGACACACATAAACGATTTCAGGCAACGCCAATAATTTATATTTCCACTCGTTTCGCTTTTCCGACTGAAACTTTTTCATCTTCTCTCCATTCTCCCATATTTTTTTATTCTTACTTCTTCAGCAGAATTCATAAGATAACGAACGAAATTGATCGCCCATAAAATTGGGATTTCTCTTCCTTTTTTCCCTCTCTCACTCGCTCACTCACTCTTATTCTTACCATTGAATCAAACAAACATTGCGTACTTTAAAAAATATTGTGTATCTTTACCCAATAAAAGACGTGTGCTTAAGCAATGAAGATTCTTCATGATGCCAACCGCACCACCGTAAAACAAATGATTCCATCAAACTTCCTTTGATTTGAAAATTTTCTGCTGACAACATGACAAATATTTTCGGGTGAAACTGCTTTCCTTCTCTCTCCTTGCCGTATGAGAAATGCTTTATTCATCCCCCGCGACAAACATGTACACATATTTTAAGAATGTTCTCTAAAAGACTTACAAAAGCCATATGTGGTTAAGATGTTGGGAATTCTCATTTAAGAATTCCATAAATTCCCATGAGATAAGAAAGTTTGTGTTGATGTACGTAGTTTGTTGACCTTCGTTGGGGAAAATGAAAAAACCTCATCGTTTGTAAGTAATGAAGCAAGACTGTTATTCATTCGAAGTCTGTGTTCTTCATTTATGCGAACAAATTAAAGAAGAAGACGAAAAGCTCCTTTTCACCTTTCAATTTTCACAAAATGTAGGTTTAAGCTTCTTAGAAAATGTCTGATTATAGTGAAATTGCGAGAAGTATTTTTTTAATAACAAAATCAAACATGGCAACGATCACTGGGGGAGTAAAGATTAAATTTTATTAACTTCAGGTCGACGACAATTTATATTTATCTTATAGAAATCAAGTCTTTCTAACGATACTCAACTTTATGACATTTAAATTCAATTAAGTGTGCTAATTAAAAGTGTTAATTTTCCAGATTTAAAACTTTACCCTTAGAAAGAGAGAGAAAAAAAACAAAATGAAAACTTATGCTTTTTATGCTTCTTTACCTTTAATTAACGAGAATGAATATTTCGGTAAGTTTTCATAAACTTTTCTTTTAATTTAATAAGATTTCTGTTGTTATTGTTATTGTAGTTACATTTGTGATGCAAAAAGTTACGTCATCAAAACTGAGACAGTTTGCTGTTCAACTAAAATTTTCTTGAAAACTTCTCTAAATGAATGAACATTGCAAAGTTTTTAATTAAAGAAACATACAGAAAATTGTAATTTATATGACAATTCATTGTTTTCGTCTTCTTCAATTCCTTTCGGTGTTGTTCATCAAAGTTATTTATGGTTAATATTGTTAACTTTGTTACTAATACTACAAAACCAAAATTTTAATCAATTTTAATGGAATTTTTTTGAGACTTAATAGATTATTCTACTTAATTTAACTGAAGTCTATTTATAAATTTATAATATTTTATCACGAACAAAAGCATTTCTTCTTAATATTCGTCAAACATTTTAAATTGTTTCGTTTTCCCTCAATTAAACATGAGTTTTCCGTGCGTTCTTATGCTTAAAAAGAATTTACAGCTGAGCCATCTTATTGATTGCTAATATTATCTGTTTTAATGACTGAAAACGTGAAGACGAAAGGAAAACAAACATTGAGCGAACGTGACGGCAAAGGTAGATAATAAAATCCCGTCTTGGAAGATGTTAAATAATCAATCAATTATCAGGCGCTTTGCGTTCAACATGATTTGCTGCTTATGTATATTGATTAATTTTGCATCGTAAAAGTAAATCTTTTCGAACAGAAGATAATGTTTTTACTGCGACTTTACCACATAAACTTACATAAAACTCAAGAAAGATGTTGAATGTCGTCGACAAGATATGTCGGCATTGGTACATAGAAAGGCGGATGAAAAAAGAGAAAAAATATGTGAGGCGATGGCGATGGATCGTTTACATCATCAGAACGACAACGAATGTAGTTGATGCTGTTGTTTCCATGGTTGGGCGTTTGAGAAATTACTTAAGCTTCCAAAACGTCAAACTCAATATCCATAATGAGCAAAAATTGATGTCAAACAAAGAAGGAAATGACATGGAGGAAGATAGGCTTGTCGGAAGATCGAAACATTTTGCCCAAATCCGTTCTAAGCTTCCGGCTTTGCGATGAAACTTCATTTTTTTTTGCCGAGAGCCTTTTATAAACAACAAATGAACTGTCTCTGATAATTCATGACGCCTAAGCAGCCAAGAGCCAAGTAAACGTGGAGACATCCTAATGGAAAAATCTTCTAAAGTTTCCTCACTTTTTTCTTTTCTTTTCGTATATAAATTAAAAATTAAACAAAAAAAAAGAAATAAAATGTTGCGAATAAATTTTCTATTACAAGAAAATCCACATCTTAATAACAGGGTGAAGGATCTCACTTTTATTTTCTTAAATTTTCCGACATCTTTCTCAATTACATGTTGTTGAAAAGTTGGCGGTTTTTTCTTTCTTTTTTTTCTCATCAGATGCAGAATCTTGTGGAATGAAGGACGATAAGAAAATGTAAGAGGAGGCGGGGGAGAAACAGGGAAAAGAGAAAGCAAAAGAAATATTTTAAGCAACTACTGTAGAAAGAACAAAAGTAATAATTCGAGATGATATATACTTCAAAAGTTTGAAAATAATTCTTGTTCATGTTTTGCTTCTTTCTTGCCCTTGCCTTGTAAATTGTTGGAGCTTTTGTAACATTTCTGTTTTTATTTTCTTTTTATTTTTTTTTGTTTGCTCCATTCAAAGTTAACACCACCAATAGCCACAGGATCTGCTATGATTAATGATTTTTATTTCTGCTTGTTCTTCTCGCGCAATGTAAACTTTTCACATAAATTAACCAACTGCTTTTATAACACAACCAAATCGAAATATATGTGATTTGAAAATGTCCAAAAGAGCGAAGGGAAATGAGAAATGAAGAAATTATTGCTGGTTTCTTTCTTCTTTTTTTTTTGTTGGAATTGTTTGAAAATGATGTCACCTCAGAAAAGTTTCTTTTTTAAGAGGATCATAATTTAATCGAAATCAATGAAAAATATTGGTAGGAAAAAAGTTTTCTTCTTCAAATTTGAAATGAAAACTTGGACTTGGGAAGTCTTAAGTTATAGAGAAGGAAAATTACTTCAATCTTCTTAAAGTCCATAAAAATATTTTCTTGTCGAAAAGTTTCAACATCAGCAACCTATTTCTAAAAAAATGTACATAAAGTAGCTTTTGGGTAAGAGTATGTTGCTCGATATCATGCTTACCTTATTGCTAGAAATTCCTCTTGCAAAATTAAAATTTACTCAATAACAAATCAGTTCACGGGTCAAAAGCTTAACCGATCCCTAAAATTTTCGATTACCTTTGACAACCTTCGAAGACTACACTTAAATGTTGCGAAAGGTTGACTCGGTTTAATGTTTACGGGAAAACACTAAAAACCAGCTGGAGGAAAACGGCCTGAAAACATAACGATTAATGACTTCGATGAGCAATCACAACTTCCATTTCGATTGAAAAATAAAACAAGTTTTCTATTTTAATATTTTTTATTTTAATAAATTTTTCTTTATATTTTTATCCTACTTTTAAAAATTATTCTTCACATACTGCATGATTCTGTCATTCAAGTATCGAATCTACATGATCTCATTTTACTTTTTTTTCAAATACATTTCTCAGCCCGTCTTTGTTTAGATATCAAATAAATAAAAATATCAATGATTCCATTTTTGTTTTTATTAATATCAATTCACGATATTTGCAACAACAGTTAGATTTCATTCATCCGTTATAATTATTTATCGATGTTTTAATTTTTTTATTTTTTGATGTTTTTTTTAGAACAAAGAGCTTTGCATTTTTATTCTCAATTTTCAATTTTCTTTTTATATCAATTCAACTACAATATTTTTTCTTATTTACATTAAATTCAATTTTTATTTCTTCTTCTACTTTATTTTTGTTAGAACTTTTATACAGAACAAACTTTTTATTTCCTTCCTTTTAGTCACCATAAGAAAGTAGATAAGTAATTTCATATTGATCCTTTTATATGGTATCTTCAGCATCTTTTTCTCTTTCTTCTTTTTTTTTTGAAGTTCTTTATGTGGAAATAGCAAAATATTTAACTTCAAAGAAGCTCAATATTATTTTTCCAATAAAGCTGGAACTTTGTCATGGAAATTAATTTGACATCGAAAAACAATTCTTTTGACGTCAAATAGCTAAAGAATGAAATGAAAATTTTCTATTTGCAGAGTCTCCAGGATGTTAAAATGTTTTCAAACATAAATTGAGGAAGTTTTATGTTGATAACTCCCAACATCATGTTATTTCTACTTCGAATTTTAATTCTTCTCTCGACTATACTAATCCAAAGTTGTGAATCTATTTCCTTAGTTTCACATTTCTTATCTGTTTTATCTACAAAGTCTTAGGTGCTAAAATTTATCTTCACTCACCTTTTGCCTCACAGTCTAAATAAATGAAACCGAACGAAGTAAATCAAATAAAATTTTATGATGATATCTTTTGCCCCAGGAACGCTTACACGAACAAAAAAAAAACTCTCGCACAACAATAAAACGACACGAACTTGAACGCAATTAAACTCCTCTTCAAATAAACATAAAAAACGCCCATTAGCAAAGCAAATGAAAAAATATTGTGCTCAATTGGGAAATTTATTGTTTTGTCGTAAAAAATAATTTCGTTCCGTCGTGGAATCAGAGATTAAAATTGAAACTTTTGTTGCATTTCTTTTTTTATTGGGGAAATCTTTTGGCATGTTTAGCAGTCTGATGCAATTTTTTTTACTAGTTTTGCTTTCCAATTTTTCATGCTTTTTAAAATTATAAGGTAATAGTAAGTTTTTATTTGTTTGTACATTAAATATTCAAGGTTTATCTTTTCCCGTTCGTTTCCTTTTTTCCCCTTTTTAAAGTCATACTAAATATTCAGTTAAGCTCAACTCACTCTCGGATATAAAGTCGACAAAAGTTAAATTAACCTTTTGGTTTTTATTTACATGTACTTTCAATGGTTAAGTTTGCTTTTAAGTTAATTTTCATCATAAATATTTAAAATAAGATTAAAGGATTTTTTGTGATTCTTTTAAATTCAAACCAATTTGAATAAAACAAATTCTGATTCAAAAAGTGGAGTGAAAAATTCCGAAGAATTGAAAACAAGAAACATAACTTGTTTGAAACTTCTATTTGAGCTGAGTTCTGTTAGGATGTGTCAAAGCACAGATGAAAAGTTTCGTGTTTTTATAACTCTGCTCCATGTAATGATTTTTTCCTACGGTTGCTAATCAGAAAATATTCAACATGAAATTGTTTCGAATCAAGCTTGTCACCCATCAGTTTCACAGAAATTGAAATAAGAAAATTGTAATCATAGCAACTAAGAGAGAAAAAAACTTTTTTTAATCTGTCAGGCACGAAAGCTCACCCTGACGTCTGACGGTCCAATATTAAGTCTCTTTTTTTATAACCCGTGGAGATTTACTTTTAGAATCCAAATTGGATAGCAAGTAACATGAAAAAATATTATTTCACTCATGTTCGTTTTATTTTTCAATTTATTTTTTATTTGAATTGAAATTCATGCACAATGGATTGAAAACTTAATGTTAATCAAATTAAGCATCAGTAATTGGATTCTGCTGTTCCTGTTGAACTACGTAAGCAATCGTTGATCGAATATTTATTGGTAGAGTGGAATTGTGAATATAGAAATAAATGAAACCAGCTCCTGACACGAAATATTCATTGGGCATATAACAAACTGTGAAAACGGCAGCAAATGACAACAGACGTGGCTTAATTATTTGCCATTAATTAAATGACAACAGCTTTTTTCTCAACGAAAAAAAAGGTATTAAAAATTGAGAATGGAGTAGAGGTCGTCGTTAAAATGCATATTTTGCCATGAAATAAAATCAATTGGAAAATCACAATTAAATTCTTTCAATATTTGTCTGACATGTTTTTCGTCACTTTAAAAACAAAAATCATGGAAAATTTCCATGATCATGATGTCAATTAAACCTTAAATAAATCAATAAATGAATATTGAATATTCTTCTCTCAGTTTAGACTTTAAAATTCTGACCAACAAAACACTCACTTTTAGTGTGAAACAAAAAATTAAAAGCTTTTTTAAAGTACAACAACATCTTCAGTTTGTAGAATAGCTTCGAGTGTTTTGTTGTGATATCCTTCCTGTCATATGTCGGAACTCTCTTGACTGTCACCTACATACCCTTCATCAGGACTATCCGCTAGCGGGCCTTTTAATTGTCGACATTTTGACCCATTCGTAGCATCACAAGAATCGGTGTTTTCACCTTCTTCCTCTTCTTCTTCTTCTTCTTCTTCTTCAACCTCATGTATCACATTATTATCCACTTCGTTTGTTTGCGCACCCACGCATTTCTTCTGAATTGTAGGTGGAATTTGCGTGGTTGGTGATTGTATTGGTTGTGGTGAAATTTGAAAACGCGAATCAATTGCTATCAACTGTGGATGGTAACCAGGCAAGCATGAAGGCCACTTAGGAAGAGATGATGATAATGATGATGTTGTTGTCGATGATGATGACGCTTGTTGTTGATTTTGTTGTTGCATTGCTAATGGGCTTGAACAAAAGTTTTGATTGTTAAGAAGCGCCAATGTTGGTAGTAATGAAGTGTTATCAGTTTTGTAGCCTTCAGGTGGTGATGGAAAGTTTTGTTCGTCCATCATCGTCGATTCTACGCATGGATAGCCTTCAGCTGTATATCTTACGTCTGGTGAATATGTTTGAAATGTTTGTGATGTTCGTGTTATAAATTCAGCTTCGTTTGAAAATCGTACAACTGAGTTATTACCAGCTTTGCCAGAACGGTTATGTGGTAGAGTTTTATAGTTGTAATTAACCGGTGCCTGTGCTTGATTAACGATGGGAATTTGAGTTAGGCTATATTCAACTGGATATCCGTTTGTGTCGATGAAACAGCTGGGATTTAAATGTACATCGACTTGATACATGTCGCGGCTTAAGCCATTGCCATTATTATTGCCACGGGGCAATGTCGTTGACATAGCTGTAAAGCGTGCTGGAACCGGACGTAGAATGGGAACAAGAGGAAAATTATTATCGTTATTCGGATTATTGTTATCTATCTGATTCCTTGTCTTGTCTCTCTCATCATCACGATGATGCTGCTTCATGTCGCTCTCATTACGTTGTCGTAAACTCTCTGCGTCATTTATCAAATCAGGATTTCTGTCTTGCCCACCGCAATGGCCCTGCAGTGACATGTCATTTATACTAATATTCTGCGTATTGTTGCCTAAGTAGAGAAGCATCTCTTGCTGATTATTATCCGTTATCGTTAAATTGCCATTTATTTTCGAGCAGACAAGGGAGCTGTTAATATCGCCAGCAATGGCGACACATTTTTGTGAATTGGGCAGTTGAAATGACACCTCCTTTCCTTTGCTCCCTTTCTTCTTCTTTTTCTTTTTCTTCATATTGTTACAACTGTTTTGACTTTGATTTCTACATTTACAAATGACAATACAACAACATATAATAATCAGTAGACAGATGATGATTACACCGCCAATGATGAATAGAAAGAATTCATTTGAAAACGACACTTCCTCGACGATTGGCTCTTCTTTAACAATAACTCTAATTGTATAGTTTGCTTGCGCACGTCCCGCAGAGTTCTCAGCAACACACGCAAATGTTCCATTGTCATCTGCATTAGCGTTAAAGATGAAAAGTTCACTGCGTTTCTCATCGACGCCTTCTTCAATGTAATAGTAAAGATGCAAATTAGGTGCGATGATTGTGTCATTTTGCAGTATTTGTCCCTGAAACCACCAACTTATTGAAGCTTCAGGAATTGCTGTAATCTTACAAAGGAGAGAAATATTTCGACCTTCTGCAATCTCCAAGTAGATTGTTGTTGGTGAAATTTCAGGAAGACACGCAAGCTCATCAATGTGTAATGATTTAATCGTATGACCTTGAAGCTTTTGTGGCTCAAAACATTTTGGATCTTCAATTTGTGGAATCGTGTAAGTGGTTAACCAATTGTAAACATCAACTAATCGACAATCACATGTCCATCGATTACCATGTAAACTAATCCCGTTCAATGACTCAGGCAGAATATGAGAGCCGCGAATTGTTCGTATTCGATTACCGTCAAGTCTGAGCCATTCCAAATTATCCATTCCGATAAAGGCTTCATCTTCGATCACACTAATTTGGCAATTACTTAACTCTAATGTTGTGAGATACGACAAATATTTGAAAGCAGATGTTTTCAAGTCTCGTATTGGATTGCCACTTAATGATAAACGCATTAGTGAAGAATAATCCTGAAATGTTTCCGTTGGAATTGAGGTCAACATATTATCCGATAAATCGAGCTCCACTAAGTTCGAGAGGCCTCGAAATGCTCTGTCATTGATTCGAATCAGTTCATTATTTGAGAGGAATATTTTCTGTAGATTAATCAATTCCATTTTCTGGAAGCGTTCACTTTGCAATACTGTTAAACTATTGTGCGAGAAATTCAACACCTGTGTGCCTGGATCCATACCTTCGGGTATATTTGGTAGCTTATGTCCGCCACATTCGACGGTTTGTTTTCCACCTTTCCATTTGCACATGCATGGCGTCGGACAGCCACTCATCGATCGAAACATTAAGCTGAGTGCCAATATTAAAATTATTTGTGTGAATTCCATCGACATTTTTTCTGATGATCTTCTTTCGTTTGGTATGTCGTTCGTTCAAGTCTCAATGTCGATGCTTTAATGGCTCATAGATATTTTTTCTCTTTTATTCTTATTATTTTAGTTCCCTCGGAGTTTTATGCTAAAATTTATTGATTTATTTCTACGATTTTCTACTGTTTACGTCTTTTTCTTCTAGAGAATGAGATTTTATTTTTCGTGGGCAGGACGAGAAAGCTCTAGTCGACTCGACAACAACGATGAACTTGAGTGTACATGATGAGTTTTTAAAAAAGATTTTCTCTTTTTATTTTATCCACTGACTTCAGTCAGCTTTCTTTCTTTCTCTCTCCCTCAGTCGATATTGTTGTTGATGATGTTGCTACACGAAAAGCTTAAAACAGAAGCATATGGAATGGCTTGTGTTGATAATACGAATTTGTTTCCATTCTTATTTGTTTTTCTTTTTTTTCTTCTTTTCTATTTTCAATCAATCGATTTACGACAATTTGAATTGCAAATTTGCTTTTTTTTTCCTCTCGTTTCTGTTGCTCGTCTATTTATTCTCGAATGTGTCAAGGATTCACTGTTGAAGCTGAAACGGATTTATTTATGTTGAAACGTTTCAGAACTAAAACGAGAGAGAAAAGAAAAAGAATTGAAAGTTATTACATTTAAATTATTGCTATCACATTCAGCTAATATGCTGACATTTTATTATGTAAAAAAATATAAAAGAAAGAGAATTATATCGATGAAAATTTACATTTTGCATCGCTTGCAGAAATTCTAAATATGTTTGTGTAGTTAAGTAATTGATGATACGTTATAATTTTTCGCAGTGAAGCAAAAAGCGAGCAGACAACTCAATTAAGTCATTATGAAGCGATGACCAACTTTAAATTTTTTTTATGATTCCCATAAAAATAACTTGACCACATGACACAAGGAAACATTAAAACATAAAAAAAAACAAAGTTTATGCGGAAATGGTGGAACAGAAAACGGTCAGGGAAGCGGAAAAAAGGCAAAAACTTTACGCCAGCATTCAACGAAGAACTTCTAATTGAAAAGTCATGTTAAAGTCGTTTCATTCCGTTCATGGAAAAGCTTTTAATTGATTGTGATTTTCGCTGAGATATTATTTGTCTTTTTAATTAGATTTTTCTTCTTTCTCCAATTATTCAACATATTTCGTTTTATGTAAACAAACGGAGGCGGAAATTAAACAAACGAAAGCATTTCATCATGAAATTAGATTCATCTAATGCAAAACACCTTATAATGATGTGAATATAGACATAAATGATGAAGTAACATAATGATCATAATCAAACATGAATAAATTTCAATCACGTATGATAGAATTTATGTTGAGACTTCTTCTTCTTTTTCTTATCTTCTTTGTCTTATGCTTTTCTGATAAAGCTAACGTTTTTATATTCCTTCTTTGAAACATATTGACATAGCTTATGAACTCCTTTTCTTTCGATAGCTCCACTCTACAGATATTGAGCGTGTTGAAATTTGATAGCTATTAAATGTAATATATAAGTTTATCAGGAAACTTCAAAATGTTGGAATTTAATATTTAATATACATGAAAATGTCTCAAGAGTCTGGTTTGCCAATATGTTTCACTCCATAGAAGTAAAATAAAATAAAAACAAAACTTGAAAATATCGATAAAATGTTTAAAAGTGGAAAAAGTTTTTAATGTTCCATAAAGTGCATTAGATCAAAAGTCCCCAACATTAAAAATATTAATGCATTTATTTATGTTTTAAATCACAAAAACCTTTCAAGCTGGAATTAAAGTCTTTTCTTTGCAGCTTTGCATGTGAATACTTTAAATCTCTCTTTTAAATTTTCCATTTTGTATTCAAAGTTTATTTAGTTGGAAGTGCCATTTTTTGCTTCACTTTTCTTTTATTACTTTCATGTTGCTGCAATTTTAGCCGTGAAAAGCATAGAATGTAATGTCAACCGCACAAATTTTGCACAGCCATAAAATTACATTCATCTGTAATTCCAACATTTCATTTTGTAAAAGTCTCTCCTAAAATCTTGTACAGTGTGTACAGTTTTGAAGTATAACACGTCACATTTAAATCAAGATTTATTTTATTTTAATCCCTATGCTCAGAAATTATCATGAAATATCACGTTAGCTAAGCAAAATGACTGTTCTTGTATTATGTATTTTCAAAAAACGGGAACGACATGACACGAATGGAACTTAATCTACAGTGCTGTGAATGGATGAGACACAAGATTTCTTTTTATTTTCCAAACATGATTTCATACAAAAATTTTCAAAGTGTCAGTTTTATCCCCGTAATGCTTGTCACATTATTTTTCTCTTATCTTCGTTCACAGAATTTGCTAAAACTTGAAGAATGACAAGAATGAGAAGAATTTAAGTTGATTTTCTTTAAAAAAGAAGAAAATAGAAAGCATTCTACAGTTTTTCATTTCATAAGAAAATTTAATAAGTCTTTTCTCCAATTTTCCAAACCAAATTTTCGGTTTTAAATATTTAAATATTTTATTAAAGTAAAATTAGTTTACACCAAAATGAAATTATTTTCAAAGACATTTTCCTAATATTATGAGTCAAATTTCTTGAAATTTATTTATTCGCATAATTTATCATATTTTTGTTCCTTTCAGCTTTCTTCTTCTTCTAATAAGATGAAACAAGAGACACCCACATTTAAAGTATGTAAGTACCAGTAAATATTGTTTGGTTCAAAAGATTATCTTCTTCATACATAAATGTAAATGTTTCTCATACACAAGCACACATTAAGCTCTCATAAATGTTAATGTAAGTAAAGCATAATAATCTTAAATTTGAGAACTTTTGTGAATTCAGTAAAATCTTTAACGATTCTCAAAAGGAAAAATAAAATTTTTTCATGACAATTTAAAGCACTCGCAATATTTTAATCTTGATTTTTAACGTAACTTGCTTCTGTGGGATAACGAACGAAATTTAAGAATTTGTATATGAAATTATGTTTAGAGCTCTATTTTGATACACGTCGACATACTCACGAAAAGATTACACTGTCACCTATAAAATAATTATCTTTCTAGGCGTGAAATTAACGATCGTGTTAAAGACACGTAGAGAAAGAGATCTCGTGACGAAAATAAAATTCAACAATCCACAAAAACCTGTAGAATGAAACTGAAGATAATTTGAAAAGATGAAAACCTTTGACACAGATAAAATTATATAAATGAAGAATATTTAAAAAAACTGTCACATCAGTAATTAGTGTGTGGTTCAAAGAAATCTCTTCCCTTTACGCATCATGAGAAATCATCATTAAGTCAGAAACATTCAAGTCTTTTGACTTCGCTTTGAAGATTAGAATTCATCAGAAAAAAGTTCATAAATTTTGCATAGCAAATGTTTTCCGCTAAAACATAAAAATGTTCTGATTCTAAGTATGCAAAAAAGAGGTTCATTAATTATTTTTCTCATCCCGTTTCGCTTTCTCACTCAACTCAACTCGACTCAACTCACAAATGACATATGCTCCATTTAAATTTTCATACGCTTTAATTGGAGGCATATAAATAATTACGACAATGAAAATTATAATAAACTTTACTCGAGATGAAAAACACTCTTACGAATGAGTTAAGAGACTTGACATCGAATTTTGATGGAAAATATTGGATGAGATTCTCAAGAGTTTTACTTTCGGTGTTTGTTGAGTGGAAAAAGGCTTTTCATGATCTTTAATTAAGAGTTTTGGAAAACTACCAGACTTGTTGAGATTTCAGATTAAATATTCAACATTCAACCCTCAAGGCTTCGCGAAGCATTTTCAATGTTGAATGTTGAATAAATAAACCAACACACACACGCATGACATTTTTCTACAAACATCAGGAGAAAGAATTGTCGTCGTCGGTCTTTCAGTTTATGTTTGGCTCAAGCCACATCCGCTACACTTACAAAGAGAAGATTGTCGACTCGAAAATGAAGGAAGAGAAAAAAGGAAGGAAAAAGGAGTTTGGATAAAATATGCATTGAAACTGTTCTGTTATTATAGGCATAAAAGCTCAAAAAGCATCAACAAGAAAATGCTTTTAAAAGTCACAAAAAAGCCTAAAGGAAACTTTAATGTTAAATAGAAAATTTTCAGATTGTAAAAAATCACGTACATGGTTGATTTTTATGAAAGGTCTACGATGAAGGATCTACTACGACTTACGAGTGACTATAAAAAATGTTCAAAGAGTGTCTACGAAAGGTTGCGTCGGGACAGGTAATAATTTTCCGCTATCCAAACCAATTTTCTCGTGTTTTCTCACGTAGAGTCATTAAACATTTTATTTCTTATGTTTTTTTTTATCTTTTTTCCTTCATTTCATAAAATATCGAGCGTAGAAAATAATTCGATCGCACGCGGTTGAGTTTGTTGTCAATACGCGTCAGTGAATGATTTTTATGCGTTTTTCTTGCTTCATTTTCCCGCCTTCCTTTCAAGTGAAAACATAATTAAATCTGAAATATTATGTTGTACGTTGTTTTATGAACATCCAGCTGCGACTTCCATGTTCTTGCTTGTCTTTCAAATTTTCTAATTTGGGGATGGATTTCGTTCTCGAATAAATTACGGCCTCAATCATTCTGCCTCATTCAATTAGTGTCGAATGCCAATCAATCAATTAAGACTTACTACGCCGACAAATATCGAGCGACGAAATTTTGTCGATCATTTATTTCTTCTCTACTGAAACTATTGAATTAAAGTTGTGGAGAAAATTAGGTCAGAAAGAGTTCCTCATGAATAAGATTCAAAATCCAGATGAGCGTGTTGACAGAGCTTCGCTTTTTACTATTTTCCGCTACGTCATTGCTGACAACACATAAATCCTTTCTTCCTTTTCAAAACACCTAAAAACTTTTTTCTCTTTTCTCTCATCTCCAATGCCTTCATCTCCATGAGTACAGGAAGGAATCGTTTTTGCCTTTAAATCTACCTAAAATTTTATTTTATTTACTTCCTCCCACTCGTTTTCTGGTTTCCATAAAAAATAGAATAAAAAGAAGAACAAGCAAGCGACAACAACAATGAAAATGGTAAAAAAAATTATACGAGAAGAAGGGAAAACAATCACAGAATATCAAAGTGTTCTGTCATACACAGTATTCATCTTCACCGCATTGTCTGGGGCGGTGGAATGTGGATATATGCAATTTTATATCTCTGTTGGAATGAAAAAAGCGGCAGAAAATCTTCAGTGCTGGATTAAAATGAGTTTCGAGATACCTTTTAAAATAGGATCATCGTTAATTGGAAGAAGATCTTTCGTGAAACTCGATAATCTCTTGGATTTATTTTATCTCCATGGATGATAATTTCGAGAGAGTATAAAGTAATAAAATTTACGAGATACCTACGGAAAACAAGTCGCGGCTCTAATGGAGATTTTCAAAGAAATTCTTCTAAAGATTTTTCTTCTTGAATACACAAAGCTGAGTGGTGTAAGATAACACAAATTAAAGCTTTGGGAAATCTCTTTTAAGTGAAGTTCTGTTATCAGTGATTTTCTTTTTAAAGAAGAAGGGATCTCAATTATTAAAAGATATTTACAATGAAATAAAACAAGAGGTGACAAATGACGGTTGAAATGAGATTATAATTGTAAAGATTAAAGTGCAGAATCACACTGGCCATATTGTTTTAAATAGATACAAATATAATTTAACACTAAATTAAATGTGTGGAAGAATTTTTTATAATCTTCTCTTGAAATAAAATGAACATCGTATTCATTACTCTGCTGTTAAAATTAATTAATAAACATCGAAGACCATCTAGTGAGAATCAAGTGAACTTTCAAAAACATAAAAAGAAATCAATTGATTTTCAATTTAAAAATATAAAAAATTTGCATTCAAAATGGAAGCGAATCTGCAAAGCTAATAAATCATTTTCTCTCAATAAAAATGTCAGCAAAACGTCAACTTCTTTATATTCTGCATAACAAATTTTTTTAAATCATAAAAGAACAATTTCTGACGAAAGCGAAGAATTTATAATATAATTTATGTGTCGATCGTGAGATTGCAACTTTGACATATAATCAATAATCTCCATCGACTATTTATCTACTTATGAAGTCGATTATTGTGAATAAATTTCACTCTAAGTTCGTGACATTGGTAAAATTAAAATTCGTTTCTTTTTATGAAGTTTATAATTGAAACTTTTTATTAACACAATCACAAAACAATTGCAGGAAAATTCTCAACGAACTTTAAATCGCTTCCACAAATTGTAAAAAATGCTAAAGTGATTTGGAGGAAGAGAATTTGTAACGCTATCGGGGATATGTGAGCTCTAGAAAAGTTTCCGCTATAAACTGCTTCAAAATATTCATGAAAGAAAAAATATAAAATTTGAACGCGGATAAGCGACGGTGTAAGAGAGAAAAATGGCAAACGTAGGAAAATGATATCGTCATTAAATCCGCTTTACCACATCAGTTAGAGATTGTATGTAATTGCTCTCATTTTCTTTTCAGCGACGCTAAAAGCACGGGCAATATAAAAATGAGACAAGAATAAACCGTGCCAGGGAGGACATTTAAATTGATAACGACAAAAAAAGGAAGAAACAACAGAAGAGGACGAAAGAAGAAAAAAAAAATCATTTTTCCTTCACAGCCTTACACAACACAAAAAAAAACTCAAAGTATCTTTTATCGCAAAGTCTTTACAAGCACTTATTTTTGCTGTCAGGAAGGGAAGAATGCTTTCGACGACGTCGAGATATTCGCCCAAATCTTGGAACAATGTAAAACGATTATATATTTTTTTCTCAATCCATCTCCCCCCCCCCCCCCCCCTTTTTTCTTCTCACCCCCACTTCCCACCAACATCCACAACAACACTCGATTGCTTGAAATGAAGCCTTTTGTCTTCCGCAATTTTTTGTGGTTTGCCTTCTCCGTTCTATTCTCGACGAATTTAAACTTCAGCATATTTATTTGGTCTATCTTTTGTTTTGACGATCCCTTTTTCTGTGCTCCCCTCAGCTTTATTTCCTGCCCTTGCGATAAGCCCTTTGCTTTTACAAAACCCTCCCTCACCATAGCAAAACCATCCCCATCGATATATGTACGATATTTGTTCTTGTTTAAGCATAAATATTTGTTGTTATTGCTAGCAAACGTAAACAGGCATATTAACTCTTTCTTTAACTTTTTTTCTGCTCCCCTCTCAACCGTAACACTTACTTCAACAAAAAGTTTATCATTACGCACGATAACAATGAGAAAATGAAAAGCAAAGGAAAAAATAACATAAATATCTGCCTCGAAGTTAAGAATGCTTCTTTTCTTTTCTTGAACGTAACTGATAATAATTTTAAATTTCTGCTTCTCACTTCATTCGGTTGCCGGCATGTCTGACTTTCACATTACAGATCAGATACATCTACATGATGAAAAATGTTTCTTTGCTGCCAACAAAGAAAAGTTATTCTCAGGGAGAAGTAACTTGCTGAATAAATTTATGTGCTTGAGCGATGAGAAATGTGTGTTGAAGAAGAAAAGTTTCCTTTTTTCTTTTCTTTCTTTTTCGCTTTTCCACCAACCAACATGTTTCTTTTTCGCTTTTCATAATCATATTCTAAAACGTATGTTGCGTGAAAACGGGAAGAACTTCAAACACCTATTGTGGAAGCTTTTTTTCATTCTTATTTTTTTATTTTGAATTATGACACAATTTTTCCTTTTGTGTGTGGGTGGTAAAGCAATAAACGAAAATATTTTCTTTCAAATTTGCTTACGATAAAAAAATATTCCATTCAGTATTTTACTTCTGGTTCATTGAGTCTTTCGTCCACTACTCCCGAACAATAACAAGTATAATCGAAAGATTTCCTTCCCGTCCATTTGTGAATAGTGACCTAAACCCCATAGGCAGAGATGATGATTGGTAGGTTGGAGGAGAAAAAAAATCTTCACGTCATTAAGAAGACACAAAATTACATAACTCACAATGTATGTAACTAAATGAAGTTTTATTGACACGAGAGTTCTCGAAGATCATTTATCTTTCCCTGTTGTGCTTTTTACGCTCTCTATCGTCTCGTTACACTCTCTGCTTCGCTTTTGTTGACTTGCTTCGTAATACGAAGCACGATAATATGTATGGTGCAACTTTTTTACAACATTCGAAGAATAAAAATCTATAGGCACAAACTAATCATCATTATCATGAACTTTCTTCTTAACAAAATAAAAGTTTATAGGATTTTCTTACTTTGGCTATGAATAAAAAGTTATCGGCAAACCATAGGAAACTTTTATTTATTGGAATTAAAATAAGTTTTTTTTTTCAGGAAAGTATGGACAAAAAGAAAAAAAAGAAGAAGAGAAAAAGAAAGATTATCTTGCTTTTATGTTTATTACGAATGTAAGTTACAGAAAAATAATTGCTGTCACATTCAAACAGTGATGTTAATCAGATTTTCCCCAAATATTAATGTTGTTGAACGCAATAAACTTGATTAAATATGTCAGAATCTTAAATGAAAGTTTCACGTGTTCGAGATAATTACAGAGCATGAATTGCTTTGACATTAAATTTGAAGATAAGTAATCTGATTGAATTTTTTCTATTATTCAAGACTTTTTTCTTTTTATGAAATTATGGAAAATTTGTTTTCATCATCAACATTTTTAAAAGAAATTCTTCAAAATATTTATGCTGTGAAATAAACGACGTACAAACATATCCTAGGCAACTTTTTTTTCTCTTTCCTGTTTTTAAGATAATGGTGTGGAAGGTTTCCCTGCCAACACATTCTTGTAGAGCTCATACTGTTGACAAGACCGAAACGAGAAAACTTTTCTGACGCTTTAAATTTTCCCCCGTTTTCATTCTCTCAATTGTGGGAAATCTTTAAAATGATTGAAAGTTTACTTACGTCAACGCATGAATAGAAGGAGGATATGAAAAAAAAAGTAAGAAAATATACAGAGACAGTACAGAAAAAGCAACCCCATAAAGTATTTTTTATAGAACGATATCGAAAATACGACGGCGAAGTAGAAAAAAAAATCATGAAAATATTCTGAGAAAGCAGAAACTTTCTTCTCCCATCATCTTGATAGCGTTGGATATCTATCTTTAAATTATATTTAATGACATTTCATATAACCAGAAAATGGGAGATAGAAGACGAGCTGAAAAAGCGTCTGTGACTATGAAATGTTATGGATTTTTTGGGGAAGCAAAGAAAAATCAAGCAAAGACCCTCTTCATTCGCATAAGTGATTTTTTTCTTTCACATTCACATTTCATTCTGTTTCTTGATGCTGTCACACGTGCATTTAATTATGCCGTTTCAGTAGCTGTTTGTTGAAGACTTCATTTGGAAACCATGGAAATTTATGCGAAAGGTAATACTCTGACGACATTTAAAAATGTTGTTAAAGTAGACACGAGTCAAGTTTGGATCGTGTAGCGTTTCAATGATGTTTACACAACTTAATTTATTTTCAAAATGATTTTAATAATCTGTTTAACCATCGTCAAAACACTGTGTGCTTTGCGAACATATTTATCTACCAATGTAAACAAAAGAAACACATTTTTTTAGTTCTCTCACATATTTTAAGTATTTGTGTATGTACCTTATTTAAGTCGTAGTTCTTGAAGTCACTAATGAAGTATCCGTTGTGGAAGTATCCGATTACACGTTGAAAGAAAAAAATATCAGTTTTCTATAATAATATCCATTAACTGCAACCAAACACTCTTTTCTTCTTATTTTATGTTGATGGGGTTGTTAATGGTGTTATTTAGTCTCTGTACGAAGCACTTCTCGCAATATTTCACTCTTTTTATTTTTTTATCTTTTCTTTGGATTATGACACAACACGAAAAATATTTTTCAATAGATCTTCAATGTTATTTGATATATTCCTAAATTTGCACGATTCAATGTATCATTCGTTATTATTAGCATATAAATATCTAAGTATATATGTCGTCATCATCATTCCTATGCAAAACCGGAGGATTAGATTTGTAATAGCTTTACATCCCCTTTTACATTAGATCAGGCTCAGAAAGTTCTACTAAACTTTTCCTTTCCTCTTGCCATCAACATTCATTCACTCTGTAAATTTCCATCACAACTTATCCTCTTTGATAATTTAATTTATTCGACATTATTCATTTTTCCGCTTTTCTTTTTCTCCTTTTTCTTCGCTTTTTTTTATATGAACATTTTGGCGACTATCCTTTCGCAGACATTCATGTTTCGGGGACACAGCATAAATTTGAGCACTTTTTATATTCAACTTTTCGCATTTCTTCTGTTTGCTTTTGCTCGATCTTTTTTTTTCTTCTTTGCTTTTAGTATTGTATAATTTTTAATTTTATGACTTTTTCACTAAACCTTTTTCATCTCGCTTTTCACTTTGTACCAAAAGAAAAAAGAATGAATGAACACTTATTCACACAATACGCTGCTTTTGTGATGTTTGCGAAAAAAAGGGAATAAAAATCATAGCGCTTATAAGTATGTATGGCGCGTATAAAAAAGTATATTCCACAATGTTTTCCTCTCCTCGAGGCGGCCTCATTCAATTTGAAGTTAATCCTTTGATAAAATACTTTTTTCTTCTTGATAACAACATAAAAAATTCAACAAGACTATTAGGCGTCATGCTATATCGGATGTTGAAAGAGAACTGGGGAGCTGGAAAAGTAGCTGGGAAAAATATGAGATGCGAGAGAAAAATAGATTATATACTAGCGACAGAGTGTACATAGCGGCAAGCACACGAACTAATACATGAAAGCAAAACTAGTTTCCTTTATGAGATGAAGAAAGAAGCTTACGTACACGTTCTTGATATTAAAAGAAAAACGAGTAAAGGAGATCGAACAAAAGGAATTTTCCGAACTGAATGATTAATTACTATCTTCAGACCAAAACCATTTTCCCTACATTTTCTCATTAATGTGAAAGAAGAGAGAAAATTATATCATCACAAGAAAAGGATTTAAAGTTCAGTGGTGGTATGAAAAGAATTTCTATCCAGTTACTTACATTGTTTGACATAAAAGAAATTTTTTCCCTCTTCTTTAATACAGTGCTTGAAATGCACTCAAAAACATATGATGGATGGATCTGGAATTGACATCTAATCAGGTGATATGAAAGTTTTCTGAACACAACAAAAATTGTAGGCGAAAGTGCTTTCTTTTAATTAAAACATATTTGATGAAAGTTTGAGGTCGCTTTAAGAAACATTGTGTTTCACAATACTAAGCAGATTGAAGCTTTTAATCTAAAACAATAGACGATCAATCATTATGGGATGAAAGCACTGCTTCAACTTAAACAATGTTCTGGAATCAAATAAAAAAGTTTTCCTTTTCTTTTCTAAAGAATGATGATTCATTGCTAAGGTTTTTAATGTCACTTTTAACATAAGTTTTGTGCAATCGAAAACAATTTATGTTGAAATGGTCAACAAAAGTTTTCCTTCTCTCACATAAACATTTGTTTTAATTACAATTTTCAATTGACATCACTAAGGATGAAATATGTAAAATAGAAATATTAAAAGTTTTGAAACAAACATCATAACAACAACTTAATCTGTCATATTTAATTAACAATTTCCTTATTCTATGGTCTCAGCAGAGAAATTTCTTGTCTAGAGAGCGAGTAAATTGTGTGAATTACAAGAATCTAAACTATTACAACTTTGTTACATGCCCTTAGCCACAACTTTTTTTCATTAAATTAAGGAAGAAGGAAGTCAGCAAATGGATATCCCATATTCATGTTATACAAATCTAACACAGAAGTATCGCAATCAGCAAATTGAATAAATTAGACAATGTGTGATGAGATGTTACATTGTAAAAGTGTGGAACTCATACTGAAAGATGAGAATGATATCAAGTCACAAATTGTATTTAACTAACATACGAGTGTAGAACGAAAAAGAAAAGCAATAATTAAGGAGTCACGTGTTCATCAGAGTCTTTCGTCTTTCACTTCTACCGACCAACAATATCTCGTTTTAAGTATCTCTATGTTCGTTGTACATGTCAGATGCATATATTCATTGATTGCCAATTAAATCAGCAGTCGTTTACATTCATGTACCTGCATGCTAGTTCTATTAAATTAGAGATTTCGTGTGCTTTTGATATTCTCTACATGTTGTTAGCCGTTATGTTCTTCAAACTTCTTTTTTCTCCTTTCCTTCTCTTGCAGATATTCATTGTGAAATGTGAAACAAAAAACCAATGCACGAAAGAGAACTGAAGCTTCGTGTTTGTTTCTCTTTAATAGAATATTACTTACAGGTTCTTTGTTCAGCATAAAAAAATATCGACAACTTCCCTAAACCTTGAGGGGTTGAACGCCAGGTTATTTTATCCCCTAATAGGTTTAACTATCTTCATAAATCCACTTGCCTCAGCCAATTTATTACCTTCATTATAGATTTTTACACTTCAATAGATTTAGCAAATTGTCGATTGCAAGCAAAAATCTTTCGAAATTTTCAAGGAGAATCTTAAATACGCATGATGCAGCAACTTCCGAGCGTCTTCACAAAATTCGATGACGCAGTTATTTGCTGATGAATTCTTGAATCATAAATATTTAATGAATATGGAGATTTTTCTACTGCCCAAGCAAGATACTTTATAATCCCTTTTAGCAGGGATCAGAAGGCGAACGTGAGAAATCGTCAGCAAGAGAAATATTTATTTAGGATTATTGTGTTTTTTTTTTGTGAAATATTAACGAACACATTTAAATTGGCTCCGTTAATTCAATATCGGCGGTTAAACATGCGGGTGTGAGTTGCTTTAAGCTGCCTTTTAACGAAAGCCTGTGAAGGTACGAGATTTATCTTAACAACCTTTTTTTTTTCTTTCTCTCGCGAAATGGAAAACGAAAAATGTTTTTCACATCAAAATCTATTCGCAAAAAAGTTATAAAATTCTTCGCCTTGAAATGATTTGAATGAGTTTTTGTAGGCGGTGGTTAATGGAAATGTAAATGAAACAAAGTTTCGTGGTTGTACTTAGAGTTAGAAAGTTTTACCGCTTCACAAATATTGGCTATGTAACTGAATAGTTGTGAACAGTTTAAAAGTTGATATCGGGATGATTCAACGCTTGTAAAAGAGATTTTCAGCTTAGTGGAGAAGAGTGTCGAGTAAGTTTGAATAAATAACGATATTGATTAAAATTAATGAAAAATTTTTCGAAGCTTATGAATTATAAAGTAAGGAAGGAAAAGATTAGCATAAGAAGAAGAACTTTATATCATTATGACACTTTCTTATTCTTAAGGACTTTAAAACGTACTTAATCGTTCTATTCGAACGCTTTGCATGGAAAATGTTCAAAGGTGATTAATCCTTGAAAAACTTTCTTCATCGACTATTCAATTGAGGATCAAAAAAATATTCTTTTAATGTCCACAACAAAACTTTATATTATCTCAACTTGACAAGATGTCTGAAATTTTTCACATCATAAACAAGTCACTTTTGTTCTTCTTTCGTAGCAAAGTAACTACCTAAATAACGAGAACAAGGAGAAGAGAAAAAATGTAAGCGAGAGAAAGTTTATGCATTCGATTCATTTTTAATGATGAAGTAATAAAGTCTTGAATTGGAAAAGTTTTTTTCCTTCTTAAAGCGAAGTTTTAAGAGAAAAACTTTTTCAGAATTTCATGTTTTTAAACTAATCTGTAGCCATTTGATAAGCGGTGTTGATGAACATGTGTAATGTAAATAAAGTAATTGCAGAGCTTTTAAAATCATTTGATGTTATGTGGGCGGTGAAGTAAAGGAAGACAAGACAAGACAATTTCCATTAAGAATAAAGACAATCAAACGAACATAAATCTCAAAACAGCTTGAGCTTTTTTTTATTTGACTTTTACAGAAAAATCAATTTTCAATTACAATGCGCCGAGAACAACGACGAATGTAGATAATATAAAAAGTTTGAAATTTGCTACGACGTAATTAGCATAACAAAAAGCCAATTTGAAACGTGAAAACAATACAAAATGAGTGAATTTATGTTCGTCACACAACAATACATTGAATTTACATTGCCGCTCGTGTAGCTGTAGCATGTTGATCTGAACTTGTTTCTATTCTCTTAAGTAAAGCATTAATCAAAGAAAAAAAAAAGAAAAAACATTTGCTACGTAGAAATTTAAATTTCTTCAACAAATACAAGAAATCTCTTGAATAATTTTCTCGACTCTGCTGTTATTAAATGAGCCGCTTTTTGTGTTGAAGAAAACATTTCATCCAAATAAAATGATACTCAAAGCTTTTTCCTTACTTCTCCATGTTGTGAGTTTAGGAAATCTTAACTTTCATTTCCCTTCCTTTTAAATGTCTTTACATCTTTTAAGCTTTCATCATCCATAAAATTGTTCGGCACTACATTTATAATGTTTATAATTATCGAAACATGTAATTACATCCTCTCATTACAACATTTTAAACTTTCCTTCGCAACAACATATTTACACGCACACAATGAGCTTTAGATGTTTATTAAATTGAAACGCTTTTTTCTTCATTTTTCTAGCTTATTATGAGAAGACTTGAGACAAACACTCACTCCAATGCTTCCAAATGCTTTCAGCTATAAAAATTCAGTGGTAGTGTCTCGATGGAAGATTTTATGTTTCTCTATCGCTTACAATTCAAACATCCGGCATATTTAATTCGTTGAGAAGACGTAGAAGAGTCGCCAAATAGTCTCAAAATGTTATTTTCTTTTCTATTTGAAATGAAAATGGAAGAAGAAAATCAATAGCAAGGTTCTCATATATAAATACGAAACGAAAAAAGTTTTCGAAATGAAATCTTACTTATGTACATTTACTCGTTTCAAAGCGAATCATGTGCAAAAATCGAAAACATTTCATGAATGAAATTTCGACGTGTGTGAAATGCGCTGAAATAAACGTGAGTTTAACAGCTTAATTTTTGTTGTCCAATCATGAGAGCTTCATTTTTATCTCATCACGATTGAATAAGTTATCGTTTCGTGCGATCAAGATCTGTTCGGTTGTTTTCCGACGCAATAAAGTTCATCGCTTATTGATTAAGTCAATTGGTTTTTGTCCACGTTTCACTTGAACCCAGACGCTATTCTTCGATTCAAATTTAAGTATAAGAAAAAGAAAGAATGAATTTCGCTTCTTATTTCTCACGTACTTTCTTTCGAGTCGTTGACCGACGACAGTAAAATATGCTTCACAGTCGTTAATACAAGAGATGCAAGCAAAAGCACAAACAGAATCAGGCCAATTGAGTTAAACGTCGATCGTTATTTACTATAACTAGGAAAATATTCATTCAATTTTCATATCTACATTTGTATCTTTGTATCAATTTGATATCAAATGGAATAAAATATGCTGCATATGAACTGCCACTACATCAACATAGATTATTATGATTGCAAATATTATGAAAAAATTTAATTCCATGCAGTAAATATATAAAATAAGAATAATCTTCATTTTTAATTTTCAGATCAGGTTTAGATATTTCAATAGAGCAACCGGAAGAAAGTTTGTTGAATATTCAATTCCATTTCGAGATATTCATTTGAAATTAAGATTTCAATTTAGCCACTTCCAGGATTTAAAGTTCAAAATAATAAAGTCATGAACTTTAAGAATTATTTTTCCATGCTTTAAAATGTTTTTTGATAGAAACCAGATGCGCCAATATTCTTACGACAGCGTTCAACGGTTAAATTCTCCAAGGTAACATAAATCTAGGTTAGTTGAAACATTCATGAAATATTCTAACAAAATGATTCCAAACATCCAATCACGATTCTCGTATCAATCTTAAAACAGAAGCTTTTTCTTTGTGAATAATCTTTTGGTAAATAAACAGAACTTTTTGAAACTTACCCTTAAGCAACAACATAAGAAAAAGGCAAATATATGTTTGTAAATGTTGATCATGACTTTTCAAAGAACTGTTCGCGCTTTTGTTCGTCACGTGTCGTAAACTTTCATCGCCATAGTTTAAAAAACACCTGAGAACTTGTAAAATATCTTCGAAAACAAAGAAATATGCTATCAACTTCAAATCTTACTTACAAATCTAATCAATCTTTATTAGAAACTGGAGGAAACTTTACAAATTCCCGGGTATTAAGAAAAAAGCTTTTTTCCGCTTTGCCAGATGCCAAATTTATTTTCGATTATTGTCTTTTAAAAACAGAATAATAAAATTTTATAGTTATAAAATTGAATTGCTTTCTCCAGGTAACGAAAAGAGTGAATCGTTTTGCAATAATCACGGTCTGGTGACTTTTATAATTTCAATCAAGTATGCAAAAGGTTTATGTTTATGTGTCTTCGTTCAATAGTTTCTTGTTTGCATCAATTCTAGAGAGGAAAGGAATGGTAAAGACGCTTGAAGCATTTTATATTCAATTTAAGAATGCAGTTCACGATCATTTATTTACGATATTTGCAATAAATATATTTTTTTTTATTCCCAAAAGCATGAAAACACATTGCAGCATTGATTTCCCTCCTCTCATCCACTGTAGTTTGCTTAAGCTTCTCTTTCTCAAATAAAAATAGCGGTGCCAAGACGAGGAATCTAAAAGACAATAAAGGTTTATTGATTTGTTGGTCTCGGGGTAAAAAGTGCAACAATTTATCAGCGTTGATACGACATGCAAACGCCTCAATGCTTGGCGCTACAATAAAATTCAATATCAAATAAAAATAAAATAAAAAAATGAACGAATGAAAGAAAGAAAACTTAAAAACCTGACGCCACACGAGAATCCCAAGAAAATTTTTGTGAATGTATTAAGATACGACTCAGACGTTTTCCACATTAATAATGTTATTTTTAACCATTCCATTTGTAAAACGCGTCAATGTGTTTGAAAACATTTTTTTCTGATAAAAGAAAATAATCTAATCTACATGAGATAGTGAGAGACTTTTCAACTCGACAACTAAATAATTTTTCTTCAGTCACTATTGAGTTGATATTGTGAGAAGACATAGTTTGTAGTGTAAAATATTTGTGAACTCAATTACATAATAGCTAGTAAAAGCAAAAGAAAGAAAGCAAAGAAATTTGAATGGCAACAATACAAATGACAGATATGTCAGAAAATAATTCTGCACAGCCAGGTGTGGTTACTTGTAAGACAAAAAAGATTCATTTCATTTATGGCAAGCAAATTATCTAACATAAACATGTCGTATAAATAAAAACTGTCATTATAAGCTTGCACTTGAATAGATAAAATGTCATAATAACACTTGAGATAACTTTCAATTCAAAGTCTAAAATAATAAAAAAGATTTTATCGTCCACTATAACATTTCATTGATAACAACACCTATTCGACTTTATCATAATCAAAATTTCGATATGAAAACAAAGAATGACATTTTCGTTTATTTTACGATCCTAACTTCATCCACCTGTTTAGTTCGTGCTCCAAAATAGCTTGATAATTTATTATCATGCATCCCACGCGGAGTTTTTAAACTCATTAGTGTTCATTAGTTAGTGTTGTAGAATGTTTTGATTTTTTTTTTTTTTACTTTTTTCTTCTTCATCTAATTCTCTCATAGAAGAGGAAGAAAAGTTTTTTTCTTTAAGTTATTGCATACACCTGAAAGAGATTAATTAGTTGGAATATCTTTTAGCCTAGACCCGCTTTCTTCATTAGATTACCATGGGAAGAATGAAAGTTTACTCAAGATATTTTATTTTCCTTTCTTTAATCGTTTGTCGGTAGAAGAAAAAGAAAAGAAATCAGAAAAAAGTTCAGGTGTGAAAACGTTTTAAACATGAACATCTCATCTTGAGGGAGATCTCAATTACAAACATTTAGAATTTTCTTTAATGAAACCAAACATAAATTTCTTGCTTTCCGATTATTTGTTTACAATTGTAAATCGTACAGAGGCTAAGATGTAAGGAATCTTCGAATAAACTCAAAAATCCATTTACACAATATTTTGAATCAACGTTATTGAGTTTCCAACTATTACGTGTATCACAGATGTTCTTTCGTGAGATGAAGCATTAAGGAAAGGAAGGCACGGAATGAGAAATTGTTCTCGGAAATCTCTAAATGCACATCTGACTAATAGAAAGAAATAAAATGCTTTCATTCCCCTGAAAGATCGTTTCTCTTGTTATTTAAATAAATTCTTAAATTAGTCAGTTTTAAGAAGAATTTCAAGCTAGATGTGTTAGATGCTAGCGCAGCTAAAATCTAAATTGTCAAAATTGAGTAGTTCTTTAAAGCAATTTATTTTCTCATCAAATTATGACGACTCACACAGTACGAGTTGAGCCGACTCCTTTCAGCCCTCAAACACATCCAAGTGTCGTTATAAGTACGTATAAATTTTTTGTAACAAAGAACAAAGTATTTTTAATTATTTTTTTTAATGATGAGTTTTAGCTCATTAGTGATTTATTTAAGTACATATAAATTTTTATGCTAATAGAAAAGTTTCTCTTGTGCTGTGAGAGGTTAAAAATATCTAACAACGTGTCGTCTTCGATTTGATAAAGTAAGATTAAAGTTAGAACAGAAGTAATTAAGCAGTACTTGCATGTTTAGATTAAATTCAAAAAGTTTTGAAAGGAAAAATGAAATTTGTTTGATGTTTTCTTTAAATTGGTTTCACATGAAATATTAAAGAAGATAAGTTGAAATTTTTAATTAGATATTTTATCAGCGATTTGTTTATCGTCCTTAAGTTTTCATAATTTCAAGTTTAGGTGACTAATTGACTTTAAACATTTTTTCCTACATTTTGTTTCATGTTTAAAGTTTTTCAAAACCCAATCGCTTGTTTATGTTCAAGAATCGAAACAAGTTTCTTTATTTTTATTTGAGTAACTCAGATATTTATGTAGTCAATGAAAGTTACGGGAAACGTGAAAGAAAGATTAAACAGCTGAATGAAGAGAACAGAACCTCAGGGCTAACCAAAGTAATTTATTAATGACGACAACGACCTAACGACGACGTTTTCCAAAGGGAGAAAGAGAGCAAAGATGGAAACATTCGCTCGTAAAATAATCCACCTAATATACATATAACCAACTTTTCCCAAGATTTCCCTTTCATTTTTTTAACCACGCTTTGATGTGATTAAAAATTATGCTGCTCCTTTGGCTGCTGCTGCTACATAACTCGCAATTTTTATATTTTTTGTCACCTCACGGCTCACGTGCGTAAATATTTCCTTTCTAAAGAGATTTTCTTTTTTTTGCTTCATAAAAGGCGCACGTGTTTCTGTGGAAACGAATGTGCGACAAACTCTCATGTGTCGTGATATAAACTCTTGAAATATTAGCGCACATGTTTTAATACTCTTAAGAATCAAATTAAAACTTATTCATACACTCGAATGCTCTATGCTCGTGTGCAGTCATTTTCTCACATCCGGCAAAATTAAAATGAAGAAAAAAAGAATGTTTCGTTGATGAGATTTGAAATTCCTTCATGGATAAAGTTGAAAGTTGCATGATTAAATATTTAGAAAATAATAAAAAATAAATTTCTCATGGTTGATCGTATTTCGGCTATAGTTATTGAAATGTAAATAAATCGTTTCAATTGAAATTTATTTATTAACTCACCGACTCTTGTTTAATTTTAATTATGAAATATTTTCAATGGTTTATTCGATCTAGGGATTTGTTTATACATTTAATTCCAATTTATCGACGTCGATCGTTTGTGTATAAAGCTACGGTTTGAATACAGTTCATAAAACCACATGTAAAGCACTCGCTTCTACATTCAAAATCAATTTCTTGCTTAATTCAATTAGATTGAAAGCCCTGAAGGAGTCGGTGAGACTAAAGGAATTCAAATTTAGATTTGTAAAGTTTTAACAATCCACAGACATAACATTAATGTGTTATTTGAAACAATTTCTAAACCACATCGAAACTATCGATATTCACGTTCATTTTAATATTCAGCTACAAATAGAATCAGAAACTTTTTCTTAATTAACATAGTTGGACGTATCCGTTTTACATTTTTTTTTTCGATAATTCTGAACATCATAAATCAAAAGCATGGATTGTGTAACAACTGATTCACTTAACTGTGAATGTTACGTACAGATGCGTAAGTTAATTGCATCCGCTTCCTAGCGAAAAACGTCATTTGAACATACGACAAGCTTTTATAAATTTTGTGACTGTTAATTAAACTCTAAATGTGATAAATGGAACTAAGCATGACAAAACATTTCCTGATTTTAGCGGAAGGACAACGAGGTGGCTTGATTGAAATCCTAGCAACGGTTGGCTCAATCATACTCATGATTGTGACATTTCCAATATCGGTTTTCATATGCTTCAAAGGTTTGTTCAACAATATAATAAAATGATGAAGGCAAATATTTGTGTTAACATCATGTCACTTTTTCCGCGATTTCAGTTGTTCAAGAATACGAGCGTGCCGTCATTTTCAGAATGGGTGAGAAATTATAAAAGGAATACAATTTTATGGTATGGTTAATAATATTTTTGCACCATCTTTCAACTTTAGGAAGACTCAGAAGTGGTGGAGCACGAGGTAAAACTTTAATAATTACATACTTTGGATGGCGTCATGTAGATTTTAAAGCTAAGGAATAAACGTTGATTGGAAGTTCGTCTCATTAAGCTTCCCCATCAGATAATTTGTTTCACAGCGCATTAGTCTTTGAGCATAATTTATATTAATGTCAAAATAATTTTCAGGCCCTGGAGTATTCTTTGTGTTACCTTGCATCGATAATTACTGCAAAGTAGATTTACGAACCGTTTGTGAGTTGAAATTATTTCGTTTTATTGTAGAGAATTCAATTGATTGACCTTTTTTCTATCAATGATTTGACAAAATTTATCAGCTATTAAATTAAATTGTCAGAAATCAAATTCTACTATCATTGAACATGTCAACTGAATTCCTTAATTATTGATTTTGTTTGTAATGTCATAATCATTTTCTGGTTGAAGCTTTTGACGTTCCACCTCAAGAAGTACTTACAAAGGACTCAGTAACAGTTTCCGTTGATGCTGTCGTATATTACCGAGTTAGTTTCTGCATCGTTTATATACTTACAAGCTTTCAGAGATTATCCATTTAATTACTGAAATTTCTACTATTTTTAGATAAGCGACCCATTAAAAGCCGTAGTGCAAGTTGCCAATTATTCGCACTCAACACGCCTTTTAGCTGCAACAACTTTGAGAAATGTACTGGGAACGAGAAATCTCTCCGAGCTATTGATTGAACGTGAAGCCATTTCCCATACTATGGTATGATTATACGAAACGAAAGACGGAATGGATTCTATTAAAAAACTTTTCGTTTTTATTAAAATTCCTTATAAATATACGGAAAATGTTTACATTGTAGCAAATATCGCTAGATGAAGCAACTGATCCTTGGGGAGTTAAAGTTGAACGAGTTGAAATGTAAGTTTAAGCAAAACCACTTCACGAAAATTGTTGCAAGTAATTTCTGCACAACATCCTGTAAATTAAGTTAAAGAATTTAATGAAAATATGCTTAAAATTTAAAGGCTTCAAAATTGTAACGAAGATGTCGAGTGGTGTTTCTAACTTTTTACTTACATTCTCATTTCTCTCTCAAATTAATTTTTCAGTAAGGACGTATCATTGCCAACACAACTTCAAAGAGCTATGGCAACAGAAGCTGAAGCTGCGAGGTGACATAAGAAAAGCAATAAAAGTATACTTTAAAATCTAATTTCATTAAATATTCGCCTACAGGGAAGCACGTGCAAAGGTGATTGCTGCAGAAGGAGAAATGAAATCCGCTAGGGCGTTGAAAGAAGCTGCTGACACAATGTGCGAATCACCTGCCGCGTTGCAACTCAGATATCTCCAGGTGAGTTGTCATAACAAATGAAATATTTTGCTTTTATTTAACTATATGTCAACTTATATGTACATATATTAAATTGCTTTTCAGACACTCAACAGCATTTCAGCAGAAAAGAATTCGACAATAATATTCCCATTGCCTATCGATCTTATAAGCCCATTACTTAACTTGGTGAAAAAGTGATAGCAATTTGGAGATGACGTTGACGACCGATTCTTTAGAAATGCCATCAATTATTGTTGATGTTGAAATGTATCTATCGTAATTTTAACTTATTTCCTTGAAAGCTTTATAAACCAATGTTGGACCACAAGGGAAATGGAAATATTTTTGCAACGTCATGGCAAATTGTTGTGGATTTAAAACAACATAAACATATTTTGACATTGTCTGTAAAGTTTCATGTTCTCTTAGGATTAAGAAAATAATAATGTTCTTAAATTCATAAAATTTAAATATTTAAGCTTTAAAACTTTATTCACTGTCTAACAATGGTTTTAGTTTTTTTCGTAGATAGAAAACAAAAGAGAAATCCTTTTTCCAGAAATTAGAAGAAAATTTTAATAAAATTTTATATTCCTTGTCTCTCTTGACCAACAAAATCATTGTTTCATTTTATCGTATGCTTCACAATTTTATTCAATTGTTCACAAGTTGTTGCGAGATACCACCTGCGAAAATTAATTGAAAAACAATCGAATGGAGATTGAAAATTTTCATAAATTTCCCATCAAATTTTCCTTTAGTTATAAACAAGAAAGAAAATAATTTTTTATCATCATGAAAAATAATTTTGATTATATAAGTTTAAACTTCTTTATCCTTTAATGAGAAAGCACATGAATGAATTTTTAATATTTTAATTTCATATCATTACAGAAGGCAGTAAAATTTTTCCTTGTTTTAACTGTTAATTTTTCAAGGAAGTAAAAAAGAATTTTCTTCTCTTTTTTCGAGTTTAAGATTAATTCAGTTCAGCTGTTATATGAAAGCGTGTTCGTTAAAGTGAAACACACTTCATATGTAGATTTTTAAACATTTTCCCTTCAATTCAGAAACTCTTATCCGCAAGAAAACTTGGAAGCTTAAGGTGCTTTTTCTTGTAAATATTTAAACAAGCGTTTTATGTTGTTAGCTTTCAATTTTATTTTTTGGGAGTGGGTGGAGATTTCTTTTTTCTTCAGCAATCAAATTATCATCGATTGAGTAATTTTGTGATATAATTTATTGCTTTAAATTACTTGGATACTAAATGTGAAAATATTGTAAATATCTCCATAAATTGATCATGACATTTGCTTTCCAATTCATCATATTTGAAGTTCATTCAAAATCTGCAACATTTTGATCAGGAAATTTGTATTAAAATTTAAATTGTTTCGTTTAAAGTATGCACATAGATATTTATATTCCAGGTTTGATGAATGTTTGATTTGATCTCAAGTTGATTGGCAACAAATTTTATGGGCTAACATTAAATAGACTGATAGACTGAATGATTACCTCATCGACATCATAACTCAATGACTTCGTCTATGCAAAATTGAACGAAGGTGTTGAATGGAATTCGGTTTAAAATTTAGGTCAGAATGAAATATGGACGAACATCTTCATTGGAATCTAAATCACAAAATTTTAGCATCTAAAAAAATGATAGAAAAGGAGAAAAGCTTCTTAGCAATTCCCAACAGATGGAGAAACATCTACCAGCACTGTTTGCCAGAGTGTCTCTCGAATGTTACAGTCAACTTTCGAAAGATTCTTGTGTTTTCTGTTGTTTGTTTAAAGCATTAAGACACCCCCAATGTCTACTCTTATTTCTTCAACCGTAAGGACTTTACGCTCTTTCTGACTGCGAGAAAATATTTGAAATACATATAAGATTTTGATAAGAAAAAAGTAGTACACATACTCACTTGCGTTATTTAATAAATATTTTCTGTGTGAACAGAACTGTAAACAACATGATAAAAATAAATACATTTTAAGTGCTGAGAATTTCGCAAATATTTTCAGAACAAACATTTACACATGCGACTTCACATCGTGACATCATTCTAATTTTTTATTTGTTACAACATAGAAAGTGAGGGAGGCGAAAGAGTTTTTTATTTTCTATTGTTTTGGCAAAAGTTCAGAACAGTTTTTGATTGCTTCTTGCACATAAATTGTCATTAGTAAGTTAAATGTAGTGGTGACTAGTCGCCTTAAGAACGCCTTAAGCTGCAATAATCACAAAACTTGGAAAACTTTCTGCTTTCTATTCTGCGAACATCGCCACTCGTACTTAAAATATAATATCGCAGAATATTATTTTATTCGCTTGAGTAACAATAAAATCAGTCGCTTGAAGCTGTTGTCCCTTTGCTTTAAAATCTCAGCAAAACGTCGTTTAATAAATTGTTTGAGAAAAAAAGAGAAAAAGAAAGCTTTTGCAAAATGTGTTGTAATGAAAAACACATGAGCCTCTGCGTATACAACATATATTTCATGACCCAATTTTCCCTTCTTTTACTTGTACACATGTTTACGTGAAACCGTATTTTAAACACTACGAGACTAAAAAGGAGAAAAAAAGTCAAGTAAATCTTTTTCAAAGCACTAACAAGTGGAGCCTTGACAAGAAACGTAACTTGATATTTTTTTTAAGAATTAATTCTGAATATTTTTAATGAAATCTTCATGTCTTCTATAAAGACTAAGCTTAGTTAGATAACTCTTTATTAAAATGTATCAAATTTTGATATGAAAGACAGACCGACAGCTTCAAAATTCTCTTTCAAAGTTTCATTCAACTTTTGCTAAACAATTGCGAACCTTAAAAAATTCACAAGAAACATTTTGAAAACTAAATGTTCCAGTTGTTTACTTTATAACCGTGCATAATTAATATAAATTACGTGTTGCTTTGAATTTATGTTCGTTGATGTTGAGATCCATGAGAAAACAAAGTCCTAAACCTTTTATATCTCATAAAACATTAAAATAGATTGTAGAGCTTTTATAAACAAGAACATTTTTGAAAACTTCAAACATTCTGTTCTTTCACTGTCCGTATCAGACATTTATCATAAAATAAACCATGTGTATTGAAAGAATATTTCAACCTCTGTAATATGTTGAACAAAAATATAATAAATATTTTACAGAGCATTTAAGTATCTTTAAAATTTGTAAGCTGCTTGTGGAAATTTGAGATTTTTTTTCATTTTGTCCTGATAAAAAATAAAAATCTGAAGAGAAAGTTTCATTTGTAAAAATGCTATCAGTGACCACTGTTGAAAATTTTCACAAAGTGGATTTGTTGAAATGATGAAGTGTAACCATATCATTGCATAAAAGTTTTTTAATGATAACTTGAAAATAAACATCGACAGGATAGTTCTTTTTTAATCTCTGGTTCTTTTATCAGTAGAACAAATTTTTCCAACATTCAGATATTCTGAAAAAGATTTGAACATAAAATTTCTACTGTTTATAAGTGTCCCATATTTAACAGATGCTTTCTGTTTTAAACCAATATTGCATGCTACAGCTGTTGAAATAATATTTGTAAATTAAGGTTATTAACATGAGATTCCAGCCAATTTTGAGGATAAAATGTTCATGTTTGTAACCAATATCAAAAGTTATCTGAAATATTTATTGAAAACGTAAAATTAAATTTTTACATTATAATGGAAGCAAGCTAACATAATGTAAGTTCACACATAAAATAAACATTCAAACAAAGCTTCAATTGACATTCTTTGACCATGCCATACAAAAGTAGAATTGACATCAAAACCAAGTAACATTCTATAGAATATTGTATGCTGTTAATTTGCTACTTTTATGTTTCTTCACAATGATACTTGACAGCATAGAATAAATTGTTTTCCCCACAAAATAAAGTGATAAATATGTAATCAGCTAAAAAACTACTCAACTAAAAACTGCTACGTAATGAATCGCAAAGATTATTGGTTCACAGTGACTAGTCGAAATAAAGCCCTCAAGCCACAGTGTTGCGAACGGGAATATAACGTAGTTTGCTTCATTTTATTTTGTTTCGTTTCATTCGCTATTGCTGTACAGTTTTATCCAATATCTCTCTTTCCCTTTAACCCCCACACCTCCCCAGAAATCACCCTAGAATCATGATTTAGTTCGGAAGAAATACTGTAATTAGTTTTTGCACTTCACTTCACTATACATCGCTCGCTTTCTTTTTTTCGTAGAGTTTTTATACTAATTAAAAACAGCTGCAGTCATTAATTAAATAGAAATCCAAATAATACAGTAATCCTAGCGTAGAGCGTTGCATATTTCATTGGCGATCTTAATGTTTCAAGTTTTCCCTCTAGAAACAAAAAACGGTTCATCAAATGAAACTTTTTAAAACTTTTCCTGAGATTGTTTTGTTTTCATTTTTGAAAAGATTATGCAAATCTATTAAAGTAAATAATTTTTCCAATTGTTTGTTAATTTAAATGAAAAACGCTTGTTACTTACGAGAACTTTTCATAATTTGCAACATTTTAAAAAGAAAAGTTTATGAAATTATGTTTAAAATTTAAAAGAGTTTTCATTTACTTATCAGATCAGAGAAAAGTTCATAAGCAACTAAAAATTCTTATCTATCGTCGCTTTGTTGTTTTTAATCATCTTTTAACAAGTAGAAAAACCAAAAATTAATGAGGTTTGAATAAGTTGGTTTCCAGAAGTCAACATGATTGTAAGCAAGTAGAAATGTGATTAGAGTGCTGTCAGTTGAACAAATCAACCGCTTAAGCACAAGCTTATGTTTTTTTTTATTATAATGCTATAATTATGTAGTGCTTTTGTGTTTAGTACTCTCTACAGTTCCACATCTGAATCGGAAACAATAAAACTATTATCAAAGTCTATGATAGTTGACAATAACATGGATGAATGCATTAAAATTTTATGACTTGAATATTTCGGATGCACAACCACATGTCTCGAAAATAATGTAAATATCGACACCACCGTTCGATAAATCTGATAATTTATTTTTAATGACGATAATTTAACGACTGCATCAGCAAATTACCCTTAATTGTAATTTAATGCTGCAATTTTTATCTCATACCGAATGACATTTTAAGTGAACTCGAAAAATATGAAATGAAATTTAGTGAATAAAATTATCAACAGATTGCATTTGCTTAGAAAAGCTTTTAATAGCTCAAGGAAATTTCTGCACTTAATTCCATTCAAATCCTCGAACAACTTACGAAAGCAAATATTTTTCATGTCGATTTCAAATAAATTTATCTACTTCAATCCTAAGCTAATACATAAAAGGATAAGGAAAGTCAATTAAATATAAATTTTGAATATATATCCTTGTTGGATGTTTTGGAGAGTTTGTGTCATGACAAAACATTTTCTACTTTCTGACCGTCATCAACAATACGCCCAACAGCAAAAGCAATGCATATTTAAAAGCATGAACAGTTAATTCCACTCAATAGAAAACTCTTCTATTTTTCATTTGTTGATTCAAACAGTGTAACATGAGTATGAGTTAACCAAAATCAAATTAGATTTTTGAATAAATAAATTAATTTCGTATTCAAATTGAATTTTTTATTTTTATTTTGACGTAATTGACATCATTGAAATTTAATCTAGATATGCATGATGAAAGTAAGGTTTAATTAGATTTTTTAATTTTTCAGTAACGTGTTATGGCATTATTTCAAACTAAGTCATTTATGNTTTGTTGCTTGAACGTTCCAGGTTGAGCGCGTATTAAAATGTAATAAGAATAAATTCGTTTTCAATATTTCCTACCTAGGAAAATAATCTGCAAATCGCTGTTGGTTTTTTTGGCTTGAAATCCATTATTGTAGACGAAATGTTAAATTGTTGAAAATGAATAGGCTACAATATGTATATTTAATGGAAAAATTGTGAGCCGTTCTGACATAAATTGATCCTAAACGCTTAAATTATCTGAATTAAAAATAAAAAGTGGATAACAAAAATATTTATTTTTAAACATTCAATCGATTTCTCATGGCAACGCCCTCAAAATTTGCGACATTCATTAACAGCTCTTGAAGAATATTGAAAACTGTTAAAATTGAGTTTTCAAACCCCCATAATATTACATATTTCACCACCCAAAAACGTCTGCGCATAGAAGGCCAACATTGAAGTAGAGTTTGATGCTTTCGCAATGTTTTTGATCTTTAAGCACAGACATGAAGTCGCTTCTCACAACAGTTTCACGTTGACCAAGTGGAAGACAATAAGAAACGAACATCAACATTAATTTTATAATTTTATTGTTTGAATGTATGGTGGAACAATGTTCACTGGAACAGCTTTTAAATATATCAAGAGATAAATTTCGAATCTCCTTTTCAAAAACTAAATACAGTTAAACTTCGATAAGCTGCTACTTCGATAATCAGATATCCTTGATAAGCAGATATTTTTTGGCACACACTCGAATTTGTTCGAAGTATTGCCCCGATTAACAGATATCCTCGATTAACTGATGCCCCGATAAACGGTGACGAAATTTGTATGAAAAACTGACCTCGATAAGCTGGTAAACGAAAAAATTTAAAATCCGGGGTCTTCATTTACTCAATTCGAATGGCGCGAATTTTTATAATATTATTAATTCATCCTTTAACTAGCATTATAGTATAATAAACTATAAAAGATAAGTTAAAATAATATTAAAATGATATAGTATTGGGGATTGTCGGGTTTAAAATTATATTTTTATGTTTCTTCAACACCCTCGAATCCTTGATAATCAGATATCCTCGATAAACAGATATTTTTTTGTGTCCCTTGAAATATCTGTTTATCGAAGTTTCTCTGTATATCCTTGTTGGATGTTTTGGAGAGTTTGTGTCATGACAAAACATTTTCTACTTTCTGACCGTCATCAACAATACGCCCAACAGCAAAAGCAATGCATATTTAAAAGCATGAACAGTTAATTCCACTCAATAGAAAACTCTTCTATTTTTCATTTGTTGATTCAAACAGTGTAACATGAGTATGAGTTAACCAAAATCAAATTAGATTTTTGAATAAATAAATTAATTTCGTATTCAAATTGAATTTTTTATTTTTATTTTGACGTAATTGACATCATTGAAATTTAATCTAGATATGCATGATGAAAGTAAGGTTTAATTAGATTTTTTAATTTTTCAGTAACGTGTTATGGCATTATTTCAAACTAAGTCATTTATGATTAATTTTCTACTTAGCTCAGATTCAAATTAAGTTTAACAGGAAATTTTAAACTTTTAATAATAATTTCAGGATATGGATTTGGTGGGAAATGAGTACTTTGATACTTATCTATGATGGAAAGGAAGATAATCTTGTTTCTTCAACGTAATTGCAATTCAATTAACCTTTTTAAGCTTTTTTTTCTTCATTAACAGAACACTTAGCTTGTAAAAATGCGCAGAATCTCTGAAAGTGTAAACATCGTCCGGTTACAAAGAGTTTATGACCTGAATCCTTAAAAGAACGTGATTATTTAATTATATTATCTCGTTAACGCTGAATCTCATTTATCCAAAGTGAAAAGCGGGAAAGTACCTTAAGCTTTGTATTATTTGCGTTGCTATGTTGATGGGAAGTGAAACAAACAAAGGTCATAATTAAACCAGCATCCGAACAACAAAACTTTCAAATAATTTATATCTTGTTGAGTGGCTTCAAAGGAGACAATCATTAACTCTCTCCGGTTCTTAGTGAAAAATATGGAACATTCACTTATCTTTCAGTACAATCACTGACTTCATTCGAGACTCGATGATAAGAAATTGTCGTTATTTATCGTCGACATTTAAATGGAACTGCTTCAGTACTTAATTTAAATGATACTACAATTTAGAGAGTGATTAATTGTGGAATTTTTCGTCTGTTGTCAATCGCTTTACTGTCATGAAGTTCCATCTGAAAAAGTCACTTGATTCACACTTGAAACACGAATCAAAAGCAAGACCCAAAGAAAAATAAATTGAAGAGGAGAAAAAAAAGGAAGGAAAGGAATTTGGAGATAAACATTTTCTGAACACTTAGTTCACTTTTGTGAATGTGTTGCGAACATTCGGAAAGAAATTCCTTCCTTTTGATGAAGGTAATGAATGATTCTACAAATAAATCATACCGTCCAATCCTCTGTTAAATTTAATTTGAATGGAGCTCTTTGGCGCTGGCAAAGCGAGCACCCAAAAATGCCAATGTAAATTTATGGTGATTGGGTGATGGCTACAAAATATCAATTTCACTTCCGATCGCATATTTGTCATAATCCATTACGAGTAATTAGATTTATGGCCTTAGTGGAAAACATGACATTTTCAGGGCTTTATATATCCAAACATAATGGATTCTCGTAAATTATTTCATACAAAATTGAATGTTCAACTGCATAAAAGGTGGGATAAAGAGAGGAGATATTAGCTTAATAAAGTTTAATATTTTTTTATATCTAATTTTCAAGAACAATTAATTGAAGCACTAAATAATAGCTTGTTTGCTTCCATTAATGTCAAAAAAAAATTCTGCACAAAATTTCTCTTATGTTCTTTTAATTAAATTAACAGAAACACTACAGAGTGCAGTTTTACGGTATTTTATAACATATCCGAGAAGAAAAGGAATTAAGTTAAGTGAAAAAAGGTCAGAGGGAAAAAAGAGCACCTAATTAAGCTTACTCAAAATCCCTTCTCAGCACTATAGACTACTACAGCACTTAAGGTGGAAAGCAATTAAAAGCATGAAAGCATTAAATTGAAATATGTAATAGCCACCACACGTACAAGAGATAAAATAAAATGGACATAAAGGGGCCGTCTTGAAACAACAATTTGCCTCGTTAAAATTAAATTACGATTTCGTTGTTGAATTTTCTTTAAACGGTTAGATATGAAAAATAATTAAAGCAATAAATTCTTATTCTATCGTATCATGAAGAGTTTTATTCCGTTTATTCTTAAGTTCACGTGGTTGATTCACGTTTATGAAAATTGGATGGTTTTATTCAAATTTAAGACCATGAACCTTTTCGTTACCCTTGTGAACTAACTTTTCGCTTTTTGTTCTTTTGATTTCTTGACTTGCATAAATTAGAAAAAGCTACTGCATTTAATAACAATGATCTTAAAGCATAGCAATCGAGTTTCTTCTTACAATAAAAATCATTGGAGATTATTCTTCTTTGTGAGATAAAAAGTTGTTAAAATAAAAATATTTTCAACATAGTTTAGTGAATTTCTTTATAAAGAAAGTTGTTCAACTCTCGTAACGCTTTTGTAGTTATCGCCCCACTATGTTCCTAGAAATTTTAAATGAGAGAAGAAAGCTTTCATCAAAGAAGCTTGACGTTGAAAACTATTTTGAGATTTTTGTGCTATTGAGTGAAATTTAAAGCTTCTCGTAATTCTTTTCTTTTTCGAACTAACTAATGAACATGAAGTTCAAAAGAATCATGTAATCAGAGATGATAAGTCATATTCGATAAACGAGCTATGTACATCAAATTTCTTTGACTTTGATTCAATCCAAGAAACTACTCAAGGATGGAAAAATGAAAATAGGAAGAGAGTCGTTTTCTCGAGGCGGAACTGAGAAATCACAACTGACATAATCTTGATGGGTGCTTAATTTTGTGCCGGGAAGGAAGGCAAGAAAGAAAAAATACACGGACTTCAATCACTTTAATGCGAAGTCATTTATCTTGTTACATTTTGTCTTTCTCACATTTTGACAGATTTAAATATATATATAACGACGGCAGAAGTGGAAAATATTAAATTATTTCGGCTTCTTCTTTTACATTTTTTTTCCTTTTCCTTATTTCTTCCTTAAGAAAAAGGGAGAAAGGGAAGAAAAACTTTCAATCGTACGGTTGATTAATAGCCTCTCATTTCGAACGAACCCTTCATCATACGATATCTCAAGAGCTTTCAAATGCTTTTTATTTGTTCAGTCTTCTCAGGATTTATTTGTGTTTCACTAACATTCAAACGTTGTGAAAAATGAAAAAGCATTCTTAAGTGGAAGCATGTGTGCAAATTCGCAAGTGAGAAGCATAAATAAAAATTAAATTTCTGGAAATTTTATTGATCACATTTTCATTGGATATTGCTGATTGAAACATTGCAGCAGCAGTTGCTGATTTTCATGCTACATATGTGAGACGACAATCCAATTACAGAATCAATTTCTTGACAACAAAAATTCAGTTCAAAGTTCATGGTCGATGAAGCTCTTGATGAAACAGTCTGCGAATCAATCACCCAAACGTTTGATTTCTAGTTGAAAACACATTGCGTAAACATGTCAATCACAAATGATATGCAGATTATATTTCTTTCTTTTTTCGATTTTTCTTTATTTTTTTCATTTCCCAAATCGAAATTTTCCTTGATGGAATTCATCGACTTACGTTGAGTTCTTTACCTTGAAGCGTATTGATGCTTAATGTCATCATGAAAGTTATTTGCTTAACTTTTCTTTTTGCTCTCTGACTTGAAAACATGAGAATCGATGTACGTTTCAGAAACATTTTTCTTTATTTGTCATTGATATGAAAGCTTCAATGCTTAGGGGGGTCAAGATTCTCAGTGCTGATCAATGTTGGCTTTCTGTTGAAGTGGAAGAATGAATAACTCAATCAAAGTTTTCGTCTCAATTCAACCCACAAATACTTCCATTCTTACCGCATTACATTCAATATGAACATCATTATCGCAATAAACAATTTCTTTCTTCCCTCTTGTGCTTTTCCCCTCCAGTCAACCCAAGGAGAGTCACCATTAAAATAACTTATCATTTGTCAACGAGAGAAAAAAAAGTTTTTATTGCTGTCGTATTAGCAGCGAATGGAAAGCTTAAACACCATATCATTACTTTCCTTCCATTGTATCCGCAACACCGCTGGCATCGCAAATAAACGCAGAGCATTTCGGGATAATCCATTTTGATACCTTACCACGTAATGTGATACGAAAAAAAGGGACGCTCTTCATAAATTTCATTGTGATCAAGCGTTGCATGAGCAAAGTAATTCCAACGAGAAAAATTGTACATATATGTAAGAAAGAAAAACAAAGCTTCACTTCATATCACAAAATTAATCTTTGTTTTGTATCCTAGTCACATGAACAACGCTCGAACAGATCAGTGACTGTCCAAATTCTAAGGTGCTGTCAGGGACAATCCGAGCTAACATTTTATTGTCACATGACGAGATTAAATTTTATTTCATGTTGACAGTATTCATTTTCTTCCTGCCTCTTGCAGTGCTGTGTAAAAATATCTTCTTGATTAGATTTCTATTTGTGCTTTTTCATGTTCGTCCCCGTACATATCCGATACACTAAGCGTTACTAGATCAGACAACATAAATAACAAAGCCAGATAAATATAAATCATTCTCATTGCGTAACAGAGTCGACCCTTTTCCTCTCCTTTTCTTTTTGTTTTGTTTCAAGTGTTATCAAATATTATAAAATCGTGATGTGTGACATTGAGTCTTCCGAGATCGACGATAAAGCTGAGAACCAAATCATGCGGAACGCTTTATTTTCTTTTTATGGCAATGAGAGTTTATTCATCTAAACATTTCCATATCTCTGTGTCGTTTTTCTTTCACCCCACATTTCTTTTTCGTTTTTTGCTTTTCTACATTCATTCCAGAAAGCATGACGACGATACGAGGAAGTAAAGAGAAGAGAAGAGAAACATTGAATGGCAAAGTGGAATCGTGAGAGGTTGAAAGGTCAATATGTATTAATGATATTGACACAGTTCTTCATTTGAACTTATTGTACTTACAATAAAATTATTAAATTTTAATACGAATGAATGTGCAGTTTTTGGACTGTCCCTGATTTTATTGATCGAAAACTGCACAGCTAGATAGGAAAATTTGCTGAAACGGAATAATTTTCTACTTATATCTATTTTGAATTGTAGAGATAAAAACCCAAATTTAAGCTTGAATTTTCAGCACGAAACGGAGAGAAGAGTTTACAGCGGAAGTCTTCAAAGACCAACTTTTAAATTTCTCCCAAAAACTTAAAGTAGAAAACTCTGCATATGAAAGAAGAAGAAGTTGAAAACAATTTATGCTTAGCACAAGCTTAAGTCTACTTTTTAAAAACAATTTAATAGGATTTTATTGCACAGACAACCCTCATCATCACCATAAAATAATCATATGATTTCCCATCTTTAATTCACCCGCTACACTAAAACATTAAAGCAGCTTTAACTTGTTTCTTTACTCCAAAGTTTACTCCAAAGATATTCCACTGTATCTGTAAAGTGTAAGCATCACGTTTTCAACGATCAATGAAAGGCGAACAACGATTTCTGATCGATGCTTACGAGCAACTGTTTTATAGCCACCAATGATTTTCACGAGTCATCAAAAATTATTACATTGGACCAAGTCACAAGCACATACGACAAACATAACTTTACTCTTGTTCAGAGATGGAGAAATCGATGATTAAAGCTTCATGCTTTGCCAATCGAAGTGGCAGATTTTCTTATATTTTCCTATCAAATAAAAGTGAAATCTTCAGTTAAGCGGGTAATAACCAATATTGAGTATTTTCCACATGAAATGATGCTCACAGATTTTATCAAACGGTTATCATAATGTCACGCTTTATGAATTGTTTTGAATGCAGTTGAAGGCTTGAATGTGTATTTGTCGGTAAAATCTAACGAGAAAATGTTGTTGTTATTGCATACATTTATATGTTTGCTTAAGGTTGAAAGCTCCCTGAAATTATTTCCCCGCAAAAGCATATTTATCGCAATACCAACATTCAGTTATTTCCTCTTAAAATAAAATAAAAAGAAAATTTGCATGCTTTGAAAATTTGTTGAGCTGAACGCAAATATTTAAATTTATTTTCACATTAATTACAATGCTCAACAAGAAAGTTCTGATTATTGTTTGTAAATGTTATTATGGATTGAATTATGTTGAAATTAATAAAACGATAAAGATAGAAATGTTTTAAAGAAAAGGAGAAGAAAGAAAGCTTTAAGAGATAAATTGTCATAGAACGGTTTACATGTTTTCTTTTAGACTTTTGTTTGCTTAATAATATTGGAAAAGTTTTATTTTTTCGTAAGATTATAATCATTAATGTACCCTCGAAGAAAACCAGCATAAAGTACTTCTTCTTGTTCTTCAATAAAACTTTCTAAGACTCTTTTGTCGATGACAGATCTGAATGAATGTATTTGATGACATTTGTTCTTGCAAAAATTTTTCAAGATATAAACGGCAGCTGCAAGCTATCGTAGCATCGAAATATTGTAATAAAAATAATATTTGTCATACTTTTTATGATTAAATCGAGAGCAATTTAACTGTTGGTAAGCTCATGAAGAAACAAGATTTATTCAAGAGAGAAAACAGGAATCGAAATTTATCTTGATGTTCATCGATCATCATATTACCTCATTCTCCTTCTTGTTACACAACTTTTCAATTCGCTTGCATGTAACTCGCTTCTTTCCTCCTTTCCTGAATGAATGAAAACTTGTTTTTATTTTCCGAAAATAATAAAACACAATTGCCTCTTTAAAATCTTTCTTGAAGAATAAAATATATAAAAAAATGAATTGCAAGATGCAATATTCGATTTTTTTTCTTTTGCTTTTACTTTAGCAAAATACACAAATTGTTTTGTTTTTATTTCTGCAATGCTTAGGGCAACACCATTTTAAGAAAGTTCCAATGATTATGTTTTTTTGTGAAAACCTCTTGTGATTCGCATTATCTTGAATTTAAAACTTTTGACTTATTTTGTGTATCAGTTCGTACATTTATTTAAGTCAAACGGTCGGTTAAACTTTTGCAATCCTTTGTCTCGAGGGCATAAACTTGTTTCCTTATCTGATACTCACCCAACATGCTTCGGATTTTCTTCCCTCTGTGAAACGATCAAGCGCTTTAAAGTCAACATTCGAGAGTATCCATACTAAAGTATTTACAGTTGGATGATTCACTTTGTTGCTTATGTCAGAGTTTTACTACACACTGAGAACCGTTGTCGGATAGTTTTACGAGCGAATACATAAAAAGCAAACAGATACACAAACTTACAACTCATAAAATATCATGCACTTATTCATGTTACAACTAAAATTGCGCTAAAATACTTTTCTCTTTATTTTTACATGCCGAAATTAACGAATATAAAATAAATTTTTCTCGAATTTCTCACTTTATGAGCTTTTTCATCGCACAAGAATGTAAACAATTTATTATGATGCTTTTCTCTTGCCTTCTCTAGTAGTAGAAAGAACATTTATTAACTCTAACGAAATAAGAATTGCTTGCTTTGTTCAGTTTTTCTCTTGCCTGAAATATATTGTGCGTGGAATGTATAATGCTTGCTCTTTTGTTTTTGAAAAAGTACTTTCTTAATATCGCCAATGCTGTGCGTACAAAGTTTAGTACGCCACCCTGAAATTTATGTTTACATTTTTCTCTTACGATATTCTTTTCCGCGTAATGAATTAAGTATGTTTTTATATAGGAAAAGAAAAGGCGGATATGTATCCATGTACGTAGGTTCTTTGAAATTCGAATAAGCGATTCTATGAGTGTTATGAAGTAATGTCTTTAAATATGTTGCTGTTGTAATATATTTGCTGATAATGTTTCCATCATCAATTTTGTAAGCCTTTTATTTAAAGACTTTTCCTTTTTTATTGCAAATAAAACTGTTTTTAATGTCTCTTTAACGGCTTTAAAGTTTAATTTGACGATCTCTTATATTTTTAACTGCCACAATGAGAAATTAGTACGAAGGAGGAGTAAGAGGCACAATGTGCAAACAAACAAGCCGTAAATAATTAAATTTTTAATATCTTTTTCATTCAAAACAGAGAGATAAAGAATCACTTTGCCGACTTCACTTTCACCCGTTTTTAAAGCACAAGTGTATCTGCTTGACTTAACAAGAATCTTCAAAGTCAAGACTTCGTTCGAATCTGTTGGAAATTCCAATATAGAATATTCTATGTTGAGAGAAATTATGCAATTTCATGAATGTTAAGTAATAAAAAGTGGATGAAATGAACTTAATGGTGGGTAAGAACGATATAAAGTTTTGAAGTCCTTGATTTGCAATTATGAAATAAATTTGCATTTAATTCATATCGGAAGTTTTTTTTTTTTTAAAATTTTAAGCTAAATTTGCAAGTTCGATTACTTTTATTCCTTTTTATTAATGATTGGTTATCTAAAAAATTATTTCTTTTTCATTTCAGTTTAGCTTTTATACAGCCATGAAAAACACTTTTAAAGTTTTAACATTGCAGATATAGTGATATAAAGTTTAAATGCAATTCATAGCAAAAGTTGATTTATGCAAATGTTAAATCTTTCGAATTCAATGTTTAACAAACTCTGTCATCCGCAGTTTGTACATAAATAGAAATGTAGATGTGTGTCATGCTAACTCTGAATGATGTTTATTATTGCAAGCATGAATATCGTGTAGATATCAATGCGAATTAAAATGGAAAAATATTTATGAAAACGAACGGCACTGTCATGATATTAAACAACATAAAAAGAATTCAAAATATTTTGTCCAATCAGAGATTGAAATAAATTTAAATATCGTGTACTTAAAATGATAAAATAATACAAACTAAACAATTGCACTTGCTTACTTCACTTTACAATGAATTATCATATTTATGAAAACAGAAATCTGCTTGTTGAGCTCATGAATAAGTAACACGGCAAGCAAACAAATGTTAAAAGAAAGTTTGCAGATGGAATAAAAAAATTCTCTCTCGTTATTATTCAAGTGAGTTTCTTTATACACTAAACTAAAATTCATGGAAATATATTAACAGAATAAATCAAATGATAGATACAATGAAAGAACAAACATATTTTCTTCTTCTTGCTTGATATACTTGCTGAACAATGATGAAGACAAATAAAGCACTCGTATGTATGTAGATTCAAGAGAAATTCAAAATGTCTTGAATTTTAATTAAAGTAAACGCAAGAGCAATAATATATTCAATTCAGTATGAATTCAATCAGTTCATGAAAAAAGGCAGTCTGCAGTTTAATTTGAAATCTATGATAAATTTGAAATTAAACTTTGATTCAAATCAAGATAATGAATCAATACTTCAGAACCGTAATTGAAACTTAAGATTCAGTTTTTTTATCCTTCAGACTCTCCTTTCAAATGTTTTCATTGAAGGAAATTGATTTGAAAACAACCATTGAAAATCCTTGAAGAAAAGCTTTACGAAACGTGATCTCGCAATGTCAAACAGTCGTCGTCGTTGTCGTCGTCTTCTACTAATCTTTGTTTAAAAAGCTATCGAAAAAAGCCGTCTTTGTCGCAATTGCCCTTTGTGTAAACAACGAGACAAAAAAAAGGCTCAAGTGCGTAGGAATCGTAAATAAATTTGGTCAAACAATGACCATAAATCAGCTTTGTCACGATGGGTAAATAACTAATGGCGAAATAAATCGCTATAAAATTATGGCATTGAAAGTACATGCGACAAATACGAAACAATAATTTAGCCATAAATTGATCTATTAATAGTAGGTAGGATTGTTATCTTCACTAATGTTTGAGCCGAGAGATGCGATATCAAAAGTTATGGTTTTATCAACATAACTTTTTCCGCTTAAGCTTCGTACATATACAGTTTATCTCTCTCATAACATCAACAAGGAACAAAGAAATAGAAGCTTGAGTTCTCATTTAATTTTGTTTCTTCTCATGCTGCATTGATTTATTTAGGGATTTATTCAAACAATTGTTCATTAGCTTTTTAAATTAAATGAACAATGCAAGAAATTTTCTTTTCCTCCTCTCACATACCTTCGGGGAATCCAAACAACAATTTTATGATCACAGTCTATTCTATCTGATGTTTTTGAAAAACACAAAATGATGAAAATAAATAACAAAGTTTATGCGGAATCAGCCTCCTACGAAATAAATAACAGAAAACAAAAATCTTTTCAAGACTTGGGCTTGCATACAAAAATGTTTCCTCTTTGTCATGATATTATCAACAACGAGAGATGACAAATTCAAACTATTTCTACGAGACGTGTTCCATTATGACATTTGAGGCATATTCATGCACAGCAAGATGCACAGTTTACTTTCTTTCTTGTCTTTTGAATTTATTTATAATGTTTAAAGAATACTTTTAAAAAAGTTTCGAAATCATTCGCATTTCGGAAGAGAAATCAAACAAACAAGCTTCTGTGATTTGAGAAAGCAAAAATCGTTTCGTTTTTATCTCTTTTGTATTGTTTTTCTTTTCTTTTTCTTCCTTCTTCAACTTAAATCACTTTTTATATTTCATTTCATGTGATTAGATAGAATGAAAATGGTTAGAAAAATGTCGAAGCGATAAATTTTTCGTTTTCCTTCTTTTTTCCTCCCTGTGATAATCCACGATATTTATTTCATCTACCTTGCGAAACACCTAAAAATTCAATTTGCTGGAAATTTATTGTTTCGAAAACGAATACATAAAGCTATTGAGCCCAGTTTGCGTGAATATAATGGGACGCTTACATAAATTTCGTAACACATTTCTCCGGCACACTTTAGACATAATGAATGGATTCTTGAGTTTTTTTTTGTTTTCTAAAACCTCACTCCAAGTGATAATTTCTTTGCAAAGTGCTTTCCTTCTCTTAAAATATTTCAGGAGGATTTTAGAGAAAAACATGACCTTTCCAAAACGTTACATAATTTATGAAGATAGCCTTACATTAAATTTAGGAAGAGGAAATGATTTTCAAAGCTCTCAAAGTAACGACTTCTCGTTGATAAAGTGTTGTCGACAGTTAAATAAAGTCCGAAGTGTCTTTAATTTTCCAAGAATGGCATTATGTCATTCATGAAAGTATATATATTTTTTCATAAATTTTCCTTTAATCTGTTAATAAGCTTCTTTTTTTACCTCATCTTTCAAAGTGGCAGAAGAAACATAAAAGAGAAAAAAAAGCTAACGTTGCTGATGAAGTAGTTTTTACTGTGCTGTTATAACATGAAATGGGATTTATTTTGATAGTTTTTATGACTTCACGTAAGGCATGAGATAACACGATGATGATGATGCTCAGTTTCTTTTAATTTAAAGCATTCAAAGTAGTTTTATGCAGTCGACGCGATAGAGAAGAAAATAAAACTTTTCAACCACAGAAGCTTTTACACTGAATTTTCATGGTTGTCAACTTGTTATGTTGAAGTATTACTTTGCTACACGTGGAGACAAAAGTACATCACGCCACACACAAAATGGGATAAAAAGAAAGTCATTTCAAATGTAAATATTGTGGTTTTGTGCAGAACATCTTTTCCGAGATTTTCTTGCTTTTCCGCTGTTCATTTTTTTCATTCTATCACATCTTCTTTCTCTCTCTGTTACTCCTTCCTTCACTTCTTATTTTTGTTTGGGTGAGAGATTTGAGAAGTGTGAGGAAGGGTGCGGCTTCATTTTTTATTCGTTCGGAAGACGACGAGAAAACAGGAAATTTGGTAAAAAAAAAGAAGAACGTATGAAAGCTGAACGAACCATAGACCGACAACGAGAATTCAAGCAATTGAATTTTCTTTACGCTAAGCAGTATTACGCTTTAATGATTAAATTAAATCGCAAAGCAACATAGAGAAGAAATTTCGCCATGTCATACATGCTAGCGTAACATTTCCACCAATATACGATACATGAAAAGTTTCTCCTTCATTTCTTGTTTTATCATGCTCAAATGCATGCCATACATTAAATCGGTTTTATTAAATTTCATGCTTCACAACTGATTTTGATGAAGGTCTTGGTGTTTTCCTATCATCTGTGACAGCTTAAGTGGCTGCTGCGTTTTTCTTTCAAATATTTTATGACGCTTTTGGCAACTTTTCTTTCTATGAATTTATCGGTGTTTTGTCGGCCAATAAAATCACTTCCGCTGTGCACTCGCTAGTGCACCAAAAGACCAAATAAAAACGTCCTAAATTGAACAATAAAAGTTTCGATTTTAAACTAATTACCAGTGTTCTCAGCACGTTCCAAAAATACCAATGACAAAACTCGAATGAAGCCAAAACCACGATACGTGCAAATATCTTTGTTCGACTTGGATGAAGCCATTAAGAGAACAATGAATGGAGTTGTTAATTTTTTTAAGGGATTACTTAAACAAAAGTTTTTCTTTCTTTTATTTTCACAGCAAGTCTGCTAAATAAAAGTAACAAAAGAAAGTTCTTTCTCTTTTGTTGATATACTCATAAATAAAACATTTAATTACAACGAAGCAATGCTAAAAGAAGTTGCCAAAAAAAAAAAGAAGAGAATTCTTCTGTTTGATAGCGCAAAAAAAAATTTAAGACAATGTAACGACTTGAATTCGCCAAAAAAAACTGAGAAGAATACGACAGAAAGTTCTTCCATCTTCTCTGCGAATTAAATATGAAGATAAGAGACGAAAAAAAATTATTTACTTTTCTCTGCTTTCTCATCTCAGCCGTCAATTTAATTGTGTATTCGAGAGTCTCACGCCATTCGTTTCGGTCAGGTATCTTTTTCTTCTCCTCCAACCTAGAACTTTCAACCAACCCACCGTCTTTGCCATGACTTTGTTTACTAACGCCAGCCATCTGTAGTGGTTTTCTATATCTTTGTGAAAGTGAAAAGAATGTTTGTGGATAATTCTGATGACGCTCTGAGTTTTAAGATAATATTGACAGAACAAAATGGACTGTTTACATAATTAATTGAGCAATGAAGTGACGAAAGTTTTAAAAGAAAAGACGCTTTGCTTGTTCCTGTTTTCGATTACGCAATCAAGTGAATATCCTAGTAGACGCTTCATGAATGTTTCATTTGTTTCATAAGATATTCTAGTTTTATTTCGCCTGCAATTACGTTAATTAGAGAAGAGTCTTTTTCTTGTCATGATATGAGGGTTAGTATTTGAGTTTGAAGATCGTCAATCTCAAACAGATTTTTCATCTTGAATTCTAAAGAAAAGCTGAATTTTCAGAATTCGTTGAAGTGAATGACGGTTTTATTGAAAAGCGATTGTGCAAACATGCAAACACCTCCGTGAAGAACGTTTTTTTCTTCTTTAACCTCGACAATTTTTTTATCTACACTTGCGAAGACTTTTCGATTGTCTCTCCCGTCATGACATAAATCAAAGAATTACTTCAGCGTGAAGGACCCTAGCAAAAGTATACAAAATAAATTTTATTTGCTTTACGTGTCAACCAAACAACGAGAGAAAAATTCAATATCATATGTGATAAAGCTTTGAGATAACAGTTTATCATGAAGTTGCAAATATATGAAAGCGTCATTTGTACGAGCGTCTGTAATAACCGTGTATTTATTTGATGTGGGATTTTCATAGCATTCCATGAGAAGGGATTTGAGCAAAAGATGATGCGAATTTATGAGAAAGCAGTGGGCAAAACACAAATTTACGGTGGAAGGGAAAATGAATCATTTTACAATTTATTACCAGCAATGAAAGGTCGACGGATGAAAAAAAAACGAGAAATATTCGGCCAGTTAAAACCAAAATTTATGAGAGTATACTTTTCAGCTGAATTATTGATATTTTCAAAGGTAACAAACACCTCATAATGTAGGCACATTAAAATCTTTTGGAAACTTCTTATCGATAGTCGGATTTTCCTGTCGATCAATGTGACTGATGACGATGATCAGAATTTCACAGTTTGAGGTGAAACTTTGAAGCTAGAGACATTAAGAATTATTTCGTAAAATATTTAACTAAGTGTTGATGATAACTTACTTTCAAATATCTTAGAACCAAGCAATGAATAATTAATTTAATTGCGCTGAAGAATGTTTGCTATTTTGCTATCTTGATGAAAGTTCAAAATAAATAAGCAAACAAACTCCAAATTTCTCTGAATTAAGAGTTCATAGATATTCCTAAATTTATATTATGAGAATGAAATCACAGAAGTATTGCAATGTATACATACTTAAAATACCGGACAAAAAAATTTCTTTGAATGATTCTCAATCAAAATAAAATTTAAAATAGATACATAGACGATCTAAGATAATTTATAGAATTTTTTTTTACAAAAGTGAGGGAAATATTTAAAAGAAGTTTTTTTATGAAATATTTTATTTCTTTTTTTATCCTCTTTTTTAAATTTTTTATTCATTGCAATGTCAACGTTAACCATCAAGGGAAAGAAAATCTTTCAACAAATGTTTAGCTTGAAAAATTTTAATCATGAATGCTTTGACAATACGAGCTGGAATGTCATTTTGTCGTTCACTACCATCTCGTACACACAATATAAAAGTTGATATAAAAAAGAATGCATGAACCATAAAGCTTGTAATTTAAAATGAAATCACCTTTTCAGGTTTTTCCTAGCAGAAATTCAATCATCACAAAATTCCAATAAAGAAATCCAATCAAGTTTGACCATAATATTATGGCTTTTCTTCTATTCTACTAACCGACCACCATATAAATATATTTTTAGTTGAAAACAATCTTTTGTGACTGGAAAATCCATTAAACGTGAATCATTTTTCAATTTTAAACGATACATTGTTGAAATCAATGGAATTATTTTTTAAAGATGTAAAAAAATATTTTTATTGACGATTTCAATTTTCACACTTTTTCTCTTGAACGCGCACTTATCGTTTTCTTTTATTTATGAATGGAGAGGGCTTTTCTTATAAATATGATAAAAACATAAACTTAAGCATTGTCAATGATGGATTTTATTCTTTTTGAAAAATTCTTTCAGAGCAACTACTGAGGAATTCAATTCCATGCGTTCGTTGTTATGTTATAAGTAGAAACTGAATAATTCGAAAATATAAAAAAAGAATCCTTAGATTCAAAAAAAGTATTACGTAGAAATATCTCAGGTATTTCAGACTTTTTTCCTATCTCAGAGATATCAAAACTTTTACATCAAACAACCAACATATGCCAACATAACATTTCAAATATTTTATTGAAAATTTGTAAGAAAGAAAATTCCAAGGAAAGATTCCTTTAAAATTTCATGAAGGTTGAATTTCATTTAATTTTCATTATAAATGCAAAAGGTTCACAAACAATGATGCTTATGAAAATATTAGCCCTAGATTACATTATCTAATTGCTTTTCAACATCACACAGCAAAACGCCGCAACTCAACCTTTCCACCCTCTGCTATCTTCCGTGAACCAGAAAGATGTTAATTTAATTTCCTTTGTTAATGAAACATTCCATACATAATAATTAATCTCACATTCTTAAGTGCCCTACTTGGTTTTATGAAATTACCAGCCATTAGCAACGCTCACTTACCTTCCTTGTAATTACTCCACGGTAAGTTAAATGACCAAAAATCTCAAAAGCTTCGCGCCATTTCTTACAACCATTTATATAAGTAATTTAGCATGGCTATCATAATAAATTACAAATTCAACTGATTACATTTCTTTCTCACTTTCGTTTTATTCGTTTTTACCGTGATTTTCCACCAAAGCTTCTTTTTGATATTGTTAAACGGGTAAAAGCGAACTTTTTACTGTCGAAATGCGATGTAGATATGTGGTGTCGTTATGACATCACCTAAACTGCCGACCCTAGGCTGGAAAAAAATAAGAAAAAAATACATTTCTTTATATCAAGCTGAGTCTTCAAGTCCTTGTTTCAAAAAGTTGTTAAGAAGCAATCAAAAAGTTTCATCTCTTTTCGTTTTTTGTTGTTCAGGAAAATCATCAGTTCATTTCCAGTCTCAAACAGAGGCCATGCGATTCTCTGTCATGACAATGTTGTTTCCGAGCTTTTTCATGAGGAAATACAAAATTGTTTTTGTATTCCCAATGCATAAAAAACCATAAACATTTATTTCTCTACCCAATGCATTTTTATACTGTTTTTTTCAGTCATGTTATGTTCTAAAACTCAAAAAAAAAAGAAAAGAAGAAAAATGTCAAACAATAAAACGCCCAAAGTCATTAATTCTATTCAAGCACAAACACAAAATCTAATTACAAGAATGCCATATTCGTGGGAATCTTTCAAATCAGATTCCAAAGACCCTCACATGCTATGTCATTAGATCATTGGTACGTGAGACGAAAGCCTTTCGAAGAAGTTAATGACTGTCGACATTTTTTTCTCATTTTTCCTTTTTAAAAGAAAATCAGCATAAAAAGAGTCGACCAACATATGTACACATCTCTCTATCCCTTCCAATACATGTTAACACAACTATTTCAATTAAGTAGAAAACCGGAGGAAAAAAAACATGGGATGCTGAAGGGGATGCTGTGACAAAATGCTCAATTAAAAATTCAACCCAAAAGTTTTTTTTACTACAAATTGTGCCTTAGTCGTGGTGTCATAAGATGAAAGAACGTGTGGAAAGACCAAAATGAATCCACAAAGCTTTCAAAAGATTAAAAGGCACATGTACCTGAAAACTAGTTTGAAAGACAACAAACTACAACTTGAATAAAGCTCATTTAATGGATGAAAAGTTGAAAAGTGAAAGGTCGAAATGAAGAAACATTTTTGAAGGTCTCATTAAGATTTTAATCAAAAGATTTTGTATGATAACAGTAATTAGATATTTGTCGTCAACCTACATTAAATGAACTTTTAAAAAAAGAAATAAAGAAAGTCTTGCGTTTTAACATTTCTGTTCAATTTTTCATTTTCATAGCAAAAAGAAATTTAAAATGTAAACCCTCTTGCATTAAAAATGAATAAATTCTTTGTCCTGTATCTTCTGCTTCTTTTTGAAGACTCTTTCTTTGAAACTTGTTCAATAGTTTGCCGTCCTCTAAATGAACTATTCATGAAATGAATACAAAGCCATCGACACTTTCTTTTCCACAACTGTATATGAAATTTTTATCAGACTATGCAAAATTCACTTTAATTGAAAAATTTGCATAAATATGATTCGGCTTTTTCTATGGTTGCTTCTTCTTCCGCTACTTACAATTCGACAATGTTCTTCTCTCTCTTCTCAAGGCGTAAGTTGAATGAGATAAGAAGAAAAATTAAAATTCATAGCGTACATACAATACAGACAATAAAGCTTAAATAATTTATTTTTGACATGTACAAGAGAGTTTGAAAAAGGGAAAGATGATGATGGTTGGTTCTCTTTTAATGACCATATCCAAAATTGAATTCATTTATATTCCCTTTATACATATGTACAAGGAATCTTTTCAATAAGCATTATACTGGAAAAGCCTTATATTTAACTGCGTGGGGATGGATTTGTTGTCATCGGATCATGAAAGGACAAACCTTTTCAACAGAAATCTTTTCTCTATAACAACATTAAAATTTGTTTAACGCATGAATGCGGCTCTTAATAAACAAATACCCATTTGCAAAAACTGTGGGTTAGCTGAGTACTCACAGCAATATTAAAAGCTTTTTCCTTGCTAACAGGTCTGCCAAAGACTTATTTCATTCTATTTACTCTTAATCTGTTTTTAACTTTAACATATTCCAATTTGAATTTTAGTAGAACACAGAATGGGTTTAGTGATTGGGGTAAAATGATTGTGATGTACATTCAAATGCTTTGAATTGTTCTTACGTATTTAAAGTTCCATACGAGGGTTTTAATATTACAAAAAAAAAATTAGGGTAAAACAAGGTATTGTGAACACAAAGTTTTTTGTAAGGTATTGTGAACACACCCTAATTTCGAATGCGATTTTCTTCGCTATTTTGCATTCAAATGGATCAAAACTTTACATAGAAGTAGTTTGAACTATCTACTCTAGTCAAGGGGGCAAATTTGCTTCATTGGCCTAAGTGTCTGTGCCATCGGATTTGTATCAGAATTCGTATCGATTCACTAATCGGTACGATCCTGGTTCCATTCTCGGTGGTGGTCACTTGGGCTGAGGTTTTCAGAAGTTTAGATACTTCGCCCCTGTTTCATTTAAAGTGGAATTTTTCACTAGGATATAATAAACTGAAATGTCTCTTTGTATCAAATTTGATAAAAATATAAATTTGTCAAATGTGAACAATGAAGAGTATTCAGGAATATACAATCCTGTGGAACGCTACTGAAAGTGGAACCTTCATCATTCAGGTGATGAGACAAAGGGAGCGAAACAAGTTGGAATTTATATTCCTGTATTCTTAATCGCTTTAGTGTACAGTCGTGCACTCCCTACTCTGATGATGATGAACATTGTGTTCACAATACCTTGTTTACCCTATAATGCGAATCTTTCCCATTTTTTTTTTCAATTGAATCATAAATGTTTTTACATGTAGCACTCTAAGTACTTGAATAAAAAGAATTTCCTTTATGTTCGACAATAATTGATGTAATAAAAATGAATATTATAGCATGTCTTATAATTTAAAATTCCAGTCTCAGACAGTAATGCGCTCTTGCGGAAAGAAATCAAACTTATTACCGAAGAACACTCAAGATTTCTAATATCATATGAACAAGAAAAGTCTGAACTTGAATTTGAATAAGATCCACTTAATATCTTTATTGGCACCTGACAAATAAATAAAATGATTTCAAGTAAGTTAACAAAAAAAAACATGACGTCATTTTCGTTTACAAAAGCTGAAGCTCTGGAAAAAACATAAATTAATTTTCGATTACTATCTTTTGTTTGTTCATCACTTAAACATACATTGAGTAGACCTTCCGTGTATGTTTGTTCATATATTTTCCTGTGTGTAGTTTCCTGTGCTTCTAAAATTCGAACGAGGGGAAAAGAGCTGAAACATGCATATTGAAAATATTAAGCTTATTTTGCCTCTTTCTACATTATCAGATGTTAAATTGTGTACATACATATCGACAACACACAGTGAACCCGACCTTAAAAGCCTAAAGAAAAACGTGCCCATTTTCAACTTTAATTAAAAATTGGTTTGCATTGTACTTACGTGCGATTTTTTTTTGTTTTACTTTAACGTTAAAAAATTATACAAAAAATAATCATAAGCTCAATAAATTTTTTTACCATCTATGTTGAACTTACGAAAGGAAAAGTTTGTGTTATGTAAACATACTGAATTAGAGTGTTATTTCACCATCGCTCGTAGCTGTTTTGAGTATTTAGTAAAGCCATTCATTTATACTTTTCCCCCTTTTATGCCAGGTTTCCGAACAAACTCTTGAACAGCTTCAAGAGTCTATTTTCAGTCAACAACTTTTTTCCTACACACTGATCGAAACCCAACCAAATGTTTAGCACCATTTTTCTCGGCTTTTATTTGAAAGCCTATTTCCATATTGTAGCTATTATGTAGTGTACAACTTTCATTCTCATTCTCCTTTAAACAACACGAAATTGAATGCAAAGGCGTCGAGTGATGAGAAAGTTTTAAACTTTTTTAATGTCTAAGGCGTGTCAAAAGATTCGTTTGGAAACTCTTAACTTTACAATTTTAATGAAAAAAAAAAGATTGGCGTTCTTTGATTATGTCTGTTGTTAGAGGCATATCGATTTTCTCTATTACTTTCAAATCAAGATACTGAAGGTGAGATCTGAAAAAAAAGGAAGAGAGAGAAAGAAAAAACTTTAATCTTTTCATTGTTCGTCAGATCACGAGATATTTTCGCTGGGAGCAGCAAGTAATATAATCTAATGAAAGGTTGAATAAAGAGGGTTGAAAAGAATGTCTAAAATGAAAAGCCTTCGATCTAAAAATACTTACAGAATATTGTCATGTCTGAAAAATGATATTAAAAGTTCCAACAGTTGAAAGAAGCTTTTAAAATTGTTAAAGATGAAAATTATTAAGCATAATACTTCTTGAGTTTTTCTAGAATCTTCTAATAAAATCTTTACTTCCGCTGCCTTTTTAAAATGCTACTTGCAAGCTAAAAAATAACAAGAATTGCAAACATATTTTGTTTAAAAAATCCTACAAAGTTCAAAAGCTATTAAAATAAATTTCTGTGAGAAAAAACAAACTGCAGCATACTTTTTACACGCAAATTTAAAGTTTTTTTTCCATAAAATATGAAATAATTCAGGTTAAATGAAAGCTTCATTCAGCTCTCGGCTAATAGCTGTTCCTTTTTTCTTTTTCGTTGAATCTTATGCTATCATTATGCTCGAGGAGAGCAAGCCTTGAATTTTTCAATTTGTAATTTTGATATTAAGCTTAAAAGTTCAGACGTGAAATGTTTTTTTCTTTCTAAGAAATTTTTTCTATTTCTTTTCCTTAATTTCATAAAAAGCTTTAAGGTTTTAACGATGCATCATTTCTATGTAAATTTGACTTCCTTCTTACAATGTTTTATCCCCTCATTCTCTTGATAATTAAGCTTTCTATATTTACTATGATAAAGAAAGTGAATGCATTAACATCGATGTTTGAAATGAATTCATGCTTAACGAGTAAAATGTGTAAATAGCACCACTTGTCCGTTATGCAACGATACTAAGCTGAAAGCTGAGAACTCACGATCATTAGAATTCAAAAGCACCCCGACATGGAAATTACGAAATCACCTTTTTTCTCCCTTTTTTCCTATTAAAAGTAAAGCAAAATAAAAACTGCAGAAAAAAGGATACGTAGATGCTCGGCATAATATGAAAACATGTTATTTTAACGATGTCAACCGAATACCAAACGAGATCGTGTGAACCGAGATAAAATATTATTTATGCAAATTTATGTTTGTTTCCATTGAAAAGCATATTTCTTTTTCTGTAAATGAGAGCAAATCAAGTTCATGTTACGATCTGAATTTATTTCTCTTCTTCATCAAACCAAATAATTTTCCTTTTTCTTCGTGTGTGTGTTGTCGCATCATAAGATTGCAGACCTTATAAAAAAACGAAGAAAGAAAGAAAAAAATTACTAGAATTTTTCCCACATTTATAAATATTACAAACTCGTAAGTTGATGTGTAAGAGTAAAAGAGGAAGAAAATCTTTGATACCATAATCTCTTCTGTGATAAATTTTTCTTAGTGGAAGCGTCAAGGTTGTGAGTTTTTTTTTCCAGGATGAGAGAAACATTGAAAAAGAGAGAGAGAGAGTTCAAAAGAAAGCGCCTCTAGTGGTGGGCATATTAAATGAAAAACGATAGAAACTTTTTCTCTCTCAGCCTTTTCTCTCTATTTCTTCAGAAAGCTTTTTCTTCCCTTTCTACTTTGGAATAAGCTATCATTTGGTATGAAAAATACACGTTATAAAGAATAGGGAGAAGAGAAATTTCTACGAGGCCTCGCCTGTTCCTTAGCTTATTTAATTAATAATGATTATTCTTTCACTCGTTTTCGGGCGGTTGAAGTTTTCTTTCCTTTTGTAACAAGCTAGTCTATGCGAAGGAAGATTACTGAAACCATATTTCCTTTTCCACCCTCTCTTTCTCTTGTCTGACGTTATATTCAGTACGGTAAATCTTGAAACAACAATACGACTTATCGCGTGATAACCAAATTCTTATATTTAATGGTCAGATTTATTATGTAATCAAGGTCTAATCAGCAAAATCCTCATAAGCAGAAGCTACATCTTACTTTATTTCGATCTTCCTAAGTGGTGGATGTGGTTTTTGGCCAGAATTATGAAAGTTTTATACTTTGATTATTTGATTTGTTCCCAGAAGGACATGAGAAATCAATTTCTTCGAGAAGAGAGACATGAATATTTCAAGATATTTATATAAAAACATTAACAGAAGAATTTCGTCAAACATTTCACCTGATACGGCACCTTTTTAGAAGAGAAAAGTTGAATCCAAAATCTAGTTAATGGCGTGGACTCGAAAGCGACCGGCTTCAATGTTCAAACGTGGGTGTAGCAGATAGTGTGTTGGAAAGAGAAAAAGAAAAAAAGCATTATCCCGGATATCTTTCCTTCCGTAAATGTGTCCAATATACATCAATAATCTATTTATCTTTATCTGATATTCTTGTCGTGTTTCGATACCTCTCTGAAGTTACAAACGAAGTAAACTTTTTATCTGGACCCTCCATGGCATCGTCGATTTTCAAGGTTTGTAAAAAGAAAAGAAAAGAAAAATGAAACAAGACATTAAATGCTTTCCACTGAACGTGTAACCGAAAACCAACAAAGAATACATCAATACATAAAAAATAATGCCAGTGATAGCATATTTGATGGATATTTTACATTTCTTTCTTCCACACTTTTCGCCTTTTGCGATACTGTTGTGCCAGCAGAAAAGAATAAGGAAAAAAAGAAAGAAAAAACGTTTCATTTGGTTTCCCATTTGGAGCGTGAAAGTAAAGAGAGAAGGGAAAGTTTTCTTCTTTCCAACTGCAGACAGAAGCACCTAAGATGTAATAAAAAATATCCTCACGGCTTTTATTTCTTTCTCAATTTCTACCGTTTGCAAAGACGTGGTAAAGAATAAAAGAAATTCTTTTTTTTCTTGTAAAAGTTTAATGGAAATTTTTCTTTCTTCCCTTCATCGCTTAATGTTCTCTTTATATTCCTTTGCCTGCCAATAAGGCAGTAAATTTAGATATAAAAATATCAATCTTCCCTTTTTGAGTATCAAGTGGCTTCATTACTACTTTTTATTGTTTCCACGTTCATACAGATTGGTCCGATCTTAATTGAAACAATGAACTCTTCTCTTTTCTCTTCTCTTCCCTTCATAATAAAATTCTGTTATAAAAATGAATTTTAGAAAACTGGTTTAAAAAGCATTTAAAGGAAAAATGGAAAGAATGGGAGGATAAAGATATTTCTGAAAGCTCTTTATTGTCTCATACGATTTATGATGTAAGCGAATATATAAATGTGAAGCTTTAACAATCGCTATGCTTTAATTTTTTTTGTGCTCTCTTTTCAAACTGACTCGCCCTGTTTTTCCATTGAATAAATAATGTTGAAATATGCCGAGAAGAATCCTTGTTATGTTACAAGAATAACGCAAAAAAAAATATTTATTAAATCTTCTGAGACGTTGATGGAACTGAATAAGAAAAAGAACCAACAGAATTTTTTTTACCAATTTTAGGATGCTTAAGTTTTTAAACTGTTTTGAAAGATTTTCTATAAATGTGCATTTGCTATGTAAACTCGAATAAGAGAAAGCTTCATTCTAAATATTCACGCTTCGAAAGATTAAAAATCTCTCAATGTTGTGAAAACATTCACTGAAAATCCCTTGTAATCACTGGTCAGCCTTATCAGCGTTGATGTCTTTTTCAAGCAAGAATGTTTCTGATTGTCTTCCGCCCTTCTTTTTTGAGCTTCACTCTAAAGGGACATTTTGTTTTATTGTAATGATTCTTTCAACATTTTTTTTTAACTTTAATTTCATTCTATAAAATTCTGAAGTTTTACAGTTAAATTGATTTATATGGCCATTATTTTTCTATACTGGGAAATGAAATCTCTGTGAGACTCTGTTCAGTTTTGCAATGAAAACTTTTTTTTGTTTTGTTTGTTTCTTATTTCCATTTCGGAGGAGACTTAATTTATTACATTATAGTTTTCGAGGATTTTCCTCTTACCATAACAATTTATGAGACAGCAGATTCCTTTCTACCGGATTCAGCGGCTTCTCATTGCTGCTTCATGGACACATTAAACAGCGCAGAAAATCTATTAGACAAAATGAGAAAGACAAAAGTTGAGAGTGAAAAAATAACGGCAAGTGCATTAATTACAACACTTAGTATTTACGGGATGCTATGGAAATTACATTTATTTTTATGACTCTAAAAGAAGCTGAAAATGATGGAAAACCATTTTGAAACAATCTCGAGAGAATATCTTTCTACAAAAATGTCATCAGTGTTAATGATGCCCTGTGGTGCGTTCTCCGTTGAGACAATTAAATGGAAGTCAAAGTTAATGAGAGCGAAGCAAAATATTTAAAAGGAAATTGCAGATTTTTCCTAAAAATGAAACATTGATGGCTCCGTTTGCTACACGAGTTTCTTCCAACAAAGCAATGGCAAAATAAAATGAAATTAAATTTAATTAACGGATCAAAGCTCTCTTACTTTGGCTTCTTCGTCCTAAGTTGAAAATAATTTTCCTTTTGGAAACATCAGTTCAAGTTCTTGATATCCCATTAAATACTTTTTCAAACAGTAAATCAAGGTTATTGCGGGGAAATTTTTAAACGAATGCAATCCATGTTGAGCTCAGGTAATTCAATCTTAAATAAATTTGCTCGCAAACTTTTATTCTCACTCAACAACTCTTATAGAAAGTTTATAAAAAAATGCAATGCTTGATGATTTTGTTTACCTTTTTCCCTCTCCTTCTCTTTTCTTATTTTAGTATTCTATTGTTAAGAATTTTTACTGAAAATTTGCTATAAATCAAGTTTGAAAGTGAGAAGAAGAAATCATCTCAATTCTAAACAAGACCACAAGTCATTTGTAAGGTGGAAAAGTTTGAAATTTTTTTTATTTGTTTCTGAACTTTTCAAATATTTTCAATGAAATAAATATATGTATCGAGAAGTTGATACTGAAATATCTGCTTCATTTCAATAAAAACTTTATATTTTTTTCTTCATTTTAACACAAAATAATTAAATCAAGACCATATACCGTATATTATCATCCACCCACATGGTTATTCTCTGAAGCTAAATTGTTTTTCACAAATGACCATAAATCTTCCGACATCAAAATGTTGTTAAAGTTAAATCTAGAAGAAAGGAACTTTGAGATACTTTCAAAATTTTCTTAAGGAAAAAAAAGAAGAAAGACCAAAAAGGAAACAAAAGGATTTGTGATAAAATCCAATCATTTGGTGAGAATCAAAAGAAATTTAGGTTAAAGGGTGCTTCGGTGTTTTCTTTTTAAAAAGCAAAAAATGAAAAATATTTTTTTTGTAAATCCTTGAATGAATTCTTTATGATGGAAAAGAGATTTTGCCTCCATTCTGTACAAATGTAGGTTTGCTTTTACAGCAGCTTTGTTTGTTGCGCTCATGGGGGTCTTTGTGTGTTTGACGCCGCTGGCAAAAGAAAATCTCTCACTGACTAACAACTTTGCCCCACCATTAAAATCATTACTTTTAAATCAGGGTTTAGGTTTGAGGAGTCATCGAGACAAAGATGTCAGTTAATCGATTTTATTTTCCTTTTAAAAATAATCGACTCAATATGTCGTTCAACTCAATATTTCAAACAACATTAAGCTAGAATGTCAGCTATAATGAGATAAATAATAAAAGTTAATGATTATTAACGAAAATCTTCGTATAATTACGAAAACCATTTCACTTATCATCTTATGCCATTTTAAGTCATTAGAAGTCTCGTTGTGCAAGGAGAATTATTCATTCTTCCAAGTATTGCACAATAACTCTATTACCGACAAAACTTGAATGAAATGAAAAGAAAAGAAACTTCACCCAGATGAAACCATTTCCCCAACTCTCGCCATTAAGTTGATGCAGTTAATTCTTACACTTTTTACGTTTCATTGGCTAAACTTTTCCGCTTTTCCTATACTTTTCAATAAGTGAAAAAGTTGGAATTAAAATGTAAATAAAGAAATTAATGAGCATGAAAGTTTCGTTTCTCTCTCACTTTTTTCTTGTTTCTCATAGTCCTTGGTTTTATTTGAAGCTCATTATATAAGTATAAAAAAGCTGGTGATAAAGTTTGCCATTTCGTTTCTATTATAAATTGAAAAGTGGCGATTTGTGGTTGGTGAAACTTTGACACTTTGAAAATTTCTGCAGTTGGCATTTGCTATTTCATTAATCAAAATGTTTATTCCAAACAGTTTCTTTAAACATTTTAGTGTAAATAGAAATTTATTAGAAATTAAAGACTATTTATTAAATGATTTCGACAGTAAAGTTAAATTAATTTTACAAATTATGCTTATTCGAAGTGACATGTAGTAGATATGTTCGCAAAGTTCAGAAACATCTTAAGCTCTTAGAGCTTTGATGCGAAGGGTGCGATATTAGATAAAGCTACTTTAAAACTTACGTTAGATTAGGAAAGTACCGGCTTTGATTTTATTTTCTAAAGTTGTTACGGAACTTATTAAAATATCCATGAGCGTCACAGAAATAATGATGACACGCTCTCGAGGCTAATGTGTTCTCAAGAAGATTGAAATTGGCAAATTCAGCTTATAAAAATATCGTATATGAAATTATTCACATAATTTAAGACGTTCGAGGCAAGACGAGAACGAATAAAAAAAGAAGTAACGTGCGTGGAAAATGTCAAACGATCCTTAGAGAATTGCTTTTGATTCGTCGTAAAGACTCCAAATAATTTTCTGTTTTTCCTATTTCCCCTTAAATATTTCCACATTCATGTTATTCTCCTGTTTTCATCTCCCAGGGTGAAATCAAGATAATATAAAATTCAATGTTGGATAAACCTCAAACCAAGAAATCATTTTGAAACATTTCCTATCTGAAACATGTTATTTTGCGGCAGAATATTTTTTCCAAAGCCTTTTTCATTTTCAGATTAATTATTAAATTGAATTACATCTGCATAGGAAAATACCAGTCATTAGGGAATTACGTCTAGAATTTTACACTGCGAGACTTAAGATAGAAAATTGGAGATGAAGCTTAAGCCAAGATAACAGATGATAATAAAAAGAGAAACCATTGATGTTAAGACCCTCGAGACCTTGAGGCATCGTTTCGTTACCATTGTCTTCTATCGAATTTCTTTTCCTTTTATCATCTCTTCTTTCCTTATGTGCTTGGAGATTTTCTACTCAGTTCAATTCTCACAATGAATCAGATTTGTTCCTTCTATTTGATGTTTAGTCGATCACACTCACTTGAAAGCGTTTCACCTAAAATCACAAAAGAAGCCTAAAAATATATTTTTGAAATTAACACTTCACATTATTGAATATAATGTTGAACCTCAAAACATAATACATAATAAATGTTCTTCAATAGATTTTTTCTAAAATGTTTGAATTATGAATGCTGCTTCTCTTTCATATCATATTAGATGAGCGGTTCGCTCAACGTTTGAATATTTCATAGCTAAATGAAATATTCAATGCTGTGTATTTTTATTTCATTTTTTTTCTATCCCTCTCTCTCTTCCCTCAGATATTTCTGTATGAAGGTTTTCAATGTTAATGTATAGAACGAGTGAAAGACTCATGAAATTTTAATGGATTTTACTGCCAATAACATTTCAATCGAGCGCATTTTTGGGAGTTTAGGAAAAGTGGATAAGACATGACGAGAAAAAAAAACGGAAGGGAATCAAACATCAGACAACTTCCGACAGAAATATTTTCTCTTTTCTATTATTTTCTTTCTTTTGAATTTTTTTTTTTTGAAATAATCTCAATATGTTTCTTAATGTTTCTTTATTTAGAAGACAAAATATCGTTTTGATATTCAACCTTGTTTGAGTAAAGTAGAACAATAACGATAACTATTATTACAATGCACATTGCACTCCTCTTTGCATAATTAAACGGAAATAGACACGGAATCTTTGCACAAAACTTGCATAATTAACTTCTGGAATGAAATAATAACAGACAAAAGTTTTGCAAATTATCATAACTTGTGCACTCTCAAATTTTTCTAGAAAGCAACGTGTACAATGGAGCGAAATTTAATTAAATTTATTTAAATATATTAATGCGATTACAACTCTTCCCCTTTTTCATTCTCTTTCCATGAAATTGAAAAGCTAAATGCTCTTTACTTTACTAAATCTCCACTCACAAATTAAAGAAGCCTTAAAGAAGCTTTTCTGATTAGAGATTCGAGATTATGCAACATAGCCGATTTGAAAATGGCAAAGTTTGTTGAGCCTTCCATTCATCAATGCATTATTAGGCATTTCCATAGATATGTAAATGCCACAGTTCCCATACAAATATTTGACTAGGCATGAAAAGTGACATGTGTGGGTGCATACAAGAGAATTGAATTTGAAAATGACAATCAACATTATATGTGAATGTGTGACTGATAACGCAAACATTTATCGATTCGTTTGTGTGGCTGAGCTTATGTATAAATTAAGCGATGACATTCTAAATTATTAAGTTTACAGTCTGGCTTATAGTCAACTTTAGACGAAGCTAAACAACCGTAAAAATTAAATATTTACAACTGAGCCCAAGAGTAGAATAAATATAACAATGGCACCGTTACGTTGGGGAATCGCTTCTGCGGGAAAAATTTCAAATGATTTTTGTGCTGCTCTTACAACACTTCCAAAGGGACATCACGAGTTGGTAGCAGTAGCAGCTCGCTCAGAAGAAAATGCTAAAGAGTTTGCTAAACTCTTCAACATCCCAAACTACTACGGTGGTTATGAGATGTTGATGAAAGACCCCAATGTTGGTATGTAGAATGTAGAATTAGATAAATAACCCAAAGAACTTTACGAGAACGTAAAAGAAACGACTTGTAATACTTTTAGACATCGTGTACGTTGGAGCAATTAATACCACTCATTTGGAGATCGGTTTGATGGCCCTCGACAATGGCAAGCATATTTTATGCGAAAAGGTACATAAATACGACAAGTTTCATTGTGTCAGATAACTTGAGAAATGTTATCTCGTTGATTACTTATTAGCCGTTGACATTAAACGAAAAACATAGTCGTAAACTTCTTGAAAAAGCAAAAGAGATGAAATTGTTTTGTATGGAAGGGATTTGGTCTCGTTTCTTTCCATCTTATAAATACTTGAAGAAGCGTTTGGACGACGGTGATTTTGGGGACATCAAAGAAGTTAATGCTGAGTTTGGATTCAATATTTCAAATGTTGACAGATTGACGTGAGAATTTTCGTTTAATTAAAATTCCAAACTCATTCTTGCTCTTGATAGATATCAAAGCTTTAGATATAAAATAACGAAGAAAAAATAATAAAAAACATTCCGTAGGAAAAAAGACCTTGGCGGGGGAGTGATACTTGATTTGGGAGTTTACGCCATTCAATTTGCGCAATTTGTGTTTCGTAGTGAACCTACATCTATTATTGCCAAAGGCAAGTTGAACGATGAAGGCGTCGATGCAGAAGTCGAAATTGAATTGAAATACTCTAACGGTGGGATCGCTCGCTTAAAAACAAGTGCTGTTAGGGAGCTTCATAACGAAGGAATCGTAAAGGGTACAAAAGGTTCTATGAAAGTGAGTATTACTTTTTTCTTTTTTATCTCAAATTTTACGCAGAAAAAAATTGAAATGACCTTCGTGAAATTGTTTATTGTCCATGGAAACAATCAGCAAAAGGAAAAAATTTAATGTCATAATGACAAGCGATAATAAATAAATCTTCAAGTTTACACAGCTTAAAGAGCTATAAAACTGGTTTTGAAAATTGATAGCAATATTTTTTTTTTTTGTCTCTTGCCTAGCTTCATAATTTCTGGTGTTGCACGCACTTGACAGATATTGATACAAATGTAAAGGAATGGCCTTTACCGAAGCCGAAAATTGGAGAATTTATATTCACAAATAGTGCCGGTTTACGATATGAAGCAGAGGAAATTCGAAATTGCATCAATAATGGATTATTGGAATGTCCTATCGTTAGTCATGACGAAAGTTTACTAATTGCTCATATCGAAGATGAAATTCGTCGTCAGATTGGAGTTACATTTTCCCTAGATGATTAAGAAGTTCACATTGATGTCAATCTAACAGTTTGAGAGATGACGTGTCAATGAACAGTATAACCACAGAGGGAGACAAACACATGACACTACCATTGCAATCAATTAATTTTCTTAATTAAAAGCTTTTCAAGCGTATAAAAAAAAAATAAAAAACAAGAGAAGACTTAATACGGTCAGAAATAAATCAAAAATACGATCTAACATAATTACACAAATTTTCTTCGTTCGTTTTGTTTTCTTTCTTCGTCCCTGACTTTTTTATAGGGAAAGCGTAGTAGTCACTACGGACTGCAGAAAAATTAAATTAAAACGTCCACAGCGCTCTTCTGAATTAATTGATGTGAAAACCAAAAACCGGTTCACATCACATCGCTTTCGGGGAAAAAAAAATTTTCCTCTGTTTCCGGATTTCAGAGAGTTATTCGTATTTATTTCCCGTCTGCAGAATGAAAATTTTTCTTCTCTTGTTTTCCGGAATATTTAAGTGAAACGTTTTAAAGTTATTGAAGTCAAATAAAAGCTGCTGACGACAGAATCAGAGCTAAATATGAAGTCGAATATTCTTTTTTGGTAAAAGCTTTGAACGTTTATCGCTTTATAAATGCAGAAAAATATCCAAAACTATTGTCTCATCTTTGTTTCTTTTCTCATCCTTTGACTCATCCCAACCGCATTCGTAATGTTATGAAATTGAAAAACGGATATCGGGTCACAGTCGTGTCATTTTCACTCCCTTGTTGATGTTGTAACAAAAGTGCCTGTTTTGGAGATAAACATCGCATTTTAAATGAAAGCGTAATTAAATTGAATGAATGCTTTCCATTAATCAGCTGTTAGGGCAAAAAAAGAAACAATTGAAATCAAAAGATTGGAGCACTTCTGGAACTTAATTAAACACAATGTTTTTATCTTCCGGATGAATTTTTATTTATTTTTATAAGGTTTTCTTTCTCACTGAAGCGAATTATAATTTTGATCAAATATTAATCAAAAAAGATGCTTCCACCCTTTACATCATTACACTTAATTAAATTTCTTCATCAAAGCTTTATGTGAGTCAGTGAGAGAGAGAGAGAAAGAAAGAGAAAGTCTTTTAATTTTTAAGCATTATGTGTTTATTATTAAATATCTTTAACCAACTTGTTATGCTAATTTAAACTTGAGTAAATTCTTAGCTTTCATCTGTATTCATTTCATAAACTTCTACTTCATTTACAATGAATTCCAATGAATTTGAAAAGTTTACAGCCTTCATTAAATTTCCCAAGTGACATTTACCTTCTTATTTCAAGTGTCAGTCATATGCATGTCTTCCAAATTGTGAAATTGTTTGGTATCACGCTGTGTCGTCATTTAAAGGATTCAAAGTGTTGACTGCGTGTCAACAGTTCTCTGGAAAATGTTTCACTAGACACCTTTACCCGTAAAATTGGCTGTTTCATTTCATAGTCTCTTCACATCGGTCTCAAATATAATTCAATTAAATTAATTCATCAAAGAAAACCTTTAAAAGAAAGCAAATAATTTTGAACCATAAAGCTTGTGGTGTCAGCTTATTAAGCGTTTATTCGTCGTTTGGGATTTTATTGGATGTGTCCCATCTGTATAGAAAATAAAAGCATAATTTAAATTGAGTAAGCTAATTGAGTTTGTGTGGTAAGAAAAGTGGAAGTTTAGCTTAATGAAGTCATCAAATTAATCTTATTAATTGCCAATGAATTTTTCATTACCTTTAAACGAAATCGTATCAATTAAAGAATGATTCTCGATTGCTGTATAACAGCAACTCTTGAACATTACGTAGATATCTTTTTTTATTTCCCAAACAACTATATACATAAAATGCTATCAAGCGTTATCGAAAAAACGAAAAAATAAAAGATAAGGTTAGCTTTTAATGTGTCAAAAAAATGAATGAGTCGATGCTTCGCATATAAACCAGAGCATTGGCAGATATTTCGACATTAAACTCATTGTAAAAACCAGAAGAAAACGCCTAAACGAGAAATTCTAAATTCTTTTCTCGAAAAACATTATCGGACGGTGGAAGTGAAGTGAAAAGGAAAACGTGAAAGTTATCCCTAATTATCTGATAATCAATTTAAGTCACAGGAAACGAGAGAAATAAGAAGATATATCTAAAAATATAATCATGGCCCCGCTTAGATGGGGAATTGCTTCTACTGGCACGATTTCATTTGATTTCGCAAATGCACTTTCCACTCTTCCGGTTACTGATCATCAGATTGTAGCTGTTGGTGCTCGTAGTCTTTCTTCAGCGAAAGTTTTTGCTAAAAAGTTTGACGTTCCAAAGTATTATGAAGGCTACGAAAATCTTATGAAAGATGAAGAAATTGGTAAGATGAATAAAAAAAGGAAGAAAATACTTTGAAAAATTGTTTTCTTCCCAATGTGTCTTTCTCACTTTAACATTGTGAGACACTGTATGAAAGCATAAGATGTTTCAGACTGATTTCAGCACAAAAGGCAGGATGAAAAGAAATAAATAATACGTCATTGACAAATGACTCTCGTGTCGCAAACGTGCCCATTGATTAAGCCACAAAAAAGTGATAAATTGATTTCCTTATCATTTTAGATGTCATCTACATCGGATCTATCGTGGCCACGCACTTTGAAATTGCCATGCTAGCGCTTCAGCATAACAAACATGTTTTATGTGAGAAACCATTGACACTGAATGAGAAAATGTCTCGGCGGCTCTTTGCAACCGCAAAGGAGAAAAATCTTTTCTTTATGGAAGGGCTTTGGTCACGTTTCTTTGAAAGCTGGAAATATCTGAGACAGCGTATTGATGACGGTGATTTGGGGGAAATTAAAGAGATCGATTTAGAGTTCGGATTTCCACTTGCTGATACTACACGATTGTTTCTAAACAATGGTGGTGGAAGTACACTCGACTTGGGAGTGTATCCAATTCAGTTATCAGTAAGTTGATGACGTCCTTTTAAGGACAATTTGTTGCTTTTTCTAATTTTTTCTTCCTCGGGACTTCTACTCAAGTGGTCTGTGTATTTATGTACATGTAACAAGTAGAAGCTTGAAAGAAAATTTTCTCCACCACCTAATTGAGGTCTTATCGAATTACCCGATAAGATATTTAACTCGCAGAGTCAGCATATTTTTTATGATAAACATAAAAACGACAATCGACTCGAGGTTGCACTTGTATAATTTTTTTTAAACAACGTGACTTTAAATTCAGAGTTGTTACAAGACGTAATAAGATTAATGTTGACACTTATATATCAGTTCATCAGTTTTTTATTTCAATTAAATTAGATTAAAGTAAAATTAAGTAAATTGAGAAGTTACTTTAGGTGACGTTAGTCAGTCTATTGAAGAATGTTTACAAACATCTTAAACAACTCTTGAATCAAGATATGTTCCCCTTAATTTAAAAAAATGTCGTAATTTTTCTTCCATTATTATAAATTGCTACTTTTATATCCAGTTGTGGGTGTTTCGTGCTGAGCCGACGAAAGTTATCGCTTTCAGTAAGTTGAATGAAGATTCATTGGACATGGAATACAATGGCGAGTATCATTTCCCCAATGGCGGCATTACAAAATTCAAAGTCAGCTGTTTATCGCCTCTGTCGAATACGGCAATCATCAAGGGGACAAAGGGTGAGATTGTGGTGAGTTGGTTGCTTCGGCAGGTCTCAGGTTACAAATTTATGTCATATTTACAAATAAAAAAATATGGATCGTACAACACGCGCCGACAGAGACGTGTTAAGGAAAAGGTCGTTACGAGTTAGAAACAACTCTTAGAAATACGAAACTGTCGACTCATGAAAAATTGTCTCAGTCTCCTGGGCTATCCATTTATTTATGTTGTGTTTTTTTCTACTCCTTTTGTGGTAAACTTTCAATTTCCCTCAGTAAAAATTTCCACAAAATTTCTTTAACCGATGTTATTTTTCGTTTTCACTCCCCAAAAGTCCACTTGAAGGAAATATCCTTGCTTTGCATAATTTTTTCTTTTTTTTCTGACCATTTGGAAATGAAATCATTTTTCATTCAGAAAACATACAAAAATGGTATCTTTTCTCATTCTTTTTTCTTTTGTCATCCACAGCTACCCGATTTTTGGTGTCCTTTAAAACTAACGGATGTTGATGGTTCCATTAAAAGCTGGGATCTCCCGAAGGCTCGTTACGACTTTCTACTTAAGAACAGTGCTGGTTTGAGTTTTGAAGCGGAAGAAGCTAGACGACTCATAAATGACGGTCTAATTGAAAGTCCATCCGTGACTCATGAAGAGAGTTTGAGACTTGCTCGGGTACAAGACAAGCAAAGAAAATTGTTCGGCGTTCACTTCCCAGAAGATGATTTAGAATATTAATTTTCCTTGATGTTCCATTTAAATTTCCAATCACGAAATGCTTTTAACGACACCGGGCAATGTCTTTCTTCTGTCTTTCTTATCACGAAGCCAATTATGTCCAATAATGTGAATAAGAAAAAGGAAAAACAATCATTTCATAATTTTCTTTCGACATTATTTTTCTTTCTTTTTTATTATTCAACTGTTTTTTTTTGTTTTGTTTTGTTCTTTCGAAAAGAAAACTTCTATTTGAAACTGTTCAAAATATTTATTACAGAAGAATCTAAATGGCTGTACAATGCCAAAAAAAGAAAAGAAGAAAAATAAACTTAAATTGAAATTGGAAATGTAATTACTGAATGGAGTTTTTGAGTTTGTGGGTTTTATCGAATGTTATGTCACAAGAATAAACTTTCTTTGATGTTATTTTGTAATTTTTCTAAAACAATTGTTTCAGAATTGACATCGGTTTGAAAAAATGACATCTCATGGTTTCATTTTCAAATGTTTTTATTTTAAAGGGTCAATAAACTGATATCGAGCGAGTGTCAAAATGAAGGTGAATCAGACCGCAACATTAACAGATGTTTATAGAAAATCACTAGAATTGTTTATAAAATTATTTCATGATATAACATCCAACAAATACATCAACAAACATTTTATTTTCGTCTTAATTATTTGAAAAAAAATCTCAACAATATCAACGACTTATCTCATACCTACTCAATAAATTATTCTACAAATATTTACAAAATTACAAATTAATAAAGAGATGACAGGATGTAACAAATTACTCTTTATTAATTTAAATATTTCATAGACAACGAAACTAAATAATTGATCTTTCCATCTCACTTTTTTCTTTCTCTCTTGTTGTTGTTAAGATGATAAGAAAGAAAAGAAAGCACAAATTCAACATCAAAAATAGCGAAGAAGAATGAGATAAACATTCGCAAAAGAGTTATAAAGATTTAAGAGAACCTGGCTATGCATGCTTGAGTTTTTTTATTCATCTTCACTGAAATTATTATCCATTCTCATGCTTAAAAAGAAATTTATGATCAGCCAACATAAGCAAGAAAGCTGATATTGCAAAAAGTTGTCTGTTGATATAATTTCTCTAGTTCAGAACAGAAAATAATGGAAAAGTAATCGAAAGCTCATTTTTTTCGAAGAATTCATGAAAAGCTTTTTCTTACTCAAGTAACTACCTAACTTGTCTATTTAAATCTCATGAGCTTTCATTTTCTCATCTCATCTCTTTCACATTGAGTTCACATCAGGCCTCGGTACATGAACAGAAATTCGAATTTTCATCAAAACAAAGATTAAAGCTGATTTTAAAAGTTTTTTACGAATCTATTTCTAGCTCTGTAACATGTATCGATAGACAAAAAAAAAACTCGGAAGTAAATAAAAGAAAGAAATTGAGACTTAAGTAATATTGATGAGGTCACGTTCGAGTGTAAAAATGAAATAATTTCATATGTCTCAGTATGATTTAATTTAATGCTATAGATGGTGGTGATGTTGAATTAATATTAGTTCCAATTATAGTAAAGATGATGCTAATAATGATTATTCCAGGACTAAGCGGTGACAGTCTCCACAATTGACTTCTTTATAATTTCGCTGAGATTTTCATTTGTTTCATTTTGCGGTTGTGTGTCGTGACTATCATTGGTGTTGTTCGATGCTGTTGTCGTTGATGTTGTAATCGAGCAGAAATTATCATCAACAGGACAATGAAGATCTGTTGTTTGTTGATAATTGACTCTAACAACATTATTTGTTGTAGTTGCATTGTGAATTTGAGTAGAAGAATAGTTTGTTGATACGTAGCCATGCGACGAAGTTCCATTCACATCAACACGAGAATGCTGATTGTGAGGATGATGATATCGATTTGAGGCATTTGTTGGAGTGTAATTTGAATATTGGCAATCATTGTTGAATGTTGATTGTGGTAATTGATGCTGTTGATATGAAGGAATTTGTGGGTTTTGATGTAATCCAACTTGATATCCATTTTGATAAACATTCTGCAATGATGTTGGTAAAGATGATGAGACATTGTGATAATTATTATAATTTGTATAATAATCGCCATTGTTCATGCTATTAAAAGATGAACTGGCACTTTCGTATTCCTCGCGATAAGCGTAATGTAAATCTAATGATTCCTGTCCTGATGCAACCATCGTTGAAATTGGTGGAATTTTAGTGGGATATTGTGATGATGACGCTGCAATGCCATTACTATAAGATGAATAATTAGTATAACTGCAACTACTTTCTGCTTGATGTGGTGTTTGCTGTTGCTGCTGCTGAACACGCATTTGAGACCACCATTTAGAATGGCTTTGATGAATGACACTAGTATTATTGGTGCAGTCTTCAGAGAATTCGTGACGCTTTTCAAGCTCCAATCTCATAATCGTATGAATGAAATGTGTCTTAACTCTCGCTGGATTAAATTCAATTCTTCCATTAACATTTGCGCAGGCGTCACGTGTACAACCGCATGGAAAAGCGTGAGGTTTTAATCGGTCGACTTGGCATTTAATGCCAGCTTGACTACATTCACATGTATCTGGATCACAATAGTCACGACATGTACATCCACAAACTTCTCGCGATGTTCGTAACATTCGACATTCGTCCTTCTCACTTGTATCGATTTTTCTTACACCCCCTGACTTGAGAAGGGCACGTCTTTGTCGTGCTGTCACTGGTTGTAAGAATCCATATGCTTCATTGTCCCCTTCCGATAAACTATTCTCACTAATGTCATCTTCACTCTTCGATTCATCGCTTGATGTGCTACTTGCATTCAATTCATCACCAGCAATTTTTAACCGATAAAGACGTCGTTGTTCGATGCCATGTTCACTTAATGTGAAAGACCTAAAATAAAAAGTAAGTTAAATTAAAGTATATTTTTAATCATGGAAAGAAATTCAAATGAATTTACTTTTTATACGCATGTTTAGCTGTCATGCCGAGAGTACTGCCGCCTTGTGTAGGAACACAGCCGAAGCCTTGACATCTTGGAAAGTAAAAAACAGTAACATCACCAAAATTTAAACTTCTTTTTGATTTCTTCACTAGGCTTTCATTATTAAGATTATCAGCTGATCGTCTCTTTAAACTGCTTCTTGATGGTGTTAATGTCGCTAAATTCTTTTCAATTTCAGTAATGCTACGAAGACTATCAGAACCTAAACCAGAATCAGAGCCATCACTGCGAAACTCTTCAAGAAGAGTTGATGTGTCGGTGACATCTTCAAGCTCTGGTTCACTACTATTTACATTTATTGCAAAACTGCTGTCAGTAACATCTTTTGTAACGTCTTTAATTGAACTTTGTTCGCCATTTCTTTGAATAATTTCGTCTGTTGATGACAATTTTCTGTCATTGCCATTTATGTCACTTTCTTCATTTTGTAAATTTTCATTGTCTTTACATTTCAATTTTTCAATGTCAACAAAAATCACTTTATCGATTGTTACATCCCTTTCTGTCTCCAATGGAATATTAAGGAAGGTTTCATTAGACACGGTAAAGTCATCATCGATCGCCAAAGGATCGGTTAATGGATCGTCAAAATTTCCACAATCAACACCCTCAGGTGATGCGTTGATTTCGTCGTTCATACTTAAATCATTCGTTGTTCTAAAAAGAAGTAAGAAGAAAAAAAAGGTTTTGTAATGTACACAGATTTGTTGAAATGCTTAGAAATCAAATTTATGAATTCAACCCTTGAGATATTTACTTTGTGGCATTCTTCTGAAGGTAGTTGAAGAAGCTTTTAATGGGGTTAAGCATTATCCTTCTTCCACGAAAGCTATAAATGAACCGCTACGTCGATTCCTTTCTCACACTTGCGAAAGCATAAATAAAGATATAACGAAAAAATGTTGCAATGTCTGATTGTGAATCCAAATTATCGTAAAAAAATCTGCAAAATAAATTTAAATTATAAATGAAAAGAAAGTGTTTTGTGTTGAAGATTTGTCATTGATTCATTCGTATTCATTCATATAAAAAAATACTTCTTCATCTTCGTTCAATTTATTCAAAATCTTCAGTCATTCGTTTCCTTCATTTCTTATTTATTTATATACCTACATATAAAAAGATGAATAAAAAAATAAAACAAAATTAATTTTTGCATTTAAGAAGATTGAAGGTTGTGAGACTAATTTATAAATATAAAAAGACTTTCCCCAAGTATTTGAGATTATTTTTTTAATTCTTTGCATTTATCAAATCTCACAACGTTTTTCAACACATTCAAACAAATATTGAAAAATATTTTTGAAAATTCTCTTCAAGTTATGATACATGAAAAATAAGGAATTTACATTTCAGTTTATTTTAACAAAACTCTAAAACAAAAAAAATAGAATTTGTTGCAACATAAATTTAACAACGCAAAAGAAATAACACAAAGGAAAAACATAAAATTCCAAGTATTTATGCTTTTCCCTTCAATCACACATCCACATCCTAACAAAGCACAAAGTTTTGTCCCTCCGTGTTCCGCTTTTTTTCTCCTACAGTTGTTGTTGGTGCAATGTAGGAGAGAGTGAACAGCAGAAATATAAAGCAGAACGTATAAAATATCTTACATGTAATGTCTTACTAACACATTCAAACAATGATAGTCGTTTCTTCACTTCGTTCAACGAATACAATCTTAAAGATCGATGGAAAAGCCTTTCAGTGCTTAAAATTAAATAAAGAAAATACTTTAGGTATTTACGGAAGATGAGAAAGATAAACACGAACTAATGCCTCAGTTTTAAAGGAAAAAAAGCGAAGCTTTTAATTTTGTTGTTATTACTCAAATAGATATCTACATTCAGTGATTTTCACACATTTATGACGCGCTTTTTCATGTTTCTATTGAAAGATTTTTGGGCGCTTTCCGCACAATTTTTAAACAGAAAGTTTTCCATAGAACACATTCTTTAATAAAAAATCTTGTTTGGGAAAAAACGAAGTATGTGATCGGTGTAAGAAACAGCTCAAACTTTAGTAAGTAAAGAGAATACAGCAGACTGGAAAGACCCAATTTTCCAAGTTTCTAGCTTTCTGTTTTAATACAGTTACGACTCAAAATTTAAACATTTTTTTGCTGCAACATTTAAAGTTAAAAATAGGAAAAAATCTTCTTTTTTGGTATGTTAAAAAAGAGAAGGGAAAATGCTTGAGGCCATGATCTATTAATTTATTAGACGTGACATCATTGCCACACGTTTTATTACTTTCGATGACGTTCGTTTGAATATTTAAAGGTTCGTTTTGAGTTCATTTTATATTTTTGTTACTTCAAACTTATTCGAAACGATAAGACGTCATTCGCTGATGACGCAATAAATGATGTTACATGTAGATGAGAAATATTTCCATTCTTAGTATTATCTGTAACAGTTACAAATAATCATCAATCATAGAATATTCTAAAACCCTGCGCGTTAAATGTTCATTGCGATCTCAGGGTTAAAGAAGGCTTCGATCTTGCAGATTGCTTCACAGTGAAAAAAGCAAATTCTCACATACTGAAGCACTGCCTCGTGTATGAATATTACCGCTTTTTTATTTAAAATATTCACTCACACACCAATGGGCTTCTGTTCTTTACTCCAACCACACGAAAACTTTTATTTGAAATTTAACATCAACTTTATTCACTCAACCCGTTAAATGAATTATAATCTTTACCTTAAATATATTTATTCCCATATCAAACTGTTATCCCTTTTGTGATTTTTCATAATGACTGAAACTTTTCAATCACATTGATTTGCTCTTAGTTACAAATTCCTTGAATATGTTTATCTTTATCAAAATTTAGAAAAACTGTTGCAGAAATTGTTCAAAACTTTACTTTCTTTTAGTTTCTTATAACTTTGTAAATATTTTAAGTTAAAAAATTCACACAAGAAATAATTCTTAACTATTTTAACTTGAAATTTTAAGGAGCACCAGAATTACTAACTCTCGTCGAAATTTTCATATGAGTCGAATAACAAACACATTCATAATCATGATGTTGCTTTATACACACACTGTTGAAGTATTTCGTGTTTTTACTCAAATTTCAATCATCATACTTTTAAACATTTTTGTGTCTTCACTATAAATGTGTCTCTGAATTTTATCTTTTTCAAATCTATTAAACTCGTTACAAAATTATGTTTATGAAAAGGTGACAAATTGTTTCAAAATATTAAGCAAAACGATAAAACTTCTAAAATAAATTTTTCTGCACTTAAAAAATCTCAATCAAGTAATTTATTTGTTAAATACTATAATTGACAACATAATTTACAATTGTTATCGCATTGCTATTTATGTTTCCTTGGACTTTTTTCTGATTACTTTTTGTTTCTTGAATACAAAATCATATTTTTAAAAAAGAAAACATAGAAATCACACCGATTTAAAGTTATATTTTGACATGAAAATAAAAAAATACTTTGGCACTATTCTATTTATATACTATCAATGATTATAACCAAGACTAGATCAATGTAAACAATCACACGATCTTATGACTAGAAAATCTCTTAAAATCATTTTAAAAATTAGAATTCTTCAATTTCACTTTATTAGTTATTGGAGCTACTAGCATTTTGTTCAAGTTGGGCTTGTGGTGTATTGAGAAGTTGCTGAAGTTTAGCAGCAGCAGGGAATGATGCCAAATCAAGAGGCTGGGCACCTGTCGTACTTTGAATGTATGCAATCAATCTAAAAATTTAAAATATGTGAATTAATAAAATTTTCATCTAAACAAAATATTTTTTGTTTCCAACCTTCGCAACTCATCCAATGCATTTGCTTGCATAAGAATATAATTCTTAGCTAATAACAATGTGGCAATCTTTGAAAGTTTTCTCACAGAGGGGCTGTGAGCATAAGGAATGACACTTCTCAATTCATCTAAAGCATCATTCAAATCATGCATTCGTCTTCGCTCTCGAGCGTTTATATTCAGTCGAACTGACTTTCCTTGTCGGTTTTTCTGCTTTCCACCAGTTGTTGCACTACTACTTGCAGGCATTGATACTTCACTTGAATGCATTAGCGAACTTGTACTCGGCTTGTTTTCATCACTGTGACTTTGATGTGACGATGACGCATGGGGTTGAGCAAAGAAACCACCAAGGCCAACTGTTCCAAGTGGTGTACTAAAAATTAAAAAAAGAAATATTTATTTGCATGAAGAATTTTTGAATGAATCATGAAAATTTTTACCGTCTGCCAGGAACAGATTGTGGTGGACTTGAAGTCGGTGGAGGTGGATGACTCATCATTGCTTGATTATGATTCAAATGGAAATTAAAATGATGTGAATCCATTCCATCAAATGTACTGAAATAGAATTAAAGGTAATTAAAGTATATTTCATACTTATGACAATGAATTTGATGAACAATGAGTAGCAATGGTTTCCATTTTCCAGCTCACAGCCGATTAACGAGCCAACAAACTTGAGAGAAGTTAGAATTTAGAAACTTTTGCAACCGTCCATTGTGTCACGTCCAATAGTTGTTAAAGTTAAGGAGCATTATTTTACTTACAATCAACGTCTATTGTAATAAATTGTTTGGCAACATAAATGGCGTGTCTCCAGGTATCTTTAATGGTTTTTCTAAAGATAAAGTTTTGAAGTCTTGTTAGATAAAAGCTTCCTTTCTTTTATATTTCAGCTTCTGTCTGTTTGGAATGAATCAAGATTTTGCCGACATCAACATTCGAGTATCAGACGCTTAAACAATGGGCGGAAAACTTTCGTCCTAAATAAATGTATTCAATCTAAAAAGAGAAATTTTTGAGATGAAAAAGTTGAAATCAAATAAAATATAAAAGAACAACATGAAGAAGCATGAAAGAGGAAATAATTAGAAAGAAATAGAAATGAAGTAAAGAAGAAATGAAACAAGCAACCTGCCATCCACAAAACGATAAAGTTTATATCACGAAATGTTTACTGTAACTAAAATTGATTTTTATTTACTCAACCAGTTGGTCCCCTCTTTCAATAACTTTTTTTTTCTTTTCTTTTTCCTTCCCTTTTTCACTTTACGAACCGCAGATGAAACGAAATAAAAACTACTGTTGGCAAGAGAGCTGCTGATTGTTTGAGTTTTCGAAAGTGTTTGTGAAAGCATAGATCCTATGTACAGCACATACTTATGATGTATGTGCGTAGTGTTTGCCTTAAATGTTAAGCTTCACAGCGTATATATAATGAGCCACCCCTGAACATCAATTATATACGAACCACTATCAAGAGAGACACTTTTAACATCACTTTAGCCGGGAGAGTGAAGACATTATCATCATAAAATTATGCTGTAGTTACTATAAGAGAGTATCTCGTAATTTATTCTGTTTTTACTTCATTTTATACAACAAATTTACCAAGGGAAAATCATTTCTTTTTTTTGCACCACGAAAGATATAAACTGCACTAAATTTTATTTCAATTTTCTCAGCTTCGTTCAACTGAATCGATGGATTTAAATGTGTATGTGAGAGCTTGTATATTTTTATGTACCGAAACACGATGAGATGAAAACTCAACTGGCAAAAGAAGAATAAAAAAATTACCATGAAATACAACGCCACCCTCTTGAGAAACCCTTCGGGAGCGGCCTCACCCTCTTCGATAATATTTTCTCGCTCGTGTTCAGTTATATACAATGAAACCAGAGAAAAAAAGGTTCGAAGCACATAGCAGTAGCTCGAGGGCAAATGAATGAAAAAGATTTCAAAGTGAGAAGAAATGGTTGGAGAAAGAAATTGATTGCAAAGCCAGAAATTGTACCTCGATGTAATGTAATTATATGTCGCCATGTTCAAACGCAATTCCACATAATGTTAAGAAACTTATTTTTCTTTGCATTTGAGAAATGAAATAAAATAATGAGAATTAAGAGCATAGCTTAAGGTCGGTCGATTCGATGTCCCATGCCAGAAGAATTAAACTTGAGTTCTTTAACGTAACATGTAAACGTGATGGAAGGTTTATGGTATGAGGAATAAGAAATCGTTTAATTTTTCTTTCACTGATGTCATGTTTTCTTCTTCTTCTTTTTTTTTAAGAAGAGAGTACGAGAGCCAATTTAGAATTTATGTTGACAGTTGACACACAAAAAATGTATCATTCCTACCCTTGTTACGTTATACATACAAATAGAAAGCTTAGCTTGAAAATAAGTGAAGCAGATCAAGAAGCTCCTTCAAATGGCATCGAATGTCGGCTGATGATTTTCCTTTCTGATGATGCTCTTCATCCCGATCCCTTTGTTCAGTTAAGAAGATTTTGTAATTTAAGAAGATCATGAAATGTTTGATAGATGAACATGAACATGAACAAGAGCAACCCTTCAGCTTTTAGTTCAATTTTTCATTCTCACCCTCAAACTTTTCTCACTCTGACATCAAACCTGACACAACCAACGCCTGATATATGAGAAACTTTTCCATTTTCTCATGTCGATTTGAAAGACGAGAAACTTGCATGAAACGAATGGAAATGGATTTGAACGGAATTATCAAAAGGGATTAATACAAACTTTATCTTTTTGTATATATGAGTATTCTCTTGAATGTTTCTCAACAAATTGAAAAATAATAACCACGATCGAATGGGAAATAGCTTATACATGAAGCTTGTCTGTGTTCAGCTACTGTTGGGAGGATAAATTTCAATTACTTTTCATTTCCCAACACACCGGAAAACACAACATACATCCGGAATTATTCAGACTTATAATTGAATATAAATATTCAATTCTGTTTATGCTTTCAACTCCCTTTGAAAAATTAATTCATCACTGAAACTGATGAAGCTCTCAATTGTGGTTGTGCATGGAGTGTAGAGTTCGAACTGCAATTGAATTATTATTTTTAGAGATGGCTGTCATGAAAGCATCCGTAATTATCTACGTAAATACTAAGTGGGTGTTTGGAAAATTCCGTTTACATTTTCCATGCGCTTCACAGTTTAATCCCTGCTGTTCTTATACAACAACAAATGTCAAGTTAAATTTCATTGTAACATGGTGAACAATCTCTTGGGATAATCTTACGCATTATCCAGCAAGAATTAAATACGAAGGATATAAACAAGCAAGAGAACATAAATAATTCGTTGTTACACAATACCCTTGAAAAAATAGGATTTCTACTCCTACTGAAGTTATTCAAGTTGTCATGCATTTAAAATGGAAATTTTTGAAGCTTTTCAAGTCAACCTTTGTTAAAAAAATGATTTGCACTCAAAATGAATCAAAAATTATCAACTATTCAATGATTACTGTACAGTCATTACCTTTTTTTTAAATAAAAAAAATTAGTTTTATCCTGTTCGCCTAATTGAAATTTTATTTAACTCATCCTTCCCCACCTTAAAACTTTATTTAACATTTTGTATCATAATCCAAAATCATCGTTGTTTGTTCACACATTTCGTTTCTTTTTGTTTTTTTGTTTTGGACCATATCAACATGAAATTTAATCAATAATTCATTCTGTCTCTGTCTCATATTTCAATGGGAAACGATTTTTCAGTGATTTCAACAAAGTTTTCAGCACTTTTTTAATCAATATTATGCCAACATATCCTTTCATTTCTATGGTGAATATTTTTTTTCGTTTGTCTAATCAAATCATATATGCATCGTGCTGAAGTCTTCGTGACATCCCTAGAGACTCTACACCTAAGGATGTATTTAATCCATTTCGTTTCTATGGCAACCTGCATCAAATACATCAACAAATTTTTTCTTTTTCATTCTGGCTCGGAAGTTCTTTCCACTCTCCCTCTTTCTGTATCGATACACAAAGTAGAGATTGTATTTTATTGTGAGAGTTTCCCGCATTCGTTTGTATTTAATCTTTCAGCCACCCCTGGAGAGGCAACCAGCATCAACTACCCGATTACCCCATAAAGTATTTGTGTATAAGCACAGAAAATTTCGGCCTCAAACCATCGAACGCTTAAAACGAGAATCGAGAGTAAAAATGAATAAATGCGAATAGAAAAAAAAATATTTTTTATCAGTTTATTTCCATCCAGCAACCTCTTTTGTTCAACTACAGAAGCATTGATGCTTGCTTGCCTCGATCTACCATAAAAAGAGAAAGAAGAAATAAAAATAATATGCTTTTCCATTGTACATAAGCATCAGTGCGAGAGCGGTAACATAAAGCCCTCGCTATAATTTCATTTTTCTCTTCCAGCTGTATGGTGGTGATGCTGCTGTTGATGATGCTCGATTATAAATAAAATAATATTATTGCACACACGTACAAGCATCAGTGTTTCTTCTTCTTCTTTTCCTTTTTTGTTTCCCTATTTTAATGTACGTTTTTGATGTATCACATCAACGTGAATTCATGCACAATAGAATGATACTTCAGAGATGATATGTTTTCACATTTCTATATAAATGCAGAACAGTAAAATGCATTTAAGTGAACGATTTACACTTAAAACATTGGCGCAAAACAATCATGACGGCACAGAAGTGATTTCGTAGAATTAATTGGAAATTAAATGTAAAAATCATCTTTTTTGATTATGATGATGATATCGCATGAAACTGTGAATGTCAAAAGATGAAAATAATGAATGCCTTTTAATAATACTTACACGATGATAAGACTCTTAATTTATACAGCAGAGAAGGAAACGAGATCGAAATATTAATTTCTACGAGAGAAATGAAAGAAGGGAAAAGCTAATTTACATTTTTGAATAATTAGCTTCGCTTTTACCATTTCTCGACACTTCTTACGCTTTTTTTAAAGACGAACTTTAGAATGATATCTATCGGAGGAATTTTTCCCAAGGCAGTGAATGTCGCTTTATCAGAAAGAAATTAATCTTGACATCAACGGGAAAGCTTTAGATAATTTACATAATTCGAATTGAAACTTTTAAAAAATATAAATGTATGAAATTCATCTTTCTCTGAATTCATCGTTTAGTGCCATTATAACTAAAAAGGGTTTCGTAACAAGTTTATAGATCATAAGTTATGTATACGAAACCTGTAAAGGTGAGAAATAGATGCTACATTGAAATTCTGCAAGAATTGTCATTAAAATGTTCAGTTTCTATTTTCATCATGCGTTCGACACAATTTCCATGAGATTTCCCAGCCATTTCTTTTCCTTCCTCTCGTTGTTCAATGCTAATATTAAGGAACATCTATCATCATTAGTGTACGTTTACTCTCATTTTGTTACATTTCAAATGAGATATCTCGTCCCTACGACGTAAATATTGAATTCATTTGACATTTAGATGAATGACAAAACCAATTTCCATCCTTAATATCCCTTCATAGAAAAGTTTTCTTTGCCATCCCTTTGCTTTCAAAATGCCCTTAAGATCTTCAGATTACAGTGCTTTTCATTTTCTTTTTCTTATTTCAGGGAGATTTGATTAATTTAGTCATCTATAGTATTCAGTATTCATACAAACTCCAAGCTTGCTTGTTAGCTGGTGTAATGAAATTAGAAATTTTCTAATGAAATGGAAATATTCAAGTGAGGCATGCGAAAATCTTAATACTACTTTATTTACCCTTAATTTATGCTAACAAAACCATAATCAGGAACTTGATTTGATCATAGTGATGACGAAGAGCTTTATTTTTATGTAAATCTCCTTACGCATCAATTTTGTGAATTTGTAAATTCGTAGCTCAAGTCAATCAATGTTAAGCTTCTTTGAATTTTTCTATCAATTTAGAATGAAAATCTTTTCCTATCTTTAAAGGTCATGAAAAAGTGAATATAAAAATAAAACGAACTATTCTTCTGTTTCACCCTCTTAATGTATTTCATTAATTTTTGCTATTAGTCTCATGATTTAAGAAGAAGAAAACATTTCGTTTGAACATTTTCCGAGCACCATCTTGCAGAAAAAGTAAGTTAAAGAGCATAAATAAGTTCTTGGAAAATAGAGAAAGTCATTCGAAGATTTTACTACTGATGAATTCGTCCTTTTAATTAATATGTTTATTAATAGTATAACGAGAAAAAAAAAATTGATATCAGACATCTTAAGCAACATTTCGTTCAAGCTCATTGTTTTCTTATAATCATCAATATTATATTTTCAAGGAAAAACTTCTTTTCCAATTTTCCTATTATTTCCAAAGAAATTAAATAGCATCATTTTTGAAGAAAATCTCAGTTTAAGTCCCATCTCACACCACTCATTGCGAACTGATTCGTTTCTTTTCTTTCTTGTCGTGAAATCATTGTACATTTAAACAACGTGAAACGTCATCAGTATGTGCTTTGCTGGTGGTATGCCTGGTTGTTTCCATAACAACGTTGGCTGGGATTCGGAGCAATGCTTCATGAATGTATGTGTGTGTGTGAGGATGTATGTTCGCTGTGATGCCAGTGGCGTTCAATTAAATTAAGCATTATGTTCTAACATCAATGATAAGCTTTTATTTATAATTCATTCATGTTTATTTAAGATAATGTTGATGAAAAAAAATCCTGCCTCTGCATAAACGACACTTGTGTTTTCACTTATTTATTTATATTTTTCGATTAGAATTTAAAGTGATTTCAAAATATATTCGTATAAAATGCATTAGTAGGAAAGAAGCTTTAAATATTCCGCTTCAAGAATTCGAATAAGTTTAAAGTATAAAATAAACATTTCAATGTGAAACTTTGATTTTCTCATCGCCTCGCAAATGATAAACTAAACAAAAATAAAACACTTTTGAAAGCAGTTGCACAAATTATTTAAAAAAAGAAAACTTATTTAGACTGTATTGAATTTTTTTACCAGACGGGAAAAATCATTAAACTTTGAAATCTTTCATTTCGCCTTTTCGCGAAAAATGAAAACTTTCATTAAAAATACGATAAAGAAAAATTTCTCATCGAAAATGAATGAATCTGCTTCTCTGTTTTCTTTCTTCTTCTTTTAGAATATCTGCCATTTTCAATTCAACGTTAAGAAAAATTCTTAAAATAAATTTATTTTGAAAGTCTTTCCTCGTACGATTTAACAAAGTTGTAATTATTCAACTTTTATTTCTCGGAAAATTAAATTAAAAGCTTCTCTGCAGAAATAAAATGAAAGCCTTTTAATTTCATCAAAGCTTTTATGAGAATTTGTTGAGAAAATGTCAGAATTTTGTAGTACAAATTACAACGTTTTATGCTTCATATTTCAATGAATATTAAACGAATATTACGATGAGTAATATTTTAGTGCTGGAAATTTAGTAACTTGAAAATATTTTAGATGCCCAGAAAGATACTTTTCATAAAAAGGAAATTTCATGATGAGATCTTTCTTGGTAATGAAAGAAAAATATCTTGAGAACATCTCATCTTGAATTGTTCATGATACTTATGATGAAAAATAAGCAAAGTTGAAATGTAGCAACCAAAATGTTTACTTTTGTCTTCTTAGTTTCTATGTATTTTTTTCATACTTCGTCCGGTGACGATATTTCATTACCATTTGAACAAATGTTTTGATTTCGAATATAAGATACACGAATGACAACGTATCTATTTTATTTTACAAAATAAACTACGTATCTAAGGTATCTCGAGATATACGATTATAAGATGTCTTACCTAATTTAATGTATACTGTTAACAGCATAAAATCATATATGTAATAGCCAATTAGAAACATGAACACTTGATTCTTCTTTTCAAGCCGAATTGCTCAGATTTATGAATTCGTGACTATGAAATGAATGCCGATAACTTTCATTAAAATCCTTACCTATGAATCTACTTTAGCAACATCATGAACGTGCATAAATCGAAAGAAGGGAACCGAATGAAAATCCCTGATATAAAATGACCCAAATACATGCCAGAAAATCTAAGCTCTTTTCGTTTACCGTTCTGAAAACTTTTGTATACTTTGTTAAGCTTGAACATTTTCTTATTATTTGCTTATGGAAAATGGAAAATTTTACGCGAAGTGACTTCGTTTTCCTAAGGGAGTTTGACCTTTTTGGCGTTGCTATCAGAGAAGGGTTCTCGTCCACAAAATCCTTAATATTAAAACTTTGAAAACACTTCTTTCTAGCTTCATGTTTGTACAAAATTTTTAATGGAAAAGTCAGGAAAATGATGATTTAATCCGCTCCTTTTTTCTTTCTTTTTCGTTCCGTCACTAAACCCAAGACTCGATTGGATTCACAAGAGCGGTTTTCTTAAGCTTCCTTCGAAATGCTTCAATCTTTAGTCTTGTTTAAATTGAAGCCAACAAAGTGTGGGTAACCGCTATTCATATCTTCTGGGAAATTGTGGCTTTAAATTTCTCCTCCGCACATTTCGAGATGATGTAAAATTTTCCATGATGGGCCATTAAGAGACGAATGATGTAAAGAAGAATGATTCTTCTAAGTTGCAATCAGTTAAGGACTTATCTCAATCTCTCATTTAATGACATAACATTTCCGATGATGGCTCCAGTGAATGTTTTCATTTACGTAATCAAATTTCATTGCTTAGGGTGTGATAAAGAAAGAGTAAAAGGAGAACGAAGGAATTAAGTGTTAACGGTAGTAAACACACTATCGCCTTGGAGCATACATAATCTTGTTTGCTTCTTTGTTCTGTGCCGCTTATTTGTGGTCTTAAGTGACAATATTAATTTTTGTCTCACTCGTTTCAGACATAAAGCTCCATTTACCAAAATGACATAAGAGAAGCTTTTCGACAAAAACCGAGAGCGTAAATCCATGTCATGGACATCAAACACAATATGCAAGAAAATGAAAATCATGACGAAAAGATCGAGAGCAAGTAAACAACATGAATTCATAGAATTTCATGAACGCAAACAAACAACATGAATTGACGAATGTATCTACCACAAAGTAACATTAAATTTAATGAAGGCAACCAATAAATAATCGTTTTACTTCTTTTTTCTCTTTCTTTCTGAAAATTTAGCAAAACTTTTATTTAACTTTCTATCTAATGTAAACTTTTCTTTTAATTGTCATTAGGGTTAATAATTAGTTAACGAAGTTCATAACAAAAAAGTTTTTATTGAAGCCACAAAAGTTGGAAGAGATAAAAGAAAAGTTTTCTCAAAATTTGTATGTTTTCAGATACATACATAATATAGGAAAGAAAATATTATTAAATTTCAAATGATTATTATTAATATTTCTGCTAATATGTTTTCACAAAAATTCATTCTACAATGATTTGAAAATAGGCAGATATAAATATTGTGATAACACCTGATTTCGAAAATTTCAAGCACGGTTTTATATGCTATTTCATCTTTTTATAGCTCAAAAATTTAAAAAAAATAAGTTTAAAGAAATTCTCTAAAAAGTTTTGAGCTATAAATTCCTGGTATATCTTTATTAGTAGTCACGACATATTTAATTTGAGATTATAAAACATGCATGCGTAAATGCTTATTTAAAGAATGAAGAATGATTTAATTACTTTAGAGGAAATTATTCAAAAAGCACCTGGATTTATTTTTATTCTTTGAAATATGAGATTTTATGTGTTTCTGATCATTTCGATGAGACACGAAATCCCGGAAAGTTTTTTTTATTAACTTCATTTATAACTTTTTCTTCGCAATTTGCTAGAACGAATAAAGTGGAAAAGTAAGCAAAAATCAGAGAGAGAAAAATGTTGGATTAACTTTCTGCTTTCATCTTTTGGAAATGCTTTAAGCCTCTTTGGCAAAAGCTTATTTACTCATGGATTTTCTTTCATTTGATGCTTAAAAGTTTATGGCGGTCATTCTTTTTGATCAAATCATTTATTCTTGTGCGTAACTGAATAATTGTAAATATAATTTTTAAAAAAAAATCCTACAGGTGCTGTTAAAGATTCTTTATTACCTAAATAAAATGATTTCATAATAATAATAAATAAGAAAATTCATAATGTTGTTAGAGTTTCATTAAAAAATAATTAAGAAATGAAAAATATCTAAGAAGTCAGCAATTCTAATGTTTTAAACACCAAAAACTTATTGACATGTCTGTTTCATGGAAATTCTTTTAGAGCCTTTTTTCCACACGACACGAAATTTAAATTTCGTTGTCATTTATTTTGGATTCTTTTCCCAAAAAGCTTTATTTGTCCCTGTGCAAAAGTTTTTCAATCACAAAATGTTTTTGTTTCTTCTTTTGGCAATTTAACGCTAACTTTGAGTAAAATATTTTATTTTTGATACGAACGTAGAATGTTTGAAGCCGAAGCAAGTGTACGGCAAAAGAAAAGCAGGTCCATTAAAAATGAAAACAAAACCCGGAAACTCAATCCACATCGCAGTCGTAACATTTATACATAAAACATTTTTTATGCTTAAATCAACAGAAATTTTAATGTTCCTCAACACACCCCCATCCGTAAAAAATAAACTCGAGAAAAAAGAAGTTAAAAAAAGGAATTCAAATGAACATCAATGAAAAAAGAGCCTTTCAGAGTGTGCTTAAAAGCAGCAAGAACAAATTCATATAGAATGCATTATTCCATTTCAAATCACTTCGGGCATCACTCTGTGGATCAATAAATTTGATACTGCTTGCCTTTTGTATGCTTTTAGCTCAAACATAGGATTTCTGGGGATTAAACAAAAAATTAAATAAGAAAATGAATGATATCGAAACGAAACATCTTTCAGCATGAAGAAAAGAAGTTTTTATGGTATTTTCTAGTTGCTTTTAAGTGAGAACTGATGAAATGAATTTTTAATAAGTAACTTTTCACACTGTCAAGCGATAATATTTTTATTCATGCATCTATAATATTTATTCTCAAAACATGGAGTTTTATGAATGTTTAAAGAGATATCTACATTGAGAAGAGAAATTTAAATTCTAGAAACATATTTTCAGAAGAAATTTTTTAAAGAAACTGAGAATATGGACGAACTTTGGAAATATGTACATTAGAAATGTTCATTTTATAATAAAACTTTAAATCTCTTTTAAGAAAATAAAAGCTTTAAGAAGATTTAAAATGTGTCGTTTGTGCATACAAATGTAATCTACCAAGGTTGAAATGAATCTTAATTAATTTTTTCTTGAAATTACAGGATTAACATGAGAGCATCAATTTTGATGCTTTTGCTAACGTAAATTTCTTTGATGAACTCGACTAATCTAAGAAACTGAAGCTTTCTTTTCAAATATCAATTTCATCCCTGATCAATTTGAAGAAAGTTCTCAAAGCATACAGGAAAGTGATTCATCTTTCCATCATCTCATATTGTGAAAGTCAAATTTAATCTAAAATCAAAAAGATTTCACTCATTTCATCGATTCTTAAAATATTTTTAATTAAAATTAAATATCATCAAACAGAACTTGAACAATATAAAATTTACTTTACAATTCTCTTTAAAGTATTTAATCAATGGTTTTTATGAGTAAAATATTGCGATTCAAAAAGATGAAAACATTTTCAACCTATTTAAAATGTGTCATGTCTAATGACAGCTTTGGACATAAATTACGTGAACACGATAGCACTCAAAGCTCTCACCAACATTTTATTTCAAAAAGCTGAAACTTTTTTGTTATTTCGCTTTATGTTGAAAATGGTAGAAAAATCTGAAATGTTTCCCTAGGATGTCACGCTGGGTAGCAGCTTATATTAAAAAATATCTCTTTGCATAATGATACAGATAGCAGCATGGAGAAAATCTTGGGAAAATGACACTTAGACCCCTGAAAGAAGGAAGAAAAAAAAACTTTTCTTCAATTTTCATTATGATGAAACATTAGATGTGAAGTTTTAGTAAGTGTTTCAAACAGCCAATATTCACATAATTACATTGTCACTTCAACTGAGTTGAAGTTAGCAAAAGAAAACGATTATCTTTTCCCAGAGGGTAGGTATTCACTTTTTTGCAAAGTTTAATGACAAAACTTCAGCAATTACCCTCACATTACATAACGTTGAAGATGTAACCCATGGACCGGAAATTTTCCTTAAGTGCTTCAAATGCCTAAGATAAATATTTCGAAGCAAACGAAAGGAATTTCAATTTGATGGGATTATTGATAAATCGAATTAATTTGAATAACCCACCTGAACCATTCGCAAATTCTATATATCTTTGTATTTAATGTAAGAGAAGAAGAACAAACGCTTAGAGATATCGTTAAAATAAGGCATAGAATCCCTTAATGACATTACAACCATCATTTTCATTTCCATGAAGCAGTCGAAAGTTTTCCAATCAAAAGAAAAGATTTTAGCTTTCTTGTTTCTATCGAGCTTTACAAGAATTTCTAATTTTTATCCAAATCAAATTAATGATCAGAAAGAAAGTTTCAAAATTATATTTGCTATATCATTAAGTGATAAGCCTACTTGTCGTTGAAATATATTTAAATAGATTAAAGCTTAGTTATATACGCAACAAGAAAAAGTATGGAAATAATTTAATCAATATTGGTTTTCTACTACACGAGAATATTCAGTAAACATGTGATTTTCTCTGGCAGTTGAGCTGTCAAATCATAAGAGTGAAAGCGGCTTTTGCTTTCTGTACAGAGTGTACATAATTAATTATTAATACTACCGCGAAAGTAAATCACGATGAAATATTCATTTAACAAATGCCAGCAGTGTAATGTGGCTGTAAGATTGAAACTAAAGATTTATTATTCGTTCGAAAAAGTGTTTAAAACTAAGCAAGAAAAGAGCATTAATGTGATGAAAATGTGGGCTTAATTATGTGTGAATAATTTTGCTACTTCGAGATGGTTTCATTTGAAGTACCTGGGAAGTTTTATGATGCAGAAATATGGCAAGAAAAAGAGAAAAATATCCCAACTTGTTCCCTTTAAATTTTATTATAATAAAGGGTGTGTTGAATTGGCTTCACTCTTCCGATCATGACTGCGCATGTCCTACACAGCTAAAGCACAAAAAAAAAAAAATTGCTTCGCATAACAACAACAGAATAAAAAAAATTTTTGCTGAATAATATTTCTCTTCATGAACGAAGATTTATTTGTTTTTCGTACTGGGAAAGCGCTTTGCTTTTAAAAGCGTTACTCAATAAACATGCAACAGACAGTCGACTGTCTCGAAATATCGCGTTGGTGATATAGAAGTACAATTGGTGCATGAACAAATGAAGCTTCGTGGATGGAAGTCAGGTCCCATTGTTTCTATTCATGACCTTGAATTGCTTCTTTTGATGCCTACACGCGTTTACAATCTTTTGAACAGCTTTTTAATAAATCTCAATGAATAATTTAAAGAAAGCCAAATGAAGGTCTTAAATTTTCTTTTGATCCTTTATTTCTCGGTTTATTCAACAGTTCCCGCAATTTGATTGTGCTTTCATCCAAAAGAGAGTTAATCAAAACATTTTATTGCTAATCAGCTTTTCCACCGAACTGAACCGAATTTCATTCTTCACTTCATCCGAATCAAGGATTTCAATTCAAAAACACAAGAAAGATAAAAAGAAGTCTGATTTAATGAATACTCTCAACTCATAATCCTTCAATTTCCGTTCAGAATGAAATTTTGTAACAATCGGAAGAAAAGGAAAATAAGAGAAAAGCTTTCGTCAGATGATCCCAGATAACAGAAAGTCAATAAGTACAGAACGGAACTGACAGCAATTTTCTAGCTAATAGATTCGTTCATATATCAATGTTTGTTAGTTAACTTCGGCACGTCATCTAAGAGATTATGCAAGTTATTATTTTAACGAAGATGATCGATTGAATATGGGTAACAAGAATAAAAAAATGTCTGATTTTGTATTAATAAAAACATGTCAGAGTTCAAATGTGTCAAAAGAACTTCATTTGATCATCGTTTAACTCTCTCTCTCTATCTCTAAAATATATTACACGAAAATGACGGTCTAAATACTATGCAGAATATAACATAATATAAAATTTTATTTTAGGTCGACATTTTATTTGACATCATAACAAAGAAACTTTCAATCAATCCCAACAATTACCAGAATTCAAACCTTTCATTTGAGCCGAAGTTTCATCGCAATCAAAACATTTCTCTCATTACTTTTATATGATGAATTTCATTATATCTTTTTACTTCATTTCTTCAATAAATAACGAGAGAAGATTATACGATTGAAATTTTTTTTATCTCACATGACATTGAAGGCATTTGTTGTGTGTATTATCTTGAAAAAAGAGAAAATAATAAAAAAAAGAAATCTTTTCATGCACACATCCGCGCTTTTCGAGATATGGAAGATGGTGAATGATTTTCTGAGTGGGTTGATAAATATGTACACTTATCATGCGCTACCCACATAAATAAATACACGAGGAAATAGAGAGGAATCATTCAGGATGGCAAAGATTGCTTTGCGAACACCTTTTCTCCGTTCTTCTTCGTCTGTGATCTGATTCGAGGCCTATTAATTTTCAGCATCACATAATTTATTCTACTGATCCTTCATGTATGCCATAAAATTTTCTACCTTAGGCATTCTCCTTCCCTCAATCTTCCGCATATTTATCGATTGAGTCGAATCATGTGTACTCGTAGAAGGAATTAGAATTGATAGCTCGAAAATATTTTTCCCTCTTTCTGGTTACAATTGAAGGTGTGAGAAAATGAAAACAAAAATACTGAAAACCAGAAATAAAAAAGAAAATTTCATCCAGTTTTTTAATCATCTTCCACTTTAGTTCTTGTAGGGTGCTAAGGCGGCTTTTGGCATCAGGGAAAACGGAAATCTTGTTACGAATAAAAGTTACAATATACGAATTTTACCTTTCCGCCCTCGCACATCCATCCCCCGACTCGTATCTCCGGTTTGAAGATTTAAAGTAATTTATGAGCACGCTTGGATCGCTTGCTTGCCGTATTGAAATTTATTTTTTTTATTTTTTTTATTCCATTTTTTTACAGGAGAAAAAGTAGAGAGAAAGGATGAAGAAGCATGAATGATACAAGTGCTATAAATTCTATTGTGAAAGCTTTTATTAAAATTATTTCGTAAAGTTTCCGTTCTCGAATGTTTTCCCAGCATAGCTTCGTTCTATTGTGGAGGCAAAGAAGAAGACAAAAAAAAAGAACTCAAATCTTTTCCCTTTCCCATCACAGAGGAAATTTTTTCTGATTTTCGGGAGGCGCTCGCTCTTCAGCATAGCAGCTAAACATCTATGGCAGTAATGTAGAAGGGAGAAAAGTTCCAAATAAATTAAGACCAAATAATGGAAGGAAAACCACAAACTGTGCTGCCGCTAGCATAAAAAAATTTAGTTTCATTGCTGAATTTTCAAAATTTTCACTTATCTACAACTTTATGGTGAAATCTTCGTAAGAAACGCAAAAAAGTCTTCGATTCTAGATCGTGAAAATATTAGACAAATGACGCTTTCACAAAATTGCGTCACAATAAATCTTGAAAAGGGAAATTATAACTAGAGGAAAATCAATAAAGCTCCAGATGGTGACATTATCACAAAATGGCGTCGTGAAGGATTTGTCCCAGAAGCTTTTGCAAATGTGTGAGTCATGATTTTCTTATTGTTGTTTTATCTCATTGAATAACTACGTGAATGTGCACGTAAACTTTTAACATTCAATGGTATAGTACTCAAGCGTACCGTTTTCAGTATTTTTTTCTTATTTTCTGGTCCCAGCCATCTTCACAACTTATTTTCCCATTTTCATCTCGGTTTTCTAAAAGTGTGCGTAATTTAAACATTGAATTAAAGTCCTTGCACGTAGCTTTCAGGGAGTTTCTTGTGTGTGTTTGTGCATGTTTATGTATGAGAAATCATAATTGCTATAAAATGTACAAGTGTATACATCTCGAAGTAGCTCTTCTGCTATCTCGTTTCGTCGCGAAGAAATATATGTGATTTTCCTCATTTCGGGAAAAGTATCAATGTTTAAGTTTTCCATCGTCGATACGTGAAAAACAAAGCAGCATCTACCACCACTTTCAACTTTCATTTATCGATCCAGCATCCTTTTATATGCTACGTGTGGGAGAAACTGAGATCGCAATAATTTCGCTCTCACCCGGGCATCTATCTATGTTGAGAATGAGAGTAAAAAGGATGCAATAGAAAAAGTTACGGATATGAAAGGAACGACGGCGATTGCGTTGCGGGGTAACATCAGCATCATCGCCTCGACGATGCGTTGTATAATAGAGGACAGGGGTTTTATGTACCGACTTTAATTCATAGTAGACGTTTAGGCGTCAACTAGAAAGCTTGAAACGTTGTGGTGCTTAAAACTAAAATAAAATGAATAATGGTGCAAGAAGATATTTTTATCAGAAAAAATGGAAAAAGGAGCATAAATATATTTGGAAATTATTTCACTGCAAATGTAAAGTTTCTTACGATGGGAAAACCTCGACACATTTTATTTAAGATGAGATGATGGCAAAAAGAAAAGCGAAGGAAAAAGTTGCAAAATCATTGCGTTGAAAGTCAGCATCATCTAGGAAGATGAAAATGGTGGCAAAAATCGATATGCTTGGTGCAAAAAGATATTTTTTCATGCAAGCAAAAACATATTTTTGGCATTCTCTCATCTGACGACAATTTCGATGAAATTTTGAAATCGGAAAAGTGTTTTGTGACGAAAACGTAATAAGTGTGATGTGAAAAGTGAAAGACGTCATTTTCTATCCTCTCTTAATTTCTCCCTAACATATCCTCTTGACATAACATATTTTATGTAAGTATAATTATTAATATCGACATGTATCATTTTTATCACTTAAAAATATTTAATTAACACGATTTTCTTTATCTCAATCTAAAATTGATACTTAAACAAAATATTTAATACTTTTTTCTCTTCCTGATTATTGGAAAATAATCTCAATTATGTTTTGATGAAAATCACCCATAAAATCGAAAATTCTATTGAAAAACCTTTTTTCATTTAAAAGAATTAGTTCATGCTAAGTTATTCAGATTTCTGTTTTTTTTTAATTTAAGTAACTTGATCGTTGGAAGGCAGTATAGATAAATTGATATTTTAGAGTTGAACTAATTTTGACATACAGAAAATTATAGATAAAAGCAATTTTTATCACATAATTAATTCTCCCTTGCTTTCATGAACATCTGCACAAATTTTTAATAATCTCGCACACGACAAAATTCGTATTATATCATTAGAATAATGTTTTAGATGCTTAAAGCATAAAATATAATCTATGAAGTAAACAGAATTTGCTTGGGAACGAGTTTATTTAAAATTCAAGGGTCAATTTTCCATCGATCTCTAAATTAGAACCGCCGGATCGTTTCAGGATTTTTCAATTTTTCATCTCTAGATGAGGGTGAATACTTCAAAAAAGGGGTTAAACTTGCCAACTCATGTTGCATAAGCTTCAATTTTTATCTTGTCGCAGGCACTTTTCGAAAATCTGCTTCAATGATTCCATTAACCATTATTTTTTTCCTTTTAAAAAATACGTTTTAATTAAATATCCAAACTAGTTTTCTGAAAATGATATTTCCTCTTTGATTATTACGAACATACGTCCAAGTGCTTCCTTGGATGAGAACTTTTGTGAGGGTTAACAGCTAGATCTTCATTAAAAGATTGAAAATATATTTAGAAACTAAAAAAATGCAATGAGTACGAAAAATTGATATCGTAGTAAGCACACCTAATTATAATTAGGCTAAAAAACATTCTAAATCTTCATATTACATTTTGGGTTGTTAGAAACGTTAATCGTTACAAAAAATATGCATAAAAAACATATTTATGATTTCTATGTTTTATCATTGACTTTTAGCACAAACCCCAAAATTTTATGGATTGTCAAAGTTTCATTCATAAAACTTTCCATGTTTGTATTTCATTTATTCAATGTATTGTGTGAACTAATTTAATATTCCGTCATATTCGTGCCAGTAAATTATTTTAACCCCGTAATCGTTGCATTTTGTTCTTCTTTTTATTTTAAGAAAGTTTTCCTTGAATGTTCATAATAATTTCTATCAACTGAGTAACTCAGTACATATAAAACAATCTGTTGTTAGACTAGACATTTGAACATCATAAATAAGCTGTTGGAAAGGCTGAGTTTAATTTTGTGAGTCATAAAATAATTTTTTTAATATTAAGTCTGGGATTGTCAAAGAGAAGTTTATTTCATTGATTTGATTGCAATTATTTTTATAACATAAATCTATTGTAAGCTCATATCCTATCGTCGTAGACTTGGTCGTAGATATATAGGGAGAGAGAGAAAGAGCGAGAGGTTGAGAGAGCGAGAGAAAATCATGTTAACAACCCCTGAATATTTTTTTAATTGTATGCTTTTCGGGATTGCCAAAGACTTTAAATTGTGTACAAAAGTTGTTGTCGATGTATGCTGTTTAGTACATATAATGCTTCTTTGCACAAAGCGAGGGAATATTTACATTAAAACTTTATAGTATTTTTTTTGTGTTTCAAAATCCCATATAGATTAATCACACCGTTCTATACGGTTCGTAGTCTGAAGACCGGGTGCAGGAAAAGAAAAGAAACAATTCAGTTAGTTTCGTTTGTTTGTTGTGCTTTGATTAAAGTGACTTCGTCGATTGTCTGATAAAAATCAGTGTTTTTATTGATAATTGTGATAAATGTTTAATGTTTATAAAAAGCTTAGAATTTAGATACATTAGTGGATTAAAAAAATAAGTTTATTGTTCACGAAATTTATAGGAAAATAATGAGCTGTGGAGTTTTATTATTTCTAAAACAAAATCTGTACTCCAAAATTATTGATTTTTCCATGAATGAGTCAGGAGTGGAAAATTTGCAGTTCAAATCTTAATTTAATGTATCACTTCGGTGACTTTTAAAAGTGAAACGTAGATTAAAACTATCCTTTATCATGCTCAGTATTTCTTCTATTACATTGAACTAATGTTGACTCAAAGAAGAGACGAAACATTTGACTTCAATTTATGCGACAGCTGCCTTCAGAAATTTATATTAAAAATTTAATAAAATTGTTCCCCTCGATGTGCATTCATACAACCCGCGACAGGATAGATGCTATTGCAATATGATTATTGTGATACGCTTTGTATTAATCCTTGATGCTGTTACAAAATCAATTAAAGCATAGAAAATCGTTTAGATTTGAATAAACAACGGGCTTCATTTTTTAATTTCTTTTAACTTTTTCGAACAGATGTGACATACAAAAGGATCAAAAGTTTAAATCAAAAATTTCTTTAATAAAAAAAATGAAAAATCAGCTGTTAGTTAAGGAAGAGTCAAAGAAAGCCTTGAGAGCATCTGTGAATAAAGTTGCATGCTAAGAAATATCGAAAACACATCTGTTCGATCAATAACCTCCCTTAGATTGAATGAAAATCAATTTGGGTCGATCGCTTGAAGGCACCAAAAAAACGTTAAACTGATTAGTGAAATAATTTAAAACGATTAATTGAATGGCGCTTAAAATTAAGAACCAAAGAATGATGACATTTAATCACTACTTCATTTCTCTTTCATCAAAAACAACAGAGGTTCATTGAACCTGAGGAGTCACAATTCCTGATTCTCTTTTATAAACCAGTTCCATCACCATGACTTAAAGCGACTCTTCAGTTCCTTTTTAGTTCTCGTTCTACCTCAACACAATGAACCTCATATCCCATTGTTAACACACGATTATTGTTATGTTTATTCACAAAACGAAAAAAAAGGACGAAAGAGAAACAGTGAAAGTGATAAAAGGGAAATATTTCTATGTACATTTCATGTATCATGTTACGAGGTCGACAATGTATGCGTTGCATATTTCTCGACATTATAAAAAGAAGGAATCGCGAGTCTGGTGAACAACATGCATTGTAATTATTTCCAACCATAATACAATAATTATACTTATTTTAGCTTTAAATCAAGCAACAAAACCAAAAAAAGAGTTTATTTGTTTATTGCGAAAATATGCGAGGTTTTGTTTTGTTGAATCGATTTTATTCTATTTATTTTGTGTGTGTTTTTGTAAGTTTATTGGTTTTTTATTTCATTTGTAAGCCGCAAAAGTTTTCTTCAAAGACTGATTTGGATTTATGTTTGTGGAGACTTCCAGGTATGTAATCTTCAACATTAAATATCAAGTTTCATCTCACAACATTATCTATCAAACAGACAATTTTAAAATTTGAACGATCAACCAATGAACCACGTTTTTCTCCTGGTGTTCACTGTAGGCCTGTATGTTCCATTTATTTAAGTTCATAAGGCACGCGGTGAATGCCAAGAGCGAACGATATTCGAAAGCTAAAAAAAAAGAAATATTGCGATAATGAACGTTCAGATCCCTGTTAAAAACATAGAAACCATAAACATTCATTTTTCAGTGACTTTTGGAGATGAGCCAGACTCGTGAAAAATTCACAAAACTCAAAAAGTTTTCATTCGACTTTTCGATTTCATTTTTTATTTTCCTTCCTGTCTTCATCGTAACCACACTTTCTCTTCAGTTAGGTCGGAATAGTTGAAAAATAAAATAGCACATGAATAAAGAATCAGCAGACGAAAGGAAATCGATAACTGGCAAGACAGGCAACTAAACGGAACCAACATAGCCGCCAATTACATTTCTGGCATTACTTGCGGTACTCGACTTCCTTTTATGAGACTTTGAAATTCTCTTCATGACTATCACAAAATTGCAAATGTAAAAGTCAATGACAGATGATGAAATTGTGAATGTTAAATAAAGTTACAAAATGGAGAAACTTCTGTTAAACAAGGGGAAGCATTCGGGTATTTCTACATGAAATAAATTGCTTGTAAATTTGAGTACCAATAAAATGGAACCTTTTATTTCTCAGCACAGTCCAACATTTGCTTCTGCTTGTAAAATTTTTACGCTTTGACGTCAACATTATTTTAATTACAGTCTTAAATCTTACAAGTCTTACACCTAAAACCATTCATCATTAATCTTTTTTTTAAAATAAAAATGTCGATTGAAACGTGTAATGGATGAAACTTTTAAATAAAAATTTATTCAGAATTCAATTGTATTAAATTAACATTACGTCACGTGTCAATGCGAAAATGGGAGATGATCACCCCCGACTTCCATTACTTGACAGAATGACAAGAACATATCTAAATTGAGAATAAAAATATAACGCAATGTGATTTCATGTACTTTTATCATGAATGTAAGAAAGGTCCTGTCTTACTATTTAGATGAAGTTTAATTTATCATCAGGGTGAGAAAAAAAAATCGACGTCCTTTTGTTTGCGTATATGCACGCAACGCATCGGCAACCATCTGGGGTTGTTCTCGGGATTGAAATCTTCTCATAAATGAGTCAAGAGGGAGGAGGAAAACATGGAAATAGGAGAAAAATATATCATCTGAATCCATCAGACCCAAAAGGGATGAAAGAATGCCTGCGATTAGGTGAAGCATAAAGAGAAATCCATTAAATGAATGTGGGTTTGCTTTTTGTATGTTGAAATGTGGAACCCATGCAACCCATCATGCTCTCCTTTATTTTATTGTGCAAAAAAATGTAAAATTGACAAAAGAATTTTGATAAAAGGAATAAAATCAAATTTAAAATCTTCAATCTCTATCAATAAGAATACAAATTTGTTTCAGCTTCGATGATTTATTGCTCGTGATTTTTCATTCCATCAGATAATTTTTGTTTTGTTTTAGTTTTGGCAGCCTTCAATAATATTTTTGATTTGTTGGCTTTTATCTGCACAAAATAAAAGATAAACAGAGAAAAAAATTAAATTAATAATTAAAATAACGACTCTGACCCAAGCTTCGACATAAAAGCATTGAATTGGGGAGGATCCAGACAACACACAAAATACATGAAATTTTGTTGAGCTTAACGTAATAAATTATTGATGACTGTGTAGAAGGATGAAAATGTGATATGACATCATATAATAAATTTATTAGAGTAGAGTTACTCTGACATTCTAACAGCTAACAGTGATAGATATCACAAAATGAAAATATTTGCAGGAAATTTGAGTGAAGGTAATTTAAACCATTCACAATGTTGTTGGCAGCCTCAAGCTTTTGAACATGATTAAATTGATTTACATTTATTTATATTTTATCTATTTTCAGAACTTTACCACACAATTCAATGACATTTAATTAAATCTAAAATTGATTACTCTTATAGTTGTGTTGGTTGATTATTTTATGATCTTAAGCTTCTTTGTTATCAACGCAGCGGGTGGTATTTTAAATGTATCCAAAAATAAAAATTTGAATCAAGCACTTAACTGAGTTGTTGATAAGATATGAAATGTTAATAAATTAGAATTCAATACGCTTATAAATTCAAGAATTTCATTGAAGTTTCATCAGTTTATTTGGTTTTTGTTTTGAAGTTTAAGAAAATAATTATGAATTATTATATTTTTGCAGCGTTTTGCATTATCGCAGTTATTGCTTCGCCACTTTCAGATACAAACATTTTTAAAGTTCAAAACGATAATTTGAAAATTGTAGAAATTCCTGATGGATTTGGTGGAGTGAAATATGTTAATATTGATGAAGAAACAGAAATTTCACCAGCTTACAATCCAGCACAAGATGTCCGATTTTTATTATTCACAAGACGAAATCCAACACAAGCACAAATTTTAAGTTTCAATGATATGAACACTGTAACAAATTCACAATTCATGCCAAATCGTCCTACAAAGTTTATATGCCATGGATGGCAAAGGTAGAGTTGTAAAAGAAATCCAAGTTGAAGTTAATTGATTTGAATTTTTTTTCTTATCATAAATTTTTCTTTGCTTTCAGCAACGCAAACACTGAAGTTAATCCTATTACAACTGCTGCTTATCTTGCTGCGGATGACGTGAATGTCATGTATGAGTCTATCAAAAATCTTTTTGTTATTTATTTTCATCATTAATTTATTTAGATATTTTATTTTATAGTGTTGTTGATTGGAGCGTTGGTGAGATGGAGATCGTCAGCAGTGATGAAAAATTAATTTTAAAATTAATGATCGATTTTCAGGTGCTGGTTCAATTAATTATATCACATCCAGAAATAATGTTGGTCCCACTGGAGCACACATTGCTGTATTCATTGACAATCTCAGTCGTGCTGGTTTGATTGACTTCAGAACGGTTCAGTGCGCTGGGTGAGAATCTTTTATTTCAGATCTTTTTGTAGCTTTTTCATATCGATGGAAATTTAATTAAAGACAATCACTTGGAGCGCATGTCTGTGGATTTACGGGAAAAAATACACAAACAGGACGATTAAACTCAATTTTTGGTAATTAATTATTGGAAAGTATACAAAAAGATATTTAAAGTGATTGATTAAATCAGGTCTTGACCCAGCTGGTCCTTTGTTCAGTGTGAATGATCCTGCAAATAGATTGGATGCTGGCGATGCTGATTATGTTGAAAGTATTCATACTGACACTGTTGCTTTGGGGATTGGTGACCCCATTGGTCATGTAGATTTCTATCCAAATGGTGGGACAAATATGCCAGGATGTACCAGTAAGTGCCATCAATATTTTTAATTAAAACACATTTAAACGAATCATCAACAGCTGCCGTTTGTGACCACGCAATTGCTGCAAACTTCTTTGCTGAAACGATAAATTCGGATCGCTTATGGGGACGTCATTGTGAATCACTTGAGGCGATGTTAGCGAACAGTTGCACGGGTCCAGGACTTTCAATGGGTGGTTTTCCAGGAAACTATGCAACGGGTCCAAGAGGAATTTATCGCATGGCAACAAATCCTTCATCACCTTTTGGACAAGGACCATTCTGATTTAAATCTGCAAATGTTGATTGAATAAAAGATTTCCAAGAACTTATTGTAACTTTTTTTATATCTGCTATAAGAATGAAATTGAACTGAAAATCTGATTTTCTTTCATTCCCAAAGCGTTTTGTCTGAAATATGAAATCTTCAGCTTACTGGATGAGTGAAATCTAAGCCATCCCTTCACAAATACATTCGTCTTCAAGCTTTCATCTTAAAAAGTTGATTGAGAAAAGTAACAACAAATAATGTCAAAGACTTAAGAAAGTTCATCCGACGGAAAATTCGTTAAGCTAACAACATAATACGCTTACAAATGACTAGAAAAAGGTGAAGAAAATTGCATTATTTATTTTTTCCATTAAAGGAAAACTTAGCGATGCGAAAACTACGAGATAAACAAACAAAACGAGCGATGTCACTCGATATGTTTAGTAAATTAATTCTTTTGTTAAATGTAATGTTCATCTTTTCATGATAAGCGCAGATGTGAAATTTCACTCATTAATTCTTGATCATACTTGTATATTTATGTCTGTGTTCATAACAACGACTATGAGAACAAGAACAACATAAAGCTCGTGCATCATACATTTTGAAGGATGGAGAATAATTTACTGTTCATGGATGGTTGGCTGGTTGTGAATGATTTATCATTTTATCCTCCTTACTTATCTACATAACTTTATCAAATCTCAAATCAATTTTTTTGATGTGCTGGACACTTTCGCCTAGTTATTCATTGTCCACATAACTGTTGGAGTGGAAAAAGGCAACAGGAAAAAATATTTGCATTAAAATCGCCCTTCGCATCGTGTTATCCGACAAGCACATTTCCTTTTATATGAAAGCGATTGAGAATGGTAAAATGTGTCGTCAATGTCCACAGTTGAACTGGAAAATGGGAAAAATTGTTCATTTCAAATTTGTGATGTTCTCACATGTGCTTGCACAAAATTTTGATGTTGTTCGATGGTGTGAGAAATTCATGAAAATTTCCATGTTCAATGACTTTGAGGGGTAAAACTGATTATTTGCAATGTCTATTGATGTACATATACGTACAGAAGTTGGATTGCCAAGTTGCTTAGTAATCTCTTTCGGAGTCATGCTGCATGTAAAAACTAACTGCGGATGCTACGCTCGTAAAATTGCGTTTCAAATCAAAACCTATAAGAAAATTCTTTAGTTTTTGATTGCCCAATGGACTTGATTTATGCAATTTGTTTAGAACCCGTGAAGAACACATCAAGTTTGTTGTTTCCCTATGGGATTTTTATGTCTCAAATTATTCGGGATGATTGGCGAATATTAATTGACAGCACCAAATGTACAATCTGCAGTAAAGTACATGAACAAACTGCTTTTGGACATTTCCCTTTTACATCTTAAAGAATCTTGTTTAAGGGTTCAATTCGTTTATTTTTCCAATCAGTATGCAACATATGTGAGATTCAAATATCCTAAAAAAGAAAGTAAAGGAAAATGAGAAACAAAAGAATAAATTTTCATGGAAAATTGTCAACAATTCACTCAGCAATTTATGTTTATTTGATTCCAATCGTTACCTGAGAATTGTTCTGGGGTAAAATCGGTAAATTGGTGACAAGGTAACAGATTTTCACGAGAGATTTCAGCCTGATAGACCCAAAGGTATCTTCATGTTGATTTTACGAAAACAATATTGTTCAAGTGGTTTTTATTCTTCCCAAAAACTTTCTATCCAATAATACGGAATCAAATATAAATTGATGACAAAACGACAAAACAAATATTTCTTTCTTCGCAAAATCCACTTAGAGTGCCTTGAAATTCTCGTACGATGAAAAAAAAAACTTACAAATAAGAATAAGAAAACAGCAAAGATCGAATCTAATGTAACATAAAAAGAAAAATTTGTATCTTCAAATATTTGTTCATGAGCTATGAAGAATTTTATGCTGAAGTTCCATGAGTCATCGTGCATGGTGATTTGGTTAAGATAAAATATGAGAGAATTAGATGCAGATGATAAACTTTAGATCCATGAAGTATGTTCATAAATATTTCAACTGGATACAAGCATTTCCGTGGAATAAAAAATATTTTGCTTAGTAACAAGATATTTGTTCGAAAAAGAATGTTATGAAGTTTCAGTCATCTTTTGACAATCAGCTTTCGAACAACGAAAAACGGAACATTAATGAGGTTGACGAATACAGTGATTCATGAACATTTTCCCCCCACCAGTGTGTTGTATCCTCTGGCAGGCCATTTGTGCGTAAAACATTGAAGATTAGAAGAAGAAAAAAAATCACTCGAATAAATAAAACATGCTGAAACAGCCCCGAAAGAAAGAAAGAAAGCAAAAAAAAATGAATGAAAACTTTCTCACAAAGCTCTTTGGAAAGAAAATTGAATTTTGTTAAGATGAAAAGCGAACAAGAAAAAAATGGAGAAGAAAGAAATGAAACAGACATTAAGTAAGAAAGGAGGGAATAAAGCAACGTTTGACAGAGCACAATTTTTTTGGCATAAAGCTGGGAACACGATGTATTGGAATAACAGTAAACGACTGATGATAACACGGCAACGATACATGGAGCGTCATAAAATCATCTCGAGGCGAAAGGAATGTGAATATTTTTGTCACGCGATACTCCTATGTGGATAGAATGTTGCATGAATCTCTTTTGAGATAAAACTGGTTGGTGACTAGAAAAAAACGAAAAGTAAGAAAAGCAACAAAGATTAATCTCGTTAAAAAGAAAATTGATCACAAGAAGGTTTCACGTCGACCGTCATTCCTTGCTATGTATTTGCTGTGTTAATAATGCGTTCTCAGCTTTATGCTTCATGAACACGAAATTCGCACACGAAAATTATCACTTAAAATTCCAGAAACGTTTCACTTCTCTCTCTATCTTTCATCCTACAATACACAGCAAATTCCGAAGCAGTGTGTTGTTTATGCCATTTTTTCTTTGGTATGGCAGGCACTTGGAAACGACTACTCTTATCCTTATCCATATTCTCCATACAGACGGGGTGAATTGATGTCTTTGGGAACCAGTGATAGAAATTTCTTCTGACACACTTCATTCAATGTCATTTACATTGATAGGAAAGCGATAAAAATGCAAATGAAGATGATTTCATGACTGCCATTCTCACCATAGATGAAATAAGCAAGAAAATATGTTGGCGTTTCACTTCTTTTACTTTTTTCTCTCTTTTCATAACTTCTTAGAATAAAGAAAAAGAAATTCTCATTGTAAGCTTCAAAAACTCATTCAATTCATGATCTAATTTTCTTTTCGAATCGAAAACCCTCAGAAGTGTCACGCTATTTCCATCACAATTTTCTTAGAAGGAAAAAGAAAATAACAAGAAATTTTTCCTGTTTTCTATTGCAATATTCAAAAGAAATGACGACATTCGAAAACTTTTTATGATGAATAAAATTTGAATTTCAAGGAGTGAAAATTTGAATTGAAAGATGAAAATTATTAAGATAATTGAAAGAAGAAGAGTTGAAGAATGGAAAACCACAAGAAGAGATAGACATTTTGAAATTTCCGAGGTGACGAAGATTATGAGTTTGAAGCATGTGTAGCAAGTGAAGATTCAATTTTCAAGACAGAACTTTCTTTGAATCAAAAACAATATAACAAACATAAACATTTAAGTCGACCTCTTCATAAAACACAAACCAGATGAAAGGATGAGAAATATACAGACGAATAAAATTGATTTTTATACAGAAGTCATGATAATGAAGATGGGGAAGGAAAAGCTCATAAATATAATATATGAGATGCTATTTGATGTTGTTCTTCAACAACAGGAATACGACAAAATAAATTGGAATTTCATCTCATATTGCCAGATCGTGTATGGACAGAATCGTTTAAGCTACATAGAATGTTGATGCTTCAGTGAATTTCTTTAGATTCTTATATCTTTCATCATTACTTACAGTCTCTTCTTTCTTTACTTTGTATTTATTGTTAAATTTTATTTCATTATATTCAGTTCGCTTGTGATAGTTGAGAATTTCTTTTCAAAAGAAAAAGTTGTCTGCTGGAAATAATTTCTAAAGAAAGCTATCATTAAATGAAAAATGTGTTGATTTAATTTTCTCTGAAATATAATTTCTACTTTAATTCTCCCAAAAACGAAAATATTTTCGTAGGATATCTTGATAATTTCTATTTATAAATTATTAGAAAAGTTAAGCTCCAATATCTGGTTATTTAATAACAAATGCTTCTCAATGACTTATCTAATCGCTTTTCAGCAGATACTTTCAATGTGAGAAAGCTCTGAATTTATTAACTTAAGCTCACTTTTCATTTTCAGTAATCTGCTTACTAGGTAATTTTTGAAGATGAAGGTACCTAATAAAAAAGATGAAACTTATTTCAAACTTTTAAGTTTTTGATTCAATTTCATAATTTTTTGAAAACATTTTCATCTCCAGAATAATTTTCTTATGAAAACTAAGAAAGTTTCTTAAATATTTATATTTGAAACCAGAAAATTGTCGAATAAAGTAAAGAAACTTCTTGCAATGAAAGAACTTTAACAAGTTCCAACTGGTTCAGTCAGGCGTTTTAAAACCCTTCCCTCATTATAGATACAAAATTGTTTACAATAAAATAAACGTGCTTTCACAGCATTACAAAAGCTTTATTCACCATGTTCATTTAAAAAGAATGAACCTGAAAAGAGAAAAATTTATTTTCTTTTACATTGTAAAAAAGTTACTTCTTCGACACTGCAAATATGAGATACTGGAATTGTTAAGTTAACCCTGGATGCCCCCGGGAAATGTTCTCTCATGCCTTTGAGTCAAAGCTTTTGAAAAGTTATCTGTTGTAAAGTTTTTCAAAAGAAAATTTTAAATAACAAGAACACAAAAGATTTTTTTTCTCATTAGGTATTTGCAACTAAGAAGAACAATCTGACAGGATGTATCGTCCCTTACTCCCTCAAGCTTCATTATTATTAACAAGCTATTTGTCCTTACACCACCCTGTTCTTTTGAAACAAGTAAAAATATATTTCCTTTTTCTCATTATAAAAGATCACAAAACTTTTCAATTAAATCATGCGATATTTCTGCCTCCTCCCGCATAAAACACATTCCGAGGGTTGAAGTTTTTTTTCCAATTTAAAATTTCTCGACGCTCGCTCATCTCAATTTTCCATTATTCTAATTCTTCTTCAATTTTCATCACCCCGCGTCAACCGAATATTGATTTCAGCATAATTTCATCTAAAGCGATAAAACAAGAGAAGAATAAAGTTAAAAATAAACTTGAGCTCCGGACCGGAAGAAAGATTGGCTTCGTGTTCAGTTTTGCATCACAGTTTCTTGGATTATAATTCTTCATTGGAACGTGCCAAATGTGACATTTTTTTGTTTTTCTATTAGACAGTTTTGTTTTTTTTTATTGCGTAAAATATTTAATACATCCCGTCAATCGAAGACTTCAAAATTTTCATTTATTTTATCTTTGAAAAATTGATGAAAAATTCGTTCCTTCAATATAGATAAGCAGGGGAGAGAATTTATTTTATTGTGGAAATGATAAAGAGAAATTTTCCTTTCATCCTTGATTCAATTAACTTCAGCCTTGTAATCAATTACAATTCGAAAAACTTTTCCTGAATTACACTTTGAGTTACATTTCGCTCTTGACGATTTATTAAAACAGAACGAAAAGAATTTAAAAGATAAAATGTTGAAATCAATTAACGAGCGAAAACTTTTCTTTGAATTTGAAAATTGTTGCGTAATTTTTTAATGAAACAAATTGTCAATTAACATCGTTCGTGTTGGTTATTAAATTATTGTTTGCATTCACCATTATTTCAAAAATTAATGTGGGTGGCTTATTTAAGCATTCCGGGGATTCTTTTTTCAAATGGATATAATATACCTGTAAATTAAAAATTATTAGAAAAAATGGAAATATTTACAGCTACATTACTTTTTTCATATCCCTAATAAAACCAATTTTTTGCCACAACAAATATTCAATATTCATTGAAAATCTCATCAGCATCATAATGGATAACAGAGAAGAAAAAAAAATTCAATGTAAATTCAATTTGGAGTAATTTGCCATAAAGCGCATGTTGCTAGGTTACGCGATTCAACATTATAAATATCCTCACTCAACCCGACAGAGTCAATACGTGATGAATGCATAAAAGGTTAACAGCAATTTCATTCTTTGGAATGGGATGCGAACAAATAAGAGAGGATGATGATTGCTTTCCGCAATACTGAATTAATTTCCAAGATAAATACAGGAAGATGCTTTCAGTTCAATTTATCTTTTGAATGAATTACCCTTCAACAGTTTATTATTATTATTATTTAAGGTAAAATCTAAGATTCCGTCTGAATTGCTAAAGACAAAACATCCAACAATTATAGAAGCTTGAACACATTTTCCCTTAACTCAATTTTCTACACATGAATTTTAATTAAATTTTTTTATATTACTTTTTTTCATCAAAGTCGATGGTTGCCTTGAAGATATGTTTGAGTGTACGAGTTACTTAACTTCGTACTTCGTTAAGGAAAAACCACCGACGTTATATGTATGTACCTACTTATTTTCTGCTTGCTAACTCGCTTTACTCTTTGTCTGTGTTGTAATGGTTTCATGGAATTTTTTTGAGTGCTTTTTGCAACAGAACAACTTTACTCGACTCTGCCGATAAAATAAGAGAAATTTTCCCAGTGTTTTATTTACTAATGGAAATAAAACGAAATGATAACAAAGACAATGAAGGCAACTTTATATGCTCTGGGATTGTGTGGAGACGTTCACATGGGAAGAAGAATCAGTTGGTATAGTCGACGTTTGTTACAGATGAGAATTCATGTATTATGCGGTTACATGTCTTTCCTTTATCACCCTCAAGCACCCTGACATGTTGTAGGACTCTCTTTCATTAATGCTGTCAGATCCTCGTTATTATAAGTATTCGTTGTGAAATTTTTGAGTTCGAATAAGCTTGTAGATTTTTCTCGTTTACATCGGTCAGTAAACACCCCCGCTTTGCCTTTTAAAACCATTTACTTTTCACGCTTTTTTACTTTTTTTTCTTCTATTTTTCATTCATCTGCAGTCATCAACTATAAATAAACGTAAGTACTGTTTCCCCTCCTATCTAAAACTTAGGAGATTTTTCTTCTTTCGACCAACACATGTTGTGACGTTTTCAAGTAAAATAAAGCTTTGCGGCAAAAATAGTTTTTTAGGAAATTGTTTGGTTGAAGCTGATTTTGGGGAAGGAAATGATCTTTCATGGTTATTACTCCCCAGACTGCTATAACCCAAACCTTCAGGCTGGTAGCATCTTGAAAACATTAAAATTTATGTGCTATGGATGATTTCATATCGATTTACGCTTCAAATGCGTTGAATCTTCCGGGAATACCAGTGAAAGTTTTGGAAGATTTCCAATTGAATTGTCAGCGGCTTTCAAAAGTTCTAAGAAAAGTCAAATTGGTTGCTTCAATATCCAATTAGATTCAAGCTATAGCTACGGAAAATTTCATTAAGTTTCATCATCAATTTCGATTTAAACGAAATGAATGAAAAAACAAGAAAAGGACGTTTTGTAAAAAGGTTATTGATGTGGAAAATCAACCTTCAAGAAAATTTAACGAGAAGAAAACCTCATAGTTAAAAGAAAAGAAGCTAAGCTTAATTTCATTAGTGTGTTCAAAGGAGCATATCAAAGCAACAGAGACGAAGAACGGGATGAAAATTTCTTTTGCATTATGAAAAAAAGTTTTCTCTGCTTGTGTTTTATTGCGAATGCAACTCACACAAAAGAAAAATATTTGTGTGTGTGGGAAGAAACTCTCAGTGTGCTTTGTATTCATGTTTTTTCATTCAGTGCTGTATTTGGACTGTGTTATATCGGGTTAAGTTTTATTTTCAAATAACAATTATCAGCCCTGTCAAATAAGTGAAGGGAGAGAAATTTCTATGGTTACCTCATGACGATCTGAAACAGCGAAATTTATTTCGAATTCTCCATTATTCGACAGTTTTTTTTGTCTATTGCTAAATTCTTGGTAATTTCGCTTCTACGTATGAAAGAAATTTGAAAACAGGTTACGTTGTTTATGCACTTTTCCTCTACATTGGAAAACTGTTGGGAAAAGTCTTTCATATCGGACATGATATGGCAGTTTTTCGCTTTTAACTCGCGAATTCATTTATATATTTTTTCCTCTTACTTTCACTGCTTCTCGATGATTTTGTTAAATTTTTTATTATTTTTTATGTTGTTCTGTCATCATGTTTCATTCCTTTTTGATGTCATGCTCTTTTGTTGACATGGGAGTGGATTGAGGCTGTTACTTCAAAGCTTTTTACAATTTCTCTGTGTGAGCGAAAACTTACAAAGTTCGGAAGCAACATTAATGAAAAGCTTTTTGATGAAGTAAAATTTTGTTTCACACAAAAGTTTCCATTTTCTTGATCAATGAGAATAATGGTTCTTTAGACATATTCGAGAATAAAAATAAATAGTTTGTTGCATTACCAAATGAATGTTTTTGGTGTTTAAAAATTGAAAATGTTTTCAAGAAGCAAAGTTCAATTTGCATCACAAAAGCTTATTTGACAGTATAAAAGTTTATTGTTGTCAACATTTTACTAAATTGACATTTCATGAGAGTAAAGACTTGTCAATTTTTCAATACCTACACATATTAAATATTATTTATGGGTGTTGAATGATAGCATGACAGAAAAATTCTTTTAACGTAGTCAAAATATGTTTTCGTCGCTTTTCATTGGAACTTGAATTGAAAACATTAAATTTCAACTTCTGATATCTTCATTAAAAATCTTCATTTCTATTTCATAAATATCAAAAATATCTTGGGGAAATTGGAACTTTTCCTTTTTCTCGTTTAAGATAAAAATAAAATTCTTTTGTTAAACTTTCTTACTGTATAAAAGAAAACATTAAGCCTTTCAACTCTTCTTGTTTGATCTCCACCTTCTTAAATGATGTATAACGATTGCTACCTTTTCCTTTGTCATGGAGAAATGTTTTGCCTTAAAATGCCAGTAAAAATTATAATGGCTCAAGCAGAAGGAAGGTTACACTGAAAAAGTTTCATCTTCCCATAAAATTTTACGATTTTTTCGTCATACCAACGACTTTTAATTTCCTCATTGATGTTAAATCAAGTAAACAAGAAAAACAACGACTATCATCGGCAGCAGTATTAGAAGCTTTCAAAGTCGTACGAAAACAATTTGAATTTTCATTGAGCAGCGTTAAATAAAATTTTTAATTACAAATTTCATCCCATTTCTTACAGACACTTAAGCATCCCAATGCTGACAAAAGAAAAGCACAAACAAAATAAGTTGACGAGGAAGGAATGAAAAAGAAACTCATTGGCATGACTAATTGCTGAAGGAAACGTTGATCAAACACAATTGCGTCGATTTGAAATGTTAGGGGTGGGTTTGCTCGAGAATAGAAGAAGAAATATAAATAAAGTTATGCGAGAAAATGGAATTTAATCAATCAGCATGAAACAATGATAAAGTTAAAAAGTAGTATGAGGTTTTATTTCTAGAGACTTTTTGTAATAACGAAACAAACATGTTCATAGGTAAGAAAAAGAAATCATTTTGAACGTTAAACATCCTGCTCTACGCCATGAGTGAATGATGAAAGAAACAACGAAAATATGCGGAACATTTTTTTAATATTGTTTCAATTCTTTTGTACATTCTTATGTGAGTTTACCGACACTCAAACGGTTGCAAGTGTTGAAAGCAGCAAAACAGTTTATTGTGTTCACATTCAAATAAGTTACACTAGGGAAATTTATCATGAATTAAATTAAATTCTTCTCAAAAGAAACATTTGAATGACAAAAAATATGAAACAATGAAGTTTTCTCGAGTCTAAAGAAAAGTTTAATAAAAGAAAAACAACTCACGTTGAAAGATTAAATTATAACGTCACTTCAGCATACATCCCATCTCTTTTTATAAAGAAAATTTTTCATCATCATAACTTTTCTCTCGCACGAAACATCAAGAATAATATTAACGTTGATAAGCAACCACACATGTGAACGTCGCTTATATGTTGTATCTGATATCTCGATGGAAATCTTTCCTAATTTCACATTCACTGAACATTTAATTTTGACTTTAGACAATGAATTTGTTTTCGGCAGGCACCCTTCCGCAAAAAACCCATCGCTTCAATTAATGTCTGTCATTTTTTCGTTTATCCACATGAAATTACCCCAAAAAGTTTTCCACGAATAAATTTTCATTCCCTTTTACGAAATATTGTCATGATGCAAAAATATCTGACATTAAAACATGAACATATTAACAAACGCTTATTTAACTGACAGGCTGGTAGGAGAAAACATTTTGCCTGCTTGTTCATATCTGAATTACTTAAATAAATAAAAATAAAGAGAAAATACAAAAAAAAATTGAAGTTCTAAGAAATTCTTGAAGTTTTTGATCGGAGTTTTTGCATTATTTTTGAAACTGAGAAGCTATATTTAATTTGTAATGACAATCTCCCCAGATAGGTGCATTAACTTTATTGAAAACCTATAAAAATATTTTGAGCAATTTGTCTTTGGAAAATATTTTTTCAAAAATAACTCACTTGAACTTGTGACGTCTGTAAAATCATGTGGCAAATTTGCATTCCTGATGTTACATCAACAGAATAGAGTGACATCAAGTCGTTTTCTGTTCTAGACTCTAGATATCAAAACCTATAACCGAGAACCGATAACCGGCTGTTTTTTTCGGATATTCGAGTACTAGGTTAACCGAGATTTCTTTCGGTTAACCGAAAAATAACCGAAATTAGCGAAATTTACTCCTATTAAAATTTTTTTTCGCAAATTGTTTCGTTTTTTTGATTGTTCTTGAATGAAAACNTGTAAAATCATGTGGCAAATTTGCATTCCTGATGTTACATCAACAGAATAGAGTGACATCAAGTCGTTTTCTGTTCTAGAGTGAATTTTATGTAAAGATAAAAAATTTTGTACATATATTTATAAACTTTTATTTTTCAAACACAACAAAAATTATCTTTGAGAAGAAAAAAACTTAATCATATAATTATCTTAAACTTCACAGGACATGTTGATCAACATCATTAGAAAGATCTAAGTTATTTCAAGGACAACTTGCTTGATCAACAGTTGTGAAAAATAAATGTAATGAGTTTCTGATTGACTATGATTGAGTTGATAATGAATCAATAATGTCAACAAAAATTTTTTTGCTTATTTAACGTAAATTTATATTTTTCAAGGATACAAAGAAGTGAAATTATTGTGCCATATTTTTCACTTGATATGTTAAGAATTGTTTTGATATTCTCGTTGCTTGTTTGAGAATTGTATCGATGACTACAAAGTAAGCATTGTTTGTTTCCATGTGAATATCTGTGTTACAAAAAAAAAAAGTTTAAGTTCAGGTATTCTATCAAATCAATTTTCAAACGCTTTAGACTTTAGATCAAAAATTGTGATGAGTTATAAAAGCCATATAGCTGCTTCTTCGAGAGCTTTTGATCATCTTTATGATCCTATTTTCAAGACGTCAGATCCGAAAAATGTTCACAAAGAAAATTGTATTGCTCTGACACGTTCAGCCCCAATCCACGTCTATCCAGTGTATAAAGCAATGTTCTCAGAATTGTGCCATGAACAAAGAAATTGCTACGCTTATCAAAAAAATGTTTTGCCTTATTACAGCTCCGATAACATATCAGGTTCACCAAAACTACTGGCAGTCACCGGTGCTGACAGAGCAAAATTCTTTTCAAATCCAGTAGGCAACATACGAACAATCAACGTTGGATTAGATATTGAAGATCAATTAGAAACGACTTCAACAACTAAAATCATAGAATACAAGACAACATCAATGCAAACAAAATTTAGGTAATATAGGCTTTCTTTATATGCATAGTGAAATTTAAAACTTTTGAAAATTCCGTCACAATCACTGCAGAGAATCATCAGCTCAAACAAAGCCATGGTTACCTGAAGTTTCATGTTTTTCACCAGAAAATGTTGACGAAGAATTGCCAGAAGTTGTTTACGTCACAGACATGATTGATACTGCTTCTTATCCTGGATTTCACGAGGTAGAAATCATTGAACGTGCACGAAAAAGGAGATCATGGGAGAATGCTTTACCTTCAATAACAGCTCCCAATGAAATTCAATCAAGAGTTGCAGCTGTTGAAGCATTCGAATGGGAAGAGTGGGTTGTTAGAGAGAAAGACATTAACGAATGTCAACAAGCTAGAATAAAGATTGTATCTGACTTAATAGTAAAAAGGGAAAAGAAACATCTGGATGCAACTAATCAGAAAATTGAAAATTGCAATAGAAAAATGTTAAGTCAATGTAAAAAGCAGAAGGATGTTCTAATGTAAGTTTAATACTTTTTAAGTGACATGAGTTTAATTGCTTTTTAATCCCAATCTACCTCTTCAGATGCTAATAATACATTTATATGTGTTTCTTTTTTGTAGAAGGAATTATCAACGAAATATGAGAAAACTTGATTTAGCACAACATAAAAGTTTAAATCAAAACAAGATCAATGATCCAGTAATGTTTCATTTTGAAAAAAAGTTCGAATATTCGATACCAAAGATAAGACTCGATGCATTCTCGAAGAAGAGAACGCAAATTGAATACACAAACAATTTTGAGAAGAAGTAAGATTTATTGCACTTTAAAGCTTTCGTGTAAGCTTATTGGATATTTTATTCTTTAATATACTTTCCGAGTGTTCGATTTCAATATTTTTCAACAAATTCAATCAAAAGAAAAAAGGAAAGAAACATCTCACACTAATAAAATTTATTTTAACTCCAGATTTAATCTTCTTGAGAAAGACAACGCCACTCATGGAGACTTAAAGAAGTACATGAAGTCCAATAAACGTGATTTGTGGCTTCCGAAAGGAAAACCAAAAGAGATTGAACGTCAAATGAAGTCAGAAAAATATTTGAAGAGACTTCACCAAACATTGGAGGTTGATATATATATTTTTTCTTTGACGTAATCATTTTGATATTTAATAAAACTTTGTCATTTATTTTCAAGCATTTACGTTTTAAGAAGAATTCGAGAGAGAAACTTTCAAAATCTTTAATTTTCAACGAACCATTGCAATCAAAAAATCAAAGCTCAAGTTCGCTTGTTGTCCAAGTTTTAGATGAAGAAACTGAAACACGTTATGTAGCAACTGCTCGTGCACATCGTCATACTGAAGGTCGTGCTATTCAGGGCATAGTTTCACGAGGAATGGAGGGATGTAAGAATTTTATTGAAGAAGCAAGAAAAACTAATTCAGTTGATGCTGTCAAAAAGCTTATTCCGAAGGAGTTTATAAAAGAAATCGACGGTCAAGATCAGATATTGAAAGAATATAAACGTTTAGAAGAGGCTCTTAAAAATGACAAAAAGCTCCAAGAAGAGTTAAAGAGAATAGAAAATAGCGACCCGAGTAATATGCTTCATTTTCTTGAAAAGGAACTTAAACGATTGGAAGGTGAGAAAAAAGATCAGGCCACTTATCTGTTAGCAGAACATGAACGTTATAAACTTAAATCTCTGTCAATGGGGGGAATCCATCTCCAAAAACAATTCAAAAATGATGCACTTACTTTATACTTGGAGAATATTCTCATTGCAGCTATTCATCGAGTGAATGACGAGATTTCACGTGACTACATCAGAATGTTCACGAATAAAATTGATCAAAGAGCAAGTAAATCTCAAAACTTTGGAAAGACAACAGAAAAGTATTGCTTTGAATCAAATACTGAACACATTTCTGGGAAATTGTTAAATCACAAAGAAAACCGAGATGACATAGCTGTAATTGAACTTTTGAAAGATAATTTGATACCAGAAATAAAGAACAGTATTAGAAATCAACAATTTATTGAAAATCGTAAACATTATCTGCTGGCAGCAGGTGGAGATGCTCACAAAGAAAAATTTGAAGAAACAAAGCAAGAGGCAGAATATGAGATATGTACAAATATCATGAATGATATCATTGAAAATTCTACTGTAGGCTATGAAATATCAGTAGAAAGTGTTCAAAAATGTGACTCATATGAAGCTGAAGTACTAGCAACTGAAATTGTCAATCAAATCTTAAATGAAATAAGTGAAGCAAATCTTGAGACTTTTTTATCATCATCCGACCTTTCATCTTCAACTGGAAGCTATGATGGCGATTACAGTAACGTGCAATCGACGTCTGAAACTGAAAGTTCAGCAGAAATTTTCGCAATTGAAATTGTACGAGACATAATAAATGAGATTATAAACAATGTATTATTATAAATAAAATAATTTTCACATGCGATTTATTTAACATAAATTGGTCAAACGATTTACTTACGATTTTCTTATAATATACCTAGCAAAAACTTTGCAGGTCGAGAACAAATGTATAAACTTCTAAAGTAAGGACACGCATTCGTTACAACTTAGAAGAATCAAGTAAAAGCTTTCTTTTTGAACTAGAAGTTCAAGTTCACAAAATTTGAATTTTTAAGAACCGTTTTTTTTACCTAATGTGATTTAATTTGTTTCTTTGATATAATTTTCAATATGTAGGTAGGTATTTTAAAAAGTTTTAGTGACTTAAAATTTATATTAATAATTTTTTAATTGACCAGATAGATAATTGATCAGATAGATTATAAAATTATTAGAAGAAGCTTTTAAAAGAAGTCTCTCTCATAGGAAGAAACGTCCTACACCTGATGATGATGATGATGTTTCAATCGTTTTCTTACTATGAAAAGTGAAAAAAACTCTTATGTCACAATTGAAGGAATTTAGTGTTTAAGAAACGCGCTAATTTTTAATGTCGTTCATTTTAATTGTCTTCCTCATTTTCAGAAACTGAAAATTGAAAATATATTCGATTGCGGAATAGAGAAAGTGCTCATCATATTGAGATTAAGGATAATGAAATTTGCTAGAAGCAAATAAATTGCAGCGATTTCAGGGAAACAAAAGAATAAAATCAAGCGTATGATAAGAAGAACAAATCATTCTTTAACAATATTTCTTGCTACAAATGTTGAATAGATACTTTATTTAGATCAGAATGAGTAGATTCATTCTTTTAAGAAAAAATATTTCGTATTAAAATTCCCTGAAAACATTTCGGCCGTTAATTTACATCACAGCACATAAATATGGAAAATTTAAAATCGGTTATGAAAACACGAACACAATTTTTGTAGAGATATCAGCACATGCGCTTGTATTCTAAACTTATAAGAATCTAACTCTAGTTGAACAACATTCTTAATAGAAGTCAGAAGTTTAACTGAATTCAGTGTATGATAAAGTCACGTTCGCGGCGTTCTTATTTGGCTTCATTTAAAATAAAGTATTCTAAAATCCTAACATATGTTGTCGGAAGAAAACAAAGAGTCTAATAAAATTATTATCTTAGTCTTACATTGAAAGTTAACAATATGAGGTGGAGGAAATTTTTTCTGTTGTTTTGTTTTTGTTTCAAATTTTAATGTCTTTGCTTTTCAGAAGTTTTGCAATCATCTCAATCTTTGTCATATTATGTAGCTACTCCAACAGTGTCATATTTGAATGTGAATTCACTCTTATAAATATTATGAACATCAAGAAAACTTACAAATGCACCTTGAAAAATCTTGACATAAGTCATAATAACGAGACAGTTCATAACGTTACTGGTATCCATAAAGATGAGAAAGAAAGCAAAGATGTGAACATTTTAATAATCGAGAATCAAGTTTGTTATTATTTACCGAATGACATTAATCTTCATTTTCCTCAACTGTATCATTTAGATATTAAAAACAGTGGACTCAAGAGCATAACAAAAACTGAAATGAAAATGTTTCCAAAACTCAAATACCTTTACATTCGAAATAATCCAATTGAAATTATTCCAGAAAATGTTTTCGAATTTAATCCTTTGCTTGAATTCATAAGCTTGGATGATAACCGAATTAGGTCTATAGGAACAAATGTGTTTGGCTCTTTAAATAATTTGATAAGTTTGAGTGTTGAACATAATATTTGCATCGATAATTTTGCAATGGAAGAAGAGCCATTGAAAAATTTAATTCAAGAAATTAATGTTAAATGTAAATTTTATTCGATGCAATAAAATAAAATTAATTTGGTATTTGTCTCACCAATTACGTTTTTATCGTTTAATAATAAATTAAAATAAAATATTTTCCCACAGGAAATATCCAATATTTGTTCACATCCGTTCAATAATCGTGATGATTATCGACTATGTAAATGTTTAAACACGATTATCAAATTTTGATTTAATTGTCAAAGTGTGCATTTATTGTGAATTGAAGACTAAAGCAGATATCTGCATTCATTAATTTATTCGTATAAATCATATGAAATACATGTTTACGAGCTCACAACAAGTGCATTTTTAAAAGCTTTGCTTAATTAAATTAACGCTTCTTTTCTCAATTTTTCGAGTGGCGCTTTCAGCAAACTGAAACAAGAAATCATATTTAAAAGAACATCCCACGAACAGTATCTACATAAAGTGCAAACATTATGACAGGTTTCTTGCTTAAACAAATTACATTAATTTCCTTATTTTGTCTCACAATATATTAAATCGTGATTTTACGAAGCGGGAAAAAAATTACTTTACTTGCTAACATGAAAACGGATTGTAAATCATTCTCTTCATCATAGTCATAACGACTAACATTTTACGACAAAATTCATAACGCTACAAAGACTCTCTCTGGTTTTTATAATCTGAAAAAGCACATTAACATAATTTAATATTCCACAAAGGAAAATATGTTTTAAGAGTCGTCGCAACGCGCAAGGATAACAAAAAAATGGAATAATTTAATTAATTTAACATCATTGAATTTTCATGAATAAGTATGAACAAGGTACGTCACCAAACACCTCAAAAGCTTTTAACGAAATTTATGAAAATTATGTTATCAATAATCTCGTGCACCAATTATTGTCGCTTATAAAGAAAAATACCAAAGTGAGGGTGGCTAATTAATCAACAGTAAAACTTTCAGCAACTGATTTTAGTTCATAAATTAATTTCCCAGGCAGCTGTTAATCTGATTTTCCCCAAAAATGAAATCATTGACTCAGAAAAGCTCCGGAAATATGTTGAACAGTTTGTGATACTGAGAAAAAAAAATCGATCGAAATTTGGCGACATGAAGTTGTTTACGCTTTACTTTTTTAAGTGGAAGGGATTATTTGTCAAAGAAGTCTGGATTTTTATGTCTCTGTTTGTGAATGATACATGAGCATAAAGATTTTTTATGTGAGACAACATGAGAGTTTGGGTTTCGCAAGTAAACGTACAGTTTCTGTGAATAAAAGGCGTTTAACGGTACATGAAACTTGAAACCTTTAAACTTATTTGATTTTTCTTAGATGAATTTTTGAAAGTTGTTCAGCAAGTCGCAAAAAAAACCAATTTTATAAATTTTCCGTAAATGCATCGTTAAAAAGTTTTGCAGCAATTTATTTTTTATTTGTTTTGGGTTGGAAAAATATCTACAAATAACTGCAAAAATCCAAATAGAAACAGCATAGAAAAGTTTTTCCATATTTTTCTGCTCGTTTATTAAAAAAAACTTCTGTTAATAAGAACGAGGCTTCTGCTATTGCAAGTCATAGACAAAAAAAATCCTTGGAGTGCTGTTATTACACAAAACTTTTCTCACTTAATTTTTGTGTTCAGAAATTGCTTCATTCTCTGTTTTTTATTACTTATTTAATATTTTTTGTTTTTAAGTTTATTCAAGTGTCTGCTGAACTTTTTCAGACTTCATTATTCTTCACATTTTATTAAAATTGGATATTTTCATAAGCTTTGATACTAAGTATCTAACTAAATTCTTCAACATATGAAGATTGATGTTTAATTATGATAATAAATAAGCTGTCATTATGAAAACAAATATTTTATCACTTCCATTATGAAAAATTTATTTATATTTACAGTAAAATATTCTTAGATACTACATAATTGCAATAATCACAACAGAACAACACTGTGTAAAAAGTAGGAACTAATATGGGTAATGAAAATTTAATTAGTTCCTGGTCAAAGAATGATGAATTTTTTTTCTTTATTATCACTTTCGCGTTATCAATTGCAGCAAATGCTCCATTATTTGAAGCTGAAGCTATAAATGACTGTTCTCTATTGAAGTACAATCCTCAAAGTTAACATTGTGCAACATTTTGATAAGTTCAGCATTTTCTTGAAGAATCGGAAGAATTTCCTTTTGATACTCGAGCATATTCTGAATAAATAAATATTATGAAATGTATTTAAAAAAATCGAAATTAACATTATCACCTTAACATTGCTTGATATTTCAAGACGTTTCCTTACGGCCAGTGACGATTCTTTGAAGATGCTTGAAACATTCTTTTTCGGGTCTAAATTTTCACTCTTTAATTCTTCCTTTATCCTGTTCAAACGATCGGTGAGCTCATAAATTGTTTCTTCATAGCTTGTCAAGTCTTTCTCAAGGATTTGTGTTTGAAGGAAAATTGTCTGTGCCATCTTATACCAATCAGCTAAACATTCAGCCTCAGCATGGATCGCAGGTTTCACACCATCATTAAGAAGTGATTTGATTCGTTTTCCCGTCTCGGCAACTTTAATCTGTTCAAAAAAGGAACTTTTAATGTAACACTTTTTTAGATAAAATTGAATAAATTACCTTCTCAAGGGCATGAAATTGCTCATCGTTGTAAGTAAGCGATCTCGTTGCCCGATCTCTCAACAAATGCTGCCATGAATCACGAAGACGTTCGACCAAATATTTCGCTTTTTCATTTGAATAATTACTCGATGGATTCTTAATTTCACGTGAGCTCGTTTTCCATTCTCTTGTTAATTGATCTTCATTGCAAAATCGATTGTAAAGTTGTTGTATTGGCTCTGAAACTCTCGTAAATTCTCCCTTGAGATTATTTAATTCCTGGCCAATTTGTTTAGTCTCGTCATGATAGATTTCATTACTTGCTGCCAAAAGTTCCAACGCTTCTGATAATTTATGAACAATTGAACTAATTTCTTCAAGATTTTTTGATCTTTCCGATAATTTATGAAGTGTAACTTTGAGTAATCCAATGAATCTTTGAATTCCACTTTGAATCAAGGTATCCATTTTTGAAAAATTTTCAACTCTTCGTTTACATTCGTGACCAACAGAACAAGCAACTTTCGCTAGACTTGCGTCGTTTTCAACACTGACACCAGTTGGAAACGAAGGAAATTTCGGGAGATCAAGTTCTTTTGGCAATGAAACGTTGTTATTCTCAACACTCAATAACATGATTGGCTTGAAAATTGTTGTCGATGGATAGCCTCGAACTGCACTATTAGCGCCAACTTTATCTTCTAAATGTTCGTCATCATAAAGCAACAATTGGCTATCAGGATTAACATCAGTCTGAAGATTAACATGCTCTTTGAAATGAAAAAGTGGCTCATCAGGATCCATGAAAATTTCCAGTGACGACGCTCGATTCATGTAGAATAATTGAAGAACTTTTTTATTTAAAATATTCGTGACTTCCCAGAAAAATCTTTCAAAGCTCCACATTCGCTTTTGATTTTCTTCAAGGAGACCAGCAAGTAACGGTGTTACAAGCAACTTCAGACCAGCTGATAATTGGCAATGGTCAGGAAGATTTCGTGACCATTCGATGGGACCGTTTTCTGTCGGTTGAATGCCTGAAATTATACCAGGAAGCTTCTTTGTTGTGATGTGATGCATTGTTTCTTTATTTTTACGTCCACCATAGGGACGGAATGGAAGAACTCCTGTTGCAACATGAAATAAAGTTACACCAATGCTCCAAAGGTCAACATTTGCTGTAAAAGATCGATTGACAGATTTTCTAAGAACAGCACGTTCATACATATCCGGATGTAAATATTCTTCAGTTCCATAAAGTGAAACAAACTGCTGGTTCTCCTCCAGTTCACGAGCTGCACCAAAATCTGTGAGTTTGTAGACTGTCAAGCCTTCCTCGGAAATATATTTCATTATATTTCCGGGTTTTAAATCTCTGTGTACAAGATTGTTGTCTCTTAAATGTTTCATTCCAGCTGTGAGATGTTCAAGAACCAAAAGAAACTCAACTTGAGGTAATCCGTAAGTGTTTTCTGGATCATCGAGGATATTGAATAAACTTCCTCCTGTACAGAGTTCCATTACAATAACCTTCCCTCTTCCTTCTTGATCATCTTCAATAGCTAGCAACTTTACGATGTTATCGTGTTTAACTTTCCTTAAAACTTCAAACTCTCGCATTTGAACTTCGTAAGGCCTCATGTGTGATAACTGATTAAAAGTTTTAACAGCAACTGGCTCACCATTGTGCTTATTAACTCCTTGAAAAACGGCACCAGTTGCGCCCTTGCTGAAATTATAAGTAAATTTCGAAATATTTTATTAACATAAAAGTGAAATCGTGTAAAAAAACTTACCCGAGTACAGATGTTGTGCACCAAACATAATTAACACTTCCTCTTAGAAACGACATAACTTGATCATGAATTAAATTAGTGTTGTTATGAGATATTTTAAACTTTTATTAAGAAAATCGTTCAAAACAGTGAAGAATAACTTTTTCTTGTTTTAATGCTCAGAAATAGATTAACAATGCGTCAATGATGTTTTTCATAAGGCTGCATAAATTATTAATCGATTAATAAGTAGGTGATAGTATTATCAAGAAAAAAACTACCTAATTAGGTATATCAAAATTTAAAACTTAGAAAAGTTAAACTTTAAATGATTAATGTAGGTAAATGTTGCATGGAATTTTTTTTGTGACATCATTTTTGTTTCCTCCCGAGGGGCAGTCAACTATCCAATTTGGGGCCGACAGAATCTCAACGATAAACAATCGATTTTTCTTCATTTTTTTGCCCTAACTTCAATAGTTCTCACTTATAATGAGCAACGATCTTAATTCCAAGAAAGCTAGCTCAACTGATTCGTTGAATAACGACACCATGGTGAGTTAAATAAAGTTAGAAAACAAGAAAAAAAATTAACATTGTTCGCCGTTTTATTTATGATTTAGCATTCAAATATTTCATTCCAATTACTTGCTGGGGAAGTTGTTCAAGACATCAATGATGTATCTTATATATGTCCGTACTATGGGCCTCAACGTGGCACATTAACAATAACAAACTATCGACTTCATTTTAAATCTAATCCCCTTCCTCATGATAAAGATCCAATTCAAATTCTTGACGTTCCACTGGGTGTTGTCTCTCGCATTGAGAAAGTTGGAGGAGCTAGTTCAAGAGGTGAAAATTCTTACGGAATTGATATTTTGTGTAAAGATATGAGAAATCTCAGATTTGCTCATAAACAAGAGAATCATTCAAGAAGAACAGTTTTTGGAAAACTTCAGAATTTTGCTTTTCCACTTGCTCACAATGAACAATTGTTTGCGTTTTATTATGCTGAGAAGATGTTAGAAGATGGCTGGAATATTTATGAGCCAATTGCTGAGTTTCGTCGGATGGGTCTTGTAAGATTTTCAAAAAATTGAATATTTTGATTTAAAATTGAAATTAAATTTTAGGGTGCAAATTCAAACATTGAATGGCGAATCACAAAAATCAATCAAAAATATGAACTCTGCGATAGTTATCCAGCTGTTCTTGCTGTTCCAAGATCTGTTTCTGATGATGATTTGCGTCCAGTTGCAAATTTCCGTTCTAGAAATCGTCTTCCAGTTCTTTCATGGATTCATCCAACATCACTTGCAACAATCACTCGTTGTTCTCAACCACTTTGTGGCGTCAGTGGAAAGAAGTCGCCAGAAGATGAAAATTACATTAATGCAATAATGGAAGCAAACCCACAGTCAGATAAACTGTCAATTATGGATGCAAGACCCAGTGCTAATGCAATCGCTAACAAAGCTAAAGGTGGTGGCTATGAATCGGAAGATGCTTATCAGAATGTCGAACTTATCTTCCTAGACATTCACAATATCCATGTAATGCGCGAAAGTTTAAGGAAATTGAAAGAAAATTGTTTTCCTGCAACAGACGATCAAAAATGGTTATCGGCAGTTGACAATACGATGTGGTTGAAACATATTAAATGTGTGCTTGCTGGTGCGATAAGAATTGTTGATCGTATTGAAAACATGAAAAATTCAGTCGTCGTTCATTGCAGTGATGGATGGGATCGAACAGCACAATTAACCGCTTTAGCAATGCTTCTCTTGGATCCTTATTATCGAACTTTGAAAGGCTTTGAAGTTCTTATTGAAAAAGAATGGCTGAGCTTTGGTCATAAATTCCAGCAACGTGTTGGACATGGCGACATTAATCATTCCGATGCTGATCGTTCACCAGTTTTCTTGCAGTTTATCGATTGTGTTTGGCAGATAAGTCGACAAATGCCGCATGCAATGGAATTCAACGAATATTTTTTAATCACAATCTTGGATCATTTGTATTCGTGTCGCTTTGGGACGTTTCTTAAAAATACTGAACGTGAAAGAGTCCAAGATGATTTGAAACATACGACCGTGTCATTATGGTCGTGGATTAATTCATCACCAGAACAATACCGAAATCCACTTTATGGTGGAATTGGAAATTCCGTTCAAACAGTTTTGGTGAGATTTTCATAATTTTTCATACTTTTGATCTTATTTTATTGAAGAAACATAATTTTTAACTTGATCAGAAGCCCGTTGCCAGTATGCGGCATATTCGTTTATGGAAAGGACTTTACTGTCGTTGGAATCCTTCAATGAGAACGCAAGATCCTATTTATCAACGTACGAGAGAACTTTTAGCATTGCAAGATCAATTAAAGCGTCAAGTTGATGAGATCCTCGAATGTAGAACTGATGCCAACAATCGCAATGCAACGCAACTTTCAAGACTCGCATCACCAATGCACTAAAATTATTCAATTCCTTTATAATATTCTGACGAAATGGATGACAAAAATATGAACTAAAATGAAATATTATTAAAGCATTCAATTTTGAAAATGAAAAAGTTAATCAGGGATTGAAATTATAGCTCGAACTCTCAAAACGAAGCGAAAAGTGAACTAAATTTCAAGCCCTGACAAATTCAAGTTATTTTTTGTTTTGCATTGATGATTCATTCTTCTTCGTTGTGCTCAGGTCTTAAATCAGCTGTTCAATAAACAAACATTTGCTTATGTGTTGGAAAAAAAAACTTCGATATAAAAGCAAAGATAATAAAAACTTTTTGATTGTGATATCGTCTCATAAATCGCACACACAAACAGCGATATCGTGAACTATAAAATCTCTCATGTTTTTTTTTGATTACGAGTAAAGTCATCACTAACAAGCGAGCAATGAACAGTGAAACAGTTGAAAATAGATTAAGCTCTTCGAATGCTTCGAACTTTACAAATTTAGAGAATCGTGTAAGTTTGACGTTTTTATTCTCGGTTTTGAATTTTAATAATTAATCATCGAAAGTTTTCAATCGTCATTCTTTATCAGTAGAATGTAGTTAAGAGATAAAAAGTAATGGAAATTTATCATGTAAACATTATTTTTAGCTTGGAAATATTTCGTTTCAATTACTAGCTGGTGAGCAGCCACAAGACATCAACGATGCCTCATATATTTGTCCATATTTCGGTGCACAACCGGGAACATTGTTTATTACAAATTACAGATTTCAATTTCAACCAAACCGCTTGAACCATGAAAAAAGTCCGTTTCAGGTTGTGGATGTTCCACTTGGTACAGTTGCAAGAATTGAGAAAGTTGGCGGATCAAAATCAAAAGGAGAGAATGCATATGGAATTGACATAACGTGCAAGGATTTAAGAAATGTTCAATTTGCTTTTAAGCAGGAAACTCACTTCCGTCGTGCAATTGTCGATAAACTTCAAAGGTTTTCATTTCCATTCTCAAACAACAGTCAAATATTTGCTTACGATTACAAGGAGACTTTTGTTGAGAATGGTTGGAATGTTTATGATCCAGTGGCGGAGTTACGACGAATGAAATTGGTTGGTAAAGTTGAGTAGGAAAGCTTATCAAAATAATTTAAAGAAAATTATTTTTTAGGGTATTGATGAGAACATTAAATGGCGCATAACAGAAGCAAACACCAATTACGAACTTTGTGACACATATCCAAAAGTGTTAGCAGTTCCAAGATCTGTTTCTGATGATGATTTGCGTCCAGTTGCCAAGTTTCGTTCCCGGGGACGACTTCCAGTTCTTTCATGGATTCATCCAACTTCACATGCGACAATCACACGATGTGCACAACCTTTAACTGGCATGAAAAATAAAAAATCACCAGAAGATGAAAGTTACATTGCTGCCATTAAAGAAGCAAATCCCAAGTCAGATAAACTTTCAATTATTGATGCAAGACCTCTAGCGAATGCAATTGCAAATAAAGCAAGAGGTGGTGGTTATGAATCGGAAGACGCTTATCCAGATTATGAGATTGTTTTTGTTAATATTCACAGTATTCATGTGATGAGAGAAAGTTCGAAAAAGTTGAAGGAAGTTTGTTTTCCTGGCACAGACGATCAAAAATGGTTATCATCGATTGACAATACAAATTGGTTAAAGCATATTAAATGCATTTTATCTGGTGCTATGGGAATTGTTGACAGAATCGAAAATATGAAGAATTCAGTTCTTGTTCATTGCAGTGATGGATGGGATCGAACAGCACAGTTAACATCTGTTGCAATTCTTCTTTTAGATCCTTACTACAGAACGATCAGAGGCTTTGAAATTCTCATTGAAAAAGAATGGCTGAGTTTTGGACATAAGTTTCAACAAAGAATTGGTCATGGTGATGCTAATCATTCAGACACTGAAAGATCGCCAGTTTTTGTACAATTTATTGAATGTGTTTGGCAAATTAGTCGACAATTTCCACGCGTTATGGAGTTCAATGAACATTTTCTGATTACAATCTTGGATCATTTGTATTCATGTCGTTTTGGAACATTTTTGAAAAATAATGAACGTGAAAGAGTCCAAGATGATCTAAAGCAGAACACGGTGTCGTTGTGGTCGTGGATAAATTCCTCAATTGGACAATATCGGAATCCCCTCTATGAGGGTGAAACAATTCAGAGAGTTTTGGTAAGACGAGTTCATTACCAGACTATGAATTATTCTTAGAAATTTCAATTCTTTTCATAGAAACCCGTCGCTAGCATGCGTCATATTCGTTTGTGGAAAGGACTTTATTGTCGATGGGATCCTACAATGAAAACCAAAGATCCTTTGATGCAAAGAACAAGAGAGTTGTTGGTTTTAGAGGAGCAGCTTAGAAAACGAGTTGAAGAAACTTTCAATTTACTTGAAAGTACAAATGGAGTTATGACGCAACTTTAAAGCTGTCAGATGATTTTAGAGAACTTTTTTTATAACAATTCTTTTGTCTTTTAAAATTCTACAAAATATATTTATCAAATTATTCCCAAAATAAAATTTAATGACAAAGGAATTTATTTCTAGCTTTCAGCAAACTCATGCCACTGGTGTCGGGAATGAAGTAAGCAAATATTCCTAAACCCATAACGATTGTTAATCCACAAATAATTGTTGTTGTTTGATCTTTTAAATAAAAAACGACGGCAATCATGAATATTTGAAGAAGAAACTCGAAAGAAGATGAAAACGCAATCGACAATGGTTTCTTTCTTGTGTTGAAAGCTTCAGTTGAATAAACGTCTGCTAAAATTCCTATCGCAATGCCAGTGGTGGCTTGGAACATGAAAGCAAGTAAAGTTATAAGTGTTGTCTCATCATCACCCATTGCTGATGATCGTAGAGCAATTAAAAGCAAGCATAATAATCCACATGATAATAATGTTGAATAAATATAAAATTTGATTCGTTTGAAGTCGATCAAAAACATCATAATCAGAATGACAATCCATCTGATCCCGGACAAACACATTCCTGATGGATCGACTTTACCATTATAAAGTTTGCTTTCAACTGCTTCAAGCCAGATAAGATTTAATGGCATGTTGAAAGATGCTACAAAAATGATCTTCATTACTAACACCACAAATAATGGCCAACGATTTGCACGATCAAAAATATTTAAATTACTTTTGATGTCTTCCATCACCATAATTTTGAGCTCAGAAAAGTCTTTTCTTATGTCGATTGTTTCACTCGATTCACAACGGAGTCGAATCATTGTCTGAATTGCTTCTTTATCACGATATTTTCTGATCAAGAAAACGGGTGATTCCCGATTGAAAAAGATTGCAATAAGTACACCGGTAGCTACACAAATTAATCCGTTTATTCCGATGGTTTTTGTTGGATCAACTTCGTAGCTTCTGGCATCATAGACTGGTAAGAGACTTGATGAAGTTGTAAATACGCCGATGATGAAACAGAGATGAATTGTCGAAACAACCATTCCACGAAGTTTCACCACAGACACTTCAGAAGCGTGAATCAGAACTGTTGGGTAAGTTATTCCATGAGCGAGGCCTCCAAGAATTCTTGATATAAAAACATAATAAATATCAGCGGAAAATGTTATAAGCAGCGCTGCACTTATTCCTGATAACACTGAAGCTAAAATCTATAATTTAAGTTTTACTTTTAATCTGTGTTTTGATCTTCATAATTCAACTTACATAGATAGAAAGTTTTGATAAATTGTTAACAATAATTGAAGCAAAGAAAAAGCCGACAATGCTTGCAATGAACCATGTGATGATCACCCAGAAGACTGAGCCTTCATCTTCATATCCACCAGCCCATGGTTGAGCTTTCAAATGATTATTGAAAATTCCCCAGCCAAGTTGTTGTCCACTGTAGATCATGATCATAATACCAGCAGCCAGTGCATTGGTTTGCGGTTTATTTTTCTGATAGTAATCGATCCATTCAATGATTCCTTGAGGCTGATTTCGAGTTCTGTTAACATTCTCGCTCTTAATCGACTCTTCACTACGAAATTTCATTTTTTCTTGCATTATTTCAAAAGAATTTAACTCAATCGTTGTTTTATAAACACTGAGAGTGTGTCGATGTTTTTATCAGCTAATATTTATCATTTTATTGCGTACTCCTCAAAACTCAAATAAACAAAGTAAACAAATACAGATTCAGATTACAAATGAATCATAAGTTTAATATATTGAAAATTAAAACGTAAGCAAATCGAAATTCTTAACAGTTTTTTTACTAAATGATCGTGAGGATTTCCATTCCTTTTTTGTCATTCTCCATCCACTTCAATTTCAAATAAAATTTAGTTTTTAAAAGATCCATTTCAAACAGTTTAAGCAAAAAAGCAGATTGAATTTCTGAAAGTGCTCAAAGCTATTTTGTGACTGCAATATTGATGAGAAATAAATTGTTTTCTCATCCTTGTCAATTTCATCCACCATCGCCACCACCAACCCCCATCTACCTAAAACCATCTGCTGCCGATGTTTCGTCATAGCATTGGGGGTAATTCGGTAATTGAATGAAGCTGAATTTTCACCAAAAACGAGATAAAAGTTACAACATTTTCCTATTTATTTTTTTCTCTTCTTGTTCGAATCAAATATTCTAGTGGCGTTTTATGTTGCGGTTGATTTTTGATTCAATTTCATTTAACTTAGTTGAATTCACATTGAACCTCACCAGGGAAGATTTGATGATGTCGATTATCAGATTGTGTACTGTAATGTTAGCAACAGATTATAAGTCGTATCGTTTCAGCTTTCAAGGCTGTCTTTAAAATCAAAACGAATCAAATATTTTTCTTTGTTTCAGATTAAAAGTTGATTAAATATTTTTTTTTATTGATTAACGATATTCTTTTCAACCGCTTGATTTCATAAAAATATGTAACAGATTCCATTTAATGTTTCATTTTATCAGCATATTGATAAACCTTTGTTCGAACGAAGCCATGCAAATAAAACAATTTAATTTTGGTTTGAATTCATTCATGTAGACAATGAAACAACGGCGATTAAATATTTTATGTTTGACAGAATGGAATAAAAAAAAAAGTTGATGTTGAATGGTTTGGGGAAATCATATCAGCAGTTTATTTGACAGGTTTCGTTTAACAATAAAAAAATCGTGTCCAAAGTTTCTTTGCTAAAGTTTTATGTTTTTATCTCTTTTATAAACTTCCATAGAAACGAACGTTCACATAAAGATATATTTTAAGTATTCGCTTGACAATTAAAGCTAAAACTTAACATTGAAAGTTTTCTTTCCCAAAGTTTAGCATAAAAAATTTTTCTTTTTACTGTTCGTTTCTATCAAATGTTGAATTAAATCGTTCATGAATGAATGAAAACTCTCCAATCACCACGTGGATTTTCGTCCTTTTTCGTAAGATTCTGCGCATTTAAATGTTTATGTTAAAATTGCAGCTTAAATTCTTTCAGTTTCAAAGTTTTGCTTTCAGTCTATTCGAAAAATTTAAACGGTCAGCATCATATTAAAAGTGTAGTAAAAAAAATAGCTTTAAGTTGAATTCCGAACAATTGATTAAGGAAATCAAGTTTTGTTTTGAACTAATGGAATTGTAGTGAACATAATAATCTTAATAATAATAGAAATAATAATGTTCTGTGCATATTTAAAAATCTTTATGAAATGAATTGAAAACTGAACTCCAATAAAACGATTTAAAGGAAAAATAGATTTGGAAAAATTAAAACATCATTACAGAGTCGATGAATCATGCAATAAATGTAAACAATTTTGAATTGATTCTGAAATAAAATTATGCTCAATGACAAGAAGCAATAGGTAGAAATATTGCGAACGTAATAAAATGTTTATGGTATCATGACTTTATGTTATTCATAATATTTGAAGCTATAAAAGTGCGATCACGACACACTTTTATCGTAATAATATTCAGTGACGGAAATTGTCAAAAATCGAATCAAAAAACATAAAACTTTTGTCAATTCTTATTAATTTAGAACCGTGAAAGAAAAAAGAAAAATAGATTTCTAAATAAATATTTCAACTTACATTTATTTGTATATTTGTTCATTCATTGACTGATAAAATGAAATTTAAATACAAGTAAAAAATTTGATTTGATAAGAAATCAAATTGAGTGAATGTTCAAAGAGTTCAGAAAAGTGAAAATTTTAAAACGTTTTGTTCTGAAAATTATTAAATTTCATAGAATCGTGTTTAATTAAAAACTTTCAATTTGTTAAACAAATTCCTAACAACTATAATTTCAATTATAAACAGCTATTGCTGCTAATGGACGAATGTTTTTAATTAAAATAAAGATCTATATTAAAATAGTGTCTCGATGAAGCTATCAAGATGTGTAATTACATGAAGCAATAAAATTAATGAGCTTTTACACATCAATAAAATATTCATGCAACGTACCGCCAATATTCATGAATTTGTTTAAAATTTATGATGGTCTACACAAATTAATGACAAAAAAGCCATTGCTCTAATTACGGAATGTTGATGATTATTCTGATTTTTGTTCCATTCGTATTGCTTAGCCAGACGTGCGGATTGAGTGAGTGCATTGAGTTTATTTTGTTTTCCCTTTAGAATAAAATAAATTTCATAAACATTCATCCTGATTATCCATCCACAAGAGACTACAGGGAATGTCACACTATATTACCTTATAAAAACCTTTCTACTTACAATTGACTCAATGTTGTGTCATTTCCCTCCTTTATCGAGCTCAATTTGTGATAGGACCAGAAGCTGAGAAAAACAAAATTTAAAATTCAAATACAGTTTCAGATGAAATATCATTTTTGGTGCTAAGCCAGGAGAATAAATATCATCGAAGAGAAGCAGAACATCTGAAGCATACCATTATTGAACAATCATTAAATTTAGACGATGGTGTAAGTAGATAAAATTCTATAGATGTTGTTACCCACTTTTCTCAATCTTCTTTGAATCTTTGAAAAGGAGAAAATATTTAGAAGATTATAGCAAATTGGTGGATCAAAACATGATGACTTGCATAGAAGATTGAAAATATATTTTGCTACTGTGTTGAATTTCTGAACTCTATCAGAAGACTTTTTCAACTTTTTTTTTTAATCTTGACAAAACTGCTTTATTTAAAAATACCATCACGAGTAAATTAAATGGATTTGGTTGCAAATATAGTAGGAATCCTATTTCAAAACCGTTACCGCATGAGAGTAAATATTTGGTCAGAAACTTCTCCCTTCAAATTGAAAGTGTTCTGTAGTTTAGAAACTCAAATTTAAATTTAGCAAGTATAAATTTAGTGTATCATCTATAAAGTTGAAAATTCATTTCATCATTCAAAAGTTTATGAAAAATCTTAAAACATTTCTATTATTATTATTTGCTCCAATCACCAAATTCAAATATGAAAATTAAAAATCAACTCCTCCACTCAGGTATCAATTAATTTAATTAAAATTCAAAACTTTTCTTTTCGTTTTCTCTACCTAGAAATCGAAGCCAAATGTTTATCTTTCCCATGAAATTTCTAATAAGAGAAATGCTTGGGCAATCACACCAATATTGATTGATATTCTAAATCAATTAATTAAACCTCAGATAAAATGGTTTGTTGTATGTGAAGCTAATAGTATCGTGAACCTGAAAAAGTTGCTGTCAAGCTTGGAAAATGAAAATGAATTAATTGTAAGTTTTACTCACTCGTTTTTCAATGAAATCTTTTTAAATTTTGTAAATTTTCAGGAAGGTTATTATGGATTTCCACTCTACGATCGTGATGCAACAATTATCCATCACTTTGCTTTCTTCCACAATCCATCAATATTTCATTTTCCTTTCTTGAAAGCAGGTGTTGCATTTTCTATTCCACTTCTTCACAGGTTCGTAGTATTTTATTTTATATGTATGTTGAAAAGAAAGGTAAAAGAGATAAATAAAATCCAATCAATCAGTTGGGCTTTAACTAATTGATGTACGATTTTTCACCTTCTTATTTTCTATCCTATTTCATTATTCATCAGACTTGTCGACCGTTTATTGCCATCAGCAACGCCACCATTTAAAGCACCAACGGAATTTTCTATCGATGCTTCTCACGAACTTGCTTTGTTCATATGGAACATAGATAAGAATCTGAATCTAAAGACTGTGCCTTATTTCTGCAGCCATTACGGATCTGAATGTGCCATTTACGCGAGGGACGAAAACATTTTCTGTGTAAGACAATGCGAGAAAGTTAAAGTCATAACTTCTAATAATTGTGACAAATTATTGTCTGATTTCCTTTAGGGCAATCCCATTAGTCTTGATAAAGTTTTATTTGCTGTAAAAACTTGCGAAAAGTATCATAAAGAACGGTTGCCGATAATACTTGGTACTTGGGCACAATTTACGATTCATTTGAGAGTCTTCAGCGATGTGCGAGATGATGCGATACCAACGGTGTCGACTAATGTTCCAAACTATGAGCGAGGACATTGTGAAAAAAGTCTGAAGATTTTGGGGATGGTCTTGGATGAGATAACGAAAAATACGACATTGAAGAATGTTGAGTGGATTGTCATGACTGATGATGATACACTTTTAAGGTGAACTAAATAATTGTTCGATATTTGATTAAGTAATAATTTTCTTTTTAAATAAAATAGCACATCATCGCTTACCGAGTACCTTGGATGCTTCAATAAGAATGAATACATTTATTTAGGAGAACGTTATGGTTTCGATTTATTTTCTGAAGATAACGGTTACAATTACATCACAGGAGGGGGTGGAATTGTATTTAATTTGAAGACTGTTAGGAAAATAGTTGAATCATGTTCTTGTCCAAGTCCATCATCACCAGATGATATGATTATCGCAGCATGTCTTAAACAACTTGGAATCGAGCCTATACACTCAACACTTTTTCATCAAGCAAGACCGAAAGATTATCCTTCGATTGTTCTGAACAAAAACTCAATATCCTTCCACAAGTTTTGGCAAATTGATCCAATAGAAGAATATGATAAGCGATTCAAAAGAAAAGATAAAGAATATTATGTAATAGATAGAAATTTAATTTCTGATTATAATTTTCTCAAGCAAGATTGTATTTCGGAACAAAACCATGAAGAAAATGTAATGAAAAAAGAAGAATTTAATCGTATCGAATTATGATGTAAAATTCTCATTATTTGTTAAATACTTTTTATATAATTAATAAATGCTTTTTCTTCTTTTATTCAAGAAATAAGACGATTTAATATTATTTTATTTGGAATGCAATTAATTGATTTAGACGTGGAAGCATATCAATATGAAATCATGAATGTTTCTTGTCACCTTGTGTGTAGCATTTGAATGTTTCAGTTTCCACTTGTTCCAAACATTTTACAATACGTTGTCATTGTGTTAACTGCTTTGTAATGTTTCACGTATGAATGTGTTTATTTCTTCAAAGAACGAATAGAAGATTTGCTCATGTTATTTTTAATTTTGTGTTTATTGAAAAAAATTAAAAACAATGAATTAAATAAATATTGAATACATTATAAGTTTTCATAAATATAATGTACATTTTGTCACAAGCATTAACATGTCAGTGTGTCCGAGTTGGTCTAAGGAGTCAGACTCAAGATTATTCTTACCAGATGTTGAAGTCTGGTTGAGTGTTCTGATCCTCTTCTTGAGGGCGTGGGTTCGAATCCCACCGCTGACACAAATTTTTTAATTATTTTTTTTTTTTTATTAAAAGTTGAATTTATTATTAAATTAAAATATTATTAAATCCTCATGTTTCTTCTTTTATTTATTTATTTATAAGAATACATTTGAAATTGAATTGAAAATATTTTTTGCTTATTTACTTATATAGGTATTTATGATTAAAAACATTAATTTATGCTGTAAAAAATGTGTCAGCGGTGGGATTCGAACCCACGCCCTCAAGAAGAGGATCAGAACACTCAACCAGACTTCAACATCTGGTAAGAATAATCTTGAGTCTGACTCCTTAGACCAACTCGGACACACTGACTCTGTCAATTAACTTCTTTAGAATCTGCCAAACGCTACTTTTCATAATGTTCAGTGGGATTAATTTAAAAGTTATACTGAAAGGAGAGTTTCTTTGCTACAAAATGATTTACTGTAGTCACGACACCGACGTATATGCTTTCTAACAAGATCTATAAATAAACATTTATTCATTTCACTTCTACCGTTTGCGTTTAACTCACTCACAAAATCACGAAAATCAAAATAAGCTTCAAGCATTCTCTTTGTTTTGGTAGTGAATATTATTGCTAAAGTTTTTCTTCAATCTTTTACTAGGCAACAGAAATCTTTTTCTCAGTTGCTGTTGTAAAATGTTTTTATTCGACTTCGTTTGATGGAAGAATAATACAAAAAAAATGTTTTCTTCATCTAAAGCCTTTCTGCAGAAGCGAATTTTATTTTATAATTGAAACAACAACAAATTTAATACCGAAGATGGAACTGAAAATTGTTTTTCTTTCTACTCATTCACGATTTCCCGTTCATAAAAGCAAAATGTTCACAATTCATTATAAAGTGTTTGTTGAGATACATTTTCCTTCGTCTTTTCGATTGTGATAATAAAAATTATATGAAAGAGTTTCCATCCATTACGGAAATTGTTGCACAACAGTCTCCTTTTTCTTTATTTTTTTTTCTCTTTATTGTGAAAAGTGAATTTAAAATGTTTCAAACAACAAACATATTTTAGAAACACAGATAACTTCACTTCGCCATGTAAAAAATTTTATGATACATTTGTGGCTCTGTCTAACATTTTTCAACAAACAAACTCCAATAAATTTTCATTTTGTGAGACACAGTGGAATTTTTATGAAAATAAATATGATTTAATTCCGTCTTCAATGTCTGTACGTGTACAAATGGAGAAGTGTAAAGTATTCTAATGTCACCTACACTGAAAATTGCATTAAATTGTGTCATAAACAAGTTGAAAATGTTCACTCAAAGAAATCTTAAGTACAATTTACCAGAAATGCAAGAATAAATAGTATCGAGGCAACTCTGACGTAAATGTTTAAATATGTATTCTCTCAAAAATTACAAGAAACTTCAAAGAAAATATTACCTCTGCCATTAATTTCTCAAAAAAATTCAAATTGTAATTTATTTTCCGAGTGCTATATCGCTGCCCTTTTAAATTCTTTTCAACTACAATACTTTCCTAATTTCATTCACAGCTCAAATAAACTTTTTGAAACTTAAGAGAAAACTCTTGGGAAATTCGCACCAAAAAAAGCCATTAAGATTTCATTTGCAAAAGCTTTTTGTTGATTGAAGGTGAAATTGTTCTCGATGAATCCATTAAATACTTAAGACGAGAAATATTCAGCAGTTACGTCAGTGGTTAAAATTTGAAATGTTAATAATAAAAGTTTAGTGAAGAATTTTCTTTTTCGATTAATGAAAATTTAAACATCACAGTTGAATTAGCTCTCTCGAGCAACAAACATTTCTTTACTTTCACTTGAGTGTTGCCTGTATACTGTATATACAGAAAACTCACTCAAAAATGGAAATCAAACAAAAGAATCGAAGAGAAATCCATCCCCAGCTCAACAATGAAAGATTAATGAATAAACGCAAATCGAATCACAAATGAAACTTCAAACTTTTGCAAGATCGCATTTCGAACGTCTTTTCATGTGTTTTCAATTTCCATTGCGATTTTTTAATGCTCTTTTTGGTATCTTGAAGGAAATATTTCATGTAAATATACCTTTAATTCTATTTATTTTTCCGCTCGACTGTAACTCGGGTAACGTTTTGAAGAAGCATAAAATGAGAAAGAAAAGAGGAAGTTTCCGAAAGTCTAAATCGGATACTGAATTTGTAACATTAATAACATTTCATTAGGAGAAATATTTGTTTTCATCATCAAAGGAAACTCGGATGAATAATTTATGATTGGAATTCGTAATGTTCATGTCGATGGAAATGGAGAAAACACAATCATTGTGATGACGTTTGTTGACAGATGAAGATTGAGGAAATGAATCTTGTTTCTCATATCAACGTTATCGTTGGATATGTAAATTTTTTATAAAGATTGAAGACCTTTTGTGGATTGTGTAACTATCAACAATCGTGAAAACATCAACAAGTCACATATGAGATTTTCAACTCATGCATCGTTAATTTCAACCGACAAAAATTTGCATTTATTCTTCCTTGATGACCGAAGTGCACTCACTTCATTGATCTGATAGAGAATATACTTGGCCATTCGCCCATAAAATCTCAAATCGATAAAAGCTCATTCGCCATTCTTTTCTTTCGCTCGATGAAAATTCTACTTCTGGCAGACATTTTCCAGACATTTCAAGACGACACAGACAAAAATGCGACTCAGTCTAGAAACGAAAATCGAATTATGTAGCTTGAAAAACACAAAATATTATTTCTGCAATTTGATAAAGTCAACTGATCCTACAAATTCACTTGATGTTTGTTTTCAATAAATATTGGATTATTATCTATTGATAGAAATCAGAAAGCTAATGATGTTGAATTTAATTTACTACTGACTAATCCGGAGATAAGATATGAATGAAAAATAAACAAAATACAACAATTAATTAACAAACAAACAAACCATCTTTCAATAGAAAACAATGAATAATCGAATGAGTTAATGGGTAAGAATAATTGGAAACTTGTCGTCTCATACATATTACTGTTAGATTTAGAAACTTATTGTTGGTGGTTGAGAACATAAGTAGGAAAATTAAGCCTATTAGGTACTTGTAGTTTTTCTGCTCTTTTTTATTTACAATTGATGATCAATATTGGAAGAAAATACAAAGTCATTCGAATGACTATGACATGCTTAAAAAGCAAAGAAACGATAAATCTTCATTCAAGAAAATTTCTGAACTTTGTGGAAGTGACGATGTGATGATAAATATTGCAATTAGTTATCGATAATTTCAAAAAGTATCAACTTATAACTTTACCGCAAGTCATTTGTTGCATTATTGGCTTTTTCATTGCTGCATATTGAAAGCGATTGTTCTACGTGCTGCATCTGCACATGGTGCATTTGTCACATGTGATCATGTTCGTATATTGCAGGAGAAGTAGCAGAAAATCACAAGCAACTTTAATAAACCGCCTGTAGTACGAGAACATGAAAAGAGTGAAATAAAATAAAGCGAAAAAGGCATAAAGCATACATAAGATGTTGAAAAGGGGAAATTATTTAAACACAACCGCAATTGCTTGTTTCAGTAATGCCGTGTTCGCCGTACGATCAAGATGTTGAATTCGAATAATTTTATATTAAAAACAAAGAGAATGTTTTGCGAATAAACTAATCAGTTAGAACCAACAGTAGGAATTGTCAGTTCAATATCGTTTGACGAGCTGTTGCTGTGTGCGTGCGTAGCTATCTCGATGAAACGTGACAGAGGTTGATAATTTGTTCTGTGAATCGTAGAAACAAAAATCCATTTGGGAGTTGGAGTCAGAGACGAGTCGCTTTATTAAGGTATTATCATAATATAATAATGAAGTTGCTACTTATTGTGCGGAATCGGTGAAAGATTCAGAATATGAAAATGTATTTCGGTCACGATTCCAACCAACTGATAACGATGATAATATGCTCGATAACTCGAACATTAAATCGAGTAGAATACTAAAAAGAGAAAATATGAGAACGAAAAGCTTACTTTTTATTTTCAAAATATAATACGAATGATTCTACTAGCAGAAAATCAATAAATGAATCAAGCCACAAGAGGATTAAAAGGAATTTATTGAAACATAACTATTAAAGAAAATATTCGCTCTATATTTAAAGGTGAATTGTGTGTGACAAAACAAAAAAGCATGTTTCACCACATAAATGTTTTGACGCAATCATCAACTGCTCTTTCATAAAAAAATCATAAATGAATTTTTCCTGTAATCAAATTTTATCTCGTAATTTCCATGGAATTAAATTATTTAATTTTTTTCGTCCATCAATTTGAATTATTCCATTTACGCTTTTGTGATTAGATTTGCAAGTTTCAGGAATGTTCCCCAAATTTGCGTAATGCGGTTGAGTTAATTTATGCAAAATGGTTAAGTTTCTTTTATTAAACAATTTGGCATTCAAATTTATGTAATTCTGCAGGATAAGCGACACTGCAGAATTTTATCGAATACAAATTCATGATATTTTATTTCAAGGGATTTTAAGGGACTTAATATTAAAGTTGAAGCGTAAAGATTAATAAAAAAGCTTTGAAATATCCACAACATTTATCCAAAAATTGTAACAATAAAAACTTAATAATCAACAAATCTAAATCTTTTATAATTTTCCCTTTCAAAATTCATTAATTCAATGAGACTTTATTGTAAATCTCTTAAACACTTTTTCATTATCTTTTAGAAAGTGTGTGGCTTTAGAAACCACATTAAACGATGTCGAGTATTTAGATTGCGGATTGTGCAAAAGAAACATAAATCTTTAGTTTTTCGTAGGCAACATGTGTTGTTTGTAAAGAAAGACAAAGTTGGCAGTCTAAATAAGATTTTTATCTGTGATTACTTATTGTTTATGTAGTAATCAACGAATATTGAAACAGAAATTCAGTAGAAATGTAGCATATCTACTCCGACTGTTATTTTGATTTATTTTACAACTTCACAGACCACCAAAGATTAAAACAATTTGATATATGCTAAGAGCTTCGCATAAAATTCATCGTAACATTCCGGTGCCAAGAAGTTTGTCTTGAACTTTAATTTTAATATGAGATGATAAAAAGAAGAAATCAATGTTTTACTGAGAACTTCACTGGAGACATATTTGAGGTTTTTTTTCGCACTGCCTTAACACAAGAGTCAGAAGTTGCAAAGTAAAACAGCTGTGCCAATAAATAACTTGAATGGAAGCATGATAAAAAGTCAAAGGAAAAAACATAAAATTTAACCTTGCAGAATTTTGTTCCGCTTCAAGTCCATGAGTCAATGAGACGACTTTTAAGACTTGCTTGCAATTGCGACATGTTTTCTTGGAACTGATAAGAAAAATCGTTAAGATTTCTCTTCTTGTTATGCAAGTTTCTGTTTTATCGTCTGGAAACGATTTTCTAAATTGCTTTTGAATGTTGAAATTCTTATCGTGACGTTCGTTAAATGCACAATAATTATGAAGCTATAATTTGGTCATAAATGAAACTGGAAAACAGCTGATTTAATTCATATGATAAACGTGTTACAAACACACTGTAAGCCTTTTACGTTATAAGTTCTTAATTAAATATTTATTTTGATTTTACGCTCTCAAGAAAACACATTGAAACGTTCTTTAAACTCTCAATAGGAAATAAATTGAGACTCACTGCTGCTTAGTTTGACGCGAGCATTGAATCAACGTGGTTCGGTACTGTTGGCTTCCCTTTCTCATGAATCACATGAGAATTTATTTTGTAAACAAAACAAATTACTTGAAGTATTGTGTAGCATACTAAAATCGAACTGTTTATTTCCTTGCCATATGTATTTAAAATTTTTTCCTCGTGACCAGTGAACTTTCATACTTGAGATGGCTTAGAGAGAACGATGAGAATATCTTTTTCATACTTAAAACGATATGCAAATAAAGTTTCAACAAAATGATGACAATCATTAGCAGATGAGAATGAGTTGAGAATCAGTAATCAACAGAAAAGATGTGACAAGTAAAATTCTTATTTGATCACTTCCACCATCAGTTAAATATCGTCGACCGACCTAACAGCAAGCAACGAATTTATTCAGAAAGAAAACAGTGAAAAAAAAATTTATGTAAATATTTGCAAAAATATTCCAATGTCGAATTGGTGTGCAATTTGCCTTACCGTTTGTAACTAGAAGAACATTCCGCGGCGCGTTTTGAGTGCAAATGTTGAAGCAATATATTTTAAAACATTTCAAAGTCAAATAAAAATAAAGTTTGACTGTTCTTCGTGATCCAAAGAAAAACTTGTTGCAATGAAGTGAACGTTAGAGAAAAAAATAATCATGAAACGCTGGAAGTAAAAGAATATAAAGGAAACTTTATTGAAAATGTGCTCGAGATTACTTGATAAACTAATTAAGATTTAATTGAAAAAAGTGTGAAACGTGAATTCATAAGAAAATGGGAAAAACTTCGAGTAAGCTTAAGGAAAGACGAGCTCAAAGTACGTGAATATTGAAGTTTTGTAAAACTTTCGTAACAATAATCTTTTTTAAATAAAATGGTTAATAAAAACAGCATCACAGCGAATCTTTTTCAACGAAAAACAATCTGCGGTCATACATTTTAATTAATTCTAATGGAGATGCCGACAAAATATCATATTTTTTATTTACTATTCGAATATCTTCTCGCTCGTTCAGAGAAATAAAATGAAGGAGACAAGAAAAAAAAGAGAAACAGAAATCGAGAATGATCATCGAACTTTTAATTTCAATTAAGACCTAAAACATTAACTTTAATATTAGATTTCTATTGTTTCCATGACTTTGGAGATTTAGTAAAATTAATTGGTCTTTTATTGCTACTAAAGAGCAACACTTGGAGAATAATTGATGAAGTTGAAAAGAGAGGTTGATGAAAATTAATATTTTTTCTGTTACATACAAACGAACAACGATGCGGCACAGCAGATTCGAGATAATCTCCAAAGTCATTGAGAGTAATTATTTAAAGCTTCAACACTAAAATAAAACAAGACAAGAAAATAGAAATGAAACAGGTTGCTTCTATGAAGATGTGTTAAGTCATCTTTTATGTTGCTGTTCCAAATGATCTTTTAACAGCGCCAAGGGTCGTTTTCAATAGCAGTGAAACAAAAGTGAACGGAATGGATTCGCGATAAGTTAGTTTGAGATTTCATTCATGAATAATTTGCATTGAATCTTTAAACCGGTATTGGAGATTATTTTTGAATCATTCTGCTGATGTCATTGGAGATTTCTGTTGTGTAATAAAATTATTACTGAAGTTTTCAGAAATAGATATCAAACATCTTTGTTTCGTCTTTTAATTCATTCGCCCACTCACGTTAATTATTCAAACCTTCAAATTGAATTTAATATTCAGCAGTTAAAACCAAAACTTCAATTAAATTGTCGTTAATTGAATCGACTTCTTTTACAACAGCATTCAAATTTCATTCGAATTTTAATCAAACAAAAGCACTAAAATCCTCATAAAAAGAAGAAAAATTCTACCACGAAGCGAAAATTTTAATTTTTTTTCATCGGATGCTGTAGGACTTCAACATGAACAAAAAAAACTTCATTTTTTATTGTTTATTGTTTTTTGTGCTAACAAAATATTAAAATTTTGTGTTGAACGTAGCATGTAAAAGTTAATTAATAAATTTTGAGAATTTCTGCATTAATACGACAGCGGAAAATGTTTTAATACTTGGATGGAAAATATGGAAATGTTTTTCCATTTACCGCTAGTTTTATAAAATTATTTATTGGACTGAAGTTTTGCGTGGTTTACAATGCAGACTTTAACTGGAAATCAAAATTAACAAAGTGACAACGAAATAATCTTCAGATTCTCAATTTGTTTGTGTAGGATGAACGATGTCAGAAGTCTGAATGAAAGAGATTATTTTCAAATTCAAAACTTTCCGTAAATGCCAATCTGTCTAATGAGTTAAATGAACGAACAAACAAAATAAAGAAATAATTGTCTAACACAAACAATCAAAACTGTGGAAAATATCCAAAATCATCTAATCACTTGCTCATAAAGAAAGTCTTTTATCTTAAATTCTACAGCTTGAAGCTGTCGCCATAAATTGCTTCACATTTTATTCATCTTGCTTTTGAAATTTATTCAAATCGCATCCTCAAACATCATGTTGTGAAAGCTGTCGAGAAACGAGAGTGTCACAAATGTCTTCGACATGATTCCTCTTCATTTCACTAAGTAAATTTTCATCTTTCTAACATCTCTTTGAAGCCCAATGCAATTTGCTGAACTCATTCATAGAATTTTCTTTAGCCGTGATTGAAAAGTAATTTTTTTTGCTCTGAATTTCTCTATGTTTGCTTTATCATTCAACACAAGCATACACAGACATTCCTTATTTGGTGAGTCTTGAAGCTACGTAAGCGAGAAATTCACGTTTCTTCCTGCATTCTTATTTAACTTAGTTAACGCGCGAAATATTATGCTCTTCTTTTATTTATTATAAGAGAAGAAAATTCATTCATAACAAATGTAGGTATATACTCGAGCGGCACAAGCGGAGATTGCAATTTCATTTTCACCATCGGCTTGCTTTTTCAGTCAAATGGGAAGCAATTCCGTCAAATTTTGCACAATCTTGTTTAAAGGTTGGCATATGATGAAAATGAAATCGATTTTTAAAATTTCCTCATGTTCTCTTCTTAAGATTGCCATGTGCTAAACTTTCAAGGCAATTGTAAAGAAATTCCGTGAAGTTTAGCTCATGACTTTCTAGAGGAAGAAATTCCAATCAATTTGAAATTACTTGATAAGTTCGTAATATGCCGGTTTTTAAAGTCAGCACTTAGTTAGACTTTCAAGTATGTTTCACGTTTGANTCTTATTTAACTTAGTTAACGCGCGAAATATTATGCTCTTCTTTTATTTATTATAAGAGAAGAAAATTCATTCATAACAAATGTAGGTATATAGGCATTTAACATCATGTTGCTGATACTTTATTGAACATATCACATTTTTTATTGAGATGAATTATATCAATCGCTTTACAATCATCAACAAATCAATTAAGAAGCTATATTGACATTCTCGCAATAACATCGACTCAATTATTTTTGATTGCTTCTTCAAAGAAGTTTTTATAAATATTAATGCAGTATAGCTACGCTATGTATGATTGTCTTCCTTTGCTTCATTTGATATCTTGAAGAAAATTTAACGATAACATAAATCGATAAAATTCTGTCATAACGACCTCAATTTAATCGAGAAACGCGTATCAAACATCTGTCAGTTCTTGGGTTACCTAAAGTAGAAAAAAATGGAAGTTATTTAATGAAATGTTTCTTTCGATTACATTCAGAAGAACAACAATAATGATGCTACAGTTTGATAACGAAAAATTAAAGAAAACAATAACTGAACATTCATCGGAACATTTGTTTAGCCATTGACGTGTCTGTTATCGCGATATCGTCACGTCAGCAAAGGTTATTGGTTTTTCTTACTTTTACATACCCATAAATATGAAATCAAAGTCGTAAATAATTTCAGAGATTTCCAGCTGGAAACACTGGTTGATAAAATCGCGCGAAAAACTTTTCCGCTTCGAAAAATCAATTGTTTGTTTTCACATCGCGCTTTTATTTTCTTCCTGCTGCTGTGTTCCTCCACAGTACTCTAGATTGTTGTGATTTTTCAGAAAATTCGGACGTGCTTTTAATTGAAGTTTGATTGCAAACAAGTTGTTGAAAGTATTTGAAGTTTCAAGTGTGACGTCCCTGGAAAACATCAGAAAATATAACTTTAAGCAAAAGCGAACAAATTAATTCTGAAAAATTTATTGTTGCCACCGAAAGGCAAAAGTAAAACGATTTTAACGAGCCTGCTTTTATCACATTTCAGAACATAATTTCTAATGGTGTTTTTTGTTGAAAAATTAAGTGCCTAACAATAAATAAATCAGTTGTTTGCAATAAGAATATCTACATTTATATTAGGTATTTTAGGGAGTTTGTGTGAGTGTTAAGTCACGCATTACCACTTTCGTGAAAATCAAAAAAAGATTTCAAACTGATATTTTTACAAATAAAAACATTGTCGAATAAATAGCTGACAAATCACTCCTTAAGTTAAAGTCGTATGCGTACCAGTTTTGAATAAATTTCCCTTCAAATTGCTTTTGAATTTTCTTTTTAGTTAAAAACGAAATGTTGAAATGCAAAAGAGCCATAAACGGGGGACTTTCAACATTCCGATAAGAACTTTTATTTGCGTGATTTTTTTCTTTCTTTCTTTCACTGCAAATGCCTAAAACAATGAAACCATAAAAGTTTCAGAGTGAGAATGATAAGAGCGATAGCAATGTAACAGAAGCGTTTTCTATAAAACTTCGAGAATGAAACGTTTTATCTGAAAACACATGTTGAGAATGGAAATGACCGGCAAGTGAATTGAATTGTTAAGCAAAATCCCTCAACAGAAAAGATTTTTTTATATTAAAAAATCCTTCACTGTGTACTTAATAAAGTCTATTTTCCGGAAAATAAAAATTATACATATTATAATAATGGAAAATGCCAGTGCTTTTGTTGTCTCTTCTCTAACCACCTTGTTCAAGTCCGCAATCAATCATTATTTTTATTTCCGTCTGATTCGTTAGCTTTGTCATTCGTTCCGATAATTTTGCGGTTGAAAAGATTCATCGTGAAAAGTTTTCTCATTTCCCGAGGGAATGAATGATAAATCATTAGCTTATGCATTTATTAGTTCAAGTAATAAAGATTTGATGTGGATTCTCGTGTTGAATAACGAGGCACTTGAGTGATGAACGATTACTTCTCCAATATTATTTGTCAATTAATCTGCTTACATATAAACCCACAGGCATTGCATGGAGCTTTCGTTTTGGATCGCAGAAGAAGAAAATGGTGATTACAAATGTTCCACATTTAGACATTGGAGACTGGCTGAAGAGACTAGAATTACTTGACTACGAAGTGAATTTTCAAAAGTTTTTTGGAGTTGAAGATCTAATAGAATTAAGCGAAAGTGATATTAAAGACTTAGGCATAAAGAATTCAGCTCATCGTGCAAGAATCGTTTCAAGTCTTGTTGCACTTAAAGGTGAGATAAAGAGTTAAACTGAACTTTAACGAATTTATGTAATTCAAATCATTTGAATTTATTAAACACGTTAAAAATTCTAACACAACAATATTAACAAATACTTACCTATTCAGTAACGAATCATCGAGTTAAAAAAGAGAAAATACCTAACTGCAAATAATTACACCATTGCTAATATTTTCATATCACGAACGAACAATGAAAATATAGAATAGAATAGAATAGAATAGAATAGAATGATCTTTTATTTACCAATTACGGTATTTTTTTTTTCTTAACATTGTGTGTGGTTAGAAAAGATTTTGCGAGAAATACTCGTCTCGCGCTCGAGTTTAGCATAAATTAAAAATGTAACATTCTAAAAAAAAACAATTTACTGTAACAATAAGGTTTTGACTACATTTTAAAAAAAAATTTCTTTTACATATGTAGTTTGACATTAATTTCTTCGTTTCGTTTCTCTTTGATTTTTTTAATTGATCTTTGTGTTTTTCTTTAAATTCGTTGAAAATTTTAACTCCTTTGTAGAACAAGGAATTCTGACATCTTTCATCTCTATAGTTTGGAAGTTGGTAGTTTACGTTTCCTCTCAATCGATAAGAAGATTTTTCTTCGACTTTTTTCAATCTTTTTTGTAAGTATTGTGGAGCTTCTCCGATTTCAATTCTGCGAATAAATTGCAAAGTATTAAAAATTAATCTTTGTTTGATTGTCATAAAATTTAAAGTTTCAATCATATCTTTAATGTGCGTTCTGTTGTGCACTTTCAGTATCAGCCGCATGCATCTGTTTTGTAATAATTGTAGTGTAATATATATACACGAAGTAATACATTCTTTAAATGCTTTTAAGCCTTTTAGTTGATTTAATGCCATATGGATTAAAACAAGTTTTTTTCGTCGCGTATTACTGTTACACTTTAAGTCTCACATATGATGTCGAAAAAAAACTTTAAAGACGTTTTAAAAGGTGTTGAAAAGTGTAATATTATGTGAGAACTTGATTATTGATGCCTTGTGAAAGTGTTTTGACACAAATTTGCATAAATAATTAAAAATAATGCCTCGGGAAAAATAAGTCAATTAATGGCAAGCAAGACAGTTTGCTGTCTACCGTTAGGTTTGTGTCTATATATCCATAAATATTTTAATTTTAATCAACACGCTAAAGTGAAATAATGTACAGATCATGTTAAAAACATCGCGTGAAACTTTGCAATACTCATTAATGGTTTTTAACATTTCTTTTATAGAAACATGTACTGTTAAAAAACGACAAGGATCGTTCCGCAAAAAACTCAGCAATCGATTTAGTTTAGCATTCACTCCAAGCTCAAAAGTTACAACAGAGGAAAATGAATCGACGTGAGTACTTAAATTTATGTTTTTTTATCATCATTTCTTATCATTTTCTTGATGTTAATTTGGTAATCAATTTGTACAACCACTTATTAAAATCACTTATCCGTCGTTATCAAACATTGCCTTCTTAAACTAACTTTTATCAACGCTGCTAAAATTGATGGGAATTTTTCAATTAACATTTCCCTCTTCAGTTCACTGCGTTTCTTGAAAACATTGCTCAGATGTTCATAAATGTTCATTTTTGCTTCATTTTATACATAAACAGAGTAAAAAGGAGAGAAGAATATTCATTGCATGTGAATGAATAAATTCATTGTCTAATCTTCAATATTTCATCTTATCAACTTCTCAATTTCGTTTACGAGAGTGTTTCGTTATTATTGCTACATTTTTTGTTTTATGTGTTCTTACTGCTTGTAGTTTGAGTAATCGAAATTTCCTTCAACACTCTCACCCTAATAGCATTAGATGTCGTAACAACATTCACTGCCGATTCCTAAACAAAGATTACAGAGTCGTGGAAGATGTTAAGGAAGAAGTGAGAAGGGTTCATAACATTTCTAAATGGTCCATTATGATGACGATTTGTTTGAAGTCGAAAAGAAATTTCGTGGAGATAAGATTGAAGATGAAGATTTTGTGGTGCTTTCAGCTAACGATATATCACTTGAAATTTAACATATAAAAAAGTTATTCGCATTGCATAAAAAATGTCATCATTTACCCTTTCAACATTTTTAAATTTAAACAAATATTTTAGAAAATTTAATATCGTTTTCAATTAGATATCTCTGTCAATTTTGGCGCGAGAATTATCGCGAAGACTCTAAAAAATTCAACCTAAATTCCTCATATTATCGTAAATAAGTATAATCTTTCAAGGGACAGCACGAGGCATCAGCAGCAAAAAAAAAACGGTTTCAATGTCAATAAGCGAAAGAGAAAATTGACACTTTAAAACGTTTACAGCTTAGCGTAAAAAAGGAAAATCATATTAGCTTAAAATCAAATGTTTCATGAGGTCGATGGAAGCATTAATTTTTTTTAAAGAGATTTTCCAAAATGCGCGTAGAACGAATGCGCAACTTTCCATATTGATCGATAGCCGCCAGAACAGAAGTTTAAACGAAACCATCCGTTGTCGTTTGTTTATTCAAAAAATCAATTTGTTAATTTTGTATAGAAGTTAAAACCACGTTGACTTTGAATTGAATTTATTTTTATTCGATTTATCGATGGAAATAACTTATTATTGATGATTTTTGAATGTCTTGATCAAATATTTGATTTCTTATTGTTGAAATCTTGAAATCATTACAGCATGAAATCTAATTATTTGCACCCCAAGTATTTCTTTCTTTAAAAAAAACAACAAGCATTGTTATGAAGTCTTTTGAAAATTCGACCCTCGTGCCGCAATAAGAAATATTGAAATATATTGAAGGGTTTAAACAACATGAACATATTGGAATTGATGCGAGAGCAATAAATTCCAAGAATGGAAATGAAATTATTCCCAAATACTCGTCTATGAGTGTCTCATTCAAGAAAGTATTCCATTGAAGTTTCAGAACTAGGACGAATTTAGAGCGAGGTGGTCGTGTTATGTTGTGAGTGTGGTGAATTTTTAAGGATTGTCCCAGGAAGTTTCCTAGAAAGTTTAGGTTTTTGTAAGATCTTAAGTGATTAAAGATTGATTTCTTACATAAATGAACATGATAATCTTTCCTTAACTAATTTTAATCAAAAACAAATCAAGTTCCATTCAGAAAAGAACAAAATTCTTAAAGAATCCAAAAAGTGTCAGTGATGGAAGAAAAAGTTGGGCGGATGAAAATTTAATGTAGTAAAAAAAAAATTGTGTCGTAAAATTTCTCTCGTAACCCAACATTGCAACAAAGAAAACTTCCTTAAAATATTTATTGATTTCCTTTTACCTTTCGGTATATAAAATTACAAATTTCTTCCAAAGATATTTGTTGATTTGGTTTTACGTGTAGGCTTTGTGACTTTAACCATAGCCGACTTTAAATCACTAAGGCGTAACAAATAACTTCAGTTTGGGATTACGATTTGGACAACATTTGAATGATACCAAAGCAACAAATTACAGTAATAAAGGAAACGGCAGCTAAAGAAAAGGATTAAAATGATGAAGGTGTGTGTAAAAGAACATAAAATTCCGTTTATTCTGAGAAATCCATTAAGTTAAATGAACTACACTAACAAGTAGACAATAATCAACCTCATAGTAAAGCAAACCTTTTCAGACCATGAGACGTTAATTAACCCTCTCCTTGACCATTACATTTCCATTGCTGTTGTAAACAATCTAATATTAACGACAGTTTCGTTTTCACTCTGTGAAAGCTTTGAACTTAATTCAATTAATTTTTATGTCCTTCATTCTTTGTTGTAAATCAACAAAAATGTAGTTTGTGGCTAAATATTTACCACTATACAAATACAGGAAAAAATCTTTTTCTCTCTCAGACGTGATTGGGTGCCAAGAACATGAAAGTTTTTCTTGTCAGAAATCAATTGTGACAATCAAAATGTCATCACAAGTAACATTCTTTTGATATAAAATCTCAACAGCTTTTCTACTCTTATTACATTTAATTCATTTTTGTATTTACTATTTCGCTTCGAAAGACAACGTCGTCGTTATCGACTGAGAGCACTTGAAAATCACAATAGTTTGTATGTGAATTGTGAAGTGTAACGGGGGCGTAGTACTGTGTCGTCTGGCGTCGTTTAATTGCTTTATGAGCATTATTTAGATGCTTGTGTAAGTGTTTGTATGTTTCTCAACCATCGTCATCATAATAAATAAAAAGCGAAAGAAAGTTTCTAACAGGCTCTCATGCTTCCGGCTTCAAATAAACTTCTATAATTAAAAAAAGCACCATTGCTGCCATTTCCTGCATTTTTTGTCTCAATAAAAAACGAAACTCAGACAATTTCCATGAATAAATTCAGATTTTAACTTTCCATTTTCATTTAATCCCTCTCAAAAACCTTCATTAACTTTAATAAATCATTTTATGTTCTCTCAAGTCTCACAAACTCCATTCACGGAAATCTTCAGTGAAATTCTCCTATACTGGAAATTTAATTCACAAAAGCATTAGAATGGGAATCAAAATTAATTAAATTTCAAGCGATCTCTCTGTTGACTGCACTTCTTGTCTTGTTAATTCATGAGATCATGATGTTTAATTTGTGGTGGCTCCTTGGACAATCGTCGTGAGTTAGCTTTGCTCTTAGATTAATTCTGTGCTAATAAGAAGCAATGAAGAAACTCAATAAGAAAAAATTTCAGCATAAACCCCAAAGTGTTTAAAATTCATGTGCTCTAGAGCACAAAGTAAAAGCTTTTCGTTAAACGATTCATGTTTCCACACATTCTAAAATTTAATATTCGTTGTCACTTTATGTTCATCATACAACCGCACTTTGCAAACATCCACCTGTGCCCCTCTTCAAAATTAAATTCTCTCGACAAAGCAAACAAAAATGAAACACGGCATCAGATCGAATAAATTAAATTTCATCACTCAATGGTCACATAAAATGGGAAGAGACAAGGAGTTTAATGCACGAGTTGCTTAAAAGGGTTCAGCAAGTTTCCATTCTTTTGACCGGAATTTCCATTAATTGTGCATGAGTTTGTGAATCTGAAGGACCCTTTTCATTGATTAAATTCTCGTCGAGACTTCTCAAAAAGTGAGTAGCGTAATGGAGCACGTTTCAATTAAAAAGATCAAGCGTGACAATGCGCTTTAAAATGACATTCTTTCTGTCTAGATAGTCTGTAAACAAGTGAATTCCCTTTGATGATGATTTAATTAAAAGATTTCTGTTTGTTTCTTTTGAATCGATTTTTTTTCGTAGAAACTCTCTACGTCTATGAATCATCGCGTCAACCCCTTTTCAAACACAATCTTTAGACGCACGTTTCTTGCCAAATAAAACGAAAAAATTTCCCATTAATCATTGATTTATGAAATTACGTACGAATGCTCAAAGCATGATCTGAATCGACTTTATTTATATTGTTAGAGAAGAACATCATGTTATTTATGTGTCTGCTGATTTTCCCTTATGCATATCCTTTTTCTTATTCTGCTTTACATAAAAGATTAATGATGAAACATAAATATAATTTCCTCCTAGGACTTTTCTTTCATTTCGCAAATTTTTTAATTGCAAACAATAAACTCATCTGTGGAAAAGTTTCTCGTTGAATGTTGTTTATTTCTTGTCTACTGTTTATTTTCTTTGCATGCTGAAAACAAAAATAACAACAAAAAATCATAAAAAAGCTCCTTAAATACTTTCTTTTTAATTTTTTAAGTAGGTATAAAAATTGAAAAATATTTTCAAAACTTTACATGCTAACTTCATTATAATTAATAAGTTGACAAGGTTTTTAATAACCTACGGCTTATTATTTTAAATTAAAATTTAACATGTTTCAAGTTATTGATTGCGCTCGTAATGATCACTTCAGTTTGTAACTCAACATACATCAGTAACATTCCGGTTTTATCATTCCGATTTCTACCCAGCATGTTGTCACAATCATTTACTCCTAAATCAATCACTAACCTTACAGTTCCACATACTTTTATGTACCTACCACAAAAAAATGAGAAAATTTTCTCTAAAAAAGAAAGGTTTTTGCACTCACACATTGCCTAAGACGTGCAATGAAATCGAAACATTCAGTAAAAAGAAAAAGAAAATCAATAATGTAAGTTTCCCGCAATTTAATATTATTCACCCTCTAGTCTCACGATGTGATTATGCATTACAAGAAAATATATTCAGCTTTCAATTCTCCATTGATTTTCGTTTTTTATCTTGAAACAAGATTTGACTTCTTCATACCAGTCAAACATGTTTTTCGTCGATTTTCCTCTCATTTTCTACCGTGACATGATGTTTGAAAATGATATTTAGGGTGATTGTAAGTGTAACAGCAGTTTGAAGTCTCACGAGATATATTTCATGAAGGAAGTTGAACGCTATCGAGAGGGTGGTGATAAGAAATTATTAAAAATCATTTTTCTCACAAAGTTTTGGAAAATGACTGAACATTTTCTTTTTATTAAATAATTTCGTCTAAAAAAATTGTTATTCACACACTCAATTTCATTCTTTGTTTTCATCAAACGTTGCTTGAATGTAATCAGTCGAAGAGGATTGATTGATATCATCCACATTGTTACCTTCATTTCCATCGCTACTTATACTTATTCCTCCATCAAAATGTCCTTCCATTGTCACATCAATGCCATTAGTGAGCTCAGCTGTAAACTTTTCAAACTTCATTTGTTGAAAGTCGAGAAAAAAATTTATTTCCATAATTTTGCGACGATTTCTGTCAACTTCGTTTCTATTAGAAATGTGATAGATTAAAAAATTATTTGTTAATAATTTAGAAAGCAAGAAAAACTTACGATGTCATTTCGTCACAGAGTTCTTGAACCCATTGTTTGCTTCGACTAATGAGTAAATCTTCTCGTCCATCAATCTTGAGCATATGCATTTCTCTCATACCCGCAGCGTAATTATTGATAACTGTTCGATCAATCAAACTAGCACGAAGCTCTTCAGGAATCTCATCTTCTTTTCCTGACGAGGCCATTGATGTAACAAAGCTTTGAACAGATTCTGTTAATGCATCAATGAAATTTCCTTCAACATCACGAAGTTGAACAAATTGAGTTTTGCACTGCTCTGTAAACTCATTCGTCATGTCTTGAATAACATGCTCAAAAGTTGCATTTGACTCAGCAACACTTTCATGTAGATGCATTTCATCCTCCATTAAAATCTTCCACGTTTCATTGTGAAGTTGATTAAAGTCTTCAGTGAATTTTGTAAAGTTGCTGTAAAATTTCTCTATTGCTGCTTCTGTTTCATGTGGTTTACTTTTTACTTTTGTATATTCATCAGCAGCTTCTTGCAAAACCTCAAAAATTTTCAAACTTTTCCTTAAAAATTCGTCGATGATTCTAGAAAAGATGAAAAGGTAAGAAAAATGTTTGATTTCCTTGAGGATTTTTCCTACAATTGCCCTTGCGTTTGAACCTTTTTCTTTCCAACTTTTACGCAATTAATGAAAAGGCTCACTTCTGATTTTCGCTTTTCAAATTGCTCCAAACCTATTTTGAAGATTTTCTGTGTTATAACAATGCTTTGTTCTCGAAATCTTAAAGTGAAAATAAAGTTAAAATCTGTTTAAAAGAGTTTCTTCAACAAATTACTCAGTAATTAATGTATTGACGTCATTTCCAATTCTCAGTAGACATTCACCTTGATCTTCGTTATCAAAGATAAATAATGTATCAAATAATTGATGTTGGTCAAGATGTTCAACGAAGCAATTTGTGTAATGTTTGAAGTCTTCTTGATCTTGAAATGTGTTTTCACGCTCAAGCACTTCTGCTTTTTCATTGTCCATAATTTCACGAAGTTTGAATCTGAATCGATCTTTACCTTCATCACGCTCTTCTTTTGTTATGTATCGATTTTCATAGTAAGTCAAATCTGGTAATAAACCAGCAATGAAGATACGAAAAAATTTATCATTCTTCTCAACTCCATTTCCTGTCAAATTCAATGATCGAAGATTCTTAAGAAATCGAAGTCTTTCAATCTGTAATTGCAATTCATAAGATTAACATTTCATCAGATTGTTTGAATTAAATTTACTTTCCCCATCTTTTGATTCAATTAAATTATTTCCAGCACAAAATATGATCAATTTATCCAGACAATCCACGTTTTCAATTTTCTTTATCTTATTACCAAATACACTCAACACTTCTAAACTTTTCAAATTTTCAAAGTTTTCCAACTTTTCGATCAAATTGTACGTTAAATTTAATTCTTTGAGTTTACCAAGTGATTCCAGGTTTTCAATCTTATCAATTTTGTTGAAAGCTAATGAGAGAACTTGAAGATTTGGAAGAATCCATAAATGATCAATTTTAAGAATATCTGAAAATAAATGAATATTTTAAATAAATGATGAAGGAGATTTTTCATTATTTCAATCAAAAACTTACTTAAAAATTCTAAACGCAAAACAGTCACTTTATCATATTGAATTTCCATGTTATGAAAAAGTCTTCCAGCTTCTCCATCTTCAGGTCCTTGTTCCAAAATTGCTTTCCTAATGATTTTCTCATTAAGCACGCTTGGTTCCAATTCTTTGTAGATAATTTTCTTTATTATTTTCTCATGATTCAATTCATCCATTTCTAAAAGATTTTTCTTGTTCTCTTGTTTTGAATATCAACAAAAAATATTTAATAAACAAATCAATTAGAAAATGTTTGCATGGTAACTGAAAAATGTTTTGAAAATATTTGTTGCCATAGCGAATGACTCGGCGAATATTTTTTGTTAACAGAAGGGTTCAGAGACAGAATGAAAGTGAATTGCAGCGAATGAGATAAAATTTATCTATTCAAAGCAGTGGAATTATTTCTAACAAAGCAAACGAGATGTTTTCTGAATTTATCTATGCACATAATTTAAGCAATTACTGTCATCCTTCACCTTCAAAAGACTTCATGGCTGAAAAAGATAAAACGGTTTATGCTTTGTGTGGTCGCTTAAAGGCAGCTAAAAGCTTTTAGAAAGATTTGTAGGCTCCAAAACATTCTTTCTATTCAGTAGGGAAATCCTTTCAATCTCTGAGCTTTACAAAAAATCTCAATGAAAGTCTAGTTCAAAGAACTTTCTATCTTCTTATCCCCTTTAAGGGTAGTAATTTTGAAAAGGAATTTGATTTTAAATCTTTCACCGACTGACCGAGAACAAAAATGCCTCGAAACTATTTTGCATCACGATGGAATTTTATTAAGGGATGAAGAAATATTTATTTGAAACCAGAAAGTTCTTGACAACGGAAAAGGTTCAGTTTGGCAATAATAAAGTGTGAATAAAAAGGTCATTGCACTCATTTCAAGGGGCAACGTTCTCTGATACCACCCACTCTCGTTATTATGAGAAAAGGAAATTAAATCGGCTTGAGAGTTTTGTCTTCATTCGTCTCATTCGTAATCTTGACTGTTGCAATTTATACAAGATGTGTGCTTTAAACGTGATGAGAAATATAAATTTTCTTTTATTGTTTACATCTTTCGTTTTGGTGCTACTGGTTGATTTGAAAAAATATTCATAAACACAAAATTTTTTTGAAAGCTAATTTATTCAGTTAGAAGAGACAACATGAAATTTAACATATTTTTGCATATGAGCCGGAATTTTCATGTTTATGTCGTCTTGAGTCAACCCTTCGTCGAAGCTCCCTCAGCAATTGTTTTGTAATGAAAGTAACGACTCAAATTCCAGTCATGACATACATATGTCATGGAAAAGAATCTCAGACGAATCAAATTTACATAAATCAGAGTGAAATTGTTTGGAAAATATTTGTTGATTGATTAACATATTTTGCATAATTAAATAAGATACAAATTTAGGACGAGGCGTCATTTGCAAAAGGGAAAGGAATCGCTAATTACAATTTAATTAGCCATTTATCAATGTTTGACAGAAAATGGTCCAAAGTATCAAATAAATTTGGGAAATTTCATGAATTATGATGCTAGGCAATTTAAATCATTTAAACAAATCATAATTGTAGTTGCGAATTGAAAAAGGGCGACTTTGGCTTCGTTTTTATAGGAAATGAAGGGATATGATGATATTTATACTCAACAGCAAGCGAATTAATCATTTTGGAATTGAAATAATTTCCCGTGACGATACCAAACAGCAAAATATTCATTTTTCAACATAAAATGTAAACAGAGCGCAGACATAAATTCACTTGCCATGTTTTTGCATCCCGCAAGCATCATAAATTATCTTGACCTCCAAATATGGTTGCGAAATCGTTTTCAAGTGCATTCAAGGACTGTTGAAATTACAATTTGAATGTTTAATACATTAAAACATTTTTATGTCCATCTCTAAATGTATATGCGGCTTCTGCTTTAATTCTAACATTTTTCATTCGTTATTGCTTTCTGAATCATTCCCTACATCGACTTTTAAGACGACACATCTTGTGTTCCGTTGTTACAAAAGGAAATTTATTCTTTTACTTAAAACATGTGATGTTTTTTGAGGTTTTTCCTAGAATAAAATGAATTTCGTAATGGTTCTTTATTTCACTTTATTGCTAAACTGAAAAGAAATAAACCGAATTTCAACATAAACACAATCAATATCATGACATTTATCTTGTGGAAAACTCCATGTCATCAATTGAAATCATGTTGCGTATTTGCTGTTGTCACTCAATAAAATTTAACTGAGTGGAAGCAGAATATGTTGACTCGTTTGAAATCAGCAAAAGCTTCAAAAGGAAGTTTCATCTGAATGAAATTTTATCATTTGGAAACTTTCCAAAGAATTTGTTTTAATAGAAAATTAATCTAATAAATGATATTTTAATGACGTTGCTTTATTTCTGAAATATCTGATGGTTTGATGCATGACTAGCTGTGACATGAATAAATGCTATCAATGAAAAACATGAGACTGGGAGTGCAAACATCATGAATACATAATAAGCTGACACCTCATCCTGTTCAAATCAAATTTCTTTTATGTCTGAGCCGGAAGTTGTGGTAGTGGTGAAATTTTTTCTCTTTTCTCAACATAATGAAAATTTTTAACATATTAAATACAAATAAAAGCAGAATTTAACGCACTTTTACATCCTTACAGCCCTTTTATATTTAATAAAGTTCATGAAATAGAAATTCCAATGTTATACTTTCATACTTATTCCGCCAGCTCGCAGATTGCGCAATAATTTTCTTGGGAACGACTTTTTCATGGTGTAGCATTACTTTGGATTTCACAATGCTCAAGAGAGAACAAACAAATAAATAACTTTTACAGTCGACGCAAGCATTTCTCATGTCATGTCATAAGATAGAAAATCTCCCCTTTTTTAAAATAAAGGCATAAAAAATATTTTCTCTATTTATGGATTTATGAATGAGTCGTTGACTGATAATTTTATTTTTTTTCCTTTCCCTGTTTACTTACAGATATGAATTGCTGACAGTCAACAATCAAAAACAGAGCAAGAGTTTGGGTGATCTTTTAGAAATGGTGAGTTTTAACTATTTTTCTATTTAATGCTTCGGTTGCCACTCATTCAAGCTCAGTTTATCTCCATGAAGATGAATACTGTAAATACTAAAACTACATTTTTTCTCTGTGCACAAAAGCATATATTTTATGTTGAATAAGCCTTTGAGAAAACATAAACAAAAACAAGGTGGTCATAATGACTATGAAAAATTGCTTTACACAAACGTTACAATATTTACATTTGTGTGAATTGTAGCAGGTGATTAACATTCTCATTTCGGGAAGAACGATTCTATATAGCTTAGAGGATCATTTTACGGAATAAAGAAATAGAACCTGATGGATTAATGGCTGCAATCGTTTTGCATTAGACTCTGAACGTATAAACTTAGTCCTCCACAAACTTCTGTAGCAAGCTTAAAACTTTAATTAAACGCTTTTAATGATTATGTTAACGGATGCTTTTATAAAAAGCATTGTTGTGTAAAACGTTTAATGACAATTATAACACAATTAAAATTTATTACTTAGCTTGAGACTATGTTCGATGTTCATGATGACAGTGATAAGACATTAATTATGATGAGTAAACTTTTGACATACACTGAACAAAGCACGCAATGAAAGTAAACTTTTCCTTTCTTCTTTATCGATCGAACAAACCCTCGAGCTTTAATGGTGGAAAACCCAAAGCAGCCTTCATAAATCCATCAAATTTTTCTGCAAGCTAATTTTTTGACGGGTTGTTATAGTGAAATAAAGCTTATAAATAGTAAATTATGACATAACGAAAAAAGAAATGTAAGAATCTTTTTTATGATTCAATTATAGTCTTTATCATTGCGTTTTTATTTATTGAATTTTGTTGAACAATCATGATAAGAGTTTTATTTCGTTTGACATTACCATTGCATGAAGCAAGAAATGAAAGTCGTAAATTGACAATAAAAATGGTAATATTTTGATAACACTTTTGTTTCAATCGAATATGAAGAAGTTGAATTTTTCCGTCTTTGATATTTACATTTCAAATTGAAATCATGTTTCATGAAATGTCTGACAATGTTAAGAACGTCTACAAAAAAATTTCGCAAATCTCATGTTATCAACTCATTTTAAGCATTTTTTTGTTTTAAAAAGTTTTCTTTTTTCTTCTGTTATCAACAAGAAGAAAGAAAATTATCAATATCTTGAAAATTGTATTAAATTGCTTTTCAATATAAAACAATAATTTTTCTCTTTCTTAAGGATTCTGCTTCGCCCGACACGCCTTCATCTCAAGATGCCATTGCCTTAAAGAAGGCACTTGAATGGGAACTCGCATTAGATTCAAGAGACTTGCGATCACATGCTTGGTATCATGGCCCTATTCCTCGACAAAAGACTGACGAAATATTAAAGTCAGAAGGGGATTTCTTAGTAAGAGATTGTGCATCGCAACCTGGAAATTATGTGTTATCATGCAAAAGCAAAACCTCTCAAACACTTCACTTTGTTATTAGCAAGGTTTGTATTAAATTTCTTTATTCACCTTTTCTAACATTATGTTTTACACATGCTCTTCGTTCACTTCCTAAAAATGAAATAATTTCCATTTTATGATTCATCAAATCTTTGAGTTCTTTTGTTATACATTTCCTTTCAAATATTTTTTAATATTTTCAGATTTCTTTTATGTTTTCGTTTTTTATTGTTTGAAGGCTTTATTTGCATTCATCTCGATTTAAATGAAAATATTCAGGATATTGAATGAAATGGTTGGATGATGGATTACGTCTTGTAATCGAGATGATTGAATATTTTTTCGTCATATTCAAAAGAGTGTTCAATGATTTCATAACAAAGCTTTTTTGATAAATAAAACTTAAAATGTTTGGGAGTGGATTTGATTGGAAAACTTTAGGTTTGAAATTTAAAATTGAAATCTTGAACTTTTTTTTGTCAAAAAAAGTTTCGATGAAGCTCAAAAAATTTTTAATTGAATGAATATTAAATATTTTAGAATGGAAATTCAAAACCCCAAATTAAGAAACAATTGGATCAAAAATGAAACTTTTATAATTGCAAAACTTTTCATTTTAAAATCTTGATAATCTCATTAATTCTCATTTCTCAATCAATTAATTTTCTTTCTTTCACTTTTCAGCTCGTTCTTCAACCCGAAACTGTCTATGAAAGGTAATAAGCAATTAAGAAAGTTTCTCAATGAAATATTTTAATCACTAATAATCATTACAGAGTTCAATATCAGTTTGAGGATGAACCGTTCGATACTGTTCCAGATTTAATCACGTTTTATGTTGGATCTGGAAAAGCAATCTCAGCGGCCTCTGGTAAATAATTCAGAACTTTACAAGTTAATTTATTAATTTTTATTTTTCTTCTTTTTAGGTGCACGTATTCAGAGTCCATGCAATCGACTTTATCCATTATCGCATTATACAAACAAGTATGGAATTCCATACAGTGGCAGCAATTCCAGTCTCGGAAGTGGAATAAATTCTCCATCGCCTATTCCTGGATCTGGAGCTTTCCGCTTTAATCACAATCAAACTCACACATATCGAAGTCCAATGTCTTCGCCACCTCGCACAAAACGAGACGTCCCACCCCGATTGCCATCGAAAAAACAAAGATCACAATCGTTAACTCCAAATCAACCACCACAAACTCAAAGAATTTTGAATAACGATAAATACAACAGCGCTGATGGTGTGATACAAGGCGAGCCTCCACCTCATGTCAAACGTTTAATTCAAATTGAAAAATGTTCAAGTGTTGATGGAATATCTAAACGAGGGGATGAGAATAAAGAACCGAACGGACAAACAATTGACGAGAAGTCTACAAGTGCTGATGGTATTGTAAATGGTTCTCATTCATCTCATTCACTGCCTCGTAATCAAGTTGCGACAAATGGAAAACAACATTTATCGAGAAGTTCAAGTTTAAGTCGTAATACAAGTGAAACATCTTTAAGTCCTTGTGCTGAAAATAAATCATCGGAAACTGAAGATAGTCCACCACCTAAACCATTGAAAGATAGAAATAAAGATGAACTTGCACCTGTTAATCGATTTGTTTCTTATCATGCTAGTGGATCGGATTCAGGAAATGGATCCGGTGATTCAGCACAAAGTTCTGCAACTGGTGAAGAAATTCAACAGAATCGCTGTGGTGTTGTCATAAAAAATCCCCGTTTTATACCAAATTCATCATCATCAGTAACACTTAAAAGTTTTGCTGATATTGATCCACATGCAGCTGAAGAAGCTTTAAGGGCAATGGAAATTCCTGTTATTGAACAAACTCCAACTTTTGATCTTGAATTGTTTCACACAGTTTTATTACCATACAGTGATTATCGCCCATTAGATAGTGGAACTTTATCGACATTTAGAATGATGATAAGTGAAACGAGTCCAAGAATAATCGCCAATCATATGACTCGTGTAGATATTAATCTTATTTTAGGTGAACCTTTTTTGTTAACTCTTACATTAAACGTTTTTTTAAATAAACATATCACTTTTAGGAGATCTTGAAAATACCACAAAGAAGAATCCTTTAGATTGTACAGGGATTGAATTATTATTGTTGGATCATGGTCGACAATTTCGTAAAGATCTAATCGAGAGGACGCAGTGCTTGAAGCTTCTTGTTGCTGTCACCATTTTAACATGTCCAAATGATGATGAAAGAGCAGAGACGTTGAATAAATGGATTCAAATCGCAGTTGATACGAAAACAGCTGCAGGAAATTTATTTGGTTTTAGTGCTATCATGTTAGGTTTATGTATGCCTCAAGTGAGTTTATCTTGAACCTTTTATTAGATATTTTCATTTTCCAAATTTTTATTTAAAATATCTTATTTAGATTCAAAAATTGGAAACTACATGGCATACACTACGACAGAAGTACACTGACAGTGCATTTAATTTTGAAGCAAAACTAAGGCCAACTTTAAAAAGTATGAATGATTGTTCAAATCCTCAAGCACCCAATACGACAATTCCACATTTGCTTCCTTATTTATTGATTAAAGATCGGTCGATAGAAGATGTTTTAGGTGAGTTTTCTATGAAAAAATATTATTGTTTACAAACTTATATGAATTTATAATTATGTTCAAGATCCAACAATTCCACAATCATCGCTTGTTCGAACATGTATCACGCCATTCGAAACAAATACTCAGGACTTTGGTTTTTCAATAATGTACGCTCATTTAGACGTGATCAGGAATTTTTGCAACAATCTAGGGCAATACAGAAGAAATGCGAAACTCGTGATGAACGATCAAAGTCGATTAGATTCGTTACTTGAAGAAGCTTTCCGGTAAATTAAATTTCTTAAAAAGAAATAACAACTTCAATTATTTTTTTGCTATTTCCAGCACTGAATTTCATATAAAATTTCTGTGGGGATTTAAGGGTGCATTTGTAACAGCTGAAGAGCGGCATTTGAAATTCGAACAAGTGTTGGGTATGATGGCTGATAAACTAGCAAATAAGTCAGAAGTTTCAGCGCCTACAAATGCCTAAAAACAGATTCTTCCAACATGTGAAGAATGAAGAAACTTCAAGACCAATCTGTACTTATACATATTTGTACCTGCATCCATAGCAGATACTTAAAGTTTACATCAAAAAAATATACAAAATTTCTAGTCATAGATAATCACACGATAAATATTAATTACCTAAATAAAATTGACAATTTGTAAATCATGAAAAATTATTTGTGAAAAAAGCAGCAATTTAATCAACTAAAATAATGCCAAAAGAAGACTAGAAATTACTAAGACAATTTCTGAATACTGTTTGAGTAAATTTTGATAATAAAAGAAGGAAAACCGAGTTGAATTTTTGTAAGATTATATGTAAATTAGTGGAAAAAGTCATAAAAAGCTCAAAATATTTTCCTGAAAAAAATTTTCAATTAAAAAAAAATTCAATTATTTTTGTCTGGAAAATATTTAGCGACTTCATGATCAATAATCCTACAAATAAAATATCATTGTCATTATTGAATGACTTCATGAACCTATTCGAAATGAAAATTATCAATAAGAGTAATTGTGATCGAACATATTTAAGGGTCTGTTTTTGTATAAATGTTTTTTTTTATAAACATACCAATAAATCATAAATACACCACGAAGAAGTATACAAATCAATGATCCGAGATGATCATTGATCACTTCATTTCCACTTTTCAATCGACCTTAAAATTGAACTTCGATTGCCTAGAATTTTCTTTATGCAGATTATTATGTTTTTAATTTCATTACCGATGCACGAAACAACAATAGACTGAGTAAACAAATCATTTTGATATCTTCCATTCATATGAGTAAAAACCAGCAGATCATACTTAAATTCTTATAAAGCTTTTCTATGCATTTCTTGTATAAAAAAATATTCAGAAAAAGGAAAACTTAAAACCACGTTTTTCTAAATTCTCACGAAAGACATGTAATCGACCTTATCGAAAATTATGTAGAATTTTTATGGCGTTATTAAAAAGCAGCAACAGCACTTACAAAAAAAATTAGCAAAAATTTACACAAAAATTTGACGGCGAAATAAACAGTAAATTAAGTAGCAAAATTTCCATTGTCATTATACGCGACTTTGACCTTCACCCAATAAATTAAAATGCTTTTTTTTTGTCAACTCATTCGTATCGGGAAGAAATTAATGTATTCAGGCGACAAACAATAAAACGGAAACATCAAACATAAAAGAGAACTTTTTTTCTATAATAACGTAGTTTGATAAGTTGCATAAAACATTTCATAACAGTTGAAATTAGATTGAGAAAAATAAAGGAAAAGAAAATATATTCGAGATTGTTTCTTTCTTACATTTTTATTACACATTTTTAATGTTAGATATGAAAAACAAACTTTTTTGTTCTGACAAAGGGAATTATCGTCTTGAGCTTCATCTTATAATGGTGGAAGTTGCTCAATTGGTGTTGCAAAAACAAAATCTTCAGGGAAAAGAGCTTTGGCATGTCCATACATTAATTTATATGATTGACGAATTGTCGCCTCAGCTACACCAGCAATGTCTCCGATTTCTTTGTGTGTTTTCTTATTTTCGGATGCTTGAGATGCCATGTAGATGGCTGCAGCTGCGACGGAAATCGGAGAACGCCCAGGTACAATATCAAGTTCAACAGCTTTTCGTGCGATATGAGTTGCTGCGCGTTGTACTGAGTTTGGCAATACAAGATTAGCACAGAAACGAGACATGAAATCAGCAGTTGTGATGAGATCAACAGAAGTTGCGAGAGCTTTCAATGTTAACTTAAAACATCTTCCAATTTCTTTTTTGCTGACACGACTGATTGCACAAATTTCTTTGAATGTTCGAGGAACACCTTCTTGTCGACATGCGATATAGAGGCAAGCTGAAGCTTTAGCATCATTTGAACGACCTTTTAAACTTTTACCATCGTGTACTTGTTTGAACAAATTATTAGCTCGATCCACGATGGTTTTTGGCAAATTGATACGATCGGCCATCGATGAGATTTCGCGGAATGCTGTGATAAGTGCACGATCAGAGCTGCTCATAGTTCTTCTATTTTGATACTTTGACGCTGGAAAGAATTAGTTTTTTTCAAGTCACACTACTTAATTATTAGTTATTAATATCTTACTTCCAAAAGCATCGAAAGATGCTGCACCAGTTCCAGGTCCAATCATAGTTGATAAATCTCCTCCGCTAAGTAATGGATTTTCAGGACCACCGACACGAGAAGGGTCAACAGATGCTTTTTCATTACTGAATGTCCGCCATTCCGATCCAACATCAATTACTCTTCAAAATTAAATTAAAGAAAAATTATGTCAAGAGCTATTTAAATTAATGTCAACAAACTTACCTATCGCCAACAATAAGACCACATTCTGAACATATCATATCACCAGCTCTATAATCCTCAATAAGTGGAGCGTCAGGATGATGATTACAAACAACTTTGTCTTTATAACTGGAATTGTAATTATATAGAACAAAAAATATTAATTTCTTTAAATTATGAAACTTTCAACACTTTTTCTTTTGATTTAATTCTAACCTTGAAGTACTAGCCATTGTAAACTTGATGTGATTTTACTTGAAAGTTTAAACTACTCTTAAAGCAACAAAATAAATTAAATAATTGATACCTATAACTTATGAAAACAGTTTTCTCAAAACAAAATGTACTTGTTTCATAAAAATATTGACCGAATTCTTTATGTCTGTCTGTCAATTCATTGTGTTAACGCGGTTGAAAAATGAAAATCATGTACATATTTCATCATCTACTTCATTCCTTGGTTACTAATTAACATATAGGATATTTTATTTCACTACCTATTTTATGAGATTTGGAGAATTTTTTCTAATTTTGTAAACAAATTATTTAAGAGGTACGAAGCTAATAATAGCAGAGATAGATAGACAGGGGTAGTAAAGATCAAACCGATATGAACAAGTCTTGGATCTTGTAAACAAAAATATAAGAAACGTTTACGAACGGAAACATTCTAAAAATAAAAGAAAATGGTAAATATACAAAATATGTTTATTCTGATGTAGTCATTATTCTATATGTCTTGTATTTCTAGCTTCCTTTATCGTTATTAAAAACAGCACAATCGCATCCTATGGTAAAAAAATTGCATAAATGTAAAAATTGTTAATGTAAAAAAAAAATTATTTTTTAGCTTGTAGAATTGAAAAACGGCGAAACATACAATGGTCATTTGGTTAGTTGTGATACCTGGATGAATATTAATCTTCGTGAAGTTATTTGCACTTCGAAAGTAAGATTAATGAAATTTTTTATTGATTTTTTCAAGACATACTGTGATTTTAGGATGGAGATAAATTCTGGAAAATGAATGAGTGCTACATACGGGGAAGTACTATAAAATATCTTCGCATTCCAGATGAAGTTATTGACTTGGTCAAAGAAGATGTGCAAGCAAAAACACGTCGTGCAGAAATGAACAAAGGAAACCGCAATCAGCAAGGAGGAAATCGTCAAGGTGGGCAACAGAACAACCGCAACTTTGGTGGTGGGAATAAAAATCGTCAAAATCGAAATCAAAATAATAAACAACATCAACAACAATAATTTGAAGAAACTGAAAAATAAAAAAGTTCACTTTGAAAAGATAATCTTTAACGCATTTTCAATATTTAAATTGTTTCACTTTCGACATCATTCCAACTCTCTTTACTGGTAAATTTATTAAAATATCCGATGTTCGAAAAATATATAAAGAATACGATTAGATAAGATTGTATTTTCCAAGTTTACAGTCGATAGTTCAAAGTATAAGGAATAAAATTTATGTTAATTTAATATGGCATTAAAAGGTCTTCGAGTAATTGAAATGGTTGGTCTTGCACCTTCACCTTTATGTGGAATGCTACTTGCTGACTTTGGAGCTAAAGTCACTCGAATTGATAAAGTAAGAAACAAAAATATTGCACTTTAATCAGAATTGCAACATTATCTTCCTCAAATATTTAGGTCATAAATTCGATGGATGTTTTATATAGTGGTAAACAAAGCATTTGTCTTAATCTTAAGAAACCGAAAGGAATCGAAATAGTTAAAAAACTTTGCAGAAATTCAGACGTTTTAATTGAACCGTATCGACCGGGTGTGATGGAAAAGCTTGGTCTGGGACCAGATGTTCTTTTAAAGGAAAATCCTCGTTTAATTTATGCCAGATTAACAGGTTTTGGAGGTGATGGCCGAGGGGTTTATGCCGATCGTGCAGGTCATGATATAAATTACATTGCAGTTTCTGGTCTTCTTAGTATGTTTGGAAGAAAAGAAGAAAAACCAACACCACCAGTTAATCTTGCAGCAGATTTTGCAGGTGGTGGTTTATTATGTGCTTTTGGTATTTGTGTTGCAATTCTTGAACGCTATAAATCGGGAAAAGGACAAGTCGTTGATTGTGCAATGGTTGAAGGTGCTGCTTATGTTGCTAGTTGGCTTTATCGTTCACGAAAGCTTCCAGTATGGTATGGAGGGCGGGGAGAGAATTTTCTTGACACTGGCAACCATTCATACGACACATATGAAACTAAAGATGGAAAGTATATGTCGGTTGCTGCTGTTGAGCCACAATTTTATGAAATACTTTTACAAGGACTGCAACTTGATCCAGAAACCATTTCACAGTATGTCGATGTAGAAGCAAACCGAAAAACCTTTGCTGAAACATTCAAGCGGAAAACTCAAAAGGAATGGTGTGCGATTTTTGATAAGCTCGATGCTTGCGTTTTTCCGGTGCTTGAGTGGGACGAAGCATACAAACATGAACACAATAAAGCAAGGGATGTTTTTCTCAATCCGAAAATGACTGGAGGTGTCATCGTCCCTAATCCCGCTCCTAAACTTAGTAGAACACCAGCTCACTCGTGTGCAGAATCACTGGAGCAAAATTCCGTTGATATGGCTTTTAATGTGCTTTCTGAAATTGACATCGAAAAGAATGAAATGAAAAAGCTTTATGAGGATGGTGTTTTAATTTTGGGTGATAAGTCAAAGCTCTAAATTACTTTTAAGAGTGAAATAAAGTTTATGTTTGTCATTCATTAAATTGTTTGTCTATTGGGAGAAGAGCTTTTAGGAAAATATCTTCATAACGCCACTTCATCAACAGAGAAATTCCTTCAAGTTGTAAAAAAGGATTTAAGTCTTTTAGATGTTCGCGTAATTTGTCTTAAGACTTTTAGTTTATAAATTATATTAAATGATCCTTGATTTACGATTCAAGAGAGAGAGAGAAAAAGTTCAAATAATAATGGGTTTAAGGAAAAAGCAAGTGCTGGGAAGTAATTAACTTTGTTCTATTGTACAAAAAATAATGTAAAATTTTTATTTGCTTATAAATAAATATTTCACTTCACCATGAACAGTAATAACTTTATAAATTGCTGTTAGTCTTTTTTCTTTCAGAGAATATATTTTAATAAATATATCGGAGCATTAATTATTGTGTTACCTACCGTTTTAAAATAACGAACAGCATTTACATTTTTAACTTTGCTTTTAAAAGACTAAGGTTTAAAGCCTTTTAAAAAACTGCATGATAAGAATAATTAGGTATTATGCATATTAAAATAGCATTAATTATGGTATAGAAATAAGTTTTAGTTTAAAACATTTCCTTGAAAAGAAAAAGCATTTAACAGGAAAATTGACGTAAAACTTTATGAAAAGCTTCAAAGGAAAGCTCAGAAAACGATTGTAGAATTTACGATATCAAAAAACAAGTACCTAATTAGGTAAATGAACATTTGCGGTTGAAAGACTTTTACAAGCTTTCAACTAAGTTTCTTTTTTCATTTGAAAAATATTCTTTTGATATCTTTAGAGTGAATTATGAAAAATACAAAAGGGAATGAGAGAATTTTTTTAGGAATAAACTTTATAAAGGTAAGGCTTNTCTTCCGATCTCAATCCGAAAATGACTGGAGGTGTCATCGTCCCTAATCCCGCTCCTAAACTTAGTAGAACACCAGCTCACTCGTGTGCAGAATCACTGGAGCAAAATTCCGTTGATATGGCTTTTAATGTGCTTTCTGAAATTGACATCGAAAAGAATGAAATGAAAAAGCTTTATGAGGATGGTGTTTTAATTTTGGGTGATAAGTCAAAGCTCTAAATTGCTTTTAAGAGTGAAATAAAGTTTATTTTTGCCATACATTAAATTGTTTGTCTAATAGATGATTGTTTTTAGCTTGTAGAATTGAAAAACGGTGAAAGCTACAATGGTCATTTGGTTAGTTGTGACACCTGGATGATTATTAATCTTCGTGAAGTTTTTTGTACTTTGAAAGTAAGATTAATGAAATTTTTTATTGATTTTTTTCAAGACATACCTATCACAGTTTTAGGATGGAGATAAATTCTGGAAAATGAATGAATACGAGGGCGTACTATCAAAGACCTTTACATTCCAGATGAAATGATTGACTTGTTCAAGGAAGATGAGGGAGTAAAAACACGTCGTTAAGCTGGGCAGTAGAACAACCCCAACTTTGGTGGTGGGAATAAAAAGCGTCAATTCGAAATCAAAATAATAAAAAACATCAACAATAATTTGAAGAAACTGAAAAATTAAAAAAGTTCACTTTGAAAAGATAATCTTTAACGCATTTTCAGTATTTAAATTGTTTTATTTTTGACATCATTCCAATGCTTTTTACCATAAATTTAATAAAATGTGTAGGCATCTTCGAGATACGTTGAATGAATACGATTACATAAGATTGCTTCTTCATAGTTAACAGTCGATAGTTCAAAGTATAAAGTATAAATTGTATGTTAATTTAATATGGCATTAAGAGATCTTCGAGTAATTGAAATGGTCGGTATTGCACCTGCACCTTTATGTGGAATGTTACTTGCTGACTTTGGAGCTAAAGTCACTCGAATTGATAAAGTAAGAAACAAAAATATTGCACTTTAATCAGAATTGCAACATTATTTTCCAAAAATATTTAGGTCATAAATTCGATGGATGTTTTATATAGTGGTAAACAAAGCATTTGTCTTAATCTTAAGAAACCGAAAGGAATCGAAATAGTTAAAAAACTTTGCAGAAATTCAGACGTTTTAATTGAACCGTATCGACCGGGTGTGATGGAAAAGCTTGGTCTGGGACCAGATGTTCTTTTAAAGGAAAATCCTCGTTTAATTTATGCCAGATTAACAGGTTTTGGAGGTGATGGCCGAGGGGTTTATGCCGATCGTGCAGGTCATGATATAAATTACATTGCAGTTTCTGGTCTTCTTAGTATGTTTGGAAGAAAAGAAGAAAAACCAACACCACCAGTTAATCTTGCAGCAGGTTTTGCAGGCGGTGGTTTATTATGTGCTTTTGGTATTTGTGTTGCAATTCTTGAACGCTATAAATCGGGAAAAGGACAAGTCGTTGATTGTGCAATGGTTGAAGGTGCTGCTTATGTTGCTAGTTGGCTTTATCGTTCACGAAAGCTTCCAGTATGGTATGGAGGGCGGGGAGAGAATTTTCTTGACACTGGCAACCATTCATACGACACATATGAAACTAAAGATGGAAAGTATATGTCGGTTGCTGCTGTTGAGCCACAATTTTATGAAATACTTTTACAAGGACTGCAACTTGATCCAGAAACCATTTCACAGTATGTCGATGTAGAAGCAAACCGAAAAACCTTTGCTGAAACATTCAAGCGGAAAACTCAAAAGGAATGGTGTGCGATTTTTGATAAGCTCGATGCTTGCGTTTTTCCGGTGCTTGAGTGGGACGAAGCATACAAACATGAACACAATAAAGCAAGGGATGTTTTTCTCAATCCGAAAATGACTGGAGGTGTCATCGTCCCTAATCCCGCTCCTAAACTTAGTAGAACACCAGCTCACTCGTGTGCAGAATCACTGGAGCAAAATTCCGTTGATATGGCTTTTAATGTGCTTTCTGAAATTGACATCGAAAAGAATGAAATGAAAAAGCTTTATGAGGATGGTGTTTTAATTTTGGGTGATAAGTCAAAGCTCTAAATTACTTTTAAGAGTGAAATAAAGTTTATGTTTGTCATTCATTAAATTGTTTGTCTATTGGGAGAAGAGCTTTTAGGAAAATATCTTCATAACGCCACTTCATCAACAGAGAAATTCCTTCAAGTTGTAAAAAAGGATTTAAGTCTTTTAGATGTTCGCGTAATTTGTCTTAAGACTTTTAGTTTATAAATTATATTAAATGATCCTTGATTTACGATTCAAGAGAGAGAGAGAAAAAGTTCAAATAATAATGGGTTTAAGGAAAAAGCAAGTGCTGGGAAGTAATTAACTTTGTTTTATTGTACAAAAAATAATGTAAAATTTTTATTTGCTTATAAATAAATATTTCACTTCACCATGAACAGTAATAACTTTATAAATTGCTGTTAGTCTTTTTTCTTTCAGAGAATATATTTTAATAAATATATCGGAGCATTAATTATTGTGTTACCTACCGTTTTAAAATAACGAACAGCATTTACATTTTTAACTTTGCTTTTAAAAGACTAAGGTTTAAAGCCTTTTAAAAAACTGCATGATAAGAATAATTAGGTATTATGCATATTAAAATAGCATTAATTATGGTATAGAAATAAGTTTTAGTTTAAAACATTTCCTTGAAAAGAAAAAGCATTTAACAGGAAAATTGACGTAAAACTTTATGAAAAGCTTCAAAGGAAAGCTCAGAAAACGATTGTAGAATTTACGATATCAAAAAACAAGTACCTAATTAGGTAAATGAACATTTGCGGTTGAAAGACTTTTACAAGCTTTCAACTAAGTTTCTTTTTTCATTTGAAAAATATTCTTTTGATATCTTTAGAGTGAATTATGAAAAATACAAAAGGGAATGAGAGAATTTTTTTAGGAATAAACTTTATAAAGGTAAGGCTTGCAAAAAGTTAACACAATTAAATTTGATTGACTTCTAAACGTTATGACATGTAAATAATCTCCATGTGGAACTTAACCAACTTACGTTTACGTACGTACGTAATGTATACATATTTTCGTTAAATTTTTTCGTTAAAAAGATCGAAGGACAAAACGTTTTGCGCGCCTGTACTTTTAGTTCTTAAACTTTTCATCAATTGGATTAGAAAACAATTCTCTTATTTTAAGTTTATTAAAAAAACTAACAATGGAAGAAAAGAAACAGAATTTAAAACGGCAAATAGAGGAAAAAGTAAACATTTTTATCCATAATTTAATTATTATAGTTAATTATAAACTCGTTTTTAATAGACTGAACTGCAAAATATTCTGTCAAAGCAATTGAAGGAAATTGCTACGAAATACTTTGACTTGTTGAAGGAAAATGAAGAAAAAGAGTTAAGTATGACTTATAAAAATAAAGATCGCGAGTTATATCATCAGCTCCTGACAAAAGAAGCTGCAAAATTATTGGAACGAGAAAATGCTTCCATCAATCAGAACTCTTTTGAGACACTTGATAACACAGACAACATGGACACATTTGACTTGTAAATATGCCATCATTATAGAAAATGAAGCTTTCCTCTAGACAACTCTATTTATAGTTCTTCACGTTACGAAAATCTCATCGGAATGTTAAAACACTGCCGCGAAAATTTTTCTGAGGAAGCCATCGCCACAAAAACAGAAAAAGTTAAAAAGGACATAGAAGAGGTTTTTGCTAAATCAATACGTCAGAAACAATTAAATGAAGAAATGAAACAAGAGCTCCTCGAAGGAAATGACAACTCAAATGCAGTTACCTTGGCAATGAAAAAGTATGCTTCAAATTTTTACTTTTCTTATTTAAAAAAAATATCCTAAAATTTATTGTGCTTGACAGAAAAGAACTCGAAATGATTTCAAACAAAGAAAAATCGACAAAAACACGCATACGAACTCTTAAAACTCGCTTGGACCATATAAAAAGTAAAATTGAAAAGAAAGAAAAAGGGAATCTTTTGAACTCAGCCATTGAATTGCCACCACTGGAACCTGAACAATATTTTTCCCAGCCCATTGAAGAGGATGCTGAACATACAGCAAAACAAACAAAAGATCCTAAAACTCAGTAAATAGAACCTTAACTAACAAGGTTTGAAATCTTGTTGATGACGTTCAAATAAAATAGAAAAATAAAAGAAAACTTGTAAAATTATTTCTCAGACTTTTCATTGTGCCATAAGAATCATCAAATCAGGGCTTTTAAATGAAAAAAAAAGTGACTTTTAAATGATTACAAAATCTGTCGAGAATTTTCTAACTTTCGATTTTATTGTGGTAGATATTTATTTGAAAAAAATTTCATCAAATAAATTGGTATTTTGTCATTCAGCCAATCAATGTTATGTTATTTCTTAGTAAGGTTTGACAAGTTCAGCAGTATCTGGTGGAAAAACAAAAAATTGTGACATTGAAATATGATTAAGGTGTTTTAAGAGCTTACAGCATCCTGGCATCATTACACAAGGAGTATCAAGCCAACATTCTCCGACAGGTCCGACAGTGCCGCAAATTGCTGGTTTGCAAATGATTGGTTGTGGACAGCAAATGGATTCGGGGGAGCATGGGAAACACACTGCCTCTTCTGGACAAGTAATTTGAATTTGACATTCACTTGGACAACAAGACATTTTGGTTTAAGAAATTGAAGATTTTTTTTACAAAATGATTTAGAAATTGACACGTCTAAACTGTTTCACTGATCGAAGAAAATTAGCAAAAGTTTATGAACTCTGACAACTGCGATTACTTTTCATTACTTTACAGTGTACCCACACATACATTACATGTTTAAGTTCACACGAAATCGAAAGATGAGAAGTGTCGACAAGAATCTTTCTCATTCACTTTGAAGTACTTGTCGTGTAGCAACCGGAACAAATATGACTGAAGTCGTAACTTAGTGTGTAATGTATATCATCATCATTTCTCTCCAGTTACGACCCTTCAAAAAGTCATAAGAAGGAAAAGGAGAATAAAACAAAAAAAAATAAATGCGAAATCGATGAAGCTTCTTGTCGTGATTCCATATAAATAATCGTTAACCTGAAACGAGCTTCTCGTGGCATCGTTTCCATCATCGAACATCATTTTCAAAGTGCTTAATTCATCTTCCGATTTATGCTATGACTTACCGCCCACAAGTAAAAAAAATAAGAATGATTGATAATTTGATGAAAATGCGTGGGTGTGATGTGAAATCTTGAAGAGACTCATCTGTCAGCTCACAAGGATTTTCAGTCTTGTTTCGACTGCTTTTTATGGCACATGAAGAAGTGTTGAACGCTTGATAGATGAAAAATTCTCTGTGTAAATACATAAGTAAGTAAAAGAATGAAAGGAAAGAAGAAAAAAAGGGGAAATAAATTTAGATTACTTCCTGTCTTCAAGTTTTCGGGAGAATGCTTCAGTGTCATAAAACTGATTTTAACGATTATTGCCTATACTGAAAGAGGGAAACGAGAATGCAAGAGGCTAATTAAATTTAACAGCGTGGAGATTAGGTAAGCGTATTATGGAGTTCATGTTCATGTCGTTGGTTTTTTTTTGTTGGTAAAGGCAAAGAAAACGGGCAACTAATTTCCATTAACTTTCTCTCCACATTGCATCCATCGTAAATTCTTTCTTCGTTCGTGACAAGGCACATCTCGTAAAATCATCTAAAATTTCCAAACAAACGACATGAACGACCCAAAAAAAGAGAGAAGGCCTATTGATTGGCATTTACCGAAAGGCTCGTCTTCCGTTTTGCTGAAAATACTTTAATGTCATGAAGAACGGGAAAGGAAAAGAAAAAGAGTGGGAGAGTGATAAGAAAGTTTTATGATGTGGGTTTTAATGGTAATAACTGTTGAGTTGCGAGTCATTTCAATGCTGTGGGCGAGAAGCTTTTAAATCAACAGTAAGGAAGTCTCCGTAAGCAATGTCAATAGAGCAGTAGAATGATATTGATAAGAGAAATCAAGACGTACACAATAAATGCTTCCATTAATAATTCATCCTCTCATTCGTCTCGATCCCATCATGAATTTTGATTACCTGAATCGGACTGATGTGAAGTGAAATGGAAGGAAAACAGAAAAAAGAAAAAAGCATTCCAAAGCATTCTTTCATGTGATGCTGTAATTCTCCGGATAAACGGTTGAATGAAAAGTTGAATACGTCTTGACTTTAATTTGAATAGACTTCTTAAACTCAATCGGTTGGAAAATTTTAAGCTTCCGAAAGGAGATTTAGATGGAAAACGAATTCATAAATCATTCGCCTTATTTTCCTTGATGTTGGTAGAAAAAATTATTGAAAATTCATCTTATAATATTCACTGCTGTTAAATCAGTAATCACGTTGAAAAGAAAACAGAAAATTCCTTAACGGATTTAAAGATTTAATTAAAATTCTTAGACTGTTGACGGCTCATAAAAAGGCTTACACAGAATTAATTTATGTTGTCTAGTTAAGTGAAGCATTTCTCAGATTGTTAAGCGTGTCATTGTTTTTTACAACTCATTTCCGAAAGCTGTTTTGCTTAACTTCTCTGTCTTGTTGTCTTGTAAATTTTTAGAGTTTTGTGCTTTTTAAATGACCATCAGTTAACAGATTCTTAACACTTGACCTTTAGTATTGCAATCCTCCTACCTTCATTGTATAATACAACCTACTAACAGAACATTTTTGCACAAAATTTTGTTTAATGTTTGTTCGCTCGACAGCCATTTGGGTCTAGGGTTGTAAATTTTAAAACAAACTCCACTTTTATGGATTTTGCATAATTTCTTCTCCTTTCGTGCTTGTACCAAATTATTTACTAAACAAAAAAGGCAAAAGATCTTGTGCAATAATTTACAAAAATATGTTTTGAGTTGAAATGGAGTAAGGGAAAGCACGTCTAGAAAATTAATGAAACGTTTCTTTGTTTGAATTTTAAAATTCAATTAAACTGTAGAATGGTTTATGCTGTAAAATCCTTTGGGTACAGGATGAATCAAACGACTAAAAGTTTAAGATTCATGTCGAGGCCATACGGTTACTAAAAGTGTTTATTTATGTCAAAGTTGAACGGTTGTAAATAAATGTAAGTAATCCTTTCTCCAACATAGAAAATAACCCGGTAAAAAGTTAATCCTCATCGTTAAAACATAAACTTTGCATTAAAATTTTACATTTAACATGAATACATAAAAGCATCTGATAAAATATGCTATATTATTCACAATTAAGATTTTTCTTTGAAAGGTTCTTCGTTTCAAAGTAAATTCGTAAAATTGCAACAAACACATCAAACGTTTTTAATATTTATATAATAATGAAGAAAATGCAATGTTAGTAGATAGCCAAAGAAGAAAAATAGTTTTTTCTAGACTATTCCGATATTTCCCTAAAACGACATCAACGCACTCTAAAAACTTTTAAAACCGCTTTAATCGTGTTCAGGAGTGTGAGAAAAAGTTTAACGATTATGCTCGAAGCTTCGAAGCTTCGTTACCCAAATTATTTTCCATTCACTATCAACTGAATAGTTTGAAACATTTTACATAGTTTTCTTTCTTTTCATGGAGCTTTTGTTTCCGTTCCCTTAGGTAATTCTGAATTTAAAACTTGGAAAAGTTTTATTGGATGTAAATTTGTGTTTATCACGTTAAATATTTTAAAGTTGTAAAATGAAATAATTTAACAAGAAGCGTTACTTGTGAGTGTAATTTATTCCAAGATTATAATAATTTCACCTCGCTGTGTCAATCAATTTGAATATAAATGTAGGAATATCACGAAAGCTACACAACAATGAAATAATAAACCTTACGTAATGAAGTAGAAGGAAAACATTTCCCTTGACATTTTCTACTGTTGTGAGTTTCATGACGGGCATAATTACAAAAGACAGGGAAATACAGGAACTTCCTATCATTTAGAGTCATTTAAGCGTGAAGTCATTAAGTTTAAGAAGATGACAGTAGCTTCACCATCTTGAGTGCGTAAAGACGGCTTTCAGCTCTCTATTCATTCATCCTTCTGAGGATTATAACCGAAAGAAATGAAGAAAAAAATGAAACAGTGAATAAATTATGACGAAAAAGCGACACAAAATGGAAATATGATCGAATGAAAAATTTAAGATAGAATTTCATATTTATAAGAATCTGAAAATTTTATTTGAGATAATTTCATTCGGGACTCAAGCTCAAAGTGTATTCAAAGCATCGCTGGGAATTTTCACTCCTAAACAAATTAACCACCGAGGTTTTTAAAAATCGGTTTCGAGCACGTGCCGAGTACATTTTAAATCTCAGATTTTCAATTATAAACAGCGGCCTGAATAGCTTCAAGCAACACAGAATATTTGTAAGTATAACACTGCATTAGAAATAATTTTAAGGCACATAAATGTCAGACAGGTTTGTGATTCGTTTTCCATTACAGAAGCTAACGAACAAATAATTTGAATTTTTAATGTTCAGAGATGTTTTAATTTATTTGTTTTTAATTCAAATGACTGAGATATTTTTCTCACTGTAGAAATAAAGAAAGGCATTCTGATAAGCGAAAGAATAACTTTAAGTGACAGATATTACAGACTAAACAGGCACATGAGGGTGCATATTTTAGCGGAATCTTCTTTGCAATTTATGAAGGCAATTTCTGCTTTCTATTAAGAGGTGTACGAACTTTATAATCTTTTACTTTTTTAACAAACAAGTTTTCTTTGACCTTGAGATATTGGATATTTATGCTAAGCGGTGTTAAATTCAAAAAAGCGTCACATTACAAAGTTCAAGAATCACTGCCACATCACAAAGAAAAAAGATGAAACTGATTTCTATCTTCGTACTCACATTTCATAAACAATTGTTATATAAACGAGGGGAGACAGGTTTGAATTAAAAATACACGCTTTTTCCCCCTCATCACAAAATGAATGTAAATTTCATTTTTATTAGCATTAGGCTTGGTATTAGATAGCCGCGATGGTTGTAAGAAAGAAATGAATAGCCTCTGAGTGTGATATGAGATCTCTTATCACATCTAGTGCAAATATTTTACTTTTTCTTCAGGCGACTTTGTAGAATTGGGACAAGGATGCGAGAAAAGCGACGGCATAAACATGACAAAATGTATACAAAGTTTTTGAATTTTTATTATGCTACTTTTCGTAGTCATCTTGAGTTTTTCTTCAGTACTTTTCACTGACTTTTAAAAGTTTTCTTTTCATGGCTTCTAAATTACATTAAAAGTTGAAATAACATTGAAAATATAGCTTCAGTATCTTTACGTGTTCATGTCCAGTGCAAACAGCCTTTCAATGTTCAATGCTAAGATGAAATTGAAGAATACTTAAGTGTTGAGATTATTTAGACAAAAATAAGTTGAACTTCAATAGAACAGAACTTTTTATACGTAAATCATGAATGTTAAGGTAGAAATAAAATCTGTTATAAAAATTTAATCAAAATCTCATAAAAAGCTGTGTGAAAAAGTTCACAACAGAAAAGAATTTCATTTCGCTTGTTAAGAATCTTGAAAACATTTAGGATGGAAGATAATGTCAATGAAAAATATGGAAAACCCTTTAGAAGCTTTAAGCATTTGTGAAGAGAGAATTCCATTTGATGCTAATGTATGAAGTTTTCCTGTGAAAAGAAAGTTTGAAGATTATTTGAGAATAATTCCTGAATAACATGATTATAGCGAACCAATGTTTTATGAATATGATACAGAAATTTTCATATTATAAAGAAGACTTATATTGAAAAAGTTTGCTGATTCTTCATGCCTCCTGGTCTTTGTATTCTCATCTTACATTACTTTGTCACTGTGTGGTTTGAAAAAGATTGAAGGAGAAAGAATAAAAAAACAAGGAAAACTTTCACTTCCTTTCGTGCTATACGACATCATGAAAGATTAAATTCTGAAACGAAGTGATTGAACAAGAACATTCCGTGAGAATAATAAAGCTATTGAAGAAATATTTTCAAAGCTTTCAGTATTTCCAACTTTGTAAAGAAATGTAATTAATGTAAATATTTCACTTTACACAACATGTGAATATTTTATTTGCATCAGAGACTTGACGAACGTTCGTTTCTAGAGCTGCTTTGCATTTATGTTAAACATGTAAGCAATTCATAATTCGCATAAGTAAAATTGAAAGCTCTTAATGGAATATTTCATTTGTATTGTGTTTATGCTCAACATCTCATTAATCTAACGTTGATCTGAAAGGATTTTGTAGTATTTAATGCTTCTTGCGCATAACGTATCATGATGAATTTATTAATCAAATTTAAATATCTAAATATATTTTGCAAGACGTTGCAGGGATTAAATTTATGAGGTGGTATGTTATTGAGTTTGTAAATTTTGAACAATCTCGTCATGAATAAGATATAAATGCAGAATAATTCTTGAAAACGAGCTTTCCAATTGAACAGAAAATTTAATGATAATTGATGTTCTCATAAATATAAATTAGAAACTGGATGCCAGGCATTTAAGGAATCAATTGCAACTCTAGATATTTATAAATTTCTAATAGAAACTTATTTCATTATCCATGCAAATATGAAGGAAAGTTTTATGTTTCTTTTTAATTTCTTCCAGACAAAACAAAAAGAATAAAAATGTCACATCAAAATCACTTGGTCAAATACGATTTTCTCTTTTGACACGATATCACTACAAAGTGCAATGAAAAATAATAGACAATGTGAGCAGGTTACTTAAACTTCTGTCACTTTTTTCTTGTCCAATAAAGATTATTAAATTCAAAATGTCGCTGTAATCAAACGAAAATTTTTAATGTCAATTCTGTCTTCGTATTTCGGTCGCATGAAGTGAATTTTAATTAACTTAATGAAAACTCTTCTGTAATCTTTAAGTTTAATGATATTGAACGTAGAAATAAAAGGAGATCTCGTCTCGATTAAAAAATTGTCCAATCAGTTATTAATTTTCCTAGATATGCTGCTGATGAAGACTAAGAAAAAATTGTTGCTTTGCAGAATAATTAAAAGTCATTGAAACCTTAAGGAGTCAAGTAGGATGAGAAAACTTTCTTACTTAATTGGCAAAAATTTCTGATTTTACTTGAGATATTGAAGCAAAGACGGAATAAGTAAAAATTGCACTGAGTCACTTTACTGCTCAGTTTCAACAAGAACTGTCTGAATCTTCTGAAACTTTATACATAATTTATAGTTTTGAAATTTTCTGCTCTTTTCTTTGTTTCAACTTTTTGTGTTGCTTATCTAATCAGTAAGATTTCATTACAGTTTAAAAGATTACTTGACTTTCACTTTGAACTTACACCGACTTTTATAAATTATAATAGCTTCCTAAAAGTTAATAAAATTAAATTGAGCTTCAGTTAACTTCTCTTACTCATTTGTAAATTTATCAGAAAAACAATGTACTTTAATTAAAAATTCATAAGAAAACGTTTCTTTCTTATATTTTATGAGTAAAAATCTGGTTCATTTTAAAATTAAAAAGTTGGAACTTTCTGACAATTTTAAAAAGGATGAAATCTGAAAACTGTCAAAACAATTTCTAACTTTTGATAAAATATCGATCACCTTTATTAAAATTAGAATTTCTATGCCAAAATATGAGTTCAGGCTGAAGTCCTTCAAAACAACTCACATTTTAGCATTGATTCCTTATTCGGATTTCTCAATTTCTCAACATCATGATATATTGTGTGTACGTGATATTTTTTAGTAATAAGAACTCATAGAACGTTCAATTCATGATATTCATTTGCTAGATCCGTTTCGGTTTATTTACCAAACGAAAATTTGATATCGAATTCAACAATATCAGACATAGTATGGATTGAGTTCAAACATTGATTCTTTCTTTTTGTTTTCTTCGATTTAGTTTCATGTTCGTTTTGAACACCTACGCAGCCTTTTACAAATATGCACATTCTACGGACTTACAGGCTAAGGTTTGCTTTGCGAATGATGCGAAAAAGAAGGTAGAATCCGAATGAAAATTTTCTTTCATGAATAGATAAATAGAAATAATCACGAAGTATGTTGTGAGGTGCTTGGTCGACGAGGGAACTTAAAAGAATGAATTTTATTGAAATTTCGTTTGAAAAAAAAATTGTCACTGAAGTTTGTTGACAAAATTGTCAATTAAAGAATTCTAATCCATGGAGTTCACTGTTCTAGTATCTGAATGTGAATTTGAAGAAGTCAGTAGATGAATATTAAATCAAAGGGAAGTTTGAAATTTATTTCAACATGTTCTGATGAAGTGGAATGAATGAGAGAATCATCATTCAATACCATTTCGGTATGCTTCGAGTTTCATTTCCAAAGTTGGTATCTTCATGTTAGTGGATATAATTTCGAAAGGGAAGTTACAGTGGAAGAAAATGCAGGAACACAATGCAAACACCGAATGTCGTTATGAAATGTAGATGTAAAAATTTATGCGATTTGAAGAATGTTGCTTTAGTCGAAATATTCTGAAGGGACTAAGTATCTACGAGCTTCATTCTTTCTAAAGGAAGCTATTTAAATTTATTTATGCTTTCAACTAGTCTTAGCTTCACATATTCATTGAGACTTTTAACCCTAAAAAACACGAGCAAGTTGCAAAACGCGAATGAGAGTGGAACGAGAACTTTAGAACATTCTTTCACCATAAAACTTTATGTTTGATTTTCAAATATAGGATTTTCCGATTCTAAGATGGAAAAGGATGTTGAGTCTGAATGAGAGTTTCCTGCCCGCCTCGGATAGAAGACGATTTTAATATTTGCCGAGCATAAACAAGCTTTCCGTCTTTCTTCGTTTCTACTTTTTTCTCTTCAATGCTTTTATCCTAACATGATGGCGAGATTCTCAAACAGAAACATGTTGCTTGAAGATATGACTTTTTGTTGTTGCTTCTTCATGTATGGTAATACCTAAAGACATCATAAAGAACTATGTAGATGTGAAGATTGTCTTATGTCTTTAGACACAGACTCTTTAGGCAAATCCTTTTTTCCTTTTTCCCTCTTTGAAATTTGAATAGGAGAATAAAAGTTTCTCTGCTCGTGTAAGCATAAAATTGTTGGCACTAACGTGATGTAATCTGCAAAGTTAGTAAATATTTGATTAATTTAATTAGTTTTATTCCAAAAGGAGGGTATGCTTTGTTGTGGTGCTTTTGTGAAAACGTTTTCTTGGTACATTACATTAAAATTTCCCATCTGATTATTCTGCAAGCAAAAACTTCTTATAAAAGTTTAGTTGCATTAAGAATTTAAACATTTTTACGACCTACGATTTAATTGCTGTCAACTGAGAATGAATCATAAATTATTAAGAGAAATTTTAAACGTAGGTAACTGTTTAATACAAGTCTGATCAAACATTTGCAAATGAAGGATCGAATATTTAACAAGTGAAATATAAATTTAAAAAGTTGATGTAATATTAAATTAAACTAAACGAGACTATAAAAACGAAAGCAATTAAATGGAAATATAAAAACAGATGGAAAATTATGCAATTTAATATAATATTCTGCATGTAATAAACATTAATTAAAATTAAGCAACTTTATCAAATAATAAACAAAGTTGCATTGGAAAATATTTTAAAATAGAAACAGAAACATAAAATTATTTCATTGCAGTTTGAAAGCTTGAATTGGAACAGATTGTTGTAGTTTTTCAAATATTTATTTATGTGTTTGAATAAAAGGAATTAAGGTAGATATTTTAATAGGATATAAATCAAATCAATTTCGTATGCACTGAAAATCGTTGTGAGTACCAAAATGTGAGCTATGATGGTTCAATTAAACATAAACATCCAACAAGCAATACGTTCAAGTAAGCCAATAACATTTGCGAAATAAATTTTGTTATTCATTCTCATGTAGGATTGAAGCACAAACATTTTTTATTCTTTTCAAACAAAAAAATATCAATTCCATTCTATATTCAATGGCAATAAAAAATCCATCACTTTTGTCTAGTGAAAACCATCTGATACGGTCAAACATAAAACAAAAAATTGTTGAGAGGAAATATCTTTTTCTATGTTGCAATGCGTGCATGAAATTCCAATATTTCACTTTTTTTAGTTGTTCAGAAATTTTTAACAGAAATAAAATACACGAGTGAAAATTTCACATTGGAATATTGATTTAATCGAGAATTTAAAAATTAGTTACGAGTATAACACTTTAAATATAAATGTTGTTTAAAAATTTATTTAAATTATAGTCAATTTATTCAAGGCAGGTCAGTATTTAAATAAAATAATCAATAACGTTGTTCTCAGTGAAAATCTGAATTTCTTCCGTGTGAACTTAATTTAGTTTAATAATTATCATTTTGATTATTTTGAAACTTCATACTTTGTCGCTTAAGTGACGAAAATGTTTCAAATTTCATTGTTTCATTAAGGGTTTTACCTATCATTAGCTTGTTATTCACGTTTAAGTAAAAAACTTATTCACTGTTTACATCTCTACACATTCTCAAATAAATAGGGGGGTTGGCCAATTATGACACCACCCGAAAACGCGTCCAATTATGACACCACTTTGTTTGGATTTAATTTTATATGCGATTAGGGCTTACCGGAAGAGGCGATTTTTTATTTATTTATCCTTGAACCTTCCTCTACCGTTATGTATTAACACATTCCTCCGGTAAGCTCTAAGAGCTGTTAAAATTAAACAAACAAAGAGGTGTCAAAATTGGACGCGTTTTCGAGGGTGGTGTCATAATTGGCCAACCCCCCTAATTCCAGAATTTTTGCAAATATCTTCAAAAAAAAGTTAAATAATATTTTGTCCTTTTAAAAAGTTTTTCGTCCTTTGAGAATCACGAATTAAATGAAGTTCAAAATTTGGGTCACTTGATAAGTATATTTAAAGAAATATCAACCCAAATTTAGAATTCTTTTTTAATCTTACCCATTTTATCGTAGGAAATATGTATTTGTCACATTCTGAATTATTATTTTCGTACTTTGAACAAAGATAATGGAAGAAATTCTTATCTTATTCTATTTGCGTCCCTATCTAGTACGGTTTGGGATATTCATTTGGGATGTTTGAATATTTCTTGTTATATTCATTTATGTTAAAAATTCTTTTCGGAACTATGGAACCAAAAGAAAAAAATGTTTGCTTGTTGATGTACTATAGTTATGCTCCATATTGAGAGAATTTTCAGCTATTTAATATGATGTGCAATTCTAGAAATGTTTCCACGGATCAAATAACTCTTGTTTTTATAAAAAATAAATAAAAATAATTTTATTTCATGCTTGTTATGCATTAACAATCCACACAATTCTAATCATTCATAAAAGCTCTTGATAATTTGAAAACACGATTCGTGAGTTGCATAAATTTTATACAAACGCATCAAATAAATAGTGAAAGGTCAACTAGTACCATACAATCGTGATAAAGCATCTAAATACAAGGTCAAGCTCAAAACTATTCATCATTTCATTTATGCTGCCTTCGCATGTTTTAGAAGAAAGAGAAATTTTCAATTTTTATTATTGTTATTATACAGAAGCTCTGCAAGTGCTTATAAATGTTGGTAATAATTTATGAAGTGCATATGTGGTTGTACATCGTGCTATATTGCTATGCTAACAAATCAATAGAATTTTGCAAATTTATAAATCAATAAATTAATAATAAATAAATTAAACAAATTTTCAATGTGATTATTGTAAATTATGTTTACTTCATTCAAGTATTAATTTTCAGAACCGATCAATAAAATATAAATTTTATTTATAAGAAAACTAAAAGTAACGTTTTAAAAGGATGACGTAGTTAATGTAAAAAAATAAACAATTCAATTAGAAAATATTTAATAATCATAATAAACAATAAACATTATCTACCTATTGTGAGTAATTTCTAATCATTATTCTTTCATCATCATTACCCATCTTTGTCACCTGAGACTGTTCAGTAACTATGACAATTGAATATAATTTCAAGAATTAAAGTTGTGATATCTAATCTGAATCAAAATAAAGTTTTTGTTATTAACTGACTCAGTTCATTCTGAATTATTTCACGCAAAGGATCATTTAATGAAACTAAATACTTATTTAATATCAACGACTTACTTCTCTTCAGAACGATCATCACTGACAGGGCTTCTCAAATCCATTTAACAAAATGTTTTTATTAGAACTTTTCTAATATTATTCACAAAGCTCTTCTCCCATTGGCCTGACGATCATTTACGAATAAAGAAGAAGGAAAAGCGCTATAAAAGCGCTGCAAATGTCTGACGTCCCACACTCTTTAAACATCCGAGCTCGCAGCTACTCTCTAAGTGAATTGAAACAAAAATAAAGTGTTTGATTGATTATCATAGTTAAGTGAGAATTTAACTTAATCATCTCGCGTGCATTTACAAAGAAAAGTTCATAAAGGTATGCAAAAAGAGCTTTGATTGTGTGTCAAATCATTTAAAATTATAAAAAAATTGAGATGAAAAATAACAAAAACACGAAATGAAAATGCAACGTAATTTTATTTATAGATGAAAATTTAATTTACTTCTGAGAAATTTATATTAATTTTATAAAAGTCCGTGACATTGTGACAACAGCAAGACAAATTTTAAGATAAAAATTAAGTTGATCCAGAAACTCTTTAGAACTATAAAACCCCCGTGTAATTAACTCAAGGATACTTTATTTATAAATAACTAATAACAAAATATGAGTAATGAATCGGTTAAAAGTTGCAGTTGATGATGTCGTTGTGAGAACTGAAAATAATCTTTATAAGATCAAGAATATGAGTTTTTCTGTAATGTCAGATAAACTTTCATAATATTCTTAAACTGCACTTAATCTCTAGTAAGAGAACTGAGTAGCATCTATCAGGTTTTGTCGCTTTTAGGCTAATCAACCTATTGAGGCAGTAAACTATAATTTATCATAAAACAAACACTCGATGAACTTAGCAACAATAACAAGCGACGACATTTTAAACTCGATTTGATGAGTAAAAATAGAAAACTAGACAATTTTTATCAATTGCAGTTTGTAAACGTGCAAGCATGTTTCTCAGGGTTGCTTTTGTTCAGTTCTGTTGTCTCATTCAGTTTTGTGACTTCAAAAAGTTTAAACGCCTTTTCACGTTTTTTTTTCATTAGAAGATGTTGGAGGATTCGCCAAACGCACAACTCAACAAGACGATCTTAAATCGTTATTTGTCTTTGGAACTCCCTGATGGACAAATTATTGCAACTTATATTTGGATTGATGGTACTGGTGAAGGTCTTCGGTGTAAAGATCGTACTTTGAACTTTATTCCAAAGTCACCTAAAGGTGAGTCACTTTAAGAACAAAATTTTTCTTGTCAATTAAAAGTTCCATTTAAGAGAAGAAATTTTTTTTTTCATTAGTGAAATTGAACCGTAATTTGAGTAAATTTTTTTATTGAAATTTTAAACACAAAAAGATATCATTCGTATCTAGAAGAAAAAAGAGGAAGATTTTGTTGTTCATTTTTGTTGTAGGTAGATTTTGTATCCATCGAATATTCTCTCGATCTCTTTGGCTTCTAGCAAAAAATAAATAAGGAAAAAAAGAAGAGTGATTGACAGACAATGATGATTAATTGTGTGAGAGTAAAGACGAAGTTAATCTTTAATAGAATCAACCTTACGATTCAAATCATGTTGATAGATTCATTTTGCTTAGTAACTTTAATTGACCGCGTTTACTTGCAAACAAGCTTTGACGATTCACGTTCATGGTCAATTTTGTTTTATTCTTTTTCCGTCTTATGTCGATCATCACATTATGAAGAATAAGAAGAAAAAAAATATATCGCGTGCTGTGAGAACGAAACCATTAATTTTTTAATTTGTTTCCATTGATTGTTTGAATGAAATTATTTAAAGTTGGTTGGCAAACATATCTTGATGATTAAATATGAATTAAAAATACATTTTCGTCAACAACACATTTTTAAATAAGTAAGAGAGAATCACTCGTGCGATACTTGTTACTAAAAAAATCGTTTCAAGTAGGTAGTTATGATCGCGTGTGCTAACAACAAAACCTCTGAAATTCGAACTCTGTAATCTTGTAATCTATTAAATAATCCGATTACATGATTATATTAACGACCAAACAATTTTCCATTACAATGATCTCTTCCGATAGCTCAAACTAACTAAAAAATACCTTCATGATTATATTTTTGTTTTTGTCTGTTCCTTGCCTGCTTCAAATCTCAATTGGAAAATTATTTTTAATGTTAGTCAATGATACTTTGCGACTGACATGCGCTTGGGAAACAACTTTTTTGCAAGGTTAAACGGAATTTAATTTTAAACTATTTTTTTATCATTGCAAAAAAAGGGGAGAGTTCGATATTTATGTGTTGATAAGTAAGCAAAGGAAGCATTTCATTAAATTCAATGATTCCTTATTAGAAAATAAAATACGGGAATTGGCGAATAAATTGAGTTTGCAGAAATTTAAATGCATATAAGAGCGAATCAAGGTGCGATACTAACATTTGCCTTAAACAATTACATACTTTTGTTTGAAAATATAAATTTTGTTTTTGTTGTGGAAATGAATGAGTAAAGTGGAGGTGAAAATTAAATTACAAAAACATTTATCTAACATTGCGCAGTGAAAGAACAAAGTCATAAAAGAATTAATTGAGTTTAAATTTTTAAATAAACCTGATGCAAGATGAAAATCTTTTAAATCACATGTTATTGAGTGTTATCATTGATAAACATTACTTACAACGAAGTTCAATATTGTAGTGATTGATTAACTGACTAATCGAAAACAAAATGTTGCGGCTTTGTAATTCAATATTTACTTAATTACTTTATTTATAATCGTCTCACTGACATAGAAACTTTTTACATCAAAATGAGAAATGATTTCCTTTGGTTGATTTTTATCGTTAAAAGGAATATTTGAAAACTTTTTGTTTGAGTTGTCGAAAGTAAGAAGAAACTCACAAATTTTTTTGTTTTGATAAATTTTTGTAAATTCTAAAATTTTACAAAAGTTTGTTTACCAAATTTTATCAAACAACCACGCGATATCCTTGATAAATTTGAACCTATAATTTATTTGTTTATTTATGAAGTTTAATTATATTTTAGAGTTGCCAGTTTGGAACTATGATGGTTCATCAACTTATCAAGCTTTGGGTGAAAATTCTGATGTCTACTTGCATCCAGTGGCTATTTATCGTGATCCGTTCCGACGTGGAAATCACATTCTTGTCATGTAAGCACAAAAAATGTCTCTTGTGTAATATGTTTGTAATTTATCTAAGCAAACATTTCATATTCTTCATTTCAGGTGTGAAACGTACAAGTATGACGGGACACCATTAGCTACAAATCATCGTATGGCATGCAATGAAGTCGCACAAAAGGTAGCAAGTGAAGAACCGTGGTTTGGCATTGAACAAGAGTACACTTTATTGGATATTAATGGACATCCACTCGGCTGGCCGAAAAATGGATTTCCTGCTCCTCAAGGGTAATTTGATTAATTTTTCTTTTCAACATCTTATTACGATAATTAAGATAATAATTAAATCTTAGACCATATTATTGTGGCGTGGGTGCTGATAAAGTGATTGCACGTGACATTGTTGACGCTCATTATCGAGCGTGTTTATATTCTGGTGTCAAAATTTGTGGAACTAACGCTGAAGTTATGCCAGCTCAATGGGAGTTTCAAGTTGGACCATGTGTGGGTGTTTCAGTAGGTGACGATTTGTGGATCGCTCGTTATATTTTACATCGTGTGGCTGAGGAATTCGGAGTTATTGCAACTCTAGATCCAAAGCCAATGCCTGGGTAAGATGAAAAATAAATGTTAATGTTGAGAATTGTTTAAAAGAATAAAAATTAATTGCTTAGTGATTGGAATGGTGCTGGAGCACATACAAATGTATCGACTAAGAAAATGCGACAAGATGGTGGTATTAATGTCATTAAAGCTGCAATCGATAAGCTTTCAAAGAACCATCAAGCTCACATTAAAGCTTATGATCCTCGTGGGGGAAAAGACAATGAACGAAGATTAACAGGTTTACATGAAACTTCGTCAATTAACGATTTCAATGCTGGTGTTGCTAATCGCGGTTGTTCAATTCGCATTCCACGTGGTGTTAATGATGATGGTAAGGGATATTTTGAAGATCGTCGTCCCAGTTCAAATTGCGATCCTTATACTGTTGTTGAAAGAATGTTGCGTACAATTCTTTTGGATGAATATTAAAGAAACTGTTAATCGACATCACAATCTTCTCAGGACGAGATGCATTCGATAAATTTGCACTAAATCTTATTATTATTTATAAAATATCTGTTTGTGAATTATTTCTTTTGTTCTTCTTATTAAAAATAAAGTAAAATAATTTAAAAGTCTTTTTTTTCCTTAGTTTATTTAAGAAACTTTCAGGACTATCATATCGCTATCCAAGTGTCTGTTGATCTATAAATAAATGTACACTAAGAGTCTTAATATTGTCAAACAATTCTGTAAGTTTAAGTTTCTTCAACTTTCTAATCATTGGAAAATTCTCCCTTTTGCCTCAAGTAATAAATAATATATTGACAATGAAATTTAATTCATGTCGACATTTAACGTTTCTTCACAGTTTTTCGATTTGAAGATGCAGTGAGCGTAACAAGTCAAATGACACGTGCTACTACTTGAAATTTCATTGCTAAGGAAAATCAGAAAATAAATGCATCACGAAATTTTCCCATTTCTTTTGATTTCACGTAGCAGAAGCGCCAAAGATTCTCGTTTTTATTTTTATTCTTCGATGTTTAAATGAAACTTTGTTTTGCTGGTTGCATACATTTTGTGTGGATGTAAAATTGAATTTTGAAATATTCTGCCAGGTAACAAAAGAACACAAAGAAGCTTTAAATAGAAGCACATACTTGAACATCTTCTTACTTCAAATGTTAAGTTTTCTTATATTGTCCTGAAGGCAAAACGAGAGCATGTGCTTCATAAAATATTAAAATATAAAATACAATTTCTTGTGTCGGTAAAGTGTCGTATCGAAGGAACGAAAACTTTCATTTTACGTGACACAGTTGCGGAAAAGTTGTTTTTATTTCATTGAAGTAAGGATGAGAAAATTGCTTTTCACATGTTAAATTACGAAGCCTGAAAGTTTGACTTTGAAAACTTTAATTTTTGACGAAATTATTTATACGTGAATGAGTAATTAGTAGTTTGTGTTTAATTCATGATGCTGAATAATTAATTTCTAATTTGATAAGATATTAAATGTCGTGAAGATTGAGATTGTTAATGTTGAGAATATCGTTTTAGAATTTCAACCCTTTTTTTCTCTTTTGTTTTGATATTGAACTTTGATTCGCTTCAACGAATCACAATAAAAAGAAAGTCCTACGTAAAATCAACTTTATTCAAACTTTCCGGAACTCTAAACGATGTTATGAACTTACTTATCCCTGCTCTTGTCATCGCTCACCCTTTTTTAACTACGCACACGAACTTTGGCGAGTCTGTAAAAACTCTTTCGATTGTACCCCAATTGATTTATACGAGTTGAAAACTTGATACAATCCAAGAAAAAGGAAAAAAAAAGTTTTAATAGAAAAAAAGTCCGTAGGAAAGAATGAAAAATAATTTATTTAAGGAAGCTGATGGAGACAGTTCCATACACAACAAGTTAATATTGAGGTTTCATTAAATTAAATTTTCGTTTGAGTTGGGTTTGATGTTTCATCTCATTCTACCTTTCCATACACCATCACCTTGTTCGCTTATCGATGGAATTATTTTTGGTATCAAGCCATAACTTTTATTATTCATCCCCAATGTACACCAGTTGTCAACTGAAATTGAAAAGAATAAATATAATAAAATTAATTATCTTCCATTCTTCCAGCTTCAAGCTTAGACATTATCGTGGAAAACTTTGAATATTTTCCTATTTTCTTTCTTACTCCTGTTTAAGAAAATCAAAACAAATAAGTTTTGAAAATTAATATTTTCTTTGCTTGCTTATAAAACAGTTGAAGCTTTTGATATTTCTATATTTAGATAGTTAAGAGGGTGTGGGAAGAAAGTTTCATAATTAATCATTACTGATTAGATTTAAGTTGCTCAAAAATCTCAAAGAACTTTTCATTATACTGTTTGTCGAATTATCTTTATGTGATTAAAATTGAACTAATTAAAATCAAATGAGGATCGAATTATACAGAAAGAAATGTATTTGATATCTTATTTAAGTTAATTTAGAAACCAAACCACAACTTGAGGGTGAAAAAAGTTTGAATTCGAAAATCTAATATATTGAAAATTTCAACTTCAACTTCAACTTAAATATTTGGTTAACCATCATGAATCATGAAGGATTCACTATGATAAAGGACACTCAATAAATTACATTCTGATATTTGTTTTATTTCCAAGAAAAAACCACAAACGGGAATGTTTAATGAACTTCTTAATATATTTCATTTCAGATACAAGTTTGGAAAATAAGAAATTCATTTATTCCAAATAGATTTTGCAAATCGAAAATAAATACCATTAAAAGCATAGAATAAATTTAAGTTCGGAAACAAGTGTGCTATCGAAACATCTCCCAAACATGACATATTTGAACTGCATCCCAAACATTAAAGAACAAATATTTAGGAAAAGAAGAATATTCCAGTTGATTTTAAATGATTGGCTTTTAATCTAGAAACCATTTCGATATTTAACTAAAATTAAATTTAAATTTTTCAATTTGATTTTGTGTCATAAATGTTCTACAAGACTTTCAAGTGATTTTGCAGTATTCACAAATACTTTAATGTCCGTTTGATAGTTATTTTTATGTTAATAGCTAGAAATTTTAATAATTTATCGACAATACAATGTGAATCTATAAAATTCTTCTTCTTTTGAACATCTCTATAACTACATACATTGTTGATGTGGTTTTCCTTTGTGCCTTGTACTCGTGTGTGCAATAAAAAAAATCAATAATGCAGAACATGTAATTTTAACCGAAACGAATTTTTCTGAACAATCAAGAGCTTTGTTTTCGTAAAAGTTTCAGATTAAATTTCTAGTTAGTGAAAGTTTTCAAAGAACCAATTAACATTGTCGATATTGTTGTTAATCTGTTAAAGATATTATTTATTCTTAAAGAATTTAACCACAACTTTATGGTCATCCACATTGAAGAATGCTTAAGCTTCTTCAGTGAAAAGTAAAGAAGCATCCTAAGTTCATTAAAAACTGCCACCTCATTAATTTTCTGTTTTTCCATCGCCACCACGTTTATTGTTTCTTGTATATTTTCATTTTCAAAGATTTTGTTTAAGTACGTTAGGGAATACTGAGATAACCAAAGAGCTTACAATGTTTAATGTAGTATAAAAAGGCCGGAAATAAACCGCAACGACAAAAGGAAAATGTAAATAAAACATTTCAGTAATGAGTTTGTGGTTAAACTGAGTTTTCTTAAGACACAAAAAAATTACACGAGTGTCTAGTTTTTGATGATTCAACATTCATGTGAATGAGATTTCCTATTTTTTGTTTTCTTAACGACATTGCGTGGGGTTACAATAAAATCTATTGGGATTTTCATCTTGTTATATTTCATAGTGAACTTTTCAATCCTATAAAGCTTTCACGTCAAACAGATCAGAGCAAATAAAATTTTATTACGATTTCAAAATCTCATCAGTTTACATCTTTTTCTTCATTGAAAAGGAAACTTCAAGGGAGGGCAGAAAAAAGACAGAGAAAGTAAAGAAAATTATAAATTGCCGGCGTTTGAAGTGATTTGCGGAGGAATAACAATTGAAACAAAAAGCGTTTCGCTATTCCCGCTTTTATTATTTGCGTCGAACTAAACTAAAACGTATTTCCGTCTTTTCTTCCGATACTAGGTACTTTTGTTTGTTTTGTATTTCCTTTATGCTGTTTTTTTGATCAAAAGTAGCGGATATGGTGGCGTGAGGCGACAGAGAAAGAAGAAAAAAATTGATAAAGCGAGCGGAAATTATTCGCTTTTCAGCGAACTCATGGAGCGAAGTTTCTTTGTTTGTCTCATAAATTTATACTTTTTTTTGTTTGTCATGAGACAAATGCATTTTATTCCCTAGTTAACTAAATTCAATTGATTGAACTGTTAGGAAAAGTTTGTTATTGAACTGTTTGTTCTCAGCTAAAAGGTTTAAATAACTTTATAAATTTTGGATTAAAATAACAAAAACTTTCTTGAAATTATATCTTAAAGGAAAATAAAACGTAGAGTTAAAATGTTTTCCAACAACACACTATAAATAACCATAACAAGTTAGCTTGAAGCCAGTACATTATTTTTCCATTCGACATAATATCATAAACATTCACTTTCCCTGTCTATCAACTTAATGAGAATATCGGCTTTTATTTTATTGTTAAATTTGCTTTAATGATTATAACAAACTCGTGTTTTAAAAATTCATTCATGATGTTGTTGTTATTAATATTTTATTGAGCGGCAATCCTTTAATTCATTCATGCCTTATAGAAATTTTGGAGATTAACCCTTTTTACACTTTTTTCTGTCGGTTTATTTTAGGGCGTAAACATATCGTTTTTATAAGAAGATTGATGGTTTTACAAGCTTTTATATAGCCTCGACTACTCTATGCTTAAAGTATGAAGGGTCGTCTTAGATTGATTATTTTGAAGTTCTGTTGATAGGAACTTGATCATTATTAAGGCTAGGTCAAGTGGCTTGTATTTTAAAATACAAGGGTGGCTTTTAACATAATTATGGTGATTATATTTGTTTGCCTTTTTGACGATTATCGTCTCATTTTGTTGCTCCCAATTCTCGGTATGTATTTATGTATGTGAGAGATAAGCATATGCTTTTCATTTACTTAACTCAATAAATGGTAATGTAATCAATGTGATTGCTTTTATTAATACACTCAGAATATAAAAGTATTCAAGATGCTCCAAAATCCAAACGCAACTGTCTTCTTTTTCGCAACAATACTTATTATTAATATATTATTTATTTAGATTATCAAAATTACCAAAAACTTTTCTTTAAGCAATCGTTTTTGTTGCTCTGACGTCAAGAGGGAATGAAAATACTTTCCGAAAAATTATGAACCGCTCAATCACTGATAATAAATTTTGAGCCTTTTACGATCTCTTAACATCTAAGTTCAAGATCCCAAATCGTTAATCAAATAAATTGGCAAATCAAGTAAAACCTTAAATCTTTCGAGTCGAGTTCTCATGAATTCTGCATTAACTCTTGAAGCTTATTAATCTCATCACGTTTCGTTAGAATTATGTTCAAGCATAAAGCATGCTTATTCAATTACGCAATATGGCAAAACATCTGAAGCGACTTCAGTTTTATAAACTCGAGAGGATATATTGATTAAGCTCAACGTTTTATATTCTTTTAAATGTAGAACAATTTCGATGGATTCAAACTAAATGGGCATACTTAAGCTATAACTAAACATCAAATATTTGTCATAATTTAATGAGAATATACTCATGTTAATTTACCACATTAATCCACTGTTACATATCCAATATGTTAATTGGAAATATTGAGAAATGTTTTTTTTTCGATTCACTTGATGGACATTCAGTTATATTTTCTACAAATTTACCTTCTTATAGACTTCTTATTTCCCTTATTCTCAAAAGTCATAACTCACAAGTCCATCCAAATGCTTCTGCTTCCACCATAATCGGAAATATTTATCATAAGCATTGCTATCTTTCCATACTTCGACATATTATAAATACATTCGTAGAAAGAAACATTTTCTTGAAACATCCAATATATTGTCGATTCTGTTAGTATCAGAAAATGTTTTCATACCACAATAAATATCCTCGGTTTCATTCACTTATTGTTGAGAAAAATAATTATCAAAAACAACTTTAATTTGATGAAAACGCAAAAATTTCTGATGAATTAAAATCAATTTTCAAATGTTGATTAAAATTCTTGTGACGTGTTTCGTGATGAAATAACTTTTTTCTTTTTTTTCATAACGGCGATTTAAAGGAATGCTAATTTCAGTTACGAAAGAAAGAAAAAAATTAAAAGCTTTTTCGTATTCTTAAGAATGTCATTAAAACCATTAAAGTAATTATCATGATTTCGTTTTTCTTTCTGTCTGATCAAGATAAGACAAATTGGCTGCTTTGTTCGACATGCTTAAATAACTTTTCTCCCCTTTTCACAAATACATATTTCTTTCATTTGATATTACTCACGCGCAGCGCACAATTAAACCACTAAGCAGATTTTTGTCTGTCAAAAGCACGATGTTTTTGATGTAACATGAAAAGCGTGTAGATTACATTTTCATTAAAACTTCATTCAAAATGTTATTGATAACGAAAACTGTCAAACGCACGTTTTGTCGTCAAAGAAATGATTATATCACACGTTGATTTTATCAATTTCATCCATGAGATCCGAATATTGATTCAAGTAACAAATGTTGGGACTTAGATCCAATAAAGCAAAGGGTTCACAAGCAGAAAGAAGCTTAAAAAAGTTTGAAATCAGTGATTCTCATTCCATAAATGAGATAATATGCTGTGCAGGAAACTCGAGTTTTAATATTATTAAAGAATGAAAAAGAAACAGAGTGGTTGATAGTTATTTCATTGTCTTAATTATGATGCAACAAAAAGCACACACCCAAAGGATGAAAGTATTCACTCGTTTGCTCGCCGCATGCTATAAATTCCGTTAAGTTTATTGTTCAACTGCAATCGCTTAAATATGCTGCCATTAAAGTCGAAAGGCAGTGAATAGTAAAAACGTTCTCATCCTGAATAATAAATATTGTGTCATAATATAGTATAGAAAGAGGATCAGGTGAATCTACGGATGCTTATGAATGCAAATACTGACAAAAAGTTTTCGTTCTTTATTTCCTTCTCTAGTTCTTTCGGCGTTGCTTTATTTATCTCGTGTGAGATTTGGGAGCAAAACTGCTATCATAAAAAAGTCTGAGATGTTCTCGAATTCAATTCGTCTTGAAACACATCATCGTGAAAAGTCTTTAAGATCGCTATTTGAATATTTATACTATGGATAAGTTGCTTTAAGATTTTCTAAGGATAATTTTGTTTTATTTATTTATTAATTTTTAATGCTCTTTATTCTTAAAGGGTTAAAGTTTAAAGGAGTAAGATATACTCATGTGAATTGTAAAGGTTACAGCTCAACGCCACCAATAAAAATCTTGTTTTCTTTTTTTTGGAAAACTTTGATATCAATATTTGATGAAATCTGCTGCTACTATTTTGTGTAGATAAAAGTAAGAAAAGGTGGAATATTTTTCTTCTCTTTTTTTTGGAAAAGGTTAACTTCATCATATCCTTTTTTATTTCAAAAATCTTCTCCATCAAGCCATTGTACGGAATTTATTAAATTATATTTCATATCTCCGCTAATGTTTTGGAATGTGGGCATTAGCAAAATTGCCTCAGATTAGTTGGGATGATAAGGAACTCAATTTCTTTTATTGGTTTTATCACGAAACTTTATTTTCACTTTAAGCCAAGGTGTTATTATTTTGTGGTATTTTGTGATAAAGAAAGTTAATATTATTGTAAAAAATACAAAGTTTCTTTTGTTCCTTTATTACTTGATGCAACTACAGTACATTACTTTTTATGTAAATATATGGTGATTCCTAACAACGGTACTGGTTAGTACACTCCCTACTCTGATGATGAACAACGGGACTGAGTAAATTGAACAAAACGGGTAAGAGTTTAAAGGAAATTTGATTCCTAAGTAGCATAGTAGAAATCTTTATTAAAACATGTTTGGGAAAATACTTTAGGATTTATTTCATCAATACTTTAATGTAACATGTTATAGATTCAGTTATATAGATATAAAGATAATTTAGTTATTAAAATATTTTGCATTATTTTCAATACAAGAAAAAATGTCTCAATCAGATTTTGACTAATTTCAAATTTACTACGAATTTTATAATAATGAACGTTTTTTTTTGAAACATGGTACCAATATTGAGAAAAAAAATCACTTTGTACGAACGGATTATGCTGATCTACTAGTTCCGGCTGACAGCAATCGTGAATTACACAAAATAAATATATTTTTCTTGAGCTTTAAACATTGGGCAATTTAATAAAGTGAGAATATAAACAAATCAATAACATAATTGTGAAGTGAGTACTGTAGAATTCTAGCTCAAAAATATTTTATTTGAACACTTAATAATTGATTTGACTAAAACCGCGAGTGACAGCAAAGTGACATCAGGTTTGTTTACAATATCCACATGCTGAGTTCGGTGCCGAATGAAAATTATATCGTAAATCTTTACACAAAACACGTTGATTGAAGATATTTTATGAATGATATTCGAATGCTTATTTTAAGGAATCTCATTAGACAAGCTGTATGTTACATTTTGGCTTTAATTATCAGTTATAAACATATTCTAATATCTCAACCAAATTTTTTTTCTTTGATATTAAATTGACATTAAATCAAATACAGAGTTTAAAGGAAGTTAGAAAATTGTTTACCAACTCTAAATTACCATCTCAGTTTGTGAGAAATTATTCGAAAAAAATGAATGAATCTCCAGATGAATCGACATCCATGGTCGCAAAACAAAAAAAGTTTATTCATGTGCAAACTCAACACGGCTGTCCAGAAACTGCTGACGAAGAAAATATTGTTATTCTTACAACAAGCTTTTCACCAGTTCGTGAATCATCCGAGGAAGTTGTATGGCATGAAGAAATTGCAGAAGAAGATGAAAACGTGAGTAGAAAAATTGATTCTTATCGTAAATATGTACATTGTATATGCTGAAAAGAGGGCCAGTTTTTATTCAACAGTTGAACTCAATTGTTTACATTTATAAATCTCAGTTTTTTTTTGATAATTTCTATTGCTTATTTGGAATTATCTTGAAATATTAATTGCTGAACTACGTCATTACGTGACGCACAATATTCAGAAATAATAATGGATAAACACAATTTTCTTGCTTGCGTATTTCAAAGTGATCACACTTGATCGTTTGTAGATCGCAGAGTGTCTGCGATTAAGATTCGTAGTAACAAATTATCCAGATCGGCTTCTGTTCTTATTTAAAAAGGAACTTATGGCAAGTTTATTTTTGAATCAAGATAATTAAATTAATAAAAATAATAAACTGCATCAATACGAAATGTTTAATCACGTCTACTTCCAAATCTTCACTTGATATAACGATGATTAATTTTTATTAGTTTCGCAAATGGCATGCTTGCTGTATCATTTCAATGAAAAAATAAACAATTCATCGTGGTCGGCATATTTCAAAACTTTTTTCGAAAAACATTTTTCCGAAATGATTTTTGATGATGAAATATAAAACCAAAACAGAAGTCAGGTTGAGAAAATTACTCAACAAAAACATCTGTAGAAAAATGTTTGTGGAGACTGTTGCTGAGAAGAATCTTCTCTTTTAATCTTGTTCTCTTGTGTTTTATGATGGGTCAGTGTTTTTTTTTAACATTGTAGAGTTAAATTGAATATAAATATTTATCTTTCAGTTACGCCTTCGATCGATTTTCTACTAAAATTATTTTTCTGTTAAAAATTTACACAACTAATTGACTTCTGTATTTGTACGCTCTTTTGACGTTTATTCTCATGACTATTCGCAATTCATTCTGTTCAATCTATCTCATTATAATTGGAATCACATGAAATGAAGACGAGAAGCAGAAAAAAAACTGCAAGTTCACTTGTTCGTCTTATCACACAGAAGCAACTTAGCAGCATTTCAACGATTCATGTGAAGATTATAAACCTGTTAGTCAACTTTAATTAAATCTCAATTTATTGTAATCGTTCGTCATTAATTAATCTGACACAACTGTCGTTTCCTCCTATTTTTCGCAAGATTACATAAGAACATTGCTTCGAGGTGGTGATTGCAGTGGCAAAAAAAAGACTTCATGTGGTCGTGAAAGAAAAATTACGAGTGAGAAGATAATGTTGTAATTATATTACTTTTCAGGGCAAGGTCATGGGAAGTACCGTGAAGAATGTGCATGAACCTAGTAATCATTATAATATTACAAAGCTAGAAAAAAAGAGTTAAAGACTGAGGAGACACTAGATAATGACATCAAAATAAACCCTGTGATTATTTTATTTCGTACCTTCCGTTTCTTTATTTGTTTTCAATGATACTTGATTTGAAACCTCAAGGGTCGAGACAAAGTGTCGCAAATTACTATAAAAGTATTGTAAAATATTTTTCAATTTGCTTCTCTTCTTCGTTTTTATGTCCACCTTTAACTAAATTCCAAGTGAATCTTTGCGTAAATTATATTTGTTTAAAATAAGTTTTCAAATTAAAGTTTGCTGTTAGCAGCTCAGTCTAGTTTAATTGTAATTACGGTCTCTAAAATATGATTTCTATTTTTTTTTGTCTTAATTACTTCATGTTACTACTTCTTCTTCGACCGTTTAAAAGTGATTTGCTTAAATGAAAAACACATGCTGCCCTCGTCGTTTAATGCTTCTGAGAAGAAGTAAGACGAAAAAAAAACTGAAAATAAAGCTGGAACGTAAAATTTTTCAAGCCATAAAGTTTTACTTTTCAATAACAAAGTCGTTATACTGAACCTAATTGTGATATTTTAATTAAATTATTGCTTTTATTAATGTTTAAATGGACGTATATATTTTTTTGTCGCTTCTGATTCGCCGCTTTTGTCATAATCGCTGAAAATGATGATGAAAAGTTTTGATGAAGATTTTTCATTTATAACTTTATATCATGAATATTTGAAATGAACTTGTGAGCCTCTCAACAAGTCATTAAGTTTTGTAGGCAAAACATCGATTGCCTGTCAAAATTTATTGGAAAAGTTTACTTCATGTTCGACAAGCCATTTTTACCCAAGCCAAATCGAGTAAATAATTAATAAAACAAAGTTTCCGTAGTCAAACGTGGAACATGATGAACACGGTATCGTGTCAAATTGCTGCTTTGCATGTCAAAAGCTATAAAATATTCTTCTTCATATGAACGAACATTGATAATGCGTTGATCCACTATCGAAGTTGAAAAAACCAATTCTTTTCATTAGACTTCTTTTGAAAACTGAGATTTTACATGTTATTCAGCGTTGTAATGATTAAATCTTAAAAATAAGAAGCTTCTCTACTCACTTTTAATTAAGCACATGGAGACATGATGTGATGTAGCAGGTATTTCAAGCCATCCTCAAGTTTATTAATGCTGCTCATTCAAGTTGCATGTAAAAACATTCTTGACGTTACAAGGACTCACTGTAAATGACGGCATATATGATGATGAAGAAGAAGACTAAAAAACATTAAAAATTACCGACCACGTTGTGAAACGACAGCAGTTAAAGATGAAAAATATTTTCATTAAATTATTCAATTAAAAAAGGCATAGGTATATTTTCGAGTCTAATCATTTTAATCATTAGGAAGATATAAAAATGATTTTTTATAATGGAAAAAATCAAGAAAATCATCGAGTTGCTATAATAATTGATTGTCATCGTTATAATGTTTACAGTGTACATAAATGCATTTCTGTTATCGATTAGAGCAGGCAAAGTCAGAACATTTACGGAGTGAAAATTACCAACTGCCTCAGAACACTGACGATTATTCATCGTCATTTATAACAATCATGCGAGGGAAGCATGCGAAAAATCTATTTTTATGGTTGAGAAAATTCATGTGAAATATGAATATATGATTTTAGTTTTCCTGCAGTCATGGTAAAATAAAATTAAAAACCAAATTTATTTTTCACTCATCAAACAACGAAAGCAAAATATAATTGAAAGTAACATTAGACAGTTAAATTTGTTTATTTAAGTTGAGATTTTAGCAAATGAATTTGTATTAATTTTATAGGAGAAATCTGACGTCGTCGTCGCTCGTTCTTTCATATGTAGCGTCAATAGTCGCACACTTCTAGTGTTCTAATAACAAACGCTCTCTATGCACGTCACGCTATGCATGTTCTTATAGATTCGCCACACTTCAATTTAGATACGAGAAGGCATCTTGATGAGGCATGAAAGCGAGAAAAGAAACCAGCGCCAGTCAACGAATAAATTCTTGAATTAAAGTTTCATGTACGCTTTTTTTTCTTTATTTAATGGAACTTTATAAATAACCAGATGAGCTACTCTGCCTTGTTCGCTCATCTCTAGATGGTTATTTTACTGAAAGTTTTAACACATAAACGTATATCGATTATTTCCTTATTTCGCAGCATGTAATTTCTCTCTTCAAGCGTCTTCATACTGCTAGTGTTTCAACCGTTTTTTTTTCTTCTCAAACCTCTCCGAACTTTCTTATCATTCCTAATAAACATGAAAATTTCATCATTAGTCTCCTTATCTTGGCTCTCATTCCTTCGACATTTTCTTCTTCTTCCATTTATCTTGAAGACGAAGATAATCATGCACACATTTCAACTAAAAGATTAACATAATTAAGCTTTAAAAATTAATGCTCGTAATTTTTAGGGTGTCCCCGTGGACATTTATAACGACATGAGAAAATAAAGTTTTCTCCTCTTCTTACCACACGTCTTTTAAATTTGAATCGCTTGGTTATTCTTTTTCATGAGAAGTAAGTAGCGAGAAGCGACGAGAAGACTGTCTGAATAATGATGAAGCGCTGTGTCACTTAAAATAACTGAGGCAAATGGATCTCGTTTGACGTAAACATTTGCTGCACTCACTTGGAAGGAATCCTTTAGTCGCCATATCTCTATGGTGTTCGTTAAATTGAATTCTTTGATCGGATATGTCTTCTTTCTCTTTCACTCTTCTTCCTTTAATAGTATTTCCTCGCTATGTAGCTTCCGTGTAAGAAAATATTTTTCTCCTTCCATGCCACACAGCAGGATATGAACAATGAATGAATGAACGTTGATAGAAAACCATAGACGTTGTTTAACATTAAATTAAAAAGCTTTTATTCGACCTTTTGTAAGTGAATCCTACAATAAAAATGATAAAATTATGGCATTTTAAAGACTTGTTTAATTTTCAATTTATTATTTGTAATAAGAGAAAAGAACAAATGTCTGAATATTTCTTTGATCTCGTTTTACGCCACTTTACATTTGAATCAATGAAAGCCAAAATTCATGCAACCTTCAAAATGAATTCTTTTTTTTTTCTTTTCACTTTATGTACATTCAATATTTATGATTGTGGATCTTTTGATGTTTGAATATATGATACAATGTTTAAGTGAACACATGCACATACACACAAATATAAAAAGAAAAGAGTTCTTAAATTCATTCATAACTTTTTATAAGATATTTAAATATTTAATAGAATTCACTATAAATCGTAGTTAGTGAAATTTATGAATCCATTCTGATTTGGTCGCAGAACTATGACAAGTTTCTTCCTAAAGACTACATAGTTCATTTTTACAATCGTATCAATAAATAACTCAAGTATAAAAGTTTAAGTCTTTGAAGATCAATTTAACACATTGAATTGAATCTAAGTTAACAAACGATTACAATTAGCAAAAAGATTTCAAGAAACTGTTCAAAGTTTTACAAATATAATAAAGAATAAAAAAGATTTTTATATTTCTCTCGAAAAATAAAATCTTTTAAGAGTCACATAGTTACAATGTTAATTGAAGACTCTCGGATTTTTTATTCACAACATTCGAATACAATTTTTTAATTTGTTCAACAAACAATTAGACGAAATAAAGTTGAATATGAAGGTCATGATCGTGGAAGTTTCTTTGAAGTTCAAGAGTTGCGTGTTTAAAATTCCATGTATTTATATTTAGTGCGTGTTTTTAATACTGTGTGTAAGTAATTACGATGACAATTTGGCTAAACAGAGCTTATACAATTCAATTTTAAACGTTTCGAATGAATCGAAACAAATTTAAAAAATAAAATCATAAAATTTTCACAACGCTCCAAGTCGTAAATCAAGAAAAATATTTTATTGCTTTTGGTCTTTGTCCTTTGGTTTATGAAAATGTGTTCAACGTCATTTAGATTTCGACAAAACAAGTAAAATATTCAATTAAATGCCAATAAATTAAATAAAAACATGCCACAGTTGTAGACATTTAATTTTGAAAGATGAAAATTGTTTATCTGTCATCAAGAGCCATTTGGATAATTAGAAAGAAAAAAAACTGAATTCTGTTTTCTCGATTTTATCTCAGTATCTCAGCCCTAGAGCGACAAAATATGTTTAATCTATTAAAATTAAAATCCTCTGTTCTCATAAGTATCTAGTAGACAAGAGATTTTCCAGTTTTCATCGTTTATTCATTTTAATGCCTCTCCGCTTTGACTTTCATCGTCAATGGATGATAAATAGCAGCTCATCTTCTTCCCTTCCTTCATCGCGGTTTTTATGGGGTTTTTCATCTATCTACGCATATTTACTGATCTCACTGTATTAGATATCTTAAACATAAGCCACTAAAAAAAGGAAAAGAAAAGATCGTGATGTAGAAAGAAAAATCGACGAAAACATTTGTTTCAAACCGACAGACACATTTATTTCTTTAGTTAAAATTTTCTATAACATCAACGTCCAATTTCCACTAAAACGATGACGATGATGCGTACACGTGATGTTAAAAATAACTTGGCGAATACATTTAGTGCTTGATGAGACAGCAGCAACTTTAACTGCTTGATTACGTCGCTTGGTATTGATAGACAAGGAGAAAAACTTCTTAAACAAAAATTTTCACGTTAATATTTCATTCACAAGTGGTGTAGATAGGTTCAGGAAAAAAAGTATTAAAATGTTATATAAACATTTCCCCTATTCCTCTTTTTTTCTGTTTCCACACAAATCATTTTTCATACATTTCGTCTTCTTATTTTCAAAAATAAAATTCTGTTTTCATTTTTTGTGGTTTTTTTCTCGCAGTTCTTATGAATGAAAAAGTTTTCCATGTGATGTTCACGCCAGAGGCCAGACGATCACACGAGAATGTTTATATAACATTTAATAACGTACCTCATAAGATAATTAACGATGCGAGTTCAAGAAAAATCGTGGCACATCATGTCAATTAAATTTGAAAACAATTAACGGATTTGTAAAATCTTGAGGGAGTTGAAAGAAGAAAAAGAAGAAAAAGTTGATTGAATGAAAAACGTTGAGCGTGCTTTTTTACCTAAACACTGTTCTGCGAGCTCTCTTGAAATTTTAATTAAGGCTTCATTTTGAGACAAGTTAATGAAGTCTTCTAGGCTGTTAGGTTGGCAAACTTTTGATTGACGTTTAAGAACGAAAATGTCGTGAAGATTTTTCGCTATAGAAAGTCTCATCCGATGTTAATGGTGAGGTTTATTCAGGCTCTTTTTTTAAATCTTAATGATGTTTTCATTTCATTAATTAAATTTACGTTATAAAATAATAAACTTCGCCCTTGAGTGAGATTCTTAATTTTTAATTTTAATTTTGGATTTTTTACTTCAATGATTTGAAGACGTCAGAAATTAAAATAAAAAATATTCTTCATTCATTGAATTTTAGTAATAAAATTTTTATATTTAAAACTTCTGTCTTACAAGTGGGTGTTTCGTAATTGGATTTTTATCTTACATGATGGCAATTATCTCAAATCGACATGAAATCATAAAGTAGGTAGTTTCATCGTAATCTCTTTCAATATCTTTTAACAAGTAAAAAAATCCAATTTTCTTCTTTTGTTAAATGTTCTTTAAATCATCGCTAAAAGTTTGCGGACGATATCCAAGCTTTCGGTAAACAAATCTTCCGATGATTAAAAAAGAATGTAAATCTATTCACGATGGCAAGTCCTTGTTGTTGTTTTTAAAAGGATGAGAAAAAGTTGATGCAATAAAGAGATGTTGATAGAACATGATCTCAATAAGCTCTTTGAGGCACAATCGATAATCTTGTTCCTTTTTTTCATTAGTTTACTGTTGTGTGTATGTGAGTGCAGTGATTTGAAGATTATTATAATGAGAGGGCTTTAAGGACTTTCATTACTCCATGGTAAGAGTGATATCAACCGTTGTGTCAACAACTCATAGTCGGTATCTCATGAAAACTGACAAAAACTTCATATTGAAAATCTGGTCGTCTAAGTACTCTTTAATCTTCTGTTTTAATTAAGTTTCAAAGATTGTCTTATACAAAAAGTTCCACAGTTTTCTTCTGCTACTCTCGTTAAGAAATCTCTGAAACAGATTTTTAAAATGCTGTCTTGATTCAATCATTCCACCGCACAGCAAACTTGAAAAATCAAAAATAGAACCATGCGACTGGGAAAAAGCAAAATCACAAAAGAAAATTGAATCTCATTTTCCTTTAAAATATAAAATCTTTTGTGCTGGTTACGCGCGGTAGTTTGAGACACAAAAAAAAATTAAATTTTATCTTCGATAGTCTGAGAAAATGTTAGGAAATTTTTTCTTAATTATGTCGATTTGACGCCGACTTTTTACATTAAATGAAGATCGGAATGAAGAAAACGACTTAAGATTTATTGTACACGCATGAAGTTTAGGGAATGTCAAATGCCAACAAATTTAATTGTTTCGTTTCTTTTTATTCTCTTCATATACCTAATGTCACTTTCAATCTTTTTAAGTTCCTCTTACATTCGTTTCCATCCACAATATCTATATGTGTTCTATATAAAATATTAAATAAAAGAAAAACACTCATAAAATTTGTCCGAAGCACGTTCAAGTGTGTCTTTCGGTTCGATAAAATGAGAGCGAAAAGCGTAACGTTTTCTTTACCAAAATATATAAGATAGAAAGAAATTCAATTTTTACAGCTTATTTTATGATCATCATGTGGGGATCAACAACATTATAGAATTATTAGAGTACATCGTTTGATTTATTATGTCTAACCTCACCGATTATTATTATGATTCGATAATTCATAGTTCAAAACTCAGCATCCTCATGCTTCCTTATCATCGGACATGTTTGTAGTTCAAAGCACCTCTTAAGTATCGTAAATCATTTTAGATTGAGATTTGTAATAAAATTATTTGAAAAATATGACTTAGCGACTTTTAGGTGAGTGAGAGGTTTTAACTTACAAATGTGATGTTTAAATCTTATCATTTATCAAATCCATCAATTTATTAATTGGAGAATTGCCAGAAGTTATCTAATTTTTTTATTCTACAATCTGATTCAAGTGCTTATCAACAGCATTAAATATTAAAAAGAATAAAATAACTTTCAAGCACGTTTTGGTGTTTTCCTTCTGTACATATCGACATGACTCCATTTCAATGTTTTTCTTTATTTTTTTTTTTCGTGAGAACCTCAAGGAAGCCGCAGGAGAAAATGAAAATGGATTCTCTCCGCTGAGCCTCAGAAATGGTAAAAACTTATGTCAATATATTATCTTTCATAATATGATGAAAAGCATTGCCTTTGAAATACGAGTAATCTGTTTGCTAAGGTATAATGTTTCAAAAAATGTTTCACAGCATTCGTTTTCAAAAGGAAATTGAGAATCTTTGTTAAAACAAATTGAAAATCAAAATTTAATTTAGCGGCTTTGCTCTGAAGGAAGAGAAAAAAACAAAGTTTTAAGATGAATTTTTTGCGACGTAATGATACAAAACGAAAACGAAAAGATTTCGGTGCTGCGGGTTGTGAAAAAATGTGTGCTCATTAATTTTGGGACTCAGATTTCGAAAAAAATAAGAAACAAAAGCAAGACAATAAAAAGTTGTTGTTTGAAGTCATAAATCTGCGTTTATTGAAACTTTCGGTTTCAAAAGATTCATTCAACATTTTTTTTGTTTTTCATGAAAAAGCAAAAGCAATGGAGATTTTTATTCGTCTCAAACCACAATGAGTTTTCTCATGCCTTCCCGAACAAAAACTCGTTCAACAGTTTTAGCTGACTACGCTGCGGCTCACTAACTAAAAGTCAGATTGACAACATGTTAATGTTTCTGCATGAAACATTGTGACTTCGCGTAAAATTAATTTAAGCATTCTGTTCAGACACACGATGCGAAAAAATTGCAATGGCTTTTCATTCGCAGTACTTATGCATGAAGTTTTTTGATTTTATAATTTATGGTCGCACTACTCAGCGACAAAAGAAAAAATGAAAAGAAGCTATGAGAAAAACGTGAAAGAGAATCGCGTTCCTACAAAATGTGCTTTAGTTGGCGATGTTCCAAGAAACAGAACTAACCTAATCAGACTATCTATTGGAATGAAACTCAAAGATTATTCAAAAGAAGCTTCCAGTGATGGTTTTTTGTCTTGCTTGATTTTACAAGGTTTTCTTCTTCTTCTTGTAGTTATTTTAATTGAACTTAAAAGCAATCAAAATTAAAATTAATTAAAGTTCAACAAGTTTAAATCGATGTTCATATCGTACGGAAAGAGAAACAAGTTATCGTTCAACATCGAAATACTTGGATTATTACCATTGTAGCCTTGAGCATATATGCGTAACATTACAGATTTCAACAACGAGTAAAAATGTTTTTGACTTATGCTTTGTAAACGAACTATTTCTTGTTAAACTATTCAGTCAAATGAAGGTTTTAATGACTGTCGATGACTTCCATGATCATGGTTGATTAGATCATACATGATCTAAGGTTATCAGTGATCATGCCTTGACCTTAGGATGGAGATGAATCAAACAAGAATAGAATATTATGATTTTTGCAGATTTTTGGGGGGTGGGGGTTCGAATATGTGTGACTTTGTTCAATGATCGTACATTTTTTAATAACATTTATTCAAAAGGTGAAGTTAACAAAATTCTATGAAAGAAGTCAAGATGTGCTTAAAAATAATAAATTTAAGACGCAAAATCTTGTTCTGGCTGATCTTTATTATTCAATTGTTGAGTAATAAATCATACAAATTCAGGCACCTTTGAAGACACAAGAAAATCGTCACTTCCATGTCATGTCAATAATGAAATAAATTTACCCTTCAGTTTACGAACACGGCCATAAAAAGAATATTTAGTTAACGTTTTGGAGCATGCAACGTAAAGTGGAATGTACCTTTTGTATTTATTTATGTATCTTTGAAATCGTTTCCCTTTGAGAACAAATCAGGTTTCTTCTTCACGTGACAAGTTTTCTTTCTCTTCAATCGTCAATTAAAGGAATCTTGAGTCTTCTTATCGTTGAACTCACTCAAGGACCGCTTCAAGCGACAACAAAAGTCTGTCGTTAACCATAAATAGTAATGTCATCGTTTATACGAAGCTGTTTGCTAAGCGCTCAAAGTTGAAATTCATACAACGTGATTTGCCAAAAAGAATTTAAATAAAATTGCCATGTACTGAAAAGTCTCTGAAGCAATTGAACTGTTAAAAGCAACAAGTGTTTATGTCTGTTTCCTCTCAGACTTCATTTCCAAACAAAAAAAGCATCGAGAAATTGAAATTGTCATTCATGATCATTTATTGAAAGCATGTGAACATTCATTCAAATTCAAATGAAAGTCTTAATTTCTTCGCTGTAAGATATGTCATTGATATTACTTATGACTCATAATAATAGACAACGAATGAACCAATTTGAAAGCATTTTTGTTTTCTGTTAGCTTCTGAAAGCTCTAGAATAATCAAAATCTACATTCAAATGTTGTTTACACTAACTAGAATAAATTCTTGTTAGATTGACGTTTTTATTCACTGAAACTGAATTGAATTAATTAAATTGTTATTGCACAGTTTTTCCTTTTCAATCTGTCGAAACTTCAGGAATAATCTGCTTTGTTTCATGGAGTGGAAACATCATCGCATTAAAAGATAGATGAATGCATTTTTCACTTGCTATTAGAAGCTTGAAAGATTAAAACATTTGAGTTTCCAGTAATTTATCAATTATTTAAGACAGTGCGAATATTCATTTTTTCACTGTACATAAGAAAAATATTTTTCATCTAAAACGTATCGTAATTGAAAGCACAAATACATTTTAGATTTGATGAGAAAACTGAGTATTTTCTTTCTTGATTCCATAAAGTAAAGGCAAAAGTCAGACAAACCGGAAATTTTTTTCCCAATAGGTTTTACAACCTGTCAATGTTTAAAATGAAGGAAATTAAATGCACAAATGTAGGTGCTATTGAAAAATAAATGCATGTACTCAAAATCAGGTTTTTATGAAACAAGAAACAAGTTCTGATTCTGAGTGAAACTTGAAAAAAAAATATTCGACTTCGATTATTATTTCTAAATAACACACAATTGCACGTGTTGTTATTTGACCTTTAAGTGCAATAAAATGTTTTATTTATGGAATTGTTATCTTTCTTCATAAACATTTATAATTAATTAAATCAATAGAAGCATTTCGTATTATCCATTCATACGAGAGAATAATTTCATGTAAAGGCTTTTAATTCATTCCGAACAGAACTACTTCCTATTCAAAAAATCTAATTGTATAGCACGTGCTTCAAAATCTGTGAAAAATCTCAAACATGTGTGAAACTGAAATAGAATTAGGAAAATTGTAAACTTAGATTTTATTGCAGATGAGGTTTGCTAATGAATGCCAGTTGCGATAACTTTTAACTTACGTCTTCCTCTTGTCTGTATTTTCGTTCATATCTTGATTCCCAGCTCCATGAAAGTGTAAATGTTTCAAGAATTTTTGTAGAAATCACTGAATCGCACTTCTCTTGTATAATCGAAGTAAGAAAAACGAAAATATTTTCCTACTTTACCTGGCTTAATTCAATTTCCTATCAAGTGCTGTTTTTCCTTAGAAATTGCTTGTAAAAAAGAAAAGAAAAAAAGAAGAAGAAAAAGTTTGGAACCTTGGCAGGTTCATTTCGATTTTGGAATATAAACTTCGGATTGTGATGCAAAAAAAGAAGAACGAAAATCGTACCATGAAAGTAAAGAAAAATGTCGAAACATGCGAAAAACTGTATAAAAGATAATGATCACGAATGAAACTTGACAACTTTTCTGTTGCTTTCATTGTTGATTTTTGCTTTGAATTTTTTTGCTTTTTTTCCTGTTCAAGAATAAAACACAAGGCAAATGTTTACCACGCGTCATATGCAGCATCAAGTTGGACAACATAAGAGAAAATAAAAGTTAGTGATTCAGTTTAACTTCATGCATGATTTAGAAAGATTCTTATAAAGTTTTCAAGTAAAAGAAAGAAAATGGCGAAAGATGAGCTTAAATTTTTCATCTTCTATGTTTCTACTCTGTGTGATGATAAATCAATTCCAATGACCATAAAAGTTCTATTCGCTCATATACACAAGACAACCTTTTTTGTATAAGAAAGTAAATCGTGTTACTCGATTTTCTTGTCCCATAAGAAATCTTCATTTATGCAAAACAATATTTGAGTGGCATGAGATCTGAAAATAAAGTCCCAAGGATTCTCAAATACTTGAGATTTACCATATTTTCTATCGTATTCTCACTTTTTGTCTTCGTCTTTTCTTGAGCTGAGCTGACGGTACGAGAATGAAAAAAGAATGAATACAAAAAAGAAAGAAGCGTAGCCTGCGTAGACTTACAATAGAGAAAGTAAAATACTCCCGTCCCATTTCATTTCGTGATTAATTGTCAGCTCGTTTGTGTAGTGTGTACATCTCTATAACGTCGTTGAAATTCGTAGAAAATATAAGAAAGAAGAAAAGAAATATATAAAAATAGAATTTCATTTCGTTATTGTTGCCGGGATTTTTCTGCTTGACTTCCAACATACACAGCATTTTTAGTGAAACTAAAGGCTGAAAAATATTCACAACTGAAAAGTCTGCATAGTCGCTTACTTCTTAGTATATTTGGTCGAACGCTACATAAGGTTTGTGGATAACTTTGAAGGAACAGATATTTAAATGTATAAGTTCAGTCATTTGTATTCGACGAGACTTTGTTAAACGAACAAAAAAAATATTTTTTCGGAACAGATGTGATCATAGTCATAATATAAAAAGAAAAAAGATTTCCCGTTCTCTCACAACATTTTCACAAAATACTCAGAGAGATTAATTTATACTCTCATAATGCTCAACTTGTTACTTCGTGTTTGAGTCTTGCACACGATTCGTCTGCTTTGTATCGCAATTTTCTCTCTTATCCGTAACTTTTGTTCTCTCACTCAGCTGAAAAGCAGCAGCAAAATATTGTAGAATCTTTTTCATATATTGTTAATACAATCGATGAAAAAGTTTAGTCTTTTGCGAGCCACAGTCGGTGATTGTTATCGAGTTCTATGTAAAGAAAAACGGGCGGTGAATGAGAAAAAGAAAAAAAGTAAAAAATAATAGAGAAAAGAAAAGTTGACAAGATTAGGAAACAAAACTAAACAAGATAGAAACTTTGCTTTTATATTTTAAAACGTCAGATGTGCGACGTTTTCCAATGATGGATTTTTGAGTGTTTCCATCTTACAACAAAAGATATTTATTTTTGTAAGAAAAAGAAAGAAGCGAGTTCACTAAAAGAAAATATAAAATATGTTCAAAGAAGAAAAAAATATTTTCCATGCTATAAATGAATTTGCACTGTGCTACACATAAATATCAGTTGGAAAGTAGGAATGCTTTTGACTATGCGGAGTGTCTTAAACTAACAGTTTGCATTCTTCCTTTTTACTATTTTCACTTCGTCAAAGCAAAACAAAAAAAAAGAACAAAAAAGTGAAATCAAGTTTGGAGTGGTGAAAAACGCCCCACATTCATTCTATTCTTAAAAAAAGTGGAAAATATCGATTTCCATGAAATTTTATTTTCCTTGAAGTTTATTTATTATTTTTTTGTGCTTCTTTCATATATGATCCTTTACATTTTTTATAAGAAGTGAATGAAAATTTTCTTTATGCTTCATCATATCGTTTGATAAAAAAAAAGAAATCTATTATCAAGACACAAAGACGAATCATTTATAAAGTAATATTTCACATTCGATAGTGAAAGGAATAATAAAGAGTGTCAAGTGTATTTTGCAAAAAACCTCTGCCATTGTGTTGATAGATATTTTACAAATATGATTTTCCATCTATCATGTGATAATGCCTTGGAAATATTTTTCTTTTCTTCGTTCGTTCTTTGCTTTCACTACATTATAGAGTGCTCCCGTTGTATATATATTTTATGGTTCATACTCTATGCTTCGACTTCATAAAAAGCAATCAAGAAAATTCATTTTCGTTTTATCGTTATGCCATCGAACACGACAGTAACAAAACGCTTTTTCAGACGGAAAGCGTCTGATGTCGGAGATAAGAATATAAATTCCGTTTCGCTATACTTCATTCTTTTTTTTCTCCTTTCTTTCTTTCTTACTTGGTTTTCCTGCGATATCTTAAGTGACTTTCATTCAAGTGACAACACAAAGGTGCTAGAAAGCTCCTTTTGAATTGAGATTAGAAGAAAATAAATGCGAGGCAGCAGTGTCGTAATTTATCAGATCGCAACTATTAACAACTTATTTGTTGTTTTCATTTAAAAGAAAAAATAAAGAATACAACGGGGAAAAGAGTTTCGAACATGCACATTCAACAGGCGCAATAAAGATTTATCTTACCAATTTCTCGACTTGAAGAATATTTTGCCAAAAAAAAAATAACTAAAAATGAATTTGAGAGATTTTTTTTTGTTATTTCTTTCTTTAAATCGCTCGGTCTCAACATTATTCGTGTGTGGTTTTACGATTTAAAGTTAGTAAAGAAAAACATTTAAAAAAAAATGTTTAACGAAACAAAAGAGTTCTTGGTAAAACAGCATGAAAATACATAAATAATAAAAAGAAGGAGGGAAGTCTAAATGATTGCAACACAATGCATTTTACTTTTATTCTATAAAGTTATGGAGAGACAAGAAGTGAAAATTGAAAACGAAAACGAGGTCGAAGGCAGAAGATAGAAAAAACGTTATGATGCCAAGGCCTCGAGAATAAAATATTTATCGGTGCCTAAAACTGTTCTTCAACGGCAGATCAAACATAAAGATGGTTGAAAGTAAAAGTATTAAAGTAAATGTGGAAGAAAAGCATAAAGTGTGGAAATAAAACACAAACGGTGTAACTCGTAGTTATATAGAAGAAAATTTTCTTTTTCACTTCTCATCGCAAAGAAGTTTATTTTATTTTTTTTCACCGTAAGTTTCTCATCCATAAATTACGGTTGAATTTCTTTACACCCCTTGAAGCAACGAGCAATATTTCACTGAAAACCTTTCAAAGTTGTGTGTTAAACGAGGAAGCATTGGTAGGCCATAAAATTTCTAGGAAAATTCAAAAAAAGAAATTCCGCACATCAGTGTTAATTTTTAGTGCAAACTAAATTTTATTAGCTTCTCTTCGCCAAAGTCATTAAAAGTAGTAAATTGAGTAAATTTAATTTGTTTTTCAAGATATAAGCTATTTGCGCAATCAACTTCAATTCTCAAACGACTGTAAACTTCTGATCACATGATTGTGAAGATTAAAATGAAAGTAATAAACACGGCATTTGACAAGCACTCTGTCGATGTGCCAGCATCGACAAGAAAAAAAAGAATCATTATTTTAAATTTAAATTTTCACTATAAATGTGCTTGCACCACTGCTGGCACGAATTGCGACAACATGTTATTATGCTCCAACAGGATGAAAAATAATATATTCATTTTTATATGTATGTGCATATCATTTAGTATACAATTCATATTCATTTTCACAACAGAATATCTCATTTTGTATGCTCGTTTGAATGTCATTTGTTGTTTTAATATTAAACGAACATAAATGTTTAATTAAAACACGTGATTCAATTGATATTTTAACCATCTTTTTGTTTTAATTTTAGTGTCATTGATATTGTTAGACATTAAAGTGAACAATTTAACATTGTGATCTAATTTCGTTCTTGTTTTTATCACCTTCCGTTATCCTCCATTTAATAAACTTTACTCGTATTAAATTATGTAGAACTTTCAAATCATCAACTCCTAAACCTTTTTTATACATAGTTATCAAGCATAAAAATTTATTATGCAAATTATCCAATCGTCTATCTTGCCAACTATCAAAACAACTATACAACTTGTAAATAAGTACATACATAAAGAAAAAAAGAACATAAATTTGAAAGTTCGATGAGTTTGATGCGAACTTTATCATACTTTCTTTCGAATTTACCATAATCGTGTGCATTGAACAAATGTATTTATATGTATATGTTGATCGAAAAAAGAAGACTTTTTTTCCTCCCAATTTGACTTAATGCTTTCCATTCCTAACAGGAGAATTTCCCTTATTCTTATACATATTATTATTATTATTCTTTTATGGCACACATCGTTTTAGAAATCAAGTTGTTATCATTATTTAAATAAAAATCATGCCTTTTCCCATGCATGAATCCATTTTATGATTTCTTTTTTTTTTCTTTGATAATATCAGAAAACATTATTCTAATTTTATTCCAAGTTGAGCTTTTTTCTTTATTTTTTGGTACCATGTTGTTCTATTCCTTATTCTGGCAACATTAAACATAGAACAAAGAGAAATGAAAGATATCAAGTAAAAGTGATAATATAACAATAATATTATCTAATAAGAAAAGCATTCAAACAAGTTGGATGATGTCGAAGCGCATAAATTTTCCTTTCATACTTTGATGCTTTTAATCATAATTCTTATTATCTACAAGAAATTTGAGAACACATAACTCAAAACCGAAATATAAACATTATTATTTTACCACGATAAACAGAGCTTTTTTTTTCTCTTTCTCCACAATGAAAGAGTTTCACAGAATATGTTACAATCATAAAATGCTGGGCAAATAAAATAAAAAAACAAATAACGCAAGAGTGAAGACAACAAAAAAGAAAAGATTTTTGCATTAAAGAGTAGATATCTAACAAAAATTATTCTTTTTGTCATCTTTTGTTTGCACACGGATTCATTTTAATATATACAAGCAAATTGGTTGAATAATATGTAGAAAGTCATAAAAAAGCATGGTGCGCTATTAATATATTTAGATTAAAGCTTGAGCTCGACATTCCTTTTGTATTTATTTCATGTGATAACAAATGATAACGAAGTTTAGTCAGGGTTGAATGTGGACAATGGACAGTAGCTATTTGGAAAAATTCTCTATTTTGATTGCGATCAACTAAATGAAAATGCCAGAAAATCAATTAATTGCCTGGTCGAATCGTAGCCATTGTTTTTCCACCCTTCTCGTTCCTTTTAGTTCCAAATCTTTTTCTTTCTTTTGCAGTCAAGCTTAAACAAATGATATTTTACGGGTCTACGGACGTGTTTATTTTCTCTTTGCGGACTATATCATAACGTTATTACATATTTGTCGTCGTTATATTTGTGTTTTTTTTTCATGTTTTATGTTATCAAACAATCAACTTATGAAATCACTTTAGGTCTTGCTTTCTGTCAAAATAGTTTACCTTTTTTTTTGTTGTTCCGAGCGGAAGAATTTTTGTTGTCGATTTCTTGTTGACGTTGAAATTTTCAATGCAAACTATTAAAATTTACTCATGAGTGTGAATAACAGAAAATGAGTAAATGAAGCTCTTCTTTGCTTTTTTCGAGGATTAAAAGCACGTCCATAAGATGATTCTGCTGATTACGCTAAAAGTTTTCATGAATAACAATGTCGTGCGTTTGTAAATTGACTGCAATTAGACTAACTTCGAGTTCGCTTGCTTTCATACATATGCTTCATTAGATGTTTCCGTTTTCCGTTGTTTTCATTCTCTGAATGAGAACAATGCAAGATTTGTTTTTCGTTCTTTACTACATATCTCGATATGTGAATTAATTATATTGCTTGCGTCATTACACAATGTTAATTAATAGTTCATCGTTTAAACTAATACATCATCAAAAAACCGACATTCAATTAAATACGATCCTTGTAATAGATTTCAATTGAATGTAATCAGCTGAACAAGAGATAACCAACATAAATTCGAGCCGAACACTCATTCGCTTCGATGTGTTGTCACATGATAATCGATGATGAATTAATAAACCTTTCTCAATATCTATATATTTTTTTTCCAATCAATGTCTGCCGAATACAGAGCGTTTCTAGTTTGTTGTCTCGGATATTAAGTGTCTGATAAATACGCTGTTGACAAAACAAAAGAAAAAAATGTCTGATAATTAATTTACAGCACTTCTCAGTTTGTCTCGGTTGACTGATAATGCTTGACATGAAAAACGCTTTAGCAAAAAAAATATTGTACATATTTTTTTGCGTTCGTGGAAGAAATTCAATACTTTTTCTTATTCTTCTTTTCAATTGTCGAAAAAAGTGTATATGAAACCATAAGATTTATTGCATACGTGGTGTGGTGAAAATAAAAACGTAAACGACTTCATGTTGCACATTCAATAAAAATCAATTTCAGATCGAAACGAAAACTTCATGTTAAACAACAATTAAGATTTGAATGTGCTAGAAAAAGGAGAGAAAAGAAAATCTTTATCGCATTGAAAGTTCATCCAATTCAAAGAGATAATAGTGAGAGTGATTCTGATAAATTGAATTATCTGTTAGCAGTGTTGAAATAAAAAGATATAAAAAGGAATTGATAGAATAAATCATCGGAAGTTGTTTCAGAGAAAAGAGAATTTAAAAGCATCGTTAAGAAGATAAAGTTTCGAAAATCGAAAGTGTCCAAGAGATAAAGATTGGAAAAGTAAGTGAGAATTAAACAAAAACAAAATTAGTGAGAACAAGATTTGAGTTTGAAAAAAGATAGAAAAAAATATGCAGCATCATCCTGGATCCTGGTACATTCCTTGGGGTGTACCACTTCAAAAAATGTTGGCTGTGCCGTTTAATCCAGCTGCAGCGGGAGGCTATCAACCTCAAATAGCTGCCACTGCTGTGCAAGCACAACCACCACAGCCTCCGAATCAAACGCAACAATCACCATACACTCATCATCAGCTTCAAGCTATGCACCACAATCATGCAGCGGCAGCTATTCACCAGCAACTTAACCAACAATTACATCCTGCAGCAGCTGCTGCCATGTTTACGCCGCTAACTTTAAGAAGTTTCGTAGCACATCCACATTTGAATTTAAGTCAGCAGCCAATGCCATCAGCTGCACAACAACCCCAGCAACCTCTAACAAGTCAAACGCAATCACAATTAACAGCATTAAATTTAAATAATGTCGGTGTTGTTCCTGTCCGGCAAACAACGACACCAACAAACACAACAGGACTTATTTTGCCTATGCGAAAGGTATGAAAGCTTCTTTTATTCATTAATAAAATATTCAATTTAGTTTTTGATAAAATCTGGCAAATGATTTTCTTGTTTCATCTCCAACATGAGTCATACCTTCAAATTTCAATTAAATTTTAATTTTTTTTCTTTAAATTTTCTTCTTCGTATTATTATCGCATTCGTCTTATGCTAATCGAAATGAAACTATAGAGATGCCAAAGAAGGAAGAAAAAGTAATTAAGAATGAAGTAAGACTTGTGTAAGGAAACCAAATGAGATTTCATTTTATTTATTTATCTGGTCATTCTCTCATTTTTGCCTTACTCTCGTCAATATCCAATTATAACTTCAACAAACCTCAAGAATCATAAAATTGAAAGTTATATGTTATACATATTATGCAGCATAAACAACTAATTAGAAACAGGTTTATGACATGCGATTCAGTGATAATGTTTATACCGGTTATGAAATATTTTCGTTAGTTTTTTCTTTTTTTGGGAAGGGAAGGAAGCCTTCGGTGCTTTATGACTATCCTAACGCTAACCAGTTCCCAAAAAGAATAATAAAGAGAGGTAAAGGTTTTATCACTTTCAACATAAAATATTTTACATATCAACATTTGTTATCATTAATAAAGCAAGCCCATTCCGTTTATGTGCCGGTATCAATAATTTAGAATGTTGTTTTGTTCTCTTCCTTACGCTTACGCCTTTCAACTTTCACATATTGCTAACATGTTTAATCTATTTATATACACACTTTCTAACACCAGCACTTCGTAACTGATTAGAACGGTTTTCCCTAGTCGATTGTCGATCGATGAAGCTACTTACATCATCATATATCTTCGTCTGTACAATCAATTGTACGAGAATTTCTGTTTTTATATCCAATCTCTCGTTTTCGTTTTTTTTCCTTTTTTCCATTCTCATCCAATGATGTTATGAAGCCATAAAAATATTGAAGGGAAAGGTACATTTTTCATTTGGATGAAACCGAAAATCATCTCCACGGAAATAATCTGTACAAACAAAAATTATGTTAGGATGTATTGTGAGAATGGTTAAAGGATGAGAAAGAAGTCCCAAAGACGAAATGGAAAATTTGCATGTGAAAATGGTTTTGCGTGAGTGCGGTTGACAAAGTTTCATCAATGAATGTTCTTCATTCCGTTTATGTTGAATGTGACCAATTTTTCATGCGTGTTTTTCTATTTAAATTCATTTCCTTTTTCTGTGATGGCTTTGAATGCGTAATGGACGTGTTAAAAGTGGTCAGCTTCCTTTTTTTTGTAGAAGGCTCAAGTATGTTGGCATGTTTCTTGAATTTGTAACATTAATAAACTCATTGATTGACATCATCTCGTCTAAGTGAAATAAATATTTTATATAAAATCACTTTTTCAGTGTGAATTTCGAAATCAATAAAACGGAAATATCCCCCTAGTTGACTTTCAAAACGAATAAAAATGAGGTTCTTACGATAATAAATGTTCTGCACTTAACATTCCAAAGTTGCTTGCTGAATTTAGCATAAAAATAAAATTTGGAGAAGGAAAAGAAACAAATAAAGTTATGCAAAGATTTTCTAGAACATGACAAGTTCCAAACAGCCAGTTCCAATTCAGAGTTGACATAAGTTTAACTAAATGTGTGCTTGCTTATGTCATTTAAAACTAAACATATATTCAAGTTGTTTTCTATTTGACGCAACTCTCTGATTCATCCACAAATGTTTTTATTTCTTTTTAAGTTTTGTGATTTGCACACTCTGATGTTTAAGTTTGGCAACAATGTCTAATGCAGAAGCGAACCGTCTGCGCTTCTAACAAATGTTAGTCGTTTTACTTTTCTCGCCTTCGCTCTTCCCCATTGTCTCGTGTCTTGGTCTTCTTCATCATTTGTTGCTGCTATTAATCGTGTTATTGTTGTTGTTGCTGATCCATGACACCAAAAACATCTGAAATCAAATTTGTGAGAATAAATTTAGCAGTCAAACAAAAGATGAGATATGAACAAATTTAATGCATTTGGAATAAAAAATTCCAAAAAAAAGTTAGCGGCTTTGCATAAATGAATTTTTGCACGTCATAAAAGATTTATTGACAAACCATTAAATCACCTAAAAAGTATTATTTAATCAGACAATTTTTTTATCCTCGCGTCATGTTTAATTCATCTTTTATTTTCGTCTTCCTCTCTCCTTTCCTCGTTTTTGACCTTCAAGCATGCTTTATCACTGCAAGTTTCGTTGCCATTCGACAGTGAAAATATTAACTTAAACAAAACGAAGAAAAACGCTCAAATTAATCAAGTTTCAGAGTGAATATTTCAATATGAAACAAAAACAAAATCACATTGCGAGAGGTAATCATAAAGACAGACCATTGTTTGTATAAAAAATTATCATGTTTTAAATGAAACACTTGGCATAAATTAAAGGTTATGGATGCTTCAAAGATGAATTATAACAAGAAAAGTAATTTGATAGAAGCACATTTGATATGCGCCAACTTCAACACTTGATTACTCATCCCAAGCTCATTTATGTTTACGACTCTTTTTTACGACTTTGACGCATTATGAAAAATTTCTTTCTACATTTAGGCTTCATTTTTATTCGTCTAAGCAAGAAAAAACAAGAAGAAAGAAATAAAGAAGGGGAAGAAATATAACTTGTAGCTTGCAAGCAACATTATAAGCAAAAACCTCATTTTTAACCCAGAGACATCGTTTTGGTCTCCAAACAATCTGACATAGAAGCGACACGTTACGTAATTGGTATTAAAACATTTACCGCATTTTGAGTAACTTGTTTTTTCTCTCAGTTCAATGTGCTGTAACTTACAGCATGTGAAGTGAATGTGCGAGTGGCTTACACTCATAAACAGTTGTAAGACAAACTTTAGTTTTCTTTTTAAGGTCAAATGAAAACAAGAATATGACGAAGTCAATTGTGTCATTCGTAATCAGTGAAAGTTGAATCTCCTTTGACATTTTTATATTGTTGTTAAGGAGAAAGAGAAAAGGAAGGAAGGAAAGGAAGAAAAAAATTGCATTTGTCTATAGCCGATTGGCTTCCATTCTTTATTTTATGAGACCATTTAAACTGACTTAAATGATACTTTCAGTTGTTTCTCTTCTCGCCTGAAGTCTTCCCAATGGAATCATTTCGAGAACTAATTTTGCAATAAAGTATATCATGAAGTCAGTGATTCGTAATATTTTTTCAATAAACGGTTATCGACTTTTAACTTGATGGTATCAGAAAATAGAAGTCGTGAATTCCTGCAGTGGTTAGCTTCATACATGAATGTTGTAAAAAGAAAAAAGATTTGCTTTCAATAATTCATTGGAAACTTTCTTTCTATCCACCCAAACACTCGCCTTTATTTTCCTCGATAAATTACTGATTCGTTCCTTTAATATTGTCAGGAGATTTCTTCTTGTCGGAAGGATTTTCGCTAATGGAATTTCTCATCCTTTAATGTGCTTCGTAATTGAAGGGAGATTAGAAAAGGGTCAAGTAATTTGATCGTATTATCGCTTATGGGTAGATGTGTCATGAGAATACATCATAGAATCTGTTCAACTTGAAATATTCTTTCGATTATTCTAGTGAATATATTAAAAATATTCATTTTCAACAAATCACTTTATTTATATGATGATGTCAGCTTTTATTTAACTAACTTTCATAGTAGGTATATTTTAAAAAAATTTCAACCTTGAAAAAATTCTTTAATCTAAAGTTAATTTTCCTTTATTCGAAAAATCATTCGACCCACTAATTTCAAGATGCCTCAAAGGCTATGAACTTCTTCTCTGTTTTCTTCTCTTAAATGTTCTTTTTTTATGATTTAAGCGAGTGGTTTTTATGGCCAAGCATTAATGATGATCTCAAAATACAAGCAACAACAAGCAGCATGCCAAAAAGAGAGATCGGTCAAATGAAAAATAAGAAACTTAATTGTTGTAAGAAAATAGCTATGAACGAGTAGCTTTAATTGTATATTAAACAATTCAACATTGTTGACGAGTGATCTAAAACTGACCTTGACTTAACTTCAAGACAAAAATTTGGAAGTTTGACGAAAAGGTTTAAGGTATCCAAAAATAGATAAAAAAAGGTTTAAATTCCCTGAAAAGCAGCCAGAAGAGAAAAAATCTTCAAATTAAATCGATATTGTGAAAAAAATGCATTAAAAGAGCAGAGCCAAAGCTTGTTAATACTCAGTGACGACAGAAAAGCTAAAAAAGAAGAGAATGAAATGACGAAATAATATAATTATCTTGTTGATTTTTGAATTGGCATGAGGTTAGATTTCCACAATAAAAGTTATTATGTATGGAAACAAGGGTAAAAGCAAAGGAGGCTATTAAAAGATTACGGATGTCTTAAACAACGATGCCTTCCTTCGTTGTCAACAAAATTAAACGTTTGATACAGAAAATGGCAATAGAAATTGATGAGGGTTTTAGTATTCACATAATTTTAGGGACCCCTGGAAAAATACTTAAACTGAAACATAAGAGAGAATCTTAGCATGAATAAATCCATAAAATTGAATTAGTGAAGAATTTATAGGATTTGGGTTTACAAAAAAAATTCAATCCCGTTTTCAGCTTTCTTCTTCATTTCAAAGAAATATTTTTGTTCAAAGGAAAACCAGCAAATTGAAATTCTGGACAAGAAACTTTTTTTCTTTCTTCGAAGTTGAGAATATTTCTGGTTGAAGAACCTTTCAAGGAGTAAAAGTTAGATTCCAAACCGAATAACTTCATTTGCGGGCATGAGCAAACACAAAATTAGCTTTCGATTTCAACTGTATAGAGTCGAATGTCTTGTTGTTGATTTTCTCACGAAGCTTTAGAGGAAAAATAAAAATAAATGTTGAAAATGAGAAGTATCAATGACCAGAATATTTGTAAGAGATTGTCGTGGTTTATCTTTATTTAGTGTCAGAAAATTTAAGGAAAAATGATAAATTTGTATTTAATTGTTCGTCTTCATTGTAAGTTCAAATGTGTAAATAGCGTGTTGATAGTTTTCTACACTTCTTTGTTCATCCACATGGTACAGTGAAGACTAATTATTTCACCTACATTCATGGTCATTTGTTTAGCCATAAAACTATTTTAGGCGCGAAAAGTATAGCTTGGAATTAAAGAAGATTGTTGATTTTAACTATGTATTCATACATAATGAAACATAGGTAACACACACACACACACAAATATCATCAGCTGAAAAATCTTTTCAATTAAAATATAATTACTACTTCAACTTGAACCTTTTTCTCATTCTTTTTACTTTCTATCCAGACCCTGGCTGATTTGCGTGTTATTAATTTCAATTTACTTTACTTCTTGGTCTTTACAATTTAATGCTTCACTCGTGCCTGATGACCAACTCGAGCGATTCTCTTTAAATGAGCCATGACAAAATTTACAAACCATGTAGAGACTTGTTTACTTCTCATGCACAACTTGCACAACACATCAGATTAAATGTCGGCATTGCAGTGAATTTGCAGCTTTATTTGCATGTATTGAAGTTTTTGGTATTTTTGTTTCATTTCACTTTTCTTTCAACTTCATTAAGACTTGTTTAACATATTTTACTGAATGTTGTACGAGCTCAGGTGTCGGCTTATTTATTTATTTACTTTTTTTTTTAACCCAAAAAGTTTTTTACTTGTCGAAAAGAAATTTTTAAAGATTCCTTTTGAGATTATAGTATGGTCTGCTCATTAACCTTCAAGGTCTCTTCTTTTTATGGATATCGATTGTCAATAATAGTTTCATGGTTCCATCTAATGAAAAATTATGCTTTATGATTCATAGGTAGAAGATACAGTTTGATGTTATTTGAGTATATTAATGAACAAATCATAGATCTAAGAATTCACCATGAGAACATTTACAATTATTCGACATCCCTACTTCCGTTGAATGCGAATAAATACTCAAATATTTTTTCAAAAGAAAAAAAGAGAGGGAACAAAGCTTTTTGTGAAGCGCGATAATTTATCGAAAAAAAATCGTGTAGTGATGATGTAAGAATGTTGAATGCTGTCATGAGTTTGCTGTACTGATTGAGCAAAAATGTTTTTGAATCTTCCCTAACATCTCGAAACATTTATATAACTTCTCAAGGTGTCAACAATATAAAGTTGAATATAGTGCCGTCAAGGTCAATATCATTTACATTCAACTGCTTATTTATCGCGCTACGATAAATTGTGTATCATAAAACTATTTGTACGTATCTAGCTACAAATTACGAATCAATGAATATTTTTTTCCTGCAAAACGGAGTGTAAGAAATTACATTTAATTGCTATGCGAATCTTAATAAATATACGATTGTTATGATGTGTTTGACTTAATCGCCTCAATGTCAGATCATGAAAGTTGTCAGATATTTCATTTTTCTTCTTACTTAATAATGATCCATTATTTAAGCTTACATTTGGACAGTGTCCTGTTGATTGACAGATATCGAATTACGGAACGATCATTGAACTGTAATCCAAAGTAAATAATTAGACTTGTTTATGCTAACAGAAATTCATGATGTCAATAGCGAACAAATATTCTGTAACTTATGCAAAAATATCAACTTTCTGACCGATTCAGCGGAACATTCGATGTGGAAAGTTTTTAATCATAAATCATCATGTGTGGGGACGTTAACGAACCTTTAACTTTGGTGCTTCGACCGCATCGAAAATAATTTTTTGTGTGACTTAAAACTTGTGATATTAATAAAAAGAATTTGTCGCACCTCTACGCTTATTCAGCAATATTTTGGCTTTGTGCAGCATAATAAGTAAGAATTTTTATTGTTATCCCGTCATATCCAGCAAGGTAAAACTTTTCCGTTTCAATTGCTTGTAATGTCATCAGAAATCCAGAAATCTAGAAGGCAAGCTCAATTTTCTTCAGAGATATGATCGTATCAAAAGATCAATTCATTTGAGCAATTGCGAAATTTCTTCAACTTTGACTTTCTGGGAGCTTCGTAACAATGTTTTTAACCTTGAGGCTTCATCAAAATATGTTTGGGTGAAAGTGTGGCTAAAAAAAGGGTTAAACGAATGAAATTACCCTTATTTTCAATAAAAATATTTCATGCGGAAAATATTGCTTTCATCGTTGAACAAAATGTTAAACAATGACGATGGATGTCTTAATTTCTATGAAAAAAAGAAGCTTTTGATAGTCTTTACAATCACACCGATCAAAAACCGCTTTTTAACACTCTTTAGACAGAATCAAATTGAATAAATAATAAAAAGGGCGACTTTATGTAATAAATCATTTCCGATATTCATGTAACGTATAATCAAGCTGAAGAATTGAAGCCCAAGGCAATTACTGAGATGATAAATTAAATGAAAATTTGACGAAAGATAAATTGCTTGCAAAATAATCAAAATTAAGTTGAGCCGTCTCAGTTTTTTCCTGGCTTTTATTTTTGCACAACCATCATCACCAATTGCTTATATTTTTATTTTATTTCTTGTTTCTTCAGGAAAAAATACTAATGGAAAGAATTTGATTTCACCAGAAAATTGTTGTACAAATAGTATCTCAATGATGTGGATTAAAGCGGCTTCGTGTTTATTATGACTTCACTGTCTCTTGAATTATTTATTTATCACTTTTGTATGTAGATATTCGTTTTTCTTCTTCATCTTCCTTTCGGCGACGGTAGATATTTTGCTTCTTAATTTCTGTCTTCTCTTTCAAACAATGAACGTCACAAAAACGATGGAATTTTTTTTTAATCAAGGTAGAAGAATTCTATAAAAGTTATTGACATCTTTTTATGATCATCTTGCTTATTCTGATTTAAAAGATAAATGTGTATGATACTCGCTAATGATTTAAGTAAACTTCAAGGCTTCAAATCAGCAGCTGAACAAGTCAGTAAAAAATCTCTTCGAATTTGTCTTACGAATGTTTCTCTTTTTTAAACTTTTCTTTCTTCTCGTTTGACGACTGTCAGATGGAAAAAGAAAATAACAATAAACCAAAATTCTCTGATTAAAAGAATCTGTTTTTGCGAATGGAATAATAATAAAAGAATTTAATTTTTATTGTGGAAATTTAATAAATTTTTCTCATCTAAATTTAAATTTTTATTTTTATTTTGTTTCACGATAATTTATTGTGGAATCTGAATCAGATATTGTATTTTTCATTCATCAATCAGACAAGTATTGTCAACAGAAATCTAGCACAATTAATTATAGTGGGATCGAAGGCAATCTCACAATGCGCTAAAACGAGTGAGAAAATGTATTCCTGCTTTTCTTTTTAATTTATCATGTTGACAATAGCAACAGGATTGTCTGATTGTGTGCCAAAATATCTCGTATGCTAACTCAACTCAGTGAGTTATGTTGCGTTTTTGTACATAAATTAGTTAAAAACGAGCCAAAAATTAAGTTCAGGCATTAGTGAAAAGAGAAACAAATTGATGATAAATAAAATGGTAATTTATGCATCATCTTTGCCTTGAACATCATATTTCACACATTCTGTTTACACTTAAACATTTCTGTCAGACTTTTTCTTCCTCTTCTTCTCTGATCGAACCATGTTTTCGCTTGACTTGATACAAAGTCACTTTGCATTCTCTTTTTGCATCAGAGATAGAACAGAAGATAAACTGATGAAAGTTATTGTGCGATTACAGTGTTCATCTTCATGTTTTAACATCAACAACAGGTTTCATTCAACCAACAAAATCCACTATGTCGAAATATCTGAGCTCAGTGTTATTTATAGATTTTTTTTTTGGTTCTTACACTACCGTTTTTATTTATTTATTTTATTTTCTTCTCCCACTTGCTTCGTTGCCTTGTTTTTCACCGAATCATCTTAGAGCATTGTTTTCGATTTCTCCGAGAAAAGAATGAAATCATAAATTTGCAAATGTGACGCTTCAGTATCGCTTATAGCTTTTCATGCCTTTTGAACCTTCAATTAATGTTCTCCATGGTTAAACGTAATCACTTTTTCATTCGAAAACTTAACAATGCTGTATCATTATGATGCTTTCTTGACCGGATTGCCTTGGACAAGAGGGCAACAAAAACCTTTTCGTTGCGTGATATTTAACAATGATTCTGTACTGGGACATTGCAACAAAGTGGTTACTTTCCTTTTTCTCATCTTCTCAGTCAGTTATCTCCTCGCAAAGATAACGAACTCACACTGTGGTTCTCAAATTTTAGCTGATTTAACGATAGTAAGTTAATGGCGCGGAACATATTCAAATTGTATCAGTTACGCGTTGCATAAAATGAAAATTATCTGACATAAAACCCAAACAAACAAACAGACGAATGAAAGGAAAAGTTTTATCACGAGAAGTCTCGAATTTCACGAATCTTTATAACATTGCTTAGCGTTTCACTCGAAGAGAATTGATACTTAAAGCATAAAATTCGTACTCAAAACGAGTATAGAGTATCATTTATCATGCTATGATTCATTCATATCGTTAGATTAAGGCATTGCGCTTATATCCTTTAGAAACATTTATATGAAATGCAAATTTTATGATTACGCATAAAAGTGGATCTGACGCTTATTATCTATTTGTATCATACGCAGCTGTCGACTGGAAAAGTTGAATGTAAAAAGAAAAATATTATAACTTCATCTATTCTTCCTCAAGCAAAAAATCTTTTTCTTATATTTTTTGTAATATTTATTTGATGAGTAACGAGAATGTTAAACGAATATTAAAAATGACTTGAGAATAAGTTGAAGTGGGGGATTCGTTTATGAGTTTAGTACAACATTGAAAATATCTATATGACTTTCATTCTTATGTTGTGGTTGTGTTTTGTTTTTCTGAACAACATTTTAACAATTATGACGAATTTTTTTAACCAATATTCATAAGAATAAGTTTTAATATTTACTGTTTTAAATGATATGAATCTCGATAATATCAACGCACATCAACTTAAGGTTGTTCATTGAAATTATAATTTTCATCATTGATGTTAAAGGTCATAAAGCCCTGAAGTGCGATCAAATGTGACAAAAACGATCAGAAAAATGGAAATTATTTAAAAGTTAAAACAATTGTGGATTGGAATAAGATAAAAATAAATATAAATGAAACTCGTCAAGGGGTTTTCAACGACCTTGTATAAACACATTAGAATTTGTTTCATCTTCCATGTAAATACAGTACACACTGTTCACACATTAAATTATGATGGCTTAAAACGTAATAAATAGATGTGTTTATCATTGAATCCAAAAAAGAATTCCCGTCCATTATTCTCTTTTGGTTATTTCGTTCTCTTTGTTGATGCCAAGATGATTAATTATTTTGCACCAAAAGGCAACTCTGCGGATGAACTCATCACAATTTCGGCTGTTCTTGCTATCTTTCCACTTCATTTGCGTATTTTAAATCAAGATCTTAATGTACATTGAGCGAGAAAACTTTTGTTAATTTGCTAGCAGAAACATTAATTTACTTGATCCTTCTTTTAATGCTGATTCTTTTTTTATTTGTCTTCCTTTTCCAGATCTTAATGACTGAGAAAGACAAAGCCAAGTTGACTTCGACAGAAAAACGAAAAGCCGCAGATCAAGAAACGGAACCACTTAAAGATCTTAAAAAGGTAATAAACATCATGCAAATATAATGAACATCTTTTATCATATAAAATTTAATCTTTCCGCAGGCAAAACTAGAAACAAAAGCTTTAAAAGCCAAAAGACCTGGATTTACAGATGATAGATATTATGAAACATCATATTACATTGAAAACGGTTAGTTAATTTTTTCTCTCCCTTTTTCCTAATGTAGAAAACCATAAAATGGATAGAAACAAAGAAAATATTGTCACAAACGTTTAGTATTTGCTGTTGCATTTCAAAAGATTTTATTTTCCTTCCTTAATCTTTTTCGTGGAAATATTTTTATGCTTTTCCATTTCTCGGTATAAAAAAATGAACTTACGCTGAGTGTAAGAAAAAACATTTCAATTCACCCACTTAATGTTGTATGCAAATACTCTTGCAAATACTGAACATTCGCTACTCGACGCAAAAATAGGATAAAAGATTAAAAGTATTTTTTTTTTTAATTTTTAAAGGATTATGCTCATGTATGAAAGTTTTATCGAGTACGTCATGCTTCGATAGAAAAACAAGTCGCTTAGGAAACGAATAATGAAATATGGATAAAACTTTTCTTTTTTTCTTATGCTATTGCATAAGTACGTACACTTATTGACTTTTGCTTAACCATTTAAAATCAACTTTATTTTATATTAACAAAAGTCTATTGTTCTACATTCACAGGCTTACGCAAAGTTTATCCCTACTACTTCACCTTCACGACGTTCACAAAAGGACGTTGGGTGGGCGAGAAAATTCTCGATGTTTTCGCTCGTGAATTTCGTGCCCATCCTGCTGAAGAGTATGAGCGCTGCATAAAAGCCGGAACATTAACTGTTAATTACGAAAAAGTGCCAATAGATTACAAACTGAAACACAATGATCTCCTAGCTAATGTTGTACACAGGTAATGATCCCCATTTTCACGTTAATCCATCCATTTATCCTTTTGAGACATATTCTCTATGTTGAACATACACATTACACAATCACTTATGTCGTATACTCATACATAAAAGCCACAAATACAATTATTTATGTTTATTTACATCTAACATCTTTCTACGTAGTCGCTCATAAATCTGGTTATTAGACTTGCTTTATTGTAGTCCTTTTATGTTACCGTTTCTTTACATTAAGTCAATTTGTTGTGGTGATGGAGTTGCTCAGATTTTTCATTTCACTTAGTCCTAGAAAAGTAAATAAGCGTTCTTCATAAGAAAGAAAGCAAAAAGAAAAACTTTCATTGATGAAAATGCGTCTGTTACAAGCAAACATGATATGATTGAGAAAATATCTCAGATGTTTTATGAGTTTATTTTCCCTTTTTTTTTCTATCACGACAAATTGAAACTTTTCTTTTTTTCTTCTCTAAACTTTACGACATCGACAGGAGGAAAAGAAAGTGGAAGAGAAAAAAAAACATATCGAGATGAAAGAAATGAGGGAAAGATTTATGAGTCAAAGTTGAATCAACAACGATTTAGAGAAATAAACAATTTTTATATCTTTCAATGAATATATTTAATGAAACTTTTGAGCTTTATTGACTTTCCTTTCAATTATACTTTAATTAAAGGTATATTTGTACTATTTTTTTATGTATGCACTGCAATGAATAGATAGTGTACATTGAAGCTTCGGGAAATGCCACAGACATTCCCTTGTGTAGTGAATTTTAATTAAATTTTTTCCAACGAAACAACTAATGCACAATTAAATTTTAATTAACGACGTTGATATCTAGAATTTAAATTTCCATCAAAATTTTTATGAGATGCAGAATGTTATGTTGTTGGCTGGACAGCTGAAAGTTTTTCGCAAAAAAAATTCTTTCATTCCATTCTATGATAAAATGAAATTGCTGTAGTAACAGTGAAAAAGAAAGAAGAAAGAAAGCACATCTGGTTTAAATTTATTTATAGAACATTAAATTTTTCATCAAGCTCATTGAAGAATAAAAGAAAAAAGAGGCAAATTAAGCGATTTATGCTTTAATTATCCAGAACTAAATTCTCTTTCATTCCGTATTGATCATGGTCGATTTGCGATCGAAAGAAAAAGTTTTTCATTCTTTCTTCCTTTTGACTGTTTATTGAAAAATACCAACGAGCTTGAAAAAAAGTTGTTGAAACAAATTTTCTAATTTTTCTCTTTCAATATACATAAGAAGAAAGAAAATAAATGAAAAATTCACTCGGTGGTTGCAAGAAATATTGTAAATAAAGTGCAGCATTTACCCTGCTTTCTCATTTAGTTCCATAATATTACATTTTATTATTTATTTGCCTTTCCTTTCACCCATTTTGACCTTATTGATTTCGTAACTAGAAAACACAATTTTTATTGCATTACCATGAAAGCATAAAAACATGAAAAGGAAATCAATATTTCTTGTGTTGTTTTTGTTCGATTTTCTTGAACAAGAATCCTTCCTTTTCATCATGCTTAAGACATTTTATATTTCCTGTTTAGTGTTGGTGTGTTATTTCTTATGGTGGCGAATCATGAGAATCATATGTATGTTTTTTTTTCTTTTTAAGGATTTATTGTTTTAACCTGGTGGATGGAGAATAAAGAATCATTTTTAACCAATTAATTAAATACGATAAATCATACATTGAGTGTGTTGTATTTCCAGACATGAAGTTCCAGTAACTAGTCAACCAATCACAATAGTTTTTATGGACGACGATATTGTGGTTGTGAATAAACCAGCATCTATACCAGTAAGTGGCTTTTGAGACCGCCATAATTTTAATTTATTTCATAAAATTTATTTCCTCTTTTTTTTATAAATCGATAAGAGAGATGAGAAAGAAAAACACTCAAAAAACAGATCAAACGAGTAAATCTTCCTGAATCGATTGTTATGTTTAATTCTCCTTTTTTTATATCTTCAACCTTCTAAATAAGAAAGAAAGAAGAATCCTATAAGATTTGTTGGAAAAGCCTCAATACTTTGTGCGTTATTGAATGATTCTTGAATCAAAAGTTGTAATACAGAACAACGATTTGAATTTCTTACGTCTTTGGGCATCAATCAATGCCAAAAGGGAAAGAAAAGATACGCAAATTTGAACAAAGTATTTACAGCTGAGTAATCAAATTAAAGCTTTTTCTTCTGTTTTTTATCCTTCGAATGTTCATTTCTAGACGTTCATTTGATGTTGTTCTTGCTTTGAATATGATGATAAAGCAGCCAATAGAACAAAAAATCACCGTCGCTTTAAATCAGTCAAAATTCGGATATACAAATCTTTCGAGAAAATTTGTTTAAAGAGAAATTATTTCTTGCTTTGGGTTTTCTGGCAGTAAGAAGACGCCCGAGCATGAATCTCAAGTCTTCTAATTCTTCATTATTAATGTCTAACCGAATGAAAAATAAGGGTTTCTCGTTATCATAATATTTTTGAGTTGTTTGTTGATTCTAAATTTGATTCTGATTTCTCAAAAACAATTAATTGAAAAAGCTTATCCCATCCCAGAAAAACTCTCGAAAGGAAAATTCTACCCATAAAGAAAAATATTTTCTGTTTTTTCATTAGATATATTTCTGTAGTGAGCGTTTGCAAATTTTCTTTTTCTTTTCTTTTGATCATCTGAAAAGTGGGTGGAAAAGAAAATGAAGATAATAGAAAGAGATAAATTGCTTATTTTTATTCAAACTATTTGCTTTTCAAAAGTTTTTTCAAGTTTGGTTAAAGAAGTTCTTGGAATTTGAAACAATCACTTAGTTCACACGATAGTGAAGCTTCACGCCGAAAATATTCTCTAATTTGCCAAAAGATTCATCTTTTTTTTTATGGAAATTTCATTCGTAATTTGCTTCCATATAACGATCACTCACTCGAAAATTCAGATGTAATTAATATGCATAGCGTTCCCTAATTATGTTCCTTTCACTACTAAGCTCATTGTGAAGCTTCACAAAAGTAAGCATATTGTCTGCAGATTTAAGTGCACTTTGCGAGTACTTCTACCAAGCGCGAATGCTGAAAAAAGATCCTTCTCCCTTCACATAGCATTAAGATTTATTTGAAAACTTTCCTCATTTAATATATATTTTTACTGCACTTGAACGTTTTTTCTTATTGCTACTGTTTCGAGTCCATCTCTATTCGCTCGAACTCAGAATAATAAAAAGCGAAGCAAATTTTCTAGGATATAGAAAATCCTCTTCACTTTTTTTCTGTTTGTTACTTTCATTTCCATACAACTCAAGAATGTTTAATTAAAGTTTTGAAATCACAACTGAGAAAGATTTTTGTTGGCATTTATCTTGCAACAAACAATATGAAAATAAGCGATAGTAAAACACGAAAGAAATTGATTTTTTTTATTCATTTTTGTCAATAAAATTATTTGATGCTAACAATTATAAACTTGAATAAGAGTAAGAAATAAAGAAACAAAATAAATTTAATTGACGTTGATGAACATTCAAAATTTATACACCACATTCAGGTTTAAATGGCATGTGAATGTTATAACTTTACTGTTTTATTTCATTATCACGATTGGAGTAATTTCACCTAACACCAGAGAAAAAAGGAAAACTTTTACCTTCTGCTGTTGCAGAGGAAAACAGTGAAAATTTTAAAAATTCATGGAGTAATTTTTTATTTAACGATGATGGATATGAGCATGTGGTGGATTTTATTTTACTTTCCTTGTTAACAAGTTGTTCCCATTAAATTCGTTAGAACAGTCAAATTACTTACACTGTAAAGTGACTGCAATATTTACCTCAGTAACAATTATTTCCCCAAGCAACGGAATAAAACAAAAACTGAACAAAAATTTTAATTGGTAGTATACAAAACCTACCTTTTATCACGAAATAGATTCGTTTCCACAAAGCATTGAACATATTTTTTTTCTTATAACGAAACTAATAATAATTGAGAGATTCCCTTCTCGTTTGCTTTCGCAATCATTTTCTTTGTCCCATTTCCACCCTCGCTTTCATGGGCAGACGAAATCAATCATTGCGACGGTAACATCTGATGAGAAATGGTTGTTTTACCTGACTCTATAAATAACAAAAACGTTTCAGAGAACCAAATAAAAGGAAGAAATGTGTAACAAGGGAGCCAAAGGTCTAGCGATATGAGCGAAAGCTTCTCAAATTGACGATGACACAAAATTTATTTGCAGTAAAATGAGTTGTGAGATTTATTTCTGGGGCAATGGTTTGTTTGACAGAATGGACACATAAAACAGAGAAAGCTGGCGATTGAGACGGCAAAATAAATGATTCATTCGCAAAAATTCCCTTCAGAGGCGAAGCTTTTTTTTATTATATCTTGTCGAATAATCAAGAAAATATATTTTATATCTCACATTAAGACAAGTGACTGCTCCCTTTACTTATTTTTCGTCGTGTTTCGCACCGGAACTTTATTAGTTTCATCTCTTGTCGTATGTTTTATTATGACGATTCTCATCGTTCCAAAAATAACATCATACATGCCCATTAGTGAAACATTCATGCTACACCAGAGACAGAACAAAGAGTGAAATACGGTGAGAGATAGAAGGAAAGAAATAATGTCTAATTAGAAAAACATTTGATGACGAAATGAAAAAAGAGCCTTAAGTTTAAATCTAAAAATAATGACTTTACAGCTCAAAGTGTTGACAGAACTCCGTCAATCTTTCTTAATTGAACTTAAAAAAAGAGCTTTTGAGCGAAACTTTTTCCATAAAACAAATTTTTCAACTCCCACTTTTACTTATTCCTTAACATTAAATAAATTATGCGAAAAATGGACCAATATTGCGTAAATATATGAAAAGTAATGATGATTAATTTAACACAAAAACAAACATCAAAACATATGATTAACTATGTTAACCGAAAAGTTTTAATATGTTTTCTTTTTATTTTCGTTTCATTAATTTTTTCTCTTTTCCTTTTTATTTATTTATTTATTTTTTTTGATTATCCCATCCGATGGTGTATAAACTTTGGTACACATAAACAAAAATAATTCGGAATAACGAAACACCAAATTACGATTGTTTTACGACCATCACTATGTTCAAACATTTTTTGATGCTACTATTGCGAAAAAAAATAATACATAAAAATCAAATTTGAAAAAAAATATGTGAACATATTTAATGCATTAAAAAACAGGCATGAGACGCCCGTTCTAGATCATCCAATTAAAATAATTTATGTTGACAACGATCTTGTTGTTTTGGACAAACCATGTTCGTTGCCGGTGAGTAAATGAAAACCAATCACAAAAAGATTTTCTTTCTTTTTTTTGCAACCGATGAATCACAAAAAAATCTTTCACAACATGAAAAACAGAACAATAACCATACAGAAAAAAGCTTCGTGTAAATGAAGAACTTGGAATGGCATTTTTTTTGTGTTTGTTGTAAACGATAAGATTTGTTGTTATTGTTGAATAACCTTCCTTCACCATTTTCATTTCTATAACCGAAATTTGTAAATTGTACAAAAAAAGAAAATGTCGGTGTTTTAAAAGAGAGAAAATAAAAAGTCCAAAATGTCAACTTTATTCCGTCCTCTCACCTTATCAGATGACACTCCAAATTTCTTCCCCACTTTTTCCCTTTCTTTCTATTCAGCTTAAATGAATGGGAAATATTGAAGATTAAGTCACTTTTCAATCTATTTATAAACGTTCATAAGTTATATTCAGATATTTGGATTATTACATATTAATAATCGAAGCGAAGATTTAATTTAGGTTCCTTCCTTTATGACATTATTTATAATTATTCCCAAATATATATACACAACATAAGACAGATAAAAGAAAAAGCTAAGAAGCAAAATGAATTTGAATTTTCATCCGCCTACATATAGATAGATTTGCTTCCCATTCATTGTGGCAAGGCTTACATCCATTGAATTTTCAAAATCGCTTTCCCTATTGCTTACCTTCTTCTTCTTCTGATATTTTCTGCTGATTCCTTCAAAGCCTTAATCCAAATAGAAAGTAATTTAGACATCTTTTGAGTATTTTGTGCTTAAAGTTTTCTTAACATTCAGATGTCGATGTAAGCAATAAGCTTTCTATTTTTTTCCATACTCTTCTTATAAAGCTTTTCAAAAAAAAATCCTTTCTTTCATTCCTGTTGAATAAATATTCTCGATCATTATTTTAGATGAAATAAAAGAAATTCTGTCATCATATAAATCAGAATTTTCGCTTTTAAAAGCTAAATAGAATCGGAAATAAGTAATGTTGAAATATAAATATTTACTTTTCCTATCAGATAAAAGAAAAATCAAACCAAGAAGCAAAAAAGAAAGTTAAGAAAAATGAAACAATTTTCCTTTTTAACTTTCTTTCTTTTCTTCTTGTTTCCATTTCATCCTCTCTCCCGATTAAATGTTGTTTTGTGTTTGTTTTTCCCATTGTTTTTATTTCTTGTTTCCTCACTCGTTTGCTTTCTCCGTGTAAAGCTAAAAAAATTTATAGCTTTTCGTTTCACCCTGTGATGTTAGTATTCAATGGTTTATTCGACGAGATTTACGAGTTCTGTTCATTTTACTTCTTTACAAGATGAAGAAGAAAAGATGAAAAACATGTGAGAAAATCTATACGACAATGAACGACTGTAATGAATTTTAAAATTTTGTATTTTATTTTAGTTTCACCTCGTAATGAAGACATAAATTAGATCCATTAAAAAGTTCTGCATTTAGGGTTACCGTATACAATTAAAGGCTGGAAAAGTTTTTTGTGCTTAAGAATTTTATATCTTAATTAAATTAGAGAACTTCATCCATTCAAAGCTTCGAGAACGCTCATAACAATGTTCAATTCAATATGAAAGTAAATTTGTTTGTGAGGGAGTGGTTAATTTAAGATTTCGATTCGTTTAAAAGACTGAATAGGATCTTCAAAAATTTCATATTTAATCAAATATTTTTGAACTAGGTACTTCAATCTGTCTGATTTTACACAATTTCTAAGAATCACAAATCCGATACTGTTAAAAATGAAGAAATCTTGTAAAATTTTCATCCGAATACGATTTTTTAATTCCTGCTAGACGTAACAAATATGTAAGTCAAAGCAATAAAAATGCTTTTAACGATGCATTACTTCACTCCGAAGAGTCAGGAAAGGAATTTTCATCTAATCTTATGTTTATGGGAATAATTTGTAAATTCACAACAGATTTTTATACGACTTTCGGAAATACTTTCAATTAAATGAGTGAACAGGTTTATTACTGACTTTTTATGTCCGATTTTATCTCAATTTACTCATCAACAAATTCATAAAACAGACGATTTTGGGATGAAAAACCAAATTGTACTTGTTGTTTTTAGAAAGAAATGTTTGAAAATCTCTTCAGAATGAGTTTGAAACTGGAAAATGGAAAATGGAGAATATTAATTGAATTAAAAACTTAAAAATCAAAGGCAAATATTTGAAATTGTTGCGATAAAAAGATTTCGCGGATTTCTTTTTGTTCAAAATGCTTGGAATTTTCTTAATATCGTTTGTTCCATCAATGGAAAAAATGATCGACTGGCTATCAAAGCTCTATGGAAAATTTCGTCATGAGGATTTAATATAAAAACAGATTTTAATTATTTTCCCAGTCGATTATTTCATTAAATCTATTAATAAATCTTATTTAGATATGTATTCATCAAAATCAATTTGAGTTCTTGAATTTTTGAAAGCGTGGGTGGCAAATACTTCTGTTAACATTGTTAATTAACATAAAATGCTTTACTTACTCTTTAACTTTAACTTCTCAATGAATATTCGTTATTGAAATGAACAAAGTTATCTAAAAAACATCAATCTTTATTCGATAAAGAATATTTGTAAACCCAAAACAGATAAGGTTAAAACTAAGACGATAACAATAAACCTACAACAAAAAGGCATAACCTGGAATATTCTATATTAAATCTTCATTGAATAACTTTTCCTGCTTTCCATCCTCCAAAAATGTTTAAGCTTTAAATACAAGCAAAGCTTGAAACATAACAAAACCAATGAGATTTATTATTCAACACCCCCCACTACTCTTAATTTTTGACTCCCATGGAAAGCAAATAAAAGCCAGAAAACCCATGAAATTGCAAGAAAAAAATTATAGCGACGATGAATAAAAAGAAGCAAGAAGAGGAGAATGTTTAATAAAATTTTGTTTATCATCATTTATTTTAACATAACAATTCCAATGATATTTATTTTTATGGAAGATTTGCGCTTTTGAATTTTTTTTATATTTACATTGTATATTTTATTTATTCCTTAAGACACGAGAAAAGAAAGAAAAGAAGAATTATCTAAATAAAGGAAATAAGTATTATCGCTGTTATCATCCGTTACTTATTGTGCTTTTATTTCTTTTCTTGTTTTTTTTTTCTCTAAATTGAAACAATTAAGGTTCATCCATGCGGTCGCTATCGTCACAACACCGTGGTGTTTATTCTCGCCAAAGAATATAACTTGAAGAACTTGCGGACGATACATCGTTTGGATCGCCTTACTTCGGGTTTGTTGTTGTTTGGACGTAGTCCCAAAAAGGCAAGACAAATGGAACACCAGATAAGAAATCGTCAGGTGCAGAAGCAATACATTTGTCGTGTTGAAGGAGAATTTCCCGAGTAAATATTGCTTGATATTTTTTAAGCTTGATTTCCATGATAAAACCTTTTTCAGTTCCATTCCATATACCATTAAAAAAGAAATAAAGAAATCTTGTCCAACAAGTGTTTCATCACTTCAATTGTCCTTTCTTTTTGTTTATTTTCAATTTCATTCTCTTCCCTTTTTCTGTTTCGATCTCAATAGCGGACTTGTCGAGTGTAAAGAACCAATCGAGGTCGTGAGCTATAAAATTGGTGTTTGTAAAGTATCACCAAAAGGCAAGGAATGTTCAACAACTTTCGAAAAGCTAGGCTTTAATGGAAAGACAAGTGTCGTGCTATGTAAGCCTCACACAGGTCGAATGCATCAAATTCGAGTTCATCTTCAATACTTAGGTGAGTAAGCGAAAGCTCATTGTGATTTATAAAAGCTTCTTTTTTTTATCGTCATTTTCCTACTAATTTTCTTTGGTCTTCTTAAGTTTTGAAACGGAGATTGTTGTTGATATCAACATAAATATAAATAAAAACACAAAAAACCTGTTGTCATGTTTACGACAGAAATAAATAACATCAGCCATTCAATTTGCTTTTTTTTCTCCTTCTCGCTTCTCAACTTTAGTCCCGCAACAGTTACATAGAATTTATGAATAATAAAATTGTTTATTTTCGCTCTGCAGCATTAATTCAATAGAATTCGATTATAATAATTAAACTCGAAATCCATTACATTTTTCAAGGGTCAACATTCAAAATTACTCTTTTGTTGAAAAAGATAAGCTGCGAAGTGGAAAATTGTAAAACTTTTATCTTCCAAAAAAAACAAACAAATTCAATCATAAAATGAAAGTTACGAGATGGAATTGAACTTTTTTTGCTTTGTTTTAGTTCACAAAATCGCAAAGTTTTTCCTTTTTTTCATTTTTTTAATGTGTTGTCTCCGAATAATTTTATTTCTTTCTTGTTCTTTTAAGGATATCCGGTCGTGAATGATCCGCTTTATAATCATGAAGTGTTTGGACCGAACAAGGGTCGCGGTGGTGACATTGGTGGAAAAACCGATGAACAGTTGGTTAGGGATTTAATAAATATTCACAATGCCGAAAATTGGTTAGGTATCGATGGTGATTCAGAGCTTTCAATGTTTAATAAATCGATGGGATCGGACTTAGAAGACAGCTTGGGCGGCACAAATAAAGGTAAGTTAAATGATGAGAGGATAATGTTGTTTACTATAAATTAATCGATTGAATTTGCACAAAAGGAAATCCACTAAGCGATGATGATTCAGAGTCTGTGTCTCGTGAAGCATCACCATGTTCCGAGAGTCCACGGCCTGTTTCTGTTGGTAGCGAAAGTCCCAACGAAAATATTTGTACAATTTCAAATCAAATGAACAGCAACAATAATAACAAAATAACAAATGCCGTTGGCACTACTACCAACCCAAAAATGAGCAATGTAAGTGCTATCGGAAAGATGAGCAGTAACGTCATGCACAGTGGAATCGGGCGGAGTTTACTTCTGCAAAAGGTGGGTGTAAGTATATCCAATATTATTACTCTCTTCTTTTTTTATGTTCTTTTACCGTGTCAGTGTTTCCTATCATAAATTTTTGTAACGACAATTCCTCAATGGACGAAAAACATAATGAAATTTATTTTTGCTACTCACGCACACGAACAGTGACAGTGACAAGTTGGGAAAAGTTAATAAACTTGATATGAAATCGTCTTGAAACTTCCACTCCCTGAAGACATTCGGTCAAGAATATTTTTTGCTTGTTTTGACAAATACTCAAAGAAACGAACAATTTCCTTTCATAAATTCATGAAAATTTAAGTCATTTCCAAAGTGGAGCAATATTCAAATGTTCTCGCTTAAAGCTTATTTATGAAAGCTCCAAAGTAAAGTATTCAAAAACATAAAGCCTACTTTTATTTACAAAATAAAATAAAACGATTGAAACTTTGTTGTATTTATTGAAAAGAAAACCTAAATAAACAAAGAACTCAAACAACGTTTAAGTAAGTTCTTGTGAAAATCTTTAAGACTCTTTGCGACGTTTCGAATCAAAAGCTTTCACAGGCAGAACACCAACAAGCAGTTATTCAAGAACAGTGAAAGCTCTCTACAATTAATACTAAGGGTCAAATGTATATCTCAGATGTTCAAAGGGTGTGAGTCACGCAGCTCGCTGTTTAATTCATATTAAAGTAAAGAAAAAAATTATATTCACAATAACCTTTTTTTCTTCTGAAAATAAAATAAGTAGGTACATAAATCTAAAGCTTTTACTTTCATGGAAGAACATAAGAAAACATTTGACAAAAATCGTCAGCTTCTCTTTTCTAATCTTTCATTTTCTGTTTCTTTGACAACCTCCTACAATTTACCGGAAAAAATATCTAAATTAATGAAATACAACACCTCAGGTCACTGTGGCTACACAAACTGGTCATGAATCACCGGATTTAGCTTTTAATCCAGACAAAATGACGACCGACAGGCATTGCTATGAATGCAAAGTGCGTTACAAGGATCCAAAACCTCAGGACTTAGTCATGTACTTGCACGCGTGGAAGTATAAGGTGAGTGAATGTGAAGTAAATTGAATAGAAAGTCACGTACAATATACAAACAACAAACAGACATAACACAAGCTCCTTTAACATTGCAAACATAAGAAAGTACCGCTTTAAATTTTTAATTCATTCATTTCATTTTCTACCAATTTTCCCTTACATTTTTCCGCCCCTGAACATCCCATAATTCCCTCAAATCATTACAACGACCGTAAAACAAACAAAATAAAAGGCAAAAGCAGAAAAAAAGAATAAAATAAACTTTTGCGAATACAGCAACAATAACAACATTCACACACACGGGACACCAAAAAGATTTACAAACAGTATTAGAGGCTTTCATGCTTGCAATTTTTCATTAAATCTTCTTCTTTTTTCTTCCTCCTTCTATCTCCATCTCACTCACTGTTGCGGTTGTTCATCGTTGTTGACTTCATCGCCTGCTGATAAATATATAAAATAAAAACATAAACATCCAGGGTCCCGGTTGGGATTACGAAACTGAACTTCCAGGATGGGCGAGTGTGGAATGGAGCGAAAATGAATGAGATTTCTAGAACGATTTGTTATTGCGGCTAAATAATTTTCACATTTAGACCATCCACCCAGCAATCTGCAATCTTCAACAATCCATCGTTCATCTGTTGGAATAACAACAATAAAAGAGTTCGGATGGTATTTTGAGTTTGAAGCAGTTTTATTTTTATCTCGATTTATTATATTCGTAAGTAAATTTAGTTAATAAGAACCATCAAGACAAAAAAAAACATAAACAAAATAAAGCTTAAAAAGAGATGAAGAGCATAAGAAGAAATAAAGCTTTGAATAAAGACGAGAAGCATAAAATGCTCTTTTTTTGTGCATCAAGTATGCAATTGAATTTAATATAGAAAAAAGGATGAAAGAAAACTTTACACATAGATTAAAAAGCTTCGTTTCGTTCAAACATAAATGAAGTATATTAAAATATGATTGCGCTTTTAAAGTTGATGGTTGCATGGTTTTTTTTATGCAGTTGAACTTTTCTAGCGTGACTTTGATACTTAAAAAAAGAAAACAGTGAAAGAATCAGGTTCATTTAATTCGCTTTCTCTCGCTCAGTGCCGTCTCTTCGAAGTCAAAATATCTTCTACACTTGATGCGAAAGTGAGAAAAAAGTAGAAAAGAAAAATGACAAGAAATTATGTTCTATCGAGCTTGTTCGCATTGTTGTAGGAATACCACGCTATAAAGTTCTTACTTTTAATGTTTCAACGACACCCTCAACATGCATTTAAATTTTATAAAAATAAAATAAAATGAAGAAAAAAAAATTCTGCGGTATCTGAGTAAAGAGTGAAGGTGATTAAAAATTACTTTAATGACTTTGCACGCTTTTCTCTGTTTGCTTTATGAGTGGCAATGAGAGGCAAAATGTTTAAAGAAGCGAATTTAAATGAACGAAATTTTTTTTTATAGATTTAAAACACATACACTCGACGAGACAATACGGAAATTTTGCAAAGTTATTTCAACGTTAAACTTTCAAGCATGCATTTGTATTTTAATTTTTTTTTTATTTTTTGTTTTTATCCTCGATTTTTGTGCTTTTTTTCCTCTTTACTGTTTGTGGTTTGACACTGGAAACAAAAGACATCTGTTGCATTAGAAAGTGTTTGAAGACATGAAAAGAAAATAAATATCCCATTAGATACTATTATTATAATTATTCAAAAAAAATTCTTAAATATTTTAGATAGTTTTAAAACTCAACATTTGATTGTGTTTCTTGGCATTATAATATTTAACGCATCTTTTAAGACATAATAAAAATCTTATTTAATAAAATAAAGAATAATTTAAATTTGAATTTGTATTTCTTTTTTATCTACTTTTTTATTTTAAGTCATATCTTAATAAGTTTTTGCAGAAATAAAAGTTGTCGTTTAAGTGTTTTGTTTTAAAAAACTCTTAACGACAAGTTGAAAATTGTTGAAGTGAAGAGGAAGCTAGGCTGGCATACCAGTGATTATGCTAGATGTTTTTTAACTACTTTTCTTCATAGTTTGTTTGTTTTTTTTCAGTTAATTACATTTTATTTTCTCCGACTTACCACTAACGATAATAATAGGAAGAAATGTGAAAATAAAACTTTAACCAAGCGAAAATGCATTTCTGCCATAAAAGAAATTATCAATGTTATTTTTTACTTTTTGTTGAATTTCCTTTCGCTTTAATTCTATTTTTTTCTTTGTTTTCCTTCAACAATCTCCCTATTTTCTATGAAAGAGAGAATTAAATTCATTATTCTCATTTCGAGTGGAAATTCGTGCCTTTTTACAAATAGACATCAAGGAAATTGCAGAAATGTTTGTTAATAGTTTCAAGAAGAAGTAGGAACAAAAGTTTTAAGTTCTCGAGCCACCGACGAGGTAATGAAAGTTTGGAGAGTGGAAAAAAGGTGTTTTCAAGATAGATAAGATGTGGATATAGTAAAATAAAATGTATTATTTCTTCTCTGTAACCTTTTAACCATCTTCCGACTTTAAGGATGCGAGATTCTCTTTAGTTCAATGCAAAACGTTTTTAATCTTTTAATAAAATAGTCCAATATAAAATTTCTTAAACCCATCTGAGCTCATCTTAGTTCTTTGTTATAAATATTCATTTAATTATATTAACGATGTAGTGAATAATTAAAAGAAAATAATAAAACCTGTTTTCATATTGTTGAGAATAAATTAAAAGTTAAAAAAATAATTGTTATTTAAGAGAAGAATGAATTATAATAAAAGCTGAAAATTAAATTACATAACAACAATTCCTAAATAAAACGGTAGAAAAATGCTTTGAATGGATTAAGGTCCAGTATGAAGGTGATGGAATGAAGTCATGGTTAATTAAACCATGGCTAATGAATATTAAACAAAAGCTCAAAGGCTTAATATTTTCCTCGTTCATCTAATCATTTCAATACCTGAATGTATTAATGGAAAACATAAAAGAAAATTTTAATATCTACATAAATATATTTTGACTTTAAAGCGGTTTCACTCAATCAAGCTTTTTAACATAAATAAAACAGGAAAGACGAGCGTCTACCTTCGCCTGTTCATATTTTTCTTAATTTCATATTTATTTTCATTAAGCCATTGAAGTTAAAGGAAAACTCTCCGTAGGAAGAATCGAGCGATGAATAAATTTTTTGGCTTTTCATTATTTAATAAAATCTTCCCCCTTGCCACGTTTTGTTTTTGTTGCATCAATATTATTTCTTCTTGCGTGTTTTGTTAATGCTAATGTTTTTTCTATGGAAAATTTCATTATGATTTGAATAAAACATTGCGAAAAAATCAAATTTATCCTATGTTCACTTGTTTCTTTAGCTTTAAGCTACATATACATACCCAACACACACAATTAAAATAGCTTTGAATTTGCTGTGCACAATTTTTCATTTTGACATCTACGAACTTTTATTTTCCTTATTTTCCCCTGGAAGGGAATTGATTTTTAACTTTTCCTGCTAAACTTTCAACCTGTGAGATTGATTAAGAGAAATTATCTTTCGTGAAAAATGTTTGAACCACAATTATAAAAAAAGACAGGAAATTAGAATTGTTCTTAAGAAAATAAAAACAAAAGCTTATCAAAAAGAAGACGTATCAAAGTTTTGTGTATTAGATTTAAATTCAATCACTGAAAACCACATATCTGTTAATAATTGTTTTATACATATACTTTTCTTAGTTTCGCAGAATTTTATTACTTCTATTGTCATCAAATATTAACTTTTCTTATAAAAAAAGACACAAAAAGAGCTTTGTATTCATTAACAATGTTTATATAAGAAATATTAAAATTTAAATCTCATTTATCATTCAATGTTATGTCAATTGATTGATCGATGTTCCTTTTGTCCGTGTGTATAAATATTTCATTGTAAGTAGTCATCGTTATTGTTTATCATTTTCATTCACTTCAAAGGTAATTCTTCTCCTCTTCATAAATAGTTAAAGCTTTTTAGGAAACAACGAAAATTATAAAGCTTTTTCCTTAATTATATGAGACGAAATTATGTGGTTTCATTTGATATCATCATCACAATGTAACGTTGACACACTGCGGTTGACTTATATGAAAATTAGACTCGTGATACATTATCGATTATCCATAACTTATTTTGTCAACGATATAAAAAGAGAAAAAGAAATAACATAAATATATATATATATATATATTTCCTTAGAACTAAGAAATAAGAATAAAAAACTTCCAATCAAATGTAAATATCAGAAGAGAAAAGATTTTTATAGCAGAAACACAAAAAAGTAAATTAATGAAAATCCTTTGAGACAATTCACAAAGAGAAAAAAATATTTTTCTCTCCTATTGCGAAATAAAAAATAAAAATTTGATTAAAGTTTGATAACGTGGAATATTTGCATTTATATAAAGAGGGCGTAGGAAGAAGAGGGAAGAAGCAAACCAAAAATTTTCCTCGACTGATGAATGAATGTTCATATTAAACCATCAGAAAAATGATGATTTTGGAAGTCGTTTTGTTTTTAAAAACACTCCCACAATGAGTTTTCATGATAAATAAGCAAAGAAAATGTATAAAAGAAAATATAAATTGTATCAGAGAAACAGCAAGTGATGAACTTTTATGAAAGAAATGTACATAAATGGCTTACACAAATTATGTTCAAACTTTAGATGAAAAAGGAATGAAAAATCAATAAAAATAGAATTTATGACAAGCATTGATCAAAAATGAATTTCTCTAAGCTTTTATTTTCTTCAGGAATTTCTTTTCAGGATTAGATTAAACATCAAAACGATAATGCAATGATGGTATGGTTTGTGAAGTGCTTTGATTTCGACCTTTTCTGCATGCTTATAAAATCTCTTAATTTTCTGAATAATAAATTCAATACCAACATCGAACTAACATTGACATTTATTCCAGAGAATTAAAACCGTTCGTTTGACGTAATCTTATAAAATTCACCTTTGATTTTCTTCACAAAGCCCTCGACGACTCAATTAAGTTCCTTCGAGAGCTCATGAATGTTCGACGTTTTCATAAAATCGACAAACATTAAGAGGATTATGTTATTATCCTATTAAAGGGTTGTGAAAGCGTTTCAAGACGAACATACGTATACGAAGAAAAAAAGAGAACTGTCGAAATGTCTCCCGCATGTGACTTAAATGTAAATAACACAACGGAAGTGATATTTGTTCAATGTGTTCTCCCAAATGGAAAATTTTCGTTTCGCCTTTATCAGCGAACGGCGTGTTGTTGTTAAGAAAACATCAAAACACCTGTAAAATCGCTTCCAATGTCTGTAACGACATGCGACAACGAACATTTGCTTCTTGTCATCCTCGGTGGGTTTTTCATTTGGAAAATTGAGTAGGGATTGCATTAAAGTTGATTATCATGTGTTTCAGCAATTTTTATGTTGCTAGAGAAAAGCTTTTCGAATCAGGGTCGAACGAAAAGTCATCAACGAACAGTAAATCATTTAGATCATGCGATTGGTGACGTTTTAAGTTTGTTATCACATGCTAGAGAGGATAAATATTAAAACTTTAACGATCCATGAGTTTCAACATTGTTTTTATATTAAATTTTCATATCGCATACATTTGTAATGACAGTAAATAATTTTCAGCCATGTGGCATATTGCTTGTGTCGTTTAATGGTCATCGTGAGTCAGAGTTCTGTACAACCTTCTAAACTTAACATTCTCTGAAATGTAAATAATGTTTTATCGTGCACTAAGTTTGAAAATTGTATTTGTCAAGCTATCGTCATACTATTAAGTTTCATACACTGGCAGAGAGTTGACAATATATAAAAGTTGCGCTAAATTTATAAATAATGATCGAAAGCGGTAGTTGAAGTCACATTCAATATTTCGATATTTTGATAGCTGATCAAAATACGATGTCATAGAAAGGAGCTTTGTAATAAATTATCGCGTTACATGCAACTGTTCCGTTTGACACATTGCTTTTATGAAGAGAGCGTAAAAACCTTAGAACGTGCTTTTGTTACAGTCTTGCGCGATGACACGCATTTTATGTTGCGTAATAAGTTTTCATGTTTATTATTCAGGACTTTTTTCTATGCTTGTTTCACTTGCCAACTGTGAATGATGATACTTCATTACTGGCGCTTTTTTGTTGTTTTTTTTTTTTCATTTTCTTCCAGGAATAAATACAACATGGTGTTAACTTTAAACGATATCGTTTTATAATTTTTTCTCTTTAACAGTTCACACAGACCGAGAATTAATTCAAACAATTAAAAAAGTTATAGCGAAACATCAAAAGAGTTTAAGTTGCATATGCTGGGGTGAAGGGGGAATGATACCAGCGAGTTCATTATAGAACCTCGGAGAATTTTGCAAACGGGAATGTGTTAAATGTAGTTGAAGGAGATTTTTTACGCTTTGAGGCCTCTCGATTTAAGGACATGAGGATATTCGCCAATTATCGTTAAACACGATGTTAAACAACCAGAATTTCACTCAATTTTACAGAACAATTAGTGAACTGAAACCTTTTTTTTTCTCTCTCTTTCTTTCTCCTTCTATGCTTTCATTATAAAGACACTTCACAGCCAACAAAGCGAATTTAATGATATCAAGGAAATCCTGATTTCTTTTTTTTCTCCTTTCCGCCCTCATTATTTTAATGATTGTGAGAAAAGAAAAAAGTAATGTTTGAGACAACGAAAACAACAAATATTTCCTTATTTTCTAAATTTTTAATGTTGGAATTTCTTTAACAGTTACTCAATGTAAAACTAACTTTGGGTAACAACACAAGCCTCCCAATTGTGATATAATTTGTGAGTCGAATTCAATGTTAACATATTCCTACATGAAAATTGAATTAAAATTTGAATGTAGCACATGAAAAGGTTTTTTTGCTTCCATAGGTACTTTTCGTATTAAATATTTTCTCATCATATCACTCGTAACATCATCTTAAGTATGAAAATCGTCTTATCTGTCTCATCATTTAATATTCATAAAAAGCATTCGTCGTGTATTCATTCATCAGCTGTTTATTTTAATTACTCTCGCTTGATTTTCATTACGTTTTCATGGGAAAATGTTATAAATTGTGATATTTACGGAAGTATGAAAATTTCACTTCGAGCGATTACTTATTCAAGTCGCTGGTTCTAAATTCTTCTTTTAATTTTTATTTTTCCAAAGCTTCAGGAAAAGGAAATTTCAAGTCTGTCGTCTTTTATTTAAAAGGAAGAAAGAAAAAGGAAACAAATTACATAATTAAAAGAAACACGAAAAGACGATTTTCCACGCATAACTTTTCGTCAATATTTTCTCACTTTTCTTTTACATTTAACTTTTTCACCGTCACCTGTATTAATTTTCTCTATTTTTTCTCATGTAATTATACGTTTTCATTGTTCTTATTTTCATTCGTTCTTGTTCTTGATTTGAAATCGCAATTTGACAAGAAAAAAATGTGATTCCGAGACGTTGATAAGTTTTCGCTTCGTTTAACTTGAACCATTAGTCATTAAGCGACTTTTTTTTTTGTGAATTACGAATTCAAGCTCAATCGAGCGATTTAAATCATTGTAAGCTTTTCATCATCGTCATGAAATTTTCCACAAAATATCCAATCAATTGCAATCAAATCGATTTCAAAACTTTTATTACGAAAAGGTGATTGAAAATTTGCAAAAAATAGAGTCAAATAGAATATTACGAATGAAAATATCAAATTCATGCCACAATGGAAGAAAAAAATGAAATAAAATTGTTAATTCATTCAAACATTTTATTAGTTGAAACGATTCGAGGGAAGAGAAAGAAATACAAAAACTTCCGATAATTTATTGTTTCTCCAGATTGTCTCTGTCTTCTGTTCCTTGTCCCATCAGAGGGTGGCACAGAAATAAAATTGCTTGGGTCACAATCTAAACAATTTTACCCCACATAAATCAATTTTCTTCATAGCTAATGCGAAGACACAAAGAAGAGAAAAAAATTGCTCGACATTAATTGATGGCGAGTTTGAAAAAAGAAACCCTTGACGCAACAAATATGTTTTGATTCCATGTGTTGTCTTGTGCACAAAACTTAATCTAATTACTTTTGAAAGATTTAATTTTATTGTTTGGATAAAGAGAAGAAATCAGGCAAGAAAACAGTATTGTTAAATGACATATTTTTCTTGTTATTTTCTGATACAATGAAATCCAAGAAAAAGCTTCAATATCCTATCAGGCATTATCGTTCATTTCCTTTGTTAGCTTTCGTCCCACTCCTTCATCTTTCTTTTACAACACGGTTAGTTGAGCAACAATCCCATCGAGCGTGATTTTTTCTGTTTTCCTTTTCAAGTTTATTTTCTCAAACAAAATATCACAACGAAGGCAAATGAAGTTCCATAAAAATTCAACAGCGCGTTGAAGGATTGAAAAGTTTAATTCTTCTTTAAAATTTCTCCCGATGATGGCTTCTTTCTTTAAATTTTCACTTTTTGTTTTAAGTTGTTCGTTTAAAGGAATTTTTGTTCGGCATAGTTTGAGTTTCAATCGTTTCCAAAGCACTTAGTCGATATTTAAGCCATCAGTATGCCAACGATGATGGCACATCCATCATTTTTAATGCCACATGCTTAGCAAATCTCTTTTTTCATTCTTCTTTTCTTCAACAAATGTTGCTTGGGGATCATCAGAGAAAAGTGATACTTCCTCAATCTGGAATAAGGCAGCCATCTCATGCAAACAACAAACGGATGATAATCCGATCAAATTACTTGACTCTCACTAATCTTACAGCAATTACGTTCAATATAAAAGTCAGGAATTCTTTCGAATTTCTCTCTGCAATTTATCGAGTGAACAAATGGTTATTTATGAAGAAAAAAGAAAGCTCTTAGCGCTGATTTGCATTATTAAGAGCACCTAAAGTTACTGATGTTTACCGTTTCTCTTATTCTAACAAAACTAAATGACCATAAGGAGAAAAAGAATATATATTGGAAAAGGAAATAAATTAATGATTTATATGACCAGGAAAATCATTTTGGCGTACTTAAATGGAACGGAAATTCTTATGTAAACAAAACTAAATGAACCTTCAATGAAAACATTGATGGAACAAACCACAACAAAGAAAACCAAACTTAATTGAGAGATATTGATTTCTTTCACGGAAGCTTCGGAACAATCACCGCATGTAAGCAAACATTTACTGACTACACTTGTAAATGATGAAAGGTTTCATAACAACTAACTAACAAATAACAAGTACGATAATTGACTAGAAGTTGATTGACCCTTTTGTTGATATATCAAAAGATTGATTGAACTTTAACAGACGTGTCATGTTTATTCACTGAATGATTTAACATGATGTTAGTAACCTCGTATAAAAATATATTCAACAATATTTCACTGCTGACATATTTTTTAGCCAGATTCATTCGTTTCACTTATATGATTGCATGCTTAACGATCCACAAAAGTGGGGGTTGAATAAGATTAAAAGAGCGGAAAAGTTGAAGACACCTGCATTAGAGTAATTGAAAAAAAATATTGTTTTCGTTAAGTTCAAACATCAATTTCATGGTGGAAAAAGGATCGCGGAAGAAGTGAAAGTTGATGCTTCAAACTTTTCTGGCTTTTGTGACGAAAAACCAAAAAGTAATTTTTTTATCATCTTAAAAGCTTTTCAATGTCATTTCCTTCTTTATTAAGATCTTTGAAAAATGAGCTTAAATATTAATTATATCTTAATCGAGTTCTCTCATTTGATGTTCGAAACAAGTTGAAGTAAACAATTTTATTATTCATAAATTTTCCTTAATCGTCGTGGGATGAGGGTCTTTCTTGAAAAAGAATTGAAAGGAACTTCAATATTCGACTTTATTTATGCCATAAACATGACAACAGGTTTTTGTGTTTTTTTTTCTCATTTCATTTTATTTTATTTGACTCACAAATCTTCAAGTCCGATGTTTAACATGACATCGGTCTTTTTGGGCGTAACGATAAAATGTTCTTGCAATGGTCTAAACTGTTTGGACACAGCAGGCGTCATTGTAATGGGTGTTAGGATAAGGGAGAAAATTTTTAGGAAGTGATAAAGTTGAACTCAGATATTTACGATGTGAATTAATGAAGTGATGACTGACAACATTGAAATAAATGTTTTTTATTTAGTTTCGAAGGGTTTCATAAAAATTTATGACTTAAACTATCATGCTAATCTGAAAAATTAGTTCACCTATCTCAATCATTTGATTTCTCTTATACGATTTATGTATAAAATTTCACATGCTTTTCTAGTGTTAACAATTAAAATACTCATCTCCATAAATAATTGGAATCATACATTACACAATAAAACAGAATTTAATTACATGAAAAAAAAGATGTAAATTAAGATAATTACAACGCGTCAGTACAGGTAAGGTCGTGGTTAGGTAATGTTGATGATTATGATGACAATGATGAAAATAAAAGCGTCTGCATCGCATTGAAAGTTCATTTAATCATTTGAGTTTCGAAGGGATCGACGTAGCTTTCGGTTCAGGTTTATGAACGGTAAAAGCAGCAATGGTAAAGTTACTAATTTTATCACGTTTCAGTGTCGCTTTTGAATCGTAGGCATTTTTGTCATCGACATTACATTTTGTACGTGCTGTCGTGGTTAATGTTCAATGTCATGGTTGTCTTTTATTTTCGCTGTTATCACTGCTTCCACCCACGAAAGAGAAGCATACTTTAGAAAATGAATTAATTTTCATTTTCATTCTTCACGACGACAAATTCGAGTGACTCCTTGATAAGTAAATGAATAACAGAAATTATTTTTTACGTTGACATCTTTATCAACGTACCTACTCCAATGAGAAGAATATATATTTCCGGAAATAAACTATTCCACAACCAGATTATTGCGGAAAAATTATTCCATGCCAGAAAATTGCGGATATATTTGAAATTTTTACCGTTATAAATATCAAAGTAAGAATTTAATCTTATGTTATTAAAATTAAATTCTTCATGATTTAATGATTAAGATAATAAATTATAATGCTAAATACATTATATTTTCACTTCTTATGACATTTCGTAATTAAAACTAAAATTTGCAAAATATTTTGTCACGCATTTAATTTTTAACGGTTAAAATTTTAAAAATCGTTCCGCAATTTTCTGCCCGCAATAATATAAACCTGGAATGTTTTTTTTGTAATTTTTTCATCTGGAAAAATATATTCTTCTCACTCCAATTTTTATTTTTAAATTTTTCATTTCTTCCAATAGAATTTTCAATTTAATATACCTACAAAAGAAATGATTAATTCATCAAATCATGTTCATGGATGGAATTTATTCGAATGAATCATTTCACATTTTGAATAATTTAATCGCATGACATGTTTCATATTTGAACAGAATTTAATTCTTTTATGTTGATTTAATATCGTATACTCAGACTATGAAGCTACTGAAAAACTAATAATCTGCAATGTTTTTCTCTGTTTGTTGTGAAAAATGACGCTTGGAAAATGAGCGGAAAAGAGACGAGAAATAAATAAGGAAAATATTCTTTATCATCAGTAATAAATATTGTTGTGCAAAGCAAAAAGGAAAAAAAATAGAGTGAAGCTATTGTGGTTCTAGTTGTACGTGATAGCTTTGTCGCATTGTCTCACTGCATTTATTATCAATATCATTTTCAACGATAATACAGTGGAACTTTGATAAGCTGATGCCTCAATAAACTAATATCTTTGATAAGCTGATATTTTTTTTTGAGGTATCAGCTTGAGATATCCCCTTGAGATATCAGCTTATCGAAGTTCCACTGTATTCCCTCGCATAAACCAAGGGGCTGTTCACCGTAGTGTTTCATAGTGCTTTTGATGCTTCGTAGTGCTTCATAGTGCTCTTAGTGGTTTACGACAAAATAGTGCTTCTGCCGGCCAATTTTTATCGATGAAAAGTCCCTTGCTTGTAAGGTAAACTTCACTCCTAAATGATTTAGGTTAAATCAAATCAAAGGTAAATAGAAATTTAATTTAGTTATTTTTTTCAACATTTTTGCCTCTAAACAATCACAAAGGATTAATAAACAAGTTTAAAGGAATAAAAAAATGAGCAATAAACCCGAAACTGTAACAAATCATCTGATAGATGCTCATTGCTCATCCATCAAATGCATCACAAATTTCAGACAGGATTATTTTTCCTGAGGAAGTACAGACAATTAAGGCCAAAAATCCTGAAGTGGATTATGGAAGGCGAACTGCAAGCTCGCGATGTTGTTATTGCCGTTTTAAAATCTGAAAAAGTTAAAAACTTGGTTAATGTTGCTGCTTATGGTGCACCTATTAATTCCAAATTAAAATTGAACGATCCTCATGCGGCTCTATTCCGTGATAATATTGCGCTAACTGGTAATCTTGCTAGTCGTACAAGTGCTGGCATAGCTGCTCAGTCAGAACTTGATGCAATGAAATATTGTGAGCAACAGTTATTGGTGTTAAGTCAAAAGGTAGACCAATAACGTCAAACTCATGCAAAAGTAGTAAATTTACTTAAAAGAAGTCGAGATCGCCATTTTCAATTAATGCAAGAACTCGACAATGCATGAACGAAAAAAGATTGAAAAGCCACAAACGACAAACGCCAATGTTAGCAACATGTGATGTGAGAAGTCTCGCTTTCAAGAGAAAATATTGGAAGCTGAAACAGCAAGAGACCAATTAGTGAAAGATGTCAAGAAGCTAAGAGAAACTTTAGAAGAGGAACGCGTAGAACGTAAAAAAATTGTGTTTTATCTTTTGGAAGAGCGTAAAAAAATCAACATAATACGAAATGAAGAGCGGAAGCGTAGCGAGGATTTGGCTCAAATATTATCTGAGGAAAAGCAACGTGTCGATACAATAGCTGATGAAGAAGGCTTGAAGAAGAAAGAAAGAAATCGCTAAGATTGGAAGCTGAAATGGAGAAACAGTCATTGATTCACGAAAATGAAAAGAGTTTAATTCCACGACACTTGACTGCAGAAGTGAAAAAAGTCGAAGATCCTGAAGCAGAAATAAATCGTCTTCGTATGGAAAACGATACACTTAAGTAAGAAGTCCACATTGTTATTAAAAGGAGATAAAAGCTTAAGAAAAAAAAAATGAGTTTCAAATTTTTTTTATAAAAGTTAAAGAAAGCAAAAATTAAGAAAAAATTTAGTTAGAATAAAATAAGAAAAAAAAACTATTTTCTCCATTTCTAAATATGTTTCTACTTAAGTAACAAGGCATAACCCATATTTGACTCTTTCTTCTTCTTCCTTTTTCACCATCTTTTCTATACCCATTCACTTACTATAGTTCCAAAAAATATTAAAAAAGAAAAATGTCTCTGTTCATTGACATGAAACATTTAAAACACTGTGAAATTTAGTGTAAAATTTTCCACTTTTACAGATGATTTACTTTTTACAATGCATATGAATGAAAATGATTCAACATTGTTTTAACCATCAAGTCAAATGGGAAATGAAAGAAAAATCATAACCTTTAGAATGTATTTACAGGGTTGGTAAGTATGAGTAAAAGAAATCATGAATTGTGATTCGTGTTATTGGAGAAATGCGCTCAACGTAACTTCAAAGCACAACATTTTGTAATAAAAGGCGAAAATAAAAAACTCTCGTGCTGTTTTCTCATAAAAGCATGTAATTTACATAACTTTTACGACTTGAACGTAGCACATATGTTATTATTTTATTTGGAATATGACAAACAAAAGCCTTCGACTTTTCAACAACATTGCATATAACCGTAGCATTTTTTATGAGTGTGAAATGTAAACAAGAATTTTCCATTAGTTGCTTTTGAAAATTTGCATTCATGATCTTCAATGCAGTACTGTTAACTTGTCTGCAGCTGTTATCACATAATAATTTTTTTATGATTCTTTGGTATGATTGATGCTTGGCAAAAATTTGAAATCTTCATAGATTTGATTCCAGCTTCGTTTGCCTCAGTCTAATTAAAATTATATTTTTTAATAAGTATACATATATCTATGAGCAAGTATGATACTCGAATGAAAATATAAAAACGAAAATAAAGATCAAAGAAAGATTTGACGTCTTTGCTTCTTATGTATATATTTAATTGTATTGATGTTCTATGAGAAAGTTACTTTTGAGTATATTATTAAAAGAATTTTAAATTATCCAAAAGATTCATCATTCAAACTTGTGAAAAATGGAGTTAGATAAAGTTTAAATTTAAATTCATTGCACCCATGATAACGACGAGACTATTTATGTTTTCAAGTCAAAGAAATCCTTTTATGAACATTTAGTAATCGTCAGCTTGGGAAATGGAGAATTGATTGTGAGAGTTTTTTGTGAAAAGATGCAGTAAAACATATATATGAAGTTTTCATTTATTCATTGCGAGGTTTTTGAGACTTTAATCTCAAGAGTATATTCAGACTCAAAGACAATGTTTCATGGTGGTTATTGAGTTAATAAGCTCATTTTTAGAAATTATTGCATAAAATCTTCAAAATCATTGATTAAATTTCTTCATTTGACGTTCAAGTTTCAGTTCTTGTTTAAAGTGATTAAATGTAATCTTGGAAGAGTTACATTTTATAGAATAAATTAGCCTTTTAAATTGCCTTGGTTACAAACTCCATTGCTAGTTGTAGTCGTCAGTTGAAGCATACGAAAATTGATTAATAATCTGTTACGAGTGTCTGTCACTGTTTTTAAATTGAATTTTCCCCTTGACTCCATTTTAGAGTTTAAACATTCTCAGAGCTTCTTTATCTGAAAATATAAATTCGAAATCACAAACTGATCTCACATGACTTTTGATTGTCAAAGATTTTTTTTATGTTTAAAGTGGTCGGATTTCATAAATCAAGATTATTTACTTCAAATACTTGAATGATGTGTAAAAAACTGCTTTATCAACGTAAGAAAAGCTTCTTTGCATACATTCTCATTGCCGCTTAGGCAATTCATGTAAATTTATGATAATTTCAACGATAAGAATTCATTAAGAGATCTGAACAGCTCCTTTTGTGAGATTTCATGTTCACCGGGTTTCTTTTTCCCCCTTTCACTCTTTACCAGCTTTTCAAATTGTTCCGAAGAGGGAAAAGATTCCCATTGATCTTGTTATTCAGCTGAGATTCTTCAACAACATATCTTTTTTATATAATTTTATTTCCGACGATTTTCTCTTGACTCGAGCGATGATTTTGTGTGTATTCGAATTTTTTCTTTCTCGCCTTTAAAATTGTCTTTAAATTTGCGATGGGGAAAATTTAAGGATGAAAAAAATGAAATAATATTATTTGGGCGTTTTAAAATTAATTTTCATCGTTCTTGCTTTCGACAATCTTCATCTTTCTTCTTAAGAATTTAAATATTCATTTTTTTTTTCTAAACAAAAACAGGAAACAACAAGAGCTTTTCATCACGAGAAAATGTTAAAAATGCTATTAACAGGTTTCATTCCACCAAACCATGAGCTCACCCCTAAAGGGCATAAAAATCAAAGCCTTAAAAATTTTCCCGCTTAATAAAATCGACAGTTTTTTTTTTTAATTTTCAAATGAGAATGGAGGGAAATTTGCGCATTGGTGGGGAAAGAGACAGACGTATCAGTATCAAAGCTCTATTAAGTTAATTACTCATTAAATGATCCCATCGTAGTTGAAATTATAACATCAGATACTTTCTGATATTCTTCGTCTCTTCATCACTTCAAACTTTGAATTGAAACACGTTTATTAATCAAGTGTTCGTAAATCTCTCACAATCCTTTTCTTATTTTTATTCTTCGAATGTAATTTGAATATTTTTAGATTTTCAAATTTATCTCTCATTAAAAGAAAACTCATTTCCCTAAATTAGGTTTCCACGATGGGATTGAAAATAAGGAAACAGTTTTCAGTTTGGGTTTTCCTCTAGATTTACTTTTAGGTTTGTTTGTTGGAGTGAAATGATTGTGAAGTTGATTTTCAAGCATTTTAAACAAATTTTGTTCGTTCATTGCAACCTTTGCTCGACACATTTTGTTGCGATGATGAAGGCGGGTTTCATTCTCGGCTGAATGAAGAATTTCTGTTGGTAAATTGTCAAGTTGACTGAGAAGATTCTAAAATGAAGGAAACTGATAAAACATTTACACGACCAATTATGTAAATAAATGAAATCTTAGATACCATAGTTCGATTACTTATCATGCAAAAGTTTTCAATCAAACTATATTTTTTGATTGATTCATCAACTTTATATGTTTCATTGAATAATGTTTTGCATAAATGACGACTAATTGCATCGATCTTTCTCATGAAAATGCTGGAAAAATCATTTTAAAATAAAAGAAAAATCTTTGCAAAAGTTTTGCTTTCACTTACTTTTTTACACATTTCATAAGAGGAATATTTGATGTTGTTTCCACCTCTTTGATTAAAAACATGATACGATTCTCAACAAATTTAACTCTCTCATCAATATACGACATGTTCTTTTCGTAAGCGGAAATCACCAAAGGAATCTGAAATTAAAGTTTTTTTTCACACCCTCTTTGAACCAAAAGAAAGAAATAAAAATAAAAAAGAAAATGCCATCGAAGGCGTTGAAACGAAAGCTGCTTTATTCTTACTCACCGTTTTTTCAAGTTCTTGCTGTTGAAACAAAATTTCCGACGACTTCAACATGATTTCGTTGTGCTTGTTTAGAATTCCTAAGACGTTCGACTTAATTCCCTCGAGGGATGCTCTCAATAAGCTGACATCCGGCTTTATTTTTCTCATTTGATCCAACTTCTTTGGCTCGATAGATGTCTCGAAAAACTTTTTTATCGCATGTAGAGATATCTCCGTGACGCTTTTTGAACGAATATGTATCTTCTTGCAATAGATGACAGATTTTTTGAGGGATTTTAATTGACCTGTTTTGTTACGGTGTATCCAGTCATTCTCTAGACGCCACAATGGCATCATTATTAAATAATAATAATTCTGTGAAAAGAGTAAAAGAGTCTAATAATTGCTATCATAGTCAATCTTCAATGAAAATTATATTTTTCGAAATTGAAACTTAAGAAGGGAGAAAGAGAAAATTTAATTAAAAACTTTCTTCGATAGAAACTTTTTTTTTAAAAAAGGAAAAGCAGAAAACAAAAGAAGAATCTTTTAATTATAATGGAAGAAAAAGTTCGGAACAAAGTTAATTGAAAATAAATATATTTTGTAAATATCTGATAACCACAAATTAAGCATTTTTATAAAAGAAAATCATGATAAAAGCTCAAATTACATAAGGTAATGAGTTGATATTTTGATGTCTATTTTAAGATGATCTTAAATATTAATTCCAATGGTATCGACATAAATTCAAGGAATCTCACAATGAACCTTTTCACTTCTACGAAGTATTTAACATTCTTGCAGGGGAAAACAAGTCTCATATGTCTCTCTATTATGATGACTACTAAAAGTAGCTCACTTTGAATTCCCTTAACAATTTGAAAATCAAAAATTTCGTGTCTTTCGGGAAAGGTAAAATATCCTTCTAGGAAATACTTGAGAAGTTTGAAAGGGATGAATTAAATTTTTCTTGAAATATTCACAACTTTATAATAAGACAAAAATAACATTTACCTGCATCATCATAATACTTTCCCATCTTCTCTCATCAAACATTAGCTTCTGCATTAATAAATCCATTTGATCCTTACGATTTCTTAAAGTTTCCTGTAATTCATTTGTCTTTACTGTTACAGTATCAATGAGTTTAAGCTTTTCCTTTGCTTTTTCAAACGAATTATTTTGCAATTGTTGAAATTGTGGTTCACATGCCTATCACATATATAAACAAAAATATAAAATATAGAAAAGAAATATGTTTTCATTTTGTTTTACTTTTTGCTCAAATGCCCTATCTAACCAACCTTAATAAATTTTGTCGTTTTATTTATCATTTCATTCTCAATTTCCTGCTTGGCGAATAAATTCATGAGATCTTCCTGCATGAAAAACAGGAAAAATTTCTTCCGAACCATTTCCCTAATTTTGATGATATCAGTTTTTACGCAAAACTTTTTAACCGTTGGTCGATAGCGTATTTCGTTTACATAATGTGGATCCCACTCAGTTGCCAATCGGTGATAAAAGCTGCCCATTTCTTTCGTCCCGCAGCGTTCTTCTTCAAAAGCCGGCGCATTGACTTGAAGACGTTTTCGAATATTCGATTGGGATCTCATAAGACTTGTATAGTTTTTCATTATTTTCATACCCTTTTCCGGATTGTGGACCTTTTCAAGTAGAAATGGATCGAAATAAAATCCACCAGTTCGATTATCGGTTTGAGAAAATTTCATATTCTTTCGGATTTTTCGTTTGACTTTTTTAAATGCCGGATCTTTCCGAATATCTGACGTTGCGGAAGGAGCGTTTGACGACATCGTTTCAACGCTATAATCTCGGAATGACTTTCGGTCGGAAAAAGTCTTTACACTCAATGCTGACGGTTGCATCTCTCGATTCTCATATGCTATTAACTTTTGATCCAAATTCTTATTGTACTGCTCGAGCTTCTCAAGATATTTCTCGGTTAAGAAATCATGATATCGTTGACGATATTCTGAATCAAAAGTTTTCCGAACGTTTGCTTTTATTTCCATCAACGGTAAACAATTTGAGCTTGTTGATGTATCAAGTAGTTGCTGTTCAATCGTTTTCTTTCCTTCAACATCATTTTCGTTTCTCTCTTCAACTTCCGTTTGGAACGACATAAAATCGTTTTCACTTGATGCATATTTCTCTCGATATTTCTCAGCACTTAACTTACGATCAAACAACAACAAGTTGATTCGCTTCAAGCGATTACCTTTCAAATATTTGCTTCTTAAGCGTTCCACTCGTTTTACTTTCGTCGTTGTGATTGTGGGGATGCTGAAATAAGGTGTACGAACAAGAGACAATCCTTTGATATCTTCGTATATATCATCGGAGTTTTCCGAGTCAGAAGGTATTTGTGGTATCTTCATGTACTCCAATCGTGCACTTTGAATCTTCTTTCGACTCATCGCTCTGACCTTTGATTCAACTTGAGCTCGACTAAACATAGTATAAGGAACGTTAAATTTTGTCTGTGTTAACATTGTAGCGTCTGGACCGGAATCTTCAATGAATCCACCATAAAGATACCCACCCAGATGTTCAGCACCTGGAAGTAATCCTCGGTCTCTCTTTGACATCCCTAAATAAGTTTTCGGTCGTCGCTTGACCTTTGGAAAAAATTCATTTGCTTCTCTTTCTTGTTTAATCTGTTGAGATGAAACTTGTTGAAGAGCCTCATGGCGTTTCTCCCTTTCAGCCATTGCCCAAGCTCTAAAGCTCTGTACTTCTTCCACACTTTCTTTTACTTCTTCTTTCTTCAATGCTGACAAAATAGAAAGTTTTTTCATTGCCCCAAAACTTAAGCCTTTCGACTTTTTTGTCTCCGCAACAACAACTTCAACCTTCTTCTTAGATTCCGCATTCAAATATCTCTCTGTCTCTGATGTTGTAGAATTTCCTTTAAATCCTTTAGAGACTTTAATGACGTTGTCGGCAATTTGGATTTGAGATATTTTTTGATTTAAATCTTTTTTGTTTGTTTTTATTGGTAGTTTGGGTGATTTTTTAAGCTGTTGTGTGGTGATGAAAGAATTTGACATTATTGGATCTTCTGAGAATGAAACAAGGATTTTGTTTGCAGTTCGCATCTTAAACAAGATTTGATTCATGGAAGGGCGTTGAATGTGGGCTTTTGATCTTACGTTTCCAGTTCTTTTTCCCAAACCACCAAGAAATCCGAGCTCGTTTGGAGGCGGATTATATACTGTAAGGCCGTATCGTTTATCAGCGTAAGGCATTTTCGACGATTTGAGTTGCTGAGGCTCAAGGACACTCTGAAATCATTCACGTTTATAAAAATAGATTCACAAACATTTTCAATTTTATTTTACTTTAATAGTTGATGTAATTTTAGGAAGTCCATCAAGTTTCGTTTCAGCTTTCACATTTTTCATATTCATTTTCGAACTTTTTTCATGAACAATTACCTAGTTAATAATAATTTCAATTGAAAATTTCACCTATACAGCTTGTTTGATTGTTCATAAATAAATAACATCTAATAAAAAACATATCGTCATGTCAACACGAATGCAAATTGACGGCGAAATTTTCAAAATGAAAGTTGTGATCCCTCATATGACAGAAAAGAAGCAAATAAATTCATTTTATTTGAGATTTATTTGAATCTGTTGAAAGATGAATTGAAAGTGCGCAACATAGATATGTAATTTAAAAAAGAATGTAGCCAATGAAAAAGATTGTAGAGCTTTATTTTGTTGATTCAATTGTTGAAAATTTATTTATTTGATGTATGTTGATGATTCATCAAAGATATTTCAAACCTATGCATATTCAATTAATTAAAACATTTTTCTTGCTGCTAAAAATCCCTGAACAAAGAAGAAGAAAAATATGAAAATATTTATAATTTTCGTTAATTGATTTTTTCACAACTATCACCATGAATTTTTATTTCATAATCTCATAAAATGTCGACAAAATATTTTTCTCAACTTTCCACTTACAATGATTAACATTAAGAAAAAAGTAACAACCAAGGTAACATAAAAGAAAGAGGAATGTGAAAGGAATTTTAATTTTTATTATTAATTATAAATGGAGCAACCCATCCACCGAATTCACGTTCCAACTCTTCAGCAACAGCTAAGCAATCTCTATCGCGATTTCTCGTAGCAACGACTTGAATTCCAAGCGGTATTCCTCGTGAGTTCAATCCCAAAGGCACTTGAGTTGCAGGTAAATGGAGAACGTTAAAAAGACTCCAATAATGGAAATTATAAACCTGAATAAATGCTGCATAATGGAATGGAGCAACATAGGTAGAACTTGGATAAAGAAGAATTCCGTCATCACCTAAAAGTTCTTGAATTTCCTCGTCGAGTTCTTTTGTGATTTTTCTCATTTTTTCAGCTTTCTCTGCTGGCAGAATTGAATCAATGAGTGAATAAATTGCAGCCAATGTGTAATCACTTTGTCCAGCTAATTTCTTAATAAGTTCAATGATCGGATTCACTTCTTTAGAATTTCCCAACATTTGATTGAAGTTTCCAGGTTCTTGTGTCATCCAATATCGCCACAATTTTGACGATGCTTCAGCTCCTTTCAATTTAACAAAATTAACAACTTCCCCTGTAATACTGTAGAAATGTTGAACGACCTTATCCATCGATTGTTTAACTTCTGAACATATTTGACTGCACTTCATGTCACCGTTATCCATACAGTAAAAATAACGCAACTTTTTCACATCGACTTTTACGTTCAATTTTAAAATGTTTGAATTTTTGGGCCCAATAAGAACTTCAAAAATCGGTTTTAAATCTACAGCGTAACGTGTCATGGGTCCAGCAACCACCATTGTGTCTTTTTCAAGTCCTGTTCGTCCGGTGCATCCACGAGTATTGACAAGTCCTGTTGTAGGTTTATGCCCAAAGATTCCACAATAGTATGCTGGCATTCTAATAGATCCACCAATGTCGGTGCCTAAAAATTATCAACGATAGACGCATTTTACATTATTTAAAGATTTTTTATTGGAACTTTTCACTAGGTAATGTATTAATTTTTAATTTCTATTTATCACAACATAAGTTTTGTTTTCGTACTTGCAAGGTGTAAGAGAGCAAACAGTCACCATAATGTTTTATTTATTTATCCCGTGACCAGTTTTAATTATTAAAAAATATTAATTTCGAACCTAGTCCAAATGCAGTTCCGCATGATGAAATAACAGCTCCTTCACCACCACTTGAACCACCGACAGTCCTTCTTGAGTCATAAGGATTGTTAGTTTGGCCTATCAAATTGTTTCGTGTTTCTTGCCTTTGGAAAGACATCATAGAGAATTAAAATAAAGTTTATCAAGTGAAATACTATTTACCATCTATTGATTTCTGGAATACTTGTTGTTGCTATAATAATTGCTCCAGCTTCTTTCATCAATCGTACACATTCAGCATCTTCTTTTGCTTTCAAATTCTTTCTTGCGATGATTCCCCAAGTGAAAAGTTTCCCTTCAACAGCAGTTGAGTCCTTTGTTGTGAAAGGAACACCCAAAAAAGGTTTCTCACTAAATTCTTCCTCAGATATTAATCCTTTTCCTATACGTTCATCAACTTTTGTAGCTTCATCCAATGCATCCATAAAAGGTCCATCAATGATTGCATTAATTACCGGATTTGTTTCTATTATACGATTGATGTAAGCATTGACAACTTGATATGACTTCAGTTCTTGAGTTCTTATCATTTCAGCAATTTCAACAGCACTTTTAGTTATGAAGAAGTCTTTTTGTAACGCTGGACACACCTTTTTATTTCCTAAATACCATTCCAAAACAGTATCAACCAGTTTGTCAATTAACAATCGAATAATGTAGAAGAAATTCATGAGAAGTCCCCAAAACATGTTTTTAACAATACTATTTGTCTTATTTGATTTTGATGACCGAGAACGATGATGGCGATGTCTCTTACGTTCCTAAAAATTTACTAATAAATTATTCAAAGACAATGAATTGCAAAAATAAATTTGTTTACTTTTTTTTCAGTGTCGCTCTCGCGACTTTCTCTTTTTCCAGATCTAGACATTTTTGCAACTTTTCTATCACACTTTGAAACTTAAAATGCACAAACTAAAACTTGGAACTTTACTTAAAACTATAAAAATAATGGTATTAAACTGTTGGTGAAATGAAAGGAATGTTGTTGTACAGTGGCGAGTTTCGGTTGTGGTGAATAATTCCGCGAATAATAATAATAAAATAACACAATAATAATTTTAGTTTTCCCTAATAATTCCCTAAAGAATCACTTTTTAGATAAGTAGAATATCTTCTACAAAACTATTCAATTTCGGATTCTCTATCGATCCTCAAGAAATATTTTCAATCCATTGAGTCGTTTGCGAGAAATTCGTTGAAAACCATGATTATGAGCATTCTAAATAGGAACGTTTCTTATCACCGCCAACTTCAGGCAGCTCAAATGTAGTATACCCTGGTAGCACAAACTCAACCGAGCAGACCGAATCAAGATTCAAATTACTTTGTTGGCGCGGAATTTAGAGCCTTAGTACTATGATGTTAAGGTTAGTTTTCATAATAAATTCAATTTCTTACACTCGTACACATGTGTAAGTGTACGTAAATCTACAATTTGTTCCAAAGAAAATTCTCTTTTATTTCAGTTGTCATTTAGCTACTATACGATAAGTTTCGGATCTGAAAAAATCATAAAAAAATAAATAAGAAAATCAGAGATTTAATATAATTTATAAAAGCTACTATAGTTTATGAGTTCCTCGTGTAGAGTCAAGTGTCGGAAGAATCATTTTTGAAGACAAAAACGAATTGTTATTTGCTGATAACAATAAAGAAAGCGGATTTTCGCTTAAAATTTATGGCGGAGAACAATTTATTAAACATCATCAACCCCAACTTCTTTGAAGGGGTTGAGAAGCTATTGGAGATTTGGTTCGCACCGAAGGCCAATGCAGATTTGCGAAAAATTCCGAGGTATATGAAACGCCTTTTCTGTCGTAAAATTTTCCATTCGCGACTGATGTGTGAGAAATTTTTTCTGCAAAAAATATTGATCCTAGCGAAATATCGATTTTAACCCCTGGACATCATTTGTTTGTCGTATATCCTTGAAAATGTATTAAGTAGCAACATGAATATGCACAAGCACTCGAATGACACTACACGTGGATGGTTGGATACTCTTTTTCGAATAATTTTTTTATAAAACGATTATTTTCCGTGATATTATGCAATTAAAAAGTGAAATTCTGGCTATGTGTGAGTGTTCCCACTGCTTCTATAAAGTGCTAAATATTGCCGGCTTTTTACATTCGGTAATGTTTATCAGTTGAGCATGAAAAATTAATGAATTTTTTTTTCTATGATTAGATATGTTGCGTTGAAAATTATTAGAATATTCACTCAAAAATTTTGGCATAAAGCTTCATAAGAAAAAAACATTCGCGCATAAAGAAAAGTAAATAGCTTAGAAATTTCTTTCTTCGCTTATTTTATGTGACTTACTTAGCTTATCATGATTTAATCTATAAATTTCTTCTTAAATTTCCCTTATAAATTTCAGTGTTAAAGAATTGTCACCGGAATAAAGTTTAATCCAGTAAATTAACCTTGAAAATATGTTTTGATATTTATTTATAGAAAATTTCCATCGTCTTTGTGAAAGATTTCGAAGCTAATCATTAACGAATATATATGTGAAAAGCATATTTAAATATTTTGATTCCTTCACACAATTTAAAATTTTGTTTAAGAAAACATATGATTTCTCGGTCAATTATTAATGAAAAACTTATTTATGTTCTTGATTAGAAATGATAATATTTTAATGAAGCTCATTTGTTTTCGTCTTCAGAACTCATTGGGATGCTTTGTTAAAATCAGTTCGATGTGAAATCATCAGTTTTACACGTAACGAGCAAATCGATGCTTATGTCTTGAGGTGAGTTGAAACTTTTTTCGTTCTAAAGATGAAATATTTTAAATAAAAAAGAATCATACAAATTATTGAAGATTATAAAGACAAATTGCTTATCTCTTTTAAAAACATTGACAAGAAACTCAAGCCCCTGCCAGACATCATACTCAAAGGGTAAAAATAATTTTCGCGTTACTATAAATAAAATTTTCACTAACTTCATTTCATTTCTTCTGGTTCATAAATTTATACACTCAACGTTTGTATCGTCACAAACAAATCATACTTGCAATGTGTGACGATTTTCTTAGTAATCATCAAAAAAGTATATGTTTTAAAATGCTGTATAAGCATTTTCCCTCGACTCAATTTAAAAATTCAACAATTACGTTGACTGAATTTGATATTTGTTTTTTTTGTCATTGAATATCATCTTTCAAAAGATGTTATTAAATCTTTTGTTTATTTAATAAATAAATTTGCTACAATCTTCGAATTTGTATTTTATTTGATGATCTCTTTTTCCTTATTAACTTTTGTCATAACATAATGAAACAAGGTCGGGTAGTGGAATTAATTTTCCAGGTTTTAAAACATTTCCTTGTTTTTTTTTCTTATCATACTTAATTTATTCAGCTACGGAAAAAACATGAGCCAGTCTTGAAAAAGTTTGAAAGATGAAACCTAAGAACCTGTCTTTTGTTATGCAAACAAAACGTTTTGATTTTCAAGTAATTAAGGTTTGAATTTAATTTTTTTGCTGACGTTAACATGATTTAATGATTCATCATTTTTATTGTAATTTGAATTTGCAATATGATTTGTAATTTATCACAATATTTCGTTCTTCACTGTAGGAGAAATTTTTTTATCTTAAATTTTAGATGAAAATCATTGAATTACATTGTAATCATATGAGTAATCTTTCTTAAGGTTCACAACATAAATGTTTCAATTTAATTTATTGGTGAAAAATAAATTGACATTAGAATACTTTATTTCGAAAGAAATTTTAAGCTTAAAAAGCATTATCTAGATAATCGTTCTAAGCTTCTTGTCCTCCTTTTCTTTTGGAATGTTTTCCGATTTACATTGTGTCGTCATCATCATAGGAAAAAGAAAAATATGAGAAAATAATTTTATTTTTTGGCAGCGTAAGCAGACGATATTTCTACATCCAATGATAAACGAAGTTAAGAGACAAATCTCTGTTTCGTTGTGTTGTTAAACAAAAAACTGAAAAGTATATTTGTACGTGCTCGCGGTCGGAAAAGAAGAAAGATTTTTTTTTCAATAGCATCAGCACAATGTCGCGACAGAAAACAGTAGTATTCTCATTAAATTCGTTTTTTTTCTCATAAGTACTTATTGCGCAATGACGCAAGATGAAAGTAAAGTAAAATTTAGTATTTACAGCAAGATATGACTGACACCTTCGCATTTTCATTAAGAGATGATTTTCGAAAATTAACAGTTAAATGAAAACAAAGAAAGTTCATGAGTACGAATGAGAAAAGTCTTTGAACTTTTGTCTGCATTAAACTTGACCCAAACCAAGAAGTAAGTGAAATGAAAACGTATCTAAGAAAAGCGTAAATGGAAACATGAAGAAATTGTCTCGTTTTAATCCACGGCTTTCTTCTAGAATTAACAAGAATTTTCAAGTATGTGAAATGTGAGAAAACTATTATCATTATTCATTCTTGTTTAAAACTACCTGGGTTAAATTTCCAGCAGTTTACCTCAAGGGAGGAAAAGAAGGAAACAGACATTATTTCATTATTTTTTTGGCAAAAAACCTGTGGTTGTGTTTGGGTGTGTAACATATAATCGTTTATCTAAAAGCACTGACTCATATATGAAAATTAACATTCTTTTCACTGATGGACCAACCTAAATTAGCTTTTTTTCAAATCCATCCCAATCATCCATAAATCCTTATTTATTTTTGGTCCCTTTGTGGTTTGTTAACGCTTCAGAAGCTTTTCCATAAAACGTGCTTTAATTTACTCCATTGATCCTTCAACTCAGAACCACAAAAAGTCAATAAAAGATGTAGAAATAGTTGAAAGATATCGTCAGACACAGACTGCTACTTATGACTCAATTTATGCTCATAAATTATTACCGTAATAATTCACAAAGCATGGCAGCATTAAAGTGAATTCTCGACATTCTTTAACAGAAGATATTTTCTTCTTAAAGCCCATCAACACACGTCAAGCCTTATTTCAAATTTAAGTAAAAACTCCCGAGAGGGTGAAATAATTGAAAAAGCATATGATTGGCACTCCACTTAAAAGCGTAAAGGAATAGAATGGAAAAGAAATATTCAAAAAAGACGAGCAAAACGAAGTAAATATTTTATTCTGACATCTCAAAGCTCTAGGAAAGTGTGAATGTAAAAATAATGGGGAAAAATAATCTTAAATCGGTTTTTGATATCCATTCCTTGAAATTATATTCTCGGAAAATCTTCGATCTTTTCAATGAATAATCGTGAAATGACTTTTATTTTTTATGGACTTTCTGATAGCGAAAATTCTTTACTAGGTATACAGTCATAGACTTCGAGCTCGTTTTTTGTTATTCCAAGATAAGGAAAATGTAAAAAAGAAAATATTTTCTCTGTCAGATGATTATTGAAGATTCTCAAATTTAATTCAAAATGAGATTTATTTATGAAGGAACTTCGAACTTTTCCTTATCTTGAGTTAATATACACAGAAATATTTGTATAAAGAAATATTTACCAATAGATTCATTTTAGTGTATGATAATTTACAGAAAACCCAAAAGTTTACACAAAAAATAATTAAATGTTGATTCAGAAGCTCAGTCAGTGTTAAATAAATCATGCAGAAAAAGTTAAACAAAATATTGTTTGTAAACCAACTAATGAATAAGTTACAAAGAACAATTGTCAAAATGATTTCTTCTACAAAAATTAATTTTTAATGATAACAAAGTCGATTATCCTTGTTTTGAAAGAAAAATGTTAATCGATTAGCTGAGATTGAGAAAGATATTGTAAAGTTTAGATCTTAATTATCGTCAAACAAAACAATCAACGACTTAAGTCGTTGCCGTACTCACAAAACCTTTTGAACTTCTTGTTGAAAGAACAATGACTTTTTCGCTTAGATTTTCTTTTGGGAAACATAAAGTGATTTTCTCATAAAAGCTTTGTATGATTTAATGAAAAATCTGGTAAAGGTTTCAAAAACATTTTTCTGCCGCTAAGCTTTTATATTTCTCCTTTGCAGATAACATATTTTGTACTAGAACAAAATTGTTTATCAAATTTTCATTTTTATGAAAGCTTTAATTTAAATAACAAACATTCCTAAAAAGCTTTTTCTTTTCAAATGTTACGTACTATAATAATTAATGATTGAATTATTGATTTTTTTCTCATGAATTTTATTAACCGTTAATTAAGGGTTTACATAATACGACAAGAAATATTTGTGTGACGAAGAAAAAGAAGTAATGATGAAGTTTATTCATTACACCACTCAGTCTAAATTTCTTGTTCTTCTTTCAATTTAAGTAACTCTGACTGCATGTAATTAACAAGAAAAATAACATCTCACGTATTGGTTAAAAAAAATATCAGATGATTATCCTCGGAAAAATCTTAATTCTTTACCGAAGTTTCGATTTTCCTTCCACTTCATCATCTTCAATTTTCTTTTGATCAAACTTTCTCCTTCACATTCATCCAAAGTCATTGTGATGATAATGATTGCTTCTGACGTGGATTTTTTTTCTTTTCATATTCACTCAAAACGAAAATTCATTGATCAGTTTTAAAAATATTTTTAATATTGTTGAGATATGACGTCATAAATACCTAGATATTTTTTAATGAAATTTTTTTAAATCTCTAATTAAATCGAGCAAGTCACAAAAAATTGTACTGGCATATTTAGGTATTTATTAACATGATAATCTTCGGAACGAGTCCATTGTAACAGGTTTTCAGTTCATATTCACGACACGTTCCAAAAGATTTAAAAAATGATTAAGTAAAAAGTTCCGCCGATTTGTTTTTTTTTTTTATCAATAATTTTATTCAAAGAATTCATTTTTACAAACATTATTCCAATGAAATTATTCATCGTGGTGTTCTATTGGTTTTCTTTTTTTAAATATTCTGTTCTCAAGATATAAGATTGACCTTGACTGACATGTGTTTTAACAAAAGCGTAAACAAAGATAAACAAATCTCGGGCGTTTCTTGTACAGTGGCAATTGACCTGTCAGAGGAAAGAAAGTAATATAGTGAAATGACCTTTTCTTCAACGACGTAACAATATTTTCACATGGCTGACGCATGTTTGAATAGTGACATGTTTTTGAAATCAAAATGAAAGCAAAAGTATTCTGATAAGGATGTTCAGTATCATCGCATTTGACCTTAATAAAAAAAATTGAAAAGCAGATGGATGTGAAACACTTTCCGCTTAGCAATTGAAAGATGAATCTTAAGATTTAAACTTAAACAATCCTCTGATAAGGTTTTTTGAAAGCTCCTGGGATAATCTTAAATGCCTGAATGTTAATCATTTTCTTCCCTCATATGAAAAAAAATTCTCTGTTTCTCTCTCTTGATGCATCATTCGGAAAAGTAAAAAAAAAATTTTGAGAAAGTTTCAATATAAAAGTGGAGAAAAGGTGAACAAAGTTCGTTGTGAAGACGGCGAGTATGGTTTGATAAGCTTAAAATTCATTCAATTGCTGATGAATCAGTATCATTATCTTAATCTTATTAATTCTCAAGAAATCATTTAAAGTGTTTCACGTTTTTATTTGATACCTAGTTCCATCAATAAATAATATGTTCAAATTTTAATTTTAAATAACCTCACAGATTAACATGATTTATAATAAATCTTATCAATTTAAAAATATTTCAAAGGGAAAAGAGATCGTTGCTCGAGTTGATGATCAGTGTCAATGTAATCTTCAAGTATTTATTTTTTTTTCTTTTTTTACTTTATTTTAGTGAGAGTAGCATGTTTGTTTCCAACCGCCGTTGGATTTTAAAAACATGCGGCACAACAACTCCACTGCAATGTTTGGAGCCATTGTTACAGATGGCTTTTGAAATTGGCGGATATGCTGAGATTGAAGATTTGTTTTACTCCCGAAAAAATTATAAAAAACCAGAGCTTCAAGTCTCACCACATCGTGGCTTTGAAGAAGAAGTTGCATTTTTAGATCAGTTTTTTGAAGATGGCCGTGCTTATTGTTTAGGATCGGTAAATCGTGACTGCTGGTACTTGTACACTTTGAATCGAAAAGGCACTGATGAAGCGTTAACAAATGATCTGTCAATTAATAATAATAATAATAACAACAACATGATTATTAAGTCACTTCAAGTTCCTGATCCTGATCAAACCATTGAAGTTCTCATGACCGATTTAGATCCGAAAGTTATGGCGATTTTCTCGAAAGAAGATTCCAATGACGCCAAAGAAGCTACGCAGGTTTGTAGCTAATGATTGGATTGAATTCATTTAATAATAATAAGCTTACGTGTGTGATTATTTTTATGCAGAAATCTGGAATCAATAAAATCATCCCTGGTATGGTTATCGATGACTATTTGTTTGAGCCGTGTGGATATTCCATGAATGGTGTTTCGAAAAATGTAAGTCATCATGCTTCACTTTCTTATGAAACATTAACGTACTTCCACAATATTTTAATTCAATCAAATCTTTTCTCATTTTTTTTTTGTTTTCTTAAAAATCTTGAAAATCTTTTCACGATATTAAAGATTGGAAAAATGTACAGTGAAGTAAGTGTCAAAAGTAACTTTTTTTCTTGTAGTGTTGACTTCTCTGCTTCTACTTTTGCATAAATTCCGCTTTTAAGCGTTAGGCTAAAATATTCAAATGATCGTTTAGACAGTGTTTTTTTTTAAATTTTGTGTGCTTTTCTAAAATCTCATGTTAATGTCTCATATTTTGAATTCATGGACATTGCTGTCTGGTAATAAAGTAACAATATGCTTTTATTAACCACGGTGAAGGATTTGATTTGCCTACTTTAGTAATCAACTAAAACATATTTAATTAAATTTTAACATATAAATTTAATTTCCATACCTGTTTGACTTAGAAATGCTTTTTACACTTCTGTTTTAGGGTTGCTATATGACAATTCACATTACACCCGAACCTGAATTCTCTTATGTCAGTTTCGAGAGTAACGTCGCTGCTGCAAGTTACAGTGATTTGATAACACGCGTCATTGATACTTTTAAGCCAGGAAAGTTTATTGTGACGGTGTTTGCAAATAAAACATCTCCTGCGTTTGGTGCGTCACGTGAGTTGGAGCACATCGCTAATATTGGACAATTTAAGCGTCGTGACATTCAATATTGTCGTTTTGAAACGTATGATTTGACTTACGCGCATTATATTAAATATCCAAGCTGAGGTTTAAAGATCATGCCTTGTGTTGGGGCCAAGAATAGCAACACGCTTTCATCTTCCTCGCTCCCAATCCCCCACTCCATTTCCTATCCAGATGACGAATCCAATAAGATTCTTCAAATTCCTCTCATGAAGTTTTTGATTAAGCTTCTTCATTTCTTCACATTTTCCGGTCCTTTCTCCGATGACAGTCAAAAAGGAAACTCGCATATTCAACAAAAGCAACAACAGCAAAACTCGACTCATGGCAACAATTTAAGTGACAAGCCATTCAACGTTCTACCACCATTCGCTTATACAACAGCAATGATCTTCTTTATTCAACTTGTTTCGGTCATATTTGTGCTCAACATTGAAGAATTCTCATCACCGCTTGTAATGTTCAGCTATTGGCGTAACAAAATTTCTTGAAACTGATTAACAGTGTTATTACAAATATAATTTTCAATTTTATCATCAAAATTTCGATTTTGGTTGATGTATCACACAGCTTTTGTTTCGTTTTCATGACGTTTGCAGACGAGTGACAAAAACAAAACAGTGCATGATTTTTGTTTTATTCAATTTTTGCTTAACTGTAGACGATGATTTTAACGGATGCGCAAACCTTTTCACACATTGATGAGAGCTTTAAGCTGAGTTGTTTTGCGCATCCAAATTAATTTCTTCCACAAGAATCTTCTTTTTTTTTCGTCTGTGATGACACTTTAATATATATTTTGAAGCAAAAATTGTGAATCGTACTTTCATTATTAGTGTGAGTAATCTTCAATGTAAGCTCAAACAAACTGTTTGTTTATTATTGTCTGAATGATAATCATTTCTTCCATTTATTAGTTTAATAATATGATTTCTTAACAATAATGTTAAGTATTTGTCGATTATCGAAGTTTGTTGAAATCTTCAAAAAAAAATTTAAAGTTTTCTAATAATTACTTTCTTTATTTTGTTTCTAAGAATTTTTTTTTGGCATCAAATGTGCTCTTAGTTGGTAAATTTAAAACCCCTAAATTGCTCTTTAAACAGAATGGTGCATTTAAATTTTCCCTAATTTATGTTCTCTTTAATGTTACGAAATTGTTATAAAAGTGTTTTAATAAACGCACTTTAAAAGTACTAATCCGGCGAACACGTCAATGTTTCAAGTTTAAACTATTCTGGAATTAAAAATATGGTTTAATTTCATTGAAATGAATTATCAAAATCTCTCTTCAAGCGACATTGTATGTCGTTATAGATTTTGCATAAATACAAAAATCAAAATATCTAATAATTTCTTATTTTAAACACTCATTATAGGTACAATGAATGAATATTTTCTTAAGATTCATAAAACACTTGATTACCTATTTTTATAAGTGATAAGAAAATTTACGATGAAATTCAAAGCACAATTGTCTTACAAAATTACAACTTTTTTTTTCTTAAAAAAATAAAAACACCTAAAGTTTTAAAAGAAAAAAAAATGAATTTAATCTCAAAAAGCAATTTAAGAGTTATTTGCACATTAATAAATATTATGTAAATGTAGATTAGAAAATATGACGCGTATTGAAAGGATCGATAATCTCAAAATTAAGGATTAATCCATTTAACATCCAATACGAGCTTAATGAAGCCACAAACCGCAATTAGAAGAAGAAATAATAATATTTGCGATGACTTTAGAAAGCCTAATTCAAAAATGAATAAATGTTTCATTCCAATTTAATGTAAAAACCTTAGAAGTTATTATAATGAATGGAAACAAAAAAAGCTGTTGAAAGAATTAACTAAGTGATTTTGACTCGATAAATGAGTCATAAAATGCCATGCCATAAGAACTAACATTTTAGGTTGAAGGAAAACAAGCAATTAATTTTAAATAACAAGTGTACCTTTTTGATTTTCCCTTACCTTTAGAACATTTAAAAAAAACTAAAGTCCTTTATCTTATTTTTCACCATTGAATAAAATTTAAAATTTGAATTAAAATTAAAGCTCCTTATGAGAAATAAAAGATCTTGATCCTATTAAAAAATCAAAACAAAGCGTAAATGTTGTTTTTCAAATCAATTTTATGAACATGAATTTCAAATAAAGAATATATTCTATGATAAAATACAATATTTTAGTTTGTTTTCCTAATTTTGTTGGTGAAAATTTATGACTTTTTGATAAAAATATTTTTAACGACTTTAGTACAGATTTTGAAACACTTCTATGTGATGAGAACGCCTCTTTCAGAAGAGTTGGGAACTAATCAACACAACAAAAGGCTCCAAAAAGCGAGGGAAAATAAATAATCATTTTAAATCCATTAATATGTCGAATGAAAGTTCAATGTCGTACGAGAATTCTCAACAGCAAATTGCTAATCGCAAACAGAAATATAAAGAGTTGATTGAGAAAGGATCTGAATTACGTAAATTATAAATTGATTTCATATTTAGACATTCATCAATAATCTTATGGATCAAATTTATTTTTAGATGACAATTTAGAGAATCAAGATGTGTTGTCAACATTCAAAAACATTTTGGATATCGCTACTACATGTGAAAATATTTCTTCTGATTTTGTAAAAGATGGAGAAATTGAACATGCAAATGAATACTTAATGGATGCACAAATTGTGAAGATGTCTCATGATCTTATGGGGTCAACTGCAGAAAAAATGAGAAAAAGTGATTTTTGCGAAGAAGAATACATAACAGCTTTAAAAGACATATTCACGACTAGCAATGGTAGTTATGATTTCAGCAGTCTTGCAGAAATTGCTGGAAGATGTTGCAAAGCAACAAACTTTTCTATTTCATTGCTGGGAACTTTTGAGCTTGATGCTGCTCCACGGCCAGAAAAAATTCATAAAGAACGTCAACGAAATCGATCTAATTTAGATACTGTCAAAGCCCCTGAAAATATCAAAAGCATTAGGAAGAGCGGTGCTGGAGCCGAAAAGTTCAATAAAGTTTACCAAGAAATTTATCGAGTTAGTGAAGAACGTCAGACAAATCAAATTCCTTACTACGAAATCATCTGTGATCCCAACGATTTCATGAAATCTGTAGATATTGCATTCCAAATTTCATTTCTAGTTCAAGCCGACTTTTTAGGTCTTAAGAAATTCAACAATGAACCTCATGTCATTATAAAAGGCCGAAAAGAATCTACACTTCACAGCCAACATAATAATTCTCATGAAACTGTTCAAGTTGTAATGTCTTTGAATACTAAAATATGGAGAGAACAAATCAAGAAATTTAATATTACTTTGCCTCTTTTAAACTTAATACAAGAAGACGGAGAGAATCATTCAGATTAAATGCTTCAATGTTTTGCTTTCCTGATAAAATCTCCTTGAATACTATGTGAGAAAATGTTTGAAATAAAATTTTTTTTTGAAAACAGTTATAATTGTACCCCTTTCATGACAACATTTTGAGCTTTAAATACCTAATTCATTTCAAACTATAAATGAACATGTAGAAAATATTAAAATTTATTGCCTACCTAGGAAAATATTTTCAGAAATGAAAATGCCATGTCGCTTATTTTATTGCTGTTGCGAGAATTATTCGAAACAAAACCGGAAAAAGAAAAGTTTGAAAACATAATTTTCTGAAAATTAAGCTTTGAGTTTAATTTATGATTTCTGAAACATGAAATATTTTGATGTCTGAATGGAAATGTTTGGCTTATCAAATGTTAAGAATCAAACTCTTTCGTTTATTTGAGTGTCGACCTTAACTGTTTCAATGTGGTGGAAAACTTAGTAACTAAAACAAGCAAATGAAGAATTAAGAAATATTTCATTTTATTAATTATCATACAACTTTATCTGACATCAATTCTGAAAAAATTCAAATTTATTTACCTTCTTTATTGTTTCACGTGTTTCTCTTTCTTAAATAATACATATAGCATCGACTGACAGCTGGACATAAAAGTCTGATAACTTTTTTTCTTTTCCCGATGGCTGCAATTGATGATATAAATCATGTATTACATACATGTATCGTGAAGAAAAAAGAAAAAAAGTTTTCAGTTATATATGTTAAAAACTTTTATGGCGGGATAACGAGATGAAGCGAGAAGAAATAACAAAAAGAAAACGAAAAGAAAGAAGTAGGTTTTAATGGCTGAATGTGGAAATAAATTTAATCGAAAAGGAATGCTGAGAATAAATGAAGCCATAAATTGATGTGATCATAAAAAATTCTTTTCATCTGCCTTCTATAAAGAACCATACAAATTCACTTGATGATCTCCTACAATTTCTGTGGGAAAAATGTAATTGTAAGAGTTTTCATAAAATATAATTTTTCAAACTAATTGGCGAGCTACTGACTATTGTAATTAAAAGCTTTAAAATTCATGAGATATTACATGATATTAGTAATTACCTAATTAAAAAAGAAAAAGATTAAATTTTTGTGTTTCTTCCAGCAATGAAAAAAAAATTCAATGATAATTAAAAAGTAATGAACAATAACTTAATAAATATATCAAAAGCAGCAACTCCTACTATAACATAAATTTGTCATTCATCTCAATTGATGAAACGTCCTAATGACTTTAAATTGAACTGTTGACATCAGTTTTATTGACGTCATACAAATCAAAAATGTTTTGATGAAATATTCAAAATCAAACAATGAAATTACAGTAAAAGTTTATGAATTTACATTTATATTGACACATCATAATAATAAAATATTATGATCATTCTACAACCGCCAACAATTGGGATAGTTCATAAAAGATTTGATGTTGTTTGCGGTGATGATTTCGAGTCCTAATTTGACTATTGCTTTATTATATTTGCTCATAATTTACTCTAATTGTAGTAAACTATAAGATGTTTACAAGATTTATCCGTTGAGAATGCTTTTACTGTTTTAAACACTTAAAATTTAAAATATATTAAGTGAAACAAAAACAGAAAGTTTTATTCAATTTTTGTTATATATATTTAGTCATTTTCCTTACGTGCATACTCATATTTCATGCCGGTTTACTTCAAAGTATTTCATCACTTAATTTTGTTGATCCCTTAGGTTCATTCTTGAGTCAAACAAGCCATAAAAATTCTAACAAAAATATCCTAAAAGGAAGAAGACGGCAAATCTATTTTCGACTTTCCCTAGAACTCGCAATATAATAAAATTTCAAAATTGTTACAAATTTTCGACGCACCGACATTTTCTGAATGTCTCAATCTGTTTCTTATAAATTTTTCTAATACTCTTAATGCTTTCATGAATCAAGCCAATCGTGACAAACAATGCGAAAAAGATATTATGTAAGATGATTTCATGATCTCTCACTCTACTCATAAACATATATAAATACATAGTATTTATGTTGTAAAGATATATGCGAAAGAAAGAAGATTATTGCACATTCAGTTTTATTATAGAGAACATAGTCACTTTAAGGTTCATTAATTTGGTTTTACTGTCATGAAAAGTATTCAAAACCCTCGAGACGGGCTTGTCTTCTTATCCAGATGGAACTTATGTTCTTGAGCGAAGGATTTACATTAATTATTTTAATTAAGTTAGCATCTTTTATTACCCAACCTGAATTTTATGAAAGTTTCATGCGAGACCGCTTCCAAGTGATGTGAATAAAGATTTTAATTAAGATTTCAAAAATATATAAAAACGCAGCAAGAAGGCGAAAGAAGATGGCGTGGATCAGTTAATTTTGAAAAAAATAACTCGTCACGAAAACAATAAAATTCACCATCGTAAGCCTCATCTCCAAATGGATTTTGATAATAAAATATGGAAATTTTTGAGGGTCTAAAAGCTTTTCTGCATGATTAACTTTTTTTTTTGTTGCTTTCCGTCCTGAAATAAAGTTTTCAGAATATTCTAAATGTAATAGGTGTAAAAAATACAGAATGAAATATCGAACCGAAAAGCGTTTATAACGATGATTGGAAACAAATGCAAACATTGATGGCTGCAATTCAAAGCGGCATTTCGCTTGATGTGTTTAATTCTCCTATCTCGTTCTCAAACATGGTGACAATAGTTAAGTATTTAATTTAATCGGGTAGACTTTGATGATAGTTTTGTTTGAACAGATTCAACGACTCTATTAATTCGATCGCAAGGTGATAACTTATCAGAAAATTAAATCACTGGTACAAACGACAAATAATTGAAAAAAAATTCCATTTAGTACCTAGGTAGGTTGTAAAATTTTATTTTCCTTTTTCACTTTTTCTTTCTTTCGTTTGTGGGCGGTTGACAAAAAGTTTATTGCAAAGAAAGAATGAAGAATAATGTCATTAGGATCATAAATGCAAATTTCAGTAAAATATTGACTGAGAAAGAAGAGCTGTTGTGCGTCTAAATTTCTGAATGTAAAAGTAGAGCTTGAATATTTATTTATTTTACTAATTTCTTCTATCGCCATTCCCGTGACACAAAAGGAAACTTTACGGCATAATTTGAGCTAGGAGGAGAAGTTTTTGTGTCCTTTCTCTAGCCTGTTGTTTTACATTCTTTTGGGCCTTAATTGATAGATCATAAGCTTCAGGTAGCGATGAAAAATGAAAGTAAAAATATTCCAGCAATTTTAGGCAATGTGAGCTGTAAAGATTCATTTTTAGTATATGACTTATAATTCCATTCTCATGAGTGTTTAAAAAATTCAAATATTTACTTGACATAACCAAATGGTCACAAATTCAATTCTTCTTTTTCCTTAAATTTATAAACTCGCTTGCAGCTCCATAATTTTAACTGTAAATTAAACAATTGATAACAATGATAACACTTGAGATGATAAAAAGATCACGAAATTCTAGCTTTGATAACACAATCTGAGAACAAATACGCAAACTTTTCTTTTATTTGAAATAAACATGAAATATTTGATTTATACTTAGTTGACGCAATTAAACTCCATGTGTTTATTGTTGATTTATACTGAATAAGCATGTACGTCAATTTTCTGCACGCCTTATAATTTCAACTTTATTTGCTTCAAAATTATTCATTCTTTAACCTTTATAAAACGTAGACTTGGAACAAATGAAAATTCGCATTACGAACATTAAAGATACATTTTTAGAAAAACTCAAACATATACATATATGTACCTATATCTATTTTTGGCATTGACAATGAAAAACTTGAAAACTTTCGCAATATTGTGACGGTTTTATTGTCTGATTAAACGTAGTTTAATGATTCGTTAATTGGGCTATTGAGTTGCCGACAAAGACAGTTGGAGTTTTAATCAAAACTCTTTATTAGTTGCGCTATATTCGCAATTAATTACGTTTTATTGTTCACTTCAATTTACAGTTTTTCATCATTGAATTTCCTTCTAACTCGCATTCATACTTACATCGATGAAGCTTTTGCGTAATGATTCGAACAATTCCGCTAATTTCTCGTATTCAACTTGAATTTTAACGAATGATTAATTTTTAATTTAAATGTTTTGATTGTTCATGACGATCTAGTTGATTTGCTCTTGTGTTTTTCCAACAGAATTTCCATGAAAATCAATTTTTACAAGTGATCTCTTTCTTCTTTTCTCTCAAATTCTAAACATGGCGCAATAAAATGTTCCCATTGGTCAATTTTCTTTTTCTCTATTTATTCTTAAGCTCCGCCTATCGAGAAACTCAAATGAAAATTTTTCGCTCGAAATGTGTTTTTGTGAGTTGGCAGTTTTATTTGTGTTCGGTGTTTCGTGAAGTTGAGTCGAATTTTTCTTCATTCTCCGGTAGATAAAATAATAGGTAGAAAAGAAACCAAGGAAATAAAAAGACGAACAAGAAGAGAATTTCTCATAATTTAGAATTGAATTGTTAGTGATTTATTGAAGTCATTGTTGAGAATTATTTTATTGCCATTTTGGAGCACCATCAAGTGATCAATTAAGAGACGTAAATAAATTAATTGAAACACAAGTGGTAGCAATAAATAAATGCAGCAGTGATTTGTATGCATAAGATATCATTTTTATAATAATAAATAATTTAAAATAACTCAGAACTGAAATGAAACTGATGGCACATTTCAATAAGTGAAGAAATCAAATATCTACATGTGAAAGTATTTAATTTTGTGGTTAAATATAAAATATCTTGAAATCAGAAAAGTAAAAAGGAAAGAAAAATGTTGTCGCATTACGGCCATCAACAATCAATGAATATGTACCCGAAGAATCACAGTGGTGGATCAGGTTTGCCTTATGGTGTTTCACCATCAGCTGCCGCTTGGTACATTAATTATCATCATCAACCACCAAGTGGAGCCCAATTTCTAGGTGATCCCGACGCTCCACATCAGCCTGTTTATTATCCACATCACATGTTTCAACAGTCGAGTCCCGATTGGGCCGGACATGAGAATTACTCAGCACCACCACAAAGCAGTACACCTGCTTCTCTTCTTCAAGGTGTTCAAGGTTCAGGAGTCACTACTGGCAGCGGTGGTGGACCCTCTGGTTTCTTATCAATTAATCAAGCGACGCAAAATGGAAACAGTAACAACAACAATGAACACATTCACGATGGTTTACAAAGTTTACCGTCACCGCCGATTACTGTTTCTGGAAGTGACATGAGTAGTCCTGGAGCACCTAATGGATCATCTTCACCTCACATTCATTCACGCCCGACGCCTGTTAAGAGCCCTTACGAATGGATGAAGAAACCTTCATATCAAAGTCAACCCAATCCAGGTAAGAAATTTTTCTATCGTGTCTTCATATTGGTGTCAAAATCATCGATATTTAGACGAACATTTGATGGATCGTCGTAACTTCTCACTTCCCCCATCACAAATACAACTGCATTCGTGTTTAAATATTCAACTTAACAAAAGATTCTCTTACGACGATCCAAAAGAAAATATAACAAAAACAAGCATTCAATTCAAATCCAGTTCTGATCCGATCAGAAACAAAATCTTTCATTTTACGATCTCATTTGATTTACGACATTGAAAAGTGTCAGTTTGATGGCTCATATAAGATGGATGACGAATTTTTGTTTCTCACATTAATTAAAAGTCACAAACACCTTCCATACTCGATTTAAATGCAAATTTCTCAATTAATCTCGTTCAGGAATCATCAATATTTGTTCAGCACCGTCACTTGAAGATTTTTCCATGGAGATCAATGGTATGCACCAACAAATCAATTCATTTTTTGCATGAAGTTTTCTTCTTATTTGTCATTTGATTTAATCTTCGAAGCATGATGTCTCGTTGATCTTTTAAAACATTTTATTATGAGTTGTCTTAATTCTATTGATGAGAAGACAAAAAGTTCTTCGAATTAAATTAACAGAATTTTATGTCTTAATTCCTAACAGCGTGATGTTGGCTTGAAAATTTTTCGATTAAAATCCTTTTAAAATCTTCGACATAACTGAAGACATCAAAAACAAAAGAAAAGAAGAAAAGATTCCCATTGTTGGGGTTTTTTTAAATCCATTCTCGCTTCTTGTTGACTTGATCAGTTTTTAATTTTCTTGATTTTTCCTTTTCAACTTTTCTTTCATCCATAAATTATCATCAATCCAACTTTATTGCGCCATCATTAAAAGACTGAAAAAGTTGAACGTTCATGCACGAGCGAAGAAATATCGCAGCAATGGCTGGGTGCGTGATTCACATCAAGATTGTGCCTGACTTCGCCTTTTAATTTTATTTTTCCATCATTCAGCCATCTAAAAACTCTAATGAATTAAACACAAAATGGTGGACATTAATTCACGCAGTAGCTCGTTCAGGCAAGCGGACGTCGTCAATGGAATTCAACATCATCAATCATCGGTGATGTTTCGAAAAGTAGAAAATCGTTCGTTTCACTCGTTTCATGATAACAACGCGCAAAATGATATCCGACGACTTTGATTTGAAAGCGCTTTGACCTGAACTTACCAACATTATGTTGTTGGAACGATGTTCACATTTCATAAATGTGCAAAAATGTTTTCTACTTTTTTATTCCTTAATTTGACGTCTGCCGCTTTCTTGCATTTTACAATGCTCTTCGTTTCTCCTTTCCTTCATTTTGTTGTTGACTCAACAACCCAAGGCAGCAAAATTCTTTTCCATCTTTCATCTTCGATCTTCGTTTTCATGTTCATATTCAGAGATCCTTTTTTTCTGATGTTATTTTATGTTTTGCGATGAAACTCCATCGGTATTTTGGATGGTGTCATAAAACTTAACGAAATGAAATCTCAATCCATGTTGTAAAAAGAAATATTTAAAAATTTTAATGGATAATTTATGTTAATGAATATGATGTGAAGATTTAATGAGATTAAAAGATGGTCTTCTAGTCGTCGTGTTAAAAGAAGATGAAGAAGCATCGGAAATCCAGCAAGTTGAGGTTGTTGGAAAACAATGAAAACTATTGACAATGAAAATGACGTAACATGAACTTCAACTCGAACAATTTTGTTTACCGAGCTATTAAAATTATTCTTATGTATTGTAAAAGTAACAAAATTCTAATATTTTCCTTCCACTGACTGCGATTGTCATTGCGAGTATCAGTCAACAAGTCTGATGCGAGACAATCACTTCAATGATCCATTTTATGGCTTCAGATTAGTTTAATTTTCACCATAAAATGGATCAACATGAGTTGCTTGTTGTGAGTAAAACCAAATAGAGAAAAAAGATTTTTCAACTCGTTATCAGTTCACACACACACAATTTCTTATCAGTTATCGCTTGCCGCATGCCGCGCTCTCAAACTTTTAAAATTTTGTTCTATTAATGCTTGGATTATTCCAACTATGCTTTACCTTCGTCTGATGATTTCCGAGCCCATCGTGAGACTTGAAGTTTCTTAATCCATCATATGGAATCAATCGACGGATTTTCGCGTCTTTGTCGGCAATGTTGCGCATTTGTTATCAATTTACTGTGCAGCTTAGATCGATATCAAAGAGTCTTTCTTTTGTTTACATGTTGATGATCCCCTTTCAGTCACAGTCACAGTGGAATTTCCAACAAAAGCGACAACGGTGCTTCCTTTTTTCGTTTGTTGTTTCCTTGATTCGTAATGCCCAACATGGGACTTGCTGCTGATACTTTGAATGTTTCACGTCCATTTCCAATCCAGACTTCTGAATGTCCCTGAACACGGAAAACATTCCAAACTCCCATTAATTTACCGAAACTATAGTTGAAGCAACAGCAAACCGACAAAAAAGGAAAAAGTCCCAACAATCGCACAGTTAAGAGTTAAAGTTTTGTTGTTTGCATGTTCAAATTTCAAATACCAATATGGAAATGATGAATGTGTTTCAGACCCAACAAAGTTTATAAACAATTGGAGAACATTTCGTCAATATTATGATGTTCAGGTTGAAGCACAAATTGTAAATGTTCTGAAACAAAACCGGAGACAATCGATGATTTCAGTTCAAGAAGAAAGAACAAGAAAAAAATGAAGAAAGTTTCGAACTGCGGTGAAATGTCCTGCTGACAACTTTTACACATTTCTCCACCCGATGATCTTCTTTTCTTTCAATTTATTTTCCCTGTCGACACCATCAATTTATGATGCCTCATGATTGTTTGGGTATTTCGCAATAAAGTTTCCATTTCCCTTTACGCCGCTCTTAAGACTTCATCACCATCATGATGTTCATCTATTTCTACTGCTGCTTCTTCTCTTACTGTTGTTGCTGCCATTACAACTGCTGCATCCTTTTATTGTTATCGTTTTATTGTTCTTTAAGCTTTATTTTCTTTATTTTATTGAATGATTAAGATGGAAATGATTTTTTATTTGCTGATAGATAAAAAAGAGTTGAAAGCAAAAATATTTGAATTGAAACTTTCTCATCAATTGATTTAAGAATTGAACGTTTCTCTATTTTCAATCAAAGTGATGAATTACAATACTTAAATTTCTTAAGTATTTTTAACAAGAGTTTTTAAAAAATAAAAGTTCTTTGTAGATTACAATGTAACAAACAAATAATGTTGATTTTCAGTGTAGTAGAGATTGAGAAGGGGAAACAATGATTCGAGATAGGGAGAGAAATCAAATCAACTGTTTAATTTACTCAACAACACCCTGGAGATTATTTTCCACCGTCAAAGTCAATTTTCATAATTTTTCATCGTATACAAGTTTTTCTTGCTTCATCTCGACGCCAATTTAAGTTTTCACGATTTCTTAATTTTATTCATAGGCTGAAAATTGTGTGATGTGCTCAAGTGTAATCATAACAACGATAGAATCTTATCAAATCGCTCCGGCGACGTCTTCTCTTCTTTATTTTATTTTTTTTCCTCTTTTGAGTGATAATCCCATGTTTATAAGAAATTCAAGTAGGTACTTCTACTTATCACCTTCACTTATCTTTTTTTTCTACTCTCAATGACAAATAATTTTTTTCTCGTGAATAAAAAAAAAGCATTGAAACTTTGTAATGGACGCCATCGATTTATAATATTGCAGCACACTGTTATCGTTGTCAATAGATAACAATTCTCTTTTCTTGGAATTAAATATCGAAGCAACAATAATTTGAAGAGAATTTCATTATTTATCAATTAAATGATTTCCTTATGATCCTCCAAATTCACCGTCGGAACGACTTCGAAAGGAAACGCAAGTAAATATTAAAAAATATTTAATGTTTACATGAGGAAAGTCAACAAGTCCTTCTTTAAACTGTTTTTAAATGATGAATGAGAAAAGGATTTTTCTTATCAATGATGAATGGACTTTTTTTTCTTAATTTCTTGTTGTTTGCTTGCATTGTGTTTGCATTAACTTTACATATCCCTAGATACTTAACTCAGACGTAAATATCGAGCATGTTTATCTATCACAACATTGAGTTTCCGTTTTAATTTTTCTTTCTGAGAATTTTATGATTGAGAAAAGATTTTTTATTATGCCAAGTAGAAATTTTTTTATGCATTTAATTAAGCTTTAATTTATGTATCAATGAAATATTTAAAAAAAAATTATTATCAATCTTTACAGGTAAAACACGAACGAAAGATAAATATCGTGTCGTTTACACTGACCATCAACGGCTTGAGCTTGAAAAAGAATTCCATTATACAAGATACATCACAATTCGACGAAAATCGGAGCTGGCACAAGCATTATCGTTGTCAGAGAGACAAGTTAAAATTTGGGTAAATTCTGCAATACTTTAAAAATTATTTAAATTAATATTAACTTTCTTACAAAAGTTCCAAAATCGAAGAGCCAAAGATCGCAAACAAAAGAAAAAGATTGACAATGGTGGAACAATTTCCGTGAATGGTCAAACCATTATTTCGACGTCCCAAACCAACATTAATACATCGTCGGTATCGACATCGAATTTATCAAGTTTTTTGGATGTGAAGCCAAAAATTGATCCTTCCATCCATTTACAACAATTGCATCAAATGAGTATGGGATTTGGATATGATAAAATGGGACTTCATGCTCATCACGCTTTGAATTCTCATCATCTGGCACATCAGCTTCCACCGACTTCTTTGAGTCAACAACCAACTTCACAATCAACACCTTCACCCGCTATGTTAATGGGCTGAATTTAATCTAATTTTATTAAATTTTAATTCAATCTACGAGATATTAATAACTTATAAGGAAAGAGAAAAATTTTCATTCTTAATTTTAACGATTTAAAAGAAATTTAGTTTTTCAAGAGCCGTCCCTTGAAATGATAACTTTAAAAAAATGAGATAGTGAAGTGCAATGATTCGCAATATTACATGCAATTGAATATTTGATAAGAAAAATGTGCAACAATGAATAATAATTATAAGAATTAAATAGGTTAGGGAATCATATTCAGTAATAATTTGTTATTTAGGTACATGTATGAAGGTGAGAGAAAGTAATTTTGATTAAAGGTTCAAATTAATTCATTCAAGATTAGGAAAAGAAATTAATCGAATGGTTTTAATGAAAAAATAAAAATTTATAAATAATAAATATCAATCTGCAATTTTTAATCTTAATTCTTTCTTAAATCAGCCATTTGTTACAAATTTTAATTCAAAAATTGCACCGTGATTAATGAGAAAAAAAAACTTGAACTTTATAAATAATGAAATTGACTTTAATCACGTGTGAGATTACAAGGAATTTTTGTTAAGTTACAAATAAGAATTCTTTGATGCCTAGATAGAGTAGACATTTTAATTGCATAGATTTAATATTTCAATCGACGATTTTATTTGTTATTGATTTTCACCTATTTCACATTAATTCTTGAATTAAGCAAATTAAAAGAAAATTCACGTTGTAATTTTGATCCTAACAAGAAGATAAGAAAAATAAAAAGAAAATAAACCAGAAACTTTTCCTTTTTTCTTTATTTGTAAGTTAAAGTTTAAAGATTTTAAAGATTACGAAATCGACTCTAAAAGAAGTTTTCTTCAACTCAAATGCATTTTGATGCCCTAGATATATATCCGACGAGAATAAAAGAAGAAACTTCTTCCACCACCAGAATGTTGAACAGATTTTTATGACTCCCAAGAGAACTGTATCTAAGTAAGTGAAGATTCAGGGGAAAACTCACTGCAATGCGATAAACGTTCTGACAATTTGTCATGAAATCATTGCTCGTTTCACGCCCTGTAACTTTATCACTTGGTGATTTTAATTGGACATTCTCGTAAGATAAAATGAATAATAAATCATGATGTGGTTAGAATTATCTTTTAGATTAAATAAAGCAATTTTTATTTACAGATTGTTACATTTACTTAATTTTTGACATTGAAAGTTTGAAATTTAAGATTAAGTATTAACTTTTTTAATTTTAAGGCTGTCATTTGATTGTTTCTTTTTCTTTTTGCATTTAAGATTGAATTAAATCTATAATAAATTTATTTACATTGTAGTACAAATTAATTTTTAATTATTTTTTTCGTGCAATTTTAAATTCATCTGATTCTCAATCCCATTGCTGTCATTTGTTGAAAATGATGTAACTGCATTGTGGACGGATCGATTTTAGGTTTCATATCTAAGAAATTCGATAAGTTTGCAGTCGTCATAGACGATGATGTGTTGATGCTGTTCTGTGATTGAGAAATTGAACTACCAGAGTCGATCTTCTTTTTCTGTTTACGATCCTTTGCTCTGCGATTTTGGAACTGTATGAAAAAAATTAAAAAATAATTAAATCAAAAATCTCAATGATTTCATTAAGTTCTCAATTTACCCAAATCTTTACTTGTCTCTCTGACAACGATAAATTCTGTGCAAGTTCTGACTTACGTCGGATGGTGATGTATCTTGTGTAATGGAATTCTTTTTCAAGCTCAAGTCGTTGATGATCAGAATACACAACACGATATTTATCTTTTGTTCGGGTTTTACCTGAAACGATTAATTAGCATCTCGCCATTAATAAATGTTGAAGCGGATAATTTAAGAGATGAAAAAAATTTAGGTGGAGAAGTGAAACAAATTATTAAATCCAAAGTCAAACACAGACGTCAATATGTGAAGTTCAAATCAAACAATTAAAAACTTAATGACAAGAAATAATTAAATTAAATTATCAATAAAATAGCTAATTTTCCAAGGTTGTAGAAACGTAAGTGAATGTTCATTGGGAGCTTTTGTTTGATGTAACTAAATATCTTAACGACTTTGAACTTTCCTGAACCAGAAAATGTGACATTTATTTACAAGAAATAAAAAATAAACGAGGCATTAACAACCCTTTTCTATTTATTTCAAACGACCTTGCAATTATTAACCACAATCATCCAATAAAATAAAGAAAATAAAGCTTAAAGAACAATAAAACGATAACAATAAAAGGATGCAGCAGTTGTAATGGCAGCAACAACAGTAAGAGAAGAAGCAGCAGTAGAAATAGATGAACATCGTGATGGTGATGAAGTCTTAAGAGCGGCGTAAAGGGAAATGGAAACTTTATTGCGAAATACCCAAACAATCATGAGGCATCATAAATTGATGGTGTCGACAGGGAAAATAAATTGAAAGAAAAGAAGATCATCGGGTGGAGAAATGTGTAAAAGTTGTCAGCAGGACATTTCACCGCAGTTCGAAACTTTCTTCATTTTTTTCTTGTTCTTTCTTCTTGAACTGAAATCATCGATTGTCTCCGGTTTTGTTTCAGAACATTTACAATTTGTGCTTCAACCTGAACATCATAATATTGACGAAATGTTCTCCAATTGTTTATAAACTTTGTTGGGTCTGAAACACATTCATCATTTCCATATTGGTATTTGAAATTTGAACATGCAAACAACAAAACTTTAACTCTTAACTGTGCGATTGTTGGGACTTTTTCCTTTTTTGTCGGTTTGCTGTTGCTTCAACTATGGTTTCGGTAAATTAATGGGAGTTTGGAATGTTTTCCGTGTTCAGGGACATTCAGAAGTCTGGATTGGAAATGGACGTGAAACATTCAAAGTATCAGCAGCAAGTCCCATGTTGGGCATTACGAATCAAGGAAACAACAAACGAAAAAAGGAAGCACCGTTGTCGCTTTTGTTGGAAATTCCACTGTGACTGTGACTGAAAGGGGATCATCAACATGTAAACAAAAGAAAGACTCTTTGATATCGATCTAAGCTGCACAGTAAATTGATAACAAATGCGCGACATTGCCGACAAAGACGCGAAAATCCGTCGATTGATTCCATTTGATGGATTAAGAAACTTCAAGTCTCACGATGGGCTCGGAAATCATCAGACGAAGGTAAAGCATAGTTGGAATAATCCAAGCATTAATAGAACAAAATTTTAAAAGTTTGAGAGCGCGGCATGCGGCAAGCGATAACTGATAAGAAATTGTGTGAATATTTGTGTGTGTGTGAACTGATAACGAGTTGAAAAATCTTTTTTCTCTATTTGGTTTTACTCACAACAAGCAACTCATGTTGATCCATTTTATGGTGAAAATTAAACTAATCTGAAGCCATAAAATGGATCATTGAAGTGATTGTCTCGCATCAGACTTGTTGACTGATACTCGCAATGACAATCGCAGTCAGTGGAAGGAAAATATTAGAATTTTGTTACTTTTACAATACATAAGAATAATTTTAATAGCTCGGTAAACAAAATTGTTCGAGTTGAAGTTCATGTTACGTCATTTTCATTGTCAATAGTTTTCATTGTTTTCCAACAACCTCAACTTGCTGGATTTCCGATGCTTCTTCATCTTCTTTTAACACGACGACTAGAAGACCATCTTTTAATCTCATTAAATCTTCACATCATATTCATTAACATAAATTATCCATTAAAATTTTTAAATATTTCTTTTTACAACATGGATTGAGATTTCATTTCGTTAAGTTTTATGACACCATCCAAAATACCGATGGAGTTTCATCGCAAAACATAAAATAACATCAGAAAAAAAGGATCTCTGAATATGAACATGAAAACGAAGATCGAAGATGAAAGATGGAAAAGAATTTTGCTGCCTTGGGTTGTTGAGTCAACAACAAAATGAAGGAAAGGAGAAACGAAGAGCATTGTAAAATGCAAGAAAGCGGCAGACGTCAAATTAAGTAATAAAAAAGTAGAAAACATTTTTGCACATTTATGAAACAACATAATGTTGGTAAGTTCAGGTCAAAGCGCTTTAAAATCAAAGTCGTCGGATATCATTTTGCGCGTTGTTATCATGAAACGAGTGAAACGAACGATTTTCTACTTTTCGAAACATCACCGATGATTGATGATGTTGAATTCCATTGACGACGTCCGCTTGCCTGAACGAGCTACTGCGTGAATTAATGTCCACCATTTTGTGTTTAATTCATTAGAGNTGAATCACGCAACCAGCCATTGCTGCGATATTTCTTCGCTCGTGCATGAACGTTCAACTTTTTCAGTCTTTTAATGATGGCGCAATAAAGTTGGATTGATGATAATTTATGGATGAAAGAAAAGTTGAAAAGGAAAAATCAAGAAAATTAAAAACTGATCAAGTCAACAAGAAGCGAGAATGGATTTAAAAAAACCCCAACAATGGGAATCTTTTCTTCTTTTCTTTTGTTTTTGATGTCTTCAGTTATGTTGAAGATTTTAAAAGGATTTTAATCGAAAAGTTTCCAAGCAAACATCACGCTGTTAGGAATTAAGACATAAAATTCTGTTAATTTAATTCGAAGAACTTTTTGTCTTCTCATCAATAGAATTAAGACAACTCATAATAAAATGTTTTAAAAGATCAACGAGACATCATGCTTCGAAGATTAAATCAAATGACAAATAAGAAGAAAACTTCATGCAAAAAATGAATTGATTTGTTGGTGCATACCATTGATCTCCATGGAAAAATCTTCAAGTGACGGTGCTGAACAAATATTGATGATTCCTGAACGAGATTAATTGAGAAATTTGCATTTAAATCGAGTATGGAAGGTGTTTGTGACTTTTAATTAATGTGAGAAACAAAAATTCGTCATCCATCTTATATGAGCCATCAAACTGACACTTTTCAATGTCGTAAACCAAATGAGATCGTAAAATGAAAGATTTTGTTTCTGATCGGATCAGAACTGGATTTGAATTGAATGCTTGTTTTTGTTATATTTTCTTTTGGATCGTCGTAAGAGAATCTTTTGTTAAGTTGAATATTTAAACACGAATGCAGTTGTATTTGTGATGGGGGAAGTGAGAAGTTACGACGATCCATCAAATGTTCGTCTAAATATCGATGATTTTGACACCAATATGAAGACACGATAGAAAAATTTCTTACCTGGATTGGGTTGACTTTGATATGAAGGTTTCTTCATCCATTCGTAAGGGCTCTTAACAGGCGTCGGGCGTGAATGAATGTGAGGTGAAGATGATCCATTAGGTGCTCCAGGACTACTCATGTCACTTCCAGAAACAGTAATCGGCGGTGACGGTAAACTTTGTAAACCATCGTGAATGTGTTCATTGTTGTTGTTACTGTTTCCATTTTGCGTCGCTTGATTAATTGATAAGAAACCAGATGGTCCACCAACGCTGCCAGTAGTGACTCCTGAACCTTGAACACCTTGAAGAAGAGAAGCAGGTGTACTGCTTTGTGGTGGTGCTGAGTAATTCTCATGTCCGGCCCAATCGGGACTCGACTGTTGAAACATGTGATGTGGATAATAAACAGGCTGATGTGGAGCGTCGGGATCACCTAGAAATTGGGCTCCACTTGGTGGTTGATGATGATAATTAATGTACCAAGCGGCAGCTGATGGTGAACCACCATAAGGCAAACCTGATCCACCACTGTGATTCTTCGGGTACATATTCATTGATTGTTGATGGCCGTAATGCGACAACATTTTTCTTTCCTTTTTACTTTTCTGATTTCAAGATATTTTATATTTAACCACAAAATTAAATACTTTCACATGTAGATATTTGATTTCTTCACTTATTGAAATGTGCCATCAGTTTCATTTCAGTTCTGAGTTATTTTAAATTATTTATTATTATAAAAATGATATCTTATGCATACAAATCACTGCTGCATTTATTTATTGCTACCACTTGTGTTTCAATTAATTTATTTACGTCTCTTAATTGATCACTTGATGGTGCTCCAAAATGGCAATAAAATAATTCTCAACAATGACTTCAATAAATCACTAACAATTCAATTCTAAATTATGAGAAATTCTCTTCTTGTTCGTCTTTTTATTTCCTTGGTTTCTTTTCTATTATTATTTTATCTACCGGAGAATGAAGAAAAATTCGACTCAACTTCACGAAACACCGAACACAAATAAAACTGCCAACTCACAAAAACACATTTCGAGCGAAAATTTTTCATTTGAGTTTCTCGATAGGCGGAGCTTAAGAATAAATAGAGAAAAAGAAAATTGACCAATGGAAACATTTTATTGCGCCATGTTTAGAAGTTGAGAGAAAACAGGGAAGAGATCATTTGTAAAAATTGATTTTCATGAAAATTCTGTTTGACAAACACAAAAGTAAATCAACTATGTAGATCAAAACAATCATGAACAATCAAAACATTTAAATTAAAAATTAATTATTCGTTAAAATTCAAGTTGATTATGAGAAATTAGCGGAATTGTTCGAATCATTACGCAAAAGCTTCATCGATGATGTAAGTATGAATGCGAGTTAGAAGGAAATTCAATGATGAAAAACTGTAAATTGAAGTGAACAATAAAACCTACCTAATTGCGAATATAGCGCAACTAATAAAGAGTTTTGATTAAAACTCCAACTGTCTTTGTCGGCAACTCAATAGCCCAATTAACGAATCATTAAACTACGTTTAATCAGACAATAAAACCGTCACAATATTGCGAAAGTTTTCAAGCTTTTCACTGCCAATCCTTATCAAGCTCAAACCAAAAGAGATATGTTTGAGTTTTTTTTAAATTAAAATTTTATCTGAGATGTTTTCAATTACAATTTTAATTTTTATTTGTTCCAAGTCTATGTTTTATAAAGCTTAGGAAAGCGTAATTTTGAAGAAAGCAAAGTTGAAATTATAAGACGTGCAGAAAATTGACGTACAGTGAACTTTTGATTTAACATACTATTGTTAAAACAATTCCCTCGGTGCTACATTGTATCTGGTTCAAAATCTGAAGAAAAATGTTCATATAAAGAACCCCTTTTTTCGGTTTTTTCAACTAATGTTATTTCAAGAGTTCACTGTAGAAAGTTATTTCAATATAAATCTACATACGTTTGCTATCTACACACGTTCCATTGCGTCGAGTATAAATCAAATTTTATGTTCATGTCAAATAAAAGAAAAGTTTGCGTATTTGTTCTCAGATTGGGTTATCAAAGCTAGAATTTCATGATCTTCTTATCATCTCAAGTGTTATCAATTGTTGAATTAATTCGCAGTTAAAATTATGGACAACTGCGTCAACTGCTGACATTAATATGGACTTTAATGTCAACTGATAAACTTCAATGCTGTAACAATACATTAAAAAGAAAAGCATTTAATAATAATGCTTTTAATATAAATATGATGCTTAAATAACTGTTAAACATTGCTGCGATGATTATGGAACAATTGTTAAATGGCTTTCAAAATAATGCAAAATCATTTTCCATTTTATCATTTCCATACAGTGTGCATTGGATAAAAAGCCTTCTTGTGACGTTGAAGAAAAAAGGCAGACTATTGTGACTGGCCAAAAATTGAAAACGTTTTTATTTTAACCGCCGCATGAAAGGGTTCATAGTTTAAATACGAAGGCTTTTTTCTTTTCTTACTATCGAAATAGATATTGAATAAAACTTAACTTTTTCGATTGTAAGTGGTATAGAAACAAAAAAAACGAAATTGAGAAAGATGAAGACAGACAAACAACCGCAACACTTTCAGATAACACGTCAAAAATGAAATATCAGTTGAAAATCTGATCCGTGTCCCTCACTTTGATTTTTTTTAGTAGTCATAGTCTTAGAGAGAATTTAATCATACAAATTTGCAGGTGAACCTACTAAATTTAAATTTATGTAATATGTTCTACAAAAAATACTACCTAAAATTCATTTTCATGTCTTTCAGTTTTAATCGCTACCTGAAGCATTTTGCCTTCAATTAAAGCCCGAAGCAATGCAAAACAACAGGCTAGAGAAAGAACACAAAAACTTCTCCTCCCAGCTCAAATTAGGCCGTAAAAATTACTTTTGTGTCACGGCAGTGAAAACGACAGACGAAATTATTAAAACAAATAAATAGATTCAAGTTTTACAGTTAGATCTTTGTCAAGGATAGTTTTTAAATCCAATTTAGCATTATCTCTCGTGATTTGCATTTATTGTGACAATTAGGATCTTTTTTACCCTCACAAATATACTTTTGTTACACACCCACATACATTTAATTAAATTTAAGGGTGCGAGGTAAATAAAATTTTGTAAGGAAATTTCCAGGTCAATAAAGGATTAACCGGTTTCATGTTGAAAACTCATTTCAGCAAACGATTAAGTTAACGAAGAAGTTCTAATTAAATTCCTTAATTACTCATTTAATTAATGTCGTTTTTTAATGCTCTAACTTTTAAATCTCAATTTAATTATTATGAAAACCACTTTTTCTTATGTCAAAATATTTTTATAAAACCGTTGGTTTCAACTGTAAAGAGAAAGAGATGGAAAAGCTTTTTTATTTAATTTATAGGTAATGCAGTTCAAGATATTACCAGACACCACCTGAATGAAACTATTCTCTCTAGTTGATCTGATGAAGTGATAACTTATTTTATTTTTATTTTTCATAAAATGGACAAAACTTAATTATTTTAATTCTAACTTCCATTATGTTAATCTGTTTTATAACATAGCTGGTAAATTTTATGTTTGTTTCGTGATGAACATTCGTTGATTCTGCATTTGATAAATTTCATATTTAAACTATTAACAGGAAATCATTGAAAAATTTTCGGAAGAATTTTCTATGGTCTAGAAAATATGACGAAATTCTTAAGAAAAGCATTTCGCAATTTTTCGTGGTAGATATATTTAAGTTACTTAACTGGTCAATGCTTTTATTACTTTTTCCACGAAACTCATATAAAAAAAGTTGAAATGGGGTGAGCTTAGATGTGTTCCGAAAGGATTGCAAAATGTCGGTAAAACTGAAATGTTTTGAGATCTTTTAGTAATTACGAATTTCAGATCACATTTATGCTTTCTTCCAAGCTTTCTTCGATAGTTTAGATTGACATTGTACTGCGATTAAAATGAACATTCATCACATTACTAAATAAATAAAATTATTCTGTAAACATCATCAAAGATCCCGTAAACTATTCCTATTGAGTGTGATGGTAGAACAATCGTAGCATTTTATTTTTATGATGTCTCTCTCAATATAAATGTAAATTCATAAAATTTTACTGTAACATTGTTTAGTTTTTCAATTTCTGTTTTTTCTTTGCTTGTTTAGTCAAAATATTGTGAATTTGATTAGGAATTTCATGTCAATTTGATGTCAATTTGCGTCAATTTTGAAAGCGATAAACATTTATTAACTCCATGAATCATGTGATAATTTATGAACTGCTTTTGATGGTGCAGTTGATAACTCATAAATTTTTTAATGAGATTTCATTTAAAAATAAAGTTCTTTTTCCGACAAGCTTTAAAAATATGATTATGAACAGCAATAAAATGATAACACATACATCATAAAAATTTTGCTAGCGGTTGAAATAAAAAAAAGTTTTTCGTCTTTTGTTTAATTTACCAGATTAAATAAACCAAGAAATAAACAGTAAATATAATAATACCGCGTTGAAAAGTGTATCATCACGAAATGTTTAAACATTTTAAAACCTACCTATCAATTTGAAATTATAAGTGAAATGTTGACATTGTATATATTAAACTTGTCTCTTCTAGTTTCTTCTATTGTTTTAAAGAATTGATATTCTTCTACTCTTTTAGGTTTAAGTAATCAATTTATATTATTTCATTAATTTTTTTATAATCTATAATTGAAAAAATGAAGAAATTTGCTTTTTCTATGTAGGTATGTATGCTTAAATGTACTACCTAGATATAATTATATCTTTACTTGATGAATGTAGACTTTTTATCCACCATTTTTTTAAATCCACAAAACAGATTGATCGATCTTCATTAAAACCTGAATACATTTTAGCTCGGAAATGTTTTATGACATCAACCATCCCATTTATGGCTTCATTTATTTTCAAGAATTTCTTTTCAATCGGTTTCTTATTTCTCTGTATTTTTTTTAGTTTTTAAGTCGATCTTTTCTGCCTTTATCTCGTTATCCCATAATAAAATTTTTAACGAGAAAATGTAGGTATTTTTTAAAAGTTTATTTCTTTGGCTGTTTTAAAGTTAGGTTCACCTTTTTGCTGGTGTTTCCACAAGCTGGTTCTGTTAGTTTTTTTTGACTTAAAATTTCTAAATATCCTATTTACAAATAAATATAATATCATGTCATCCAAATATTGTTCATGATAAGTAACATATTGAATTTTTTTATTTTGAAATTAATAAAATTAAAAAGTCATTATTTAATTAGGTATTTGCATTGGTATCACCTTTTTAAATTAGGTTTAAATTCCTCATTTTCAAATTAACTTAATTTTGAGTAATGTTTAGGAATATTTTTCTTCATAAATGTTCAATTTTAAAATTTAACGACATTTTGATATTTAAAGTTTTAAAATTCTATGTTTTGAATCATCACTTACCTCTCTATCTTCATTTTTTAAAAGGATTTCAACGGCATTTTTAAAAGGACTGTCAAAGTGTTAAGATCTCAACTTTCTAAAGAATTAACTGGAAAAATGCCTTTACAATCGATTAATAATCAACAAAAATCAAAAAGCAATCACTTGATGCCTAAAGAGGAAATAACTAAATCTATTTTAAGGAATCCAGAAGTCAATTATGGGACTACGAACCAAAACTTTCTTCGCCTCTCGCCTATGGTTCATACATGGAGAAGTCATTTAACCCCACAAACTGTTAAAGGACGAAAACGGGCAAAGTCCGAAAACTGCTACGATATTTATCATGAACCTAGATTAAATAAAATAGAAGATATAAAACGAAAATTGGAGGAAGTTAAAGTGTTTGAGTCTAAAATTTGTGATTTAAAAGAATTAAGAAGAAGCACGGAAGTTTTAATAAATCGCAAAGTACGATTTAATTTTTTTTTCGATCAATTTAATTGATTTTTTTTTATTTTAGGTGTCAACAAAGTTGAACTTTCCGTTTTCTCAACCAATTTATAAGAATCTCATAAAACTCGACGATACTGAAGCGCACAAGGATAATACTTCAAAAGCTGATAATATAATTAAGAAAACTACAAAGAGAGTTACTGATTCTGGATCAAAAAAGGAAGATGAAGAAATTCGAAAAGAAGTCAATGATATGATTAATGATCTTGTCGATATGGAATACAATGAAAGTGACGAAGAACTTATTAAGATGCCCGGTGAAGAAAGTTATCTTGGTTTTTCTAATCATTCAAAAGTTCAAGTCCGTAAAGTTAATGATAAGATTGATACTGAACGTTACCGTGACTCATTGAATGTTGAAGTAAATCATGAATTCTTTGAGTCTGATGAATATATGAAAGTCAAACCATTTGAGAAGACAGATAAGAAATTCTACGACGATAAAAAAAGTGCACCACCAACTGAGCCTGTGTCTCTTTGCGAATGTATTTCTGGCTATTACTCTAAAACAAATCATTGTGATTCTAAGTAACGATTGCAGTTTTCCCTCCATTTTATTATACTTCACAAAATTGTCAACCCAAAACTTATGTTTTTCAACCAAATAAAATTAAGTGTTTTAAGGAAATAAGATTGATCAAAGCTTGTCAATGTGCAAATATATATATGTTAATTATGATGGTAAAGTAAAATGTTTAATTTCTTGCTTCGAATTTTGGTGTTGATAAATCTGTCATTCGTGTATACCCAACGTTGCGTTTATCGAGTTCCGATTGCGCCCACAAAATCAATTTAAGAAGGTTCATCATTCTTGGATTTTGATTTTGTTTATGTTCAATACGAAGAATAGCAGCGTTGAGCTCACTGGCGATTTTTTGACGATGTGTTTGGTCTAGAAGATCAGAAAATGGAGATTGTAAAGGCTTTTCAAATGCAAGCAATGCAAGAGTTCTTTCAAGCTCGTTGAGCACTTCAGGATTTGTTTCACCAGCTTCTGAAATCTTATTCTGAGCAAAAGTAAGTGCTTCCTCAATTTTTCCATTTCTGTAACAATGAGTAAAAAGAATATATGTATTTTGAATACGTTCTTTGTTTGTACTCAATTAAATTTAATTAGTTACCTGATGAGTTCTATTAAATGAAGTTGTTGTAGATGAAAGTACAAGTAACGGTCGTTGTCTAAAAGTTCTGGATGTAGTTGATTTACAAGATTTATCGATTCTTCTATGTTTCCTTGCTGCACTGCTTCACGAATCTTTGAAAAAAAATTAAGAAAAAAAAATAAACCAATGATACGAAAGGAAAGTTTCTTTGTCATCCAATTACCTGAATTCTGTTATCCAAAGTTGACAATTCAACTTCAGGTTCAACTCCAGATTCCTCTTGAAATTTTTCTGCAGCTTCTTTGAAACCCTCTACAGAAATATAAAAATTGCAAATTTACTAATTAATTTAACTTTTGTTCAGCATTCAAAGTGGAAATTTACTTACCATTAACTAGGTATTCCATTATCAAACGATTAAGATCTTCTTGTTTAATATAAAAATCTTTAAGACGATCTTCCCACTCCTTAGTGCTTTCACGGTCGTTATAGCTCATTGTGTGATATTTGATAATAAAGATATTTGAGGAAATCTGATTTTAAAAAATCAGAGTAATTCCACACTCTCCACCTAAAACTCGCCTCCCCTTAAGTCTAGTTTCAGGTGGAGTGTGTACAATTTTCTCAGACAGACAATTTTTCTCAGACAGACATCCATTTCGCCTCCACTTTGTATGGAAGGTCAAGTCTACGCAAGTCGAAGTATCGGGTAGTCCGGCGTCACTGGGGCCTTTTTCTAAGTGTAAGGGGTTTTCAACTAGATAAACAAAATATTTCGGGGGGCTAACAACAAAAATAATTATATTTTAGAACATCGTGAGAATAACAAAAATAAACAAAAAAATATGTTAAAAAGTCGAGGAATTCTTCAAACTTTCTGTAGATATAAACATGGAAAAAATCATTGGGTATGTTATACCATTCCAGGTAACAGAGGTGATATTAAATTCATATATTTAAATTTTAGTCGAGACTTGAAAATAAAATTTACACCAAAGATCGTGCCATGGCAAATTTTGATGATTTTTATAAGAATGTTTTCGGTAATCGATGGAATTCAATGAGAGTTGCTCTATTATGTGAGCATAAATATGTTGCGATGATTAATAATTTTGGTGATGTTGAAAAAACTGCTGCAATGTTGGAAAGAGATGGAGCGATGAATATTCGAGATGTTTATAACATCTCGAAAAAAAATCAAGAATTAAAAGGTGGACCGGTTATCCCAAAACGAGCAAAAATTGTAAAAGAAGTCAGTGAGTTTATTGATCAACAAAAAGAAATTGAAATTAATGAATTATATGGTGAAAAAGAACGATATCATACTTCTGATCTTAAAACGTCATCTAAAACCAAAGAAATTGATTATAAAAAACCTCTTTCAAAAGTGATTGAAGAAAATTCAGAAATAGACTGCAATCGAGTTGTAAATCCTGATTTTGGAAATGCAGGTCTGCAAGAATTCGTTCCAGCAACAAAAATCAAAGGAATGGAAGATTGGTTACTTGAATCAGATCATTATCAATATTACAGCAACACTGCTGACTTTCCGCTTAAGATTGAGATGGTTCAAGAATTCAAAGTCCCAGAAAATCTTCAACTTTTTACATATGAGAAGGGAAACATTTCCTCGTTTAGAACTCCAAGTAGATGCTCAACAGGAGTTTTCTCGCATTTTCTTATGGACGGAGCATCAATTTTACCACCACTTGCTCTTGACATTCAACCTAACGATTACGTTTTCGATGCATGTGCGGCACCAGGAGGAAAATCTCTTTTAATGATTCAAAGTCATTTACCAAAAGTTCTTATTTCGAATGATTCTTCTCTTGGTCGTTGTAATCGATTGACTAAACTTATGAATCAATTTATCTATGAATTCGGAGAGAATAAAAGTAAACATCGTTGTGTGATAAGAAATGAAGATGCAAGAATCACATCTGAGTTTGGAAGTTATGATAAAGTATTGGTTGATGTTCCGTGTACAACTGATCGTCATTCAGTGAATGTTGATGACAACAATATCTTTAAAACAGGAAGAATAAAAGAAAGACTTCGACTACCAGAACTTCAATCTGCAATTCTAACAAATTGTATAAAACTTTTAAAACCTGGTGGATCAATTGTATATTCGACTTGCAGTTTAAGTCCAGTGCAAAACGATGGAGTTGTTCACATGGCTTTATCAAATGTCTTTAAAGATCATGGCATTACAATGACTATCAATGATCTTTCACTTGTCATGCAACCTTTCTTCAGCATTATGAAATTTGAAAATCCCAAAGGACTTAAGTATGGGCAAATGGTGATACCTTTTCTTCCAGCAAACTTTGGTCCCATGTACTTTTGTAAAATGACTAGAAATGTATAATAAAAAGCTTTCACATTGACACTTGATAGTAACATTTAAGAAGCTCTCTTTATTTACTGTTACATATTTTTTTATATTTATCCATAATGACATTTATGTTTAGCTATGTGTTTACAGCATAGAAAGTTTCTGACAGAACTACTTCAGGCTTTTATCCTCGATGATTAAATATTTATTTGATTTCCTCTTAAGGATATTTTTCGTTTAAAGTGAGTGAAATTTCATTCATTCTTCCATATTTTCTGAAAGAAATTAAGACATTTTTTGTCAAAATATGTACCAAAATATTTTCTTGTTCTTCATTGATTACTTGCACACTGACGTCGTCATACAATTCCATTTCAAGTGAATTGCAGATTAAAATTTTAATTCAAGACGTTTGCAATAAAATAAAATGAAAAATGCTTTTAATTATATGAAGTATTTATAGGAGATAGGTGTACGACTAAAAATAATAGCAGCGATAATTAATTTAAAAAAATTTCCATACTGTGAAAGTATTTTTAAAAATTTCCTTGATGAGTGAAAATTGTCATGGTTGAATGAACTTGATCATGGATTAATCTTCATCTTTTGTTTTATAGTCGGATTGTTCTCGAGATTTCAACGGTGTTGCTTCAGGTCCAGATTTATCGATAGAATCGACATCGTTCCATGGTTGTGGTTCACCTGAGCCCATAGTCATGTAAGCAAAAATCTCAATGATATAAAGCACAATTGTAACTCCGAAAATGATTCTCCAAGACGCAATCGTAGGCTGTTTAATTAAATAAATTAATTAATTAATTTTCAAAAAGAATAGAATATTTGAATGAAGTTTTACATCTTTATGTGTTAATTCACCAACGAAAATTGGGACAGTAATTCCTGGCAATGTAGCGACTGTATTAGTAACCGCCATTAAAATTCCTATAATGAAATTAAAAAAAATGTATTAGGTAGATATTTTAAAAAATGTTCTGAATAAGATTTGACATCTTACCAGCAAGATTTGGCGCAATATCAATGTGATTTGATAAGAACCCGGAAAACATTGCACCAATTGAAGTAACACCAACTCCAGCTATAAAGACTGCTGCCATCTTGTTACATCCAATGAAACATAAAGCAATCATACAGCACATTGGGATGAAAGATGCAATAAATGTTGATATTTTACGTGCTGTTGTTGTTGTAATTGATCCTTTGCAGCGAAGTGTATCTAATGTCTTACTGATAATGATACTGAATAACCAAAGTGTGAAGAAAGGAATTGCTGTATATGTTGCATTTTCTTTAATCTCAAATTTCAAAACGCCTTTCATATAAATTGGTAATTCAATCAATAGCATATACCATCCCCAATTATTACACGTATGTGCAATAAGAATTCCTAAGAATGGAATTGATGTCATGATAGCTTTCCAAGGAATTTTTTTGGGGGGTCCATGTTCACCACCAGAATTAAGTGATGACACAATGTAATCTCGTTCAGATTGATCAATTAACGGATGCAATGATGGAGTATCATAAATAAAAAATACCCAAAGAACCATCCAAATACAACTAAGTCCACCCATTACATAAAAGATCGATGCCCATCCAAAAGCATCAGCCAACATTCCTGCCATCAACATACTTATTACCGTTCCAAGGGCTGTACCCGCATAAATAATCGAAGAAATTGTTGAACGCTCAGAAGGAGGGGCCCAATTTGAAATCATTGTATGTTCGGCTGGAAATGTCACACCACCGCCAATACCCTGAAGTATTCTCATTATGACAACCATCCACACACCTCCACGCCATGCTGATACGGGTGTCAATAAAGCAGCAAAAACATTAATCGCTACAGAGAAAAACATTACCCACTTTGCTGAGAATTTCTGTGCAAACATAGCACCGGGAATCTGTTGAAAAAATTTGGATTTAATATTTGATTTGTATCAATTAAAGATTAATTTCTTTTTCTAACCTGAGACACTAAATATCCCCAAAAGTAACAGCTCAGAATGATTCCTTGTTCATTTGATGTCCAATCGAAAGGTCCATCCTAGTGAAAATAAACAATACAAATATTATTTAAAAATGCTTTCGCTTTAATTTATGTTAAACAGCAATGGGTTATAGATCTATAAAGATAAAGATAAAAATATGAAAATAAATCAAACTCTCGTCACAATAAACACGTTAAATTTTCTTCATAAAATATGTAGAAGGTTTTGAATGAAATATTTTTATACTCTACTTAAATGTTGCCAACTTAACTGTCATTAAGCACAATACGCGTGTCTATGCAAATATATGGGAATTAAAGATGAACACGAACGCCGAAAATTTTTGTCTATCGTATGTAAAATTTATTTTTATTAATAAATTGACCGACGAATGAAACTTGTGGATAATTTCATTCATAAGCACGTGATTTGAATGTATGGAAAAATTTTCAAAATAAAAAGAAAGAATATTTACGCTTCATCGGTAGATATTTGCCAATTATTATTATGACTTTTATGTAATCAAATAAAGTGTGTACCACTGAATTGTCACGTAGATTTCTGATTTAATATATGAATCAAGAAATTTCCAGTTTCATTGAGACAGTTCGATCCATATCACTCAAAAATTATTTCTTTTTAAATAAGAAAAAAAAAACTGAATAATGAAATGGAATATCTACGAAAAAATACGTAAATCTTTTTGCCTGTTATAAACAAAGTTTTATTTTTTCGAGTTTAGATCACTTGTTTCATAGCTGATAGAATTTTGTTTGACTTATTCAATGATTTGCCTTACACAAAAATTTAAAGATAATATTTACCTGATTTTTGGCTGAGCTTGAGTTTTTAATGTCTGCTTCGCACTCTTCAACACCAGTCACGTTTTGAAGCACGTTATGACTGTCACTAGCATGAGGATTATTCATTTTAACTGCTGTATGGTTGACCATTGCAACCATTGCAACAGAAAGATTTACTTTAAGTCCATAAATGATTGCCATGGCAATCGATCCCAGTACCGCAAATATATAACGAGCTGGAATAAAAGCTGTAAAGAAAAATAATATTAATTAAAAATTTCATCATGTCATGTTTACAATCATTTGATTGCATAATTCTTCAAATTATAGCAGGATCGTATAATGAACTTCAATCTATTTTTCTGTCGTCATTAATCTCGCGATAAATCAACGCAATGATTTGTGTTGAAGCCGAATGTATCAAAGCGCATCAAGCACTATTTAAATATCATCTGTCAAATGAAGTTAAAGATCAATGAATACCTACATAAAAATAATGGATCTGAAAGAAAATGTTTTGAAAACTTAAAACGATAAAACATTAAAAACAAAATTATTTGAAGATTATAATTTTTCCTTCTTCATACTTTGTTTTGACGTTTCCTTGAACTTTACAGATACAACCTAATTTCATTATCAATAACATTTTCTTTCGTTTTCTTTTTTCAAAATATAAATGACATAAGCAACAAGTATACGCTGTCAAATGACTGAACTTCATTATGAAGTTTTACATTAGCTAGCATTTGCAGTATGTAATGCGAGAACATCTTCGTTTACAAAACTGCAGAAAACCTCGGTAGCTCTTTTTAAAAATAGCATTTTAGTGTACTAAAATAAGTTATTTAAAATAATCTATCAAGACCTTACTTAAATTCATCTGCTTAACAATTCATTTTTTTTCTGTACACGAAAAAGTTATATTGTCGATTTGTTTATCATTTTTTGATAAGACATTGATACGCTATATAGGTAAATCACTTTATCAACACTTGATGTAATAATTTTATTGACAAACAGTCCATGCAAAAATAATAAGTTTCAGTAGCAAATAAAACTATTTGTTTAATAATATTTTAAACAAATAACTTATCGACTTAACTAGAACTTCTTTAAATGAGCATCATTACATAAAAATGTTATTATATAAAAAAGTGAGAGTCGTCTAGAATTTTTTTATTTCACTCAAAACCTATTTCTTTTTAATCTATCTTCTCAGCAAATAAATTATTCCATCAAGCAATTGCCGATATTTCTTCATTTTTTCGATAACCTTCGGAAAATAATTAAGTTCAATAAAATGAATGGAGAGAGAGATAAGCGTCAATATGATTGCGTAGGAGAAAGAAATTCTCTGTATAATTTACGAAATAAAGTATTTGTGGTAAAACTTATTTTGAAAAAATAAATCGACCTTTTTACAACCTTCACTAGATTTTCGCGCCGGTTTTCTTCTCTAGAATATCTTCTCCAAAGTTAAAATTTTTATGTCTTCATATGTTGATAATTTAAATTAGATTCCATTTGTTTCAAAGAGGAATTTTAAATTTTTTCAAAGATTTTAATTAAATGTTTCATCTGAATTCATTGAACTTATTAAAAATATTTATACATATGACATTTCTCATGTGTTTTTGATTGGTTTTGTCCACTTTAAGTGAAATTATTGTCAAAGGACTTTTCAAGATCATAACTTTTCACCATAAGGTTTAATACTGAAATACTTACGAATGATATTTCCTCTTGCTCTCACTTCACCTCCAGCCATCGTTAAGTAGTTTTATATCCTTTCTTATAATTTTTATTCTATTTATTTGGCAAATCCTTTTTATATTTTTTTTAATTGTTGCTTGCAAATCAAATCATTTTTGTTATCACTAAATAAGCTTTTTTTTGTTCACGTCCGCTTTGCTTGCGAGCGTACGACACAATAGCTTGTGCGCAATGCAAACTTTTTGAGAGTTAGTAACCGTTCTCCCGTTTCCATCAACCGGCTCAACACAACCATAAATTTGTCCAAAAATAACAACGTACAAGCTAGGAAGAAAATTAAATGGAGAGAATTTTCAAGTAATGTTTGAGAATATTCTTGCCATGTGCTCATGCAATTTAAGCTCTACAGTAAAATTTCGTTACACTTATGTATGTGATTGCATCTTCACAGACTAAAAAGAAGAAAAATAATGTTCAAATCTATTGACCTTGAAATTGTATTGAAAATGAGAAGAAATGTGCTTGAGTCACGTAGACGAAACAGGTTTCTAAAAATTCTGACACGACATTGCATCATAATTACTTATTGACGTTTGATAAAATGAAGAAGAATATTTTGATTGAAAAAAATTATGTTTTTAATGAAAAATGAAGAGTTTAAAATCTACCTAAAATGGTGCATAATTTTGAATTTTTGAGTGTTAACATCATTCGATTTGAATTGATAAATGTTGAGTGTGAAAATGTTTTCTTATTTAATTTAAGAAAACTTCTTGTCTGAAAATCGTAATTTGTTCAATTTTTAATTTACCTAATTTAAAAATTTCTGTCAATGGTTTTCCAAAATACTAATGAAATTTTTAATTTAAACGTACATACATATATTACAGAAGCAATTACTGATAATAAATAAAAATTAGAATTAGATGATAAGATTTCTTATTTTTCAAACTAAGAATAAAGGGTCTTTCAGAAAAAAGCTCATAGGTATATATAAAGTTCTTGTTTTGAAAGCTCATTCAAATCTGAAAACCCGTTATAAATTTTCAATTTAACCATTCTCTTATCAAATTTCCGACTCGCAATTTAGAATGTGTTAAAAAGAATGAATCGTTTTCCAAATCGATAGATCCAGTGTCTGCATGTGCGCCAACACCTGGAATAACAGTAGCTGGAGAAGTTGGATTTAAATCTCGAAGAACGCCAAGAAACCTTTCTGGATCTAGTTCACCGTTTGTGAAATAAACATTCGATACATTTGGCTGTGTACCACCATACATAATATTTGTGAGTTCAATTTGCCTTCTGATAAAATCATCATCAAACCTATTTATAAAATAAACTGCTTCAAAACTTAGAGATTTAATTTAAAATAACATTTTCCTTACGTTGGTCCAAACACATCAGTACACGCTGAAGAGAATATTTCAACAGGGAATCGACTTCCGAAAGGTTGGTAAGGTGAACTTGATGACGTAAAATGTTCAAATTCTGAACACATTTGATAAAAAGTCTGACGTAAACTATTTTCTGCCGCTAGTGATTCCCATTCAATTTCACTGTACATTTTACGAATATACTCATAGTCGATAAAGATACAAGGACCAAACCAAAATATATCTCTAGTGTACCGCGAATATCTAGTAAAAGCATCGTCATCATTCAAATCACTTGTCATCAATTCACAAAATTCTTCAGTCTCTGATGGTCTGCCATATGAAAATCTTGTAGAATAAATAACAGCTAATCCATTCATTAATGTACCAATCCCTGTAGTAGTGTTGGTAATACTACTGCAAAGATTGAAACTATTTTCAATTACTTCATATTCCTGATTTTGTAAAAGTTCTTCAATTTGTTCATAAGCTCTTTCTATTTGTTGATAACATCGTAAACCTCCGATTTGAACGATTGTGTTTGCAATAGCTTCAAGCATTTGAGTAAAGTCAAAAACTGCATTTAAACGTGCACTTGAAGCCCATACACCATCAATCAGGTGTGGATACTTTGAACGAGTCCATACTGCAAGTGATGCACCATAACGTTCACCATATGCAATAACTTTAGAATCAGCAAGTGAAGGATTTGATGCTTTGATCCATGTCACTAGATGTGCAATATCAGCGATGTTTTGATCCGTTTTTAGAAATTTTAGATTTTCTAGTTCAAGATTGCTGAGTAGAAATAATAACCATTAATATTAATAATAATATAGATCTAGCTTTATGAAAGCAATATTAATTTGAATTACTAACTTCGTAGGTCTTGCCTCACCGTGAAATCTCAACGTTGTTTCAACAATAAGAGCGTTAAATTCCCTTGCAAAATCATACATCAAACCAACACCAGAAGAATATATTGGGTCAAATCTATCAGTAACTCGAAGAAATATTGGACCATTAGGTTGATGAAACTCATCGATAACATAATAAGGCTATGACATTTATTTATTATTCTTTTATTCATTTTATTATTCAAAATTCATTAAACCTCACCATATCCCATTCAACGACGTTTTGACGATCAAAATGATCCAAAGGCACTGAAACGTTTCTTCTTGCAGTTGCAGTCACTACAGATATTGAAAGCTTTGGTTGGTTAAATAAATTCAAAGCTTCAGCTTTTGAATATGCAGCTGTGACAACGAGAAGCAAAAACAATTTTTTCATATTAATTTGTTTGATATCTGATTTATCGTGCAACTTTCGTTTTGTTATTTCACCAATTAATGAATGATTTGCTTCGAAAACTGTGGATTTATATAGCAAAATTCTTATCAATTGATACCTTCCATGTGATTTGATTGCGGGCTTTTAAAATCTAATCTGTCCTATGACTCCCGTGTGATTTCTTATTATGAAAAATGTTCAATATATCAATTGACACGTTTCATGTGATTTGATTGCAAGCTTTTCAAATCTAATCTGTCCTATGACTCCCATGTGATTTCTTACTATGAGAAATGTCCAATATCAAAAGGTGTTAAATTACAATAATAATGAGAGACTAGTTTAACAGTCATTCAATCTAGTTCAAGCTTTTTTAGAACTTTTCTTAGATTCCAACGAAAATGGCATCATTAAAGAATAATTCCTAATATTCCTTCTAAGGACATAATGGTTTCAAATGAAACGAAACAACGCAAAGTAGTGGAAATATAACATTCAAGGTTGCCTTAAAGTACATAAAAATAATGAGTAAAAAGGGTTAGCACTTTTTTTTCACCTTACAAGCTTTTTTAAGAATTCTAATTAAACTTTTCGTCTTCCATACCTGAAAAACATTTTTCATCATTCTCTGATTTCTTTTCTCTGTCTATTTATCGAATTTTTATCTTAAATTCTTGGTATAGAGCAATATAGATAATAAAATAAACAGTTTAAATTTTGCCCTGAAAAGAAATTTGCTAATGTAATGGAGGTTTCAAAAAGGAAAAAGGGATAGATTAATGCAGGCGGAATACTAAGGTCGAAGATGTTGTTGAGTTCCTTTCAAAGGTATTATTTAAGGCAGAGGTGAATGTAAAAGAAAAGAACTTTTTTAGAGTCTATTAAAAAGTAAACGCAGCTCTGAAGGTGACAGCGAAGGTAGATATCGTCAAAATGATCTTTTTTTGCAAGAAAGAACAGCAGTTTTCAAACGAAATGCTAAAGGGAAGAAAATGAAAGGAAAAATCATTCATGAGCAGGTAGAAATGTGTTTAATGAAGATGGAAAAACGTGATTTCAAACAAATGAGTCAGTTTATATATCTTTTTTATGTTTATACACAATTTTCTTCTTTATATAAAGTTGCTTCCATTTTTCCTTAAGTCGGGAATTGCGAAAAAGGAAACTTAAAGTCGACATCGTATTCATAAAAGCCAAGAAATTCAAAGAGTATGAATAGCTTAAAGATGATTGATTTTTTGAAGCATGAGTGAACTATGAGGGTAAAGTAGAAATAAGTAGGTATGTCGAACAGTTTTTTATCTCACTTTTGCTTTATTGTTTCTTCATAAGTTCGTTCATTCTGGATAAATTGGGAATATTTATATATAGGTAAAAGTTACATTACTTATAGATAAAGGTTAGATTCGATTTTATTATGTCCTACATACAAAACTTGAAGCTTCGTCTAGTTTTACTTCTGACGATTGCAGTGTTTTACAAACAAGTTATTCCTCGATATTCAAATATATTCATGGCATTTCTTCTTCACAACATCCAGATTACCTAGTTCTAATTTTTTTTTTAAACAAGCAGTTTTCATTGTTATAGAAAGTTAAATTTATCACTAAACCTCCTACTACATAAAATGTTCGTAAAATTGACAAACACAACTTTCCTGCTGTTTTTAAAAGATATAAATTTTGAACATGAAAACGTCATCTAAATCGATGATTTTAGAGAACATTTAAATTTGTTACGTTAAATCATATTTAGAGTGGAAAATTTTTGAAGAACGCATAAACTTTTAGAAATTGAATAGATATATTTTTCCGGTTGATGAAACCTACATAATAAGTTTTGATAAATCTAAAAAAGAACCATAACTTTTCATCTAATGACTTTTACACTTTAGGGTTGTGAAGTTTCCTGGAGCTCGCCATTCTGAAATAACAATGGGAAAAAATACTGCCTTCACGAAGTCATTTGTTCTAATGGCATTAACACTCTTCAAACCTTAAAAATAACAACAAAATTACTAAACATGCTACGTTAATGTGAAGCAACGAGTGAAATCGCTTATTTTAACAAAAGTCGCCTTCATTGACTTCCTTTTTGATATAAAAGAAACTTCTGTAGTTGCACTGCATGTGGCGCTTTCATTTGCTTTCAAGATTTTTTTGAAATTAATGAAATGATTTATGTTGCTTGTTATTCCATTCCTTTGTTATTAGCAACATATTTAGTTAGACTATGAAAAAGAAAAAAAAAACCAATGAAAGATGCTTAATAAAAAAAATAAAGAGAGAAGCTTGTTTTTTCATAGTTCCTCATGAAGAATAAAGTTGAAAGCTAAGCCCTTCTGAGTCATTTTTCATATTTCCTGCTGTTTTTTTTTTATTATTGTTTCTTTTTATATTACCTATGTATAAAGTAAAATTAACTTACAATATACTCATGTGGGAGCGACTACACAACAAACTTTACTCTCAATATTTTATGTTTAAATTTTAAAGATTATAAAAGATACTGAAATAGTTTCTTCAATTCTTCCACAGATTTCTCCAAATGGTGAATTTAAAATTTAAAATACTTTTTTATCAGCATCAATTAGCATTCAGTTCAGTAGAACGTTAAATGAATATCTAAACGAAATAAATTCGTACGTACCTGATTCTTATATATAAATGCATGATCTCATTTCTTCTATGTAGTAAGCTCTTGATCGAAGATTAAGGAAAGTAAAATGATCCTTTAAATATACAGAAAAGCCAAAGAAAATGAAAAAAGATAGAATCAATATTCAACAGATTTCTGTAATTAAAGCTTCCCTTGGAGAGAAAGAAACGAACAAAGCAGCAAGGATCTTACCCATTTATGCCATGAATTCTTGTTCTATATCATTGGCATCAGCTGCACAATAAGCTTGACATTATATTCGAAAATCCGCAGAATAAAAATAACGATATTCGATGAGAATAAGAAGAAACATCGTTTTTGTAACACACGATGTATGATTTATGTTGGAGACATAAGGAATATGAATTTATGAAGTGGAATTAGATGTAAATAAATGTCGATATGCTGCAAAGAATGACAGCATTTTTGGAAAATTTTCGAGATTCTTGAAATTTTATTTAGCTACTTAATGTAAAAGAAAATATTTAAGAATTGTTTTATTAAATATATTAGGCCAAAAAAAATGGACAGTTGAAGAAAGTTTTTTAAAGTTGGGTTTTCAATGACAGGAAAACTGAAGATAAAACTTTAAAAAGCCTTCATATTTCAACTGTCCATTATTTTTTTATCCCACTGTAAATATGTATCTATGAATTGATTATTTTATAGCAAGTTCTTTTTCAATTTTAAAAATTATCAATCATTTTTATTTTATTTAACAGATATTTTGAGTGTTTCCCATCAACTTGTTGATTTCTGAAGAAAAAGAAGTTCAAGGAACTGAAAAAATTGCTTCAAATATTCAATTGATTGCTTAAATCTTTTATCAAAATGAGTTCTTTTTTTCTGGCGGTTTAACACTCTTCAGAAGAAAATTATAAATGATATGCTAAATCACTTTCGCTACAAGTCTCTAAAACATTAGAACATTAAGACTAAATTGTGAAATTAGATTTTCTTGAGACACAACATAAAATAATCCAATAATAAGTACTACATAGTTATCAACTTCAACATTTTTATTTCTTCAAAATTTATATCAAATTGGAATAATTTTATGAACTAACTTGATCGAGATGAAAATTCAAATTGTGTTAAAATATTGCAATGATTCTGTTTAAATATGCAAAAACAAAATTCTTGTCACAAACTAGTTTTTCTCTCCTCAATGCAGATTCCAAATTATTTGAAAAGTTCAAAATCATTTTTGCATCAAAAACTGGTTTATTTAATAGCCGTTCATTATATTTTTTTTCATTAACTTCTTACATATTAAGGATCTTTAACCTGCATTTTTGTGAATTCGTAATGAATGATTCTCTCCAAGAAATCTTCCATTAGATAAATATTTTAATAACATGTTATAAAGTTAGAACTTTGATGTTTTCTCAACAATCGATTTTTTTTAATCTATTATTCTGTCGTAACAAGAATTAAGAATTTTCATTTACATAGATACTTTTATTATTTTTCTCTGTAAATATATTGTATATATAGATATATTCCACATGTTTTGCATAGATTTAAGTTGTTCTTTTTTTTCTATAAAAATATAAATTTTAAAGGGGTGTTTTTTCTTTTAGACTGATGGACTTGAAGGCGGTGTCGACGGTGGTGTTGCAGGCGGTGTCGACGGTGGTGTTGATGGTGGAGTTGAAGGCGGTGTCGCTGGTGGAGTTGAAGGCGGCGTCGCTGGTGGAGTTGAAGGTGGCGTCGTTGGTGGAATTGAAGGCGGTGTAAGAGGTGGTGTCACTGGTGGAGGAACTGGTACCGGGGGTAGCGTAGGTATAGTTGGTGCTGTTTTAAATAAAAAATTAATATTTAGATGTTATTTCAAATTTTAAAAAAACTATTTTGATTTAATGTCATTGCAATTTGCAATAAAAAAAACTTCAATTTTTAACAAAAAAAGATATGAAAATTGGGAAAATCAGTAGCTTTTATATATGTAGGTACGCTTTTCAAAGAAATTAAAATTATTTTGCTGTTTAAACTTTCAAAGTATTAACTCCTTTCCTTAAAATTATAAAAATACCTGGAGTAGTCACTCTTCTGCACAGTCTTGCTGTTGGTCTTAAATTGCAATATGCATTGATAAACGCTTCCACAATATCTAATCCTTTAACATTTTGAACTTCCAGTTCTGATTAAGTGAAAAAAAAATTAAAATTTGTTAAAAAATCTGATTCAAAACAAAATTTCAACCTTCATCATGAGCTTCCAGTATTTTGCCGATCAATGAAACAAAATCTTCGTTTTCATTTTTCGGTATATTTTTATTCTCTTCAATAGTAAGCGCAGCTGCACATAAGATACTGATAAATATTATAAGTTTCCACATATTTTTTGCAAGTACGTCACTCGAAAAAGTATGATCTTTCAAATCAAATATACAACTGAGTCAGTTCAAACTGTGATCTGGCTTAAATACTGAAATTTCACAAACCAAATAAAATTCCTAAACATATCATTGACCCCACACACTTACGCAAAATACAAACGTCAACTAAGAACGAGTTTTTCGTTTTTCGTACTAGTCCTTTATGCTACCAAAATATTTGTATATTTAGAATTGAAGACATGCACATGATGTAAATAAAGTTAAATTAGTTTATTAGATAACTAATTTTCTTTTAAATAAAGAGAATGTGTTACAAGATTACTAAAGCTCCCAGGATTATTTGTAATTCCAAAACAGTTTCATTTTTTATATCTGATCTTGCTGACAATAGTACAAATCCATCATGATGGTTCTTTTTTGTAAAGTCATTTGTAAATAAAAGCGACAAATCTCTTACACTATGTATGCATTTTTGTTTTTTTTTTGGTTTCTTGAATGGAAGTGTTAGAAATTTTTTGGAACATGAAGTGATTTAAAAGATTTTACGTAATGAAATAAAATTTTGCAACCTCCTTCGAAAGCTTCCAACATTTTTTCATTTGTAATATTTCGATTCCATTTTGCTGTATGTTTTTACAATATTTATTACATTTATTTACATAAAAGATAGTAATAAATAATGAAACTATTCACATATTGTCTTATGAGTATTTCACTAAGAAAAATAATTTTTTAAAAAACCTAAAGACGTCTGATTCAATTCGAAAACCGCAGTTAAATTCCAAATATATTTTTTTAATATAGCATCGACCCAACATACTTTCACAGTTTATCAACTAAGAACGAGTTTTTTATTTCTCGTATTAGTCCTTAATATTACAAAAATATTTGTGTATTTAACAAATATCATACAAAAAAAAAGATTTTTAAATATTTACTTTAATAGATATAAGAATAACATAAATATTCTAAACATGTGAAACTTCCATTTGCGTACTGTTTACATACGATTAATTTAAATTTTGTCTAACTGTTTTAAATATTATTATTCGGTTTTAAACGACACGGACCAAAAATCTCTTTTTAAAATTTTTCATTTGATGATTTAGAAATAAATATTTTCGTTGAAATATTTAAGTCATCTCTCTGTAACAACATGAAGCAAATTGACCATTCAATGATTTTTTTCTAATGTAAATATCCAAAGTATATGTGGATGAAACGTGATCAAATTTAATATACGTGCACGCGAAAGCAGATGCATTTTTAGGTACTTATTTTTATTCTTGTATCATTATTATATATTTAGCTTTCAAAAACTGGTTTACATTTTCTGTAAATATTAATAAAAATGCTTTTAATTTCTAATTAGATTCTACTAACTTAAATTCTACTTAGCATTATTTAATTTTAGCATGTTCTAACTAAAAGTATCGCATATGCCATATATCTTTTAAACACATTTTAGAAACAAGAAATCAATCTTGAATAAATGAAACTTATTAATATCATCAACGCTATGATAAATACTTATTTTGTTTAAATCTTACAATTTAGCCAGGCTATAGTTAACAAGAAAACGACTTCAACTCATACATGCTTGCTACTCATCAGTAATAAATAATTACTAGAGTTCGCATCTTTCAATCACATTTTGTGTTACTTATTAGAGAAATAATATGTTGGATATATTAAGTAAAGTGAGAAGCAGTCGAACCCTACTAATTACATATAATATTGACACGAGCGAGCCTCAATATTTATCTGGTTTCTAGAAAATGAACGTAAAAGAAAAACATCGGTCAACATCACTAAGGAAACATGTTTTCAATAACACACAGTTGTACCGACAGGTTCGCACCAAAAAGAATTCAAAATGAACATTGATTTAAAAGCTTCATATGAAAAGCTATCCAGTACTGTTCTGTATTCTTTTTATGATTTCAGTCAGTTGGTTTTTAAAGTAAAAATCAATTTAAAAGTTGATGATTGCTGAACAAGTTCAGACGTTGGAAAATAATTGAAAGTGAAAGTCTGATGATGAAAGCTTCTCATAAAGTGAAAATAAAGTTTCTATTAAATTTCTGTTTCATTTTTCAATTGCACTTTATTGGATTAAATTGTCAAACAAGTCAAAATATTAATGTTTGTAAGTCATTTTTTTTAAATTTTCCATCAGTATGAAGAGTTAGTTAAATTATAATATGATAAACTGAATCTTCCTTTAGATTAAATTTTAAGTATGACAACATGAAACTGAAAGTTCACGGATCATATATTAATTAATATCAATTTTAATGAAATCAATAATTTCTCTAAAAATAGCATTGAGATTGACTTTCATTCAATATATTACATAATACATACTTATAAAAAACATATTTTTAAGCATAGAAAGAAAATTCATTGAATAATATAATCGTTGAAATCGAATTTTTATTATTAGAAGAAATAGGAAATAAATATTTAATGCTATCGACCCACAATGGTTCTTAAAAATAAATTCAATATGTAATCGAATTTTCCAATTCTTTCAATCCTTTTTTCACGGTAATAATTTGTGAATGATATTGATATGTATTTGATAAGCATCCTTCTTATAACGTCTTTGTACAGTATTCATTAATGAAGTGGGAAATGAAATTGCTCAAAAAGCGGTTGATGTGGCTGGAAATTATATCAAAAAAACACCAAGTTTGGGATTGAGTGTAGAAATTATGTCTGTAGAAGGTAATAGAACAGACAGTAAAGGATTACTGGAGGCCATTTGTACACGATACGGTGAAAGCTTACAAGCAAGTCAACCTCCACATGTTATTCTTGATACAACAAAAACTGGGGTATCATCAGAAACAGTCAAATCAGTTTCTTCTGCTCTTGGCATACCAACAGTCAGTGCATCGTTTGGACAAGAAGGTGATTTGAGACAATGGCGAAACATCAATGACAAGAAAAAGAATTATCTTTTACAAGTTATGCCTCCAAGTGATGTCCTGACTGAGATCGTTCGGTCAATTGTGAGATACATGAATATTACAAATGCTGCTATTCTTTACGACGAAACATTTGTGGTTGATCATAAATACAAAGCTCTACTTCAGAACATACCGACACGTCATGTCATTACAGCAATAGCAGTTGATACTGAAAGAAGTGAACAAATAACAAAACTTCGAAATCTTGACATTAATAATTATTTCATATTGGGTACATTGGAATCCATTAAAAAAGTTCTCGGTGAGTCGTTTTAAATATTACTAAATGAAATCTAAAGCTTAGAAAAAATAAAATGTTTGTGATATCATCAAGTAATTTGTTTTCAAGTTATGTTGATAACACTTTGTCACCTTCTTTGTGACATGTGTCTCAATTTTCATTTGTTGCCCTCCCAAATTTTTTTCCAAATTGTTAGTCACGCATAATGTCACGACAATATTGATTTATTGTTCAATTAACCTTAACATCCAAACTTACATACTATACACATTAGAATCAGCAAAGAAGGAATATTTCGAGAGAAATTTCGCCTGGCATGCAATATCAGAATCGAAAGGCGACCTTGTAGCGAATGTGGAAAACGCAACAGTAATGTTTATACGTCCAACCCCTGATGGGCAAAGTAAAGATCGCCTCGGAATTATGAAGACAACATATAACTTGAAAGTAAATAATGTTTTCCTTTTTCTTTTTTTGTGGGCATGATTCTATGATTTTATGAATTTTTAATGAATCTCATTTGTGAATTTTTAATGTCAAAATAAAAAAGGGCGAACCTGAAATCGAATCAGCATTTTATTTCGACTTGGCTTTGAGGACATTTTTGGCGATAAAAGCATTGCTGCAAAACGGTTTATGGCCACCCAACATGAAGTATCTTACATGTGACGAATATGATGGCTCAAATTCACCTGATCATTCCATTGATTTGAGATCTTATTTTTTTGATGTAAGAACTTTTATTGAAGCTTTTAAACGCAATCAAAATGTCAATGTTTATTTTATGCATCGCGAAGGTTGCTATGAAAAATATCATGCATGAAACTAAACGTTGCTATTAATGAAACGCAATATCACTTTTTATCATGATGACATTTATTTAATTACTGCTTCAATTAATCAACAAATAGGTCAACGAGCAGCCAACTTATGCGCCATTTTACTTTCCAAAACCATCTGAAACGTTCAATGGCTTTAGTTTCATGAAATTTGATGCTGATATAAATGCAGTGACAATAAGAGGTGGAGCGTCAGTAAATACAAAAAATCTTGGAATATGGACAGCTGGCTTGGATTCACCTCTTAAGATAAAAGCTGAAGATGAGATGAAAAATTTATCAGCTAATACTGTTTATAGAATTTACACAGTTGTTCAGGCACCATTCATAATGAGAGATGAAAATTCTCCCAAAGGTTTCAAAGGCTATTGTATCGATTTAATCAATGAAATTGCAAAGATTGTAGAGTTTGATTACACTATTACGGAAGTAGAAGATGGAAAATTTGGGAATATGAACTCTAAGAAAGAATGGAACGGAGTTGTTAGAAAACTTATTGATAAGCAAGCTGATATAGGACTCGGGTCTATGTCTGTTATGGCTGAACGTGAAACTGTTATTGATTTTACTGTACCCTACTACGATTTGGTTGGAATTACAATTATGATGGTATTGCCGAGTCAGCCAAGCTCGTTGTTTAAATTTCTGACTGTTTTGGAAACCAATGTGTGGCTTTGTATTTTAGCTGCTTATTTTTTCACGAGGTTCGTTCAAGAAATGATTTTAAATGTTCTCACGGGACTCACAAAAGCTTTCTTTTTCTTCATTAGCTTTTTGATGTGGATCTTTGACCGGTACAGTCCCTACAGTTATCAGAACAACCGCGAGAAATATAAAGATGACGATGAGAAACGTGAGTTTACATTGAAAGAATGTTTATGGTTTTGCATGACATCTTTGACGCCCCAAGGCGGAGGTAAGTGTTAAATAAACAAGTCATTGACTTGTTAAATGTTTTATAAACTTTCTTTCAAAGGTGAAGCCCCAAAGAATTTGTCTGGACGTCTTGTAGCAGCAACTTGGTGGCTTTTTGGGTATGAAAATTTAAAATTCCTCACCAGTTGTCAACCTTTTCCGTAAATTACAATTTTTCTTTTATCTAAGATTTATCATCATCGCGAGTTACACAGCAAACCTTGCTGCTTTTTTGACAGTATCCCGTTTGGATACACCTGTTGAATCTTTAGACGATCTTTCAAAGCAATATAAAATTCTTTATGCACCCTTAAATGGAAGTTCTGCTATGACGTATTTTCAAAGGATGTCTGATATAGAAACAAGATTCTATGAGATTTGGAAGAATATGTCGTTAAATGATGAATTGGATGCATATGAAAGAAGTAAATTAGCTGTCTGGGATTATCCTGTAAGCGATAAATATACAAAGATGTGGCAAGCTATGCAGGAGACTGGACTACCAAATTCATTAGATGAAGCTGTCAGAAAAGTCAGGTAGAGGATATTTAAAAACTCTTTCCAAGTTAAAGTCATCCATGATGAAAGCTTACTAAATATTTTAGAAATTCAACAGCAGCATCTGGTTTTGCTTTTCTCGGTGATGCAACCGATATTCGTTATCAAGTTTTGACAAGTTGCGATTTGCAAATGGTAGGTGAAGAGTTTTCAAGAAAACCTTATGCAGTCGCGGTTCAACAAGGTTCACCATTAAAAGACCAATTTAACAATGCGTAAGAACTTCATTGTCAGATGCTGAAAACTTTTAATTTATCTTAAAACTTTCTGAAACTTTTTAGAATTTTAAAGTTGCTTAACAAACGTCAACTTGAAAAGCTGAAAGAAAAATGGTGGAGGAAAGATGATGTTTCAGCTAAATGCGAGAAACCAGAAGACCAATCTGATGGAATTTCTATCCAAAACATTGGTGGTGTATTCATTGTCATCTTTGTGGGTATTGGAATGGCTTGTGTCACTTTAGCATTTGAGTTTTGGTATTATAAGTTCCGTAAAGTACCGAAAGTTTTTGGAAGTGATGATGCTTTTAACAACAAATTTACTAAAAAGAATGCAAGCATTAAGGGAAATAACAGTTTTGGTTCTGGTGGTGGCCTAATTGACACCGGCTCTAATAACACTTTGAAGTCACGTTATCCTCCTGCTGGCAATTTTCGCGCACGTTTCTAAACAGAATGAATAGCATGAAAGTTATTTCCAACTTGAAAAACAATTTAAATGTCTTTTTTGAAGTGAATATGAAATGAATTAATTGCGAGAAAAATATGTCATTAATTATTTACCTTAGTTTTGTTGATGATGTTTTCATAACAGTCATAAAGAAATATTACTTTGTTGATGGTAATTTGGAAAGAAAGAAAGCTTAAAATTTTAATGTTTGTTCACTGTGATGTTTTAATGTGTTTTAAAAATCATATTCAATGTTATTAGCTCAATTTTCATGGCATTTATGTTGTGAAGAAAGGAGAACTAAAAGAAAAGTTCGCACAAACTACGAAATTCACTCTTGTCAAAGTCAAAAATTTATAACCTATGAAGAAAGGAAATTTATCGCTGTCTGGAGTCATAAAAAATATCTCAAAAGAGTAACGAAAAGGCTCGCACAAGGAAAACCGAAATTTCATTTAAGAAATGAAAGTTGTGTCATAAAAGAAATGGGCGGAATAGAACAAGTTGTAATAGCAGTTGGAAAAACATTTATGTAAAAGCTTCATAAAAGAAAAATAATAAAAAAAAGTTTCACAAAAAAGGTGTTCAAGTTCAATTGATTGATTGCCAAAGTTCATTCGCTGAAAAATGATGAATTATGTTGCTCCCCAAGCTAAAATCAAAAATGATGAATGGGTAGAGAATAACATGAATTTGTTTCGTATCGGTATCGGAAGGACAGAAAAGTCTCCCAAAGGAATAAAATAATACTTTTATCGATTAGATTGATAACATGATGCTCACCTTTGTTGCTATCACACCTCCACTTGCATTAATGAACTACATATACCTAGATACGTATAAATATTGTGACATTTCCTCTGTTAACTTTTTATGATATAAAATGAATAATCAATTTTGTTTATTATAAGATAACAGAAAAAAACATGTACAAAGAAACATTCCTTGAATTTCCCTTTAGAATATTTATATCAATTCCAATCTTCTTTTACATTTATTACCTTCAAGCATTGAGAGAAATTTTATTTATTTGGGAGTTGAGTGAGATAAAATACTAAAATTTAGCGTTCAATAAATTTCCCTCAGAAACAAACATATAAAGAAATATACAAATTTGCTTTTGTTGCTCCTAGCAAAATATAGAACATCACATACACATCAAACCGTTTTGAAGTCAAGATGAATGAAATGAAATGAAATGTTTATTCCTAAAAATCAATTGCGCTGATGTTTTCTTTTTCACAATGAAAAATTGCCAGATATCGATATAAAACAGTAACAAGAGAAGAACATTTATGATAACAAAAGCCACTAAGTGTTGTGCCAAAGTCTATTAGCATCAAATGTTAAATCAACAATGCGTGGTATACACCTCATCATCCATCAGCTTCACACAATGAATGTGTTGTGCATAAAATCAGCGAGTGTGTATGAGAAGTGAACGGGAGGAGGTAATAATGGAGCGTAATTCCAAAGTGTTCTCAACATAATTTATCATCATTGCTAGAATTATCTGAAACATTTTCAGATCATCGTGGAGAGAGAAATTGCTGGCAAAGCTTTCGATGTACAACACGGATATACAACAAGCATAAAACTTGGTCATTGCGAATTGTATAATAAATTCACTAAGATCATAAAACATGAGTACAACACCTTTTTGACAGCCAAACTGTAAAATAAAATAAACTAGGCAGTAGTTGTACATGCGAATTTGAAATAAAACATGAAATTCGAGAGCCAAAAACGAAACTGCGGTAAATTCTCACTATCTGTGAATGGATTGTGATATCTAACAAAAACAAGAAAAGCTTTTCTTTCATGGGTTTCATATTTAAACGTAGTCAACGTTTAGAATTTTGTATCTGACATTCTTAAGCACAATACATCAAATAGCTAACTTATTACTCAAAAAACATACATACATATATGTACATAGAACAACATAAATATCACTGCATAAATCATTTCTTGGTTGCTTTCATGTTGACTATCTGTGCAATGAACGTGCTGTTTGTGTATACAACAATAGAAAATATTCATGTGAAGGATTTTTTTCTTCATTTGTGGAAATGACATTGCAATTGCTTTGACAGCAGAGAAAAATAAAAAAATAAAAATTTATTTCATATCTACATAAGTTCATTTTAATCGTGCTTTATTTTTTATTGACTTGGTTACGTAAAAGAATAGAACAAAAGAAATTTGTGATATTTCAATTGTAATACCAAAATGATGGATCTGTATCATCCAAATTAGAATCATCAATGTTGCTTGACTCTAACGCCGTTAGATTTTCCAACTTAGCAAATCGTGATTTTACAGAGCGAAGGAAGATTTTTCGATTCCCAATTGGTTGCAAATGACGATAATTATCAAGCAACAACAAACCTTCAATTCCATTAGACAGCGAACGAAACCTTGCCATTTGATTGAGTGAAATGGGAATTGTGTCAGGAAAAACTATCCAAGTAACTGCTGGATTACATTTTGGTGTTGTTAAAGAACCTTTGACAGGATGAAAAATGCTTTCAAAACTTTTAAAATACCAATTGATTGTAGGAAACTCACCCCGGTAAGTATAAAATCTTTGTGTATTGACATCTCTGATAAGCGATCCAAGAGTGAATGTATATGGAAGTGAAACCGGGTCGTTTATTTCTCCAACATCTCTTAAATGTCTCACAATACCTTCAATTTCCTCTCCATCAGCATCTCTTATTTGATAGAAGAACGCTAATAATTGATGATTTATTACCAACACTTTCATTAGTTAAATTTTTTTTTACTCACCCAGCACTGCTAATCCATCTTTATATTCTAAAGCTTCACTGACTGTGCTGTATTTCTTACTTTTGTGGATCATGTGCATCTCTAAAGGATAGCGAATGTCATTTATAACATGTTCCTACAATAAAATGTTGCTTGAAAATTTTAGTGAATAAATTCAAAAGTCAAAGACATTGAACACAGCAGTTTTGCTCTCTTATTGATAACAAATTGATTTTTTGTAATTTACTTTATTTATATATACCTAATTCATTTCACGATTATACTTTGAATGCAAAGATAGCATTTATTCTAACTCAGTCTTGAAAGCAAATGCTATTGCAAATCCAATTAAATATGTACATTCAAACGTGCAAGTGAACAATTAAAGCAGTATGCATGTATGTAAACACGCAGGCATACAAGTTAATTACTTGACTTAATAGTCTTTTTTCCTTTAATCAAAGTGTTAAAACTAATTATTCTTATGTAACTAAGTTTACATATTCTTCATATTCGATAATAAAACATTTTTCCACTTTTCCAACAGTCTTTTTATTACTTACGTGTCAAACTTCGATAGAATGAATTAATGAAAAAAGTATTGCGTTACAATTTAATTCATTGCATTGAAATACCTAATTTAGTATTGAAATTAAATATTGATTTTGCATCTATGAAAACTTTCACAACTTCACACATAATCTAACAAAAATGTATCAATGTGATCATAATTATTTATGGAAATAACATGCATGTTAATAAATATTTCAAATTGAATAGTTTAAATGTTTTCCTGACAGATTTTTGTTTTATCACTAATTTTGATAATATGTATAGAGAGCAAAATTTCCAAGCGGAATATAATGTTGAATTTATTTTAGAAAATACTAAAACCAAAACATTTCCTAGAACCAATTTTAAAATATGAAATATTATTTCTTCATGCTTAAAAGCATCGAATGTTTTATCATCGAACATGCCATGCAAACAAAATAAAAGCAATTAGTTTTATCGATAAAAACTCACAGCTCCTTTATTATTCCTTTCACCCCAATGGAAATGTAATCCAACATACTCATACTCAGATTGTAATTTTCCACCAAAAACAAACGGAATTTCTGTAGAATTTTCATCGTTTGGAGTTATCAAGGATACTGAATGTCCTGTATTATGGATTTTCAGTGGTGTTGGCATTAGATTATGATAATAAATGAATTCTATTGCTGGAATATTCACAGGAACTGCACGTCGAGAACTAATCGAGATTGGAGATTGATTTGGCCCCGAACAATGCTGTTGAGTAATAACTTTATTTGTCTGAACTTTTAAATTTATTAACTCTTTTTGTGTACTTTATGTTTTCTTTTCCATAAACGTTGTTCTGCTGGAGAGTACCCAAATCTTTGAAGACATAAAATGAAATCACAAGTAAACCACGTGATTAATAAATTGAGAAAGATTTTCATATTTAACATCCACAATTCACTCCGAAGTTCAAACAAAAACTGAGAACTTGTCGAATTCTGAATTGAAGACTGCGAAGTTGTAATGAAAAGTGGGAGAAGTGTTAAGTGTTCTTATTGTTTCCAATAGATAAAAAAACATCTCCACTCTACCATCAAAATCAGATATTAAATTAAATTAAATTATTAAAACCAAACCAAGAAACCAAGAAGACTTTTCGACGATACTTTTTAGATTACGTAACCAATTACAAGCAAATAAAAATACGAGAACTTATAAAAAGAGCTTTCATTCAGAAAAAGTCAAAGAAGATGAGTGACTAAAGACTTAAAGTGGAAGCAATTATGAATAATTGCTATGAAATGATTCACAAAGCATTAAAATTAATGGTGCTTGTAATTAATTAAGCAATTAGAACTAAATCTTCATCTTCAAATGCAAATTATTCTGCCTTAAAGTTCATCAAAGGTCACGGTGGGAAGTTTCAGGAAGAACTTCTGACACGTTCAATGAGTTTTCTACAAATGCGTTCGCTTATCAAATCAACGCGACAGATGCTGAATCGCGAATCTTAGATTATATTTTGCGTGAGGGTGACGAACGTGCTTTATCAAATGAAAATACTGCTATTCGTTTAACATTGGTGTGAGAATTTGAGGATTTTATGAGGCTAAACGAATAAAACCTTAATTCGCTCATTTATGCAAACAAGGTTTAAAGAGCTTTTTTCTTCTTGTGGACTTTTAGAGATGAAAACTCATTTATTTATTTTTGAAAACGCTGAAAGCTATTTTAAATTGCTCGTAAGCATTTTATTTCTTTTGCTTTCCATGACGATCTGAGTTACTCCCACAACAGCACAAATAATTATGATTTATGAGCATGAATTGCACAATTTCCAACACAATTTCGAATTCATATTATTCTCTCCTTCGCTTTGTATTTAGCGACAATGGAAACGAGACCCAAAAAACATTCTTTTTCTGAGGCCAAATACGAAAGTACAAAAACATAAATTTATTGCTGAATATGCTGTATTTTTATTCTTTTAATTTTAGCTTTCAATTCACAGGAAAACAATGATTTATGCCTGCACGTTTGTTTGTGATGAAAATATGTATAACATACAAGATACAACCCCAAAAAGCTTACGAAGTCTCTTGAAAATATTAGTAGATACTCCTCTTACTCAGTTTTCCACGAGATATTTCTCACTGACACTTTTTAATCTTGATTTGAAAGCACAACATAAAAAAATTTGTTGATTCTTTACCTTTTTTCCACTGCAACATAAGTTTCTCTTAAGTGAACGACGAAGACCCTAGGGCCCCATCAACTTTTCAATTTAAATTTGGAGTATCGCTCGTTGTTCCATGCTTTTCACCGGAACAATATGCTGCATTAATAATACATTTAGTTATTTTTGAGACTACAGTTAACGAAGGAATGTATGAAACAGGAAAGAAACAATTTTACGTTGATTTCAAATGAAGTTTTCACTGTGCATGAGTGGATTGTATATTTATGTTCCTGCTATGTCACCCGGTTATTCCTCTCTACTGTTTGCATGATAAAAACTCGTTCAATTTACTGCAACAAGAACAATACAAAATTGCAATTAATGTCAAGTTCCGAAAGAAATATGGGAAAAGAAAGTAAAAAGTAGAAATAAAGTTGAAAATTTATGTTTATATTGAGAGAGAGAGTTTTTTTTCTTACTAAGTTTCGGTTAATTAGAGTCACTGAATTATTCAAAGTCGTCTGTTGAATAAGTAGCAGAAAAAAACAACGTAAACGTCAAAGTTTTTTAATGTAAGTAAATACTAATTGTTTGCCGAACAAATCACCTAATTCCCATCATAAAGCAAAGATGCTGGTAACACGTTTCATAAATTAAATACGTTCAAGCAGTTGCGATTAATAAATTTTTATTAGGTTAATTCGTCGCCATTTTTTGAACCATTAAGGGTAAGAATCTCTCAATTAGCGTGGAAAAAGTTTTCCATCTTTTTTCTTAGATTCTTTCTTGCCTTTCAAGCAAACTGCTGCTGATGTTGTTGTTTGATTTCAACCCCATTAAAAAAGGAAGGCGCAGCTGGAGGCAACTAAGTAATTTTGAGACAGAATTCACAATTTCTTATCATATTTCGTCGGAAAAATTTTTGTTTGCCAACAATGTCCCGACAACGAGCGTGTCTGTCGACTGGAAATTATAAATCTTTTTTTGAAGTTAATTCTTCTTGTTGTTCATCTTGCTTTTCGCTACTTTTCCTTTCCTTTCTTTTCGTTTCTTTACTCTCCTTGAAGATGTAAATTAGGTTTCTTAACGTTACACGAATAAATTTTGTGCTATTCCGTTTTTTTTGGAAGCAGATGAAGAAAATAGAAAAAAAATCTGTGAAAATGAGATGGGGAATCATGGTGAATAAATTTATTATGTGTTGTATAACATGAAATATGACATGGCATAATTTATGTTTATTATGATCTCAATTCTTTTGCTTTATGATATGAAAATAATAATGTGCAATTCCACAATGTTTGACTCTTGTCTTGGCAACAGGTTTTACTCTTTGAAAGTTTTAGATTTTATAGAAGCTTATGTTGATTTTTAAAGAGAAAAAACATCGAATACTGAGTTATTGTAGGGATCAGTTGAAAATTCTGCTGATGTAACGATGCTGATCCACTTGAAAGAGATGGATGTGAATCATTGATAAGCACATAACGAGCTTTTTTCGTTCACTAGGAAAATGGTACATCGCAAATATACAAGAACAGTTATTGCACGTTCGGATCATAAATTTTATTATTATTTTCATGCTCACGAAAAAATACATTTCGATATATTGGTTGTTTAAGTTGTGCACATGTGCCTTTGAAAAATTATTGCTTGTTTTTCTTTTCCCATCTTATGTCAGTTTATCTGAATAACTTTCGTAAATAATTTTATTTTCTTCTAAGTTGAAAATCGACCAAAGACTTATTTCCATCAGATAAAAGACTGAAATCATTTCTATTAAACTTTTCAAATTATCAAAAGTTAAAAAAGATTTGCCGCAGCGATAGTGAAAGAAACCTCAACGATATTATTTACAAGATAATTTCAAATGCTGCTAAATGGCTTAACAAATTGTAACTTATCGTACAAACAATGTTCATAAATCTTACTTTAGAACTAGAAAAGAAGTACTGAGCTATTTAAGGAACTTACATTCTTTTGAGTGCAACAACTGTTGAAAGCTCATAAACTCTGTTTCGTTCTCAGGGTTTTAAGCACGACATTCACTTTCCCTATTATCACCATCCAACTTTTATTCGCATTCAAAGTCGCATTCTAGATATGAATTTCAATATAACTCTGAAGTAAAATAAATTCTATTATACGGAAACTTATTGTCAAGGAAGCTCACTATGAGTACAAGGAATTAAAGTGTAATTATGTTTAAAAGTTGTATGGAGTTTCATGCGTTATTTATGATTGAGTGAGTTTAAGCTTTTTATTTTAAAATGAATATCTATGTACGTATCTACATATTCAAATGACAATTTAAATATTTTTCGTTTCATCATTAAAACTTTTTCTTTTTTCAAATTTCAATCAACATAATCATTTTATGGTGATTTACTAATCTTAGAAGTTGGGTGAGAAAAAGAAACAGAAATTATTCCCTTAAGCATTTACATGATTGAAAAAAAATATTGTCATCAAAACTTATTTCTAGACTCAAAAAGATGTTATGAACATAAAACGATAATTTTTTCATTCTTTGTAAGAAGATTTGAAGATTTGTCTATTTTTCGCACTTGTATTGAATTATACATAAACATGAAGATGGAAGAAAAAATCCACAGAAGATTTTCAAACATAATGAAATGCAAATTGGATTTGTTTGTTTTGAACTCCCTTTCCTACTTTCCCATTTTCTCATCAGTGGAAACAAAAGTATAACGAAATATCTGCTTTTGTTTTCAAGTAAGTAGACAGAAAATTAATGTTGTTATTTAAATTCAAAAAAGTTTCCCTTTCACGTTTGAATTTGATTCACGGACATTCTCCCTTTGTCATTATCGCGAATTCATTAGATTTGAGGAACCAAAAGAAAAAGATCTGAAATCAAATGATTGAAGACTTCAATCTACTTTCGGAAATAAAGAAAAATCAAATGTTGATATTCTCCAAAACAATTGTCACAAATGGAAATGAAAAGATATTGAAAATGTATTTAAAAACATGTTTCACATTTTCAAATTATTCATATCTTTCTTATTATAACTAGAAGTTCTAGAAATTGAATATAAATCATTTTTGGTCTATTCTGCTTCTCACCTTTTTCAATTTCTTCTTTTGCTATTGAAAATCGTCCAAACGTTTATCTCTACTAAGATGTGGTGATATTTTTAACGTATAGCTTGTTACCAACTCGTTTTTCAACTGTCTGTGAAGTAAAACTTTGCAGAATAATTTAAAAATCAAAAGCTTTAAAAGTTTTAACAAGATTTTTGTCTGCATCTCAGTATTCAAGGACTCCATACTTTCACTTTGTATGTCACCCAAAGGTACATATTATAAAACATTATCGTTCACTTCGAAATTTTACAAATGAAAGAAAATACGTTCACTTGTTTTTTTAATAAGAATCATGACATGATCCCATCTGGTCGAAGAAAAAAGGTCAAAATGAGATGTCAAACAAATTCACCACATCCATTATGCAGAGAAGAAAAATAATATTTCGACTGTAAATACCAAAGTGACGTTTCTTGGTTAAAACGTCTCAGATCGGAGAGGAAAGGATTTTGTTTTCTTTGTAGCCTTGGTTGTGGTGCAAAGGATTCTTGATATGTTATGAATACTAATAAGTAAGTAGAAGTATGGTTGCTTGCGATGTCCATAAACATTAGTTATCATCAGAATTAGTGGATTGAACTTTGGAAGCCAAAATTTGGGTCACTTATCGTTGCTTGCCAACCACTGTTTACCATGATAATAGAACTTCAACTTTACTTTTACGGTCATTTATGTATAAGCACAACAAGTACAATAAATTGAATTAATAAAAGGGAATGACAACTTAGTAACATCAAAGTTATGTGCTATTATTTTATTATTATCTTGACTTTCAAAATCTTCTCAATGGATGTTTATTTTTTCAAAGACCAAAATTCAATTTTACTTTTTCCATTTTTATCTCTTAGAAATCGCTTAGAGACAAAGTTGTTAGCGTATATTGAACAAATGGCTTTAGAGCTTATTCATTCTCTTCAGTCGTTGAAGATCTTAAATTTCATTCTTTAATGCTGCAGTGTTGTAAAACATGACGAGTAATTAGCTGAATGAGAAGAAATTTTGTCATCTCCTCCCACTTAGAAAGTTTATGACTGCTGGATTCTCATCAGAGATTACCGAGTAAAACTTTGAGGCTCTTAAGGGATTAAATGTTGGTGAACTGATAAGCGCAAGGGAAATAAACTTTTTCTGAAAGCATGCCAGCTATGTCGACGTAAATTCTGAACGCAACTTTAATATCTCAGGATTGTGGTTTATCGTTGACATAAATGTTTTATGTCTAATGAGAAAATGACATGAAGGTTCGCTTTTTCAAGCTCTATTGAATTCTTATAAACCCAAATAATTGGATATACAAACCTTTTCCGAGTTATGCCTAAGTAAATATTTTTTATCTCAAAAAAAAAACAACATGATTGTGTTGTTGTTTACAACTCTTAAGCATCTGATGACCAATAAACCGAATCATCAATTAGCGCATCTTGGAAAACAATCCAATTAACATTAATCGTAAGCTTGCCATGACAATTTATTTATGAGAAGATTTGTCAGCATTCTGTTTTTCGGTTTCTATCGATGGTGAAGCGTCTGCGACAGTTTTATTTGTAATGTAGATAATAAATTTAAGAGCGAGAAAGGAGAACTATCGTTATCTTGATGAAGCTACTTAATGCGACAATATTTTCTACTGATTAAGTCGTAAATATGAAACGATTACTTCATTACCATTGCTTTTGGTATTTGATATCTCACGTTGAAGGTTGTAATGATTCAGCCATGGGTAAGTCATTGATATCGATTCCATAAGAGAAAAAAAATGATAAAGGTAAAAATTGGTTCATTTTTATAAAAACTTTCCCCCCTAGCTTTTCTGAATGATAATTAATTATGGATTAAATATGGTAGTTCTAAAAGGAAAGTTAGAGCAAATTGCTTAGATCTTTCCAGAGAGACTTAAAAATTTTCTTCATGAGTTTCTGAAGTTTCTCTTACCAGATAGATACTTAAAACCAGCAAAAGAGAAAATTATGAAGTAAATTATTCAAAAGGAAACAAATTTTCTAGTAACAATTAGCGTAATAAAAGATTTATGCTGTAGATTACACTAGAAGTTAGGAATAAATTGACGTCAAAGGAAATGTTTTATTTTCAAAGTTAATTTGTATGCAGTGTGAGAAAAGTCAATTAGCACTCCTTACAAAAATTAATAAGAAAAGCTTTTGTGTTTTGTTTAGGCGACTGATGTCTTTTTAATTGTTTTTATGTCATTAAATAAAAATAAATCAATGTGAAGTTTTGACTGGTGTTGTGATCTTGAAGGAAAAATCTTGAAGGAAAAAAATAAATCTTACAAGGCAAGGCTAATTTTTATTTTGAAAAGATGCATTTTAAACATTGTATAAATAATGAAACCACGAAAATCAGAATACAAGAATATTCTGCAGATTATTTTAGACGATGAATAAAAATGTGACATCAAAGAAGCAGTGCAACTACCTTTTTTGTCCCATAACCTCACAATTTAATTTGGATAGCTTGAGATAGAAAAAAAAGTTTTATATATATGTTTCTTAATTGGATTTCAGCATTTCAAAAAATATATTTTGTTGGGTCTTGAAGCGTAGATAATTTATTTATCTGGAAATTAAAAACATACTCCTGAGAATTTTTCATCACTTCCATCTACAGAGCATTGGTTTTGTTTTGTCTGCTTGAAAGCTTTGTATAAATCATAAACTTATTTTAAAATAAAGGTTTTACTTGGTTCTTATTCCATTTTTGAATTGTTCCGAAATCAAATAAACAATTTCAACTTAATTTCCACTATTGCAAATTTAGTTCTATTGAAACTGTTTGAACTTATTTACTCATAATTTATGGATCATAAAATTTTTCTCAAGCCTTTCTTTGCTGTAGAACTTTATGATATTTGAAATGTTAAAAAAAATTAAATAGAATGAGAGTTATAAGTTTTACTCAAAGCTATTGTAACTAACCTTCAGGTATGAAATGCATCCATAGTAGTTTGATATGTTCCTTATCATCTTTCTGAAGAGAAAACTTTTCACCATAATATTGCACAAATTTCTTTTTTAACGAACTAATGCTTCAGTTTTAATGAAAATCTTTAATATTTTCCATCTGAGAAGAGTAATAAACCACTCATAATATTTAAATTGAAGTTTTTAGGTAATTCCTTTCTATTCGAAATAAAAAAATGATAAGTTCTTGGTATTTAGAAAAAAAGAGATTCCGGAACTAAAGTCCAGATGTGTATTTACTAAAATTTAATTTAGGAATCTATAAGAGGATTGAAAAGTATTAAAGCTTCAAAGTTATTTATTATAAAGAAAAGTAGACAATAATTATTTTTTAGGCGTGGACAATAAAGCTGATTTTCATATTACCTACTTCCATTTTCGATATGAATACTTGGAACTTCCAAGTTGGAAGATATTCAAAGACATTTTTATTTTATATTGTTAAAATGAACATAAGAATTAGCATAACCATATGTAAGATTATTTAAAAAAGTTTAAAATAATATTTATTGACTTTCCTATAAGATTTGTAATGAATATGTTCTTTGAATGTTTGGCATGAGATCAAAATTAATTGTCGTTATGTGAATAACCTGATTTATATTTAGATAATTTAATATTTTCCGATTAACTGCAAATCTTTCAAATATAAGAAGAATTTTTATTGCAGAGCTTTTAATAATAAAAAGATTTCTCATTTCAATTTGCATGTCAATAAAAGTTGAGATGAATTGTGAATTTATAAAGTTTCCCATTTCGTGTATTAAAATTTTAAACTTTGAAAGCAATCAAATAAATTCAATAACACTCGATTATTTACTTTTCTCTGCAATTTTACTCTAAAATGTTTTTTCTTGTAATCTTTACAAATTTGAAATTTCCATTGAATTTGAAAACTTTAAAAAGTTTTGGTCGCATATGATGTTTTCGAATTGATTATTCATGAACAAGAGAAAAAGGGAATAAAAGAAGAGAAATAAAACTGAAAAAGTTAAAAATTTAGCAAATTTATTTGCATATTCGAGAAAGAATCATTTTTGTCATAATTTAACTTATTGTATGCACACATACATATTGGAAGCTTCCAATTTCACAAGAGTCTGAAAGTAGTAATAAATTGAAAGAAGACAAAAATGCTTGTATTTTAGTCTCTATTCAATAGAAAGCTCTAACAGATTGGGACATAATTTAAGTAATGACAAAACTTTTTCTACATTTAGAAAAGTGGCATACGAAAACAAGAAGCTACATAACTCTACCATCGAGCGCTTGACAAACTTTTACTTTATTATTTTCGACATGCAGCAAATTCTGCTACATTTCTTTTTTTTTGCAGTTTGTTTTTGCAGTTTTGTTATATATAAATTTATGTATGTTAGATATCAAATGCCTTTTCATTTTATGAACTATGGCTTTACTACCAAGAAGTTGCTTATAAGAACTCAAACATGATCCATGTGAACTTGACTTTATGTATTTAACATTCAAATCAAGCATGCTGGAAGGTTCAAAATTTTGGTGAAAAGGCAATCAAAAATTTTGAAATGGAGGAAGGAAATGAAAAGACTTTTGGCTTGAGTGTGTTGGTAAACAAGGGTAAATTATTCAAATTATCATTTCCGACTTTATTTTCAAACCTTTTCCGTTTGTATTTATGATCGACATAGCTTTTTTCTCTCTGTCCTTATGAAATTTGTTTCATCCAAATATTATAATCCAAAATTATAATTAAATTTTATTTGACAAACATTGGGAAGCAGCGTGAAAAGGATAAAATATTAATGAATTTAATTTAATTCAATGTTTAATGAATGAAATTCAGAATTGAAGCTAATTGAATTAATAATAATTTTTGAAGCAGATTAAAAATCATTGTGAATTAATTAGTCTCATCGTGTTGTATATAAGCACACGCTTACTTTCTGAAAAGTCCTCGAGGGGGTTTCTTTTACGCTATAATTTAAATTTTACTTAATCGCTCATTAATTACGTGTATAATTAACTATTGATTGAATAGTAGATAATATAATTCAAGCTCTTATACTACACGTTTAAGGGATCCAAAAGGATGAACATTTGTGAAAATTTTCAAAGATTTACTAGCTATGGGAGCAAATGTCGTTTGCGTCAATTTTTCATGCTTTAAGCAAACAAATCGCGTGATTAAACGACATAAATAAATTAAGCTGAAAAAAGATTTTTTTGCCTTTTTACATATATATATATCATTTTGTTAAATTGATAGATTTCTATTTGAGAAGCATAAACGACGAAGAAGCGAATTTTGCTTTTTATTTATTTAGCACAAAACCTAAGCGTTTCAAAGTATATTCAACTGTCAATGTCGTTAGAGAAGAGCATCGAACGGCAAATTGTTTACTATTCTGATTGTACAAATCCTCGCAATAGATTAAAGTCGATTGGAAAATGTCAGATTCAAGGCAAATGTTGAACAAAACTCGCCTCATTTATCTTTCTTATTTAACGATATATTTTACAACTTTTCAAAGAGCTTAGCCTTAACTTAGGCAATGAAAAGTTTTAAATCTTTCAAAAGATATGTGCGAGTAGCATGCTGATAGAAGAAGTAAAAGAAAGGAAATGCATGAGTACTGATAAAATATAATCGTGAGTTATAAATGTGTCGGATAGAAACAAAAAAATTTACAACAATAAATTTCTCTGAAGCTTATTCATTTCCTTCCTAAACGAACGCCCTCGCCTTCACTTCATTTTCTCGTTCCCGTTAATAAATTTGAATGTGGAATGTAATTCACATTGTGGGAGAAAAAGTTTTTGTTAAAAACAAAATTTAGTGCAGAATAAAATTTTCATTTCATTGAATAAATTTAAAGCAGTTAGGTACTTATGAAGTTCAAAAGCCCATAATGTCGTTGTTAATAAAATGTTTCAATCAGAAATCTTCATCATTGAATTTTTTGTGCAATAATTTTGTTTATTCTTGAATTATTTCCAATAGCAATAGTTTACAAAACAACGCCCATGAAAGTTCGACTTGGGGACTTTTATACCAAAGCTCTCAATTTTCTTTGACTCACATTTTGATAAAACTTTGATTTTGTGTCACTCTTCGAGAATAACAGTGTTAAAAAGCTGTTTTTATTGTATGTCATATACAAACTGATAACAAAAGCTCTCTACAGTTTGTTTGGTTTTTGGGAGCGTTCATAAATAATTCATTGACTGCCGCTTCATGATCAATGAAATCTCAGACAGTTTCGGGTCGTCATAGGTACACGGATTTTATGAAGAATTGTATTCTTTACCACAAAATAAACAGCTTTATTATTGTGAAATATTTTTCCAGCGTCTTGTGTTTAAGGCTTCACACGTCAAATGCTTTTCTCTCCACTACATTTTAACGGTCTAACACCCACAGTCACAATAAAACAGTTCTGTGTTGTGTATACATTTAGTAAGTGTTGCGGAGAAAGGAAAATAAGAGTTTGTTTTAAAAGCTTAACAATCGTGTTGTGAACTAATGTCAGAAGAAATAAAATGAATCGTTCGATATTCAGAACATAATCTTGTCAAATTTTGATACGAAAGCTAACAGATGAAAAGTTTATTCGTTGTTGTGCAATTGGAAATAATCAGAGACATCCGTCCGAAATCTGAAATGTTCTTAACACTTTGGATAACTGTCATCATGTTGACAATAATTTGGTTGAGCATAACGATGCGGAAGCTCGATCTTATTGATGAAATATGGCTTTGAATATCCATTGATCTTTGAGGAAATAGGTCAATTTATGTATACATATCGGAAATATCTAGAAAATGTTGATATATAACCATCGAATTTAAATTTCCGTCTATGATTTATTTACATTATCGCAAAACTTTGATGACATCGAATTTGAGATTTTTTTTGAAAGAAAATATATTACAAAATTCTCCTGGAATATTTCAATGTCTCTCCTGTATTAAAAATCAGCCCTTAAGGTTTAAAAGTTTTCTCAAACCATAATGAAATGATGTTAAAAATGATTGAAAAAGAATGTTACCGACGAATGCTGCTTATGGGTTTGTTTCTTGGGGTTTTCTTTTATGACAAAGACAAAAGCAAACATAAACTGGCCTCATGACTAAACAGTTTCGGCTTAATTTAATCGATTAGGATTATCTGATGGTTCAATACAAGATGTGACAAAATCTATTCTATTTGACTTTTGGGAATAGCTTCGTAAATTTTTTTCTAAGCTCGGTTGCCTAAAAATAGGTTTGATATAGTTGGTAACGTCATTAGCATTGTGAACTTTCAAATCCTTGAAGAAATTTTTATCAGATAACAAAATCGGATTATTGCCGTCCACACGCACATAAGTCGAAATGTTGAAGACTTTTCATGACAAAAAGAATTTCTAAGACCCTCGTATAAAGTTAGGAAGACGACAGAGATAAACAGCTCAATTATCTGATGAATCTTTACGATTTCCATAAGAAAGAGTTTGTAAAATAATGTTTAAGGAGAGAAACTTTACAGCTCTAACGATATTCTATGTCAAATGAAAGGAAAATGGTTCATGAAATCAAAACTTTTACATGAGCTAATTCTGACTGTTGAAAAGAAAATCTTCTCCCTGTTTCCTTCTTGGAAAAATACTTCTCAAGTTCGTATTATTTTCATCGACCCTTCAAATGTTATTTTAATTATATAAGTAAATTTTCGCTTTTTATTTTATGGAGGCAAATATTTGACCTTTTTCTTTCAACCAAAGAAGGCTTTGTTAAGAATAACTTTGAAATTGAAACGACTTTAAAATGAGATAGGAAAGTTCCACTTATAAACCTTCCACTTCAACTCTGAAGTGTCTTAACTTAAAAAAAATTCTAAGAATCTTCCATCCTCGGTTTTATTGGCAAATAAAAAAGAAAAGTTTCGTCCTAAGTTATGATATTTCTTCTGGTATTTTATTGAACGAAAATCTTACCATTTTGTCGAGATTAAAAGGCGACTTTTCAGAAAATAAAGCGGAGAAGAAAGATTGGAATGGAAGGACATTCTAGATGGTACTTTTCCGGATTATAAAACCGAAGCGTCAGACGTTTTATAAGAAAAATCTCTTTCTTCCACATTTACCCTCAGAAACATGAAACAAATGACAATTTATATTAAAATTAATTTTAATTTACGTCGAGTTTGTTAAAATATCTTGAAAGACCTTTCTCCATTGAGACAATGAACGGATTTTCATTCGTTAAGAGTTTAAGAAGACATTTGTTCTTCCAACCGTACCGATTATTTGATTTAATTAAATTTGATAGTAAAACCTTATAGCTAAGGGAGAAGCGTAAAAGGATTTTAATATGATGGTAGATGGAATGAAAAAGCTGTTAAAGCATCTCCACTCACACAATGCTTTTAAATATCACAAATGAAATAAGGAAGATTGAATATATTTAAATTTGCATTTTCTTTTTGTTCTCGTTTCCAAATCAATGAGAAATTGAAATTAGTGTTGGAAAATTTTTCCACAAGTTTCATTGAAAATTTTAAATGGGATTTTTCTGAAAGCGTAACGAGATTTTCTAAAGATTTTAATTATTTTTCGTCTTCCAAACAATGCTTTCGAATTGAATCGAGGTAATGATAGAATTTCATTTAAAATGCTGGAATTTCACTGCTTCCACATCTCTGGAACCCAAAACTAACCAAATCAATCAACTCATACGTGCAGTGAGGATTGTTTTTGTAAAGTTATAAAGGTCCCCTGCAATGTGATAACATTGAATGCACTTTGGAGATCAAAGATAATTCCAAACAATACCCGAGTCAGCCTATAATGAAAAATCTCATCAAATGAACCTAAAGGTGAATTATCTCTACAATGCATCACTCGTGATATTTGTTTGTTCCTAATAAATTTTTCGACAATCTCTTATCGCCAATCTCTCCAGTTGCAGTGTTACCTTTCAAAGTGGGTCTGATAAATTCTGTTTATATCCAGTTTGTCCAAAACCACTGGTGATTGCTATGTTTGGTACATTAAGTAGCTGTTTGTGGTAGGCAAATAGGAAGAATCCTTTCATTCAATGTCACATGCCTTTTAAATTTAATTAAACCGATGTCATTATGGTATTTTGTATAGTTTGGATGTGAAAAAGTCTCTTTGACGAGGAACATGTTTTCACTCGTTGATATTTAAACTCGATTGTGAAACCCATGAAAAGTGAAATTCACCCAACCATGACTGTCATCATAAAGACAATGAGCTGCCGTCAATACAAAATCTGGGCTAACCATAGAACCTTTGCACAAATATAATCCATCTTAATCAAAAGAAAATGAGATATTTACGTGTTCGTAAGGAATTCTAAACATTTACTATCAAAACCAAGCAACGCCATGTGTGGGAATTCCCCAACCTTTGATGAGAGAAATGTGATATTTCTGGAATGATAACAGCATACTACACTTTACTAACCTCAGCTGCTGTTCCACCCACAATGAGTGGAACATTTTTATGCATACACTTATCAATTTTTATAACGTTATCTGTTTCACCAATGATTGATGATGGATATGAAACTTTTTTGAAAATTTTTCAACATATTCGCGACATTTTTAATTCATTGAATAATTAATTTTCATTTATATTAAAATAATTTTTTTGTTATTTTTCTCGCTTTTTCGAACATTTTTTCTTTCATTTTGCAAAACTTCTTCTGTCAATGGACAACAAACCGTTCGTTCTCGACGATTACAAATTGTTGGAAGAATTCATTTTGCAAGTGATTTTGATTTGGAAAGCAATCTTTGTATGGCGTACAAGTTCCCATCTTATTGTTTCTCTCAATTGTACATTTAGATCATTGAATTTTAACAAATTGTTTCTACAATAAATTAAAATAAGTTGCTTATTAATTAAAGCCTGTTCCAAAATAAAACAACTTTCTCTTTTTGTATTGTTCGAAAATTTAATAACTAATGTAAAGACGATTCTTTTTATTTTAAAAGAATCCTATAAATTGAAGAAATCTTCATAGATGAATTTGTTTATTCTTTTTACAGCTCAGAGATAAGGAAAACGACGATGACAAGTCACGTTATTTATTTATGGGAAAATAAAATTCCCATGGATTTCAAGTGTATAGCTTGCAAACAAGAACAAACAAATAAAAGAAATATTTTTAAAATCATTTGCTGATAGATATTCCTGATGTTATTCTGTTAGTGAAATTATTAAAAATAAAAATCAGTAGCGTACATAAATATTTGCTCTTATTAATAAAAAGAAAATTTCTCCCTTGACGTCACTGTTTTTACCAAAACTTTGAAATTTTAATCTTTTTGCTTGTATTTGTATAAAAATTTAAAAAAAGTAAACCAAAAGTGTGGGAATTTTAAAAACGAAGCTATATTTATACTTATGCTGATAGCATTCAACACTACTTTTGTGTAGGAATTTGTTTGAGGGCTAAAGCGAAAAAAGGGAGAATGAGAGAATAAAGGAAGATGCAACACATACAACATATTCAAGAGAACATGTTCATTTCCTATAAGAGGCAACATAATAATAATAAAACAAACTACCTGAAGGTTGCAACATGAAAAGGAAGCAAAAGAAGAGAAAAAAGGGGAAATATTTATTGTAAATGCCGATGAAGGGAAAGAAAAACTTTGTTTCTCACACAAAAGGATCTTTTAAGAGTGCAACAATATGAGAGCCACGCGTTAAATAGAATTTTCCCACACTTTATTTATAGGACAGAACGGTGAATGGGAATTTCGTGTATATGAAGGGGTCGAGTTTCAATTTCATGAGAATTTTTTCTCTTCCCGCAGTATTTATGTTTTCAATTTTTAAGGCCTACAAAATTCCTTCACTTAACATTTCAAAAACAGCTCTCGTAGAGATCACATCGTTTTGTAGATTAAACAGTTAGATCGACATAAAGAAAAATTATTGGATAAAAAATGACAAAAATTCCAAAAATTACTTCCGATGGTTCAAAGTCGGAAAGCGAGCAAGTGGAAGTAATTTCTACAAATAATAATCGTAAAGTGAGCCAATTAGCAAATGAAATTCGTGCTTGGGGTACATTTTTATTGATGGTCATAAAATTTTATATTTTTTTAGAATAATTACAAAAATCAAAAGCCAATATTGGAAAAACGACGACGTGATAGGATCAATAGCAGTTTAGATGAGCTCAAGAGTATTCTCTTGGCGATAAAGCAACGTGATGTGAGTTTTATAGTTGATTAGATGTTCATATCCATTTGCTTGTGTATCTTGTAATGAAATACGCTTTCGTTATTCATTTATCATTCATGTATATTGAGATAAAACAAACGAGAATGTCATTTAAATATCTTGTGGTGAAACAAAACAAAGATTTTGGGAGTCTGTTGTGAATTACATTTCATGATACATATCTGTTTTGACTTATGTTCACATATCTTGTAAAATATTTCATACTTGGAATCTATGCAGATGTCAAGGAATTTCAACATTAATTACCATAATTTAGGAAGATGATGATTGCAAATTGATTGTAAAATATGGATTGACATCAAGTTGTGTTATTTCTACTTCGATCAACAATCTCACGTAATGTTTAAATGAATTTAAGAGATTAAACTTTGATTACATGCTCAAATTGCTTTCATTTTCCGAATCGTAAAATACCTAAATAAAAACTGAATAGGAAATTTTAAATGTTCGGAATCTAAACAAATAAATGTCTAATGAAAATGTAAAATTGAATCATATTAAATTAATAGACCTGAACATGAACTTTAGATTAGAATTATTTACTTTTCTTCAGGCTTTTCGTTATGAAATTAATATTTTATTTGATAGCTTAAACATTTCATTTCTCCATTCCTTCGGAAAGAAATGAAAGCACAACAATTTCCATAAACCAAGTCAAGTCAATCAAAGACATAAATTTGAAAAGACGTAGCAATTCATCTCTTGAGCAGAATCAGGCACAAAATCTCGTTAACTTAGAATGTCGTAAAATCCATAAGGAATGAAATTGATTTCTGTTTTGTGTACAAACGATAAATTTGATTACAAATTTTAATGACGTTGACTTGAACTTTACATGAAAATGTTATTGACGATGGTGAAGTTAATTGAAATTTTATTTTTATTTTCTAGCCATTGCGATATGCACGCTTGGAGAAAGCTGACATTTTGGAAATGGTTGTAAAACATCTTAAAGATATTAAGAAACGAAGACAAGCAATGATAACAGCTATGGAACCAATTCTTTTTCGGAGCTTTAAAATGGGTTTTATGGATTGTACTCGAGTCACAATCGATTTCATTAAAGAAATGGAAGTTGAAACACCAGGGAGTAAGAAGCAGGAAATTATAGATCACATCACAAAAGAATGCGTCAAAACCTTTCAAAATCACAGCCCACCAGCAGAATTTAGAAAACATCATGAAAATGCTTTTGCTAATGTGAATCCATCAGATCAGTTTTTCCCATTCTCATTAATGTCAACGTCATTTGACAGTGATATGGAGTGGCCATCACTAGAAGAAAGACTTGGATTTTCTCCGATTGAAAAAACAAGTTTTCTTCTTCCAGACATAAAACCTTTACCCGAATTGATGACTTCATCTTTTCAGAAAAGTGAAGACCGACGTGTCAGTGCATTTAATATTGTGAGTAGAGTCCCAAATTTACAAAATACTAACTTGGAGTCTCCATCAACGTCAGGCACATCTGCGTCAATTGATGATACCCCCAAGAGATCCATTTCAATTCATTATGACACATCTGATGACGAAGACGATAACGATGATGATAATGATGTGAAATTAATCATTGATGATCCCAATAACAATCAAGCGACATGGAGGCCATGGCTTTAATTGCATAATTAATCTATCACTTGATTTGCTTTTACTCAATTATAATAAATACGCAGCTTTAAATTTAGATTTTAACAAACGCCTTGTAATTTTAATGACGAATGAGTTTTTTTTCTCTAACATGTTTGTTCTGTGATTGATTGCGAAAATAAAAAATAAACTTGAATTAGAATTTATATCATCACATATTTCAAATTTTGAATATTTAACAACACGCTTGGAGGAATTTAGCAATTGTAAACTACAATTCAATTACTAATCAGCATTATTAATTGAATTATCAATTATTGATTAATATAAACCAGCTAGTTGACAACTAGTACAATTTATTAAGAGAGAATCAAAAAATTTGTTGATTAGTTTCAATTAATTAAGGCTGTCAATATTTTTTAATGATTCAATTTCCAATTTTCCAAAACAGTAAATATTATGATACATAACTGGAATTATATATATCTACAATTATAATTTGATAACAATTCATAAAATAAATTTTTCTTGAAGTGAAATGAAAGAAGGAAAAGTTTCACCATAAAATTTTCATTAAACAAAAGGAAAACTATTGTATGGTAAGAAATAAAAAGAAAAATGATAAAGTTTATGGCGTGTTTATCACTGATAGTTTATGTTTCATGCTATAAATACAGAGCTACACTATCCGAAATCATCTTTCTTCAACTTAGCACTTTTCCTTAAGTTCAACTGAAGTGAATGAAAAGCAATTTTTCATGGTGTCGCTGAATAACCGGAAGAGATAAAAATTATGATTTCTTGTGGACAGAAAGAAATTAAAAACTTTTCAAATGAAAGCAAAACAAGCGAGAGAAGATCATAAAACACAATTATTACATAATTAAATTGAAAAGTTTTTCTCTTGATGTGATAATTCTGGATCACTTTCCATATCTATTTATGTCAAGATCTTTTAATGTCAAAGTTTAATTGCAGATCATAAATTTCAAAGGTATATTCCAATTATGTTAAGTTTGACCCTATTAAAACCTTGCCAAGGGTCATCAAATTTTGTTAAGCAAATGTTCAAGCCTAGCCACAGATATAAAAAATGGGTGTTTTGTCTCAAAAAATATTTCAACCAAATAGCATCGTAAAAAAAGATATATTCTAAGAAAAATATATTTAAATAATCTCATGCCTCGAGAGAGATTTTTAAAATTTACCTAACAAACCCTGAAATGCTCTTTAATGATGATACATTGTCAATTCAAATTTCTTCCTCAGGTTACCTTCGATTAGATTTTTTTTATTCTGCTTCGTAAATGTTGTGAGGGAGGAAATCTTGGTACCTAATATAAAGTCATAAATTTATATTTATAAAATGAAAGCATTTTCACATACTCGCATTGAAAAATTCTAACATATATTTATAATACGCTATTATCCGAGCTATTTTACCATGAAAGCACAAAACATGCAGCAGCAGAAGTGAAAACAAGAGCAAAGTAATAAATTTTAATATTTCACTTTTCTCTATGAGTTTTGAATTTGAGTTTGAAATAAACAAACAAATGTAAAATAAAAAGTGGATACATGAATTTTATTGCACTTTCATGTTTATACTGTAATAAATTTACCCAGCAAATGCTTGAAACATTTTGTAATTAAATTTAGAAGCGGCTTGTTTCATTCCTTAAACCTAAATTTTATATCATTTTTCAGAAAAGCTCTTGAGTGACGCTATTGTGGAAGTGATATTTATTTACAGTGAACTTGTTTACTGTTCAGCTACTTTGGAATAAGAGGGATTAAAGCTCGTTTATATCATTCATCATAAGTAAAGCTTACATGTGGAAGATTTGTGTGAGATCTCGTAATGATATGTATTTAAGAGAATGGGAACGAAATATTTAAATTTAGTTGAATTGATATAGTAAAAGGAGAAGTTGAGAAATCTCATTTAAAATTTATGTACTCGAATTTACATATCACATGCCTAGAGGCAGACGAACAACCTAAGATTCAAAGATGGAAATCTTACAGCATGATTGCGTTACAAAGCCAACCAGTATCTTCACCTTGATAGCTTTCCAAGGTGTCTATGTTTTCTATGTAATTTATGCCGTCAAACTTCCACGATCGTGAATTATATTCTGAATTTATTTCGTTAAATTTCTATGGAAAATGTTGAAATTCTAATTCGTATTTTCATCTCATGACAGGAGAAAATATGGAGAGATGAGGATGAAGAAAAAGAAGAATAACGCAAAAATTTTCCGCTAAATTTAACACCAACGTTCGTTTGAAATGCTTTTACGCCATTTACGATTTCATTTCATTTTGAACTTCACTGTATTTAAAGCGATGAACAGCGAGTAAGAAAGAATAAAAGCTCTCATGAGTCATGTTACAAGGCAAAGTTCGAAATTATCGTTTGAATTGGTAATAACTATTGTTAGAGGTGAACCGAAACATGTGTCAATTGAATAACATAGAAGGTTGAATTACCACAAATTGAATGACTTCATGCTTTTAGGAAAAAATTTCTGTTTTCCACATGAAGAAAAGCAAAATGATTTTTATTTCTTTTCTTGTTTTTGGAACATCTCGGGCATACTTTCATTGAAAAGTCAACAAACCAAAAAAAGAGAGAATTCTATTTCAATTAAATAAATTAAAGTGTTCACAAATGAATTTAGGGTTCAAGTCGTCATATTACTGCTTATATGGATCCTAAATTCAGATGTTTTTAACCAAAGGTTATGGATTAAAACAAAACTGGGAACCATGTTGTTTTGAAACTCTCATTGTGGAAGAATGAACACAATTCTCCTTTTCAATCTAAGCTACATCAAGATATTATTAAAAGCAAAATGCATAGTAAAGCTCATTGAAGATCTACAAAGTAATGTGAGGGAATCATCTTTCAATATTATTTCATTTCATCAACTTTAAAATAATTTCCTTAGTTTAACATTATTTCTGGATAGCTCTCGGGTGCATTCATTACTTGATGAAAAGAAATTAAAAAAAAGTACCATTTCGCTTTTTCTGCTTTCGAGTTTGAAGCTGGAAATATGAATTTTTCAAGGTATTTATTTCGTTGTTACAGATCCTGAATCTACTGGTGATAATTTTTTTATTCTTTCGTTCATTGAAAGTTCTTCTTTAAATATGAATTTTTCTTAAATAAATTAAAATGCGTATAGAATATCATGCTTTTAGTTAGTTGATCCTGAATATCTATATAGAAATACATATTTTCTTTATTTGTTTATTCATGTTACAAAATCTAAAGACTTACTTTCTTTGATATTCAAAATATAAAACTACTTATGTATTCGAATTGGATTTCTTTGAATATTGCTTAACAATTTCTTTTGAAGACCTTTCTTCCATTTGAATAAATCAAGTGAAAGCTAAAGTCATGGTGTGCCTTTGATCTTTATTTTGAGTTGTTTTTTGAAGAAAAAAGTTTTCATTGTATTGGAAAGAAATTGTCAGTCATTGCGCAAAAAATCTGGTAATGACTCCTTTTTGATAACATTTTCAATAATTAATTTTTTAAATATAAATTTAAGCTTCTTCATTCAGATTTTTCTGAATACATAATAAAAAAGTTCTGCGAGGCTTTAAAATTACATTCATTAGGCCTAATCCCAGTGAAAGCACATAAGATTTAAAAAGCCATAAAAGTCATAATCATTGTATCGTTGAAGTTCATAAAAGAATGAAGCCATGTAATTATTTCGCTCCTAGCTAAATTTGATTTTCTTTCCACGACTTCAATTTATGAAACTTTAATGCTTTCATTTTCGGAATTCGTAAGAATGTTTGTATGACTGAACCTAAGCATAACTGAAAATTAAATCCATTTTGTTGCATTTAGAAGAGCAAATTAATGATTTTAAATACTTGAGGTCTTCAATAAAATTCTTGTGGCTGCTTTTGAACAAAAGTAAAAGTTCTGAGAAAACTTCTATAATTTATGTACTCAATTGAATGTTCGATTGATTCATTTCATTCCGTAGATTGATTGAAAATTCAAAAGTTTGATTATAAAAATGAATTTGAAGGAAGGAATAAATTTATAAGTTTTCAAATTAGATATCTCTGAATATAAATCGATCAAGAAAATGCAAGCCAATCAATTTCAATTATCTGAACTAACAATTAACATTAAATGAGATAATAATTGAATTCGTTGACATTACGTCACGATGAAAAAGTATTGAAGATGATAAAAAATTATACCATCAAATTACATTGCCATTATTTCCACCTTTAATCTACCCATTCATACAATCAAGGCCCGATATTTCTTCCTTGATGTTTAATCGATAAACGTCCTCCTCCCTCCACTTATAAATGTCTATATACATACAGACTTTAGACAAAGCCGAACATAAGTTTTCTGAATGAATATTGGCCAAAGATAGCAAATTGTGAACACAAAAACTGTCTGAAAATCCTAATGGCTTTCATTGTTTGACCTAAAAAATAGAGATAACAATGGACAAAGATAAATAATCGATAAATATTCATTCTGAGGTAATTTAATTTCTATTGGAGAAGTCGGAAAATAAAATGAAAGGTAGAATTCAATTTATTGGCGAAATTTCACTCTTCAAATATGAGAACAACTGGAAAAGTATCTTCAATCCAAAATTAAGTTACAGCTGACGTTGAAAATGTGTTGCATGGCCCTCACAATTAAAACAACTGCTGATGACATCATTAATGCCAAGTCCCACTAGTATCGCGGTTAATAGAAATCAATTTACATAAATTTATTTAAGTAATTCAACTATCGAGATTTCGTATCTACAGCAATCACATTTATATGTGCATGATTGTTGAAAAATAACAACAAAAATCACACATAGATATTTTCTGCTCCGTTGAACATCGCTTGGGATTACTGAGACGAGATAGCTCCAAGAATTTTATTTCTCTGTAATCGCTTATCATAAAACCTAATGACATAAACGCTTAACTGCTAAGCATTCCAATTGCAAATTTTCACAGCTTTCGACATAATTGGATATGAAATAGAAAATAAGTTCCGAGAGTTTATAAAGAGATTATAATTAGATCTCATTACAATGTTGAATGAAATATTAATTTAATATCCAACAATTTGACGCTTTCTGTAAACCTTCCCCAATATGATACAAAATAATGTTTAATCTAAAAAGCATTCATGAGGATGTTGAGGTTTTATTTCAACCATAATAAAGAGAATTTTATTTAAATTTAAAAAAAGAGGGAATCATCAAAAATTAATTAAAGTTTCGCATTTGTTTCACAAAAAAAAACAAGAAACAAAATTAATTTAACTTTTATGATTGCATGAGAGAAATATTTTCCGAGTTTCAAAACACTTTGTGGCTCTTTTCCTTTTACCAGATAGAAGGGTCAAGGCATGAACATCAAAACAATGAAAAAAATTCGTGGTATTTAAGCAGACACTGATGGGATAGAAGTCTAATTATTTAGACTAAAGCTTGACATGATAATCAAATTGAACTTAATCAAAAAGAGGTTTCTTTGAAAAATAAGGAAATGAATGTAATTTCTTTTTTTTTCATTTTAAATCGATCCAAAATTTATGTCAAAAAAGGTAGCAAAAAACAAATTTAAATCCTTAAAAAAAGCAACAGCAGTCATAACATGCAAACTCAATCATTTATTATTGAAGCTCAAATGAAAACGTGCGAGAAATTGCTCAGATATTGTAATCCACTGAAAGAGTTCTATCTATTTTTGCTTTCGAGAACGCAGATTTCATCCATAAATTATCTGAAACTGATCAATAAATCTCTTTTAAAGAGAATATATGAGAAATAGTAAAAACGACTCGTTCCCCTTCTCAGCACTTAACTTGTTACAAGCAAGGAGAATAAAATTCAAGGAGGGGAAAGTTTGCGAAACAAAAATCAATTTTGTTTCTGAAGTTTACGAGTATTGATGTAAGCACTCGAAAAAGTAAACATGGCACTTCAATATAATACCAAAGCGAACAGGAATTGACAGAGGCAACATTTTAACAATTTCTTTCGATAAGTCACTGTAAACATACACAAATATCTACTTAACTTAGCTCCAATGTCTGCTATGGGGTGGAATAAACTTCGTTTCTATAATCGTAAGATACTAAACGATGTTGTTTACCTTCTCGAGCTTAATCATAACAATTTTTCGCTCTCAATCAGCCACAAAATTTGTAAAATAAACAAGCGTGTTCGAAAGAGTTTCGACAATTGCGAGAATTTTCAAAGTTAAAATATGGAAAAGTTTTTTGAAAATTGTTTAATATGCCGCATGTAATGAATATGGTATTTCTCACTATTAAGCTTAAAGTTTGAAATTTCAAAGTAAATAGAGGTTTTGCAGACGTAACAAGCTTTTATTTAGCATGTTTCAGCAAGCTAACAAGGAATTGAATTTCTTTAAATAACCTTTCATAATAAAACTGTACGTTTAGTCTTTAATGGACTTTGAAACTCAAACATGTAACATAGAAAAACTTTTTCTCTTGGCTAAAGTTAATAAAAGGAAAATTTTGAAATTTTTATTATTTTTTTAATGTACAAGTGGCTTTAAATATATGATTGATGGTGATATGTAAGCGATTCCGTCTCATTTAAGTTTCATAAATGAAATTGACAAAAAAATTTAATGATATCATCCCCATTAATCCATTAAACAATGTGTATGTGTTTGTTTATCTATAGAATAATTACCGAGACATAACCGAATATCAACCGCTGATGCAAACAATCTGATATTTGTTACAATGTTTCATAAGTGTATATAGATATTTATGTGCACATAAAAACTGATTGATGAGTGATGTTACATTATTGAGGTACAGGAATGAGTCGGTTTCATATAATTTAATTGGAATTATTATTCCATAATTTCCAGCTATTGAACACGCTTATGAGGTTTTTCCATTGTGGCGAGAATTTTTATTTTGTGCTTGTACTGTTTATGAGCTTGACTGACCGCAATTTTCAGTTCTGGGTCAAAGCGCGGAAAGTGATAAATTGTACAACATTTTGTTTTCAGAATAACGAGTGAGAAAGGAATAAAAAATAGAAGAAAACTTGATGAACTCTTTCTCACAGCAACAACAATGAATCAGATGCTGATATTTTTTTTGTTGACTATGTTCCAATCAATTGCATTGCTCGATCTACAATGAAATGAAATCTATCATTCATGACGAAAATTGTTATGAATATACTGTCAGACAAATACAAACATATTTGTGAAGAAAAAAAAACAGAAAACGAGAAATTCACAATTTTTCTATAACTCTTCAATTGCACAAAAAGTCGTCGAAGCAATTAATCTGTTATTTGAAGTTTGAACCATATGGGAGCATTTAATTCAAACTGGTGACCGATGAAGAGAAACTTTTCTCCCACACACAAAAAAATATTGAAATACTTCAATTGCATTCCACTGTTTGTCATTTCCAACGACGATGCTTTTCGAAAGCGTGACTGAAATAAATTTTGTAGATAAATTATTCTCTCTTGGTCACTTCGTTTTAGTCTGCACATGGAAGCTATAAGAACGATATTAATGACCGCCGTCATCGTCGATTAAGAATCAAAATTAAACGCTTAGAATTCGAATCACCAGCTTTAGCTTTCAGCATAAGCTTGTAAGGATTTTAATTAATGACTAAAGATTTTTTTCTTTCTTTTAATTCCCATACAAGTCATTATTTCGGTTCGTTAGAAACGTAACTGACGACATCCAATGAAATATGTATGAGCATGATATGCAACAAGGATAGAAGTGTTAAGACAATTCATTTAAAGTTACATGCCTAAGGTCATGCGACTTTAACACATTAATCAACCCACTCAACCCTTACCTTCGATAGGGTTGAGATTAATTGTCAATCTTGGTCAAATCTCTTCTTAATTGAACCAATTCTTCCATGGCAGACAGAATTTCAGCTTTAATCTTTCTTTCTTTTTTTCAATTAGATTAATTAACCTGATTTTTCTTTCCATTCATGTCTATCAGGATGAAAAAGACCATTTCGATTAATTAAAGATTCGCATTAACAGAAAACAGCTGAAATAGCTTTTTGTTGATACTCCCTATATTGCTTATTCATTCTCTTTTGTTTTCGATCGAATGAAATTGAATTAAGCTTCAGTTAAATGACTCAGGAATTGGAGTGTTTGTTAAATGATGAAGGCGGATGGATACAAATACAAAGCAAACGAGAACAAGACGAGACTAAACTATGGAAAGTGATTAGAAGCTCTTAAAACGTGCATAAATTTTTTTATTTATTGCCTGAAGATTTTTCTTTCTTTTTTGAATGGAAAGAAATTTTCCTCTCGTTATCTTCGTCATCGATCGATTGGAGATTTTTATATTTGAATACTTTCTTTCGATACCTTCGAGCTTTAGATCTTTACGTTTAAAACGTGCTTTGAATATTTTGTTAGCGGTAGTGAACATAAAAAAAAGATTTCGAAGGATATTTAAGAAAAACGTAGATAAGTAGGAAAAGTGAAAAAAAGAGAAAAATTCTGATAAATTTATTTAATGATCTGAATCTTCTAGGGGAAAGGGAACAAATTGATGAACGCTTTTTAGTCTTATATTCAATTCAATTTAAAGCTCTCAGAAAGTAAGGGACAAAGAAGCAAATCAATAAATTTCTAAAATCACAATCTTGGATATTCCAATTCAATAATTTTGAAAAGTTATTTTTACGATCCATATGAATGAACGACAAAGCGAGATGGCTAAAGATGAAAATATTTTCTATGAAGACTCGTGCACTTTGTGCAAATTGTTGTCGTCTCTTCTTGAAAAACGCTGATAGAATTTATTTTTCATAGCAACAGCGCTTTCTGAGGTTCTTGGAGATGCAACAGTTTGCACATAAATCTGTAATCGTCTTTAATATCAATTGGTGGGGATTTCAATTTCGTTGAATCAACTCAGCATGATTTACAGTTTTCATTTTTAACTCAAATTCTTAGACGCTTTTAACCGTATGAATGATATCGCAAAGTTCCAAAACACTTCCATCTACACACAATAGTCTGAAATCCATAAAGAAGGGTGGAATACTTTTAAGCTAATGAAAGCTTTGAAAATAGTAACAAAAGGTGAAGCATTCTTCGCCATTCAAAGCGGGCTCAATAATTTATGGCTTTTTAACAAACATAAAAAAGTATTTTTGATAATTTTCCTTTATTATTTCATAAGAAAGTTTTTCCCTTCATTTATTTATTCTCTCTACAAATGCGAAACTTATCTTTTCCTCTCGACCTTCTTTTCCTGTTCCTTTTCCACTTCCGCCCATCAAAAATATTTCTCGAGTCTAAATATAATAAAATTAACAATAATGCCAAGAAGGGATCGCATCAACATCGGCTGTTTCCATAAAATAATACTGCCCTGAAAATCTAATAAATGCGTATTATACGGCAATCTGAGACCTAATAAATAAATCAATAAAAACTACATCTCGCTGTGATGGATTCTGAATTCACTTCGCCATATGTTTTGGACGATTTTTTACTGCTTATCAGTCTGGGAATTCGAAAACAAAGAGAAGAGAACTGAATTTGAAAAAGCTTCCTGTGTAAATGATTGATTAACTCATCCAATGGGAGACCAAAGCAACATTACTCAATTTTTTCACGTTAGCTCATGTATTATGGTTTTGAAACTTATTAAAATCTATGATGTTCAAATAATTTAAAAGAAATCATTGCGGATAAGAGAGAGAGAGAGAGAGAGAGAGAGAGAGAGATAGATAGAGAAGAGAGAGAAGAGAGAGAGAGAGAGAGAGAGAAAAAGAATTTTTTCATGAATCCTTTTCAAATGGAAAAACAAAGAAAAACCAAAATAATAAGAAAATTTACTTAAAAATTCCAACTTTTATTAATGGAAAACAATGTCAGAAAACAATTTACTATTCTCCCCTTATGAACATTCATATATAAATATTTTATTCGTTTGCTGTCAGAGTAGAATTCTCTGCTTTATTTTATATGTGCACCAACAACAGTAGCATCAGCAGCAGCCGTCGCATGGCTACTGGGGATGGAGAAAAGAAAGAAGAGAATAAAAACTAACCAAGAGATTTATATTTACATAATTTTATTTATGACTTCAGTAATTTATAAGTAGACAAACATTATCAAGGATATCCAGTAAGAGCTTGGATTATGTTTACATTAAAGTAAACAGGAAAGCCACAAAAGACCTAGTAACATCAAACATGAAACCCAAAACACATTTCAGAGAATCACCCGAGAAATGACGTGTCATTTTTTCTTATTTCTATCAGATGCTTCCGTTATTGTGTTGATCCCAGGAAAATGACTCATTTAAAGTTCCCCTAAAAGCAGCAACGACAAAGGGCAATAGCAAGAAGAATGAGAGGCTTTACAACTAAGCCACATTCGCCAATTAAGCTTTTCCACACAATCTCCAACCGTTAGTTACTACAACAAATTGTATTTGTCAGCAGTAATACTTGTTGTTTAGCTTCGAAAATTCTCACATAAAAAAAGATTTGCGATTCATAATTTCACAGCCAATTCACGCTTCAAGCTACCATTTCGTTTGCCTTCCTTCATTTACCATTGATGTGCAAAAGATTAATGCCAATGAATAAATTTCCCTAAAAGGTCCATCAATATTTCTGTCCGAGCAAGCAAATTTCTCCCCTCGAAAGTGAATGGAGAAAAAACCTTTTGAAAATTACCCTCATTTTGAAACGGGTGAACTTTTAATAATTGCCATCGACACCCGAAGAATACACAAACATAAGAAGGGAAGAAGATATTTTTGTCTGAATTGGCTCGTGTCAAAAGTCTTGTATATGAGAGAAAGAGGGAAGGCTGAAGGTCTTCCGATAGCTGATGATGATGCGGGTGATGGGGGTAAATTTGTTTCAATGGTCTAAGTGCCTGTACATCGGATAAAACCCCAATAGTAGAAAATCCTCTATTCATTTATTTTTGTTGCTCAGCTTGTAATTGCTGATGTTGGAGGAAAATTTCATTACGAGATGTTAAGTTCAGAATTAGAGACAAAGAGAGAGAGAGAGAGAGAGAAACATAAAAAGGGGTTGATTACTCGATTCTTCAAAGCATTTGTTTTCATCCTTCAACATGACCTAGCTAACTAAAACAATCTCAGATTAACATTTCGTTCGCTTTTTCTTCCTATTGTCTCATTCTCGTCCATCTAAACGAACCGCTTGTCCTTTATCTTTAATTTTGAGAATTTAAAACAAAAACCTCTTTGCACACCCTAAGTAATAAATTATGCTGTTTGCCACCTCAAAAAGCGTCCAAATGATTCTCTTACAGAGGTTCAAAGCAAGAAAAAAAACAGCGAGAAGAATTACCCCAAGACTGTAAAACCCTACAATGAATTAAAAATAAATGGTATGAAAATTATCGCCGAAATTAGAGGATGAAAGAAAGCTGAAAGAAAAATGGTAAAAAAAGACTTTTCCATCGTCGACATTTTTTTTTCTTTTATCATTTTTTTATTTATTTCTTATCTTTCATGTTTCAAAATATAAAAATTTTTCATCTCATTTATTGGATTTTATATAATTTATTTCTTCTTATCCAATTTCTTTTGTGGTTTTTCTATTTATCATTAGAATCTATTGCGGATGCTTTGTTTCTGCTTTACGAGGTCAGAGATTGGGAGGAAACCAAACGAGAAGGGAATTAGTAAGAAAGAATTTAATTAAAAAAAAATTTATTTCATTGCATGATAACGCAAAAGTGTACACTAAAGAACGTTGGTGGATGGAGAAATATGCGATATCATTTTCTCTTCACCGAGCGTCGAGTGAAACAATGTGAGATGCTTCTTACTTAATCACGAAGCAAGTTTCTTTCTCTTTGAATGTCATGCGATACGCGACTCACTGAAATTAAGAATTTTCTCCGCTCCCGTTTTCCCCATCCTGACAACGCATAGCGGTCCGCTTTTAAATTACATTCATATCTCATCTGGGCTTTTGTTTCGTGTTCATTAAAAGGGTTCCCATTTCACTTTAGACTCTTGTGTAGCACAACACGTTTACACTTTTTTCTGTGTGAATGTTTACGTTTTTCTTCTTGTTTACGTTTTTTTCCTTTTAAATTATGAGTCTTACCGCTTTCTTTATGTTGCGCTTCTCTCTTCTTTTTATACATAAATAAATATCTACGATTTCTGTGGTATTTATACATAATATTCATAAATATCCTTATTAATACATTTTCTGTTTTTAAAGGGTGAAAGAAAGCTTCAGAACTTTTTTTTTTTCACTTTATAGACTTTCATGAATTATTTAGGAGCAAGCATAGGGGTTGTCACTAAGTAATGTTGGAAGTTTCTTAACCATGGTTAAGATACCACGAAGTAAACTAAACTTACGAAACCATTTCCCATCCCTATGTAGCAACATAAGCAACCAGAGAAAAGTTTATTTCATCATAAAACCCAAACCTAAGCGGTTCCTTTGGCTGGAAAATTGAATTTTTGTGTCCTTGTGTCTTATGATTATAAAGATTGATAGGAAACAGAGAAAACTTTTTCGTTTTTGTTGATCCTTCCTTTATTGTGCCTGGGAGACGAAGTGAAATAAATGGGGAAAATTATGTCACATGATGATATGACCAAGAAAAATTTAAACTCTTTGTTTGTTTTCTATATTATTAGTTTTAACCACTTTCATCATTTGAGATGATAATATCTACGAAGATTAATTATTAATAATCTAAAAGGAAGGTTTTATTTTGTAGGATTTCAATTAATTTTTTTTTCCTTTTTGTTATTATATTTTTCTAAGCGTTAGGAAAATTGTTCAGCACAGTGTTCAATACACAGTTGGAATTTATTACAGGTTATTAAAGTCGAAGAATAAATAAGAAAAAAAGAAGGAATATCTAGTGAAGCTAAGGCCACATTATGTTTTCATTACAATTTATTATTCATGATGATGAAATACTAAGTCGCATATGTACATCTTAAATTTTTCTCGAAGTTTTTACTTCGAATGTGGCTTTTTCTGTCTCGCCATCAAGTTTCAATTTGAATGACAACAATACATTGACTCCAACAGTTTATGAAGCTTCGACTATTGGACAATTCTATAAATTGGATCAAAATGCAGAGCACACGCCATCAGTAAATTCGAGTCGAAAATTTTAAGCTGTGACGTAAGAACATTTAACAAACAAACTGTGCTCGAAACTTGAATAAGAAATGTTTTAAGTATTCAGAATGAAAAGGAAACTAGGTAGAAAGATGAAATATTCGTGTATGGGTAAATGTAAGTGAGTGTGTGACAAAATTATTTTCTATTTGTTATAATCATTAATTATTTTTCATGATAAGTAGATAACTTTGTTCTATCCCATTATACTTTTTGTGTTTTTTGCTTCAGTTCTTCTTTTTTTTTGTCTCTTACAGGAATAGATAATCAACACATTTGTGTTATCATCCATGATTATGTGGTGAAATAAAGTTTTCTTTTTTATCTACTTCGTTTTTTTGTTTTTCTTTTATTTATTTCTCACGCAATTTATTTAAATGCTTGTTTAGTCACTGACAAGCTGGTTATCAAGTTAGATGAAGCCGTAGAACAAAGGAATTAAGTAATTCGTGGAGCTTTTGCTGTCAAGGGAATTTAAAGCTTAATTTAGGGAAATTAACTTTTTTTTTCTTTATTATTAATAGCATCGTTGATTCGGAGAAGCCGTGAAGACGTTCGTTGCTGTTCTATTCTTATATTCAAGACTTGAAATTAAAATTACTCTTTAAGTGCAATGAATGAACAGTTTAAGTAAATTAAAAAAAACTTTAGAGAACTGAACTTTGATCTTATCGTCAAAGTTTTTGAATTCTTTTTCATTTTCGATAGTTTGACATTCATTCGATTCTTTCTTTCTTTTTCTATGTTGGTTATCAGAAAAATCATCACCTTTTCTCGTTGTTATTGACGAAAAAGTTTTTTTATCTTTTTCAGGTTTGTTTGTTTGTTGTGAATCGAATTAAAGTTTATCTTGTTCTTGAGTTTGTTGTCATCGTATTAGGGAGGGAGAAAGATAATCTTTTCTATAAATAAAGCTTTTATTATTTTCACTCAACATGAGATTTTGTTTTTCTCCCTCCCCGTCTCAAACGATTTTCCATTGCAATGGACGATCATACATTCTTTGGCTTTACTTTTACATAGAAATCATTAATTTAGAAAAGCGCCTTTCACTTGGGTTTCTCAGTAAAAAATGAATATGAAAAGAAAATACCAAAGAGAGAAAATTTTTCGCAAGAAAATGGGGGAAAGGAAAATAATGAGACGTGCAAATGAAATTAAAATTCTCGACACAGCTTACCAAAAAAAAAATTAAAGACGAAAAGAAAGCTCTTCCATATATTTTTATCTCGTTTTTTTCCTTACTCACAATTTCTTTCGATTTAAATCAGTTAAGCACTTCGCTTTTCTTGTAAACGACGGCAAAGAATAAAACAGTCATTAAAATATAGAATAAAAAAAATTGAAGCATCTTAAAAACTTTCTTCCGTTTGGTGCTAAATGCTTTGAGTATTCATTTTATTTACTTTTCATTGGGGGTTGTTTTAGATATTATGTCGCGAATATTCACTAATAGTGATATTTTTATAATATACGAATAATTCTATACTTTAGTTAACAAATCTAACTTAAGACTGTGTCAATTTCATAAAATAACTAATCAAAATAAAAAATTGTTTATTCGTCTTGACGTCATTTAGATATTGACAATTATTCACTCTTCATATTTACTTTTACTTTTTTCCTTAGTTTACACAACCTTAACAACAAAACCAACTCCCCCTTTTAAAATTGTTTTCTCACCAACGCAAACGCCATTGCCATACCATCATCGTTGTTATCTTTCAGCACCAATTTTAATTTTCTTCTTTCGACAAATTCGCTCTTTTGTTCCGTAAACGATATGAGATAAAAGACGATAAGGAAATTGCGTATAAATAAGAGTCGAAGTCGTATTCATTCTTTTTGTATTGAGAAAAAATACGAAAGTTATTGGCAAATTTGTAGGCAGTCAGAAAAAAAAGAAAAATAAATATCTACAGTTTAATTTCTTCAAATATAAAATTAAAACAATACGAGCTTTTTCTAATGTAAAAACTCTTTAGAACTGATAATGAATTTAATAGAAATATAATCTCAACCGAATAAGAGCGTAGCTCTTGACCACTTCACACAATGTTAATTAAAATTATTGGCAATATAAGGTTTACTTATTGTAAAGGACTATGACTGTAAAACGAAAAGAAGAGTAATGATAAAAGCTTCTATGTCAGTCGATATCTTAAATCGTTTCCACGGAAATGGAAGAAGAAAATGAAAGAAAAAACATTCTCAATTACATAATCTTCTTTCTTAAATGATGAAAGTACGAGGGTGGACCCCGACCAACAAACAATAAATACAAAAGAATTATCGTAAAATTACAAGTAAATTTCATCATCTTAATCATTCCTATTACTATAACAAATTGAAATCGAAGATTTTGTGAAAATATCTATTTAATACTGACTTTGAAGCTTTTTGTCGATTCCGCCTTTTCGTTGATAAATTACTTTGTGTCGACGGTCATTCGTCCCACAGGCATTGTTGTTTTTGTCTTACATAATAGCTGAAATTGCTACATTTCCGACACGTCTTAATGCCACATCGATAGCTCGAGTTGATTTGATTATTGTTTATTGAATTGTTGTCAATTTTTCCTTTGCAGTATTTTAAGCCGCAGGGAAACCATCCGATACAAAGTTCTAATGAGCAAATACATGGAGCCCATATACCCGAAACCTCATTGCAACGGGACACGCTGGTTTGTTGATGATTCGATTGTACGTGCGGAAAGGACGTTACTGATGACTCGAGTATTGACATTGATGAGCCTGCGGTGATAAAAGAAACGGAAAGAAAGCAAAAACTGCGGATTAGATTACAAATCAAAAGCTCAAATATAAAGTCATTAGTTTTATTTAGTTTCATTGTGAAGTTGTTTCTTTCGATTGATTAAACACTTTTTCTTTTTCTCCCATTTTCTATTCGAACAACCACCAACATTGCTGTTAAAACATTTTTGATTTCGCTTGCTTCATAAAATAGAGAGCGAGAGTGAAAGAAGAAATAAATTTGTCTCGAATGTTCAAAATGTATTTGCCTTTTATACTCTGATGGAGACTGATCAAATATTTATCCATCGCTTGGGATTAGCAATCATATCACAAATCTTTTTTCTCTCTGTTTCACAGGAGAAATAAAAAAAAGAATGTTTGTTCAATAGATTTGTCGTCGAATGTAGGATAAAAACCGACAGAAGCAAAAAGAAATAAAAAGAATAGAAATTACCATAAAAGCATGGAAGAGTGAGAGAGTGAAAGAAAAAGAATTTCATTCGAGTATTGAAAGAAGGGAAAAATATGGCGATGGTAGATTCAGAGTCTGGAACTTGAGAGTTTCATGTTTCCATTTTATGTATATATTTTATTTGAATAAAAATTCTATTTTTGGATGAAACTGGTGAGCTTTTGTGGTAAGAAATGAAAACCTTTGGATTTTGAAGTTGTTTGCATTGTAGAGGATTATTGCGAGTGTTCTTGTGTATCGACACATGAAACCAAAACATTCTCATATATGATTCGATATAAAATTTGTTCATAAAACAAAGTTAGAGGTAAAGAGATAGTAAAAATCTTTTCTATAAGTATTTACGTGATATCTGCAACTGTTTTATCAAAATGGAAGATTGCGCAATTCAATACTATCTGTGATAAGAACCTTAACTTCCCATTTCAAACATACAATGAGATTTCATAAAATCCAAATTGAATTCGCAATGCTTTGAAAACATTTTCAAAGACGGGTGATTGACCATTGCCGACCCATTAGTTGTCGTACAAACACTCTATTTGAATTTTCCATTCCTACTTTTGTGTTATGTATATTTGCAAGCTTTTCACAACTTTCATGTTAAGTCTTAATTTTTAATAGGTTTGCATAACAAATATTATTGCAATGAAATAAGAATTACCTTAAAAGATATTCAAACCAAATTAAAGATGAAAGAAAAATTATTGAAACTTTTCTTTTCTTCATTCTTTTTTTTGCGCTAAGCAAAGCAGATCTTTTATTTAAGAATTATAGAGCAAAAGTTGGCAATGAAACTTAGTTCAACTCACATTGAAGTCACGAAAAATAAAACGACAAAGAGAGAAGGCAATAAAAAGCAATAAAAGTTTTTGGAGTCGAGAGGTTTTTTCGGTTTTCCTAACTTCGTTTAGTTAACTGAGTTCTGTATTTTATCTATCACAAGCTCAATTCTTTTTGTTATTCTCTGACTACACTCGAGTGCAACGAGATTCTCATTTTGTTGGTAGATTTTGAAGAGCCCATGCATAACTCTTTTTATTGTCTTAAAACTTGGAAAAAAGTATTTCCCCTAACAGCAATTGAAACCGAGTGGCAATAAAAGCCAATTAACATTGCCAAACTGTTGGTTTTCTTTCATTTTATCCTCCATCTCTCTCTTTCTCTCTTAACAAAGAACATTACTTTGTTTGACCGAACCAGTCAACCTTTTTCATGCCTTCGTGATTGTGCGGTGAACGGTAGAAGTGAAATTACTATGTCCTTACACAAAACAAATCTTTACATCGCATGCATTTGTTACATCAAAGCTTACCTGGAATTTCTGACCACGACTTCAAATCAACATCACGAACATATGTCGAGTCTTTTGCTTCACTGCAAATTGATAAGTGGCGTGATATAGGCGATGACCGATCCAAATTCACTAACCAACCGGTCATTGTATAGTTTTCCTTTCCTCGATCTTCTTCTGGCGTCCTTATTGTAGTTGGATTTTTCTACAGGAAACAAAGGATATAAAAAAAGAGTTCAGAAAGTGCCGGGCCATGGTTATATGAGAGAAAAGAAAAATGCGGTTCGGAATTGAGGTAATTTGTTCAACCGCAAAAGTAAAATTAAGAAAAGTAGAAGAGAAAGGCAACTTTTTAATGCTGGCATGTTGGGTTAGGGTTGGATTTTTGGTCTTTTCTTGTTTTTAGAATCTGCCGCATGTGAAAAATTCCGATTGCCCCCAAAGGGCATTAGAAGAAATAGAGTAAAGACGAACTAAAAAGGAAAATCGATTTGAACTTTTTTCGTTTCACTTACCTGTCGCAATTTTGCCATAGCATCTGACGTGATAAAGTCACCTTTCTGGAATTTCGTTACGAAGCACATCACTTGGTATTGGCTCTGACCACGCTCTTCTTCACCGAGTACAAGAGCTTTTAACACTTGAGCTTCCTGTTGATGAGTTGAGTAAGCGATGATGCGGAAAAAAGTAGAAAAGGGAGAAAAGAGATAAAATAAGAAATACTTACAAAGTTCAATGATGGGAACAAATTAATTGAGAGAATCAAAAAGAATCAAAAGTTAAAGTATGTGGTAAGAGATTTTTGTGCTGACGAAATGATTTGGAAAATATAAAAGTCCTTAAATTTTATTGCATTCAAGTTGTAATTGTATCTAGTTATAAAGCTCTAAATTGATTTTAGATGAAGAAATTTCTTTTTTCTTTTGTGTTTTTAAAATCAACATTGGAAATTTTATTTCAGAAAAACGATGATTTTAAAGAATTTTGTTGAAGTTATTCCTTCAAATCAAACAAGAACTGTTAGCAAATTCAACTTCGCTTCGTTTCTCACACTGATGATGTTACAATTTTCTTATGCTTCACTTATCTCGCCTTAAGTTTTCTTCTTCTTTTTTCTTCTCACGAAAGCCTGTAAAATTCTTTGATATCGGAAGGAAGGAAAAGCGTAATGAAATTTTCCCACTCTCAAGATATCAGCAAGGAAGTGAAGTGAAGTGAGATATGAAAAAATTGATGATTTTTTTTTATTAAAAATATATTCCGATGATAGCTTCAAAAAACTGTTCAATTTTTCATTGAAGATCTGAAGGGGGAAATCAATCAAGAAAAAACAAATATTTTGCAATGTTCCACCTGCCCTTCGTTATTTGCTTTTCACATTCCGACAATGTTTAACAGTATTTTAATTAATAATTTAACTGGCATTTACTGTCATTCACAGATGCGACAACATCGATTGCTATTTTCATTATCTATGATCCATTTATATGTAACTACGACGACACTTGAAATTAAATCACAATCAAGCAAGGGAAGATTATGCGAGAGGCGTAAAAGAAAATGATGATAAAATGTACTTAAACGTTCGCAGTATCACCACAGGAAAGTTTTTTATTCTTGTTATTACCGTAGCGATCTTAAAGGAGGTGTGAACGAGAATTTATGCATTAATGGCAATGCTCGACTTCCATTACTCATTCCACTTAAAGCTTTTCTTTTCATTCTTTTTTCCTTGCCTTAATTTTGCGACAACGAGATAGGGAAGAGAGAAACCACAAGAAATTCCATCGCCCACCATTTATTCTTATTTACTTAAAATGCTTCATCATTGGATGTGAAAGAAAATTTAATAGAGCCCTTCGACATTCCTATCATTTCGCTTTAATGTCGTTTCGGCACCACAGCCCTATGGACTTGATTTATTCATTAAAATCCATCAAAAGCAGAAGAGCTTTAAATAAAGTAAAATATGAAAAATTTACATATTGATGAATGGAGAATCTAAAACAAGGAAATCTTTCCGTCTTTATTTTCCTTCATTAAAATTTAATTATTTTTCGTGTCAACGAGTTTCCTCTTTCAAATCCTTTATTGAATAAAAATTAATTAAAAACCATGCGCGACCAACGAAATGGAACTTTTTACAAGAAAAGCCTTCAAAAGGAAAACTTTTCCAGATTACTTAATAACAAAAAAAATTACTTGATATGTCACAGCAGTTGTGTGACATCAGGTCGACAGTTGACATCATGACGTAAATTGGATAAACGTTGTCAGTCTCACTCAAGAAAGAATTACATAGGCTTGAATATTTATTGAAATGAAAGTTGACGTGATATCAATTGTAAATGTTCCCTAAATTTGTTTAATACATCAAGGAGAATAAGAAACTGTCGCCATCAAGCTCAAACGCGTTACTGGCTTTTTTTTCAAAAACCTCACGAGAAATAAATCTCTTGAGTGATTTTGTCTGACACACACATAAAATAGAATCATCGCTAACATGTACATAAGACGCGAAAAGCATTACCAACAATCGTTCCCAGAATCAAGGAGAAAAAAGAAAAATTAAACTTAATTTATCAGCTTTAGTTAAATATGCTGTAGAGTTATGTTGTGCTTTTCTATGTACACACAATAAAGCACATATTTAATCGAGCGAATGTCAATCTCATCTCCGAATTGTTCACCGTCAAATATATTTTCTTAATGCTGTTTCGCTTCCTTGCTTCAGGGAACGGAAAAACGCATTCTGTTCAACGTACAATGAAAAGACGATTAATTTTCTTACATCGAATTCTTCCCTTCATTGCTCTCATCCTGAGATTAGTTTCTTTAACATATTGAACGGGTTAACAGTTGCTCGAATATTGATGAAGGGATGTAAGAAAGATGATTCATCATGTTATAAAATTGAGATTAAAGATGAGAAGCAGGGATGTTACTTTACATTCACATTCCTTACGTTTTACTCTTTTATCCTCTAGAATTTAAAACGAACGAAAATACATTTTTTTTCAATGAAAATATTTTGCAAGAGTTTTACTCGAAATATTGCCCATTAATTTTTTAACTTTGAACTCTCACATGTTGTAAAAAAATATAAAACGAATCAAAACCCAACACTGAAGAAGATTGTACGTCAGATGAATCATTTATTCAGCAGGTATAAAGCAGCAGCAGCATCGACAAAAAGAAATGTTGAAATTAAAATTCAAGCTTAATGGAAAATAAATTTTCTTTCTTCTTTTCTCTACCACTCGATAAAGAAAATGTGATGGTTTGAATGCCAGCAGCTGACGTCAAGTTATGCGAAGTGAATGAAATAATAAACAATTCTTTCACCTTTCTAAGGTTTCAGGGGGTATAAAAGTAAAGAAAAAATAAACACCTTGAAGTCTTACACATACACATGGATGCGAGAAGAAAACATTACGAGCGATAATATTGAGTTTACGGTTGTAAAATATTCGCCTTAGGATGAAAATAAGGTGTGGGTGGGTGTGTAGATGAGAAGAGCTGTACTGAAATTTCCATTTTCTTCTCATAAAAAACAATAAAAGTTGTTTGTTCTCATATTTCTGTATTATTTAATGTCTCATGTGATTCTCAAAGCGTTGATAAAAGAAAGCAAAAAAAAGTCTCGACGAACTTTTACTTTGACGTTCAACTCATTTCTTTGGTTTTTGTTTTTGTAAAGCGGCTTATCATTGAACGTTAAGCGTGAATTACATCACCACATGAATTTCATTTTCTTGCAAGAATATTGTATGACTGAGCTATGAGCTTTCATGGTTTTATGTATAACAAGGCAAAGCGATTAAATTTCGCAGCTGTACGGGAATGGATCGTGTGTTCATGTTGTGGCAGATACTTGCTGTTTTAAACTTAATTTAATTTTCCGCATTTCTTTTTTTTCTCTCGCCTGTGTACCTGTCGCTGTTGTAACTTGATACAATTTCACATTTTCCTTCGCTTTTTCCCCGATTTTTTTTTTCGTTTTTTGTTGTGTATTGGAATAATAAAATCGATAAAAGCAATTCGAAAGTTTTACTTTTTTTGCCGCCTGCTTTTCGAGGCTCGAAACAAAAACAAAACATCATCGAGAAACAAACGTTGTTGAAGTTTTATATGGTTCGAGTTTTGTTGGTTCTGTGAAGGGGCAATTTGAGTTTAATTTATTTTATTTCGATTGCGTAGGCAAAGTTGGGGAGGGGGTGATGAGGAAAGTTTTTTTATTTGTGACAAACGTAGGAAGGGATGAAAAAGGTTGACTTATACTTACACTTCTAAAGTCTATAAGTTGAGTTATTAAAGTTCCATCAGTCCGTTGAAACTCCAGAGTAATTATGTCATCATGAATATTTGATGTTATTGTCTCTTGTACCACCTCACCGCCCTGAAAATAAATAAGAAAAAGAAAAACACGATTAACTTTTCCCCTTTATTTTATTTTTTCGTATAAGTTGGACGAACAGTGTGAGCTTTTCATGTCAAATAGTTCGCTTCATTTCTCGAACACCCAACCGTAACGTAATCTCCCCGGTCAGTCGAGTTTATCAAATGATGGTGTTAATAACGGTAACATGAGCACAAAACCGTTAAACTATGTGATATGAATGACAACCGCATTTATGCTGGTCATCAACTGTTTAATGGAATATTCACATTACCGATAAGTGAAGGGAGAGAGTGGAAACAAAAAATATGTTTTATCCTTTACGGTTCGTATTTTCTCTTCTTTTTTGTGGGTGTAAAAGACTGAAGTGGTTGATCATATGAGATTTCAATTTGCGCTGAGCGCCAAAAATCCTACATTTTATATCTTACTCTTCAGAGATGCGTCATTGAATATTTTAATGGATTTAGTCAATTTCGTTTGAAATGTTTCTCTGTTGAATTTGAATTTACACGATTTCAGAATCACGGCCATCCAACAAATCACATTTTAATGAAAAGATTAATAATAAATTAAATAAAAATAGAAGCGAATACTTTGTAAACAATCATTTTGTTTGCTAACGATGAGCGAAATATTAACGATAAGTTCACAATCGTTCTTTCAATACGTCATTATGAAATCTGTCGCGTATCGCATCATTGAGTGAAAACTGCGCTGTCAAATTGAAATTCAATATTAGCGTGTCGCAAACATAAATTCTATTCAAGCAAATGGCTTTATATTTCCATTCCAATCACAAAACTTCCCCCAATTCGCTTCAATACAGTCGCTCTGCCGTCATGAAATGCTATTCGAATCATTTTTCATATTTTCTCTTTATTGTTGCTGCTAAAAACAACCAAACTTTTTCCGACAAAGCTCTTCATATAGAATTTCTAATTATATTTTCGCCCACTATACGTTGCGGAGCCAAAGAATGGCGGAAGATTAATCACTTGAATAATGGGATGAAATATAAATAGTTTTACTACTTTAACATCGTGATGAAAGTTTATCCAATGCTATTTCGTGCGTTAGTTGTGAAAAATAGGAAAATAGATTTTTATTTCCACTTTCACCTCTCAACTAGTTTAACGCCCGAACCTGACAAACGCTATTTTTTTAAGCAGTTAAGGAACATTGACCGAGGGTGAAACGATAGCGGAATTGTAATTGATCACGCTATGAACTAAGTAAAGGAGACAAAAAAAAAGTAACGAAATTTCTTTTATTCTATTCCTCAGACGGAATTCAGAAAATAATTCTTGAATCAAAAAACTGTCAAACTTTGTGTGACGCTTTATTTGGCAAAAGTCTTTAGATTTATTTTATTAACGTCAATTTTAATTATATTTGTGAAGCAAAGATAGAATATTGTTATCATTAAATGAAAATATATAAAGAAGAAAACTTTATTTCCTTTTTAATCTGCTTAATGTTTCAATATCATAGAGAAAAGCTTTTTGTTCTTTCCCGAATCAATTGCAGCTATTCTACTTCAATCTCAACAAGGTATTGTATTTCTCTTTGAGCTTATATTATTTCGCCATTGCATCAATGAAACTTCTATTACGTCCTAAAAACTTTTTTCTTTTCCTTTAAATATTTTCTGAGTTTGAACAAAGATTTAGATTGGTCTTTCAATTTTTATTTCTAAAGCATGTCGAAAACGAAATGCAATAAATGCAGTTGCTTTTATGAAGAGAAAAATATTAAGCACTACCTAATTTTTTTTTCTTTTTTATGAAGTCTTTTTATCTTTCTCAGAATAACATTTTGCATCAGTATATCTATTACATTCATTCGTTCATGCATTGACAAATACAAATTACCCGTCATTTCTTGTTTCCCTCAGTGCTAACCTTATACTTAAAGAAATTAAGAAGTATCTTGGAATTTAATATGCTTAAAATAAGAGGAAAATTTCCTTCATTAACTCAGCATCTGAAAATGTAACCACAACTAATGAAAATAATCAAGATGGTTAACCAGTTGGTAAAAGCAATTGAGAAAGAAAAGTTTTCTGTTTTAGTTTCCACACAAAGTTATACAAACTTCAAATTAGAATTTAAATTGAAAATCTTATCGCAGTAGCTATTAGTCATTCACTCTCAATGTTATGTTTATGAACTTTATGTAAAATTTTGCAAACAAAACGAACGACTTAGAAGTTGATAATGAATTCGCAAAGAACTTTTTTCTGTGGAGGAGATTTTGTAAGCAAATCGCAATACAATAATTTCTATAAAAGCTTTTTCTGTCTTGCCAACCGAACCAGAAGCAGAAACAAATCTACAAATGTGTATAATCATCGTAATGATATGTTTTTTTTTTGTGATTTCTTTCCATTTCTGTATTTTTTATTTGCTCTGGGAAATGGGAAAAAGAACCTTTTGAAGCAAAAAAAAAATCTGCTACCAGTATGAATGCGCACAGAAGAATCTTTAAAGTAAGAAACAAATTTCTTTCTTCTTGACTTCTCTTCAGACTTTTAATAGCTCTTTTAATCACTGCGGGACCTTTCTCTCCCGAATGATTTGCTTTCAAGGTGAGATTTTATTCTCAAATCATTTGTTGTTAGTTTTATTATTCAAAGTCATTTTTTAAATCCCTAAATTTGTCTCTTTTTTCTTTGATTATATGAAAAGATATTTGTTAGCTACGACGATAGTTGACTAGTTAAAAAGCTTCTTAAAGACAAAAAGAAAAACTCTATTGAACATCTCTATTCACTACTTATTCGCATTATAGCAGAAATAAAAGAAAAACGGAAAAGAAAAGAAAGCAACAAGTAGAACTTAAGAAGATTTCGAAGAAAAAGTTTTGAAAGAAGTTTTTCACTGCAAGATTTATTTTTCGTTTTTCAAAAATATTGTCTACGAAGCATACACCAGAAAATATGTATCGTCGATACTACAAAAAAGTCAAAGATAAACTTTTAAAATCTTTCCGAGCTTTCAATTTTCTATCAACAAACAAGCAGATTTAAACTTAGGAAGTTGAGTAAAGGTATTATTAAATGACATTAATTTTACTGCATTTTTAAAAAGGAAGTTTAGGTAGTGTTAAAAATAATTTATTCTTATGATAGATAACTGTTACTAATCAATATTATGAAGGAATTGTGAAAGTAACTTGTTATATTAGACTTTATAGTGTTGTTTTATTTTACGATTGCTTCCTTACTGAAATATATAAAAAAAGAACGGAAGGAGAAGATTTCACATGATGAAGGAAGATAAAAAGAATAACATTCATTGATTCATGTTTGATGTATTTTTTGCATTGAATTACGTTCATTATGTGCTTAGTATGGAGCCAAAAAGTCTATAATGGGGATGATAAGAAACACAAAAAAGTTATCTCATTTTGCGCAGTTATTTTTGTTCTTCACAAGAAGAATCAAATAACAAAACATAAAAAAAAGTGAAAAAATGAGACAAAATCAGAAGCGTATAAAATTACGCTCGTCAGAATTTGATGTTAGGAAAGCTTCCGCTGAATTCGACAGAGCCTTACATTTTCTTGCCTTCTTTTTTATATATATATTTATGCTCATGTGGGTAGATACTTATTTGGTGACATCTTTTTATATGATTTTAATGATGTCGTTCGAATTTATATGTACAGTACATGCTTATTTATATAAAAAATATATATAATTTTCTAACCATTCTTCTCGAATGGAATTTAACGAGAGATATTAAATGTGGTGTAATTCTTTTAGAAAATGCTCATTTCTAGAAGAATTTTCTATTATCATTGTTAAAATAATTCTTGCTTTCTTATGAAGGATGATATTTAATTCTCTTGTTTTTTGTTTAATCAAGATAAATTGTGATGATCTTAAAATAAAATAAAACAAAATGAAAAATACTCCCTAAACAAGCATATTCTTTTATACTAAGAGTGAAGAATTTTTGATTTGATTTTTTCTGTTTTTGTACAATATCATGTAAACTTGTAATTAGGCTAATGAAACAGAAATTAATGTAGCACTGAAAAGGGAAATGTTTTCTATTTGCTTGTGTTTCTTATCGATTTTTCGCATGTTTGTTTTATTTTAGGTGTTTTTGGCAGCACAAAAATTGTTGCCTTTTTATTGTGAGAGTTTATCTCGATATTATCACACATTTTATTTCTTGACATTTACAAAAGGCTTTCTGATCTCGAGGCTGTTTAGTCGTAGCTTTATTTCTATATTTAGACAAGATCGTATATTATTTTGTTAGCTTTAATATAGTGTTCACATCGAGTTGAATTATTATCTTTGGGTTTACGTATCACTTGACATTTTTGGCACAGCCGTTTTACCTGATTTTGAACATTTATTTGAAGCACTTCCGCAGTACAACCGAGAAGAATTGTATGTAGAAAATAAAGTAATCCTGATACATTTATTGTTGACTTCATTTTTATTTCAATTATTTACAACGTTGGATATTTTAATCACTTTATCCTTTAACTTCCTCCTGGCATTTCCAAATATTTTTTATTATCTGTTTATTTTTATGATGAAGGATTTTTAAAATGTTTCTTATAAACCTTTATTTTTGTATATTTACAATAACATATTTTTTTCGTTTCACTACTTGTGTGTAATATTCACAATTTACACTTGAGAACTGATCCAAAACACAAGTTTTAAAAGCGATTTTCACAAAAAATTGAACGGAAAACAATATTTTTACGTCTGTTCCGCATTGAACAAGAATTCCGATTATTTTAGAAAACAAAATTCCACTGAACGTAAAAAAAAACTGAAGTTCGCTGAACGAATCCAAAAATCTTTTTGTTATATCTATTTCAAAAACTGTTATAACTGTTCTTAACCGTTAAAAATTTTGTCATTTAATGAAAATGTTACGAAATTAAACATTAAATTAAATTTATTGGAATCAATACTTAACATAAAAATAGCAACGTTTTTATTGGTTAAATTCCATAGTTGTAGTATGAAATCGAATTCAAATATTATGTTGCGTTTTTCGAGTTAACAATTTCTTCCAGTTTGTTGACCCTTTTTATAAATGGTTTCATCTTTGAATTAATTTTCTGAGCGATTAAAGTGTCTGAATTCATATTCATTAATAACTCGTCTGCTATCATTTCAATTGTAGAGGGACAATAGCTTGAAACTGTTTGTATTAAAGAAATAACTTCACCGCGATTAGATTTCACAACCTGATTACCTAATACATTGTGTGTAGCTAATATGTAGAGAAGTTAAGTTAGGTAAACCATCAAAGGCGCTAGCTACTTGAAATATGTTTCATGGGATTTTGACAAAACCCTAAAGTCCGCAATTTTGGATTTCCTTCAAAAATTCCACTTTTTAATGTCGTCAGTGTGGGAACCGATATTTCGTCCTAAATATTTGGAAGCACGTCTGCTTCCTTTCATTTCTTATCCAAACTGAAACTATGTCTCGATTGACCCCTCGGAATATTTCCCCTCGTAATCCTATTCCCACAGTCAGCTTATTGTAAGGCAAACTTGTCTCAAATTTGGAAAATCTTTAAAATCTTCCTGTGAAAATTCATTCACTTCACAACTCCATAATTCCAAAGCTGCAAGATTAGGAAAAAATATGCTGATATTTTTCGGAACTTTAGTTATGTTCTGATTGTAAATGTAGACAGTATTAACGTCATTTCTATTATGATCAGGTAAATGACCATTGAGTGATACCCCGATAATGTTGATAGAACTTATAAATTCAATAGTTATGAGCCTGGCTGTGCATCCCTACATCTCTCCTAAAGTCCATGTTGTGTTATAAGCATAAACGCAATCAATAATACTGGCTGTCTTGACTATTCTTAACAAAGATAATATTAAGATTGAGATGTCTTCACACATCATAGATGCTAAAATAGGTATCTGTTTTTGAAAGCTGATCGTGAAAAAACACTTTATAATCTTCAAAAATATAATTAATTTTTTTAAATATTCAACAAATTCATCAAATGTGATAATCTGAGCTTCAGTTAAATGTTGATCTTTAAAAGTTCCGATAAACGCCACACATATTCCAATATCATTAAATGAACTTCTATAAAGATTGCTTGTATGCTCACCCTTGTAAAACATTCCCCTTCCTTCGAAAACTGAACCATCACCACCGATAAGAAAATTATATCGAATGTCTTCAGTTTCAGTGTCTTTTAGTTTAATTTCTTGGACACGAAATTTACACTCTACGATGTTAAAACAAGTTTGAAATGTATCAGCTGTATGTGTCAGAATGATTCTTTTTATTGGTAGCGATAAAGATTTAATTTTATTATTTATTTTTTATGAGGTCCATTCAACGCGACTTATCAAATGAAATCGAATATTTTCTTTTGTTATTGTTTTACTCATAATAATTTTTTTATCTGATGGCCTTTGTTCTGTAGTTGTTTCATTTGGAAATCCATTGACATTGTTTAGAGCAAATATAACAGGAAGGCTTATTGAAAATACAATATTCAAAAAATCAAAGACAAAAGTTAATACAATTAGATAGAACTTTTTCTAAAATTTTGACAGTCTTGCTTTTCCTTTGATTCCATAAACCCTTCTCTTTATCGATTTCTATAAAGAAATCATTTTTTAATTCATGGTTTTCAGGAGGTTTTGCTATGTGTAGATTCGTAGTAACGTTAACTCTAATCGGCTTTTCCATACCCTTGTTCAATTCTCGTGACTTATTAGAAGAGTTACTTGCTCTCAAAATATTTTCAGTCACAACAGAACTTGCAACTGTTGATGCAGAGTCATCAAAAGAGTAATTCTGAGACTCCACGTCATCCAATGAGTTCTCAAAAGACATCTTTTTGGGTAGATATTATTTAATAATTTCAAACCTACATCCAATTAGTATGACATATTGGAAGAAACTGAAGTTAGACAATAATAAAATCAAATAGGTAATAAGTAATGAAACGATAAGAATTAATTATCTTATCTTGAAATTTTAGTTGAGATAAAAATATTTAGTGTATTGCAATTTGAAAATTTTTATGAATAAACTTTGTTTTTGTTGACATGACCAGATCAAATTTCTGTATTCAAATGTAGTGCAATTGAAAGGCTTTTTAAAGTTAAGATCAATCAATATAAACTTTTCATAAAAATAATAAAAAATAGCAGTTTTTTCAATTTCAAAAATATCATGACAGACAGACACAGAAAATTTATTGAGGTTTTTTTTGTTATATTCGATTTTTTTTATTTTCATTGTGACTGAAAAGTCGAGAATAAAAAAATTGAAAACAAGCTGAAAAGTAAAATGGTATATTATCTACAAACGCTTCCAGTTTTATTTATAATTGGAGTTACTATACGTTTAACTAAAAGGTGAAGCACGCAAACAATTTGTTTATACTGTGAATATCTAATAAATCCATCAATTTTATTTCAGTTCATTTTGTCATGAATCAGAAGAAGTAAAATTAAATTGTGTAGGAATTTTTGAGATAGTACACAAGTGTAATGCAGAGTTTATACAAAATGCCATGACAACAGCTGATCCTTTCACTTTATGTACCAATGATTTTTCTTTTAGAGCATACAGGATAACAATGAAATATTATGACAGATTATTTTCCACCCACGACCCTAAAAATGAAAGTGCTTTGTGTTCTGACCAATATTTAAACAAAAACAAAATGAATGTTATAACGAGCCTCATAGGAAACTCAAAAAATCTTTGGACTACTGCTAATTGTGATCAATGCTATAATACTTTAAGTTCAACTTCAAAAAATTTCACAACAAGTACTGAAGATTTCCTTAATTCACTTCAGTTGTTGACCAACTGTATTGATAAAGTGACAAATATCAGTTTTGTTTGCAACAAATGTGAAACACATTATCAGACTCTTAATGGAATTTATGAGAGAATCAAAACATCTTCGAATAATAAGATTTGTTTTGATTTAGAAGACAAAGTAAAATAATATTATGATTTAATGACATTATTTGTTTATCTCAAAATTTATTTTGTTTCTCAGATGAATAAAACTAGACGAGACTGGTCGGGTGTTTACAAATGTTGTAGAGATAAGCGAGATTCGTTGACTGCCTTTTACAGTTTAGCTACAACGATTTTTATCATTGCTGTTAGCTTTTATTCCGTTGTGTATTTCGTGGGATCAAATTATCCTGAAAGAAATGTCTTAGATGAACGAGAAGTTGCAATATGCCGTCGAAGTGAAATTCGAGATTCTGCCCAACCAGGTCAGTCATCAAATATGTCTTCGTTTGATCGAAACAATCTAGAATCTCAAAAAAAATCTACTGAACAGGATAATTCTGATAATGAGCCATTAATTTTAAGTAGTCCTTTAAATCAAGCACTAGAAAGATTGAATTAGCCTTACAATAAGTTTACACACGTTAAACCAAATTAAATTCTCAACTATTATGATTATTTTGACTGTGTGATTTAAATATGATAATATTAAATTTATTAGTTGGAAAGACGTTTAAACGAGCTTTATTATTACCTACAATGCGTCAATTGCAATGGAAAAATTATGCAAGCCAATTATGATGCAATGACCGTAGCGTGTCCCAAGAAGAATAGTAAAAAGAAGAAAAAAAAAGTCGATGAGAAGACGAATAAATGAACTCTGAAGTGAAACAATAAGCCAATCAATCAATTGAATTATGTAAAAGCGATACCAAATATGGTCGAAATAAATATGCTAACAATAAAATTTTGCAGGAAGATGGAAAGAAGAATTTCATTTAATTGATATCATCATGAACTGAAAACCGTTAGTTACAATAAATTCAAGTTTCTAATCAATCCCAACCAACACTCGAGTGCTGTCGGCAGAATTCAAAAGTTCGTTGAAAGCATCAATGATCACAATCGACGACGTCATAATTGGACAAAAATATAACAAAAAGCTTCACGATTTCTCTCTTATTCTCTCATTTAACATTTTTTTTTCTTCTCCGTTCACCAAGCACAAGAAATTGGTTGAGCATTTTCCTCGATCAGTTTGTTTTGAGAGTTTGCACGTGTTAGCAGCGATTCTGGTTTTATTTTTCTTCTCTAAACCTGAATACTTTTATTTAATTTTTTTCTATTCAAAAGAGAAGCACAAATTTTATTTTTCGTAATGCTGAGAATGTGTGTCATGAAATCCAACAAGCGAACTGCATTCAATTCACACACGATGCTTCATTTACAGAAGAAAAAGAAAACTTGAAATAGCAAAAATGAAAACTCAACATAGCGAATAAAATTCATTCGAACATACACACTTCGATGCAAATATCTTTGTATTGAATTTAGATATCGAAGACTCAATAGAGATGAATATTTGATCTATGTATCTACAAAATAAAAAAAGAGATTGCATTTGAAAACGATGATCAGCAGATGTTTTTAGCGGTAATTAATTTATTAATTAATTAATGAAATGCTTTCATAATGGATTGTTGTTGTTTCATGATCATTTGTGTGTATTTTTGATCATCACGAATACTTGAAACTTGTTGCGATTTCACAATTGTTTTTATATACCCAAATAAGCTTCCTCCACTCATTTAACATTTTCATACAATTCACGGTGATTTACTCGTTTAGTTGTTGCTGTCTAATCACGAATCTGTCTTGGAATTGCTACGACATTCAAAGCATCTGATTTTGCCTTTTTAATATTCTCAACAGAACGCTAGAATCACAAACCTCAAGGCTGACTAAAAATATTGTTTAATTACTCGAACACAAAGATTTCGCACCAAAAGACGAGAACTTCTCAAATATTTACTTCGAACTTCAGGAATGTCAACATTAATAGTTGATCAACATAATTGTAAAATGAAATGAACACGAGCGTCATGACGTAATGGCACAAAATTATTTAATCCACCTAGCATCTTTGGAAAGGAGACGACACAAACACACGCACATTTCAAGTTACTTTGGCAATTGCACACTTAACATAATTATCGTTGAGTGTCTCGTCGGCATTCTATTGAAAAAATTGTGATGTTGCTGTTAAAAACTCTTACGTTTATCATTCTGAATCCCTTTGAGAACTAAACTGATAGAAAAACATAAATGATTCGACTTCAGTTTGCATGCAAATATTTGAAAATAAATGCTTCGAAGCTGCTTTGCAATGTTTTTCATTTTAATTGTTTGCAATGCCGCCCACATAAAAGTGTTCACATAAAAATAACGCGATGGATGTGCTTCAGTCATGTCCTTCAATGATTTGAATATTTTTGATCTCCTGAAGACGTGTTGACTTGTCGTTATATTTAATTGAATATTTTCCATTAAATAACAATCACCACGGAAACAAAGAGATTTGATTCTCAGTCCATTGCAAAAATTGCGCAACAACGCAAATGCTAATGAATTGTGTCGATGGCGGTGTCACATTGATTCCCGTTCGATAGTTATTTCTTGTTTATTTTCACAACACTCTGTATTGAGAATGAATTGAAATGTTTGTGGACAAAACAAAAGTAGACGACGGATGTTTTAAACAGTTTAATTTTATTACAACAAATACTTCTAAACTGGAAGCTTTTAAATCGTCAATGTCATCGCGATGGCTTTGCTACGACAAATTTATAAGATGTCATGAATAGTTGTTCATATTTTGTTGTTGAGAGGTAAGAGATGAGAGTTTACACGACAATTATTCACTTTTAACCCTCGATTCAATTCAAGTTCGCTCTAAATAGATGAACTTAAATGAAGGAATTTTATCTTCACGGAAACAAAGTTCGCTCTGCCTGTTTAAATTCGCTTCATATCTCGCCCTCTTCTAATATTATTTGTGTATCCAATAAAACTTCAAGTCTCTTAAAATTCAATTATTGACGGAAGAACAATAACAATTGAATGATCACGGACAACAAATAGAGATTAACGTCCCATATATTCATTGTTCGCATGTGGTATTGAAGTAATATTCAAAAGAAGATCTTGAAAATCATCACGAAGTATCAAAAGCGATGATAAAAAACATTAATAGCATTCCCATGTCGTTAATTAAATTAATCTTCATTAAAACTGTGACCTGTATGTTGGGCTGTTAAGTACACGAAAACGGAAGTGAAGTTGATGAGTTTTTCATTGATCATCAATATTCTTAAGTTACTTCTGTATCTTCCGCAATTATAATTATTTAACAATCTTCACATTTCAGTTAAGAAAATTTTATGCACTAAAAAGAAACAAATTGAGAAATTTTCTTGCAGTATTTCCAACATCTTCCAAATATTTTTCATTGTCTTTCACTTTTTTATTATTTTCAGCTTCAGCGCTTTAGGCTGTCATCATATCTAGACATAGTTTCGACAAAGTTTGTTTCAATTTATGTGATTTTTTTATTTCAGTCAATGTACTTTTGTCATGTCTTTCATTTGAAATTGATTTGAAAAAGAAACTTAAAGATAAGTTGTTTGAACAAGTTTTGGTCCGAATTTCTTTGTTCCCATAACTTCGTTTCCTGGAAAAATTGTACGAAATCTAAAGTTTAATGCTTCGAGAGCTTTGAAGAAAAGATCAGGTAGAAGTGCAGCAACGACTATTAGTGATGATAAAATCCAGAATATCCATGATGTTAACATTTTTGTATACACCATGTAAAGGTTCATGTCATATCCCCTATAAATCATAAAGATTTATTAAATATTTTAATGAGTTAAAAGGTTCATCAACTCACGCATTAAATAAATTATAAACGAAGGTTGTTCCCATGAATCCAAATACCGACAGCCAAATGGTCGCGACAAAGATGTAAGTTTTATAAATCGCTTCAATGAGTAATTTCAAGTTGACTACGACGACCACGTTGTGCACCATAAAAACGCCAAAACACAAGAAATTCATCGTTCTACCTTCGGCATACATCGCCGAGTTGTCATTCCAAATAATCCAAGCAAAAAAATAGACGATTATTGAATGATATAAGCCGATAAACATCCAACTATTAAAGTAGCGCCAACTAAAAAGTTTGTTGCCACTAATCAACTTATAATACGATGGTTGACTGAAAGTTATTTAAAATGAATTTATTTATAAGTTAGCAGCTTACATTTTAAGTAGTCTATGAAGTTTCAAATGACAATAATAATACTCACGTCATCAAAGTTTCTTCATCGTAAATCTTCTCAGTTATTGAAATGAAAAGAATTGGAAGTGTTGTATATGTCACGTTGAATAGTGTCAAGAAGAGTGAATCAAAAATTGATTGTGATGAAAAGAGAGAGTTGGCTTGAAAGAAAAGCTGAACGCCCATAAATACGACATTTTTATAGAAGAAGTAAAGGACCAACAAAGCAAGTCGTTGAGAGAAATAATGTCCATGAAGTAAAACAATTCGTTTAAGCATTGAAAAGTTTGCAAATGCATAATCAGCACATCGTGCTGCTTGTCTCCCTTCTTTGCCTACAATTCCAAGTCCAACATGAGCTTCTTGTATCATTGAAACATCATTAGCTCCATCACCAATAGCACCAGTGACTGGTTTTGATGGATGACTTTTAACTAGATGAACGACCTCACATTTCTGTAGTGGGCTGAGTCGACAACAAAGCACAGCATGACATTTATAAGCTAAATCTCGAAATTTTTCACTAGCATGTTGAAGTGCAATGGAAAGACTCATTCCATCAATGAGAAGGGCATATTCTTGTCCAGAATTTCTTTTTAATTCTCTCGCAAGTGCTTCAAAGTGCCCGTTTAATTGCGCTTCATTCTTACACTCAACTATAAAATATTTTCCAGCATTATCTGGAATATGTCCACAACTTAATGCAATATTAAGCGCCGTCTCGACTTTGTCACCTGTTAACACCCAAACTTTAATCCCAGCTGCTCGAATTGAAACAAGAGTATCACGAACATTATCTTGAAGTGCATCTTCAACAGCTGTCGCACCAAGAAGATCTAACCCCGTCTCAACTTTTCTTTGGCACATTTCAACCTTTTCTGCTCGATTCGTCAACGAACTGTTTGCTTCGATAAGCTGATTGTTGAAGTTGATAAATTCGGTTTTTGTGAGTTTTCGTCGTGCAACTGCCAACGTTCTTAAACCTTCTTTTGCAAATTCGTTGATGTGCTTTTGTGTTAGCAATGAAACGTGATTACTTTTTGAATTGCAAAGTGGCAAAACGTGCGATTCAGCGCCCTTGGTGTAGATCCAAATCTGCCCAAACTTATCCATCACAATCACACTCATTCGTTTCCGATCAGATGTAAATTCTAAGACTTGTAGCCGTTTAAACTGCACGATTTCATTTTTTTCGTCTTCCATATTTTGAATGTCCATAAAATCAGTGTCAGCTTTTCTTTTCATACGAAGTCGTAATGTATAAATGTCGTTATTGTCATTGAGAAAAATGATTCCCAATCTAGCACATGCTTCAACTAAAGCTTTCTCGTCCGGACTTGATGCTTGATAGTCAAGAAGATCAATAAAGCTTTCAAGTTCTTTTCGATGTAGCATCGATTCTTGTCGTTCAACAACTTGAGCTTCAGTGTATTGAGGTGCTGCATAATATTCTCGTGTCGATGTTCGAACTGAAACATTCCTTTGGAAATTTGATGGCCTAACTGAATGTGCACTCATTATTTCAGCTCCAGTACTAAAAGGTACACTTGACTTTGTTCTTCGATGTGTCATTATCCCATCTCTTCTATTTTTATCATCATCATCATTGTGATGAGACACTGTTCGCTTATATTCTTGCACTTGAATTTTTTTGAGAAGTAAATTTTCTCTACTGAGTATTTCTGGAGTCGTTAAGCCTGAAGATTCCATAATTTGGATGTTTGATAAACTCAATGGCCGTTTGTGTAATTCAAGACGCGTTGATTTTGTATGAACTGTGTCACTACTTGGACGAATTTCATCAACACCAACATTGCCGTTCCTGTTATTACTTCCATTACGATGTGAGAAGGTGACTGTGTGTCGTGCTGTTATGAAATCAACTTCTTCTTGTATACTTTCAATGTCAGTTAATTCTTCAAGTGATTTATGAAAGATTGGAGGAACATCAGCATTGACTGTCAACAAACTTTGTTCTTCATCAGCTCGATCTTCATCTTCTTCATATGTTCCAGCAACTTGAACCGTATGACAAATTGCCAAAGCCTCAAAAAACGTATAAACGGATTTCTAAGATAAATTCAAGATTTATTGAAGAATTTGGTTTTTGATTGATTACATGACATAAAATTACCGAACATTCACCAATTTTGAGCGAATAATTTCGATCTTTTTCTTGTAAGCCTCTACCTTGCTTCATATAAATTTTTCCGTTAATGGAACATTGCTTGAAAATCATGATGTTCTTCGTTAAAGTTCCGGTTTTATCAGAGAACAAAATGTTGATCTTTAAAAGAAAGAAAAAATAAATAAATAGTTAACAGCAGAGAAAAATGTTGAAGAATGTTTATGACTTTATCATTCGTTACCTGACCCAATTCCTCATTTAAGTCTGATGTGTTAACAATACATGGTTGGTTTGTTTCTTCATCATAAAGGTGAGGATCCCATTCCAAGAAGAAAGCTCCTGTTGCAATTAATCAAGTATGACTTGTTATGAAATAATCAAGGGTTGATTTGGGAAATGGGAAAAGAAATCAACAAGTGTAATAAAATTCAATTATTTCAATTGCTTTCAATTTTTCTTGAAATTATTGAAATAAAGCACTACTGTGTGTAACCGGCAATGATTGGATAGCACAGCTACCTAACTTTCTTGTTAATAACAGACAAGTTAATCTTTGGAGTGGAATTGGAGTAACAAATTACAAATTGCGTAAAGATTTGTGCTTTTTTTCTTTTTCCTGAAACTCAAATGATTAAACTTTAAGATGAAAATTGTTTTAAACATTTAAATACACGAAAATATGTTTGCATTGTCATGTCTACAAGTCTTATTTACAACAATTTGCTTCAAGTAGGCATTTAAATCCTTGAGAGAGTGCATCGAGAAAGTGATAATAAATTTTGCGACCGAAGATCGTAGTTTTTTTCAAGGTAATCGAGACGAAAGCATTTTAAATGTTTTACTCACCAACAAACTTGTGCATCTCAATAGTGACATATAGAGAGATGGGAATAAGATAGTTGAAGAGAATAAGAAATGAAAAATAATCTTGAAGAAATTCCGACACTACATATTCATCAAAGACTTGTCTCAAATATGAGTTGTGTTCAGGATGATGGAGATCAAAATATCGCTTCATAAAATACGAGACCGTGACGACAGCGAGTAGGAGAACAATGAAGAAAGCTAAATATTTATTGATGAATTGTTCGCTCGAGCTCATTTTGTTTTTAGTTATTTTGCTATTTAAAGCGAGTTTTGTGTCTTGTCCAGTGTAAACCGCACATGCGATCGCCCACTCAGTATTACGAACACGTGATCCGCGAAGCATCAAATTCTCTGCCATTAGCGGGATATTATGGAGCCCAGTTTGGAGTTCCATGTCGGTAGGAATCACGCTGATTCGATTGATGTTATTTGGCAGAACAATTCGACCGTTGAATGAATAAAGGTCGGTGTGCGATTGTTCACATTCAATAGAGCCAAGTGTGTATAGTTTGGGAATATCAACGTCCGGAAGGCCTTTCGGCACAACCAAAGTTTTCAAGTTCGTCTCGCCATCTAAATTTGCTGTCGTTATAAAGCACTTTCCGTTGTCGGAACTCTTTAACAACACTAGGTCACACGGTACATCACAGTCGCGAGATATTCTCACTAAATCACCTGGAACAATATCTTCACACCGTACGTCCGTTTCGATGCTGTTTCTTACCACCGTAACCATTGATTTATTAACCATGTTATCTGCTCGATAACGGAGAAAGTCTTCATAGCCCTGTTTGGCTGCTGTTACAGCAATTACGAACACCAAAGGTATAAGCGATGTCAGTGGAGAAACAGGCGAGTCTAAAATAAATAAAAGATTGTGGAAAAAATAAAAATTAATTATATAAGAGCTTTGCACTTAAAATCACGATGAGTCCGATACTTTGTGACTTAAGTTTTTAATATTCAATATTTTTTTGGTTTTCGTTTCTATTACTAAGTGGTTGCACCTGCAATTGCAGATCATTTTTGTTGACATGCAATAATGTATTAAGCAAACTAAGTTAGCGAGTACGTAAAGATTTTAAATCAATGAAAAACCAAACCAAATTGTATATATAAACAAAAATGACAATGTAAAGAGTCAATTACAAAATTAATGTTAAAAAACATGTATTGAACTCTCAAACTTTAATGAAAATCACTGGAGCATTTAAACAGAATGTAATCTTAATTTTTACTCACCGATCGATAGCGCAATTATTGTCATAATCAAAAAGTAAAAGTTCGCAATCCGACGAAATTGCTCGAATAAATTTTGTGGTAAAAAGGTCAACAGCGTGTACTTTGTTGAAATAATTCGATTCTGTTGGGATGGCGGCTTCTTTTGTTTTGGATGATCATTAGATAAGTTGAACCCGGCGCCAATTTTAATATGAACTGTGCCATCTGTCGCGCTTATTCTATTTCCCTGAAATATTTTTTTGATTCATTCTTTATGTAGAAATAAAATTGCGACTCGCAAATCATGAACAAAGATAAGGAAAAAAATATTCCACTGACACTTATCAACATTGAAGTTCACTTTTTATCATTGTTATCTTCACAATCATTCATACCTTTCGCCAGAATTTTGGCTTTCGATAAACTGTTTCACCTTCGTGACTCATGATCAGATTAATTCTTTCTTTTTATTCCATTGACATAAATTAATAGATTTATTACATTGCAATTTGCAACGAAAGTTTCGTTTTTGGTATCTACAATTCGTCACAATCACGTCTTACGATTTGCTTTAAATATTATTTAACTTGAGGTTGTCAAAACAGAAAAAAGTCAATGAAGGATGAAAGAACGCGGCCACAAAAAGCAAGAATTCGAAGACAACTGCAAACGATGTTGCCTTCGAGCTTCACAATTACTACTTAAAAAAATATTTTCTGTTATCAGTTATGCTTATCGTGTTATGGGTTGTAGTTTCTGCGGCTTTTATCGCACCCACACAATGATCAAACTAATCGATAAGAGTAATTAGAGTGTCTGTGAGGTAAGATTTGAAATGTTGAGCTTTAGAGTTTTTTTCCTGATGAGTTATCTTTCCTGATGGAACATCGATTATTAAAATGATTTAAATTTTCTATCATGTTTGCCAATAAGATTTCAAAAACTTGAACACCATAGTCAACAGATTTACAAAAATCGATAAAGAGTCAAATAAAAATATGACTTTGAAGCTTTTAAGTTGCAATTTACTGTGAAGAATTCAATTGAATCCATAAGATGAGTCACGGTTTATTTTGGTATATGCTTGTTTAGCGGTTTTCACGATAGATTTAACAAACATGTTCGGTATAAAGTAATTATGAAAGGTCATTGAAATAATTTTCTCTGTTTTATGCGATGTTATCTGAACTGTTGTGTTTTATTGGATATTATTAAAGAAATCCGCATCTGTTTTAAGTTCTTATCTTATCAAAGCTCAATGATTCAACTTTTAATGTTCTTTTTTTAGTTTTCTGAACTTTCGATAACAAAAGTATTAAATAAATATTTTCCGGGTTTTCATTTAATTGATTTTTTTTTTCATTACCATTCTCAAAAATTTTCCTCCTTCCCTTTGAGCTTTGTTAAAATTAATTTCTTTTTATTTTCCTTGTTATATAAAAAACTATATTTTCTTCATGACATAGTCAGTGCTCGTCCACAAAATTTCATGTATCACAAATAAAATTGTAACAATAAACAATTTGACAACAAGAACTTGATTCTGACAAGACCTTCTGTTGATCGACTTTAACGTTTTGTGACTGAATTTAGGTGTGCAAAAAAATTGAAAATATTTTTAATGATACTGATAAGAGTGAGAAAATAGAGAAGTTATCATTGATATGAAGCGTAGACAAAGCGTATATTTCATGATTGTCGATAAAATTGATAAGACGATGATACGAAATAAAACTTACTCTGAATGGTGTTTCAAGTGTTTATTTTCTTCGAGTACTTTTAATTTCTTATCTTTTATCTTAAAAAAATCTCCCAAAATGTGTTTCTTTGAATACAAGTGACGTCAACACAACTTAGAAATTCTGAAAGGTTAACATTAAAATAATTTACTCAATCACGTCATAAAAACAAGTCAATTACTACTTTTTATGAATTTTCAATAACAATTTTTATTTATTAAAACCTAAATAAAAAAAAATATTATTAACTATACATTTTACATAAAAGATTTAACAAGAGAAAAAAAAAATAGTTTTCCTTTGTTCAACCAAGACCAAATTAATTTACGATGTTTTATTGATGGTTAAATGTGTAGACTAGAGGGCAAAATTTCAAATACATAATTTTAGGAATATTCAAGCGGAAGTTTATAAAAATATTTCTCATGAGAATTCGATTACTTAAGGTAAGGCTCAATATGTGTCAGATGATTATATTTGGGAAATGCATGATAAATCCATCACAACATGTTTGACAAAATTTTGTTTCACCTCAAAATCACATACAATTGAAATGAGAAAAATTGGAATACTGATAAGTTAATCCTTTGGCTTTCAAAGACAGATGAAAAGAAGGAAACATTCTTCTACTAAATAATTAATTCAGGTCTAATTTTGTAGTCATATTTCACACTCAAACTCGGATACTCTCCGATTGAAATAAATCATTCCGTTTTCATAATCTTCGCTGAATCCACTCACATCAATGTATTCAGAATGATTTGCTGGAATATCTTCTTGCCATTGAACCAGAGCTCGTGATAATGATTTTCGGACGTCAGTGAATGATGGACGTTGACTTGGCTCTTTATTCCAACATTCTTTCATTGTTTCCGAAAGCTCTTGTCGACAACTTGAAGGAATCTCAGGTCGCACACCGCTAGGAACGCCTCGAAGTACCTCTCGACCTGATAATGTTGGATAAGGTGTTATTCCTATTGATAAAAAAGAGAAATTTATATTAAAGTTGATTAGAGAAAGCTAAAAATTTTGAAAATTTACCTAATGTTGCAAGTTCCCAAAGAACTATTCCAAATGCAAACACATCAGTTTCAACTGAATAAATATGATATTGCAATGCTTCTGGTGCCATCCACCGAATTGGTAATGCTGGACGATTTTTGTTGTTATCACAGTTGTTATTGTTGCGCACCTTTGAAGTTGCGTAATTTTTTAATCCACCGAAAACCCGCGCAGTCATGTCAAACTTAAACTTTGTATGGCATGTTGAGACTCGTGGAATCTTCATGTATCCTTGCGATGCTTTGATTTTATCCAAGTCAATTGACATTCCGAAATCACAGATTTTACAGATTCCATTGTGATCAAGTAAGACATTACGCGCTGCTAAATCTCTATGAACAATCTAGATTGGAATAAATTATATGTTTGATTTTCTTTATAGATTAAACAAGAAAGTCAACAACTTTCAAATGACTTACCTTCTTTTCAGCTATGTACTCCATTCCACGAGCGATATCATGCGCAAAACCCGTCAAACGTCTTGGTGAAAGCGGCATTACAGGTTGCCGGGATGGCGGATGGCTATTGATACCGTTTAAAACACCGCGAGCAGCTCGTAGTAACGATAAAAGTCTACCTCGCATTGCATACTCCATGATCAGCATATGTGGTTCTGTATCGACAAGCAAACAAAGTTATGCTCAAAGCAAGAAAGAGAAAATCACGAAATGCGGCATATTTCAAAGTTTAAAGACATTCAATTCGACGATGTTTTAAAATTGTTGGAATTATTTTGATTTGAAAATTATTGTGAGTATCCGAAATGGGATCATTTTTTTATTCATTGGTTGATATAGAAAAAGAATTAATTGCGACTATCTACTCTATTTCAAAAATTTCAAGCAAATTCTATGAAGTTCATCGCATATTTACCTTGTTCCACGCATGCACCCAACAACGTTACAACATTGGAATGTGAGCCTAGTTTACGCATAATTTCGCACTCAGCTTTTAAGCCTCCTTGACCATTATTTACGCGTTCAGTTTTAACAGCTACAATTCTCGTTGTTCCTATATAACCCGCTAAATTGTCAGCTTCTGCCTTCCAAACTTGTCCGAAGTTCCCTTCTCCTAATAAACTTTTAAACCTTAAATTATTTCGATTGAAATCTGTTTCAACGATTATCGATTCTTCTCCTTCAATGCTGCCACTATCTTCAGATTGATCGAGTTTCACAACCGGACTTATCGGTTGAATGTCATTACCGTAATTTTCTAAATCGCCATCTTTCTGTTCATTTCTAAATAAATATTGTCGAACAACGTAAACGAGTATGACAATTACTGGTAACAATCCCAAACCAGCCATCACAAATGTCGCTGTATTCATGTTATGCATTTCGATTTGAACTTCATTATTAATTGGCTTATTGGTTGTTGAGATTCCCTGATAAAAAACATTCGTTTTAATAGTCGAAGACGTGACTGAATCTGGTGTAACTGATGGTGGTGCTACAATTTCAAAGTCAACAGGTGCTGGTGTGTTAACATTCTTTGGAACAAAACTATAAGTTGCTGTTGATGAAACTTCATTTCTTTCTGTAACTGTTGATGTTGAGGTCGTCGTTGTTGATGGTGGTGAAGAAGTTGTTGATGATGTTACATTAATTTTATTTCGACGTGATGAAATGTTGCTCAAGAAAGTCGAAATCGTAGTCTTATTGTAATCAGGAAAGATCGTCGTTGAAGATTTCCTTCGTGGAATCGTGGTATAAACGCGTTTGGTAGTTTTCACTGGCGCTAATGGTTCTGTTGTTGATTCAGTCGATTTAACAACACTCGTGGTCGTGCTCGACGAAATTGTGCTCTGAAGCGTTTCTTGTGTTGTACTTTGAGTTGTAACCACACTGCTGATTGTTGTGATATTTTCAAAAAGTCGATTAATGTCAGGAATGACCGACGAATCAGTTGAATCAATTGACGTCAGAGTTGTTGTTTCAGATATTTCTGTTGTGTCAGTTGGTACGCTCTCAATTTCACCATCAGATTGCTGATAATTTCGGTGATCATTGAAAAATACTGGCGTTGCATCATCAGGCACATTAATTATTAAACCACCAGTTGGGTGATAAATTGTTTTAAATTCAGAAATTGGATTCACTACGACACTCTTAATCGGTGTTTCTGTTTGACTTGGATTTGAAGTGCTTCGCGACACGACATTTTTCACATCTTCAACGCCCTCAGCAAGATTGTTAATCGCTGATATTGATGTTGTAGCTTTTGTTGATGGCCTATTAATGGTTTCATAACGAATTGTCGTTAACTTTAAAGAATCATCAACCCTCGATGGTGCTTTAGTGCCTATGGAGCTCATATGTGGATTGTTCAGCCTTCGCATGTAGTTGTTAATGGCCACAATGTTTCTTGACTTCCAAAATTTATTTTTTTCTGTTGATGACTGTTTTGCGACTGACACTTCCATTATTTCAAGCTCCTCCTCTTTCGATCTTGATGGTGTCGTACTTTGATATATTAACGTACGACGTCCATTTGATTGTCGTCTTAGATCAGGGACACGTCCTGTTGACACTGCAAGCTTTTGACCAATATACAAATATGGATCAGCGTCGTTTTCTTCTAAAGATTTTAAGTGGCTTGGTGAAAACTTTATTCGGCCTCGATAAACTGTTGAACGAGCTTCAGCTGGTGACAGGCTTGTTCTTGTGTATTTATTCCGGCGACTGACTTTTATTGTTGACATGTCAGTCGTTGATGTTACATCGTCAATCATTTTAGCCTTCACCTTATTCTCATTATCGCTTACAATTATTTTCTCATTGGTGTTGCTAATAAGATTCGAAGATTCTTTGGTTTTGCCATGATCGCTGGTCGCATTATTCATTGGATCACTGAAATAAAGTCCATGAACTGACTCTTCTGTGTCCAAAAACTCATCGGCATTTGACTGCACAACAAGATTTGAATTTGGTGTGCTTGGATTCACATCACTTGACTCAGATGCTGTGGGAATGTGATTGCGCAACAATTTCATGTCACGGCTACACTTTAATTTGCAGTATTCATCATTACTACTTGTTCTACAATGACGTTCACATTCTTCACTCGATCGCCATCGATTTGACGATCTTCGACGAGCAGACACTAAAGGCATCGACTTTATATCCCGATTTCTTCCGCTAACAAAGCGTCGTGATGTTGGCAACAACGTGGAAGTTGTTTCTTCATTATGTAAAGCTTGAAAAATAAAACAAAATGTTAAAGACGCTTTAATGAGATTTTCAACAGTCAGAGTATAATAAAAAAATAAGAGCTCAAGTTCATTCATTCATTCATTCACTGATTCTCGCTTGCACAGCTGATATTTATTCTAAATATTCGATGAATGACTAATTTTTTGTTGTTAGAACGTTTTTTCTATTTTGTTTTCACAAAGTCAAATCGGTTGACATGAGTCATTCATCCAGAATATTTTATTCTCATGAATGGCTTTGACATATCATTTAAAATCTGATTTCAGGGCGTGTAATTTGAATTAAAAAAGCTTATTGTGAACTTGCAACTGAATTAAAATATAAGTGCTGATCATTGTCACATCCAATTAATAATCTGATGAGATTTCAATTCATATGAAAGATTAACAAGACTCCATTTCTACGTCACATTCCACAAATAAATATGATTTTTTTTGTAAATTAACAATAAAAGAGAAGTTAAATGGCAAGGGTCGCAAAAAAAGTAACTAATTCCATTTAAAAATGCTGAAAGCCTCTAACAACTGCTTTCAATCGAAGGTAAGTCTTTTTGTTCGAAATGCTTTTCATTACAAATACAAAGTTTTTCTCTTATTTTTTTATTTATTTATTATTTATTGTTTGTTTGATCGTTCTCACGATCCTGACATTTTCATTTTTTCTTAAACGGAAGCAATTGCCAAGGTTCAAATGAATTAAATAAGAAAAATGAAATGAAATGCATTTCAGGTCAAATGAGAAAGTCATTCGCATCAAGTTTTCTTCTTTCAAAGAATAGTTTCTCGCCTTTTTACTTCTCTCATGTGAATGTACAAGAGTTTCACTCACTTTCATTAATAATCAGAAACAAGAAATCGCTAACGATGCAAGTTTTCGCTTTCACTCAACTATATGGGATGCAGACTTAAGTTCGTTGAATAAACTTCTTGAAAAATGATTTTCCAGTATTTAATCTGATATATTCACAAGATGTTTCAAGTAAATGGTTTGTTCTGCAAGTGTAGAGCAAATAGAAATTTCCCACGGAAAATAATTGAATACATTGAGTAGGTTGAAATGAGAATGTTAAAGGTCATAAATATCAGTAGTCAGAAGTCTAAAGCACTTTCTTGTCTACATATTGACAAAGAAGATTAATCGATTTGATTAATGATATAATCACCACAAGATTCCTAAATTATTACGCAAAAGTTTTCACAGGGCTGGAATGAAATAAAATCTCTTTGATATTTAAAATTTTGAAAAATATTTTGAGATAAACATTTGATATGTTGATTAAGTTTTGCAATCAAAGGATGTTAAAGAAAATTTTTAACAATAAATTAAGTATGAGTAATAATTAATTGTTTGCCTTTAAGCATTCAATATAAAACATTTATCAAGTTCCCAATCATTAAAAAAGTCATTTGGATTTAAGCTTCTTGTTGCTTATTGATGACCTAGCTGTCAATGACCTACGATTAATGTCGTTCGGTTCTAGCTATCAATAATTTACTAAATAACGAAACAATGGGCAAAATAATTTCTTTAATACTCATATGTATATTGATTGACCACAATGCTTAATGGGTTTTTTAACTTGCTAATAATTTTAATTTCTATCCACGCATTTATGGATAAGTCACATAAATATTTTCAAATAAATTCTTGCAATCGCGCGTGCTTGAAGTTTAATAGAAACAGAAATATTAAAAAGTACACAGAGATAATTTTTGAAACGTTTATTTTTTGTCTCGATTGCGTTGCTTTAATTGATTGACACTAAGCGATATAAACAGAAAAACCATTTAGGTTTCTGAGGAATGTGTTGAATTTCAAATTTTAGTAAACTTGTGTAAGATCCTAACAAGATCCTGATTATCTGGTTTTGAATTTTTGTTTGCCGACAAATTATGTTCCATTTGAAATTTATGTTGCAACCATTAGCACGCCCTTCCCTGAGCTATATACTTGAAGCATTTTCACTCTCATTGCTATAATAATAAATCATAATTCAATAATAATTTTTTTTCTCTCAACGATATCACAATCGAAAATTTAAGTTAGAATTTATATTGCAGATATTTTCTTTTCAATCAATTGTTTTTCTTACGTAAAGTTCAGTGAACTTCACACATCGTTTGGCATTTTGAATCGAAAACTTAGTGTGAAATTTTATATCATTTTATAACATTGTGAATCGAAATGAAAACAAAAAGAAAAAATGAAAGTATGAAAAAGCCGATATTTTTTCCTTCCTTTCATTATTTCGTGTGCTCGTATAAATCCAAGTTCGGCATGAACTTTAAATTGTTAGCGGTAGAAACATGCGCAAATAATTTCTAAAGTATAAGGAAAAAAAAGCAATACAAAGCGACTCATAATTATCTATCAGCGTCTCAACGCACGATTCGTTCACCCAAAATCGCTCGAATTTTTAATTCGTTATGTTGAATAAATTGAAAAATAAAAATTAATGCAAACGAGAAGTAAGAAATCCGAAAATGTTTGGTGTGATGAATCGTTAATGTATTGTTGGTAATTAGTTGATTCCGTTCACGTTTGTAAATTATACTTTTTAAACATTCACAAAAATAAACAACAAGACTTTCTTGGATTTGGATTTGCAATAATAGTGAAGCTTGCAAAGTCTTGATTTATATTAAATGGTAAAAAGCTTGAGTTAATTATGAATAATGTAGGAAATCAATGATGCAATTCACTGCCTAACAAACTCGGATTTTGCAGTTACTAAATTATCTTTTATGAAAAACGCTGCTGACGGCTTTTCTTCTTCAATATTGTAAAATGCATAAATATCTTATTAAAAAAATTACAAGAAACATCATTGATGTTTTTCAACAAAGTATACATATATTCAATGCTCAAAGAAAGAGTTATTATTCTATTGTTGAATATTTTCATTTTGTCATAGCAAGAATATAAAAGTTCACCAGCAAGTTCAATCACAAACAAATAAAAATAATTAGTGATTTAATATTTCTGTTTTTTTCAATTCAAATACTTAACGGTGAACGGAACACGAAGCCTTGACTGTATAACAATTATTAATAATTCATAAATTAATTTGCGTACTTGAAATTGACTCAGCAATTATTTTTCTCAAATGATCTTCCCAAACAGATATCGCCAGCCAAGTTGAAAGGAAAATAACGTCGCACTCAACTGGAAGCTCGTAATAATTATGAATATTTTTCAATTCATCATTTCTCATTTTATTACGCAACAAGCGCCACTTAAAAGTAAAATAATTTCTACTACAGTAGTTTAACAGCTTCATAAAATTAATCAAGACTTTCTCAAATAATGAAATGCCCTTTAGCGGTGATGAATAATTTACTCAAACTTAATCGAATTACATATTTTTGTTGTCATAGTCAAAAGCAAAAGCTTCTACATATTTCACGTAATTTAATTAATTATCTAAAAACGTGGAAACCAAAACGCGATACAATTACTTTTCTCTTACTTTTGTGATCCAAAGACGTGCGGGGATCACTTAAATTCATTTACTAACTTCATTTTTTTAAACTATAGCATGGTAATTGTTTCCGTACTTTAATTCAATCGATAGGTATTAAAACTTCAATCATGTCGTTGGCATATTTAGCCCGCATGTTAGTTAGCTGAAAAAAAGACTTTAACTTTTGTTACGATTATTGTAAGCACAAATATTGAAAGCGAAGAGACGCCGTGTGTCAAAGTGAAGACAACAAAAAGAAAGGCATTCGAGATAGTGTCAAATAAAAAGTCGAGATAAGTTGCGTAATTATGTCTTCTGTATGAAAACATGAAGCATCTCGTAATTTTCTTTACGTTTATGTTGTTAATATAACCTGATAATATACATATGACACCCACAAGATTCTCTAATATAATAAAAAGTAATTTCATTATGAAGTAATTTTGATTGAGAAAAAAAAGAGAAAATAAGATTTTAGAATGAAAGTGGATAATTTCTTTTATATCATACTGAATGCGAAAGACGCCCACGCTTGCATGTTAAATCGTCCCTTTCTTTGTACTTAAAAAAATTAATCTTGATTTTTAAACAAAATCTTGTAATATATGTAGTAATGTGTGTTTATTTATTGTTAAAAGCAAACCATAAACCGAGGCGACAAATCATGCCCACAAAAAGAGTTGTGTACTTGTTTTTCAGATAAGTTTATTTATAATTGAAGTACAAGTATTTGCTTTTTTTTTCAATTTCAAAAGCTGAAATTTTGTAATACAACTTATGAGAAAGAAAAAATCTTAAAAAGAAAATTTCTAAGTGTCGTGGAATTTCTTTCCCTCTTTGCATTGTCACGATATAATAAAAATAAAGTTTTTGTTGTTTTCTCTGCTGTCATTGTGGGCTTGTGTGCCGATTTCAATTTTGGATAAATATAGAGTTCAACCAACCTAAACTAACTTTCATTGCGAGCTTTTATTATGATTATTTTTTGTTTTTCTTTTTTGAGAAAGTTACGCAATGCTGATAGCGATTATTAAGGTGTTCACATGCCAGTGCATAATTCATAGTGTCTTACACTAAAATGTGTTTCAGGTATGTGTAACATCTGATGATTTATAATGAAATCACTAAACTTGGGTTTTTTTTCTTTCCTACATGTATCGTCAATCCCCATCAAGTGACAAGCAAATGCGAGAAGTTTGAACATCAGGTGCAACATCTGTAAGATTTGCATTTAAATTATTTGTCTTGCTTTTATGCGTTCGATAATTTAATTATTTTTTTTTTGGTTTTTGTCTGCATATCCGATTCCTGCGAAAAACGTTTAGTGATGCGCTCGATTGAGTTTTAAAGTAGCAAAGAACGCTCATTTTCTACTGAACAACTGCCTATTGTTGTTAGACTTTAACGAGAATCACTGTTTTTTGTGATTTGCATATCGCTTTGGCAAATCTTAATTGAATGAACGACTATTTAAACAAAAAATAAGTTTTTATTCCATTTTGCTAGGAGACTCCCAGGTCTGTTTTTATTTATTTGTGATATTGTTCAATGTATGAAACTCAAAACAAAACAAAAAAAAACCCACGATAAAATAGCAATAATAATTGAACATAAAATGCACTTGATTTCAATTCGGTGATGGATTGAAAGAAGAAAAAAAAGTTCAAATTTAATGAGATACCAAATATCAGTTAATAGAGAGAAATGAAAAAACTTAAACTTGGTCATGGCTGTTTGGTCTGCGGTGAGACGAGTTTAAAAACTATGCAAATCTTGAAACGTATTTTCTGCTAGCAATCAGCGAGAGAAAAGCTTGTGAGTACTTCAAAAGATCAAGTCATTGTGTTTCAAACGCCCTGAAAATCTCTTTCGAAGCGCACAAATCATTAATACGTTGTTTGCAGATTTAATGCATAAAGGTTTACATGAAATCAATAAAGAGTCGTGCTCGTCAGCTTTTCAGCCTACATCACTACATCACTACATTTAATGTTTTCTATTAAACAAATCTTGTTGAAGGATAATTTTATGTCATGCTTGAAAGTTGTTTCTTTTGCAATTATTGAATGAAGACAAAAAAGGCTGCAGCTGTAGATGACTTCGAGGGTTACTTGAAAATAATTTTTATTATGAGCAAATCAAATGCCGTAATTAGAAAGAGTGTAGCAACATATTAGAGTACAATTAAATCAATTTCGAGTGGAACTTTTTTTTTATGTGAATGAAAAAGCAACATAATCATTCACAAAAACGTCTTTGACATGTACATGTATGATTGATGATGAACGAACGCAAGACACTCCGAAATCGACAAACCCTCAGTCTATTATTGTGTTAAATGCCAATCAGTTGGTCGCCTTTCATCATGAATATGAAATTGCATAACAAAACATCATATTACTCGCCACGTATGAAGACAAATCGTATTATGTCAATTAAAGTGTGACGGTATCTTAATCTTTCTCAATAACAAAGACGAAGCAAGAAATATCTAAGTAAACTCTTGAAAACTCATTATTCGAATCAAAACGAAAAGATCAATGAGAAAGTTCCATTAAAATATAATTTCACTACTTTTTCGTGTTCGAAAAACCAACATAAAGCAATGAAAAAAACTATATAAGAAAAATTGCAGTTTCAGTGACTCGGCGGTAGTTAATTAACTGACGTGCTGTGCCGTTTTATAAATCAAACACCACATGAATCATTTTTCTCTCCATTTGATTGCACTTTTTTATAAGTTTTCTTCTCAACGTTTGAATTGTTTTTCATCACAGTCAAGCGAAGAGCTTGATGATCGGAAAAGTGCCCGGTAATTACCCAAACACTGTCCAAATCAAACTTTCGACATCAAACATCCATCGACATTTATGTTGTTATGTAAATTGAACAGAAAACTTACCTTTAATTCGCTCTGTTGAAATTTTTGTTGACCTCTCGCGAAATGTTGATGCAGTGGTGCTGATGATTGCAGAATTGATCGCTGTTGTTACACCATCGAATGATGTTGATGAAGTTGATGATGAAGCATCAATTGGTTGATTTTGATTGCAAATGATCAAGAGCACTAATAATACTGAGTAATTGATCAATTTCATCGTCTTCAGCCATCCCATCATGGGAATGGAAATTTAAGAAAAAATTTTCGCTTGTTCAAATCTCTCACTATTTTTTCACAATTTTCACACTGATGCTCTACATTCTGACATCTGATAGTTTTTATTTGCACGTTTCTCATTTGAATTGACTTTGAACGATTGTTTAATTGTAAACTTTCAACTTTGTCTGTTCGCATGCCATTAAAACATCATTAAAATGATATCTGATGTCTACTGCATTTGAAAGGTCACATTAAAGCATGTTTTGTTTCTTTTATTCGCTATTTCAACCGCATAGCCGCCTTCTGAATACTTTTCAATTAAAATCTATGAAAAACATAAATGGAAAAATTTGATGAAAAAAAAATAAAGAAACATGAATGTCTATTGAATAAGATGAACAAGTAATTATAAGAAGAAAAAAATCGAGAGGCTAATAAAATTGATAGTTCAACGATTGTGCTAAGTTGTTGTGTGGTGCTGTGATCAATGATTATTACAAGAGAACACGAAACACTTATTTGCTTATTTTTGCGACCAAATCTATTCATCATGACTCAACCTTGAAATTAATTTAAAATATTTTCGCTTTAATTGATGCAGATTGAAAACTCTTAATTGCTTCGCCCAACAACCAAGAAACAATTCATACACTTAATTAAGTTAACCCGTCTTAAGATTTCGTATTTTTATTTTTTATATTTATTTTTTTGTTGATGCTGAAGTTGAAAAACTCCCATTTTGATTGAGTTCTCCCTTGAATATTCAGGTGAGTTGTATGATGTCGACAATTTCCGCTGACTATTTATGGAAGTTCATAATTCACAGCAGGTCGTAATCTAGGAAATTATGAATCAAAATAGCTTCACTTATAAACTGCAGCTATTGTGAACTCATAAACTTATATTTATTCGGACTTGAACCTGTCGCTTTACGAGATTAATTTTGATTTGGCCTCTTAGAGGAAGTTTGAATTAAGAGAAAATGTTACAGAAGCACTTAAATTGAATATCAATAAACATTTTTGATTCCATCTTTTGATTATTTTTCCTTGCTTCATACATACAAATTGTCCTCGAAGATTTATGGAACTTTAAGTTAACCCGCAATTTACTCAGCACCATTGACGTATAGGTATTTACAGCTTTAATACTTATTTAAAATTTTTAAAAATTTACTCGATAAATTGCGAAGTTGTTGTTGGCTAAGACACGTCATATGCTTATGAGAAACGCAAAATATTTGTTTCGTTTTGTTTGCGGTTTGAAAGAAGCATCCGTCGTGAGCTTTGTTTTAAGATTTCAACTTTCCCTTTGATCCATTTAACATGTTTTTACTGTATAAACTCGTATAATAAAACGAGTTGAATTAAATGAAAATGAAAACAAAAAAAGATATTGTTTATGAGCTCGTAACAATTACATTGAAGATTAAGATTGCCTTCTCGTAACAGTCACAAGTTGACGTCGTTTGTTGGTTGCTTGAAATTCCGTTGCGATGGTCTTAATGTGAAAATTAAGTTTTTTTTATTTTGAATTTTTAATTTTTTCAACTGGAATTCGACTTCGTCGCACAATCTCGCTGTGTTTAAAGCGAGCACAGTAAGCACAAAAAACGATTACTAATTTATAGTTTTAAAAGATATCTACCGAAAAATTTTATTATTCATTCACGAGACTACGCAATTGTTTATGATGGCTTAATTTTGAAAAGTTTTTCATCTGAGAATGTCTACAAGAAGAAGCAAATGATGGACAACAAGGGAAAACATTTTGTGGTTGCCACAATCTCATGGTTTAATGATGAAGTGTTTTACAAATGGAAATCTTCATCATGGAATTGGAGCAGAAATTTTTGCAGTCGGATAACAATTGAATTCACATTCCTTCTAATATTTATGGTCGTTTGTATAGAGAAACAAATTTAAGAGCTTCACTTTAAACATCCATAAATCATGAAGAACAAAAAGAATGCAAACTTTGACACAAATTTTCCAACAACATTCAATGTTTGTCGCAATCGCGTCTTGCCCTTATTGCGTAATTTTTATTCCATAACTGGACGATTCTCGAAGAATTATAAAAATGTTCGCTCCAAGTTCAAATTCCACTCAAAGTCGAAGAAGAAGAAGAAAAAAAACGCTTCAACATTCAAAGAACTGAAAGCATTAATCACAGATACTCCAACAAAACAAAACAAATCATCTTATTCTACGTTTCATTCATTCTTTAATTTTTTTTTATTTGTATATCTTTTTCCAGCAAATTCTGAAGCGTGGAAGTTTTTGTTTTTTTTGTTTAAAAGCAAGTTGTTGACGTCTTTGATTCGTTCTCCGCCAAAAAAAGAAAAGTAACAAAAAGACGAAAACGCACAGAAACTGGTTGGTCGCTGGAATTTACAAAAACAAAAATCACGAAAGAAAACTGTTTTAACTTTGGAAAAGTTGAACCTGAAATGCGTTACATAAAGGAATAAAACAGAAGCAAGAAGTTTTTATATAAGAAACAAGACGACACTGATTAATCGACCCATAACAAAGTTCGATGATATGAAGGTGAAAGAATCTTTTACTCACAATTTTTATGTTTTCAAGCCACTCCTTATAAAGTTAATGATATTTGAGAACATTTACAGATAAAGACACGATGACAATTTAATCGATTTGCACTTAAAGCATTTTATTTGACCAGTTTGTGAGATGTCAGGAAATAATGAAAGTCAACAAAAGGCATCTTAGCACACTTCAACGAAACTTCCGATAAAATAAATACAATCGATATTTATTTATTCATTCTTTACGACTTTTACACAGGTCGAAATGTTGTAAGTGAGAAAGATATCGATTGAGATAAAACCAAAGATAGCAATTCATGGTACTTGATGATACTTATGTTGATTTTTGAATGATTTCCTTTATTTGTTGTCCGTGATCATTCAATTGTTATTGTTCTTCCGTCAATAATTGAATTTTAAGAGACTTGAATTTTTATTGGATACACAAATAATATTAGAAGAGGGCGAGATATGAAGCGAATTTAAACAGGCAGAGCGAACTTTGTTTCCGTGAAGATAAAATTCCTTCATTTAAGTTCATCTATTTAGAGCGAACTTGAATTGAATCGAGGGTTAAAAGTGAATAATTGTCGTGTAAACTCTCATCTCTTACCTCTCAACAACAAAATATGAACAACTATTCATGACATCTTATAAATTTGTCGTAGCAAAGCCATCGCGATGACATTGACGATTTAAAAGCTTCCAGTTTAGAAGTATATTTGTTGTAATAAAATTAAACTGTTTAAAACATCCGTCGTCTACTTTTGTTTTGTCCACAAACATTTCAATTCATTCTCAATACAGAGTGTTGTGAAAATAAACAAGAAATAACTATCGAACGGGAATCAATGTGACACCGCCATCGACACAATTCATTAGCATTTGCGTTGTTGCGCAATTTTTGCAATGGACTGAGAATCAAATCTCTTTGTTTCCGTGGTGATTGTTATTTAATGGAAAATATTCAATTAAATATAACGACAAGTCAACACGTCTTCAGGAGATCAAAAATATTCAAATCATTGAAGGACATGACTGAAGCACATCCATCGCGTTATTTTTATGTGAACACTTTTATGTGGGCGGCATTGCAAACAATTAAAATGAAAAACATTGCAAAGCAGCTTCGAAGCATTTATTTTCAAATGTTTGCATGCAAACTGAAGTCGGTTAGCAGAAATTCTAAATTATTCGCTGTTAGAAACGCATGAGAGAATAAAAAAATTAACAATGAAACAGAGATCTCGAGATTTGTTGTTGGCGAAGGAATGATTTATGTTTTTCTATCAATTTAGTTCTCAAAGGAATTCAGAATGATAAACGTAAGAGTTTTTAACAGCAACATCACAATTTTTTCAATAGAATGCCGACGAGACACTCAACGATAATTATGTTAAGTGTGCAATTGCCAAAGTAACTTGAAATGTGCGTGTGTTTGTGTCGTCTCCTTTCCAAAGATGCTAGGTGGATTAAATAATTTTGTGCCATTACGTCATGACGCTCGTGTTCATTTCATTTTACAATTATGTTGATCAACTATTAATGTTGACATTCCTGAAGTTCGAAGTAAATATTTGAGAAGTTCTCGTCTTTTGGTGCGAAATCTTTGTGTTCGAGTAATTAAACAATATTTTTAGTCAGCCTTGAGGTTTGTGATTCTAGCGTTCTGTTGAGAATATTAAAAAGGCAAAGTCAGATTCTTTGAATGTCGTAGCAATTCCAAGACAGATTCGTGATTAGACAGCAACAATTAAACGAGAAAATCACCGTGAATTGAATGAAAAACAAAAAAAAGTTAAATGAGGCTTATTTGGGTATAAAAAAACAATTGTGAAATCGCAACAAGTTTCAAGTATTCGTGATGATCAAAAACACACACAATATGATAATAAAACAATATCATTGCATTATGCAGGCATTTCATTAATTAATTAATAAATTAAATACCGCTACAGACATCTGCTGATCATCGTTTTTAAACACCAAACTTTTTTTAATCTTTTCTTTTTTGATTCCTTTTAGAAAATATTTTCAACACTAATTTTCTTGNTCAATACAGAGTGTTGTGAAAATAAACAAGAAATAATTATCGAAAACAATGTGACACCGCCATCGACACAATTCATTAGCATTTGCGTTGTTGCGCAATTTTTGCAATGGACTGAGAATCAAATCTCTTTGTTTCCGTGGTGATTGTTATTTAATGGAAAATATTCAATTAAATATAACGACAAGTCAACACGTCTTCAGGAGATCAAAAATATTCAAATCATTGAAGGACATGACTGAAGCACATCCATCGCGTTATTTTTATGTGAACACTTTTATGTGGGCGGCATTGCAAACAATTAAAATGAAAAACATTGCAAAGCAGCTTCGAAGCATTTATTTTCAAATATTTGCATGCAAACTGAAGTCGAATCATTTATGTTTTTCTATCAGTTTAGTTCTCAAAGGAATTCAGAATGATAAACGTAAGAGTTTTTAACAGCAACATCTCAATTTTTTCAATAGAATGCCGACAAGACACTCAACGATAATTATGTTAAGTGTGCAATAGCCAAAATCGCTTGAAATGTGCGTGTGTTTGTGTCGTCTGCTTTCCAACGATTGTCGGTGGATTAAATAATTTTGTGTCATTACGTCATGACGCTCGTGTTCATTTCGTTTTACAATTCGTTAACATTCATGAAGTTCGAAGTAAATATTTGAGAAATTCTCATCTTTTGGTGCGAAATCTTTGTGTTCGAGTAATTAAACAATATTTTTAGTCAGCCTTGAGGTTTGTGATTCTAGCGTTCTGTTGAGAATATTAAAAAGGCAAAATCAGATGCTTTGAATGTCGTAGCAATTCCAAGACAGATTCGTGATTAGACAGCAACAACTAAACGAGTAAATCACCGTGAATTGTATGAAAATGTTAAATGAGTGGAGGAAGCTTATTTGGGTATATAAAAACAATTGTGAAATCGCAACAAGTTTCAAGTATTCGTGATGATCAAAAACACACACAATATGATAATAAAACAATATCATTGCATTATGCAGGCATTTCATTAATTAATTAATAAATTAAATACCGCTACAGACATCTGCTGATCATCGTTTTTAAACACCAAACTTTTTTTAATCTTTTCTTTTTTGATTCCTTTTAGAAAATATTTTCAACACTAATTTTCTTGAGATTTCTCTTTTTTTTATTACTTTTCTTCCAATTCACTTAAAATAATTTCAATTCATTTCTTTTTAATTCATCGATGTTTCTCTTGCATGTGCATTTAACTTTTTTCTTTTGATTTCTTGACACACATTTACAGAATTGCAAAAAGAAATATATTTCTTCTGTTATTTTCTTAAATATTGCCGCAGAGGAAATTTTTAAAGCAATGTTTACTGAACAAACTCTCAAAACAAACTGATCGATGAAAATGCTCAACCGATTTCTTGTGCTTGGTGAACGGAGAAGAAGAAAAAATGTTAAATGAGAGAATAAGAGAGAAATCGTGAAGCTTTTTGTTATATTTTTGTCCAATTATGACGTCGTCGATTGTGATCATTGATTTTACATTGATGCTTTCAACGAGCTTTTGAATTCTGTCGACAGTATTCGTTTGTAGGTTGGGATTGATTAGAAACTTGAATTTATTGTAACTAACGGTTTTCAGTTCATCTACTATAGTTAATTTACTTTAAGAAGAAAGGTAGAAGCTGCAAAATTTTATTGTTAGCATATTTATTTCGACCATATTTGGCATCGCTTTTACATAATTCAATTGATTGATTGGCTCATTGTTTCACTTCAGAGTTCATTTATTCATCTTCTCATCGACTATTTTTTTCTTTTTTTATTATTCTTCTTGGGACACGCTATGGTCATTGCATCATAAATTGGCTTGCATAATTTTTCCACTGCAATTGACGGTTCGTTATGCATCGTGTCTAAAAGAAGTTACAAAAATATTTAGAAAAGAAATTTTCTGAATTTTCATTGTACGCTCGAATGCTAAATTGAAAATTTTAAGTTTAACAGAGAAACAAATATACCTATCTAAAAGATTAATAATAATAAAAAAATAAAAGATATTTTATTAGATATGAACTTTTCTTTTGATTTTAATTTGATATCACTTTAATTTATGTGATGATTTCGATAATTTTGATATGTATGCTTGGATTTATAAGGACTAAAACCATGTGAAAAATTAGAAAACTAGGTACCTAATTAATTTCTTATTAGATTAAAAGATTTAACATTTCTAACTGAAATCATAAGTTGAAAATTTCAAAATACGTTCGTCTGTCAACTTCACGCAGATCAAATTTTTGGGTCCCAGTCAGACTTAAATGTAAACAAAAACAAGCAGCAAAATCAAAAGTTTTGTTTATTTATCAATAACAGTTATTTTCCAAAGCAAATCATGATTACAAGGATATTACTACGAAGCACTTTGAAAAATAATGTGATAGTTGTAATTGTCAGAAAAATAAATCAAATTTATTTTCGACCTTTAAACGAACTCAGAGATTTACGAAAATTTTCATCATTTGAAGATCATGATGAAGTTGAAAATGATTTTGAGCCTGTTATTAAACCATTAGAAATTAAAATCAATCTTAGCTTAAATTCGGATGATTTGATAGTGAAAAAGATTAAAAACAGCTCATCCTTTGATGAAGTTTATAAGATTATGAAAGTTGTTAAAACCAAAGATCAGATGTGTAAAACAATAATTATCGTATACGAGCTAAAGCAACTATCTAATTGGAATTTCTTTTAGGTCAAACTCTTATGAAGCTTTTTGAGTTATCTAAATCTTCTAATCAATTTTCCACAAACAAACTGTACGATATTTTATCAAAATTTGAAGATATTTTTGACGAATTGACGATAGAGGAAATAAGTTATTGTTACTTTTGTTTTGGAAAGCTTGGCGCTAATATCAGGCATTCAACAATGGAAAGAATGACAGATAAAATTACAAAATATGGTCAGAATTTGCCTCTTATTTGTCTTTCGCAATTAACTTCAACATTAGGCATGGATGAAGGACTTTATGCTTCGTGTCTTGCGGTAGAAACTTTTCCTCGCATAACAAATTGCTTAGACAATTGCAGAGATGAAATAACTCTTCAATTACTTACAGTATGCATGACCAACATCAGTCGTGTTATAACACTAGCTATTCTTGAAAACTTCAAAAGAAAAGTTAACGAGTTACTTGATAATGAAACACTTAATCATACGACAATAGCTTGCAATCTCCGAATAATTAATTTCTTAAATTTTCCACATTGGTCATACAGAAACAGAGAATTATTACAGAGAATTTTGCTTGAACACGAACACAACATTAAGTTTTTTGAGGCACGCCAACTTGTAACAGCAAATAAAGCAATTCAGTCTCAGTTTGAGTCAGCAAAGCTTGTGCCTAAAATTGTCGAAAGAGCACAGGAACTAATAAAAGAACAAACACCGGATGCAGAACTTTTAGCTCTTGCTGTTCATCATACAACACCCGAACAAAGATCGAGAATTGTTGAAATGTTGAGAAATTTTCTTTCATCTTATCAGATCTCGTCTAACCAATCAAGCAGTTCACTTCAAACTGTATTTAAAGTTCTTAGACTCTTAAAAATTTCTGACATCAGCTTATGTGACTCTTATTGGACGAAAGTTATAAATGAAATTTATGCCATGAAAGAGTCAAAACTTGACCATGGCATCTCAAAATATATGAGAAAATATATGTTTTTCAATAATAATCTTGGCGGAACTTATCGACATTTAGAATTCGAGAAGAGCGTTATTGAAATCATAAAACCAAAGGCGAAAAAGCAAACAACATCGCCGACATTTTTCGCCAAATATGCTTCATTCATTATAGCTTATGGAAGTGGAAGTAACTTTCCAAATTTTATTCTAGAAAAGATGAGAAGTTTTCACGATCAGTTGACAATCAATGATTGTCTTCTTATTTCACGAGGGATTCAAATATCTCAAGACACAAGATTCAGGTGGAAGAAATCTTCAAGTATAGAAAAACTCGTCTCAGATCTCAATATTTTGATGGAAAAAACAGCTAAACGTCATTTGAAATTAAAAAATCTTCATTTAGCAGAAATCAACACAATCATACGAAGCCAGATTATGCGAAAATGTATATTGATATTATCTTATTCGATGAATTTTTTTATTTATCTCTTCAATTGCAGCCCCACGAGATACAAAGCTTTTTCATGAGATGATGAAGTTTTACAGTGAAAAGGGAAAGCTCAATTTAAACTCACGGCTTATCCGTGAGATAATTGTTAATCTTCAAAAATGCAATTATAAAATGGACAACGTATGCGAGCAACTTGAAAATTATATCCTTGAAAATTGGGAGCATGTATCAGGAGAAACAGTTGAAAAAGTAAATACATACCTCAATTAAAAGCTAACTTTTTGACATTTTCCATGATTTTCTTTACAGATTCTCACATGTTTTTTCACTTTAAGTTATTTCCCGGAACATGTTGATGTTTTTGAAAGGAGTAGCGAAATAATGATTCGTGACTTTCAGTACATGAGTGGATTGAGCATAATTCAAGGTCTTCTTTCTTTGGTATTCTACAAGTCCTGTCCACAACATCTTCTAGCTTTGGTTTTCTCCAATGAGTTTGTAAAACGAATCGAACAAGAAATTGCGATGTGTTATTCGAAAGACTTTTATCCTCAACGTATCATGAATCTAATGATGCAACTCAATCGAGCAGTTTGTTTAGATTGTCCTGAATACAACATAAAATGGTTCCAACAAAGCTTTATTGAAGCTCAAGCTTCTAAACTTCCAGTAGTTAAGAGCGTCACTCACAATGAAGTTCATTTACTTTTACAGAGAATTGTGAAGAAACCCGGATACATTTCTGTTGATAGAGTTACGCATTACGGTTACCGTGTCGACTTTGAACTTTACATTGATCAATACAATCGATTTGTTGCTCCAATTCCAGACGATTACATAAACAAAAATTTCATACCAAGCGTAAATAGAATTGCAATTCTTTTACTTCATAATAAAATGTTCTGTGAAAATGACATTCATCGATTAAAAGGTTCGGAATTACTCCGAATGCGTCATCTTGAGATGCTCGGATATCGAGTCATTCATGTAAAAATTCACGATTTCAACATTCTGTACTCTAACATGGCAGCAAAACTAAGATACCTGAGGAAGTTACTTCAATTGTCTGCTTAAATATAAATTGTTACTGTTTGATTAATACATAAAATAGAAAAAGAAATTTATTGTCATGTTTTTAGTTTTTCTGGACAACACATTTAAAATTTGAACTCTCTCATAAAATTGTGTGTCTGTCATAATAATTTGGAATTTTTTTTAAGATATTTAAGATTCACAACACCAAATGTATGCTTCGTTAAACATTGATTGCCATGGGTTGAATTGCTGAGAATCAAAGTCATTTGGTATGTAAGGCCATTGGAATGTTTGACAACAACGTTCTGGATGTGGCATCATTGCCAAATGACGGCCATCAATTGAACATAAAGCAGCAATCCCTTCGACACTTCCATTTGGATTCATTGGATATTTTTCAGTTGGATTCATATTATCATCGACATAATGCATCGCCACTGAACAGTTTTCTTTAATTCTTTTCAGAATTTTTTCATTTTTAAACGAGAACCGACCCTCGCCATGGGCAATCCAGCAGCCAATGACTGTTCCATGCATTCGACGTAACATAATAGATTCACTTGATTCAATTTTGATGGAACTCCAACGGCATTCAAATCGTCCTGAACTATTATGCATTAAAGCAACTGAAGTTGACATATCATCATTGTCTCCTTTCTCATTACTATCTCCAACCCATCCAATTAGACTCATCAATTGACAACCATTACAAACACCAAGAGAAAATGTGTCTTTGCGATTTTTAAAATTCTCAAATTGCGACTTTAACAAGTCACTAAACAGAATCGTTGCTGCCCATCCTTTAGCTGAACCTAATGTGTCTGCGTAACTAAAACCACCAGGAAATACGACACCTCGATAATTATCCAAAAAAGTTCTTCTTGCCAATAAGTCACTCATCGTTACATCATGAACTTCAAAGCGAGCACGTATTAAAGCAGCAATCATCTCTCGATCTCCATTAATGCCTTCCTCACGAATGACTGCAACACGCCATGGATTTGAAACAATTAAGTTCATAAGTTTAACTTCTACTTCATTTGGATTGAATGTAAGTCGATACTTTGGACCAGTTCTTGTATCAAACGATTGAAATTCTTCATTAGCACATTGTGGATTCATTTGAAGCTTCTCCAATTCGTAACTTGTTCGTTCCCATTTCTTCGTTATATCAAGAACTGTCTCGTCAATGAACATGAAATCTTGCGATCTGATAATGATTTTTGAATTCATTCCAAAACCAATTGAGCGTCCAATATGAAAGACATTTACATGGTTGTCTTGAAACTCTTTCAAAATTGATTGAAGATTCTCCTGTGAACATTCAACGATCCATCCACATTCTTCTGCAAAAAGTGTAGCAGCAATATGATCGCTATCATTGTCATCAAATTGTAATGATGTCACTGCGTCTTTGATGTCAACATTGATTCCACACATTCCACCAATTGCCATTTCAATAAGACAAGTCAATAAACCTCCATCGCTTATGTCATGACCTGCAAGAATCATTTTCTGCTGCAACAACTGTTGAGTCACATTAAAGGCTCCTTTTAAAGATTCGATATGATGATCTGAAATATCAGGGCAATTATTGCCTTGTTGTGAAAATGATTGTGCCAACGCTGACCCTCCCAATCGCATTTTTCCTTCAATATTGATCCAAATCAATTCTCCTATTTTCTCATGTGACGGCGACTTTAAATCCGGAGTAACGCGAATAGTCACATCTGGACATGGCGCATATGTTGAAATTACTAAAGTCCCTGGTGATTTGATTGTTTCGTTCTGAACTCTTGCTGCCATTGAAAGTGAATCTTTCCCACCATCTACAGCGATATTTAACACTGACATCATTTGACACATTGCTTTACATGCATCAACCATTTTTGCACCTTCGCCTGGAAGTTTTGCTGCCCACATCCAATTTCCGGAACATTTTACATCAGCAAGTTCAGATATTTTAACAAAAACCAAATTGGAAAGCGATTCCGCTATAGACATTCGAGCACCAGCTGCTGAATTTATTAATCCTTTAATAGGCTGAGTTCCAATAGACGTTGCAATTCCATTACGACTAAAATGTGAAACACATGTGAGTGCATAATCAGCCAATGGCGTATGCAAAGGTCCAACGCATTGTTGTTGCACAACAAGTCCACTGACACATCTGTCAACTTTGTTTGTTAAGAATCGTTTGCTCCCAACAGAGAGAATACTCAACACACGGTTCATGTAATTTTGATAACGATTGTCATCTTTTGGTAACAACGCAAGTGGCGATAAGAAATTTTCGGAATTCTTTCTTTCCAGAATATATTTTTTTCTTGGCATTTCTCCAAGCACATCTTGGAGTTTTAAGTCAAAAGGATGAATTTCTTTCTCGTCGCTTCGATCTAAAAATCTTTCAAAATCTGCATCTTGTTCCATTAATGTAACGAACCCATTGCCAGTGACAACACCTACAAAATTTATTGGACAACGTTCACGTTCACAAATTTGTTCGAGTGATTGACGGTCTTCAGGTCTGCAAAGGATCGCATTGTTTTCTTGATATTCTGCTCCCCATAGTTCTAAAGCATCGATAGTTGGATCACCAAGTTGGAATTCTTTCGAGAAAATGATTGCACCAGCATAACCTGGCTCAACTAACTCTTTCAGAACATTTCCATTTCCACCAGCTCCTTGATCATGAATCGCAAGAATTGGATTCTTATTTCCCATCTCAATGCAAGCACGAACAACTCGATTAAGTTTGTTTTCCATTTCAGCGTCGCCTCGTTGAACTGCATTAAAATCAAGTTCCGATTGATTATTTCCTTGAATTTCAACAGAACTTGCAGCCCCACCACCAACACCAATTCGATAGACAGGACCGCCAATCTTTGCCAACAACATTCCACGTTCAGGGTTCAATTTTTGTGTATGCATTGAATCCATAATGCCAAGACCACCGCTAAACATAATCGGCTTCACATACTCATCACGTTGATTGACGCTATTTAGAGTGCCATAAGATATCGCAAAACCAGCGATCACTGGTTCCCCAAATTTATTCCCATAATCGGATGCTCCATTGCTAGCTTCGATAATAATTTTAAGTGGAGTCGCAAATGATGATGGATACTCTAAATGTGACAATGCGGTTTCAAAAGGAAGCTGATATCCGGGAATTTGAAGATTGCCAACACAATATCCTGCAGTTCCTGCAATTGTATGACCTCCACGACCGACACCTTGAACATCTCGAATTCTTCCTCCAGTTCCTGTTGTTGCACCACTAAATGGAGCGACAGCGGTCGGCATGTTATGAGTTTCTGCTGTGAAAATCAAGTCACTTTCAATGATGTCAACTTTCACTTTTCCTGGACCAATGAAGCATGTTGGACGAAGCACCTCATGTTTAAATCCATTCATAGCACTGCTATTATCACTAAACTTGATTGTGTTGTTCTTATTTGAGTGATTTTGTGTTTCGATTATCATTTTTATGAGAGATTTTTCTTCCTCTTCACCATCAATTATCATTCGACCTTTAAAGAACCAATGACGTGAATGTTCACTATTTGATTGAGCGCAATCGAAAAGCTCAACGTTTGTTGGATTTCGTTTTAAAATGTTTGTAAATAAGTTCATGTCTGAAGTGATTGAAAAACATATTATCTTCAATGGAGAAATGTGTATAAACAACTTACAGTAGTCAATATCCCAGTTGTCAAAAGCAAGACCCATCTTGGAATTAACATCATGGAGAGCTTTTTTACCTTCACTAAGAAGTGGAACAACAAACCAAGATCCTTTATCTTTTTTCAAATGTTCATCAAATGATTCAACGGGAATGTTGTCCCATGTGTAGATACATTGTGTCATTCTATCACCGAGATGATCGAGAAGTATCGTCTAAAACATTAATTTTGTATCATAAAAATTATTTATGTAAAGTTTTTTATAGTTTTGTTACCTCGCTGAGTTGAGAAATTTCATGTTTGTTATTAAATGTGAAAAGATATCTGATGGAAACTTCAATTCTTTTCACTGAGATAAGTTGAATCGAATGACAAATGCTGACAGAATTAGTGGAATCGGCTGTAGAAAAATTAAAGCGAGGTCCTATCTCTATGAGCTTTTGACACTCATTTGTAATTGCAAGAAATGGCTCAGTTTGAAAAAGTCTTTTGTCTTGAGGATCTTGAAGAATCCAACTCAATTTTCTTTCCTCGTCTTCTGATAAATTTGTACCTGATATTAATTCGACATGGAAACATTTTTCAGATTTTAAACTTGTGATGTTTTGATAAATCTGTAAGTGAAATAAATTATTAAATTGATTGCATATTTTTCAATAAATTAAAAAAATATTAATTCATCATTTCGTTATCAGCATCAATTGACGTGCTGTTATTGTGAGAAATGTTATTATGAGCGGGTCATACTCATGTTATTGATTGTATTTTTTTTCGGAATCTATAGAGGTTGCAACTTTCCACTTGGAAATATTAATTTCAAGAGAAAATTCTTCCATTTGAAGATTATAATATTTTTCACTAAAATATTCACAGAGAAATATTTTAAAACTATTTGAACGCATTTCTAAATGTTTTGGTTGATTCCCAAAACTTCTTACATGCTTCAAAACTCACTTTTTTTAAATCCTCAAATATTGATTTATTGTTTGCTGAACTAAAAGCGTTCAAATGATAAAAACGTCTGATCGTCATGCTGTTCACTTGTTGAATGTGAATTGTAGATTTAAAAATCTCTCCGGAATTTGAAAAAGTATACTACCCGCATTTTTTTCACATTTTCGTATGGTTATCATATTCCTTATTTTTAGTACAAAGTTTGTTTATTTTTACATTTCGATTAACAATTTTTCAAATGGAAGGCCAGGAAAAGGAAATAATCAAAAGCAGGTAATTAAATGATTCTTTTCTCAAATAGAAGCAAATTATGTGTCTTTTGTTTTTTATTAGATTAGGAAATTGTGAAGTTTGTAATGTAAATGCTTCGAAATATTCATGTCCACGGTGTGAACTCAAAACGTGCTCACTTAACTGCTCAAAACTTCATAAAACTGAACTGGATTGTAATGGAATTAGAGACAGAACAAAATATATACCTTTAAATCAAATGACATCTCTTGATTTCATGAATGATTATTATTTCATCGAAGAAGCGTCTCGTTTCACCAAGGGAAAACAGCATAACAAGAAAGTAAAAAATGACAGTCGCTTAAATCATAAATTTATAAAGCTAAGAAAACAGGCTTTCAATCGAAATATCAGACTGTATTTCATAAATAGTATTCTTACAAAAAGGAAAAGAAACCGTTCAGAATTTAAGGCACAAGAACAAACAATTTATTGGCATGTTGAAATAATTTTCCCAAATGCATGCAACTATAAAGTCAATCAAAAGACCAATGAAAACATGAAGATTGAAGAAATTATTAATAAAATTATAAATGATAACTGTCAAAGTAGTAAAGAATTGGAATTCTATAAAGCAGAGGGGACAAGTAAACTTAAAGTGTTATTAAAAGCTGAAGGTCTTAAAAGAATGGATTTAGGTGATCGTTTCTTTGAACTGAACTCAAAAAGAACACTAAAATCTAATTTGGGTGGACGAATCATTATTGAATATCCAACAATTTTTGTAGTCCTAAGTCATTCAGTGCAAGATTTTGCGATTATGACAAGTGATGGCAAGTTTTTACTTTATTTATTTGAAACAAAAAATAAAAATTTTCCTATTTTCAGATGAAAGTTTGCAAGATGAAATGAAAAATTTTAAGAGAATTCTTCACGAAGAAGTGTTAAGTAAGAAAATTGGTGAAAATCCACCACTTATTCTAGAGCCTGAAGAAGTTCCAATGATATCAGAAAGCGTTGATGGAACAGTAAATGAAACCGAAGAAGAAACAAAAGCTAAAATTAATTTCAGCGACAACGATAAGAGGGATGATTATAAACCAATCAATTACTTCTTTTAATCAATTTTTATAACGAAATATATTTTATATAATATCTACTTTTATCTAAAAGGTTCCGATTTAATTTTCAGAAATCCATAATTTTCAATGCAATACTTATGAACATTTATTTTATAAATTAAACCAAACTATCACAGATGTAGGCAACTCCTTTCTTCTGATTTTTTTCTGCTACTTTTCAAATATATACTCAGACATATTCAAGAATTGCATGAAGTGATACATAATAAACTGTCAGCATGGGGGTGATGTACAACCTTATAATTCCACGCATTAATACTACCTATTTATTTTCATTAAAAAATATTGAAGACAATACATAAATTCAATTAAACGTAGAGTGAAAAATGTTGTTCTTATTATTCCCAAATAAAAAAAAACCTTAACATGTTTTCGCTTTCATTAGAAATACCTATCTTGTAAATTTGTCTTTTATTTTTATATTTTAATTAAACATTTTTTTAATATATAGTAAAAAAGTCTTATAAAGGCCACACATCTTTTTAATCATACAAGAAGTACGTCTTATCTCAATTTAATATTTGTTCTACTTATGTATAAAGTTTCAATAGTTGAATTTTTTGTCTTGTGTAATTTTCGTGTATGTACAAGTAGCTGTCTCAGCAACAAATAAAAATAAAAAACAATGCTTTGGATTGAGGTCAAATCTTTAAAAAATTAAATAATGAACTCGAAAAGTTAAAAATAAATATTTAAAAACCTTTGTCTTAAATTACATATCTTGTATAAAAAACTAGGCCGCTTTGTACTTTAGACAATGAAGAAGAAATCATCGTCCATAAGGAAACGACAGAAAAGGGTAACAGAACTGTTCCTTTTAAATGAATGCACATGAGAGTATGAAAACAAGCACAGCAATCGGAAAAACAACATAAACAGCCATTCGTGGAACACATTGAGAGTATAAATATGTGATGTCGTCATCTTCATGCTCGATTCCATCTCTTGTTGGCACTTCTACAATCACAACCTCGTCAGAAAACCTAAAATTATTAAAATGTTTTAATATATTCGTGATAATTGAATGAATGCGAATATTACTAACATTTGAATAGGAAATCGACATTCCGTTGAATTTATACATCCTTTAGTTTCTGAAATATTAGAATATAAATATGTAGGCTTGTAAATGTCGAAAACAGCGTGGATGTTGTTTGAATCGTAGTCATTATCCGAGTAGAAAATGTAGTAATAATATCCATCAGATTTAACATCATGTTTTGATATAAGATACGATCCTTGCTCTAAGCTCTTCACACTTGTGCAAATTTTTGAAGGTGGAAAACCTTTTGCAACCAAAATTTGCCCATCATAACATTCAAAAAGAGCGTTTTCAAAGCTTGATATAGAATCAGATTCATTTTGTGGATATTTAGCATTTCCTCCATGGTTAATGCCTCCATCTAAACGAGTATCTCGAGGTGATCGTCGTAAATTTTCATCCTCTGATTCATTTTCCTCATCAAGCAATTCCTCTTGATCCACTTGCAATTTATATTGCTTTTTGTTATGTCGAGAAGCAGCATTTCTGTTATCAAGGTAATAAGATTCTTCATTAACTTCAGACTGTGACTTCTCAAAATTACCCTTCAACTCAGAAGATTTAGGAATGATGGCATTTTTATCTATCTTAAGATAATTATTTGCATAATCGTTCTGTTTTTTGTATTTTTCATCTCCATAATCAATAATTTCTTCACCTCCATTATTGCGCATTGATTCATCGTCAACAGCTTTCTCTTGAATGAGCCTTTTACTAACTTCTTTAATACTAATCTCACCCGAATTTACAACTTCAGCAGCTGTTTCAAAAGTTACTTTCACTTGAGACTGTTCTGCGTTGAAACTAGCTCCAAATTTGTTTTTATTGTGATCCATTAACCCGCATGTTCGAAGATTTCGCTCTCCTTTAACTACGAGTATTTTTGACCCATCATATCTTGAGCAGACTTTCAATTGAACAGTGGCACCTTTCTTTAAATAAAATCCCCAATACTCAAGCGTGTCATCGGGTAAGATCATCGACTTCTTGAGACGGATATGCTTTCTACTGCTACTTTGATCAGGCATATGTTTCATTTGAAATGCATTAAAAGTTGAATTCATTTTTAAAGCATGTTCTTGACAAAAAATTGTTGAAATGCCTTCAGTGATTTCTAAAATATCTGATTCTGCAACAGCATAAATCAGGTCTTTGAATACTTGATGCTTCAAATACAAAGGACAAATAATGAGAATAGCTGGCAAAATTACTGTCAAACAGCAAAATGCGACTACTCTCTTTACGCCACGCATGTCCCCTTTTTCTGAAAGAAGTGTTGAAATATTAATATTATTTATTTAAATATTGACCAAATATTTGATAACATTTGAAAAAGCGAGAAAGATTTTCACGGCCGTTTACAACTTTGTTGCTTTGTTTAAAAGCTGTCCACATATCTACATGCAAAACAATAAACCTGTTATCAGAATTTTGAATCTTGTTTTTTATCTTACAGAAGAAGTTGAGTGTTTTCTTTCTTTTTTTATTTCACTATATAAACGACATTTAAATGAGATTCATGGAAACTGATAAGCTTGTGATAAGGAGTTGTTTTTTTCCATAAAATAAATACTTGATTTACTTACTATACAAAACACTTTTCTATCAGATGTTAAATGTATTCTATCTTTCATAATATTTTAAAAAATTATTTACACTATGCTATTTTCATAAACACTTTAAAGCTTATAACATGATATTCAGAGTTATTAAGGCAGGTTTACAAATGAGGAAGACGAGTTTGTTTATATTTTTTGTTCTAAATGGGGAACAATGCGTACTAATTTTTCTTTTAAATGAACCTTTTCCGTTAAGATTTGTGCGTCAATATTTGCTAAAAAAATTCTTATCTCTTTAACCATCACAAAGGGTAATTGCAATCGTAAACTCTTCTACGACTTACTTCCTCCTGAGTATTTTTCTAGCTGTTGCATTGATGTGTATTTGAATCTTGTTTTGTAATATGCACTAACATTACTGTGTATATCATTTCCAATTTTATTATTATTTTGGGGATTCATAAGAACTTTCAAATATGTTTTCTCTTTGTATTTACACAATTTGATATCAAATAATTTTGAACTTAAATTAAACAACAAGTTTTCTCTCTGGAGTATAATTTAAAACTGATACTCTGTTCATCCCCCAAAGCAATTGAAATTATTAATCACTTGTTGAGTGATAACTTATGTATGTGATGATAAGACATATCAAGATTAAGATAGGTTTAAATTTCAGAGGAAATATTTTCTCTGTCTCAGAATATATAGATATTTAGCCATTTCACTATTCATAATATATGATCTAAATATCATCAATCTTCAAGTATTAAAGGTTGAATTACAAGTAGGTATAAAAATGACAATTTTTATTTAATTCATTTCATAAATTCTTTCAGTTATATTTCTTGTTTAAACAGTATTATCATCGGTACAAGAGGCATTTATAGTTATAAAAGCTTTTGCGTTTTCCATCGCATTTTGGTCGTTTTTATAATTTTCTTCGGTCTCGGCTAGGATCTTTGTATACATATCTTCCTCATCACTAAGAGCATTTATGAAAAATGAATTCTGAATAAATAAAAGAAACAAACATATTGAATTCATACGTATTTAACACAAAATGAATGACATTACTTCAATAAAAAGACTCGTCATATCTTCGCATTCCTGCTCCAAATTATTAAGATCCTCAATTGAAATTTTGTCCTTATGACAACGATCTTCACATAGCAATACGTTGTTTGGTATTTCAAAATTCTTCATGGAAATCTCATTTATTTTAGAAATATAATTTGTAGAGTGTTGGTATATTTTCTCTGTTGCGATTGGAGATAGTTCTTTTAACATCCTACCCAAGTCTGGAGATTTCTCGGAATTTGTTACACGATTTAATAAATATTCCTCGATTTCATTCATTTCGGCCAAAATACAATTTCTCACAAATATGTAATCTGCAAAAATATTAGGTATTAAACATTTAAATTCAAAGAAGCTAAGGTATGTTCTTACTTTCTTTCACAAACAATTTCAGTGAAAATCCATAAAGTTGTATTTCGTATTCCTCGCGCGTTTTACTTTTAACATCATTATCCCTTTCCACTTGCAGAGTATTCATAATGTATATAAGGTAAATACGCAAATGATAATTAATGTAGATATTTTAATTTGTTTAAAAAAAATTGCTTGTTATTATTTTCTGATCCTGAATCAAGAATACTGTTCTAAAAAATTTCAGTTAAATTTGAAATGGAGAGAGGAAGAGAGATGAAGTCAAAACGAAAGAATTTAGAACAAGGTAATATAAAACAACGTGAGTTAAATAAAAAAGATACAAAACAAAGTTACGATGGTATCTTTGAACTACACTTTAGATTTATTTTCAAAGAATCTAAAAATCAATAAAGTTCAAGACAAACATGAGGACGAGTGTTATAATAATAAATTTGAATGCAAAAAAGAAATTCTAATAAGTCAACCACTTCTTAAAACTTTTAAATTTTGCTGTTCAATTTGCAATGAAGGTTTCAAAAGAAAAGATCGTCTGGATCGCCACATATATACTCATACAGGAAAGGTAATGAAATTTATGTTCCTTTTTGCTCAAATATAAAATATTCATGATTTTAGAAACAATTCGCTTGTGATTATTCCGGATGTTCAAAAGAGTACACTAATTCATTTCATTTGAGAAGACATATAAAAACAAGTCATCAGAAAATTAAACTTGTTTCCTGCAAAAGTTCTGATTGTAATGAAACGTTCACAAATTCGAGTAATATGAATCGCCACTTTCAATCGCATCACATCAATCTACTGCCATACATATGTACCCAATGTATTGAGAAATTTCGACGAAAACAGCAATTACGAAGGCATGAAGCGGAGAAGCACACTGGAAAATATCCCTATAATTGTAGTTACTGTCAGAAAGGATTTATCAACACGTCATCGCTTACACGTCATTTGAAAACGCATAAACAAAAAGAAAAAACTCACTCGTGTTCAGAATGCCAAACTATTTTCTCAAAATGGTCTCAACTTGTGCTTCATCGGCGACGATTTCATAAAGAAAAGCATTTTGTTTGTGATTTGTGTGATAAATATTTTTCACGCAAACCGCATATTAAAGAACACATGAAACTACATTCGTTAACATCGCAGGATGTATTTCAATGTTACTATGAAAATTGTCCAAAATTTTACACTTTAAAGCGAAATTTAACATTTCATATTCGATCAAAACACGAAGGTAAACGATGGATATGTGATTATTGTCTTCAAAAACTATCAACTAAACAAAAACTTATACTTCATCTTGAATATAAGATACGCACTGGAAAATGTGTTATAAATAAAAGGAAATTGTTTGAAAAGAAATCTATTGTTGCCCTTCTAACAGGATTAGATATTCCTTCAACAATAGATGAAAACCCTTCTAAAGAAAACTTCTTAAAGTCAACTTATGAGACTGGTGGAGAATAATTTTAAATCCTATTTATTCAAAATAAAAGTCTTTGATTCAACTACAGTGAATTTATAACTTTTCTTTTTCTCATCTCATCTATCCATTTGTCAAGTTTCTCTTCTGGAGTGATCGGGTGAGGCAAATAATAATGCTTTGGAGGTTCACCTTCTTCAAGTCGTACGAAGTAATGAGTATGCTTATATTCTACTTTTCCAAATCGAGCTCTTCCATGCCGTCTTATTCCTTTAAATACCTTTCCTTTCCCACAGAAAGATTCAGCTAAAATGTAATAAAATAATATTTAAACCTAAATTCAATGTAAATCTCATTTGCCATATTTTCAATTCTTTATTCATATAACTTACCAACCCATAAATTACTTTTAAATTCAACATTATGGTCCCTTACTGCCATTTCTTGAGCCTCAAGAATTGTTTGCTTAATGTCAGCTGCTGCTTTTTTAAGAACAAAACTTAATTGTTTGACAGCTTCATCTACTGTCATACCACGAACAAAGCTAGCAATGTACCACATCTTTTTTGGACTGTATTTAATATTTTCTTTAATATGACAGACAAACTGAAGTAGAAATATATATAAACATTCTGAAATTTTATCATCAAAGTAATTAATTATTTGCCGAATCAACTTACCGCTTTTCGCGGAGTTTCATCTGGAAGTTGAGGATCATAAATTTTTTTGTTGTTAAGAAGAAATTTTTTCGGTCCCATGTTTTTGGCATTGTATTTTTTATCAAGTATAGATGATGTATGAAATAACGAGCCATTGAACTGTTTCATCCAATTTAGATGATTACATGTTAATAAAGTTTTAGAAGCGTTCACTATTTTTAACATTTTGAGTTAGTTGAAAACTTTTGTAAACACGCTCGTGTTCTAAAATATTTTGTAGCTACCTAGTTCTTAACCCCGCAATGTTTTAAAAATTTATTCAATACGGTAGGAAAAATGCTGAAATTTTGTTTGTATTAATTTTCTGTTTTTAAACATAAAGAGAAAACTAACTATAATTCTAGCTAACCATTAAATAGGAATCTTACAGACAAATACATAAAATATGTATTTTAAACTCCAAGTAAGTGGATTAATATTTTTTTCTCAGTGAGAAATTCTCACGCTTGTGTCGTTAGTAAATGGTTACCAAGTTACTAAAGATGTAAACATTATATTAATTTAAAATCACTGATACATAAAATTTAGCTATATAAACCGTATGAAAACACTCTAAATAATCAAGATGAGCTCACATGAGAGAGGAGAATTACAATCAAAATTAACTTTAAGGAGGATAAATCAAACTGAAAAAAATTTTAATCTTTTATATGACGGTGCAAGATCCTTAGCTCAAAAAGAAAATAAGTAAGTTTTCAACTTCTTATGTAGGTAGTATGATAAATTTATAATTTTTCTCGTACATATTTTATTATAAGGGTTCGAGATAAAATAGATAACATTGCAAAAATTTTTAAACAAATCTCCGACAATGAGCAACATAACAATTCTACGGCGAAGACGTTGGAAACGATTGCTAATAATGTAACTTATTTAGCAGATCATCATACCTTGAAAATTCAAAGAATCGAGGAAAATTTTCTTCAAGATTTGATGCAGTATCAAATTATTTGTCGTAATGTAAAAGAAGAAATTAAGAATCAAATTTCAATTCGCGATCGGGAGTTGATAAAACGTAAGCAGTTGGACGTACCACGTCAGATGGAAAATGAAAATAAAGTTATGATATCAAATATGCAAATATCAAAAGCCTTAAAAGAGATTGTGTTCATATCGGAGCAGTTTGAAGCACAGAAAATAACTGACTTTAAAAATATTTTAAAGAATTTTATTTTAATCGAGATGAAATATCATACTTCGTGTTTGGAAGTTCTTTCGATCTTACACAATAATGTGGAGACATTTAATGAACGACAAGATAATGAGGTAAGCTTTTAAATTAAAATGAGAAGACTTAAGTATCTATTACTTAAACCTTGACTTAAACTTTAAAGTTTTATCGACGTATATATCTAATTTTATAAATAATAAAACTCTTGTTTTAATTTTTAACAGCATTTTAAAAAGCAGTTTCAACAGAACGATCGAATTAGTCCCCCTTTTATTCTCAGTAAAATAAAATCACAATCCCTTGGAGCTCTTTCATCAATATTAAATAGAAAGGCATTTCGAGAAAAACCTTTATCTAAACGACATTTAAAGCTCTTCAGTCAGAGTTTAGTATCATTGAATTCACTGGATAATAATAGCGAAAATGAAGTTAGAAAGGACAGTCATCCACAAATAATTAATTTAAATGAATCTATCGTAAGTTTGGTGAAAATCATTTTCGTGACTGATAATCGAAACTATATTTTTATACATTCTACAGGATGGAAATAAATCAAGCGATTCAGAAGTAACTGACTCAACTGAAAATCCGAAAAAGGATATTGATTCAAACCATGATGGAATTCATAAGCAATTTAATTTTCTAGAATAAAGTAGATTAAGTGTTTTGAAAAATTATTAGAGGATTCATTAAAATATTCAACTTATTGTTTGATCAATATTCATGAGAAATAACAAAATGATGAAATAAGTTCAGAACTATAAATAAAGTTTATACAAAACAAGTTTCCTTTGTGCATAACATGATTTATTAACCAAAAGAATTGAAATTTATATTAAATATTAAATGAAGATCATCAGATATTTGGAATTCATCCTTAGTGCTTTAAAAGAAGTTGTCAAGCAATGCAGCGTCACTATGGTTATTTCAATTTAACTTTGCGTCCTTGAAAATTATGATAAATAAAATAAAACTTAGTTTATGTTAAAACAAAAATAAGTATTAGTTGTCATGGCAAGGGAAGCAGTGTTTGTTAGTAACGAGGAAATTGCTGGATCAATACAAATAACTTAAAAATAATTGCTGTTAAGTCCAACATTCTGCTCACTATTAATATAATATTAGGGATAAAAATTGAGATGATGAGATTAAAAAGGCATATTGAGGATAAATTACTTGTCTCCTATCTGATGATGTCCTTCAACTCCAGCTTGAGTCATCAGATCACTTATAGACTTTTCCAAATCGTCGATTCTTTGTGAGAAAATTAAGTTCTTAACATTTCAAATGTTTTAAGAATTAAAATATATTATACCTATTGCCCATATCATCAATCCTTGAAATTATCTGCTCCGACATTAAACTGAATTTATCTTGCACATTTTGTAATAAATTTTGCACCTATTTAAGGAATGAAAAATATTTATTACTAAAGTTTCACATTATATTATTTAATTAAATGTTAACAGAATTAAAACTTACATAAATAATCAGCTCTTCATTATTTTTTGGATCCATAGTATTGCTATTAATAGAATAGTTAGTTTGCTCCATTTCATCAAGTTCACATTTCATGTCTGACATTGCGAGTTCAAATAACAAACTTTTCTTGATGAAGAGTTTTTTTGTGCGTATTTTTTTCTGTTCTAGAAGTTTGTTTGTTTTTCCTTACCCCACGATGTGTTTGTTCTAAACATTTAAAATATTTTTAAACGTTAATTTTATTATTTGACTTAAGTTAGTCGTCTCTTACGAACAAAATAAAATTTCTCACAGATTATTTTACACTTGATTGTGTACAAAACATCAAATACCTACTTGTGTAGAATTCATAAAAATATTATATTTTAAATGATTACTTTCGATGCGTAAAATATTATAAATATGAATTAAATAATGTATTTTTAATGTTTTTCTTTGAATATTGTAAGTCATGCAATTCTTCCTCTTTTTTTCACTTTAAGTTTGTTGATATAATCAACAATATTAACAAAGTGTAGACAAAATGCTTTTCCTTTATCATTTTATTTCTTAAGCATGTCTCTGTTTTTCTCGTCTTATCTTTCTTCATTATTATTGTAGGCTTAAGGAAATACATATTTCGTATGTATCGTTCATCAAGTTCATCATATCTCCAGAATAAAAAATTAATTCATCCGAAATTAGAGTTGTTAGTCAACAATGTCGTGACGAGGCTTTTTAGATTCATTATTTGCTGTATGAAAATTGAAATGTACATTTTTTTCTAATTAAGTCTTAGATGGAATATGGGAAATTGAAAAGAAGCGAATGAAGTTAACTAAGGTAACAGTAAAATTTCTTTGATTGAATCTCTTTAAATTGATGGAGTCTTCATCTAATTCAGCGAAAAGTGCTTGACATCAAAATTGGTACGTTATGACTTAAGATGAATGCTATAATGAAACCTCACTATGTATTCAAAGAGAGTTTGATCTATATTTGTAATAAAAAAACAGTATTGTAAAATATCGTTGAATATTACTTACTTATTAGATTGGTTTCACACTGTATAGGTACCTAATTCTTCATTTTCACGCATCGTCAGTGGTATCATCTTCAATCTTTTTCGAGCTTCGTCCAACTCACTCTCTTCAAACTGCTCTGATTTTTATTCTTTTTTTTTCAAAGAGACTAAAAATTAAAATAAAATTATTGGTTTAATGCTCGTGCCATGATTATCTTTTCACATACCTATATGCTATTTTTATGTGTGAACTGAAACCTGAAGTGGGAAAATATGAAAAAAAATTACTAAAACAATATTAAGTGGGAAGCTAACTGAGCAACTGACGATTTCTTTCTCTAACATGGTTGATTATAAATTTTACGTGCCGAAATACCTAAGGGTTTGTTTTGAATAATATTTTTGAGATTTTCTCGACCTTTTCTATAATTTTTAAAAACAAGAATACACGAGAGCTTTGGACTCAATGACAACTTGTTTGTCATTGAAAATTTCAAGGTTTACGATATAAAGAAATCCATCACAAAATCAATTTTTTACTATTAATTTGAAATTAGAAATTTATACGAGGTGTGTCATATTGTAATCACATCTAAATCGTAAAAATCTTATTTTATTTCGATTTTTTTTTATCTAATTCGATTAACTGAGTGGTATTTTTCAGGAATTGTTTTTTTTTAAATATGGATACATGAGAAAATGCTTAAAAAAGAGCGAAATTAAAATAAATTAAGTTGATGTAAAAATAAAGTTTTGTATTAGTTTTAAACTAAATTTTTCGTTGATATTTAATGATACGTAATTACACGAAAAAAGAGAGTTTAAATATATATTAGGTTCGTCGTTCATCCAAAACTCAAATCTTTCTATAACCTAATTAAATAAAATAAATCAAATAAGCTTTAAACAAAATTAAAAACATTAGAAATGATTCTTTTGTATTAATCTAGTTTTATTAAGACTAACAAAAAAAATTGTCATAAGTTTTGTTTTATAATAATTTATCATGCAAATGTCGCGATTATCTCATTTCAGTAGAAATATTTATAAGTCAGAATTTATCATTTCAATTTTCTTGTAAGATGTTAAAGATATTTAAGATCGTTATTTCGATCAAACTGAATGAAAGAGCATGTTCCCTACTGAATTTCACGAATTGTACAATAAGAATATTAAAGCCACTACGAATCAACACGAAGGTTCATTGCCCATTGTATGTGCAAGTTTAAAAAGATAAATAAGACACAGAGCAGAGCAATTAATTAAATTATTTCTGTTCTCGTCTTTTTGTGTTTTTGCTGTTTCTCTTCACGTCTGTTACTTTCAAGCAATCACAAGATTCTCCATTTACTCTTTGGAATTTCATTGAAATAAATGTGATATCCAAAGGCATCCAAAAAGTAATCTGAATCAATTCGAAGAACAAACACAGCGTTCAAAGTGCCACTTGGTGAGGGATAGAAGCTTGTGGAAATTGACAAATTGATTTTCGTTTCGATCAATTGTAAGCAATAATATTCACCATTGAAATTAGATTTATCATCTAATGTAATTATTGATAACACGTTTATAAGAAGATTGATAATAAACCTTTCGAAGTGCCCTTATGAAATTGATAAATGGTGTAAGCAAGAAGCTTTCTAGCAATTAGTATCGCAAAAATAACAATCCAATCGTTGTTTCAACATAAGAACTGTAGGCTGTTGTATGCAATAGCGATTTATTTATCCATATGAAAAACACAACCGAATGATTTTTGCACGACATCACTTATTCTTCATATATACATATCTACCACACAAAAGCAAAGAGAAAAGAGAATTAATTAAACATCATTCGCGGAAATAAGAATTAAATAAAAATGAAAAAACACCTGTACCACGGATAGTTTTAATTTAGTTAAAAAATGAGAAATTATGAGAAGAATTAATTGAATGAAAAACATTTAAGCTTCCATCCAAATGGTTTCGAATAGAAAGTTAATATTATTGTTCAGAACGTTACTTCATTATGTGACTTATGCTTATTATTAAAAATGTTTTATCTATTAGATGAATCTGCCAAAAAATTAAAAAAAAACTTCGGCTATTGACAATATTTTGAAATGTTCCCAATTTTTTTTTATCAAATACATACCTACATAAGTAAGAAAACATCTTAAATATTCATTTTGCAAATTCATTGAAAATTTATTCAGATTATATTCTTTGTGTGCATGCAATTGGCTACTGATCCGGTTGGATCCGTTAGGATTAGTCCGATCGTCGAGCCGGCTCATTTGGGCGCGAGAGAGACGACGATATGAGTCGAGAGCGAGCCGTTGACGGATGCGGTCGCATCAGCTACTTTTCTTGGAATTAAGAGGAACGGAATCTGAAATTGTGACGAGAAAAGTGCACGAGAAAGCAAAGCATCAAGTGATTGCAAATTGAAGAAAAAAGTTCTCCACAAACAGTAAAAAAAATCTTTTACGAATCACGAAAAATTGCCAATTTCTCGAAAAGAGTTGAATTTTTTTTATCTTTTTACGTTTAGATGTTTTTATTTTTATTTTGCTTTGATTCGATGCTAAGAAGAGGTCACAGAACCCAAATTTGCATAATCGAAAGAAAAACCTTATGATTTCCATTTGTGGCAACGCTCAAGACCATCCGACTTTTAATTAATGGAAAAGTTGATTCATGCATTTACATGTGAATACATTTTTATTTCTTTGCGTTTTGGTCTTGAACACAGAGACGCGATTGAGAAAAATCCACATCGTGTGCATTTAAATGAATCCGCTTGCACTTGTTTTATTGAAATAAAGCAGTAATGAACGTTGAATCTTTACTTTATTTTCATCCTCTCTTCTTTTCGTTGTCGTCTTTTTTTCTTTTCCAAACAGAGTTTCATTGTTATTTATTTATAACGTCCTACACAAACCTTGAGACAGGAGAGTGAGAGCAAATTTTACAAGGTATTAAAAAAGGAAATTAATCTTTTGAAATGATCGCTAGTCAAGTTTATGATTCGTAAGTATATGAAAGAATTAACAGCAGGTAAGATTCCAGATTTCAGTATAATTTTTAAAGGCAAATTTTGCCATTCCGTAAGTAAATGAGAGACGTTGTTTTACAAATACTTGATTGAAACAGGTGCTGGCTTATTTCATAGCACTATACGATCAAAAATATAATTCAAACATTGCTTTTTGAAAAGTAATTAGGTATCAATCTTATCATTTACTTAATGTCTACTCCATGACAATGACAAAATTACTGGCATTAATTTCGTCTGATCAATCAAATGATAACTGAAGTGAAAAATCTTTAAAATCCCTTCCTGAATGAATTTTTTATGTATCGGTATCCTAATGGGAAATGGAATAATTTAGTTGCAATAAAATCAGATGTCTAAAAGCTTTTTGTATTTCTACATTTAACTATATGTTAGTTAATCGTGGTTGAAACACTTGTACCATTTCAGGGCATTTCAGAAACATATGTGAGCGCAAATATAACCGAAAGAGAATTGAATGCTTCTTACGATGATATCGTCGTGATTACTATTGCAGGCAACTCATAGCGCAAACATAAATCAACAACCTAGTTATCACTTATTTTCTCTTCGAAGTCTTTGGTTAATTGCATTAATGAATTTCCATAAATATACAAAGCTGTCGGGTGAATTTACAGCTTCGACAAATCTTTTTATTTTATTGCTTTTGATTGCCAAGAACCATTGTCGGCAAGCTTCAGTGTTGTTTTGGTAAATGTAAGCAAAGACATTTATGTATGATTAAGCAAAATAAAATCCTACGAGGAAGGGATTGACTCAGTCAATAAATATAATTCGATCATGAAAGTTGCTACTCGTTGAACGCAAAATATTTAAACAAACATTCTTATCGCTAAAGGAAGGCATTAAAATTTCGACAATAAAAATAAAGCTTGATCAGACAAGTTCAAAAACCAAATCACGACAATATAAAGTGAATTGATTTTCCTTAAAAATAATTCCGTTAATGAAGCCGCTATAAAGTGTCGGAACAAAGCACGATCTGCTATTCTACAAAGTACACGCTAAGTAGTCAAATCTCTTTTTCTTCTCTGATGATAGTTTCACGTTTCCGGTTTTTATTGTTTATATTTTTCGTTCTCATGTGTTGTGTGTTTGAAGCTCTGATTGGTCTCGTTCACGTTTTAAAAATGAAGTGGGGAAAAAGTGAGCAAATCAAGTTGAGGAGAAGATGTTAGTTACGTTGAATTTTTAAAGTCAGTTTAATTTCAACCTTGATTGCCGAATGAAGTTATTTTATCAGAAATTAAATAAATAACGGATAGCCAAAGTGAAATAAATCGAAGTGAAAGTGAAGCTCACTACATGCCGACTTTTAATATGCAAAGTAAAAATTATTACAGTCACTGTCCACTAAAAAAACGACCGATCAAAGAAGGTAATAAAGTGACATTAACTCAAATTGGCATTTAATTCAGTCAATAATTTTTATCCGTAATAACAGAAACACCTTTCGACTCTGAACCTGAAAATCTAAGCACAAAACCAAAAGATTTACAAAGCAAAAGTTTTAAGAGGAATATTTCAACAGATTTTACACATTCGGGAATGTTTATTGAACCAACATTTGGAAGTGTTCTATATAATCAAAAATTATGGAGAATACCTGAAATTTCTGCAAGCTTTTATCCATTCCAGTTGTATAATGCTTTATTGCCACGCCACAAACCTTGCCAACTTGTGGCTTCTTCAGAAATCATACTGTCGAATGCGTCGTCATTAACTCCACTATCGGAAGCTTTTATAGAACCAATAAAACTGGAGAAAGCAGCAAAAAAAGTCGATGGGCTTGTGCCAGGCCATCAAACTTTATTGTCTCTTTCACCCACGTCTAAACCATTATCATTAACATCTCAACCGACACCATCAAAACTAATGACTTCCGCAAAAATGTTAACAGATTTTAAAATTACAACATTATTAAAAAGTGAAAAAGGCGGAAAGAAAGAAAAACAAATGAACAATTATCAATGCAAAGAGTGTATAAAAACCTATTCAACTTATTCTGGGCTAGTGAAGCACCAACAGTTTCATTGCTTATCAAATTGTGATAAAAAAGTGCAAAAACTTATATCATGTAACGAGTGTGGTAAAGTTTATGCATCAACAGGAGCACTAAAGATGCATATAAGAACACACACACTTCCTTGCAAGTGTCATCTCTGTGGAAAAGCTTTCTCAAGACCTTGGCTTCTTCAAGGACACATAAGAACACACACAGGAGAAAAGCCTTTCAGTTGTAATCACTGTCATCGTGCATTCGCTGATCGATCAAATCTTCGAGCTCATCTGCAAACACATTCAGATGTTAAGAAATATTCATGTACAACATGCAATAAAACATTTTCGCGAATGTCTCTTCTAATAAAACACAATGAGAGCGGATGCAATTTTGACTTTGTTCAAGAACGTTTATCTTGTTAACTTGGTTATTAAACATTATTTACTTATATCTAGTCATTTTTAAAAGTTTTAATCATAAGTAATATCACCAAGATATATCAATTCAAATGAATCATGAGAAATGACACATAATATGTCACCATAAATTGAAAGAATCGATTTCATTCAACATACAGTTTAATCTTTCTATGACTACTTGAAGTTCAATAGTTTTTGTATTAAAATGATTTTTATTTAAAAATTCTATTGGAATTACTTCCAAAAGTATATTTTACACTGTCACATCAAAGTTTTGTGATTTTAAACGGCTCATCATTTCTCGCTTCAATTATTGTGCCTTAATAATGAAATTTAATGGATAATTGTTCAAGAAATTGAATGCTTAAAGAATCGCCGATTATTATGATGAAAATGCTCTAAGTAAACAAGAAATATTTTTGAATGGTAGATATACATATGCATACAAATATAGAAATCTGATTCGAATTCAATTCGATTAAAATATAAGAGCAACAATTATTTATAATTTTCTAGATAATAAATAGAAAGAATAATTTAGGGAAGAATAAAATTAAAGATTTGTATAATAACATTAGAAATAAATCACCATTGAATATCTATTTATTTAAAAAAAAACAAATCTGTCTTTCATTAATCGATTTAGGTATATGCTGGAGAAATTGTTGTGTTATTTTCTTGTCTTATAAGCTTTTCAATTGACAGCATGTTGAAAATACATCAGAATGAACTTAAAGATTGGAATCTATCACAAGTTTGTCGTGTAAAAATATAGCATAGCGCCTCAATACTATCTAAAGCACATCTTTCTTATAAGTTATAACACAGCGATTTTTTTCCAATTCAATTTAAATCCACCTACATCTTCTTGCTATGCTGGTAGTAAAGATTCATTTATTGGAAATAAAAAAGAAGCAAAAGTAGATAAAAGGCAATAATAACAATGAGAACGAATGTTATTTCGCAACTTGATACCATGAGATGCTTTATAAATCTTTGTTGTCGATTGTTGAAAAAATCATGAATCATTGAGAATGAAAGTTTGATGCCGTATGAGAAATATTTGAATGATGATCGCTACAAATTACAGGTTGGTCTAGTGAAAACATTTCCCTATCATAATTAAGAAAAATTATTCTTCTCATTGAGAGAGCAGAAATTTCAATTTTATTCTTTCACACACGACGTGAAATAAGTTAATTTCCTTTGAATCCACGAGTTCGTTATTGGTTCAAGACTTCATAATTTCACTCTTTGGGTACGCCAACGGGTACGCCTTGATTAGCTTGGGAAAACGATTTATTTCCCATGTCATGTGGAAGATAATCTGCTTGTGTCTCTAATCAAATTGCAATGCGACTGATCGTATTTTTCTATCTCCCAATCACGTAATGTGATAATTCTAATCAGATAAATTGACGTCACCTCTGTAAAAGGTAATCTAAGCAGTGTGGCATTCGTCTAGCACTTTTAGCATCGTATTCATGATTTAATATTGTTATAGCGTGAAGCAGTGATGAACATTAACATCGTTTCTCTCTTACACTGTCTTTTTATGATGAGCCCACGTTTTTATCCATTTTTGATGTGCAATAAATTGCATTTGGGTGAAAGCATGAAGTCGTGAACTTTTAAGCTCATATTTGTGAAATGATTGTGTAGTATATTTTGCTGAAGATGGGATCTTTCGTTTCAGGTGAAATAAATTAAAGTAGACTTTTAAATTTTGAAAATAAAAATATGCCCCATAGAACGCAATGTCAAAAATCAGTTGCAGTATTTCCCTGAACCTTATAATTCTCTCGTAATATAATATCTTCTAAAGTTTAAAATAAATATTATAAATCTGATGAAAGAAAGTTTATCCTATCAAGAAACTGCAGAAAAACGACTACATACAAACGCAGAAGAGGAAGAATAAGTTGCCCTCATACTTGCATATAAACTCAAGTCACGTTGTACTATGAAACAATGTCTCATATTAAATCGCAATGATTTTTCTGAGATTATTACTTCAAATTTCAATTCGTTTCTAAATGCATTAATTTAAAATTAATTGAAAGCATTTGCATTAAAAGAAGAAATAAACTCTTTTGGAAGATATTCCTTAAAAATTAGGTATGAATTTTACTATAATTCTAAAACAATGGAAATTTTGTGTTACGAAAATGCTTCTGATATATATATCTACACATACTCATACTTATAAAAATAATATAGCATAAGCATACAATAAGCAATGAAAATAAAATTAGAATGAGCTTTTGGTTTAAATCGATAATGCACTTGTCTTAATTTTCCTTCTTTCTTTTTCAAGCGTTTCTCTTGTAGCAAGTCTTCGACTTGAAAATCATAAACAACCTACGCATCAATCTGACGACCGAGGTTATTGATGAACCAGACTCTTTTTATGAAAATAATGAACTTGTGATCTTTCAATGGAGATTAAAGCGAGTACTGAATGTGATTGGATTTTCTGAGAAAACAAGTATGAACTGTACTGTTCGTAACAATATTGGCACATAAGTTAAGTCAAAAGTTGTCTTCAAATTATTGGCAAATGTATTCAATCAGATTAAAATAAAAATTCAAAGTTAGTAATAGGACAAGAATCCTTTGAAAAATTGAAAGATTTATTTATGTGATAAAATGTATTCATTTTTTTATAAAGTAGACTCGCAAATCCAACTCAAAAAGTTTCTAGAAAACCTGTTTTGACTTGAATAAATAAGCAGAGTAAGAGTCATGCTCGCGTAAAATTTAAATCTTCTACCTTTCCATGAAATTACTCCAGAAGCATTTCTTCTTATAAATTTATGAAGAATCAGTCTGCTGTAGTCAAAAGTTTCAGTGAAAATTTGTACGTTCTAAGTTTGTTCTCTAAAATATTGAGATTGCATGCATTTTGGAGTAAATAATTATGTCATTAACAATGATATTTAAGAAGAAAGAGTAAATGAGATAGAAATATGAGTATTACGTTGAATGTCCGACATCGACGGTTCAAGATGATGGTCATCTTTATTTATCCATCATAAACGTACCATAAAAAGAAACTCATTTAATGACACGGGAACTCATTACTCGCGCTTCTTATTTGAACACGAATTTCAATCAAGTCGACATCGGAGATCAGACAAGCGAATGCCTTGCAGTGAATGTGAAATCATACAAAAATCAACAAAGTGAAAAGAAGAAGACTTAAGATATTTTTTAAATCAGGTGTATAGTGTCTTTATATGGGCACACATCACATCACAATTGCAGGCAAGTTTTTCAAAAACCCATTAAATTGAAAGGGAAAAAAAGCAGAGAGCGTAACTGAGAGAACTTTAATGACCTTTAATGAATGAAATGAGATCGAAAAGGCATTAAATATCATTGCAGTCATGTATTTTGTCGCGTAAATCGTTGAATCCTTTTTTGGGTTTACGCCTTATCATCACTTTACCAAGCACTTATAATTTGAACATTTTGCTAAATCGAATTCCTCAATTAAAGCGAAAAAATTACAACAATGTTCTACGCTCGTCGTTTCAGTCTACACCAATGAATGTGATGGTATAAAGATGTTCCGTCGAAGATTGTTATCAATTGGGCAATTAAAATATTTCAAACATCTTTCCTTATTCGTTTCTCAACGTTCGTTCATCGTAAGCTATTTTTTAATATTTATAAAGCGTGATCAAAACTACCACAGAAATTAATTTAAATGATTTTCTCCACTAGAAAAATTATCACAATTCAATGAAAATAATTTTCAGACATTAAGATAATATCGAGAGAATATATTCAAATTAACGAATCATTAATTCTACATAAAACAACAACATGATAGGTTCGCCAGAAACGACAATGCGACGAAGAAGTGTAAAAGAGAAAACATTTTTTTTGTGTTTCTTTTTAAAAACGAAAAAATAAAAATAAAATTGATTGTGTTTCATGAACGTGTTATTCTTATTAATTACACAGATCAGGGAGGGAACTGGAGAATTAAAAAATTGGATTCAAAAATCGACACTTTCAGCGTCACTTTGTACCTGTTTCTTGTTGACTTTTAATCATTAAGGTTTATTCTCAAAAATTCTTTCCCCGTGTAAGACCGGTTCATGATGAATTTAGCTACTGGAATTATATTTGAGAATGAAAATTCATTTTTTAAAAGCAATCTCAAATAATCTATCCATTTTGTGAAAATGAAAAAGAGAAGAGGGCAATTGCTACCGCAATAAAAAAAATTCACAATATTTCATTACTTGTGAGTGGGATTGAGTTCATATTAATACTTTTCTAAACAGAGTTGACTATAAAAAGTTTAATATGCATCTAGACGACATGCGACTATATTCATCATCCTAGGGAACAAATATTCTCACCTTATACGGTTACGTTTAACGCATAACTTGTCATTTGTTTGAGTTACTAAAAAGTTTTATTTCCTGCTGTCGGTGATATTTTAAATGAATTCTCGTCTCCGTCATGGGCCTGAATTAATGCTTTTGATTAGTTGGATCGTCATATATAAATAATAAAGAAAAAAGTTTCCGGTGAATATCGCTCCAAAAAAATCTTTTCTTCCTTCCCATGATGAAAATTAATTGAAATCTTTGAATTTTTGTGCACAATCATAAATTTTGACTGTTTCAAAAAATCTTTAAACTTTGAATCATTCACTTCTGCAAAGAAATAAATGATTAGTTTTCTTGAAGTAGGCAGCAGAAAGTTAACCTTTTGACTTCACACTCAGTTGACCCTGAAATGTAAGAAACTTAAATGAAAGTAATTTAATACTGCATAAATTAAAAGAATTTTGAATATCGTCGTGATTCAACTGAAGGAACAATAAATCAATATGTATTTGAATCAAATAGACGCCAACATTTATATTATTTTTAATATGTTGAAGAAACAACTTCGCAAGAGAAGATTGAATAACATTACCTGAGAACATCTTGACAAAGAGAAGTGAATGAACAAAAAACCTTCACAGGCTCGATACTATTCAGAGATATGTAAAAACTATAATTTGATTAATAAAAAAAGTCTTCCATATGAAAAACATTTTTATTGATATGAGGAAAGAAATGAAAAACGAGCAGACAATTTTTAATATGTGTAAACTATTCACATAAAGATCATTTTATGAATGAATTTTTTCTTCTAAAAACTTGTGAATTTTAGAGTTTTGAGTATAAGTAAGAACGCATTTACTAACAAGCCATACATATTTATGTGTTGTTTATATTACAGGTGCTTAACAGCCATACACATCTTACCACTTGAAGGTCAACTATTACGAATGTTATTCTGCGAAAGCCAGTAACATGAGATGATGGTGATGATGATGATGATGATTATGAGTTGATATGTATTGGGTTGATTTTAATACCCATAACTTCTAGTTCACTTTATATTGTTTAGTTTTTTCAGAAGTTCTATCTTCGCTTTTGACCCGTTCATCATCAAGATTGAAGGAGCTTTTATAAGAACTATTTTTTGGTGATCGAGGTCAATGCACGAATCGTGATTAAATTTTAGAGACTACTTTTCATTTATCTTTTTTGAGATCAATTCGTCCACTGCTTCATAAAGACACAGAAGTCGAATTAACTGATTTTTAAAGTATATTTATTTACTTAAAAATTTATTTTAAAAAATACATTTAATGTACATTTCATTTAATGTTCAATCCCATATTCTCCAAAACTTAGAATAATGCTTATGGTTAAGTTTAGTTTTTAGGATAACTTTTTTCGACAAAGTTTCAGTTTCTTTATTGCTGTAACTTTTTAGTTTTAAGAAATATTGACAAACTGTCTTCATGTGAACTTTTTAAAAATTAATAATAGATCATTCTGAATTGAATCTCTTCAGTTTTTATTGTTAACTTAAATTAAAGTTTTAATAATTTTTCAACTTTTCTTTTGACAATTGAAACAGAAATTGTTCTTTTAAGTATAACTAATAACTCACGTGTTTTCATAACAGATCATTTGTCTTATCCTCTTTATAGGTTCATGATAAAATAGAAAAGAAGAGAAGTGCTAAATAGAAGAGATGGAGAAGAAAAATAAAAACAGTAAATAAGATTATTATTCTCTTTTAGGCCATTTCTAATCAATATTCTTCAACCTCTTGCTTCAGGTTCACATTTGATCGTTGAACCTAGAGCGATAATGACAAAAGTAGCTACAATAATTGGCCTTTATTTCAAAAATCGAAAAATATTTTTCTGCCCACAAAACCACAATAACTCAACTCGACCAAGTTTCAATCAGAAATGATTTCGGGTAATAACGCAAAAGTTTGCATTCTCTGAATGCTTATTCCAAACTGGTTTTTGGTAAACTTTCTGTCAATTCAGCAGGATATCATCACGTTCTGACTTTAGTCAATCTTATGAAATTCATTGTATTTTTTGAAGCTCATAGTTGATAAATACATATTCAAAAATATGATATACCTTATAATGTTATAAAAATGAACTTAAATTTACGTTTTCTAACAGATAACAACTATCTATAATTAGTTTTTTTAATTTTTCGAAAAATATGTTCATCAATTTATACTTTAGTGATGTTTTCCTGTTTTAAAGAGTATTTTAATTAGTTTACACGTTGGCGCTTCTATTACTATGAAAAGAATCAAGCCAAGAATAAAAGATATAACTACATCAGTTGTAAAAATTGATATTTTTTGCCACAATGTCTGAACATTAAATTCTTTCTGATTCAAATGTGTAATTTCCAGATATTTAAAATGAGCTAAATAAACGCTTAAACATATTTTTGATAAAGGCTGCCAGAAACTATGTGAAAGGAATTTCCTTAGAATGTTTCCAGATTTTAGAACGTGACAAGCAAAAATGATCCAAGAAATTGAACATGTCCATATCTCAAGATGAACAGATTCAATAAAAGATTTAAATAAACCATTATAAGTCAACAAACTTCTAGTAAAAATATGTGTTCCAAGAAATCCTAGTGAAAGCATCCAACATGCTGACGTTATAGACTTCCCCAAGTTCAATTTCTTTTTGTTTTTTGTGTACATCAAATATCCAAACATTATTCCAACCAAATACTCTGCCAGGCGATATTGGGGCTGTTTATACCATTTTATTGGATGCATAGTTTTGCTGAATAAGAATTCAATTACATTAAATTTCAAACTGATGTTGATGCCTAAATATTGCTTCAACTTACTTTTGAAGTTTTATAAAAGTGCAAAACTGAAGTGAACAAATCACTAAAAATATTATACGCAGAAATTTTTTTCCAAATAACCACAGAAGGTAAGTAAACACTGTTGCTAATAGGAAAAGTTGTAGATCAACAGCAAGATACCAAGCATAATTCATACACTAAAAAATAAGAAAAGAGATGTTACTTAAGATTCACATTTAGTCATCTAGATTATTTCTTACACTATCATTAACATGAACGAAATTTTGAATAAACAGAAGAGTTGACCACCACGTTTGGGAGCATTTGATTCTTCTTTGTCTAATAATGAAAAACAAAGGTCCACTAGCGAAAAATTGAGGCAAAGAACTTGCTGAGAACATTAATAATATTCCAAGAATTGGAAGATATCTAAGATATCGTAAAATAAGAACTTGCAGCAGCCTAAATTTGCCACTAAAAGGAAAATATTATTTAAGTAAAGAAATAAATTTTTTAAATTAAAATCACCTATCAAATAATTTTAAAAAACTTTGAGTAACTAAAATTGCCGAACATGTTAAAAATGTATCGACACAATTAAAGTAACTGAGAATCATGTTGTTCATTGCAGATGACCATAAAGTTTTCTGCTCCGTTTTGTATCCAAATAGTTGAGCAATCATATCATTTCTATGCCCAATTATGATCCAAATGGCTGACAAAACTTTAATTGCATCAATACAGTTGATAATTTCTGAACCTCTTTTTATAATAATTAATTCCTCAAAATTTGAAATGATAGAAAAAGAAGTCAGAAAAATATTTGACTTTTTCTTAAACTTTTTTAGAATTCGTTCATACATTGTGCAAAATATAACGATGAATATAACTGTTAATAAGATAAATCTAAAAATAAAAACAAAATAAATTTTGATGAAAGAAGTTAAAATCAATATTAAACTCACATCAACACATAATCTAACATTTTGAAAGTAAAAGGTTCATAGCACTTTACGAAATTTAATTCAACGCTGTGGTTATCAGTTAAAGATTGCCCAATATCTTTTAATTCTTTTTCATTACAAACACTAGGTATGCATAAACCTGATTTAAATTCACTTTTAAGATTAGATAATAATCTCCAGATTTGGTGAGAATCGTCATTTTTTGCTTTGATTCTCATTGGCGAGAATTTTGCAACGCAATATTTTCCACTAAATGAATCATTTTGAAATCCAGTGCAATCTACAAATCTTCCAAAATCAAAGGAACGTGAATTTTGCAAAGCTTTAGAAGGATCGCCCCATGAATCAACCACTAGAAAGTATTTAATTTTATTTAGATAGGTAATTGTTTCAGCATTAATATTGAAAAAAGTTGTTGTTTTATTTTAATTAAATAATATGTATGTATTCATTTTAGTAAAATGCATCAATTACCATCAAGAGCCCATTTTTCACTTTCATTAAAAGCATTTAATAATCTTCTCAACTCTACTTCGCAACTTGTTTTTCCATTTATAAATTCAAGATACGATTTCAAACTCATTTTGATAACAGAAACTCAAAACTAAAACAAGGAATGATGATTATTGAGATAAATTTGGATGAATGAGGATGAATGAGTGACACCATTTGTTTTGACAGCTGCTCCGAGTGATTACAATATGTGTATGAGACTCATAAATATAAGTAATTTCATGTACTTTTCATAACTTGAACTCACGACTCATAATTCAATAGGAATAAAAATATTGCACCAGTATCGGTAGAATTGCGCAAACAACTAATCAAGTAAGAAAAGATATCATTAGTTGGAAAAGCATAACAACTAACTTGATCGATGGCAAAAAGTCGTAAAATAGCGTACGAAGTTGCAGGTATTCTGATTTTTATGCCGCCGAAAGGTTTTCTCTCTGTGAGACGTGAAAGTAAAAAGTATCAACCAGCGTTTGCAGTCAAATTTGTTCAAGTTTTAAGAAAAAGCCGGTAGTATATTTCGAAATTTCGCTTGTCTTGCTCTTTGTGTTCATTTTTAGGGGGTCACGATTATCGTGTTCCATTCTCTCAATTCAAAGTGTAAAATATCCATTGTTTTCATCGAAAAAAAGAAAAGACAAATAATTTTTATTTCAATAAACACAACTGAAAATATTTAGTTGCGTTGAGATATCTTCAACTTTTCTTTGTCGCATTCTTACTAAGAAAAAAATCAGCCAATGATTGCAAATTATGATTTTAGTTTGATTTTATTAAATATCTATGTTGTGTATGAGTTTCTAAACAGGTAACGAAGAAACAACTGTAAATTATGACCTATAAAGGCACAAACCATTGTGCACTGAAATAAAATTAATTTAGTTGCATATTAATTACTTGTCTGTGTCGAGAATATAAGAAAAAAAATGCAAAGTGAATATGTAAAGTAAAAAGTCGGCATGAAAGTAAAGATTTTGTCGTATTCCGATTATCAAATGAAATCAAATATTTTGCATATTTCATGAAAAATGTAAAGCTAAACTATTAATTCCTAATGAATTTATAATTTATGTTACCAAAACAATATTTTACTTAAAACAACACCTTACTAGAAGCGAAAGGAAGCCTCTTGAACTAAATGAACTTGAATTTTTCGTAGACCTAAAATGTTCTCAGTGGAAATTTCAATGTCGAAATGAATTTGAAGTTCATTATTTTTTGGTTTACATGATATTCAATGTACATACCTAACATTTATTTATATGTGTATTTATATATTTTTCAATAATATGCACTTTTTCCTTTTTCCTTTTACCAGTTCTGTCACTAGTTCATAAGCGGTGACTGCGTATGTTAACTGTTTTTTTTCAAATGCACGACTTTTTATATCGGCGTAAAACAGATATGTTGTCATTTGGGAATAGAGACATGTTATGCTAAGATTTATTGCTAGAAATATAAAAGCAATTTCTTATGGTTCGAGCTTGAGATAGATTAAAAAAATATCATTGCCATGCTACACTTAGTAGCAATGGTTTCATTTTAAAGTGAAACTATTGAGATAAGAGGTGATACATGAGAAAGGAATAAATGCGCATACACTTAATGGAAAGCTTTGCACATGTATTGATAATGATTATTTTTTATGACTTCATGTCTCTTATTTAGGTTTATTTTATACAAAAATTCTCCAAATTTTATTCTTCACTTATAAAAATCGTGAATTATTTCATAATCACTAATAACTCTACATATTCTTATAAATTTCATAATCAACGAAATATATTTTTATGTTCTTAACATTTGTTTAACGATTTTATGAACTATACTATTACAATAAATAACACAATCTCAAGAGTATTTATTTAGTGATTAAGTTTACTATTTAAAAGCAAGGAAAGTATTTTGTTCGGTCATTTATCGAATTAAATCATTAATTGAATATACATATATTTTTATGTATAATATCAACTTTCTTTCTTCAAATGATTAATTAGAATGTGATATTTAATTTCAATAGATAATCTATGGAGTATAGTTTGCGTGTTCAATAAGTAATTCCCAGCGACAACATTTGTTTTTCTTTTCGAATCAAACTCTAAAATTGAAATTTTTAGGCACGCGACCTTTCTGTAATTGAGCTTGCGGTGAGGCTTGCCGCTTTTTGCTTCAAGTGAAACTTTAATTTCATTAAACAAATCTTCCTAGAATCTTCGCTTTGTATAGGAATGTCGTATTTAAATTCAAAGCACCTGCTGTGTTCATTCGTTTATCTACAACTTTGAATGTATCATTTATAAGCAGTTTCTCGCCTTTAATGTCGCTTTTTATCAAGAAACTCTTATAATGAACTTAAAAACACCAAACATATATAATAAAAGAAACGCTTTTCATTTTAATTTTGTAATATTTTTATTCATTTCTAAGCAATTCAACACAATAAAGTTGATTTTCGCGTAGGAGTTCCGGTTATTTTCTCATATCTAAAAGAAACTCTTTTAGGAACACTAATAAATTCTTTTATTTAGTTTAAGATTTCCGTTGCGGTTTTCAATAAATATCGTTTCTTTCATTTGATTTCTCACATTTCCTAGTGTTGTTAATGAATCTGTTTATCGTATCGACTTTTTTTTTCATCATTCTATCTTTAAATAAAAAAAAGACTAATAACAATAACATCATCAAAATATCGGCATTTCTTAAAAACATTGTAGACTTTTCACCTGTTAACAAAAGAGAAAAGCAAAATGAACATTAAGAAAATTTAAACATTCTGTCGAGTTGCTTATTTTATATTCAAGAGATCCGCTCACTTAACAAATTTGAAACTTCACGCCTCTTTCAAAGCTATGAGCATTTAAATATTCTCAACAAGTTCAGAAAACAGGTTGCGTTGTGTTGTTTTAAAGCTATTGTTATTGAACTGTTTCCTTATTGGAAAGAGTCATCGTGATGATTAAAAAGCAATCAAATTGAATTTTCTCTCTTACACATAATATGTATTGAGTTAGATTATTGAAAAAAAAAAGATGAAACATTAAGACTCTATTCAGATTTAATTTTAGCTATATAATTTAAGTTTGGCATAGCTCTTTTTTTTTTGTCTAAATCCATATCAATTTTCTTATTCCATAACTATGTAATGCACCTTTCAAAGCAAATCAAATTTTAAATATAAAAAGGTTACGAATGTGACAGAAAAGTTCAATTTTCTAATATGTTTTTACTGACTGCGAGTGAGTAAACACACCGATCAAACTGTCTATATCTCTTTATGAACCTCATATTTTGATGATGTGAAATTGAAATACATTTATGTAGTACAGAAAAGATAGTATTGTTTCATTGGGATCGTTTAATGACGAAATAATTGCTGAATAATTGTTGATCACTTGAGAGTTTGAAGAGCATTGGTTTTGTATCACGTATCTCGTTAACATGAGAACCAGGCTTAATGTCAGTTATGCAATCGAACTCGGTCGAAGTATTTCTAAAGACGGTTCACACTTTTAACGATATAGAATCAGAAATGTCTCGACATTTTGCTTATTCATCATTAGAAGTGAGAAATATTTTTCCAGCGTGCCTCCATGGGAAACAGATCTTGTTTTGGATTATAAGCGTCGTAGGTTACTTGTGGTCATGTAGCCACATATTTTTTGACGTTTTCGATATTCAGACTTGAGGCATATCGTTAAAAACAAACATTTTTATTTTTCTTTTCTTTTATTTCATTCTTGGACTTATGATATTCAAATTTTTTTATGTTTAATAATAGCTACCGAGTTGATGTCTCGAATCTAATCTTTATGATGACAAAGAGACAGACAAATCAACCATCAAATATGCCCAATAAAAAATCAATCGCTATAACTTAATAAAACGAAACCAAGTTCAGTAATTAAGCAGCAAGTTTATACATCATCGAAAAACTCATTTACATGTTATGAGTCTAAAAGATTCTAAATATTTCGAATGTTTTTTTCACTGCGAATGAAAACTTTATTTCAGAATCACTGAAGTAAAGCTGGTTTAATTTCGTTGACGACGACTTGTCAATTCAGATAATGTTCGAATAACGTTTTCTGTTGAATTGAAAAATTCGTGATGCTTCGACGTTACAATTCTCTTTTCAATGTTGAAATTGAAGAGCCTCCCAGTGATTTCATTTCCCTTTGGTACTTTTATTTGCCACAATATTTTCTTTCGTTTATAGCTTCGAGTTTTTGACTCATTAGTTTCTCTCGTTGTAATAGTTCGGCCGTGATCTTAGCGGGAAATTTTTTCAATGCCAATTTAAGAAAGAGTTGAGCAATCTTGAAGTCTTAATTTGAACATTTCAGTCATAAGCTCAGCCATGAGCAATAGGTTCTTTCTTCCCTAGTTTTTTGACCAGAGCGAAGAGTTGAACAAAGAAAAAGGTATTTTAATATCTCGAATTGTGATTAATGCTTAATAGGGAACTCTGATATTGTTGTCATTGTCGTGACTGACCTCAAGATTTTAGCTCGACTTTATTTTTATTTACATAGAGAAATTTACTCTTTTTTATCTATTTCTTTGATTTCACTCTTTTTTTCTGTAGTGTTTAGTTTTGTAAAATATATAAATATTATAGAACAATTCACAATTGAAACGAGAGAAGATTTCTTGATTCGTAGATACTGAGGTGTAAGCCAAGAGCCTGTTTTATTTAACATTAAAGCTCTCAGGTGGTAAATAATTGAAGATACCATCTTACTTTTTTTACATTTGAAGTGGCAAGACTTGAAATGATACGTGGGAGTTTTATAGTAGGAGATGCTTTATTGTAAAAATAAAGCCTCGAATTTCTTAACCTGTTCATTCTGTCTTTTTAATTTGATGAAGTTTTTTTTATACTTCAAAGCCTTTCAATCTAACTCCAATTTTGTTGTCTGTTTTTTACAACATCCAATTTAGTAAAGAAGTTTTATTTTCAATCTTTAAAATCCATTCCTCAATTAGAACAATTAAAAAAATATACTTTCATTGAGGCCTTCAATCGATTTCCGTTCTATTTAAACAATAAATGCTTATGACAACTAATAA